TGTTGAAATTCACAGAACGATTCGCGATAAAGATCTTCACAACCAGTTGCAAACCGATCTTATCAATCATCTTCGGGTAATTTACAAGGATGTACCTACTAGAAAATGAAATAAAAACATATTATAACTGAGAATATTGTTGAAAAATGGATTATTTATTTATTTGATTCAATTGATTGAATTTCTTCTTCAACGTCTTCAAAATCATCATTACAAGATGAATCATCATCCAAAACGATTTGCTCCTTCTCCTTCTCCTTCTTTTCGGCCATCTCCATCTCAGCCTTCTCCTTCCTGATACGCGCAATGATCTTCATTCTCTCGTACTGGTAGTACTCCTGTCTATCTTCTTCAAGGATGGACGAGATGTCCACAGACATAATGTGGCGCTCATGCGCTTCTCTTGCAGCGTTTTCAGCGATGGCCACATTTTTTCTGAAGACTTGCTCCATGCTCGCATTGAAAGCAGCTTCAAGCTTGATTTTCTCGAGGATGGCTTGCTGCTTTCCAATTTCTGTTTGCTTTTGAGCAACAAGAGCAAGAGACTTCTTGTTGCCCATAGGCCGCTGTTCATATTGGGCCTTAACCTCCTCATCAGCTTTCTTCTTTGGTTTCTTTGCAGAGTCAGCTACACTTTGGAACTTGGGAACGTCCCTCAACAATTCCCAACAGTCCACGAACTCGAAATCACGACCCTCAGGATCCCAAAATGCCTTCTTGGCAAGTTTCAACTTCAACATGTTAGCACAGATCAAAGTTCAATATTAGCTACTTACCACATCGGACTGGTTGGTTCCACTTTTGTTCTGATTTTTTATTCTGTTGTAGTGGCCACAGAAAGCAAGCACGTCGGTTTTGATCTTCCTGAACTGTTGTTCAAGAGCCTTTGCTTCACGATAAGAACCGAATTCTTTTTCCACTCGGCTTTGCTCGTAGTTCTCGTTGTTGTGAACATATATAGATTTATATGCATAGATCAATAAATGATGATCATGGCAAAAGACCAGATCACATCTATGGCAATTGCAATGGGTCTATAGTCACTGACATTTACTCATTCTACTAGAAGTACTACATCATCCTCATAGACAGAGATTATGAACCTAGTGACTCTGTTATTATTAATGGCACTCATAAAGTGACAGTTAGAGCTGACAAAGGCATTGGTGTTGGCATTTGACAAATATGTAATAGTTTGTTCAAGTTCAGGTCAGATCATGTACTATTGGCTGAGCTGACAACTTCCTCTAAAGGCATTTCTCTCAATTGCTCCTGATCTAACAAATCAATCCGTAGTCAAGAAGCTAACCCAAAACAATTGTTTTGACCGAGAAGAAAAAGTATAAATACATCGACATTTTATAGCAATTGAAAGATAACATTTTCTTGGAGAAATAAAAGCCTATACAAGTTCTAACGGACTTTCTCTGTGTTCTTACCTTTTCTCTTATCTTATATCTATTCTCTCTTCATCTCACGACACTCGTGAATACGACTCCAATATGTCTTGAGCTTTTGATCCGATCCTTTGACCGGATCAATCGAAGTGTTCACCCAAGAGACACACAATTCCTCCTTCTCGGTGGCCAACCACTGTTTTCCTTTACCTTTGGCCTTTCTTGGGAGTCTCGGTAATTGACTCGAGATCATCTTCGGCATCTTCTTCGGTGATGACTAGGTCAACTGAAGAGGAAGCTGAGGCAGTGGTAGTAGTGGTGGTAGGTGCAGTTCTGGCACGTTTGGTTGTTTTTTTGAGTGATAGTGGACATTTTAAATTTTAAATTTTAAATTTTAAATTTTCAGGGAAAAAGTTTTGAAAAGTCTACCGAAAACTTTTTATTCTAGATAGTTTTGGAGGAAATTTTTATTTTTTTTCATTTTAAAAAGTCTGATGGAAAGTCCGCTAAAAAATGTTTGACCTATCTAAAATAAAAAACTTTTCATTTTGGAAAGTCCGCTAAGGATGCTCTAATTTCTTATAAATTTCATCACTTTTTAAATCTCGTTCTAAAAAAGGCGTTGATGAACGTGAACAAGCAGAGACATAAACCCGTGTAGCGAAAGAACGAGAACGCAAATTGTTGATCATTGATTCAAGTAGTCTTACTCTCGTATTCAAACTGTCTGTGGTAGGAGACTTCCTAGCATATCTTATAATTTCAAACTCATCATTTTGTAAAGTTTTTAATGATTGTTGGTAATTCGGCAAATATTCACTAATTGAAGTCAACATGCAATCTGCAAAAAAAAAAAACACATTAGCCAATGTTCAAGCTTAGCAGTGTGATACTACCATAATAAATATCGTTCATAACACAAAGCTCTCTTCTACGGGTTGAAGCATTTCTACTTTCTTTGGCCCGTAAAAATAACGCTTTTTTAGTTGAACACCATCGAGCGAATGCCAGAAATGTTTTGTTTTCAAATATAGTTGTATATTCATTAACTGTATCAGATATTTCGTGTGTAGTGACCAGTTTCGTTTGATAAACTTCATGGTTATTTGAATCTTCGACACAATAAATGTTATTGATGAATTGAACTACTTGTGCGTCAGTGTCTTAAAAAAGGTTAGTGTTGCGTTACCACATTTATTTTCCTTTTTTAAGCTTACAAAGTTCGCATCTTTTTCTCTTTTGGTTTACTTTTTCACTGGGCAGAACATCCAGATATCTGCGATAGGTTAAGAGGTCACCAAGTATTCTTTGTTGAGCAACGAGTATAGGCTGGTTTGGTGTAGTATTATAACATATTTCCGAACCTGTTTCTTGTAGCTTTTTTTTTTTTTTTTTTTTTACATATCTCAACATTCTCTGGAGTAGAATCGACATAATAAAACATACACATTGCTTTGTTTCTAGTGGTAGTCATAGTTTAGATAATTATTGATGAGAACGCTTGAAAGACAGATGGAAGACAGTTGAAAGACGGATGGAAGACGGCTGACAAAGTCTCTCTTTGGTCGTCAGACAATAAATACCGAAGACGGCTGACAAAGTTTTTCTTTGGTCGCCAGACAATAAATACCAAAGACGGCTGAAAAAGTCTCTCTTTGGTCGCCAGACAATAAATATTGAAGACGGCTGAAAGGCGGATGGTCGCTTAATCCCTATTCAATCATGCTTTCTTCCATACAAAAATCTAGGCGTAAAAGATATGCTGAAGCGACACGCATTAAAAATGTGTCGCTACTTCACACTGATATCACTCCTCATCCAGAAGAGAAACCAGATATTCACCGTGTCCTGCAAACCAGGATTTATCGCTCTTCTCGTTCAGAAGGAGCGTACCTTTTCGATATTACCGAATGTAAAAAGCAGTATACCGATCAACAATGTATGGTCGAGCTGAAAAACCAACACCCTAACGTACACGCTTGTATGGCACTTAGCGATGGTGCGACTCGTTACCTTGACGTTTATGTTACTAGATATAACGACATAAGCAACATTTCTCGTAAAGGTATCAATTTTAGTGAAGCCAAGCTCCAAGTACTACCTTGTAAAGCGATTACGGACCAATCACAGGTCATTACTCTAAAACTCACTCACCTACCTATGCTTACCTCTAAGGAGGTGCTCAGTGGACTTAATACGAGCTTGGCAATTTTTGGAAATATTTTGGATATTGGAATCACCACTGAACAGGCAACGGGTCTCTTTATGGGTAGCTGTTATGCGGTACTTGACATCTATCAACCAGACAATACTCCCACTTCCAAGAAATTCCAAAAACTCAGTCATCAGATTAGTTGGATGGAATCGAACACTGAAGTATTTAGAGCCACTTGGAACAACATGTCAATGTGGTGCAGATATTGTCACCAGGATGACCACACGAAATTTACTTACCGAGGTACCAAGAATTCTTGAAGAATTTAAAAAAGGATGGCTCTGAAATCATCGGTTATGCTCGTAAATCTCCCACAAATGAAGGTGTTGATAACAGAGACTGATAAAACTCATATCCATGGTAACAAATTTGAAGGAAAGATTTTTAGCGACAAAGATGTTCGTTTCTCCTTGTAGCTGGGCTTCCTCACCATTCAAATCACGTGACTTACAAAGTAACTCGCAAGATACCTTGAATAATTTAAGCGTTGATAGCAACACACAAGACTTACTTGCCTACCTAGAATGCGTTGATCAAGATGTTCGCTTGTTAACAATTGACTTTGCTGGCATGACAACAAGAAGTCAAGATATTGTAAATTTGGCTGAAGCAAGCCCTTCTTTAAAGAAAATTGCAGTTGAAACGTTTGCTTTATGCAGTGAGCTGTTTTTCTTCGATACTCAGGAGCTAGTCAGAAACAATGATCTTTCACAAAAGCTTGACAGCAGAAATCGTTGTATTCAAAGACCAAAATAAAACAGCAATTCTTTAATGCTGTATTTATATTTATATTGCTACTTACACTAGTGTTGTGAACATATAGAATTTATATACATATTACAAGTAAATATCAGACTTTATTGTCACTTACAGATATTCATGGCTAAGTGACCAGAATACAGATACAGTAGCTGTAATAGATCTTATGCTCGCTTCGTCTATTGATTCTAAAGAGATTGATTCTAATCCAATGATAAATCAAGAGACAACTTAGATCGGTGGTAACAGACTTAGTGACTCTTGTTATTCAGGCCTTATCATGATGGATAAACTATTGAGGTCAACAATGCTTGATCCGATTTGACGTGACAACGAAAATGACAAGAAGATGCTAAAATAGTTTGTTGAAATAATTTCCTACATTGTTCTATCGCAGATCAAACCCTACCTAATTGACTGACGCAAGTATATTTCTAAGACATGTCCATTGACAGTCTGTTCCTAATCCATATAAACTAAAGTAGTTCCAATTCGATTCCTTTGATAAGAAGATTAGTTTATCCGACCTTAAAGGTATAATTATCTATGTGATGTTTGGGTTGTGAAATGAAAATAGAATAGAATAAAAAAGAAAACAAAGAAATACAGTGAGACTATTCAGTACTTCTTTAAAGTAGCAATATTCATAAAGACATAGGAGGATTGATGTTGCAGAGTCATAGGATAAAAATGGACAAGAGCACCAATTGCCTGGAAAGATAAGCACGTTCCCAAGTTGTACGTTTCTATTGCATTTTTCGTGAAATAAGCCAGTCGGTACAGGTCTTGATTTAATTTACTTATGTTTTCATTCGTCTTAATTTCACCATACAAAGTAGGGTAGTCATACTCTTGGTTTTTATATTTGTCACAAACGTAATCCGGGCGTTCTTTTGATTCTGCTTCTGTTTCTTCATGGGGCAAAAGGTTTGAACAATGAGGAATTGCATTTGAAGACCCAAAGATAGAGTTTATCATGGTATGTATATAGATACTTGAAAGGTGTAGCTGTTGTATACACAGCATTATTCATCCCTTCTTACACTAGCTATACCTTAAAAGACTAAGTATTAATATTGTTGTGAACATATATAGATTTATATGCATAGATCAATAAATGATGATCATGGCAAAAGACCAGATCACATCTATGGCAATTGCAATGGGTCTATAGTCACTGACATTTACTCATTCTACTAGAAGTACTACATCATCCTCATAGACAGAGATTATGAACCTAGTGACTCTGTTATTATTAATGGCACTCATAAAGTGACAGTTAGAGCTGACAAAGGCATTGGTGTTGGCATTTGACAAATATGTAATAGTTTGTTCAAGTTCAGGTCAGATCATGTACTATTGGCTGAGCTGACAACTTCCTCTAAAGGCATTTCTCTCAATTGCTCCTGATCTAACAAATCAATCCGTAGTCAAGAAGCTAACCCAAAACAATTGTTTTGACCGAGAAGAAAAAGTATAAATACATCGACATTTTATAGCAATTGAAAGATAACATTTTCTTGGAGAAATAAAAGCCTATACAAGTTCTAACGGACTTTCTCTGTGTTCTTACCTTTTCTCTTATCTTATATCTATTCTCTCTTCATCTCACAACATTATTCTCTCTTGATCTCATAACAGTTGCTTTGTTCTATTTTAAACCAGGCTCACAGGTCAACTACACCCTTCCTTTGCATAAATTTTAGCAAACTCGAATTAAGCAAGCGGCAGCTGAAAATCATTTTTGAAAAGCAACTACTAGCCGTTGACAACGTCAACTGCTGCAATTAGATATCCTTATTGAATGCTCTTGATGATCGATTTTTTTGGCTAGGTTCACTCTTGCAGCAGAATAATTACGACAGCTATAATAGCCATAGTAGCCATAGTAGCCATGGTAACCATGGTAACCATACACCACAGCGTGAGCAACTGCATTTTTCTTCCATCGCTTACGCTGTAGTGACAACTCTATAAAAAAGTAACTAGGGCGATAGAGAGAATTATAGAAAGACTTTTATACCTCAGGCCTTCGTGGTCAGTGTGATGGGCTTACCTAAAAAAAGAAAAAAAAAAGCATTTTCAGAAATCATAAAAATATTGACAGTTATGCCGAAATTACAAGTATGCCATTTGCGTACTCAAAAAAATATTTTTTGAAAAGTAATAAAAACCGCTATTCTAGAATTAAAACCATTATTGTAAAATAAATCAAAAATATTTTCTGCAATGACAAAAAAATAAAAAAGTAAAAGATTTCATATTTTGTGCTTGAAATTTTGAAAAAAGCTTGTTTTTCAATTTTTCTGCTTTAAAATAAAAAACAAGTCTACCGATCATTGATCTCTTCTTTTATACTAAAACAGTAAAGCCATCATCCGGTAGACTCGTTTATTTATTTAAGGCAGAAAAATTGAAAAGCTGGCTTTTTTTCTAATTTTAAGCAGAAAATATGAAATCTTCTGCTTTTTTATTTTTCTGTCATTACAAAAAATATTTTTGTTTTGTTTTATAGTGGTTTTTGTTTTATTTTTTTTGAATACACAAGTGGCATACTTGTAAGTCGGTATAAATGTTAACGGAGTTTGAAGATACATATGTATTTTCTTACATTCATGAGAAGTTTCTAACATCTACGGCTATTACCGCGATCTTTTATGGCTCTACCTCTGCTTCCTGTAGACATATCGAAAATTATAGTGATTCCTTAATTTTCCGTATTTTTGATCTGTGCTGGTGTTGATCATACACGCCTTACTATTGACGAGTCGTACAAATAGTCCCAATTCATGAGAAGGGCAACTTGACTGACCCAGTCAGCTACTGACTAATTAGTCTGACTACTATCTCCGGAAAAAACAATCGAAAAATGCATCAAAGAACTTTTCCAAGACCAAGTATCGTCCTTAGACACTGCTCAAGGTGGCTTTAGAGAACGCAAAAGTGTCCTTGACCAAGCTCTTTGTCTTTCAGAAATTCGTAAGTTGTTTTTTTTCACAACAATACTCAAGAACATTAGCTCTGTACTTTATTGGAGTACCAGATGGACCTCTATACATTTGCTTCTATCCAAAATCACCTCTATGTAACATGCTACCACAAACAATCTACTTCTTCCAACATCCAACCAAATGTTTCTGTTTCTTCTCTGGTTACAAATTCACGCCCAGACACAACATTAGATCAACGCTCTTCTCTCCATTCCTTTTTTGCCCCTATTCTCTTAAGGTGGTTTTTTTTAGCTTAGTAAAGCCATTCATTTTTATAAATTGATCGAGTCTGAACAGTCGAAGGCCACATTGGACCATGTGTTCAAAAGGATCTTTTCTACAAAATCAATAAACTAGCAATCTTTAAGTATGAGTTTCAAAAAATTAACAACAGTGTGCAAGTATGTTATTTGTGCCAACCGAAATACATTTCTGGAAGATAACTACTTTTAGATTTGAAAAATATATATATATATATTCTCGTCACAGCGTAAGCGATTGTATTTTTCTTCGATATTTGAGTAAAGATTTAGCCAGAATCTTCCATTGCTTCTGCTGTAATGTCTTTAACTTCAAAGAGATTAAATATAAAAAGAAATTGTGATAAAAATTACTATTGTAAGATAATGTTCAATTAAAAATTTATGATTCGATTACTTGATAATGCTCCTTATAAAATAAAGATAATGTTCATAGAGGACTTATAACTACGCTTGATAATGTTCCTTATAATATAAAGATAATGCTCTTCGTAGATCAAAGATAGTGTTCAAATATGGATTCGAAAATAAAAAAAAAAAAAAAAATAAGATGTTAACAAGTATGTTTCGGGAAGGAAGCCCAAAGATAAAAAATAAAATTATTAAGTCTGTTACCATCCACTGAGATAGTAAATGCTATGCTTTTATTTGTTACACAGCTTATAATGCTCACTGAATGACCTCCTTTATTTCAGAAAAATAGAGAGTATTTATAATAAAATTGTACATTTGTACTATGTGAAAAAGTAAAGAATAGGACTGTGGTGTTTTACATTAATATCATCTTTCTTTTCCATATTCAATTCTCGAATCTCAACCCCATAATATGACAACTTACTCACATATCTTCAAGATTTTTCTCGATCTGTGCGAAGAAAAGGATGATATACCATTACTCGCTGATTTTATTGAAAGGCACAGTCAGCACATAAAAGCTAACATTGGCAAAGATCAAGATGAAGAATATAGCAAGCTTGCAAGTGCCTTTTTCAAGTACGCCAATTCAAGAGGCATAGAAGCTAAGAAGGGTAATGCTAAGGCAGCCTGGAAAAAGCATATCAAGCAGCAAGCAAGCATTGCTATGACAGCAACAACAACCAACACAGAAAAAACATGGTCTTATGCCAAGATCATGGTGAAGAAGAAGGTGTCTTTGGTCGCTGGTCTGTTGGTGATGAAGACTTGATAAAAGTTTTCAACAAAGAAAGAAGACGTGTTGTTGAGCTGGTGAGGAACAAGAAGATGCTAAGAGAAAGTCAATACTTGCTGCTTTCTTTATCTTGGAAGTGCCAGTTGCTGTTGAAGGATTCTGCCTTGAAGCCAAAACTTCAAAAAAATAAGAAAAGCGCTCACTCCTGCCACAAAGAAGAAGCAATTCGAGCATGAAATTCTAGTCATGTTCATTGACTTGAAGACACAGTGGGAGCTGGAGCAAGAAGAAAAAGAAGGAAGAAGCAATGATGGCAATGATGACGATGATATAATGATGAGAGAAGAAAAAGATGTGCAGTACTTGCAGTACCAGATGTCGCGGTATGCAAAGAAATCGAAGAAGGAAGAAGAAGATGCCTTGGTACGAGTTGTTAAAGAAATGCTTGACAATTTGAAAACTGGAGGACTGAGTGTAGAACTGAAGAAGACTTCATGACCAAGCATTGTATCCGTTTCTGAGAAACATACTCTTGCGTGACAAGAATGTCTCATCCACACGGTCCTATGGAAAAATACCATATGGCCATCCCAATTTAGACAGACAGCAGTAGCAGCAGCAGCAGCAAAGCTAAACCCGATTTTTCGTCTTTCTGCCTATCGACGATAATTCTTTTGGGTTGCTTTGCGTGGAGGTCAAGAAGCCTGGCACCAAGTCAAGTCAAATTTTGAGTGATCGCTCTAAGCTGGCTCTAGAGTGCAAACGATCTATTGATCATCAGGTGTCTCTTGGTGTCCGTACACCTAAGTGCTTTGCGTTGTTTGTTGATGGTAAAATGTGCCCTTCTTTTGTGTGTGAGTTGACCTCACATGGAATCTACACTTTTGTGGAACTTGATGTGTTTTCGCTCCACCATCACCAACACGTTGATCCTATCCAACTGCTGGTACTTGTGTCGAGTCATCCCTTTTACTACACAAGAGCTGTCTCGTATTCGATCATTGGCAAGCCAATTTTTGAATAGACAGATTTTCCCTCGAATAGCTTGGTCAACGTTGGTACTTCCGAAAGACAAGGGTAGATTAGGTATCTTGGGCCCTCTGCTACAGAGAGACGCACTGTTTTTTCGCTGTACCTTTTCTTTGCCTTTGAATCGCTCTTCAGCACATTGGCTGAAAATTATTCGGCTTCATATGCATAATGTCACAGGGGCCTCGCATGTACAAGTTCCTTTGCTCTTCCCATCTACAAGAAAATTTATAAATCGATCCAATGGCGCCACTAACAAAGTCAGTATGATTCAATTGCTCTATGTGTCTATAGATAGACTTTCTAAAAACTTTGATACTATGGAGTTCAATCCAACAGTTTGTATGTTACTACCAATCTCTGTGGTTATGCATTATAGGCATGCTCAGCGACCTTTTCTGCCTCCTGATATGCGTCAAATCCAAGTTAATGGCCTCATGGTGTGCGATCATTTTGCCAAGGTTATTCTTTGGAAGCTCCCTCAAAATATCCCCGAAGAGTTGCAAACAATTTAACAGAGGTTAGTTCGTGGTTTAGCAGGAACTATATGTGTTGCTCCCTTTTTTCAACGCCATTTAGCGATATCTTCTCCCACCAATGCCATCTCTTCAGACATAAATGCAGGATTCAGCTTTGCCTCTTTTCTAAACTGCTTTTCTGTTCTATCTATCAAGAGACCGAGCGATGGGATCAGCTCTAAGGTATATCAAATGACTTGCTTGGAGTCTTATCCTGCTCCTTCCACCCTGTTAGCCATTTTCCCTACTTTTTGGGACTCATTTTGGACATTGTCCCTTACCGCCGCTGTGAGAAATGTGGTGGATCGATACATAAACTATAAGCTGCCTACAAAGATACGTATGAATCGCTTCTTGCCTGAACGATTTCCAACTCTTTTATGCCAAATTTGTGGTCTTTATACTGAAAACGACAACCATATGCTCTTTTCATTCCCTCCAAAAACACATTTTTGAAAAGAGCTTATATTTGAATTTTTATGGCCAACCACTACTGTTGATGATATCATACAAGCAATCTGATATATGAACTTCCATTCCATTCGTTATACTCAGAATAGTGAGTTAGATGCTCAAGAAATAGTATTCCAAGGCATGGGTCAAATTTGAAAATCCCATTGGAATACTATCTTCAATGAAATTCCGTTTAATCCAATTCTACTTCTTTCATCCACTCATGCTTCTCCCAATTCTCTGATTGACGAGAAACACTTGCATAAATGTTTATAATTAATTACTTTATGTATTTTCCCTTTGTATCTCTCAAAATTGTGACCACCACTTGACAGGCTTTAGTCATAGTTTACGTGGAGCAAAAAATAAAAACCTTTTAAAAAAAAATAGGGCTTTGCTGAGAACTGCATAAAGACGCAGTTATTGGGCTTTGGTATAGTGACAAAAGTTGTAGATCTTTGTCTTCTGATTCTATTGATATAAAGAGCGCAGTAACTTTGCTGCTAAAGTATTGAGCAAATAGGCAAAGATGTTTATAAGTTTTTTTGCCCATATCCCATCATTTGTGTAGTACAGCTGTTAAAAAAACACGCTCACCAAAAACTAGAGCCTCTGAAGCACATTTTGAGTATTTAGGCTTGTTGATAGCTCTATTTTTTGTCTTGCAGCGTCTAAGAGAAGATTGAAGGTTGTCAAACAAGCTTTTTTCATGAGTAATACCCTTTGGTCGAAAGGCGATTTCGACCATTTTTTTCAGGTTGCTTTTTTTGATCTAAAGGTATTGTGTATGCTATTAGACATGATTTTTAGGCATTTAGAGTGTTTGTAAGTGTATACGTAGGTTTTGTACTGTGTACAAGAAAAAGAAGATTCGTATAGATTGTTGTCTTCTTTTTTTTTTTTACTGTTGAAGCACTTATTTGCCTAGTGTCTCTATTACACAATCAGGTAATATACTACTGAATAGTTTATCCAAATAATTTATTTTGTTAAAAGTACAGTTGATTCTTCATAATGAAAGGAAATGTTTAATCATGAAAGATGTCAAAGTGTTAAGAAATGTGTTCTAACAAGAAGCCTATAGCACACACATTGAATAGGGTATAAACTACATTACTAATGTATCCATTATTTCATTCGATGAGTGCATAGATACCTCATTTATTTATCGCTCAATGCTTGTATGTCAAAAATTGTCGACTTTTTATGTTTAATAGAATTTTTTTTGTTTTAGAGCGTAATTTCTGTGCAACACTGACATGATAACGTGTACCGACTTTTTGCTTTTCACCTATTACCATATTTGGATTTGCGCTATTTACGCTATGTATATATAATTGAATGTAGTACAAAAGTTGATCTCTACCGTTTTCCGTTCCTTCTTTTTTTTTTTGTTTTCAGGTTGCATTTTAGACTCTGCATTTGTTTATACATGTATTTGTATCACACACATATCCATCTTGAGTAATATTTAGACGTGTGGTATTGCATTAACATTATCTTCCGATAGATCTTTGAGAATTAGCCAATCGCACTATTGACGCATATCCTTATTTGTACAAGAACCTTTTTTTCTGACGTTTCTACAATAGCGTGATTGAATCACAGTTTGATGTCTCGAATTCAAGGCATTTCATTATAATGAATGGCTGTATATATATATGTTTCTCTTGATAGTATAGAAAGAAAGAGATGTACTCTAGTAAGTTCTAGAATAACAGGGAAACATAAAGTGTGACGATAGTCTTTGTTTAAACCATGCCTGCATTCTAGCCAATTAAACTTTTAATAATGACCTAGTGGTGAATTCACTCTTTCTCTTTTTGCGTTTATCCTATTCTCGAGTTTCTGTCTTGAAAATTCAACAAGGTACAAAAGGGGGGAGGGGGAGATCAGATCTATCTTTCTTTTTCTTTTTCGTTACTTATATTTTTTATGCAAAATAATAATCCAAATACATCTGGAATTGCCTTTGATACAACACATGTCAATCATAAAAAACCAATGTTGCACAATGAAAGAACCTCTACAAGGGCCTCTTCTACCACGATGATCAATGACGATAGCAAGTCCATACTAGAAAAGATCAAAATGCGCAAACTTAATCTCATTCGACGCAAGAAAAAATCAAATCAACCTGTGGCTGAAGGACCACCTTATCATACCATGAAAATTGAAACTGTTGCTGAATTGATGAAAACTGACTTGGAAGATGGTCTCAAGGAATCCGTTATTCAAGAAAAACGTACTCAGTATGGCTCAAATGAAATGGAGGGAGATGGCGGTGTTAATCCTATCAAGCTTTTATTGAAGCAATTCTTGAATGTCATGGTATTGATCTTGGTCATTGCAATGGCTGTTTCTTTTGCATTCAAAGATTGGGTTGAAGGTGGTGTCATTGCTTTTATTATGATCTTGAATGCCGGTATTGGTTTTGCTCAAGAATTCAAGGCTGAAAAGACAATGGAATCACTTCGACAAATGGCTTCTCCTACTGCTCAAGTCATTCGTGATGGTCATGAAAAAACAATTCCTACAAAAGACTTGGTTCCCGGTGATATTGTTATCCTCTCCAATGGTGATGTGGTTGGTGCAGATTGTCGAGTTGTAGATGCCTTTAATATGGATATTGATGAAGCATTACTTACAGGCGAATCACTTCCAGTTAGTAAAGTGTAAGTTTGTTTTTGATTCAATGAACCCTCTTTATTAACTTGTTACTTTATAGAAACGATGTTCTTGAATCTGCTGAAGTTCCACTAGGTGACCGTATCAACATGCTTTACTCTAGTACCACACTTGTCAAAGGACGTGGTCGAGGCATTATTACTGCAACTGGTATGCAGACTGAAATTGGTAAAATTGCAAAACGTCTGTTGACAAGTGACGATAATGCTCGTACACCTCTTCAAAAATCACTGGATCGAATGGCACTTGTGCTTTTGGTCATTGCCATTATTGCCTTGATTATCGTGTTTGGCGCTGCAAAATTCAAAGTGGATGATCAAGTGGTTTTATATGCTATTTCTACTGCGATTGCTGTGATTCCTGAAGGCCTTATTGCCGTTGTCACATTGACTCAAGCATTCGGTGTCAATGCGATGGCTAGAGCCAATGCCCTTGTGCGTCGCTTAGTGGCACTTGAAAACTTGGGTGCAGTTACCAACATTTGTTCTGACAAGACTGGTACATTGACACAATCCAAGATGGTCTTGACTCGTTTCTGGCGACCTGATACTGGTTTTTATTCTGTGAGCGGTCTTGGCTTTAATATTGAAGGTGACGTTTGTTCTGAAGAAACTCAAGAGAAAATGACACAAGACACTATGAATTTTGGTTTGCGTCAATTGGTTCAAACTGCTGCTCTTTGTAACATGAGTCAAGTACGTCAAGATCATGAAACCAATGAATGGTACGGCCTTGGTGATCCTACTGAAGTGGCGCTGCAAGTATTTGCTCACAAACTGTACATGAGCAAACCTGCCTTGACTGAAAAAGGCTGGAAACTCAAGACTGAATTCCCTTTTGATTCTTCAATTAAGCGCATGAGTGTTCTTTGTGAGTCAGATGATGGTAGCACAATGGCTTTTTTGAAAGGTGCGACTGAGCGTGTACTTAATTGCTGTACTGGTATCCAATTATCAAGTCAAGATGTTGTGAAGCCCATGACGACATCAGAACTTGAAGAACTGGTTTTACCCAAAGTCGAAAACTTGGCTGAAAATGGTCTCCGTGTCCTCACATTGGCCTACAAACGTGTTGTGCAGGAAGAAAAAGGTGAAATGTCTCGTGAAGATGTTGAAAAAGACATGGTCTTTTTGGGTCTTGTTGGTATCTACGATCCTCCTCGAGCTGAATCAAAGGGTGCTGTAGAGAAATGCCATCGTGCTGGTATCACTGTTCATATGTTGACTGGCGATCATTTTGCTACTGCCAAGGCCATTGCTCGTGAAGTGGGCATTATTCCTGCTGATGGAAGTAAAGATGACCTAGTGATGTCTGCTCAAGCCTTCGATAAACTTTCTGAAGAACGCATCGATGAATTACCTGAACTTCCTCTGGTCATTGCCCGTTGTAGTCCTGATACCAAAGTCAAGATGATTGAAGCACTTCATCGTCGTAAATGTATTACTGCCATGACAGGTGATGGCGTGAATGATAGTCCTTCTCTAAAGGAATCGGATATCGGCATTGCGATGGGTCAAGGTGGTTCCGATGTAGCCAAGCAAGCTTCGGATATTATTCTGGTAGATGATAACTTTGCTACTATTGTAGATGCTGTTGAAGAAGGAAGACGTGTGTTTGCCAACATTTCTAAATTCGTGGTCCATATGGTCTCTGTCAATGTGGCTGAACTGACACCTCTTATCCTTTGTCTGGCCTTTAGAAACGGTAATGAAATTGTGTATCCCTTATCACCTATTCAGATTCTGTTCAACAACTTGATCACAAGTGCTCCTCCAGCCATGGCTTTGGGCCTTGAGCCTGTTCATCCTAAGCAAATGTCTGTACCACCTCGTACCGAAAAAGAGTCCTTGTTCTGTTATCGCAACATTATTGATATCTTGTATTATGGTATCATGATGGGTTTGATCTGTTTGGCCAACTATGCTATTGTTATTTATGGCTATGGAAGTGGTGATCTTGGTATTGACTGTAACAAATCACTTAATCAAAACGAATACCGCGACACCTGTATAGATGTCTATCATGCCCGTGGTGCCTTGTTTGTCAATATGACTGTCTTGTTGTTGCTTCATGCCCAAACGTGTCGAGACTTAATGATGCCTACTTGGACCTGGAAAGGATTCACTCGTAGACAAAATTATTACATGTATGCCTCTTGGGTCTTTGGTTTTGGTATCATGTTTATTGTACTCTATGTGCCTGTGTAAGTGTATTGTTTGTTTGTAAACATCTTGACTCACATGAATCTGATAGTATCAATACAGAAGTATTCAAGCACTTGGGTATCAGTTGGGAATGGGGTATGGCAGCTGCTTCTACCATTGTATATATTATTTTAGTTGAACTTTACAAATGGATCAAAAGAAAGATCTTTTCTATCAAACGATAGATATTATTTAGACAACATGTACATAATAAAAAATCTCATTTTATTATTATTATTATTATTATTATTATTATTATTATTACTATTTTCTAAAGCTTTGGGCTGCCTCTTGTAGGACTAAATTCAAGTACCAATTTACCAAATTGTTCTCCTTTACTTTATACAAGACGTCAATAGATAGTACTTGAAAAAAAAAAGAACTTACCTCATGGTAGCGATGGCTTCATCAATAGAAGCAGCTGTCAATCCATGCCATACATGAGACACAACAGGCTTAATTTTATGTTGTTCAACAAGCTGAACCATGTCTCTAAATTCTTTTCTGGATCCCATCGTGGAGCCTTTGACATCGATGTTCTTCAACACATGTGTCATGGTGTAAGGAAACCCTTGTGTACTCGCTGTTTGACCATAGTTGACAATAATACCACCTGTGCGCATCACTCTAGGATAAGAAGCACACAAAGGTCCACCAGCACCATCAATCACAGCAGAAATCAAATGGCTGCCCAACAATTTCTTGAGTTGTGCCATACAGTTTTCTATTAAAAAAAAAACTTAGTTACACACGATGACCTATCTTGTTTTACCTTCTTTGTAGTTGACACCACCCTTGGCTCCCAGTTGAATGGCTTTTTGGATCTTTTCAGGACTGGATGATGTCACATAGACATGAGCACCTACAGCTACAGCAAATTGAAGAGCAAACAAAGCAACACCACCTCCAATGCCTGTGATCAAGACATGATCGTCTTTTTTAACGAGTCCTTTTGTAAACACAGCTCGGTAAGCAGTCAGACCAGCCAAGGGCAAGGCAGCAGCTTCAGCATTGGAAAGATGGTCAGGACAAGCAACGAGTTCTTGATGATCAATAGCCACAGGTTCTTCTGTCAAGGTGCCTATCAAAGGTAACAAGCCTAAGATAGCAAATGCATGCTCAGGTCCTCTTTCATCTTCATCCCAGCCATGGCCGGGGTTGATCAGGACGCGTTGGCCTACATGGAGTTCGGGCGTGTTGGTCTTTAGGATATGAGCAACACCATCTGCACCAATCACTGATCCGAGTTTGATACCGGGATATTGACCCTTCAAAATCCAAAAATCACTAAATAAAAGGAATGAATTTTATGCAAAAACTTTTTTTTTTTTACCGATGATTTAAAGCAGCAGCTTGGATTTTAATAATAGATTGGGTTTCTTTAGCTTCTATAGATTTGTTTTCTTTTAATTCAAACCCATATTTATATTTAGTTTGTGTAGTTGGGTTTTCAGAAAGTATGATAGAGACCATGATGATATGTAATGAAAAAAGAAAAAAAAGAAGACTAAAAAAATTTGGCCTTTTCATATCTTGCATTAGTAAGCGAGTTATTTCTCTTTCGCACACTTCTGTGTTTCAATTAAACAATTAGCCGCCATTTATTATTTTATGAAGAGGGTGGGGGTGGAGGAGGTGGAGGGGAGCTGCTTGATGAAGCAGGTGGAGGAGGTGGAGGAGGTGCAGGTGGTGTCGATGTTGCTGAAGGTGGTGTAGCAGTAGATGCATTAGGATCAGGATATCCATAATAACTGTAGTAGGCATTAGGATCATATTGGTATCCTTGAGCAGATGGTTGACCATAATAACTGCTGTAATAGCTGTTATAAGCATCATAATCATATGCACCAGTAGCATCAGCACCAGCAGAAGAAGGTGATGTGGTGTAGCTATTATACTTTACAGAAAAAAAAACAAAACAAAAAAAAAGGTTAGGAAAATAGGTTAGTTATTCCATTTGTGTGTGTGTGTATGTGTGTCAATGTATTCATCACCAAAATACAAGCATGATTACTTACGCCATTATAACCACCGCGACTTGTATTATCATATCCTCTTTTATATCCTTGTGGAGGGCCTCTTTCTGCTTCTGCTTTTACTGTATCTAATAAGTCTTGTGTCAATTTGATACCAGCTTCTAATCCTTCTTCTCGAATACATCTAAATAAGAAAGTCATGAGGGATCATTCTCTAAGCAAATAGACAACATACGAAAGGTGAACATGCAAAGGTTCGTCTGATTCAACACCTGTGCTGGCTTCATAAAACCCAGAACCTTTTCCTTTCAATTGTACTCTGCAGCCAGTTTCTTGTTGAATATGCTTCACAAAAGCACCATTAGGACCAACAATCTTGGCACGAAGATTAAAGTGAGGTGTACCACTGACTTCAACAGGTAATCTTTTCTCAAAAAATTTACGTTCAGGTCGTTTCATGCCATCTGGTTTATCGTCTCTGGATGAAAATCCAGTGCCTGGTTGAGGTACTTGAGCTGTCTCTATTAGTTCTTCAATCTTGGCTACTGCCTTATCAAGAGCTGCTTTTGTAGGGGCAGTGATGTGCAAGTAAAGCGGTGGTTCTCTATCATTAGCAAGAGAAATATCAGGATAGTATTTTCCACGGGTAATGACATCTAACCATAAAAGAATAAGGTATGTTTCTTTTGACAATGGCTCATTTTTACCTGCACCAGTCTCTTGTTGAATTTGTGTTTGTGTGGCACCTCTTGTCAACATGTATCTATTCTTTAATTCATTGATTGGAATGTTTTTGACAAATTCGCCTTCTTTTCCAGGTGAGAGTGTTAAACCATCATCATATGTGCTCTTTTGAGCCAACATGGCATTGATTCTAGCAGCAGCTTCACCTATGAAACGCACGTCAATCAACCTATCTTCTCTACGCGTTATGACTTACTGACTGCTTTTTTAGGGTCAGTTTCAACTTTGGATATTTTGGAAGATGGGCTTTTATCACTATTGTTATCGTCTTGATCCCACTTTCTCTTTCTATAGGTTATGAGTATCCACTATATCTGTTTATTCAACCCTACTTTATTGACTCGGACATTCTTTTTGAAAAGAAAGAAAAAGAAAAAAAATCTTTTCCCCCGTCCCTTTTCTGTCTTTTTTTGGACTGTTCAAAGTGATTGTTGATTGGATGATCTCGTCAAATCAACGTTGAATGGTAAAAATAGAATGAAGCAATAAACGAGTTTCATTGTGAACACGCTGGTTCCTTTTATTTGTATACAAATTATGGTGGTAGTGAGGGGAATATTGCTATTTACATGCCCTTAATATAAGCAGGATTAGCCTTAAAGACTTCTTGAATAATACGAATGATGTTTTCAAGTGCTTCAAGCCATTGTTTCATTTGAGCAAGACCAGCTTCATTGGTGACACCAATCTTTTGATAGAAATCCTTACGATAAGGACAAGCCTTCATGGCAAGAGCAAAGACAGGACGAACAAGCATGTTATGGAACTTCTTCAAGGTTTGTTCATAGGATTGAGTGAAGGAGACAGTCAATTCTTCTTCAGGGTTATCAACACTACGACGCAAAGCTTGAGCAGTAAAGTCGAGACCTCTGTGAAATGTTAAACCTCCTTTCTTTTTATGTTCATTTATTACCTTGTTAACCACAAAAGACCTTCTGTAGCAGTTCTCTTCTTTTCAGGGGCTTCGGTAGCCATCAAGTCTTGAAGAGTAGCGTTGGCAGAAGGGTTGGTCAAGTAACGGTCTCTGATTTTCTTATTTCCCACTAGGTTATTCCATGTTTCTCTTTATCGTGTATATAGCTTACCTTAATATTACCGTTCATGTCCTTTTGAACAACAGAAAAAGCAGAAGAACCAAGCAAATCTATGATACAACCAAGATGAGCTCATCTTGTTTAGAAAACACATATAACATACCAAATAGTTTTACAAGGCCCTCAGTAGCTTGAAGAAATTGTTCAGTATTAATGCCCTTGGAAAGGTCAACGTCAACATAAGAACGTTCAAGAGTATCAAAGTAAGTAGTCATTGTTTATATAAAAAAAGAGAGAGAGAGATAATAAAGAAAGAAAGAGACGCGATAATAATTGATACGTCTTTATATATATATATATAAAGCTTGTCAATTACAATCTCCGTAATGAATGGACTATAAATGGAAATACACTAGACGGGGCAAACGTCTTGGCGTGAATATGCACGAGCTTATTTTATATGTGCGTACGAAAGTTTATAATGGGTTTCAATCGACTGAGGTTCACAGCATTGGAGTAATAAAAAGGCTGAAAATAAGGTAGAGAGTCTAAATACAAGTGGTAAATGATTCTGAGCCAATGTGTCACGAATAGCCTTGATGTGTTCTTCTGTTGTCTCTTGAGATAGTGTGTCTAAATGGTGTTTTGCTTGTTCATTCATAAAATGAAGGTACCTGTCTTCTCTAAATTGGTCTATAATATAATAAAATACAAAGTCACTTTACAATATGAGTGATACAAGTCCATATTGCCGAGATACATTTACTTGTTAATTCCTTCCCAATTTTGTTTGACATGTCGCTTGAGTTTCTTGACAAATTCATTCATAATGGCAATTGAATCATAGTCATGTTCTGACAAGAGTTTCTTTACTTTGTCATGATATCTCTTTAACTTTCTTTTCTGTAGGACAACCATATGATTGTTTATGTAATATCGTTTTGATCGTACAGCTTGTCCTCCTTTTGAGGGTCTTCCTGGTTTCCCTTTTGTGTCTTGTTTATGATAGTCATTGTCTAAGAATTCAGCAATATTCACTAAAGAGTCAAGGTTAATTCAATTATGTTTCTTTATTTATATATACCTGCATTCTTTCTATTTCTTCGTGTACCCACTGTCAACATGTCAATAAACAAAAAAAAACAAAAAAAAGCGAAAATTTTTCGAGAATAAACAAGTCATTCGATCGACTAGGGAAATATCATGGAATTCGGACCGAATAAGAGAGAGAGTGTGTGTGTACCTGATATTAAATTCAAAGTACGCTATTACTATGCTATACATACAAATACCATTTTTTTTTCTTTTCTTTTTTTTTTCTTTTTTATATTTTCAATATGACTCAACACGAGAAACAGTATCCAAAGATACATTCTAAATTCTTCAAAAGTGTCAAATCTTTACTTGTGCGTCATCAGAGCAGTAACAGAAAACACTCGAGACAGAGTGTATCTCAACCCTATGCAAAAGAAGGCGTGGCTGTCACGCTTACCACAGAATTCAGTACGCATAAATCCAATGTGCCAGTAACACTAATTCAACACCAGTCTTCTCAACTTACGATGGTACCTTGTCAACCTATGCTTCCTACGTCGACCTTGGAACAAAAGGCGTATGTTCATTATGAACCGAAAAAGGCACAAATCTCTCTGGGCACAAACCCCGATACAAAGAAAAAGCAGCATTATCATTACTCACTGCGGCTCACTGTGGAACAATACGCTTGGCTCGTACAGCAATTGGAGGAAGAAGAACATGTGCACGGTTGGATATCAGACCAATTCAGACAGAATCAACTGACACTTTCTCCTATGCTGGGTGTGAGCCCGACAATCAAAGAGGACCCAAGATCAATCAAGCGACGATTGATACGCTTTGTTCAACGAGGCAATCACAGTCCTTATAGAGTAGCACATCAGTGCATTTTCATGTTACCTAAAGCTTTAGTGTTGCAGGCATCAGACTATATTCCCATGACTAAACCATTGCCTACCGAATTGCCTGTGCGTCATGTATTACCATTTGAACCTATTCAAGATGCACTTGCTGTACGTACAAGACGTTATTGTGAACGTGTAAGGCTATGTACGCATGAACTTGTTATTCAAGAGCAACACCAGAGGAATGAACCATCTCCACCATGTTCTTTTGTACAGACAAAACAGACAGAATTAGCTACCATAGTATGTGCAGAGTGTTTAAAGGAAACAGGTCTATCGACAGTATACCAAAAAACTAAAAAGAATTTGATGGCTTCTTCAGTCACAGCTCGCTTGTGTTCTTCTTCTCATGTACAACATCAACAATCCATCATGTTTCCTGTTTCTTTTATTCAGTATGATTCGATTAAGCATGCAATTGCTGTTGCACAGAATCTAAATCAACAACTACCATCTAAAGAACCCAAGTTTGTCTCTTCAGCTATTCAGCCATCCAGCTATAAAAAGATGCTATTTGATTCCATTGCACGACAAGAGAAACCACATGCTTATTCTGCATTTCAGTATATTCCTCCTGATCGTACTATGTCCTCCAGTGATATCAGCAGTATTAGTGCGTGCTCTGGTATTCAAGAAGAAGAAGAAGAAGAAGAAGAAGAGGAAGAAGAAGAAGAAAAAGAAGACAAAGAAGAGGAAGACTATACTCCACAAAAGTATGGTTATGTAGCATTGGATAATGAACATACAGAAATTATCGTCGTATTTCCTGGTATGACTGTGTCACATCATATGTTTGACAATGCTTCATTTGTACCTGTTCCCTGGCTAGAAATTGAGACGATTGGAGATGTATCTCAACAACAAGATCCATTGTCGGAAGGAGATATGAGTCCTTGGGTACTTGAATGCGCTTTAACGGCCTGGCGTCGTTGTGAAATGAAAGTAGTGACATTGCTGATGCGATTATGCAGTTCATTACCATCGCATTATAAAGTTGTGATTATTGGACATTCATTAGGTGGAGGTAAAGTAAAACTATATATCTATAACCCATCTTATTGAACCCCATCAATAGCTGTTGCAGCACTGTGTGCTTCTTCACTTAGGTCTACACGCTTATTAATGGACCGAGATATCACAGTGTGTGCTATTCATTCCCCACGCGTCGGAAATAAGTCATTCTTAAGGACACTGTCTTTTCAAAAAGTAGAGACAATTCGCATCACAAAACAGACAGATATCATGGCCCATTTACCACCAAGAACATCTGGCTTACTTCATGTAGGCGACACTACCATTGTCCTACAAGACAAGGGCTATGTGCTTACCAATATGAGCTTGGAACATATAGAAAATGTCTTGAACAAGGCATGCTCTATGATAGACTTTAATGCTGAATCACAGACCACAGCATGGGATATCACACTGGACCATGATGAACAACATTGTATATAATTTATTAAATATCTTTAATTTTCTCTGTATGGAGGGGGTTCTTCTGTACGCTGTTCCAATTCATAATCATGATCATGATGGCGCTTCTTTAGTTTAGTATAGACCCAATGCACACCAGGCACTTGTTTCCACCATTGTTTGTGATGTTCGTTCCATACTTGTTCATTTTCTATGATAAACGGCACTTGACTGCCTGAATCATCTGAATTCTGCCATCTTTCTAACAAGGTTTTGATGTTGGTGATCAGTTTCTTGAGTTGAGCTCGACCGACAAGTAAAAAGATGGCGACACCACCTGTGATGAGCACAGCCATGACAGCTGCTTGCCATTGATCTCCCATACTCCATCGAGGTGTGTTATAATAGTATTGCGGGATATCCTGTCGAATGGAACATGTCTTGTTGGTACAATGACCGGGAATACCATCAATACCAAAGTAACACTGCATATTGTACCGACATGCACTTCCCATCGGCATTTTTGGTTGACATGTCTTTGTCTTCTTGTCGCAGTAAGACATGCTGCTACAGTTGCCAATCAGGTCCAAGTCATGCACGTCAATCACCTGTGGTCCTCGGAACTCGACATAGTTGATCAGTTCATCTGTAATGGGTATCGTGTGGCAAGGCATGCCCGTATCGTTCTTGATATCGTAGGCGCCTTTATAAAAGAATGTGTAGAGCGGATCTATACTCATCTCAAATCCTTCTCCTAATCAGTGTTAGTCAGTATTCATTCTAAGCCCAAACTTACTTCGATCTTTACATACAAGCCCGCTTTCTGTTGCAAAGCAGCCATGGATAGGATAGAATTGACAGTTGGCGGGATCAAAGCAATGTTGCTCATAAGCGGCTGAATGAGATGAGCATAAGAGGAAGAGTATTGTTAGCACCCAAGAAAGGTACATGTGCTGTATATATAGATAAAAAAGAAGGTAAAGAAAAGAGAGGGAGAGAGGGAGAAAAGCTTAATGCGGTAATTGGATATTGGAATTCATACTCAGATCTTCAGTTCTTTAAAAAATTTCAGCAATCCTAACCACATTACAAAGCACCTAGCTATGAAATAGAACATCTTGGCACAAAGCGTAGATTTCTAATATGAGAGTACACAAATAGGGCTATATGTAGCCATGATGTATGCATTTGCATTGATGGAAGCAAAGGGAAATTGAACGATACGTTTTAACTTTCATTTATTTTCGATGGGAGCAATGATAGAACAAGAGCACTAAAAGCATCCAGGCCTATTAGCTGTCTCATTGTAGATCTATTGAATGAGGCCATCATTATATTTTCTCTTTTTATTTGTGTTTTTAGGCGTAGTTTCTAATGAAAACTACTCTTTATGGCTTATTGAACAAGGATTTTATAACACACAATACATGTTGTTTTATGCATGGATACTTGTGTCACTATAAATTATTTATACTCCATTGCGTTTATATTCTGGACTTGCTTAGATATAGGAAACTCTTATCTTATTCTATAGCAATAAAATATGATTGAAGTAGTGAAAGCTATGTTGTAGCTACGTCTTAATACAAAATTTGGTTATTATCGTCTTTTGTTATTATGCAGTGGTAAGTAGAACTGAGGCAAAACTACGAGGCGCATAATGATGACAACTTTGGCACTAAAATAAAGGTACATCTCAGACTTGTGTTTACTGCTTCCAGAAACTTCACCATCCTTAGCAATTAGTCAGAAGGCATGGAAATATAAGTGGAATAGCTGAGGTATCTGCTTTAGCCATTGCTATCTCAGGCATAACTATCTTGCCCTTTCATGAAACCCTTCCTGCTTTTTCCACAAGCATCAGCCACTTGAATACTGAACCAGATTTTAAAACAGCAGTCTTCTGTACAAGAAGCGGTGTATCGGTTAAGAGTTTACCATCTCTTTAGCGACTTAAGTATTTTATTCATTTTTACTTTAAGACAGCTAAAACCTTAATATTCTTTAAATTTCTGGAGGTCTTTAGAGAGTTTTATGCGCTTGTGAGCTAAATCCTTTACATTCGAGTCAAAGGAAGATATGCGTATTTGAATTTGAGAAGAAATATAGACATTTATAAAGTTTTTTGGTTGTTGTATTGTATATGGAATATGTTTGATGGTTGATGTTACCATTGTTGCCTTATCATCAACATATGATGAAATCACTAATTATTATATGAGCAAGATGCTCATCTTACAGGCTTATAAAAAATGATGTTATAAATCGATATCTATTTGCTAAATCAGATTTATTTCATACAATAAAATACCGACAATCCACATTGATTATAAGTTAGACAGCATTGCTATCATGAGCACCAGAAGTGTTCTTACCGGCAACAGAAGAAGAAGTAGGAGGGGTTTTTTTTCTCTGTCTGAAAGGCTTCTTATATCCACCAGTCGAAACTTTTTTTAAACCAAACACGCTTCTGAAAAGTAGCAGTCGGTTTGTTATAGCATTCACTATCAGGACCTTCAAATTAAACTTCTTGACAATCGAATTTCAATTTTTGGAAGTCAGTGTTGTATACACAACTTGAGCTATATTTCTATGTGTTGTCACACACTAAAGTAACCATCACTTATCCTTTTGTTTTTCCACTCATCATGCATAAAATATCCTTTTCTCTGGCAGAGAAATATATCTGCTAAAAATAAACTTTGGTCATCAAGCTTTATTTTTCATTACAGTTCTCACCACCGATACTAAGATAAGAATTAATTAGTATAAATAGTAGACATTGCCACACATCATGGTTGGTAATGATCAACGTTCAAAGCAATTACGTCCAGATATAGCTGTGGAAGAGAGAAGCGAGATGAGTGTTTGAAATATAAATTGATAGCATTTAGCCATATATCGTTGTTAGTCATGCATGTAAACAACATGTGCTCTGGAGTTTGCGGTAAATCACAAAATACACACTTATCATCTGGTAATTGCAGGATGGAGGCGATAATTGTCTTGCTGGAGATTTTGTTGTGCAAAAGACGATACCACAGGTTCCTCGTACGACCTGGAATCGAAATCCGAAGGAAACGTTTAAATCAGGTAGTGTTTATGCTAGCCTTCATTGACTGTATATCAGGAAGATGTCTTGAGTACATTTTGCGGAGCTTAGGGTTGTTGAAATCAAGGATTGAACAGTCGTTGTAAACAAATCGTTGTAGGTATGGTTCAAAGCTAACCGGTAGATAAGGATCTGATGGACGAATCAATTATCCTTGAGAAAAAGGCAATAACAGCAGCGAACCATCTTTGTGTACCTTGTGAATCCGTGACAACAGTACAGGGCTTTTGCATTCTTGTCTTTTTTTTTCGAATCGGAGCAATCCTGAGGAAGGATCAATCTTCAGAAAATAAGGTGCTTTTTGCAATTGAATGGTTGCGCTATCCAGGATTTGAGGACATATTTGCCCAGATTGGCACAAGTCAACAAAAGGGGTTTCCAGACATGCAGGTAGGTTAAGCTTCCTATCGTCCCAGGAGGAAGAGAGAGGACAATCATCGATTGCTTTAAGAATGACAGAGAGCGTGTGTAAGCCAGAGAGGTGAGTAGATTTACAAGCCTTAGGAAAAAGCAAAGGTACTTCATGATATGGGCAATCGAAAGCCGATTGAATGCATGATACAAGTAGCTGCAATAAGAAAGCAGGGATAGGTCGATCAATACAATTATTGTGGAGGATAGCTCGAATGTACCAATTTTGGAGGACCTTCTGTTGTGCAGAGACGTTCATTACGCACAAACTTCCGGTAAGTCTTGGATGGTAAATAGTTGTCTTACGCAGGGAAGGAAAAATTTCTTGGCAAGCGAACTGATAAATCATTGAAGAGATTTTTACGAAAAAGCAGGATGGGAGGGCAGTGATACGAAGAACATGCCAGAACCGAGACAATAAGATAGCGTTGGCCAATTTTGCTCGACCATACACAGGGAGTTGTTTGAATTTGTTTCTATCAATGGTATATTGCAGCTTTTGGATGGTTTCATTGCAATCTGCACCTTTATTTTGAGACTCATTATTTTGTCATTATATAAATTTACGTGTAACCAAGAGTGTCATTCTTAATTACAACTCTTTCATTCACCTTCATTTCTCCCCATTTTTCTCTAAAACTTCTAAAAAACACACATACTATCTCAAGACTACTTTTATAGTTATCACTTTTATTACCAGCATCACTTGGTTAGTTTTAATTATAATTTGCAATCATTAGTTACAAACTTATTAACAAACAAATAAAGTTGGTATTATTCTTTTGGTTAAAACAACAGTCCACAAATTACTAGTACCATTAATTTTTTGGTTGCGGACATCTAATTTTCTCAAAGTGACAAAATGTACCATTCTCACAAGCTTCGAAAGTCAAAGAATCGTTATTTTGCCCTTGATCCCTTAGGAAATCCTCATTTTTCACTATTTTGTGATTTGTGAGCGATAGAGACGTTGTAGACATGGTATGTCTTGGTGCGGATTGCTTCTCTAGGTCTGTAAAACACAGTCCAAGAGCTATATCTACAAAAGTACTATAAATAATGTATTTTTGCTTTGGGAACTAACCCGTTTGTTTCAATTCTTGTTGAAAGTTTGTTTCATTTTTAAAGCACCCCAATGTACATATCCAAAATTTTGAAGATGCATTGGTGAAGGCTTGTTTGATATATTTTTGGGCAATTCCACAGGAAGAAGAGTTAAAGGCATCGGCCTAATTTTACTTTCTTCTGCTTCATCCTTGCTTCTGGGAGGAGCAATGACAGGATCACCTTTTTTAGATCAACCATAAGAGCGCTTCAAGTTGATATGGAATGCAGATTCATCAATAAAAGCGCAGTTGCTCATATAATCCATGTCAGTCTCTTCCCAGTGCTTCATCCATTGATATCTAGCTTCAATTTTCTCAGGAGAATTTCGCTCAACTGAATAAAGTTTTGCTCGCTTGAAGCTGAGATTGCACTTTGTAGTGACAAACCCATACAAAGCAGTCTTTGAGATCTTCAGATCCTCAAAGCTATTCGTGAGACACTCCATCATCTCTTCCAAGACCATTTCATACCTTTCATCAATAGCTTCAATCGGACACTCCTTAGAGCATTATTGAGGATTTCAGGTCTTCCAAGCTTCCGCTTTCCATCTACACTCCTTTCCACAGCGACCTTACTGTCCTTTTCCAAGCTCGCCTCTCCTTGCTTGAACCACGTTTGTGCTGTCGTTGGTGGTATACCAAGCTGTTTAGCAGCACCTTGGACACTTATATTCTTTTCATACACTAAGTGAAAGAAGTTACTCTTGTCCTCAGGATTGTACTTCCGATAGGCCTTCTTAGAAATCCCACCAACATCTCCCGCAATACGGTTTGTGGTGTTGCTTTCAGTCTTCATAACAACATCTTTTACTGCTTTTTCAGGAGGCTTGAGATCAGTGTACATTGCGAAATCTGTAACATCTCCTAAGGGGTAAGCTTCGTCATCCACTTCCTTTGCAAACTCAAGATGCTCTTCTCCATTCTCATTCGTTAGGTTTCCGTTTCCATCTACATAAACAAAGCTACTATTTCTGACCCAATTTTTTTTCTAAGTTCGCATTTTTATTGCACGAAACGAAAAATTATTAGTGCACGAATACTTTCCGAAAATACTGTATTGCATAAGCGATACAGATGATACACTGACCTTGAATCAAAATTCGTCGTTTTTTTTTGTTACTAAAACCCAGTAATAAAGGGGTGATGATAGAGAGAGTCTTCAGTACACCTAGACTTTATCCAAACGTATCCATTTTTTATTGATATTGTGTTAGAGGGTTTATTTTATAATCATAGTGTTACAAATAAATTTAGTATCTGGTAGGACCGCCTTTATCATCTATGGCTGCTTGGCATCTATTTCTCGTGCTGTCAATCAAACGGCCAATCAGTTCATTACTGATCTGGTTCCACTGATTCAATAGTTCTTTCCTCAATTCCTTGGTATTTTTGATCTCACATCTTGCGCTCTCAATCCTCTTTTTCAAGAGGCCACCACAAGTGCTCAATTGGATTTAAATCCGGGTTTTGAGGAGGCCAGGAATCAAACCCTCTTTATCATATGTTATGTCTTCCATGTGTAAGGCTAACCCCCCAGTATGATTTGTAGATCCATCTTCTTAAAAGATTTAGCGTCCACCATGATCGGACTGTAATTCCATGAATCAAGGTTGAAGCTTTTCTGACAAAAGTTCAATGTATTTGGTTTGACCCATGGTGCCATCAACTACAACAAAAGGATCAACTCCGTCTTTCTAAACCCCAAAAACCATGACTCCTCCTTTGCTAAACTCGGTGGTAGATACCGCAAGTTCTTCCATGTAACGCTCACCATAATGGCGAAGGACTCTCTGGCACCACCATCAATTTCCTTGACTGAAAATGTGGATTCATCAGACCAAATAACCTGGCTTCACTGATCTACCGTCCAATCCAAATGTTCCTTGACCCATTCCAAGCGAAGTTTCTTGTGACGACTCGTAAGGACAGGCTTATGAGCTGCGTAATAAGAATAAATGCCTAACTCGGAAAGATGAGACCTAATAATGTTTTTACAGACATTGGTTTCCATCCTTTTTAGCTCATTTCTGGCCTCTTGAATGCTTATAAAAGGATTAAGCTTCACAACAGTCTCTAGATACCTTATACCTCTAGAACCAGTCTTCTTGGGTGTCCCAGGAGGAACATGGGGGACAGGTGAACCAGTTTCCTCAATGCGCTTTACAATGTCTCTCACAATCTCTCTAGGTAGACCAATTTTTCTTCCTACCACTGTATTATTATGATCTTTTTTGTAAAGCCAATATACACTCCAGTAATTTTTGTTATCTCTCTCATTGTATTTGACACGCTTGCGTTTGTTATCAGTGCTATTCATTTTGTGATTTGTTTATCTTTGGGTGAAAAGTAAAAGGTCTATTACATGGATTATCAGTAGAATAATGCTTAGTCTATACTGCAGAAAAAAAGAGATATCCATTTGAGCAAAAATACTGTTTTACTATCTTTCAGCTGATTTTGTTTGGGCTCAATTAGACATTCAAACTGCCCTAGCCCCTCTTTCCTGTAGATCTCTCTTGGCTTGACAAGAATCAGTTGTTCTGTATAGACATTTCAAACATACATAGCTATGATGTAGTCATATACTAACTAAAGCGCTGTACAGACAATAAGAGGAAAGGTGAACAAGTATTTCAACTGTATGCATTTGCCTTAAATCAATTTGACAAGTAAACTCCTCTTTAATCAAGGTGACGCAGCGCTAATCATAACATTCATTAATTGATTTTTTCTGGAGATCAGGACAAGGTTCTATTCAGGAACAAATATGTTGTCGAATCTAACTTGTTGTTCTCTTACTTTGAATAGACGCACAAAATGTATCTGTTTCTAGCATTGGGCTTTCTTTGCATGTATTTGGCATCGTTATAGTCATTTTGACCGTGTATTTTTTTTGCTTAAGTTTGTCCGATTACTAGACGTTATGACGGTGACTCTTAATAAATCAAAATCTACTCTTATAATTTTTTGACTAAATTGTGTATGCGTTGCGTTCTATCATTTTGATGAATCAAGTGTTGTCGCGGGGTAAAAGTATGCAACCCATTTTTGGTGGTCTGTGCGTCATAGAGTTATTTGGTTGAAACTTGATACTTATTTCAGGAAGTATGCAAAAGCTACATCCTGAATTCACTCTCGCTTTCTTTTATATATAAAAGACCAAGGTGTAGCTCAAAATCATTGAGTGAATTGAAAGCCAAAGTGAGCGAAACTAAGATTGTCATAAGGATGATCAGCAGTTACAATTTGGAGTATCTTGAGTGTGTTGATGTACTGCACGGTATATAGCATTATGGAATAACTGGGAAATGAACAATCAATTCATAGTAAGAGATCTGAAAAGATAGAGCTTGATTGTTTGGTGTGAAGTATGCCAAAGACAAGTGCCATTTAATACTGGTGTTTAGCCATTATTGTTTATGTATTGAGATAGAAAGTGAAGGCAACTATTGGCTTATGCTTTGAGTACAAAAGACTTAAGCTTAGCCTAAAAAAAAAGGAACCATTTGTCAATGAGTAGCCAAGAGGGGAAGCACAAAGACACAGTATGAAAACTGAGTTTTTCTTGTTCACTTACAAACAATAAACAAACAATAAACAGTCTAATTGGTATGGCTTTCACCTATCCCTAAATATAACACTTGCTCATTTCTTAATAAACACATAATCAAAGTAAACCTTTCTATGTATAACATATAATGATGTTCAGAAGAAACAAGAAGACAACAAGAAAGGGTATATTTATTGACGCTTTGGGGAAAGCAAGGTGTGTGGCATACTGTCGTATGACTTGCGCTTCTTGGTACGCCCGTTTGATGCAATGAACATTTCATCATTCAAAGCAGAAAGAGTGGCCTAGATGGAGAGAGTAAAAGTGATCACAAGAAAAGTCAGTTGATAAGATGAAAGCAGCAGTCTATGCGTTTATGTTTTACCTTCACTTCAAAGATGCAAAGCATCAGATTCTCCAGACTTGTACTAATCAATCTGTTGTCAAAAGGAACAGTTATCTTATCAATCTTCTTGGCAACTGCATATCCATCTTGTTGTGTAAGATAGCACATGGTGGCAGACCAACCTAGAGTAAGAAGAGAAAAGTGTATTAGTAATTCCAACGACAATAACATTAGACTCTGGACTTGTTTTGTACTTACCAAACCAATTCAAAGACAAAATATCTTGAGGGTGCTTCAAGACCGAGCTAACCTCCTTCTGTAAGCACTGGGCCAAACGCAAGGATTTTGATTCTTGATACCAGAGGAGCTTCTGGTCAACATCATTGTTTTTGAACTCCCAAAAGGACAGTTCTTGGTCATCATCGCTTACAATTCGAAGATCAATCTTTCGGCCAACACAACTGGACTTGCTTGTCAATGCAAAGGAAGGAGAGTCGGAGTTGAACACGCTGTTCATACCATTGCTATAACTGCTTTCATTGTATTCAATGGCTGGCTTTGTAGCATGAGCAACAGTCTCACCAATTACAACGCTCAAGGAAGAGCCACGGAAAGCGATTTCAAGAAGAGTCTTGATAAAGGCGACAAAGTCAGCCTCTTGCCAATAATTGCTCTTGCTGTTTTTGATTAAAGAAATGATTATATCAATCATCTCAAAGAGTCTTGCCTCCAAACTATCTTCGTCTTCCAGCTCGAGCCTCTTCTGCAGAACATATTTTCTAGCAGTTTTTATGTCAATCTTGGACTTCTCAACAAACTCTGCTATTGCTGTCTTGATCTTGCTTTGTTCTTCTTCTTCCAATCTCTTGCTTCTCTTTAAGCTCATCCATTCTTCAAAATGGCGGTTGGGGATAACAGACTTGTACACATCTGCCATCTCGTCGTCCACAAGGTCAACAATCTTTGAGAGCGAGAGCTTCAAGACACACATCTCCTTTGTACTCAAGTTATCAAATCGCCTGAGAAGACGAATGCTGAGCTTATCAAGCAAAGCATCGACTTCTTGGCTTGTACTGGTCTCCATCTGTTCAATTTGTTCTTCTCTTTCTTGCAAAAAAGAATTTAAATCTTCAGACTTCTTTTCTTGAGCGATATACAACCACTGGTATAGAATACTAGCATTATCAATACCGTCTCTTAACTAAAATTATATGCTAAGCATTATGTAGTACATGCAACAATGGCATAGGCAAAAATACCTTCAAGCTCTTCCACAAATTTATGTCTAAATTTGCTCTATTTCCCAGTATCAATTCTGATCTATATTTGTTCAGTGCAAGAACGAATCTGTTCTTCCAAACAAGCATCATGCTCTTGAGCGTGGCATCATCTTGATTGATCAGATGGAAGTTGTTCTTTATAAACTCATTGAGATTTGGATCAGATGACTCCTTGATGTAGTTTCTTAATTCTATCTCAAATAAGCATTATATAAGTGCTTGGTTGCCCTGCAACGCGAACGCGATTTTGATCTTACCTTTGCCTCCAGGATACATTGATAAACAGAAAAATATATAATGGAATAAAGAAAGAATGGTTGATTGCAGTATTTAAAACTATGATCCTGAAAGGTTGCGAAATAGTGTGTACTTAGTATACCTTTGAGTTGTCTCTGTCTTCCCTTTTCTTTTTTTGTTGTGTACATGTTACACATATCCTTCAATTTTTTACATAATTATTACCTATCCTATCACTTTATTTTTTTTTCTTGGGATTTTGTCTCAAGCATTACTCGAGAATTAGAAAAAGTAAGATAACTCAATATTACATTATCAATTATATCATTTTATTCAACAATCTATCTATTCATCGTTCATCCATTGGCTGTACACTTGTTGTTGATAATCGATTTGTTTATTGCTATAGTAATATAGATGAGATGGGCGTATTTTTGTTGACTGTTTCATCTAGACGCTATTTGTGCTATTGGCTGGAAAATCTGTTTGTTCAAGGGGTAAACAAATTGTTGCTATCCTAAAAAATGACAAAGTCAAACAGAGAGTACGAAAAGTATACTTATATCAACAAAATACAACAAACTAGTTAAATTCTATCTCAAAATCCAATCCGAACAAAATCCCAAGATTTCAGTCCTTAGGGTTATCATTTCCTAAATTTCACTCATTCAGAAGACACTGACTTGATCTGGTGTTTTTTTTTTTTTTTTTTTTTTTTTTTTTTTTTTTTTTTTTTGCATGCAAGGTTCTTTGTTTGGCTGAAATTTGTATGATACTTTTCTTTTTCTGAGAAGAATAAAATTGCTCTTTATTGAATGCTATAAAGGTTTGGATCCCAGTTACTAAAGCTTCATCTATTAGTTTCACTTATCAAAGCCTTCCCAGAAACGGTTGTCTAATTTGAAAGGTGTTGGCTAAAGGTTCATAATCTTCTAGTTTTGCTAATTTTTGGTTTTTGCTCCCTTACCCAAGTCTCCGAATCGACGTTGTGGTTTCCACTTTCCTCTTGATCACTTAAACTGCAACGTATTGATACAAGGATATGAAGCTACACTAGCTACAACTACAGTATGACTATTAAAACCTGATCAGTTCCTCTAGGTCAAAAAATTACAGATCGGTTTGGTCGAAGGTTGCTCCTACATGAAGCCAAGTAAACAGTATCAACCAAATGTAGCCCTGATACACACCTGGTCCACTTCTCCAGTCGCAAAACTGAAACTTAGGGGGCGTAATCGCAGCTGCTAGACGTAGTTGAAGAAACAACAATAAAACTAAAACTAGCCCTGATACACACCTGGTCCACTTCTCCAGTCGTAAAACTGAAACTTAGGGGGCGTAATCGCAGCTGCTAGACGTAGTTGAAGAAAAAAGAATAAAACTAAACCTAGCCCTGATACACACCTGGTCCACTTCTCCAGTCGTAAAACTGAAACTTAGGGGGCGTAATCGCAGCTGCTAGACGTAGTTTAAGAAAAAAGAATAAAATAAAGGAATTTAGTGATATAAAAAAAAACCACCTTTTGGTTTTAAAAGATTTTTATCTTCTCCAATTGAAGCTCAGATGTATCTTCATGGTGGGAAATTCTTGGATCTTTATTTGTTGCACGTATCAATTAAAATTGAAGGTGGTGCTCAACAATTTTTTGTTTGAAAGAAAATATATTCTTATAAGTAAGCAATGGCAATAATAGAAGGTAAAAAAGAAAAACGCGGAAAATAATTACTCGTCGACAAAAGTGTCTTCTTCATGACAGAAAAACCACCTTTTGGAAAAATGAAATCCCTTTGAAAAAATCGCTCATTGGCGTTGCGCCTACTGTATTTTGCTGCACATTGAGTTGTAAAAAGCACCCTTTAGGATCTTTTTTCATCCGCCCTTTGGCGTTGCCTTCACTGTATTTCCAAAGGACAAAATTTCTGGACATACAAGGACATTCATTCTTTCATTCACCTTCATTTCTCCCCATTTCTCTCTAAAACTTCTAAAAAACACACATACTATCTCAAGACTACTTTTATAGTTATCACTTTTATTACCAGCATCACTTGGTTAGTTTTAATTATAATTTGCAATCATTAGTTACAAACTTATTAACAAACAAATAAAGTTGGTATTATTCTTTTGGTTAAAACAACAGTCCACAAATTACTAGTACCATTAATTTTTTGGTTGCGGACATCTAATTTTCTCAAAGTGACAAAATGTACCATTCTCACAAGCTTCGAAAGTCAAAGAATCGTTATTTTGCCCTTGATCCCTTAGGAAATCCTCATTTTTCACTATTTTGTGATTTGTGAGCGATAGAGACGTTGTAGACATGGTATGTCTTGGTGCGGATTGCTTCTCTAGGTCTGTAAAACACAGTCCAAGAGCTATATCTACAAAAGTACTATAAATAATGTACGTTACAGCTCAAAAACAGAAAACATGTTTTTGAAAGACAACTCACTATCTTGATATTTAACATGCCGCGCTCTTTACACCATTAGATGCGCCTTGTTTATATCTTACAACTTTGTCAGTACACCTCTCTGATAGCTCTTCATTTATGGACACTTTTAGTCCATTATTTCTCTTGAAATACTAATTTAAAGTTTGGTGATGCTAGCAAGTGACTTATTACGCTATAATGAATGCGCATTCATATGTATAAACATTTGAAAGCATACGAAATCAAACTCCACAATGATTTATTGTTTCTTTTTAGGCATTTTCTTTTTATCATCCAAATTATCCAAATCACTTTGCTTATAGTAATGTGGTGCAACTATCATCATTCGTTAGATAAAGAAACCAAATATGTAGAGTGTTTACCTTCTAATAACCAATTTGGTTGAATTTCCATCACCTGTCTCATGTATTCTTTACTTGTCAATACCAATTCAAAATAAACAACCCATTTTGGCTTCTTTTCCAGCATACCACTACTTGGGTGAACATGGACTGTTTGATTTTGTTTCACAGTTCTATAAGAATCACCAGACTTGTTTAGTCTTGCTGCATTGAAAAAGAAACCTGCTGTGATAGCCTAATTATAGAATGAGCCTATGTCTACAGTATATGTTTCTTACCTTTTGAATAGGCATTGGATCATTTGGATTAGGATTACTGACAAGTTGCACTTCTACTCTATCCATCAATTGAACAAGTTGATCACGCACATTACGCACACGCTCTAATGTCTTGACTTGAACAAAGTTTTCATAACACCATTGAACTGAATAATCTGTCTCAACCCATTGATTCCAAATGTTGAGTAATGTCATGTGATCTCCACCAGGTTTAATTAAGTTTTGATGTGCGGTATCAGCAAGGATCTTTTTGTCTTTAGGTCGGTATAGTAACGAAGATTGTTCTGATAACATGGCACAGATAGACACTACTTCTTCTGTACATTCGTATTTCTCGGCAATAATGATACATTTAGACAAACAAGGGTCCATAGGAAATTCAGCCATACGACGACCCAGCTTGGTCAATTCAGCTCGATCATTCAAGGCACCAAGAGCATACAGTTGACTGAGAGAACGAATCATCGTATCTTCCACAGGTGGATCCAAAAAGTCGAAATTAACTAAATCATTGATACCTAAACTCTATGGTTGTAAAGGGTCAGTTTATATTGCTTTATGTGTAGGCAGCCTCAACTAACCTTGAGTAATAAGACAACGTTTGAAAGATTGACACGTTGAATTTCAGGCACTGTATTTTCTTCCATTTCATTATAAAAAGCCCATTGGGTAAACAGACGGAAACATTTACCTGGCCCAGTACGACCTGCACGACCAGCGCGTTGAGTGGAAGAGGCACGCGAGCAAGGCACAACAGTCAAGGCTTCCATACCTGTTTTTGGGTTAAACGTCTTTTGTTTATTGAAGCCAGGATCGATCACGAAAGAGACACCGTCGACAGTAATGGATGTTTCGGCAATATTCGTGGCTAGAATGACCTTACGTGCTCCTTCAGGTGTAGGTTCAAAAATGCGGGATTGTTGCTCTGATGGTAAATTAGCATAAATAGGACAAATCATCAATTCAGAAATCTTGCTGCCCAATGCTTTACATGCTTGTGTTAAACCTTCATGGGCTGCTTCAATTTCATCTTGACCCTATTGCAAGAAAATAATGAGTATTTTTGCGTCTATATGTCTATTACCTACAGTCAAAAAGACAAGAATATCACCTTTAGGCTGAGTGACATGGATAGTCAATACTTGAGTAATGGCTGCACGCAAATAATTGGCTTCAGGAGCCTTTGTATAGTAAATCTCAACAGGATAAGGTCGACCAGGAATGTTGAAAATAGGCGCATCATCAAAGTATTCAGAAAATTTCTGGGCATTCATCGTGGCACTCGAAATCAACAGCTTGAGATCAGGTCTAAAGCGAGCAATATCCTTAATCAAACCAAACAAGATATCTGTAGACAATGTTCTTTCATGGGCTTCATCAATAATCATACAGCTGTAAGAAGCCAAATCAGGCTCTGTCATGAATTCACGCAAAAGCATACCATCTGTCATGTATTTCACACACGTCTTGTCAGATGTGGCATCTTCAAAACGAATACTGTAACCCACTTCTTGACCTAAATGAACACCCATTTCTTCAGCTACACGAGCAGCCACACTCATGGCAGCCACACGACGAGGTTGAGTACATCCAATCTTTTTGCCGTCTTTAGTAAATCCATGCTCATATAAATATTGTGGTAATTGTGTTGTTTTGCCTGAACCAGTTTCACCTACAATAATAAGCACTTGGTATTCATCAATGGCATCTAGTAAAGAGTCGCGGTATTGGTAAATAGGCAATGATTTTCTGATCTCTTCAATTGACTTTGCTTTGCGTTCAGCAGCATCAATGCGCTCCAGCAATTCAATATCTTTTGGATCAGGCTCATTCAGCTTGGCTGCCATGACAAAGTCGATCTTTTGATCCTCATCAAACACATAATCATAGTCATCGTCTTCTTGTTGTCGCGAGGCTTTAGCAGTAGCCTTTTGAATCTGTGATTTCTCCCAAAGATCGTGTTCTGTCTCAAACTTTTCTTCTTCTTCATAACGCTTATACAAGGCGCTTTCTTTCTTTTTTCGGTCAATTTTGCCCTTCTCTGTAATATAATCTTCGGGCATCATATAACCATCTTCTTTAGTATCAATGTTCATACGCGCTTTAGCTAAACGAAGCACTTCTTCCTTGTATTCCAAATCTCTAATTTCTCGTTTTGTCATCTTTTGTCCTGCAAAGAATCGCTTTTCATCTGCAATTTCTTGTTCAAGCAAAGCGAGTTGCTGTTCTTCACGATATTTAAGATACTTTTGATTAGAGATCTTTCTGAGTTCAGGTAATGCTTCTTGACGCGCTTGTTTGTCATCAGCCAAATTACGACGTTTATAAGCTTCACTGCCTTCTTTTGCTGATCTATCTTCAACTATCTTCTTGGTGCGGTCCTTGTCTTTGTCTTTCAATCTTTGTGCAAGTTCATCACGCTCTTGAATATCTTTTAAGCGTTCTATTTCTGCTTGTTTTTCTCTTTCCTCTTCCTCTTCTTCTTCAGCTTTAACAAACGATAAGTAAAGAAGTACGTTTGTGCTGCCCACTTACTCTTTTTGTATCGACTGCTTTCTGTCATTTTTACTTCGGTATCGTCGTCACTCAACTCTTCTTGTTTTCTCTTTTTTCTAAGCTTCTTTTCTTGTTTACGAATACGCCTTTCTTCGTCTTGATCTTCTTGAGGATCGTCTAACATCATGGCATATCGTTCATTAGCCTTGCGCAACTTGGCTTCTTCTTTCTGTTCTTTTTTGCGCTTTTCTTTTTCTGCCTGTGCAGCAGCTGCGGTAGCTGATCGTTGTTGTTTACGCGGCACTCGACTAAAAAGCTCAAGCGCAAACTGCTGTGTGCCAGCATCGCTTGGTGCACCTGTACTTGTTAGTTTTGAATACAAGTCTTGAGGTGAAGAAGCTTTTTTAGCAGTAGCAATAATGAAATCAACCATGGTTGTTTCAGACATGCCCATAAGCTATTCAAATCAGTTTTAGCGATGTTTTTTCTAGTCTTTTATTATTACCTTCATGGTGTTATCAGATACCCATGAATGCAAATCCATTTTATAAACTATATATATAAAAAAAAAAGGCTGGAAAAGAAGTGACATTTTTCTACAGTTGCCTTTATATAGTATTTCTCAGCGAATTTGAGAATAACTTTACTATTTAAGCTTTATTTTCAAAGTAAGATGAACATCAACATAATCATTCTCTGAAAGAATCCAATTTGCTAAGCACACATCATGACCTAAAATGTGAATGAAACCATAAAAATACTGTTGGGGTTAATACAAATTTTGAAGCGAGAGACATTCAGAAAGTCATTAGTTCAGGAAATGCCTTCAATAAAGTAATCATACGTCATTTGAACAACTTTGTATACTTCATTAAAAGCTCAAAATCTAGATCCAGATCTAGAGAAGAAGAAGAAGCAAGCAGGTTGATTGAATCAATAGAAAGAATGTCATATTGGTTCAAACAAGGAGACAATGTTTTTTTAAAGCAATGATCAAAAGTTGCAAGCAATTTTCAAAAGTCATAGTTATAGATGCCACCTATGGAGTCAATGCCTTCAGTTAGTGTTTATGATATAAATAGTTTTGGGAATATAACTTTTGCTACTTTTCTAGTCACATTCATTTGGATATACAGCGAAAGAGAGCCTAATTAAAAATAGCTTTTGGAAACATAGGATGATGCTTTAAACAATCTCTTCAAAAGCACTGTTTTCATAACAGACAAATGCCAAACTCGTATCAATCAACTAACACAACAAAGTTCTTTGCCTGTGATATTTGGCAATCTGTCCGTTTTTCAGATAAATAAAACTATGAAATAAAGAACACTACACTTGGCATATTAATTTAAGCTTTGAACGATGAATTTTTACAATTGATGTATTTTATTTATGTAGTATATAGTAATTTACAAAGAAAAAAGTCTATACTTAGTTCTTGGTATCGTAGAAAGGATAATCGGTGTAACCGGCAGCATCATTAGTGTAGAAGGTAGAACGATCATACTTGTTGAGTTCCCAGCCATTGCGGATACGTTCAGGGAGATCAGGGTTGGCAATGAAAGCACGGCCAAAAGCAATCAAGTTGCCAGTCTTTTCAGCAATATCAATAGCATGAGGGACGTTGGTAGAGAAACCACTGGCAGTGATGAAAGGACCCTTCCAAATTTGACGGTAAGGTTCAAGAGTATCCACATTGTTAGCTTCATCGTTAAAGAAGTTGGCACGGGCTTCAATAAAGTGAAGATAAGCCAAATCAGGATGGTTCTTTTGAAGTTGAGAGGTCAAGTAGCTCCAGGTTTCAACAACAGTTTCATCTTCCATATCTTGGAACTTACCACCAGGGGAGAAACGAATAGCAGTACGCTCAGCACCAACAGCATCAACAACAGCATCAACAACTTCAAGAGGGAAACGAGCTCTGTTTTCAATGGATCCACCATAGGCATCAGTACGCTTGTTGGAGCTTGTGTTGATGAATTGGTCGAGGAGAAAACCATTAGCACCGTGGATTTCAACACCATCAAAACCAGCTTCAATAGCATTCAAAGCAGCTTGGCGGTAGTCTTGGACAATAGCCTTGATTTCATCAACAGTAAGAGGACGAGGAGCTTCATAGTCTCTACCTATGATGCTCTTGCCGGAGATAGGGATGTCAGAAGCAGAAACAACTTGTTCACCATTAGGGTTAAGTTCAGAAGAACCAGCACGACCAACGTGCACGAATTGCAAGTAAATGACACCCTTCTTTTCATGAACAGCACTAGTGACCTTCTTCCATGCTTCAATTTGTTCCTTGGTGTAGATACCAGGAACTCTGTAGTAGTTACCGGCAAGACGACTGATGAAGGTAGCTTCAGTAATCAAAAGACCGCCTTCAGAAGCTCTTTGCTTGTAGTGTTCGACTTGGAGATCAGTGGGAACAGCTTCAGGAGTGGCTCTGAAACGAGTCAAGGGAGCAAGAACAACACGGTGTTTAAGTTCTTGGTTACCAATCTTGGTAGGAGTGAAGAGAGCTTGAATAGACATTTTTAATGAATTCAATTGAATATACTTTTTATTTTTTTAAAATGCGTCTCTTTTTATATGTTGTCAAATTTGCTTTGATTATTAATTATTTCAAATCCTGTATCTCAAGTCTTCTTTGACCCCTTTTTTTTATTCGATTGACCACAGACTTATCTAACCATTTTTTTTATCCTTCCATTAATTCTGATTTGTCTCTCTCTATACAGACTTAACAAAAGTGCTAGAATACCAATAGACAATATATTTAAGTGGATCAAAATTACTAGAATACTAATAAGTATTGACCGGTAAAACTAATCGTCCGAAACTACTTAGGCACGGGATCATCAATTAAATCGATTGCGTTCGAAATCTTGCCTTCGTATTACTCATCATATCTGTATGTGTTCGGTGGTCACCTTACCACAGCTGCCGCTTCATTACTTGTTAAGGTCTTACCCAACTAATCACTGGTTGAACAGGCATAAAAAATTCTTAGCAAGCAATTTCTTCATCTATGACACTCTGCTTCGTCGTCTACTGCTGCAAGTTTAAACTGAATATACCCACAAGCCATCGCTGTGCCGAAGGCTGAAAAGAGAAATCTTGGAACTACGAATAGTGAAATTAAAACCGTATCTTTTTGATCATATTGTTACCAACGTTGATGAAAAAAACCAACTTGTACCCCACATTACTACTCTGGTTAACCAACTTCAACACAATCAACACTGGTACAGTTATACCTCTCAAAACTTTAGCAATTTGAAAATTAATTGGACAATATCTTTATTCTCTTCTATTCCAACAAAAGATATCAAGACTTTTTGGTCGCTCCCCATCTTGACACCACTGGTACAGGGTAATTTCCCAAAAACTGCCCAGCGCCACATATTTTCAACAAATTGGAACTGTACCCAGTACTCTCTGTAGGCTGTGTAACTTGACAAGCGAAGACTTTGAACACTTTCTTGTTTCTTGTCTAAACAAGAACTCTATTTGGTCCATGGTACTCCAATACCATTTCCCCACTTATCTGTTCTCCAATCGTGATATTCTAAATGCATTGCTCTCTATCAAGTCTCCCTTCCATAAAAAATCTAGCCTCTATCGATCTTTCTTGGTAATCATTCTCCACAACATATCTTTTACTGCCGAATGGATTCCTGGTTAATTTTAAATATCAAAAAAAATCATATTTGTATGTCAATGATTCAAATACAGTCTAAGCTATTGGCGTTTAGTGAGGCATAGTGACACATGATATTTTTCTTATTCATTGATGCGGATCTATAAAGGGTGACTCTCTACCCTCTGATTGTTAGAGGCAGAAGAGGGTGTTGTAGATTTCTTCGTGTCCAATTGTTGGTTCAAATTTGATCCATTACTTCTTTCTCCTTTCTTCATAACAAGGTGATCTTTTAATTGTTGGCTGACGCTGTACATCTTGGTATCCTTATGGAGGTCTTCAATCTCCATCCTGTCTATATCCTCGTCTCCATTTTCTATTTCAGATTCATCTTCTTCCATGCTCTCTTTCTTTGAAGGATTGTAATCACTATCGCTAGTATCGTTATCATTATCTTTGTCGACATTGATCTCTGTCTGGCCAAAGTTGCTACTTTTGACTTCAATACTGCTTTGCCCTTCAGGCTTGGATGCTTCTTTTCTTGGTTGGGTGGCCTTTCCAAGAACTGATCTTTCTCTCTTTGAACGCTTGCTGGGTGTCATAGACTGTTTCTTAGGACATTCAAACGAACGGTGTCCTAATTGATGGCACGCATAACATATAATTCTAGCTTTCGACTTCTCACATTCAAATTTTGTGTGTCCAGTTTGGTGGCAATACCTGCACCAAGTGGGCACGTTGTTCCAGGTTGCGTGGAATATTTGGCTTTCGCCTTCGCACCAACGAATGTCATGCTCCAAAGGCTGATACTTGAGATTGTCTGTTGATTCTGAGGGACCAGAAGGAATACCAATGACGGCATATCCTGCGCCCATAAACCATCCGGTGGTGGTTTCTGTATTGATTCTTGCATCAATTATCTTTCCAAATGAAGCTAAACTCTGTTGCACACCCTCAAGAACTACCCTTTTGGGACGTAAAGGTAATTGTGACAATTTCACAATAACAAATCGAAGTGTGGCATCTGCGGCCTTGCAAGGGAAAATTCGCAATTTCGACTTTTTAAAGACAACACCATGCTCCATAAGATCATTGTCATCATCATCTTTTTCGATATATAATTCCAGGTACTGAGTTGGACCATCTCTCAAGATGGAGCAAGCGTAGATCTTTGGGTGTTGAGCGCTGATTTCCTGCATACACTGGAGATCAGTGTATTCTTTCTTAACTGGAGTAATGTCGAGTAAGAAAGCATCCTCATAGCTAGCTGCTCGATAAATTCTCGACTGAAATTCTCGCAAAGGTGAGTCTGCATCTTTATCAGGTTCAACGATGCCTTGGTGCATGAGTGATACTCGAGTTCTAGCTGCTACACTAGCATATGATCTTAGTTGTTGGGTGGCTTTTAGGTTTGGAGATTTTTCAATCCTCGCAACCGACAGAAAGTGTTGAGAGTTGGGAAGAGCCATGAATGTGGGAGTAAATAGACATAGGACATACAGGGTGGTAGTGTGCGAAAATTGAAATAGGGAAACTCCAATTCTTCATCCTGCCGCTTCTCAAATCGAGTTTTTGCTGAGAACTGCATAAAGGCGCAGTTATTCAGCTTTAATGTAGTGACAGAATTTGTAGATCTTTGCCTTCTGAGTCTATTGATAAAAAGAGCGCAGAGACTTTGCTGCTAAAGTATTGAGAAATTAGACGAAAATGCTGATGAGGCTTCATACTTATATCTCATTATTTATGTAGTACAGCTGCTAAACAAACACATTTACCAAAAACTAGAGCTTTTGGCGCACATTTTGAGTAACTAAACATGTTAATAGCTCTATTTTTCGTCTTGTAGCGTTCAAAAGGATTTTTTTAAAATTGTTTTTTTATTGATTGAGCCGTGTACACTAAGAGTAATGGTCAAAGTGAAGAGGCAGGTACAATTAAAATGAATAAATCAACAAAATAAACTAGACTAAAATAAAATACAGAAAAAAAATCATAGGATTGAATGGCATTGATTTTCTTCAATGGTCTGACGAACAGTGAATCGGATATTAGCCAATATCGCTATGAGAATAATTGGGATCTTATCAAAGATAAATCGCATGAGCAAGCCAAACTTGTGAGAGAGTAATAATGAGGATTCTGTATGGTTTGATTCCTTTCCATTGGCAATGTCAGATATACGAGAAGTCCAGGGACAGAAGAGCCTCTTTGATGTCAGCGATTGAAGTGCTAGGCCACAGCGACTCGAATATAATTTCTTGCCTTACCTTCTCTTTAGTTGGACAATGAAAGAGTATATGGCTAACAGAGTCAGTGATAGATAAGCACAACGGACAGAGGGGAGAATCAAACACATGAGGCATAATAAAATGTAAGAATCGACAATGAGGAATACACCCCAAGAAAAGAAGATTGAAAGTTGTCAAACGAGCTTTTTTCATGAGTAATGCCCTTTGGTCGAATGGTCGTTTTAGCTATTTTTTTACATGTCGCTTTTTTTGGTCCAAATTAACTCCAAAGACACTGTATATGTTAGTCAACATGGTTTGTTGGTATTTAGAGCATTTATCTGTGTACAAAAAGGCTTTAGATTCTCTTACTGTACATTTTTTTGATAGAAAAACCATATCAATTAAAAAAATACAAAGTTCTCCGCATTATTTGATGGACTTAAAGACATCTTGCCGGTGAAGAAGCCAACTTGTCTTTAAAGTGTACGGAGTGGTTCCCATTTCAAATGTGACAGGTGACACTGATTATCTTCCAAGCGTTTATTACCTAAGCTTTACAGAAAAAAAGAAGAAGAAAACATGAAAGAAGCAACGTGAAGATTACAGTTTAACTTAAACCTTGTGAGCCACCATAGCCATAGCATAAAATAGAACCAAATGTCTTTACAATAGACCTGTTGCCATAGAGGACAAATCTTTCCTATTGTCTATATTTGGCTATGCACTACTTTTCTGTTTTTCTCCGCTGTTGATTGCGGGATATATTGTCAATGACGCATTTGATACATTGGCCAGTTACCTTTCGTTGTTGAAAATAGATGATCTCTGTGACGGACGGTTCTGATTTGCTGGCTTTGTTTAATCTCAAGTGCTATCCACCACATATAATTCGTCTCTGATCATTTGCTTTGATCTTCATCTTCTTTTTCTTTCTTTTCTTACTTGTATTATGCAAATTACACTACAAACAAATCCAGACAATCTACCTTGGATTGTTCAGAAATATGGTGGAACAAGTGTTGGAAAATTTGTCAATGAAATTGCAGATACCATTATACCGTAAGTTCTTTAATATAGCCCGATAAAGCAATCTAATCGATTCATTATAGTACTTACTTGAAGACAAACAGAGTGGTTATTGTTTGTTCGGCCAGAAGTGGAGACACAAAAGATAAAGGCACAACAAATAGGTAAAAAAAAAAGAGAGAGAGAGACAATGCAGAACGAACCAAACTAAACTTCTAAAGGTTATTAAAAGCAGCAGAAGAAGCATTGATAGAAGGATCCACTAAACATCTAGAGATCGTACAAGAAATTGCACAAGATCATCTTAATGCAGCAAAAGCGGTAATTAAAAACAAAGATATACTTGAAACGCTCGAAGTTCAACTCAACAAAGAGTGTCTGAAATTAAGGTCATTTTTGGAAGCAGCACAAGTAAGAAAAAAAAAAGGGAGTATGTGTGTTTGTTTCTGTACTTATGCACACTTTTAGATTTTGGATGAAATATCTCTTAGATCAAGAGATATCATTGTTGGTATGGGAGAGAAACTGTCATGTACCATTGTTGCAGCCGTTTTAAAAGATAGAGTAAATATTTCTGATAGTTTAAGAAGACGACTTTATCTTATTTTGTTTGATTTAGGGAATCGATAGTCAACTGGTTGTTTTAAACAACATTATCAATCAAGAATTTGTAAACCTGGACCAAGATTTTTATACTTATGTAGCTCAACGTCTACATCAAATCATTGAAGAATGTGGAAACCGTATACCTGTCCTTACTGGTAAGACGAGAGATGATCATTGTTGTCAATTAACATGACACATAGGCTTTTTTGGCAATGTACCTGGTAGTCTGCTGTCAAGCATTGGTCGAGGCTATACTGATCTCTGTGCAGCACTTGCAGCTGTAGGACTCAAATCGCAAGAACTTCAGATCTGGAAAGAAGTCGACGGTATTTTTACTGCTGATCCTCGTAAAGTATCTACTGCTCGTTTATTGCCTATCATCACACCAGAAGAAGCTGCCGAATTGACTTATTATGGATCTGAAGTCATTCATCCTTTCACCATGGAACAAGTTATTGAAGCAAATATTCCTATTCGTATCAAAAATGTCGAGAATCCTTCTGGATCAGGCACCATTATTTTCCCTGACAAAACATCCAAAGCATCCAACGGCTATGCTACACCGCCTCCCACACCTGCTTTCTTAGCACAGAATGGATACAACCAAGACTTATCTCGTAAACATCCCACGGCTGTCACTGTCAAGGATAGGATTTGTGTCCTTAATATTCATTCTAACCGTAAGAATGTGAGCCATGGTTTCTTGGCCAAGATTTTCACAGCGTTGGATGAGCATAATATTGTGGTGGATTTGATTTCTACTTCCGAAGTGCATGTCTCTATGGCACTTTCGTCTGATGTAGTAGAAGCCAATTTAGAAAAAGCGTTGTTTGCATTAGAAAAACTCGGTTCTGTAAGTGCAATTTGTCTTGTACAACACAACTCATTCTGATTTTAGGTGAATGTCAATCAAGATATGGCCATTATCTCTCTTGTAGGCAAACAGATGAAAAATCTAGTGGGTGTGGCAGGAAAAATGTTTACTTCTTTAGCAGAATCTGGCATCAGTATAGAAATCATTTCTCAGGGTGCTTCTGAGATCAATATTTCATGTGTGGTGGAAGAAAAATATGCTCTTCATGCACTAAAAGCCATTCATGAAAAGCTACTAAATATCGACCCAAGTGTGGATTTGCCAGACTTGAGTGCAGTTACAATCAACGAATAAAAAGTCTTTTTTTTTTGTGTCTGTGATAGAAGCGCTTCTTTGGTACATGTGTTCGGTTATTTAAAATCATATCAAAATATGACGTTGTTTACAAATCAACACAAATTGATTTCTTTATTTAAAAGGCAGGCATTCTTCCTTGTACAATCAAGTTTAATACACTTAAGAACGTTCGCCACGAAGACGGCGAGCCAATTGAATATCCTTGGGTTGAATAGTGACTCTCTTTGCATGAATAGCAGCAAGATTAGTATCTACAGAAAATAAAAATATCATGTGAGTAAAAATAAAAAGAAAAAAAAAGAGAGAGGAAAAATTACCTTCAAAGAGTGAAACAAGATAAGCTTCCGCAGCTTCTTGCAAAGCACCAATAGCAGAAGATTGGAAGCGCAAGTCAGTCTTAAAATCTTGAGCAATTTCACGAACAAGACGCTAGATACATAAAAAAAAAAGGAGAAAATGATCAGCAATGATTAGTGCTAATGTAATGCTTTACCTGGAAAGGAAGTTTACGGATTAAGAGTTCAGTAGATTTCTATTTTGTTGAATCCCATTGCTGTTAATACTTCACTTCTTGTTCAAAATGTTATTGTTGTACCTGATATCTACGGATTTCACGAAGAGCAACAGTACCAGGCTTATAACGATGAGGCTTCTTGACACCACCTATATGTTTACGTAGTAAGTATAAGTTGCTCATATTTCATGAGAAAAAAAAAAAGAGGTTTGCCTCAAGGTATACATTACCTGTTGTAGGGGCAGACTTTCTGGCAGCCTTAGTGGCAAGTTGCTTTCTGGGTGCTTTACCACCAGTTGATTTACGAGCAGTTTGTTTTGTTCTGGCCATCTTTGATGTTTAAAGAAAACAGAAGAAAAGAAAAAAGAGTAAAACAAAGATGCACAACTGAACGAATTTAAAGTGAACTTATTGTGACTGGTGCTCTGCCCAGTCGGATCTTTAATGAAGTAGAAATGATTTGCATCCAAGGAGTGATACAGTGCACCCAACTGAAAATCACATAAAGATGCTGATAAAAAGAAAAAAAAAAGTGCTGTATAAAAACGCTTATACCAAACACTTGTATGCATAGAGCTCAAATAGCTTTGAGTAGTCCACTCAAGCATGAATCACAAATTGTAGTTTTTGATTCTCTTTCCACTGTATTCCTTCAAATTCCATCTCTCGATATATTTATAGACAATGAAGCTACCTTAGAATCCAATTCTCTGACGATATTCATGCCTCAATTCCTAACATTCAGTCATAGAATAGACATTCTCAAAACACAATCTTGACATCGGCTGGGTTTTTATCACAAGGCACAGAAAAAAAAAATGTATGCATTGCGACAAAACTGTCAATTCTTTTTCTTGAAAGGCTAATTACACTGCTGAATATAAGGACTAATGTTTTTTTATTACTTTTATAAGACTACATCTTCCTAGACAGAAAAGCAACGTTCTAATCGAAAAAAGTGCATCAAGATATGTGAAATTAATAGCATAGTTGTCTCTTAGAAAAGCGTCCCTGAATTTCTTTTTATTGTTGTCAATGTGGTCAACTCATAAAAGGCTTTGTACAGATACATATTTTTCTCCTTATCAACTGTTTGATTTAACACAACATTGGTTGAAGTAAACAGAATGTTTCTTTACAACAATAAGCAAAGAAAAAAAAACATAAGTTAATAGCATATATATATATATATATATATATATATATATATATATATACAGAAGGGCTACAGCAACTGTTTTATTCATGATAGCCAACATCATAAGGCAATATCGTCAAAAGCATTATAGTTCTGTTTGATTCAACTCATGTGTCACCTATTGAAAGAGCGATCATTAGTATGCTCAAATGCAAATAATCCCTATCTCGAATACAAAAAAAGTGCTTGGAAGAGTCAACATAATGACTAAAACAAACAATCCTTATTCTCTAATGACATGCTATTGTCAACGTCAGCCCTCAACCTGTCCAGCATTTAAATCCATCAAACAATCCCTTTTCAATGCACATACTATATACCCGTCTTTTCTCTTTTCTTTTGCAGGAAAAAAAAATATACAAATGCTTCTAACTTTTCTCTTTTTTATAAATTAAAGGTCGTGTTTATGATATGCTCTGAATTTATTGAGTAGCAGCCATGATCTTGGGAGCAGCCTAAAATAGAGACAAACATGAGTAAAGAGTTTAGGACAATAAAAAAAAAACTTACACATTCATCAGCACAGTGCATAAAGTGGAAGAATTCTTCAATACCTATTTAAAGTAAGTACAAGTCTCTATATCACCAAATATGAACACTTACAGTTTTCACTGGAACCATTTTCAACACGTTCGTTACATTCATCGAGGTGCTTCTTCAAAGCAGAGCATTCCTTGGTGCATTCTATACAATCACGTTGAGATAAAAGAAAATCATAGGCTGTGGCATAAATAGTGTACCTTCAAAGATAGCTTCCTTAGGATCCTCAGGTTCTTCTTCTTCCTCTTCTTCTTCTACGACGGTTTCTTCGACTTCTTCTTCAGCGACAGGTTCTTCTTGAGGTTCTTCGTCAGCATAAACGGTAGGAATGAAGCTGGAAAAGAATTCGGAAAGACCCATGTTGATAATTAATGGAAAGGTAGAGTGGGGTTTATATGAATGTAATCGAAAAAAAAAAGAGAGAAAATAAAAAATAAAAAAATTTCTAACCAGGTTCTTTGCCAGACGGCTCACGGCCTGTATTTTTGCGCCGGGACGGGGAATCAAACGAATGTCTGATGACGTAAAATGCCAATTAAAAGACAGCCGATCTTTGGTTTGAACGATAAGAGATCACAAAAAAAAAAAAAACCTCCCTCTTTATACAGACATGTCAAAAGTGCAATCATTGTAGTTTTCATACAGAAAAAAAGCATGAAGCAATGTGGTTAAGGGCATAGAAAAAAACTATGTATTGATGTGGAGATTGAAATACAGCATCATTACTTGATTCTGCAAAAAATAAAAAGAAGTATGCCTAGTGAAATGATGGAGGGAAGACATACAGTCTTGTCCTTGTCAGTCCGTTTTATAGAGCTATTTTCGATGTGCATTTCAAAGGTGTAATATGTGTTTGCTTTATATAGATTCAGTAGTATTGAGAATCAGAGGCTTGTGTAATGATATAGCCTTTCAAGACATGCTCTTAAACAACCATAACTAATCTATTGGACATTTCTGTGATAGTCTTCTCAGAGAAAAGGATTGACAGCATATGAATTATGCTTGCTACTTGATGTGACGTATCATTTATTGTATGCCCAACACAAACAGATACAAAAAAAAAGACCTTTTTTTTTTTTTTTTTTTTTTTTTACTTACCTTTATTATGGGACGCTCAGTCATAACCCAATGGATAAAAACGACAGGGAAAGACATCTTTCAGATACAAAAAACCAATCAAGAATTCACAATAGAACAAGTAAACAGAGCACCCATACATCATGTTGTTCTTTTTGACATTCGAATTAGGTGATTTATGCAAATAAAGAAGACAAAGAGATGTTGTTGTTGGAGATCTCTGATAGAAAGCACTTTGTGCCTGCTCTTTTTATTCCAAACGATGTTAAGAAACAATTCAAGTAAGCTCATCAAATTGGACATTTACATAACTCATGATGACTAGAATAGATTCGCTCGCTCATTGTGATGGTGCACACATGATCAAAGAAAAGATTGTCATCAAAGAAACTATGATGGCAGCTTGTTATCGACACAACACAGTCTCGCCCTATTTAATTGTACTCAAGTTTGAGTTGATTGAAGATGCAATACCCAATGATCATGATGTTACCTGTGCTTATTATAGCAAGCATGTTCAAGCATGGATACAAGACATGACAAAGAGAGTACCTAGTGCGAATTGTTCTATTTCTTCATACTTTCAATCTCAAGGTATGTTCTTTTTTTTTTCTCCCTTGGGACTCAATGGCGTGTGTTAGTATTACCAAAGAAGCTTCCCAAGTTTGCAGAGATAGAACCAATGATAGAATACACTTTAAGTGAACTTTATCAAGACGATCTTCGCAAGTCACAAACAAAGATGGATGTTATTTTACGAAAAAGCACAAAGCCATCTTCTGTTGACCATGATTTACCCAATAGCCAAGTATCGGCCACACATGCTTCTTCTAAAGTGATGCCTAGTAGTTCATTACCAGACACATCGTCTTCAAACAAAAATAGTCAAACTGTCAGTCCATTACCCAACACAGATCCTCAAGCAACCATGCTGTCTCAACAACCAAAGTCAAAGATCACACTCGAAGATTTGATTGATAGTTCATTAGGCTGGAGTGTCACACCCAACAAGACACAAGTAGAAGACGTGTATGCGATATCTGACACTGAAGAACTTGAGCATGAAGAAGACATTAATGCATTACTCAGCCATGCATTTTATGCTGATTCAGAACAGAACAAGGCAAAAGATAAAGGCAAGCAACCTGAAAGAAATGCAAGATCATCATTAAAACGTATCGAGACAATCGAGTTTGAAGAACCAGCCATGAAAAAGCACAGACCAGACAATGGACATCAATCGAAGCCGCCTCATGTGAAGCCTACTTTATTTCAGAGCATACGAATGGAGCAGTGTCAGCCAGAGCAATCTCAGCTTCAACACACTCAGCAGCAGCCTACCGAACAGGAGCGTGTTCAACCAAGCCGTAGACTGAAGGTTGATTCAGAGAGTGATGCATCAGAATCAGAATTACTGGACACTCTGAACAACAAACCGACGTTGGCTCGAACTCAACCAAACGTTCATAAATCAACAACTCCACATGCTCCTACAACTGATGATTCAGACAGCAATGCCTCAGAATCAGAATTACTGGACACTCTGAACAATAAATCGACCTTGTCTCGAATACAACGCAAGGCACCAAACGTCAACAAACCAACGACAGATGATTCTGACAATAATGCATCTGAATCTGATTTGCTCAACTCCACATTAAATCCATCCATCACTCTCCTACTCAACAATAAACCAACTTTGCTACCATGCGATCAAGAACAAGTCTTGGTCAAAACAATACATGCCAAAGACAGTACGACTGCACAAAAGCTGAATGCATTATGTCGATTTCGAGCACTCTACCTTTTACAATAAAAATAAAAATTCTAGAAAATAACAAACGCGCCTTTTTTTTTTCTTTTGACCATGAATGATCCTTCCCAATTCGAACTAAACAATCCACCACAAGATGGCATTACCAACGTCTGTTTTCATCCTACAGATCCTAATCTTCTTTTAGTGTCTTCATGGGATAAGGTAATATAAACCCATCCATCTTCATGATTAACCATTCATAAAGACATTACGACTCTATAATGTAGAAACTAATCAGCTTGTCCATCAATTCATGTCTGATTCAGCCATTCTCGATTGCTGTTTTGGTGAACAAGATATTGTCTATTATGGAGGTCTTGATCGTAAAGTGAAGAAAGTGCAAGTGTCTACAGGTGAACAAACCACATTAGGTGAACATCAAAATGCCATCAGTTGTATCTGTTGGGGATCAGAAACGAGTAAGCCCATCAAACCCTTGTGCCGTCAGTCACTCACATACATGGATAGAAAAGTTATTTACAGGTTCTTGGGATAAGACATTATGTGTATGGGACCAGTCATCATGTTTTCACAAGATCGATCTCGAACATAAAGTGTTTAGTATGGACCTCAGAGACACCAAATTAGCTGTAGCCCTGAGTGATCGAAAGACATTTATTTATGATATTCGAGACATGACTGCACCTTGGCAAACGCGTGAGACATCATTACGTTATCAACTCAAATGTGTTCGATTGATGCCTAATGGCCAAGGTTATGCGTGTTCTTCTATTGAAGGACGCGTGGCTATTGAATATTTTGATATGGCAGAGGAAGTCCAGTTCAAGAAATACGCGTTTAAGTCGCATCGACAGACCATCAATGATACAGAAGTAGTCTATCCTGTCAATTCACTTGCTTTTCATCCCAAGTAAGTAACATAACGATGCAATATCTTATTGAATCATGATAGGTACGGTACATTTGCTTCTGGTGGATCTGACTGCGTTGTCAATATCTGGGACGGTGCTCATCGAAAGCGTATCAAGAACATGACTGGTTATCCAGATGAAATTGCTAGTTTAGCATTTAATCATGATGGCACGAAGCTTGCTATTGCCAGTAGTTATACCTTTGATGAAGGTGAACGCGATCATGCACCAGATACAGTCTATATCAAACTGATTCATGATCATGATGTTGCACCTCGCATTGTCACTTAATAATAATAATAAAAGATGGTCACACGAAATCAAGTTTATTGTCGCGTGTCGCGTAGTTTTTGTCTATCTCTTTTTTTTTTTTTATTTTATTTTATTCTCTATGGGCGTTCAAAAGACACCAGTGAAAAGGACGCAGGCTAAATTAAAGTAAGCAAAGGATAGTTGAATTGATTTGTTGATATCTATCAAGTTTCTTTGGTGCTGAAAAGCAAAATGAAGCTGAAGGTAATCCAATGGAATAGACGCGTTACTGACATATATCAGTCAAGAAGAGAAAGCGTATTATTATGAGTGATAGTGAAGAAGAAGACGAAACGAAAAAGATGCGTTCAACAGAAGATAGAGAAAAAGATGAAGCATTTGATAAAGAAATTGAACAAGCAGCACAAGAAGAGAAAGAAGCTAAAAAGGAAAAGCAGGAAATGTCTTCTATTATTCGTACCATGTAAGCTTTTATATATATATATATATATATCTAGGGTATTTATTCACAGTGCTATTCAGTGCTTCAGAAGGTGCTAATAAGCAAGTGAGTGATTGGAAGGAAGGAACACCGTATGTATGACAGAAGAGAGATGATAAGGACACTCACAAGTTAGTATTCCTTATGCTATTTTGTGCAAGACGTTTGAAAAGTGTGAAGCTACAACAAAACGATTGGAAATTACCGAGCATTTAGTGACATTGTTTGTGAAAGTGATTCATACTACACCTGATGGATTACTTGAACTGTTGTATATGTGTATTAATAAGGTAAACAGAATCAGAACGCATGTTGGTATTGAGTCTCGTAGCTTTGTCCTGACTACGAAGGTCTTGAATTGGGTATTGGCGAGTCATTATTGATGAAAGCTATTGCACAATCCACAGGAAGAGACATGAAACAATTAAAAGCAGACTATGCCAAGATAGGTGATCTCGGCACGATTGCCATGGTAAACAAAACCAATAGCCTATATCCATACAACTCATGTCTCTCTTAGAACAGTAAAGGATCTCAAAGAACGCTGTTTAAGCCAAAACCATTGACTGTGACTCATGTGTTTCGTACTCTGAAAGAAGTAGCCAAAATTGCAGGTCATTCTGCTCAATCCAAAAAGATCGATAAAATCAAGAGTTTGTTGGTTGCCTGTCAAGAAACAGAAGCCAAATTTATCATTCGACATTTAGAGGGTAAATTGCGTATTGGTCTAGCAGAACAAACTGTCCTATCTGCCTTAGCTCAAGCTGTGATTCTCTCTGATAAAGGTAAAAGACACATACATACATACATACACCGGAATTTGACTGATCTTTTTTTTTTTTCTAGCCAATGCTAAATTATCCTCTGATAAAAAGGAAGCTTTATTAGCGTCTGCTGTTGAGACCGTAAAATATGTTTACAAGTAAGTAAGATAAGAATGACAGAGTCATTGATTTTGTAGTCAATTACCTTCGTATGATATGATTGTGCCTGCTTTACTTCAATATCCTTTGGATGAATTACTCCATCATTGTACGATGCGTCCTGGTATTCCTTTAAAACCCATGTTGGCTCATCCTACAAAGAGTTTGACCGATATTCTGGATCGATTTGAAGGTCAAACATTTACCTGTGAATTCAAATATGATGGTGAGCGAGCACAGGTAAATAAATAAATATATATATATATATATATACATTCCCCTTTAAGCAACTTCTCTTACTCTTCTTTAGATTCATCGATTAGAAGATGGTACAATTCATGTCTATAGTCGTAACTCTGAAAATATGTCTGTGAGATACCCTGATGTTATGAGTACCATTCACAAGGTAAGTCATTCATGAATATATAAATATATATAAATATTGATCTAACAATCACAGTGGATTAAACCAAAAACCACTTCTTTTATTTTGGATTGTGAAGCAGTAGCTTGGGATAAAGTGGAAAAGAAGATTTTACCTTTCCAAGTCTTGAGTACTCGAAAGCGTAAAGATGTGAAAGAAGAAGACATTACTGTTCGTGTAGCCATGTTTGCCTTTGATTGTTTGTATCTGAATGGACAAGTAAGTGTAGAATGAAACTACATGACATAACCCAGTGTGTTAGTCTTTATTACAAAAACCTTTACAAGAACGTCGTGCTCGTTTAAAAGAAGCATTTCAAGAAACAGAAAATGAATTCTATTATGCTAAACATATGGATTCCAATAATATTGAAGACATTCAAACCTTTTTAGATGTCTCTATCAGCAGTAACTGTGAAGGATTGATGGTCAAGTCGTTTGATCATCAAGATGCCACCTATGAACCCTCCCGTCGTTCTCGTAACTGGCTCAAGGTCAAAAAGGACTATTTGAACAATGTGGGTGATTCTATGGATTTGGTGGTCATTGGTGGATTCTATGGCCGTGGTAAACGTACTTCTGTCTATGGTGCTTTCTTACTTGCTTGCTATGATTCCGAAACAGAAGAATATCAAACGATCTGTAAGATTGGCACTGGTTTCTCGGATGAAAACCTTCAATTGTTCTATGATACACTCAAGGATCATGTGATTGAACAACCCAAACGATTCTATTGTCTTGGTGAAAATGCAGTGAAGCCAGATATCTGGTTTGAACCTGTTCAAGTCTGGGAAATCAAATGTGCTGATTTAAGCGTGAGTCCGAGATACATGGCAGGTGTAGGAAGAGTAGATCCCAAGAAGGGTATTTCATTGCGTTTCCCTCGATTTATTCGTGTGCGAGATGATAAAGACCCTGAAGATGCTACTTCAAGCGAACAAGTATCTCAGTTCTATTTTGATCAAACAAGTCAACAAGGCAATAAGACGACACAGGATATGGATTATTATTAAAGGTCATTTTATACAAAAACATAGAAATACACAACAAGTTTTTTTTTTTTTTTTTTTTTTCTTTGAGAACAAGAATTTATAAAAACTCTTTCTTTTTTGATGCAGCAGAAGCAGCAGCACTACTTAAGCCATGATGAGAAAAGACACCATGATTCTTTAAGAATTTGAATCCCACTAAACCTGTCAATATCACCACACCAGCAACCAAGGACAATGTCAAATAGTTCTTTGTTGACCATGGTTTATCGCTTTTTTCAAAAGAACCCGGTGTAGCAATTGTTCTATGGTTTATGAGTTAAATGGATCCAGACCGAAATTCACTTACGGGTTCATGGCAACACCAGTCAAAATATGATATAAATCAGCCATTTGGTTTTCCTTCACAGATACACTGAGAGGAACAGCAAGACCTAGATTTCTACAATAAATATCAGGTTGAATTTCACATCTTTGTGTGACAAGATCTAATTCGCACTTGGTAGCGACAAGCACAGTAGGAATATGATCTATGCTGTATTTTTCCTAAATCCTTTAGATCAGTCTCTTTGTCCATTGGGAGTTCTGCTTACTCTTAATGTGGCCACATAATCAAATGAATTCGCATCACTTGTGTCATACACTAAACACAATAAATCGCATTGATCTAGTTTTCTTTTGTTTGATAAAACATCTTGTACTTGACTCGACTCGATCTCTTGCATCTAACATACATAAGAAGATATCCACACAGTCATGAGACTTACCACAAGATACTTTTCAGCACCCTTCATTTCAACTGAATTGACCACTTGAAAGGGTTCTGTTGTAGGCTGATATTTCTCAGAGAATGGCTTATGAACAAACTTCTTCAGTAGCGATGTCTTGCCTGTGCCTGGTGCACCCAACACATAACATGAAAACACATTGCGTTGAATTTTACCCTTTTTACGATCCAGGCGTTTAGGTTTCGTGATCTTGAGAGCAGTACGTGTGTCCCCTTCAAATCCAAGATAGGCTAAATACTTGAGTGTTGTTCTATGGTCTAATAAGGTGGTCATGCTCCATTGAGCTAACCAGCCTTGAAGTGTGACTGAACCTGTTTCGGTTGTGATGGTGGTATGAGGGAAGCCTGTATTGGCCCATGGATTACCGGGTGATGTACTAAAGAGTGAATCAAGCTCATGTCGGTTCAATGCGCCATCTTTGTCTTGATCGAATGTTTGAAACAGTTCAGCAAAGAATTGATAGCCATGAGGGCTTAATTCAACTGAACACTCTGGCAAGACTTCGAATCTATTAAATATGTGAATGAGATATGTATTTCCTTTCTGTTGTCTATACTTGCGTAGGTAAAAGGAAATCTTCTCTTAAAGAAAGATCATCGCCATAACCAAATTTCCTAAGTACAGTCCATGTTGTTTCCAATCTTCCTCTTTGTATAAATAATGAATGTAAAAAGATAAAACCAGTTTCTGTAAGACCCACATCACTGACACCTGTAGGTTCATGTTCTCGAACGACATCTTTGACACCTTCAAGTTCTTGAGGCTGTAGGGGAGCATTAAAGCATTTTCTCTGCTGATAATTAGATCAAACTTGCTTAGTCCAACCTTTTACCTGGAATTCATTCAGTTCATCATCATTCAATATCAAATCTTTGTCTGTATCACATAACTTGAAGATACGTTTTAATGCCTCTACACATTGAGGCTTTAATACGTGTTCTCTTGAATCATACAATGGAGCTGTTGGATGCAATACTGCCTTTTGAGCAAAATAGAATACTTCAGATACATTCAATAGTTGTTTAGCTGAACATTCAACGCATGTCTCTACTTCCTAATAAGATAAGTAAATGATCAAACATAGCATATATATATATATATATATATATATATTTACTTTGAATTCATTCATGATAGGTATCACTTCATCTTCCAAACTTTGATTGGCAACATCATTTCCACGTAAATCAATCTTGTTACCCACAAGCACAGCTGGCACCTAAAGAATAGAAAATTCAGTCCTTGTTAGTGAATATCCAACTTACATTCACACCCAAAGATCGTATATAAGGCAACCAATATAACGAAAGACGATTGAATGTATTAGGATCATCAATAGCATACACAATACAGATGACATGTGCTTTACGTATCTCTGTCTCTAGTTGTTCGCGGTCTTCTGGTCGAGCTATTCAGGGTTATAGACCGTTGCTTTCTGCTTTATATTGCTTACCAGAAGAATCCATGATATGCATAGTTACATTTTCCGGGGTGACTTCTGGTGGAATGGTGACTTCGGGTATAAGATGTTGGACCTAATCATGTTAAAAAAAAAAGCATGCAAATCATTCGTAATTTACGTTTGGAATAAAAGTCTCTTTTATCAGTGAGGCAATAAGAGTACTTTTACCTACTCCTTCTATTAAGAGTTAGCATCTGTTTTTTAGATTACATTTCTTTACCATCACCAACAAGAAGAATACGGACATCTCTTCTCATTTATGAAAATAACGATAACAAAAAAAAAAAAGAAAGACGCGGTTTATCCGGGGTTCTTTTTTTTTTTTTTCAAGAAAAAAAAAGGGGATAACGGTGTTTGAATATTATTTTATTACAATTCCATACCAGCAGCTTCATCTTCTGAGGAATCAAAGCTAACTGAACTCATATCATCGTCATCAGAACTCTCGTCAGCCGCAGCATCCGCAGCTTCTTTGGTAGCATATCTTGAGACATAATCTATCGTATATAAGCATCAACCATTCCTGGCATAACATGTTACCTTTAACTTTGATTTCATATTTTGTGGGTTCTCGCATCAACAAAGCAGCTGCTTCACCATTCAATGGATCTGTTGGATTAGGATATCGAAGTAGTTGAGGAAGGAATACTTCAAAGATATTGATCATGTCTACGCACTTGATATAAACACCTTATTTTTATGTCATCACTTACCAAACATTGGACTCCATGTTTGATTGATAACATCCAAACAGACAGAACCACTCCTGTTAATATTTAATCTCTGGTCTCTTCTATGTCACTTACACTTCATCAATATTGGGGTGGAAAATCCTGTTCATAAACCCAATACTCGGTGATTTGTAAGGATATTGATCAGGCAGTTCAACATGTATTTTCCATACACCTCCACTAAAGGGTGCTAGTCATGGTCAATTTATTTCCGATACCACTTTACTTACTATCACTGGGACCATTAAAACGAACGTAAAACTCTTGCATATTGTCATTCACGAGAGTGACTTCATAATCACTCATCAACCTATACTTTAACTTAGTCATCTTGCTTGTTTTATGTGTCTAATTACAGTTTCATAACATCAGTTTCTATTCTTCTTCTAGGCGTAGACATGGTTTTTTTTTAAAAAAAAAAAATAAAAGAAAGAGAAAAAGTTGTTTCTCAGATAGTAGGGTGAGAACAAATCAGAATAAATTTGAAATCAGCTGTAACCAATCGACGCCTTTTTTTTATGCAAGCTTATATTCCTTATGATTGTTCTTAATCTTAGCAACGACAATGCTTCTTTGTTTACTGGTGAACATAGACCTGGATTTAAGCGTATTCATAAACAAGAGGACGGAATATCCTATGGGATAAACATTTTGTTCAATTGAAAGTATATGTGTTCAGTTCAAAAGGATAGTCGTTGTAAGCATTCCATTGAAAGGGGAGTATTTGTTTATCATCTGTTGTCATCATTGTTTATTACGTTTTTACTAAGGTATGCATAAGATGAATTAGCTGCAAAGTATCATTGGTTTCTTTCAATGTATCTCTATTATAGACAAAGTAATTCAAGTGGTAAACTAAAGGCATCACAAAATAGAAGTGAATTCAGGCGTATTGAATGTCTTTTTCTTTTTTTTGTCAAGACATCAACAGTTGGGTAATAAATCACTTGTTCATATAGTAGAAACACTAGACAAATACATGCAAATCCTTGCCTTTTTTTCTTAGGCAAATAAACGTATTGTAAAGCCTGTTTACACACGCATGAATGCTATAACTATTTAGAAACTATGTTCACTAACACACAGGGTATTTTTGGACAAAAGAAAAACGACTTGTAAAAAATAGCCAAAATGACCATTCGACCAAAGGGTACTTACTCATGAAAATCATCAAGCTGACAACTCTTTAAGCTTCCTTTTAATGCTACAAGCCGAAAAATAAAGCTGTTGACCAGCATAAAGACTCAAAATGTGCGTCAAAAGCTCTAGTGTTTGGTGAGTGTGTTTGTTTAACAGCTGCACTACATAAATGATGAGATATAAGCAAAAAAAAAAAAAAAAAAAAAAAAAAAAGAAAAAAAAATTGTAAGCGTTTTAGCCTATTTACTCAATACTTTAGCATCAAGTTTCTCATGTTCTTTATATCAAGAGATTTTAAATAAAAAGTACTACAACTTTTGCCACTGCACCAAAGCCGAATAGCTGCGTCTTTATGTAGTTTTTAGCAAAAGACCGATTTTTGATCCACTAGAAAAAATAATAAAAAATAAACTGATGACTCGGGGCTTCAATTTAAAAAGATATAGCCTTGCCCAACAGGTTCTCTCGCTCTCTCTCTCTCTTTCTCAGGAAAAAAAAGGGGGGGCGAGCGGACTATTCATGAATTCCATTTCTTTTCTCTATCTCGTTTTCTATTTCTGGCTTGGGTCTATTTTCCAGATGGCAAAGACACCCGATTCCGATGCTGAAAAAGACCGCAATATCGTCAAAGGCCTTGTCAAAAAAATCAAAGGTCTTGAAAAAGAACGCGATGCGCTTCTGAAACAACTAGAGGCAAGTGACGCAAAAACCGTCGCTACTCTCAAGAACCAAGTAGAAGAATTATTGTTGGAAAAAGAAGAATCGAAAAAGAGTTTGATTCATTTTATGAATAGTGCTGATGAGGCTCAACAGAATCTCAAGGCACAACTTGAGGTTTCTGCTCAACATAAACGCGAGTATGAAGATACGTTGCAGTTGCAACACGAACTACAGGCCCGATTGGACGCTATCTTGGTGGAAAAATCTCGATTGGAGGCAGACTTGAAAAAGGTGCCCGAGACGACATCATTGCAAGAAACTATAGACAAGCTGCAATATCAATTGAATGAGCAACTGAATCAAAACAAATCGCTTGAATCACAACTAAAAGAAGCGCATATGTTTGAAAATGAAACAAAGTCATTGAGGGAACAATTGGAAGCCATGACGGTTGATAAAAACGATCTTGTTGAGCAACTAGAAGCGCACAAACATCAACTGGCAGAACAAACGACCAAATTGGATGACCAACTGAATCAACACAAGACACTTGAATCCCAATTTAAAGAACAGCTAGAAACCATGACGGTTGATAAAGACAACCTTGTTGAGCAACTAGGAGCACACAAACAGCAACTGGAAGAACAAGCAACCAAGTTGGCAACAGCAGAAGCTAATTTAAAAACCATACAAGCATCCGATGCTAATAAACAAACGTCTAACAAAAAAACAAAGGGAGACATGAATGGCAAGCTCAAAGAGAAAATCAGGCAAAATGTTGAGTTGGAAAGAAAACTGAATGAACAGACCGAAGAATTGAATCGCGTGAAAGAAACATTAGCATCGCAATCCAGCAAGATAACCGCACAAGAATGGGAAGCCAAATTAGAAGCAGCAGAAAAAACCAGCAAGGAGTATGAAGAAGCACTTGAAAAGGCACAGCATGAGAAGCAACAGTTATCAGATCAACTTGAACAAGAAAAGCAAGAGGCTGAAAAAGCATGGAAGAACAAACAGAGTACAGAGATTGAACAATTCAAAAAGACGATTTCCGATTTGGAAGCTCAGGTCCAAGCCAAACAAACGGAGATTGATGGTTTAAGACAACAATTAGAGACCTTGACTGAAGAAAAGGAATCACAGGCGCACGTATTAGTATCTACTCAAAAAGCATTAGAGGAGGCCAATTCAAGTTTGGAACAAACAAAGCAACAAAAATCCCAACTTGAACAACAGCATCAAGCACTCGAAGCACAAACACAACTTGAATTGATATCGGCTCAAGAAAAACAAGCGGAACTACAATCCCAAAAAGAAGATCTTGCACGTCAATTATCAGAGGCAGAAGCCATCCTAAAAGACACGTTTGATAAACTGAAAGACATAGAGCAAGCAGCTATTCATCTCAAGGAATCAGAAGCCAAGGTCAAGACATTGACACATAAACTTAAAGACAACCAAGAATCTGTCAAAATTGTCAAAGAAACCCTGAATGAGCGTGACCAAGACTTGGCCAATGCACGTACTTCTCTCAAGGAATTAAAGACCAAAATGGATACGCTTCAATCTCAATGGACACAAGCCCAACATGACCTTAATGTCGCTACTCAATCTGAACAGACAGTCAAGCAAGAACTAGCACGATTGAATGCTCGACTTCAATCCACTGAATCTGAAATCAACATTTTGCAAAAAGAACGTAAAGAAGCATTAGAGCAAAAGAACCGTATGTTTGATGAACTTCAGATGAAGCAGGCTGAATTTGAAAGTTCACAAAGCAATGCTGAAAATCTCCAACATCGACTCAAGGAAACAGAACGTTTGATGGAAGAAGTGAATGAGAAATTGGCCGCTTTAGAAGAAAATCAGGCCAAAGCAGAAGATACCAAACATGAAATACAAGTACGTCAAGCCCAATGGGATCAGCAAAAGAAACAGTTGGAACACGATCTTTCTCAAAGACAGACTGAATTACAAGCATCACAATCTACAATAGATACATTAAAAGCATCCATTGCTTCTTTAACAGAACAAGAAAAGAAAGCACAGGAGAAATATGAGCAACTTGTGTCAGAGATCAAAGGCAAAGATCAGCAATCGCATGTATTTAAAGAGGAGCAACAGGCTTTGTTAAAGCGATTAGAAGACATGGAAAAAGAGTTAGAAGCACACCATGCAGACATGGAATCCAAACAAGCCATGGAGGTAAGCCATACCATATTTTATAATGACTTATACCATATAGGCACAATTAAAAGAAGCTCAAGACAGATTACATGCCTTTGAAGATAATCAAAATAAGGAAATACAAGATCTTAGAGCAAAAGAAGGCTATCTCAAGACCTTAAATAAGGTATAAAATATGTGTATGCTATTCATGATTTATATCTATCTATAGACACTGAAAGAAGAATTGAGAAAACTATCTCGAACACAACAACAACAGCAGCAGCAGCAGCAGCAGCAGCAGCAACAACAACAACAGCAACAACAGCAATTACCAGTGAGTCAATCCCCTATAGATCATTCACCTAGGAATTCCTCAACTACTTCTGTTGCAAGCCATAACTCAAGTCATGAAGAAGATGTGAACCTAGAATACCTTCGCAATGTCGTTCTTAAATTCCTGGAATCAAAATCAATGCGCGTTCAACTTGTGCCCGTTTTGACCACACTACTTAAATTTACGCCCGAGGAAATGAAGCGCTTAAATCATGCTGCTACTGAATAAAACTTTTTTTTTCTTTTTCTTTGTCAAATGCATACATTAAAGCCATTGCTGTATACATTATGCATAACACGCGTAATGGCCTATCCTATTCGATCAGAACTATGGTCTATGCCACCTCAAGTGATTATGTTTAGATTTATAATGTCTGTTGTACTTGTATTGGCTGGTGGCTTCTTTGCAGGTAATGGTTAATCAACAAACCGAGTCTATATTCATTATACGTTTAGGGTTGACATTAGGTCTTATGGGTCTTGATGAGACAAACTTACAGGTTATGTGCGAATCAGGATCAGAAGACGAAAAGCAAAATGCAAAGCGTGTCTTGACTTTACTTCAACGTGGTAAATACTGGGTTTTGGTAACACTTTTGCTTTCCAATGTCATTGTGAATGAAACACTGCCTATTGTGTTGGACTCAATTATTGGAGGTGGGCTATTAGCTGTATTGATCTCTACTGCTTTGATTGTTATCTTTGGCGAGTAAGTACCAGAAGACCATGGTTTATTTTACTAAATATCATCTAGAGTGATTCCACAATGTAAATGTCATGATGGTTGCATGATATCATGTCACTAATTTCAAATAGCGATTTGTGTACGGTATGGTTTAGCGATTGGTGCCAAATGTTCACCGTAAGTCATACCATAAAAAAAAAGAGAGTAGCGTTCACCAAAGGCCTAGGATTGTGTTGGTGATTATGTATTTGATGTATCCCATTGCTTATCCTGCCTCTTATATCTTGGCGTTCTTTTTGGGTGAATCCAAAGGCACGATCTATAAAAAAGCAGGCAAGTCTTCATTGAATCCCATCAAGCATTTAACATGACTTAGGATTAAAGACATTGGTCTCATTGCATCGATCGGATGAGAATACAGATGGATTGACAGAAGATGAAGTGACGATTATCAAATCTGTGCTTGATTTACGTGAGAAGCCAGTATCTCAAGTCATGACACCCATAAAAGACGTGTTTACTTTACCCATCACGGCCATCTTGGATAAATCACTTGTCACGAAGGTAAGAAAACAAGTGTGATACATTACTCATGTCCATAGATTGTAAGAAATGGTTATTCCCGTATTCCAATCAAAGCATCAGAAGAAAACGATCGTTTTATTGGCATGTTGCTAGTCAAGAGTTTGATTAGTTATGATGTTGATGACCAATGGCCCGTGAGTCGATTTGAGATCAACAATTTACCAGAGACCTATCCAGACACAAGTTGTCTAGACATCTTAAACTTTTTCCAAGAAGGCAAAAGTAAGTCATTGCTAACCGATACATGCATTCAACGATGTTTAGGTCATATGGCTATTGTCACCCATAATCCTGGTAAACAAGGGATTCCTTTAGGTGTGATTACATTGGAAGATGTACTTGAAAGCTTAATAGGCGAAGTAAGTCAGCCTATACGTGAGTGAAGGTATTGATCTACATGTAGGAAATTGTGGATGAAACCGATGTTTTTGTTGATGGTAAGATCTTTTTTTTAAGATCCCAACTAACTTTTCTCTTAGTTCAGAAAAAGATCAAGGTGAAGCGTATGCCTTCTACAAGAGATACCATGCCAGACTTAAAACACTCTTCCTCTTCAGAATCCAAGACAGGCATCAAAATGCGTATGAAGGGATACGGTGCTATTGTAGAACAAGGCACACATAGTCAATCATTAGAACAAGAACAAAACCAACAATTCAATGAGCCCAAAATCTAAATGCTATTTATCATGTATATTGCTTATACTATGTTCTACTGCTTCTAACCAATTATTAAAATCACCTAAAGTATTCCATATCGCATCATAAAATTGTTGTTGTGAATGTATATCATCTAATCCTAAGGGAGGAATTTGCAAGTTTGACTTGAACAATTCTGCTTCTGAATTGAGTGTGGTAAGTGAAGGCACATTGGGTTTTTTGTCTTTGGTTATCTTTGTGGATACTTTAGGCTTTTTTTTTTTTTTTTTTTTGGTATATGTAGTTTACCTCTGCATTGTCATGAGAATCTGGGTGGGATAATGGAGACAAGGGTGCCTTGACAAATGATTTCAAGGGCACACTATCTTCAGATCGGCCCAGAGTAGTAGCAGACCGTACTCTTCTTGCTAAAGGTAAGGCATGCATCGCTGCTTTCATTTGAGGTACTGTAGGCGATGCTTCAGGGCGTTGTTCTGAATGAGATCTAGCACGAATCATAGGTTTACTATGATCGGGTGAGCGTGTCATAGGTGTCAATTTAGGTACAGGTGAATTCATAAGATTTCGGCTGGGCATAAGTCTTGCGACAGGTGGTTGAGCTATCTCTGTCTCTTGTTCTTTTGGTTTGATGTCCACTGTAATACTCTCTGGTTTCGTGACTATCTCAGAAGGAAGTTTAGGTGAAGGTAGCGTGTCTTTTTGTTCAGCTGTCATGAACATGCGTACTAAGGGAAGTGATTCTGGATGACGGGTATAAGTTGGTTTTGTGTCCAAAATAGGCTTTGTTTGCTTCAGTGTCTTTTGATGTTGACTTTTGATTGTCTATGGATGGTGAATCATGCGATCGCTATGATCATTCCTTACATCAAATTCCCAACCATCATCATCACTCCTATTAAAATCATCTGGATCTTCTGCATCACTATACTTATTGTACTTAGTCTAAATCAGATATGATGAATGTTACCTGTCACTGATATCATTGGATATAATACTACATCGTTTGGATGCTTCATTGGTCTGTTTCCATTTCTCATACTGAGTGATCAACTCCCTTAAAGCAGATCTTGGTACTTTAATCACACTCTTGATGAATTTGGATTTCAATAGCTCATCTGCATTTAGTCGCTAGACGATGTGGTTCAATAGCGTATTCAATCACAGTCAATTTACCTCATTCGGATGTTCAGACAAACAAGCATCTACAAATTCCCTCATTGCAGGCGAAAAAGTATCTGGTAAACGAGGTGGTGTTGATTTGGGTATCATTGAAATAGCTCGCATAGGTTCAACATTGGCTAAAGGTGGATTCCCTGTTGCCATTTCATAGACTGTAATACCTAAAGACCAAATATCCGCCTAAGGAATCAATCAACAGAACTTGAGTCTATATTGACTTACTTTGTAGTCATAAGAAGCACCTTCTCGAATCACTTCAGGTGCCATCCAATAACTACCCACACCTTAATCACGCTGTATAGAATCCATTTACTTACGGTGTACCCACAAAAGTGCATCGCCTTAATGAATTGGCTGCTGCCACACCAAAGTCACACAATTGCACATTCCCTTCTGCCGTTAATAGAATATTGGCAGCTAAGAAGAAAGGGATGAGATCAGCACAAAAAAAAAACTATCATCCGATCACTACTTACCTTTAATATCTCGATGAATAATATGGTTTTTATGTAAATAAGATAAGGCCAATAAAACTTCTCGAGTGATAACAGCAATAAATCGTTCCTCAATAGGACCTGCTTTCATGATGGTACGAACACTACCACCTGCTGCATAATCCATAATGATCCATAGTTTAGTGTCATTCAGAAAACTACCATAATAAGGCGTAATATTTTGCGAGCGAGCATGGGCTAGTTGAGACAAGAGTCCGATTTCACGTTGAATGTCATCGACATCATCTTCCTCTGTATCCAGATTAAGCACTTTAATAGCCACGATTTGGTGTGTTTGTGTATGTATCCTATAGTTCATGAGTGGTTTCGACACTGGATCTTCCTTACCCTTTATACACTGAACCATAAGCACCTCGACCTACTTTTTTTAGTTTTTTATAGAGTTGAGATGCAGGTACTCCTTGTGTTGGTTTCAACATTTTTTTTTTAAAGAAAGAAAGACCCTTTTTTGTAGTCTCTCTCGCTCGCTCTCTCCCTTTTTTTCCAGTTTAAATAAAATGTGTAGTGAACCTAACAGTAGTCCTGGTTCTCCTTATTCTGAACCACGTATACCTCAACCAACAGATCCGAACCCTTTTTTACCTTCTTCACTGTAAGTACATCATCATAACATGCAGTTGACATTATAGTCAAAAACAACATGCTACTTGTTCTATGCCTATTTCTCGTTCCGATTCACCTGTCTCCAATCAAACGGATCCTCGACAGCTATTACAGGCTGTCAAGAATCTGATGCGTAATCGTCATGGCAATGTATTAGCACGCAACACGATATTAAAAATGGATCATTTTGAAAAAGGTAAAGATGGCGGTTGCCTCATAGGTGTATTGATTCTGGCCATAGGCATGAATACAAAACTTGATTTCCATTTACAAGGTGCGCCTAATTTTCGTATGGCTAATTTGAATGTCTATGGTGTTGCACAACCCACAGTAAGTGCATAAGATCCTATTGAACCCTTGATTGACATTGGATTTAGACAATTGGGTTATCTACTGTACTGGCCTTATTAAACTGTCATCCAAAGAGTACTATACCCACAACATGTACATGGTAAAACGATGTTTATTTAACAACAATAACATACTGAATTTTCCCTTGTTAGGTTTCTTACTCGGGAAGAACCTTTAAGTAAGCCGTAGTTGATCTTTATTTGACACTAAACAGCCTTAGTCTACATCAATGGATACCCTTATGTACTTCGTGATTATGCAGATCCATTACAGAACATGGTTTCTTTTTTAGGTATCAATGCTACTCGACTCGAGAAATTAGAAGAACGACTCAAGGCAGATGTGGAAAGAGAAGCCAAAGCGATGGGTGGACTTATCCTTGTACATCAAGAACTCGGTAATATATCCTTTTTGCGTGTATTTTTTGATTTACTCTATTTATAGCGGATAGTTCAGTGGTGCCTTGCTTCATTGCTGCTGATCAAGTACAAACACCTCGAGAATGTAAAGCAGCAACAGACAAAAAAGAAAGAAAAAAAACATGAAGACTGATCCTGCCTATTCCTTCTTTAGTATTCGAACAGTTTAAGCAGAATGACTATCGTGTCAATTACTTCCGTATTCCTATTTCACCTGAACAAGCACCCGAAGATAACTATTTTGATGAATATGTTAGAGTCATTCGATCACTTGAACCTACAGATCCATTGATCTTTAATTGTGGCATGGGTGTTGTTCGAAGTAAGTTTAAGTAGAATGAAGACAACCCTAACTTGTATAGCTACGGTGGGTATTGTGTTGGCTCAAATCATTCGACGCACACAGCTGATTGAAGCCCACCAATGTGAGCCATTTCCTATTCCTGGTTATCATCATGAAGCAAGTCGAATTGAACTCTTGAAAGGATGGGAGGATGTTGATGGTCAGAACCATGCATTAATGCGATTGATGTACATTTTGGAGCAAGGTAAACATTTCAAGTGAGGGACATCTACTCATGAATAGGCCTGGAATCGAAAATGTCCCCTCGCTCTGCTATTGAATGGGCTTTGGAGCGTGGGCCTATGATTGAAAATTTAAAAGAGGCCATCACAGGCAATTATCAAGTCATTACGTCTTTGGTGGCTGTGTTGGATAGTGGTGATTTCAGCAAAAAAATGTTGGATGAAGTCATTGACCAATGTAAGTGAATAGAGGCGCATTGCATGGTATTAAACTTTATTTAGCGGATGCGGTGATCAATTTGCGTGAAGACATCTTACTCAACCGAATCAAACAAACCGCCCAACCTTCTTCAGACACTAGTTTCATGAGGAAAGCAGGCGCTGGTATTCAACGCTATTTCTCGCTTTTATGCTTTGCTTCTTATATCAATGAATCTCCTAATACTCGATTTGAACTCAAGTTTTCAGACTGGCTAAAAGCACGTACTGAAATCTGGACCATGTTACAGAGCATTCGACGCAAAAGTCCTAAATTATACTTATTTCGACCTGTGGATGATTTGCATCGATTGACAAATCATACAGGTATCTACAGTGCTTCATTTCAGCGTCGTCGTCAACAGACATTGCCTGGTATGTTTGATATGGATCAAGCCATGGTGGTGCCTGAACTTGAATCCTTTATTTTAAAGGTAAGTATGTACAAATTGGATTCAAGCTCACCCTTTGATAGTCTCGTACAGGTGTTGTCCTTACTTCACAAACCATTCTCAAGATTGATTTCTGGAGTGCGGCTAGTCAATTGGATGCCGATGAACACAACCAGCTTCAGAAACTACCTACGCCAGGCAACGCCATGCAAGAGGAACATATCCATCCACCTCAACGCCACCATGTCTTTTTAGTAGAAGGAGGCTCTAATTTCAGGCGCATCAAACACACACAAGTCTATGGTATTGCTCAACCCACGGTCGATGGGTTGCGTACCGTCCTACGTCGCTTAGTGAGCCATACGCCCAACCAGCGCATTCAATGGGTCAACCTAAGAGAAGAACCGATAATCTATATCAATGGCATTCCTTATGTCTTGCGTGATCGTTATTTTACATTGCGTAACATGAGAGTCTATAAGGGTATCACAGGGCCTCGCTTAGAGGGACTTGAGGAACGACTAAAGCAGGATGTAGTGCGTGAAGTCAATAGTTATGACGGACGTATCTTGTTGCATGGTGAAGACAAAGATGGCCATGTCTTGGCTGCTTGGGAAGAAGTGAATGTGGAGGATATCATGACAGTCAGAGAAGTCATGATGTCAATTGCTGAACAAGTAGCAGAGGAATCAGACGATGAAGCGACAGAAGGTAAGATGGATTATTATCGTATTCCTATCACTTCTGAAAATGCGCCTGAATGGTCTGATTTTGATGAAATTCGACGTTTAATCAGTGGTGCCGATCTATCAAAGACAGCGTTTGTCATGTAAGTAAATGAATTGCAAAAGACAGTACCTAATATCTGTTCTCCTGTGAAAAAGGAACTGTCAAGTAGGGTTGGGTCGATCCACCTTGGGCACTATTATCGCCACCATGATTACAAACTGGATCAAGGCCAAACCCCCACCCACACATCAAGACAAAGAGAAATGCAACTATCTCAACTACCAAATCATCAACAGTCTATTGCGTGTCATCAAAAATGGTCTCGAAGTCAAGCGCAATGTCGATACCATCATTGATGAATGTGGTGCCTTTTTAAACTTGCGTGAAATGATCGAATCAGAACACATCAAGGCAGAGAACGAAACCGACGAAACCAAAAAAGCAGCTTATATTCGTCGCGGTGTGGCTGCTTTGCATCGTTACTTTGCCTTGCTCTGTTTTGGCGCTTATCTCGATTCGACTTTGCCTGAAGAAGCCAATAAGACCGAGTCCTTTGAGGCCTGGATGGATCGACGACCCGAGATTGGTACCTTGTTGCATGAATTCAATGACCGTGATGAGCAGTTGATTATTCCTGTTGAGAAATCTTTTGGGGATGGTATGGCCTTATCCAGTGAAGTCATGAGTGTGGTTGCTTCTCGTCATGGCCAAGTGTTGGCTCAACAGACGATCTTGAAGCACGATGCATTTCCCGGCTGTCAAAAGATGAGCCTGAAAGAAAAGTTGGAAGGCGCTTATAACTTTCGACGTGTGCCTGTGAAAGAAGTCAAACTGGCTGTCAAGGTGGCCAGTAAAGCAGCCGATCAGAGTGGGTTAGCAGCTGATTTAGAACAGCCAGATGACGCTGTATTGGAACCTCCTTTTATTTGTGGATGTGCGATGCCTTCTAAAGATGCTATCAAGGCTGTGCTGAAACGTATGCAGGCGGGACCCGGTGGTAAACGTACTGTTTTGTGGACCTGTCTTCGTGAAGAACCTGTGCTGTATGTCAATAAACAACCCTACGTGTTGCGACTGTTCCAAGATCCTTTAAAGAACTTGGAATCCACAGGTATCACTACAGATCGTGTGGAAGGCATTGAGGAACGTATGAAATTGGAAGCCTTGAATGAATGGAAAGAATACGAAGGGCGTCTTTTGCTTCATGATGAAAAGCCAAATGAGCGAGGTGAATTTGATTTAGTGGTAAATTATCAACGTCCAAATGATGTATCTGATTGTGTTTTAGGGTATATGGGAGACAGTCAATGTAGAAGAGATTGAGACACCTAAAGAAGCATTTCAGTCCATTATTGATGAAGGATATCAAGTAGACTATCTTCGTATTCCAATCACAGACGAACAAGCACCTATTCCGGATGTCTTTGATCAATTGATCAGTCGTACCAAAGCAGCTAATGCAGGTGTCGATGTCTTGTATAACTGTCAAATGGGGTAAGTTTGTTTATTGAGACCAATGTTTTCTGACTTTATCGTATAGGCGTGGTCGTACGACAACAGGCATGGTGACAGCATGTTTAATGGCCATGGTTATGAACAATGATTCTATCTTTGTGGATGACAAACGAGACTCTATTGTTATTCCACCCATGTTAACTAGACAACCTTCGCTCTATAACAGTGAAAATGAAGAATCCATGGAGGAAAGCTACCACAATGGTGAATTCAAAATCATTCTTCAACTGATGAGCATGCTGACGTACGGTAAACTGGCCAAGCGATTCACAGACAGAGCCATCAATATGTGCGACCATATGCAGAATCTAAGAAAGGCTATTTTTGATTACAAGTTGCGTATGGATGCAACCGAAGACCCTAAATCCTACAAGGCAATTAAAGAAGTAGCCTTGAATTATCTGATTCGATACTTTTATCTGATTGCGTTTGCTAATTATTTATTGGAAGAATTGGCAAGCAAACAACATCAAGAAGAATGTATGGACGGTGCTATTTGTGATGAAGGTGTAGAAACACTGCCTAGTTTTAAAAAGTGGTTAAGCAGTCGAAGAGAAATTACCAATATCCTTAGACTTCAACCTGTAGAATTAGATTAAACTATCCTTTTATTTCAAAAATAAAATTGTGTATCTCAAGATTCCATTTGTCTTTCGAGTCTATCAAGACGTTCACGTAAAGCATCTAGCATATGATGGTATTCTTGAGGACCAATATCATGTTGAGATCTTACAATCGTAGGTGGGCTGATAAGGGATTCTTGTAGACGCCTTGAAGGTGTAGTGGATTGAGACCTTCTGTTGTCCTCTTGTTCTTCTGTTGTGCCTACCATTCTCTTTTCTAGACTAGAGACACGACTGTACATGTCTTCAAGTCGATCTTCCATACGATGCATGACTTCCTTTTGTAATTCTTTCATTTGATTTCGAATCAATCCCTCAACCGTAGTAGAAGATGCCTGCAATGTCTGTATCAGTGCAGAAGACCGACGAATTTGATCATCCAATGTTGACTTCAATGTACGCGTTGTCTCAATCGTATCAAACAAATGTTCAAAGGGCTGCATAAACTGTTGTCGTTGTAAAGACCCATGGGTAGGTGTCTTGGGTTCGGCTGTACGACCAGAGAGATGACTAAAAGCAGCATACTGAGGTGAATGAGGGGGTGGAAAATGATGTCGACTACTGGGATGGGCTGTATGTGGTGGTTGTTGTTGTTGAGAAGGTACGATAGGTGGTATAGCAAACTCTGAGTGTGTTGCGCTGCTTGTGGCAGGCGATATCATGGTGGCTTGTGATAATGGGTGAGGTTGAGTAGGTTTTGTGATTTGTTGTCGAAAATTGGAATGTAAAGGAGCAGATTGGATGCCATTGGCTTGTTCGCCATAAGAAGGAGCATAAATGGTCAAATTTCGTGCATTTTTACTACTGTTGAGTCGTTTTGAAAGCAAACTGGATGCTTGAGGTTGTTGAGAACTGACAGTATGAATAGGTTTGGGAAGAAGGGTAGGCTCGTCTCGTTTTTGTTTCTTATTGGGTTCATCAAATACTCTAGAGTCAAAAAAAGAAGAGAGATGAGTCAATTTTTATGCACATGTTGCTTTTACCTGCTTGCTCTTCTTGTCTGTTGTTGGCTACCAGCGCCTATCAACATAGTATCCAAAGCCATTGGATCCGAATGCTGATGTTTATGAAGGGATAAAGAAGGTGGAGATATGGGTTCTGATTTTACTTTGAGAGCCTCTACCAGTTTGATAGGAGTGGGTTTGTATTGAGACTCGTCTTTTTTGGATGGATGATACACAAAGCGAGGTAAATTAGACAATATGGACTCATCCAGACGAGCCACATAATCATTAGGTTTCAGTTTACACAGTTCTGCTAAAAGGAACTTGTTGTGTCTGATGGCCAAAGGAGCCAAATCAGTTGTTGTCACATAAGTGTGATGAGGATTATGCTTGTCGACATGATGAGGTATGATGTGTACAAGATCGATAGGCAAGTTAAACAGAGAAGCAATATCGGCAAACTTGAAAAATAAAGTAGGGCTTGTTTCGAGTCGATAGAGATAAAAAGCTTTATCTTTATCATAATGACCAAGTAAAAGCGACAGCAAGTTCATTGTGCGCGTAAGAATATATAAAGAAAAAGGTGTTGAATCTTTTTCTTTCACTAATAAGGAGAAAAGAAAAAAGAAGAAAAAAGGAGAGGGTGTTGGCTTGGATTCAGGCACCGTTACCATGGTGATTTCAAGAATCGAAGCTGATTTGATTGGATCACTTGAAATTAAACTTTTTTTTTTTGAGTGCTAGGATCCATTCCATTTTGACAACCAAGTAAGCCAAAGGACTTGATATAAATGTATATATATTTAGCATGTTGTGTTCTCTTCTTGACTGAATAATGAGACAATAAGCAAGAAAATATTTACTTTAAAAGCTACTTTTATTTTAGAAAAAAAAAGATACTGCATAGGCAAGAGACTTTTTTCTTTCAATATCCGATAGAGCAAAAAAAAATTGGGCCAATAAGCAGGATACAGCTTTCTTTCTTTATTGACGCCCTTTGTGTATAGTATGGATCAACTCTCATTAGCAACACAAAAGTTCATTGCTGGATATAAAGAAAACACACCCAACCAGCTCAAGTTGGTTGATATATACCTTGTTTATATCCTTTTTACTGGTATCTTTCAGTTTATTTATATGGCCTTGGTGGGTACCTTTCCTTACAATGCCTTCCTTGGTGGCTTCATCTCAACTGTAGGCAGTTTTGTTCTTGCTGGTAAGTTTAATAATAAAAAACAGAAACGCGTATTGAATTTATATATAGCCAATTTGAGAATTCAGACCAATACAGAAAACAAAGCGTCTTTCAAGACTATTTCACCAGAAAGGTAATGAAATAAGTGATCATGTAACATCAGACTCATGCATTGAATAGAGCTTTTGCTGATTTTGTTGTTTGCTCTATTCTTCTTCATCTGTTTTGTATCAACTTTTTGGGTTAATAAAACTACATTTTTGCCAAGCAAATATCTTTCTAAAGCATCATTATGATCATTTTTTTTAAAGCTCAGTCTTTTGCTTTTCTTTTTATATATATATATAGGCGACGTGTATCTTTTTCTTTTTCTTTCTTTCTCTTATTATTATTATTTTTTTTTTTTTGTATATTGAGTGCATAAATAATGTCTGATCAAAACGATGTAGATGCACTATTTGAAGACGATCCAGGATCTTTGGACGAAGTCTATGATGAAGACGATGCAGAAGATCTTCGACTTGATGAACTAGACACGAAAGTCTGGCTTGTTAAAGTAAATTTCTTGAATGACCTGACTGTATACTGATGAACAAATAGGTCCCTAAATTCTTGGCAGATCGATGGAGAAATGTAGATGAAGATAATGTTAGACTAGGAAGCATTCGTATCTACAACAAGTAACGTATTTTAGTTTTCACAAGATAGACTCACACTTTATTGACAGAGTGCCACCAGGAAAACCAGCTAATGTACAATAACCATATTATCTTTTATTGTTATACTGACTTTCTTTTTTTTATTATTATTTAGATTGAACTTGTCTTGCCAGAAGAAGAAGCAGTGTCTGGACTTCCAAGGAAATACAATATTCAAATCACACCAGGCGAAGTACAGAATAAGTTTGTCTTCTCAGAACATGCGAATGGAGGCAAAGCCATTAGTGGCACAATTCATCATGAATGTACAGCAACACCTTCTGAAGCAAGTGCTTATCGAGACATCATGCGAAAACGTGTGAGAGAGGCAGGCACACCTCAAAGATCAGTACAGCCTATTGGACAGACCAATCAACCGATGTTTGTTCCTGGTGCAAGCAGTGGTATGCCCAACAGTAACTTTTCTGACTTTGTTGTAAGTTGAATGATATGATTGATTTTCCTTATTGATTTTCTTTTGTAGACAACCAAGAAACCTAAATTGGATAAAGAAAAAGCAACACGTATGCCTAGAAATGAACTTATGGACCTTTTGTTTGCTGCATTTGATAAATTCCCTTATTGGTCATTCAAGGGTATTGTTGAACATACAAAGCAACCCAATCAATACCTGAAGGAAGTATTAAGTGAGATTTGTATTCTCAACAAGCGTGGTCCTTATGCTGGTAACTACCAATTGAAGCCCGAATTCAAACAAAGATTATCTGCAGCTGAGAGACAAAATATGACAACCAATGTAGAAGAAGCTATTTCTACAGATGAAGATGAAGATAACGAAGAAATGGAAGAAGTTAGATTGTAGAAAAAATTTTTCTGTCCTTTTTTTTTTTTGTATATGCTGAGATTGAAAAATATGAAGAAATCTGTTTGACAGCACTTTGGAAATGTTAAAAAAAATACTAGTTTCAATTAGGTGACGTTGAATAGCCTAATAGGGTAAAGCAAGCTTTTTTTATAAAAAAAAAAAAAAAAAAAAAAAAAAAAAATACAGAATAAGTTATATTTCTTTTTTTTTTTTATCTTTCTCTCTTATTTTTTCTTAAAATCATAATATTATGAAAGAAATACACGATCATTCTTTTTCAGATAAATCACTTAAGCGAGTGATTAAAAGTAACGCCAAAAACAAGACTGAAGCCGTTCCTGACTTTATACAGAAATTGTTTCGGTAAAAGGGAAAAAAAGCGAGTTCATCAGCTGATAATCTATTTTTTTTTTAATGTTAGCATGTTGGAAAATCAAGCATTTCAAGATGTGTTTTGCTGGAGTCCTTCAGGCAATAGTTTTCTTGTCAAGGACACGAATGAATTCTCTAAAACAATACTCCCTAAACATTTTAAGCATTGCAATTTCGCTAGTTTTGTACGCCAACTGAATAAATATGATTTCCACAAGATACGAAGTCATGCAGATGAAAATCATAAATTATACGGTGATCAAGTAAAAGTCCATTCTATCTATCTTGTTTGCTTACTTAAATTAGATTTGGGAATTTGAACATTCGCACTTTAAAAGAGACAGAAGAGATTTATTAGAAGAAATCAAACGCAAAACACCAGGCAAAAAGAAGCCTTCAGAAGAACCTTTGTCTTGTCCTCCTTCACCTCCATTAGATAACACACAACATCTGTTAGAATTCACTCGACAGCTTCAATCGCAAGTAGATCAATTGAAACAGACACAAATCGAGTTAGAAACAACCTTGACTCAACTCAACACAAAAGAGAAATTAATTTTAACTGAGCTTTCTGAATTCCAAAAGTGTCTGAGAACAAAAGATGAATTAATACAAGAATGTCTTTTACATAAAAAACAAGAAGGTAAACTCAGTCTTGGTTTTATGTACCATTCACTGACAAAAAAAAAAATATGTATTTAGAGACACCAATGAAAATAGAACCTCAATGGCAGTCTGAACCAAATGCCATGACAGATTTAATACTTCAAACACCTCTTGTAGACACAAAAGACAATCTTTATTTATCACCACAAGTGCCTTATGATAAAGGAAAGAAGAAGATGGTTGCCAACTGGGCGACACCCCCACGTGTGTTACTCGTGGATGATGATTCAGTCTATCGGGATGTAAGCGGACGCATGTTGACCATGGTCGGCTGTTCAATTGATTTGGCCAAAGACGGATTAGAAGCATTACAGAAAATGAGTATCAACAAATATGATTTGATTTTGATGGTAAATAGCCTTGTTTGTCTTTCTGCTTATATATAAATACTTATCAATCTCTTTTCTTTAGGATATAGTCATGCCTAAAATGGACGGCATTGCCACAACACGCAATATTCGTCGTTATGACTCTGTTACACCTATTGTGTCAATGACTTCAAATTATAACCATAATGATATTATGGAATACATTGGCATTGGTATGAATGATATCCTCCCTAAACCCTTTTCAAAAAATACGCTGTATGACATTCTAGAGAAGCACTGTGGCCATCTTAAAGACGATATTCCCAGACCATCGATTGATAATACCCCTTCTACTACACCTAATAATTCACCTACAACTTCAAATGATTATTGGTCCGAAAGAAAGTTGGCTTGGTCCAACAAACGACAGAAACACGACTTGTATCATACGCCTCCTTATTAACCATAATATATGTGTAAATAAACTGATTTATTAACATTTTCTATGAATGACAGAAGCACCATATTCTTGATATTCATGTCGTGAAATCCATAATTGATGAAATGTACCTAAAGAAGCCAAAATAGAACCACCTAACCAACTACTGCTTTTACGCTCAGTGGCATTACCAGCAGCATGAATCTTGATTTTACTCTGTAGATAGGAAAAAAAAAAAAAAGGATGAGATATTACTATAGATAGATAGATAGACTTACGCCGGGTGCTTTTAAGGGTAGTTCATAATGAAGTCTTTCATTAAATCCATCAAGAAGTGTATTGCCACCAGTAACCACAATATTATTGAACAAGAGTGGACGAAGATCAATATCACAACTATTAATACTATTATAAACAAGTTCATGAACCCCTAATTGGCTCTTTGATTTCTTTTCTTTTTCTTCTTCTTCTTCTTCTTCTTCTTCTTGTTCTTCTTCTTCTTGTTCTGTTAATTTCTATCTTGAATGAGTGACATATAACAAGAACAAAACAGAACATACAGTATCATTCATATGAGGCTGGAAAAGAAGTTCAGGTACTTTGTATCTTTCTAGTCCAAATTGATGTTGATATCCATCAGGGAATTCAAATAACTTTTTTGGCCTTGATGATAATAGACTACAAAATAAGAAATAAAAAGTCAAACGACATACAATCATAGTCTATTGATGGTTTACCCTTCATCAAATGTAACATCAGAAACTTGACATACTGTTTCTTTGTATTCATTGATCACTCGCTAATGATGTGTTAACCCATATACATCACTGATTTTACTTACTGTTGTCTGATAAGCATCAAAACTGTCTCTTAATCCTTCACAAGCACGTAATTCTATTTGAGGTGGTTGGTCTAATTCAACAGGTGTCTTTTTCGCAATCTTATAACGAGGTGTGATTGTATAGTCCAAATCTGTCTTGAGTTGTTCTTTGATCTTTTCTGCTAGCATATTACCAGCAAAGGATTGATGTAAAATACCCTTTTTTAGCACAAATCCATCATAAACAGGTACTGCACTTGTCACACCTGCACCTGAATCAAGCACAAGGGCTGTGGCTCTTCCAACAGAAAATCTAAGACAGTTTAGCCATAGTGATAGGCTGAATAGGGTGATCACTTACGCTGTCATGACAGCATCAGGTGCAAGATAAAAAGCAGGAAAATCAAACTTTTCAAGAGCGAGTTGAATCATTTTTTCACGATTTTCTTTTGTATTCCATGCAGGTTCTGTACATAACAAAGGGTGTTCTTCAGGTCGAATACGAAGCATATCGTCAAATGTTGCATGCCAAATGGCTTCATAAGCATCCCAGTCCTCGACTATCATATACATATATACATATATATAAAATGGATCTAACATGTATCGGATTTACCTAAACCATCTTGAAGTGGATGCTTGATTTCCATTTGACTTTTAAACATATTGACTTTGTTATCACCAATATAATATTGTCTCTTGTGTCCAGCCATGACTGTATCACCGTCTGTTTCCTGAACAGGGTCTATATAGCCTACACTGGTAGGAAACATGACGCGAGGTGTGTCTTCGCCTGCATAACCTGCACGCGTCATACTTGTTCCAATATCAAGCACAAGTGCATTCACTTCGTCTGTCAATAGTTTAGTTGTGTGCCTCATTATAGACATGTGTTTACCTCCTCCATAAACAACCATAGTTAGAAAGAAAAAGTAAGAAAGAAAGAAAGAAAAAAAATGGACGGTTTTTTTTTCTCTTTTATAGATGATTTTAAACAACAGCTACATGTTTAAAATAGGATTCGAATTTTTTTTTTTTTTTTTTTATTTACAAAAAGATATATGCAGCAATGATTTTTTAAAGATCGACTTGGCGTTCTTCACCTGTACTACGAGCAGTACCAGCCGTCAATTCACTTTCCCATACTAATTGTTTGTTGATAGCACTTAAGTAAGCTTTGGCAGCAGCAGTAATAATGTCAATATCAGCCATACTAGCAGCAAAAGCAGTCTTGGTCAAGCGTTCTTCCTTCACACTAGCAGGGTCCACCATCACTTGAATCTCAGCTTTACCTAAAGCATCACTTCCTTCACCTACAGCACTGATATCAAACTTGGTCAAACGGAATTGACGACCCACACAACGTTGAATAGCTTCAAAAATAGCATCCACTGGACCATTGACGCTCACAGCAGCATCTGTGATTTCTTTTTCTGCTTTGACGTCCATGAGTTTGACGCTGGCCATGGAAGTCTCACCAGCAACCACTTGCGTAGACACAAGTGTATAGAAAGCACTGGCACCCGTAGCACTGATTTGGTTACTGAGGATAGCAAGAATATCAGCATCGTTCACGTTCTTCTTCTTGTCACAGAGAGCTTTAAAGTCATCAAAGGCCTTTTGGAAATCGTCTTCAGAGATATCAGGGAACCCAAGATCTTTACAGCGTTCACGGAAAGCATTACGACCAGAGTGCTTACCAAGGACCAAGTTGATATCAGTCACACCGACTGTTTCGGGTGTAATGATTTCGTAGGTTTGGCGGTTCTTGAGTACACCGTCTTGATGAATACCAGATTCATGAAGGAAAGCATTACGGCCTACAATGGCCTTGTTGGGTTGCACCATCATACCTGAAAGCGTAGAGACCATTTGTGAGGTACGGTAAATCATGGTGGTGTTGATTGTATGGTACACAGGGAAGAAATTGGGGTGAGTATGGATGGACATGACCACTTCTTCCATAGAGGTATTACCGGCACGCTCACCAATACCGTTGATAGTTACTTCCACTTGACGAGCACCATTGACAATACCAGCCAATGTGTTGGCGGTAGCCAAACCAAGATCGTTGTGACAGTGAGTGGAAAAGATGGCTTTTTCAGCACCAGGTGTGTTTTGCACAAGGTATTTGATCAGGTTGCCGTATTCTTCAGGCATGTTGTAACCTACTGTGTCAGGGATATTGAGTGTCGTGGCGCCGGCTTCAATGACTTTGCCAAGGACTTGACATAAAAATTCGGGGTCGGAACGACCAGCATCTTCAGGAGAAAACTCGACTTCGTCTACAAATGAACGTGCAAGTGTGACAGCAGCCACAGCGCGCTTAATGCATTCGTCACGATCAATCTTGAGCTTGTATTTAAGGTGAAGATCAGAAGTGGCAAGGAAGACGTGAATGCGCTTACGAGGAGCAGGAGCAATGGCTTCAGCACAGCGTTTGATATCATTGGGTGTGGAACGAGCAAGACCACAAATAGTCTAATGCTATGAGTTAAATAGAAAGTGGATCATGGCACATCTTACCATAGGTTGTCCAATCTTTTCTCTGCCGACCATCAAAGGACCGACTTCTCTCGCAATACGTTGAACAGCTTCAAAATCACCTACTGAAGCAATTGGGAAACCTGCCTCAAGTACGTCTACACCAAGGCGAGATAACTGTTTAGCAATTTCAATCTTTTCTTCTGTGTTTAAAGTGACACCAGGTGACTAGAAAGAATATGAGTTACATGATAGGCCGTAAGAAAAGCAGATATTTACTTGTTCACCATCACGAAGAGTTGTGTCAAAAATAATAAGTTTGTCAGTAGCTGCCATAATATAAGATAGAGAAAAGAAGAAAGAAAAAAGAAGTATGTGTTTTTTCAATCTTAAATATACAGCATTTTGGATAGGCTATGACCCATTTGGTACATTTGACCAATCAAACAAAAAGGATCCGCTTGAACCATCTTTTATTATCCAATCAAAATCTAATATGACTTCAGTCATAGTAATACAAGTACCGTTTGTTTCTGTCTACACTTGATTGGAAAAAAAAAACAGGAATTCTACCTCTTTCATGGTTTTTCAAAGATAGTCTGTCTAAAAGACCATTTGATCAAGTATATTTTCTGGTTTCTTTGTCACTATTCAAGTGACATAAGACCCTGTATTGCTTGCATTGATGATTAAGAAAAATGACTCATCAAATTCAAAGGCCAGTTTTGAGCAACGGGCATTAAAAAAAACTTGAGTAAGCGTAACTATTATGCTAAAAACAATTTACTCTATTACATAACTGAAAAAAGAAAAGGCGTATACTATGATGGCTGGTTTTGTTCTTTTTTTTTTGGATTTTTTTCAAAAGGCCCAATGGCTAGTTTCGGACACATCTTTTTCTTCAAAGGACGTCTTTTCTCATACACACTCTTTTTTTTTTCTCGGACACAATTTCTTTTACACGCCATGACTACACCCAAAAGAAATCTAGCTCAATTCAAAAACCTTCAGGAAGCAGAAACTTTTGCCAAATCACTTGCATCTTCAGAAGGCTATTGTGTCAGTAGGCGCACTTCGCAACTCGATCCAGCTAAAGGCACAAGACACATTGTATTAGGCTGCGTACAAGGAGGTCATTATCGAGTGACATGGAAAGAAAAGTCAACAACGTATCCTAAAAAACGCGATAGCATTAAAGTGGGATGTAAATACTCAATTCGTATCAGTGAGAAGGACGACCAATGGAATGTACGAGTACCCAAGAATATGCATAATCACGAACCAAGAGCACCTGCACCCAAACGAATCAAAAAGTCATCAGAAGAAGCGGTTGTCACACATCCAGGATTGATCAACCAAGAGTCGCCTGAAGATGTGGTTCGACATTTAGTAGCTGAAGTGGCTCGATTGGAGAGATCTGGTTATGGGTTGATAGACACCAGCGAACATCACATCACAAGTCAAATTGAACAAGCCATCTTGCATGCTGAGTTACAGGCTATTCATGATAAAATGCCTCAACAAGTATATCATCAAGACCATCAACAGCAGTCTGAATTGGGTACTTAAGATACCTCCAAAAAGAAAATCGTATAATAAAAACATCGAATAGCTTCATTTTGTAACATGAACAATACTTTATAATGATAAAAAGGCATTGCTACATAGTGAGATTGTTTTCACTTTCTTGAGTTGAGCAAGTTGATTCAAACGACGCCATGTATTCCTTTTCTTTTAGTCTGTTTAAGACAATATGCTTCATGTCAAGAAAGATGCATAACGGAAACGGAGTTTGATCCATCTGTTTTTTTTCTTCTTGTACCCCCCTTTACAACTATCCTAATGAGAAGAAGAGCTGTTGGTATGGCCCAGGCCGACCTTAGAAAACGAACAGAGGTAAAGAAGAAGCTAAGTTTATTCTCTTTTGCTCAATGTTGTTACGTTAGCAAGATTACAAGCAAATTGGTAGTTCAATAGCTGCCAAAGAACTCGAACAGGTATATTAGACAAGATGAGAAAACATGAATAACATGATAATAGCTTCAAAAACAAATGGAAGTCTTCAAGACAAACCTACAAGAGTTTGCAACACGACATCGAAAAGATATTCGAAAAGACCCTACTTTTCGAGCTCATTTTCAACGCATGTGTGCTAATATTGGTGTTGATCCTTTAGCTTGTAAGCAGTTTTGACTAGTGTGTATGTATATGTACTAATGCCACATGTAGCCAACAAGGGCTTTTGGGCTGATTTGTTAGGTGTAGGCGACTTTTATTATGAACTGGGAATACAAATCATTGAAGCGTGTATTGTCAGCAGAACCAACGATGGTGGATTAACCGAGTTGAATGAAATTATGCGACGTGTTCAGGTCATGAGACAGCAACAACAGCAAGTTTCAGAAGATGATATCACAAGGGCTATCAAGACACTTAAACCTTTGAGTGGCGGATATGAAGTAATACAGATAGGCAATCGAAAACTAGTTCGTTCTGTACCCAAAGAACTAGACAAAGATCAAGCTAGCTTATTATTACTCGCACAAGTAAGTAATCTTCTTCTTTGGTTGCTGTATTCTTATGTGTCTTTAGAAAACGGGCTATATAAATCATGACATGGTCAAGAATGAATTGGGATGGACTACAGAAAGAATCAATACAGCTACAGTAAGTGAACATATAGAATAGAAACGATAGGCTCATACGTCATAGCAACATTTATTACAAGATAGTATTGCATGGCTTGATAGATATGGAGATGTTGATTCATATTGGATACCCAGTTACTTTTCTGCAAGTAATAAAGAATAATATATACAAAAATGGGGAAAGAGGGGGTATATTTTATGGCTTGCCTACCATTAATAAAGCTAAAAAGACAACCAATGTACAGATGGGTACACAAGCAACTCCATAACTCCAGAACAAGAGATTTAACATTTCTTCTTCAAACATCCCACTGACTTGTGTGATTTGTGCTAAATTGATTGCAGTGGGTGTACATCCTACTATAACCATACTGACAATAAAGATAGGATCATGAGCTAACTTGGAAATAGCACCACCCCATGTTGCAAAAGCAAATACTGTAGGCAACACAATTAAAGGAGTCAATATCATACGAATAAAGAGAGCAACACACACAGGCTTGCGATATTTGGGATTCTTGGTTGATGGTGTTTCTCGAATACTTTTGAGTTGAGCACCTAAACAGAGAAGAATGATAGGCACAGATACTTTGCCACAGGATTCAATGGCTTTTGTAAAAGCAGTATTGAGAGCACTATGGTAAAAGAGACTCTTGAGAGGTGGACAAAGGCCAACTAAAAGTGCAAAGGCAACAGCATAAAGTGGAGGCGTCATCCATTTGTTGATTGACTTGAACAAGTTTGAAATGCCCCAACCATTATGCACAGTGACGACGGATTTTGAAGAAGATGTTGTTCCATAGTCATGATGATGTGATGACTTCGATAAAACGGCTTCTTCGTCCATATCTAAACCGTCTTTTTCTTCATCATTCTTCTGTAATAAACTGTATCCATAAGACCATCGTAAAATATTACTAAACAATCCGAAAAATAACGTATATGAAAGCCCACTAAGGTAAAAGGGGAAGAACCATAAGAGTAAGAAAAAAAGGGGGCATTTGCAGAAGATAGATAAGAAAAATGTATACTTTACCGAGCAGATACCATAGATTGATTATCATCAGAATTCCAATAAAGAGATTTACCGGCTTCAGATATAGCTAGACTGGAAATAATGGCTACAGGAAGTGAATTTGTATTCGGGAACATAACACAAGCAGACACAAAGGGTCTGTAATATTTGTCAACCTTAAAGAGTGGAGATGCAATTTGACATAATAACCATGATATTAATGTGTATAAGGCATAAAATGCAGGGATTGGCCAATAAGCCAATAGTCGTTCTAAAGAAATGACGGATGCAATGCTGGAAAAGAGCAAACAAGGTGTAAAGAAACTGATATTGAGTGTAGATAGCCACTAATCATACTGTAAGTACAACAAGAGTATCATGTGTATACATTACTTTTTGTTTATCACTGTCAATATAGCCATGCTTTGATAAAATGACACCTGTAAAGACGATCACTATTACTTGCATAATTGCCTTTTGAAAAGTCAGTTTTTGTTTATCACATATTCTGTAAATTGCATACCTGAACAGAAGACACAATTAGTTCTATCATTTTTTTTATATAAAGAATGAAGAAAGAAAAGAGAAAGAGTTAAAGAAAAAAAAGTAGATAAATGATTTCGAATAAAGGGGGGATATTATGTTTTCTGATCATTAAATGATGCAATTCTTCACTTCTCCGACACTCATTCATTCTTCAGACCCCCACTTTTCAAGTTGTACAGTATGGCTTGATTTTTTTTTCGATAAGCTTCTCTTTCTGATATTTCCATTCTTCAGCTAAAGTCGAATAAGCGTCATGAAAAGGTCATTTTAGTTTTGGTACTATCCACAATATTCTAAGAAAAATGATAAAGTCCTTAATTAAGGCGTTTAACCGAAAAGAAAACTTATTCACTGATAGCCCATTGAATCAATGACTTAAATAACTTGAAGGAAGGGACTGCCTTCAAGTTATGACAGTCAATATTGATTATGATATACTAAAGCACATGCTATTAAAGTCTTTTTCTTCTTAAATTACATATTCATTGTTGCGAATTTCATCCTCCCAAGACATAGAAAGGCACTTTAAATAATAAGATCAACTTGAAAGTAAACCATGCCAAAAGAATTGAAGTTATTCAAACGAAAGCGGAAAAAAAGATTCACAACATGTCAAGATACAAATGAACAGGTTAAATACAACAGCTATTTACAAAGCCAAACAAGAAAATTGCTCTTCTTCTCTTACATACCAATTGCTTGGACGCTAGGCTAACTGAGTAAATGTCTGCCTTGACAAAGAAACAATATCCTCAACAAGTATATTAAGGAACACCCGTAGATTTTCTCAGGGAACATCCCCGATGTAAGTAAATAGGCTGGACAGTAGGGATTTTGCTTTTTCTAAAAATCAGAGTCTTTTTCATATGTTTTATTTTAAGTGATATCCATAGCTTTACTTTTACACTTTATTGAAAAAATAAAATATTAAAAAAACTCGATAAATCTCCACTTAGCGGCAAATATTATTTATGTATCTCATGCTCTGCTTAATTTCTAGAATTTGATTTTTACTTATTTACTTTAAATCCCGTGAAAAGTGATGAAGAGTCCCCTTATTCAATCACGCCGGATAGAGTTTGGTCGAATGATCATCCTCAGTGGCTTATCACTTTCTATCATATTTCTTATAAATCTATTACGTTCATGAAAAGTTCCTGGCGTTTACGAGTTTTTTTTTTTTTTTTTTTTTTTTTTTTGCAAATCTTCAATTGCTTTAGGTCATTTCAAACTGTCTGTCCCTTCTGAAAAAACATAGAATTTTAAAATTCTGTGTATAATAATGAGGCATTGAACAGCTAGTATTTTTCAATTTGAAACCAACTTTTGGCACATTGAACACTGCACTTGATCTTATCCAAAAGGCCTGAGAGAATATACATTGAAAACCGCAGGAATAAGTTTGGTACTTCCTTCCATGATCCTCCCAAAAGAGTGCATTTTCATCTCTCCAATCCCTCCTCCCCATTTACTTATGGAAATGTTCTAGTACTACTATTACCTTAGATGGCATTTCCACGAACTTGAAGATATTGTATTTTTCAGCAATTAAGAGACAGTCTCAGAGAAAATAAGAGAAAATTATTGGATAAAATAAGAGAAAATTTTAGATCAATTAAGAGAAAACTGACCAATAAAATAAGAGAAAAACACAGGAAAAATTAAGAGAGAAAAAAAGGGGCAATTAGTAGAAAGCTTATTTATACTTTAATCTCATTATAAGTTTTTCTCCAGGGCTAAGCACTTTTCAAAAAATCCGAGGGAATGGTGGATCCAGCCTTGGCAGTCTTTCTTGGTTACCTTGGAGCAGGCATCCATGATTCTGGGTGTGAGTGTCTCACCAGTTTCGAAAGGTTTTCTTTTGACACCATACTTCACCTTCGACCAGAATAGCTCAATTGGGTTTAGGAATGGTGAGTATGGTGGAAGATATACACACCTATAGCCTCTGCTTTCTATCAAATTTCTTACTGTAGCTGGCTTATGTATGGGAGCATTGTCCATTACCAAGTAAAAACCCCTCATGTTGTTTCGGTCAAGAACATCCATCACATTACTCAAGTAATTTAGATAATGCTCGGCCCTTGTTCCAACTTTGGCTGTTGTTGTAACAACCTTACCATCTACTCTTCTCTTCTTAGCTCTCGAAACCATTATTGGCTTTCTCAAAGAAATGTCAATAACGCCGGCACTTGAGATGGCACCAAGGATGGTTATTGTAGTGCCTTTTGAAGCAGGGACAGTTGTCTTAGCAGGTGCTCCCTTCTTAGACCAGCCACGAGTGCGTGTCATGTGAAGATTGAATCCTGCTTCATCCAAAAATACGCAATTGTTCTCAAAGTCAATTTCTCTATCAGCTAGCCATTGAAGGATGGTCTCCTTTCTCTTCTTCAAAGTTTCTTCTGAATTTCTAGCAACTGAAATCTTCTCCAACTTCTTCATAGATAGTGCACAGCTGGTCCTAAGATGTCTGTATACTGCGGATGGGCTTGCAGAGAGACTTGGAAACTCTATGATCAATGACTCGTGTATTCCAGCTACAGTTGTAGTTGAACGCTCATCAACAAGGTCGATAATAAACTTCGAGTGCTTCTCAGTAAGCTCAGAGACAGTTCCCATTCTGCGTCCTCTTTTCTTCTGTTGAGGTACCTCCCCAGTTTTCTGCCACTGCGATTTGAAACGGTAGGCTGATTTTTCATTTATTCCTGTCTTTAAAGCTGCATCCTTTATAGGTACCTGTTCAACTAACAGAGCAATAAGCTTGTTGATATCCTGCTGAGTGTATATACGTCTAGCATTGCTAGCGTCGTCTTTTTTTTCAGTCAGGTCTCTGAGAGGCTTCTCTTCTTTCAAATCGCTCTCACTACTCTGCACATCAGCTTCATTTTCCTCCTCGTCCGAGCTATTACTGGGCTCATCACCCTCGTGCCCTTCCTTCAGTTCCATCGTCACATCTTCATCTAACTCCATGGCTGATGCAGTGATGTTATACTCCCACTTCTTTCTCATCATCGACATTACACTGACAATAATCTCGGGTACAGCTTCAATATCTTCGTCGCGTAGAGAGATCTCGTTCATATCATAGTCAATATCCATTTTTTGTTAATAATAGTGAGAAAAGTGCTTTCTACTAATTGCCCCTTTTTCTCTCTCTTAATTTTTCCTGTGTTTTTCTCTTATTTTATTGGTCAGTTTTCTCTTAATTGATCTAAAATTTTCTCTTATTTTATCCAATAATTTTCTCTTATTTTCTCTGAGACTGTCTCTTAATTGCTGAAAAATACAATAACAGCTTGAAAAAGGCCTAAGTCACAAAAAAAAATCAACAAGTCATTGAGGACGATCCTTCGGCTAAATTTTATACGGCATGATTAAATAGGAGTTTACAAAGTTTTTTTTTTTTTGTAAATCAAGTTTTGATTAACTTGTTTAGTCATGTGACAATCTGACATTAAATAAGTCTTCAATTACATACTAAAATATATCATAATCAATTTACATCAGACATAGACATAAAAGAACCTCTTGTACTGAATAAGACAATGTATCTTTTAATAGATCAAGACTTATAACCGAAATCCAGTCATTTGCACGAACTCTGCTACTACTTACTCCGACATCTCTTCATGTATAAATATGCTAGAATAATTTATAGTCAAAAAGAACAATAGAATTGTATAAACAGTCTCAAAGTATCTACCTTTGTCTCTATATTATCTTATCATATAACTCTCTATTATCAAAACATCACAAGTCACACATACTCGTAGAGGTGAAACTTGATATTTGTTTTTTGCTATTTAATCGGGAATCCTATTCGTAAGAATGTGGATTTGTCGATTGATAGTTGTGAGAATTGTATCGGCAGTAAAAGGTATGTTGTGGAGAATGAGTTGCCAGTAAGCTCTCCAGATGTAAAATTGCGTAGTGGAAACGATTACCAAGAAAGATCGATAGAGGCTAGATTTTTTATGGAAGGGAGACTTGATAGAGAGCAATGCATTTAGAATATCACGATTGGATAACAGATAAGTGGGGAAATGGTATTGGAGTACCATGGACCAAATAGAGTTCTTGTTTAGACAAGAAACAAGAAAGTGTTCAAAGTCTTTGCTTGTCAAGTTACACAGCCTACAGAGAGTACTGGGTACAGTTCCAATCTGATAAAGATATGTGGCGGTGGGCAGTTTCCGGGAAATTACCCTGTACCAGTGGTTTCGAGCAGGGAGTGAGATGGGGAGCGACCAAAAAGTCTTGATATCTTTTGTTGGAATAGAAGAGAATAAAGATATTGTCCAATTAATTTTCAAATTGCTAAAGTTTTGAGAGGTATAACTGTACCAGTGTTGATTGTGTTGAAGTTGGTTAACCAGAGTAGTAATGTGGGGTACAAGTTGGGTTTCTTCATCAACGTTGGTAACAATATGATCAAAAAGATACGGTTTTAATTTCACTGTTCGTAGTTCCAAGATTTCTCTTTTCAGCCTTCGGCACAGCGATGGCTTGTGGGTATATTCAGTTTCAACTTGCAGCAGTAGACGACAAAGCCGAGAGTCATAGATGAAGAAATTGCTTGCTAAGAATTTTTTATGCCTGTTCAACCAGTGATTAGTTGGGTAAGACTTTAACAAGTAATGAAGCGGCAGTTGTAGCAAAGTGGCTACCGAACAGCCCGAGAAATCAAATTTGATACCAAAGTGATCAAAAGCTTGGTAGCACGCATTGACAATGGAAGTGGGATGGTTTAGAGGATGGGTGCGCCATTCCGGAACAAAAAAGGATAAGATCAAGTGCAGTGTTCAATGTGCCAAAAGTTGGTTTCAAATTGAAAAATACTAGCTGTTCAATGCCTCATTATTATACACAGAATTTTAAAATTCTATGTTTTTTCAGAAGGGAGAGTATGTCTTACAAGTGGAGAGAAGAGGGGATAGATAAACATAGTCTCGGCCATATCATTCTGGCACCATCTTTTATGAGACAGGACGCTGTTTTACAAAGATCAGTATACCATTGCTTTTAATGAAAGTCTATGATTTTAGCCTACATATCATTTGACACATTTGCATATACCAATAGATTATCATCATTGGTATTTAATGCTTCACTTATGTAGTCAAATGTCTTACTCCTTAATTTCAAGATCAAGTCGTCTTTATATGCAGTTGTGGTAGAATAGTGATTGTCATAGATCTACAAAATAAAGAGAGTTCAGTAAACTTTTTTGATATCTGTTTTATTTGATTTACCGCTTTGAGTTCTCTTACCCATTCTTGAGCTCAACTAGATATACAAGGAAACGATCTTTTGTTGAGCCAGGTCAAGTATGTATGGATATCAGAAGGTAAAAATTTTGTCATTGAATTGGCTTTCATTGAAGAAGTGAAAAACACGTAGTTCAGCATTCTAAAGAGCACAAGTTAGCCTTTATGTCTAAATATATGGACTTACAGTTTCTGAATGACTGTCATTTTTTTGTTGTTCTCTTTTAATGCAACAGCATTGTTACGCGGATCTGATAACAATTTACCAACATTTTTGCCATTAATTGACCACTAAAACAGATGTTAATTTAGTGGCTGTTAAAATAGAAAGACATGTCGAACTTACTGTAGATTGAATAGAAGGATAAGTTACTGGGTTAGAAACTAAAGACATAACGGCAGAAGCGGAAGAACTAGTAGTACTGTCGGCATTAACAATAAAATCAACGGAAGCAGCAATACTACTACCGATACCAATGCCAATAGCAACAGCAATACTACCACTAATCCTAGCGATACAGCAAATCTATCTGATAATGGATTGGGTATTAGCACTATTACTGATGCTAATACCAACATCAATACTACTACCAATGCTAATGACTTGGATATTAATATTGAGAATGCAAAACTCAAATTAACAAGAACGCTAAAAAGAAAATTACAGGAAATGAAAGGATTATCAGAGGAAATTTTAAAATTACAAAAAAAAAAGATAAGATACCTAGAAGAGTTTCAAAATTTGTAATTATATTAGCTTCTACCACACCTAAAGATTTGCACCTGGTAATTTTTAATAAAAATTAAACCACTCCAATTGAAATTTTCTTTTTTTAAAAAAAAATCGCTCATTGGCGTTGCACTTACTGTATTTTTCTGCACATTGGGTTGTAAAAAAACACTCTTTAGGATCTTTTCCACCCGCCCTTTGGCGTTGCCTTCGCTGTATTTCCAAATGACAAAATTTCTGGACATACAAGGACATTCATTTTTGAGCTAGTATCATTAATTTTTGGTTGCGGGCATCTAATTTTCTCAAAGTGACAAAATGTACCATTCTCATTGTATGTTCTTTTATGTATGCGCAAACACAAGAAACTCAAAAAAAGGGAATTGGAAAGCAGAAATGATGGTTTACTTTGAAAAATACTTGCGCCTGCAGCGGGCTGCCAATCCACTGGTGGAATCATTATACTTGTCAATTTTATTCAAAAATGGGGTGTAAATTATTTGGTAGCTACAAAGTATGTATGTTTTTAAAGGCATTTGACAAATTACTGGTTTCTTTATGTGATAAACAATTGAACACTGTTTGTTGCTATAAAATGATCTGTTGAAAAAAAAATTACATATTCATATAAAAGTAGTTACTTTTTGGAATGATCAATAGAGTAGATGGAGTATTCTTTGACCATCCCCTTTCTACCTGGTACTCTACGGATTTCCGTTTGAGCATGTTCGATACGAAAACCGGACTCAGGCTATCTTGCTTTTACTTTTGGTATTTTCAACAATGACTACCATTACAAGAGAACATGCAATATGTATACTTTACCATGAAGATTGTAGTAAAAATAAAGTTAACGAATTACCTGATTTAACTGAAGAAATAAATCTTGAAATTTTTTATAAAGATGATCCTTACAAGCCATTCCTACTATATATCTTTCTTATTTAAAGATAATTGAAGCTATTGAATAAAGCAATCAAATCAAATGCTTTAGTCAGTCAAGTTCAACTCATAAATTTTTTGGATGCTGTATTTTTACCAGTAAATCCAAACAATGAAGAAGCTTATACATGCAAAAACTTAAGCATGAATAATATTTTAAGGAGAGTAATTTCAAACGAAATCTTAGTCGCTAACTCAAAACTCACGCTATGTATTGTTAAGAACTGTATGAGGTGGGTCAAGCATGCCGAAACTTATGGGGAAAGGTGTATAAACAATGTGTTGTACCTCAAATAGCTGTAAACCAGTCTCCTAGAAATATTTTGGACCTGCCCAAAAAAAACTATACAAAAGAACGCAAATACCTGCTGATGTTATCATGAATACACGTTTATCGAAATCAAATGGCTCAGCTATGAGTCTAATATTTATTTATCTGATGATATACAGATGCCTTGCTGCTTTCGCAATTAAACAATGAAGGTATGAGTTGATAACAATAAAAGTAGTTTACGCCAAGTCAGGTCAATCAAAAAGATTTCAAAGTGATCTCCCCTCAAAATAAACCATGTTACTAATGAAATTAAATACTTCAAGTGTAAAATGAGTCACTGTGGGAAAAGAGGAATTCGAAAAAAAAATACAACTGAGCCAATATGATCAAAATGACATATTGAATGAAAACAGAAACGTCTTCATCTTACAGAAATCTATCTTGTAATTTAGAACAACATAAATGTTCATTTAATAACAAGTTTAATTCAAAGATATATGTACTTTATTAAACTGGCTTTGAACTTCCCGTAGAATATTTCTCCATTTGGAACCCGTAACTGGTTTAAGGTTAGACGGGAAATCCTCTCCTGTCTCCCCCAGTTTATTTGTGCCAATATTCACATGCTCTATAAAGTGATTGGTTCCTTCTATTTTATATATATTTTTGACTATAAATCTACTAACTGTTCTTTTGAATTCAAAACAAAGAACGATATTAGTTAGAGTAAATCAATAGGTTCCACATCATCAGAAAAACGTAAAAAAAAATAGATGTAGATCTACGAAAATGAAGTTGTTGGATGAACTGGTTCCCCAAGATTCACGTTTTTCATTGGCTTGGGCTTTGAATCTATCCGATGTTTCCGTGCACGTATTTTATTTTTGTCTCGTTCCTTAACGAACTTTGTCTCTTTGTGTGTAAAATCCCCTCCTTCCTTTTTTTTTTTTTCCTTCCTTTTTTCTCTTTATCTCTCTTTCTTTGCTTCTTTTTTTTTCTTTACATAACTATGGCAGATACAGTGAGTCGCTTAGAACAGTACCGTCGTACTTTTCAAAAATACGCCACCATTGAAAATGAACACAAGGAAAAATTCATGACCCGTGAAGACTTTTTGTCTGCCATCGTACCCGGTGAAGACTTCAAAAAGATCCAAAGAGATCAATTTGAACTCTTGTACAAAATTGCAGACAGAACAAACAAGGGGGCTATTTCTTTTGATGATTTTGTGATTTTTGAAGACTTATTGTCAAAGCCTGATGCGGAGTACGAAGTCGCTTTTCGTGTGTTTGACGTAAATGGTACGGGTAAGGTAACATTTGATCAGTTCAAGAGTGTGTTGTCCAGCAATATGCCTGATGACGCTGTTCCTTTTGACTTTGATTGCGATTGGCTCAAGCTATACATTGGTTCAAAAGAAGGTCATCATGAATTAAGCTACCAGGAGTTCACTCAACTCATCAAGGGTTTGCAAGGCGAACGTCTTCGTCAAGAATTTAAGCATTATGACAAGGATCATTCCGGTTTTATTGCTCCTGAAGATTTTAAGAAGATTATTTTGGATGTTGCAAAGCACAAGTTGTCAGACGATGTGATCGATCATTTACCTACCCTTTGTAACCTCACCAGTAGTAACAAAATCAGTTTCTCTTCTGTGGTTGCTTTTCATAACGTGATTCGCAATATCGATATGGTGGAACTTGTGATTCGTAAGGCTATTGAAGCCAATGCTGATAAAAAGATCACCAAGGCTGATTTCTTAAAGCATGCTCATGAAGCCAGTCGTTACACTGCTTTTACGCCTATGGAAGTGGATGTGATTTTCCATTTTGCTGGTGTTGATGACGATTCTGGTGTGCTTAGTTTAGACGATTTTGCTCGTATCTTGGATCCTCGTTGGACTACATCGCATAAAGAATTAGAAGAAGCAACTGAAAAATTATATGTCGATCATCCTCAACAACCCAAGCATGGTGCTCTTTGGCAAATCATTGAGAGCGCCTATTCTTTTGCACTTGGTTCAGTGGCTGGTGCTGTTGGTGCCACTGCTGTATACCCTATTGATTTGGTCAAGACGCGTATGCAAAATCAAAGATCAAAAGTGGTTGGTGAACTCTTATACAAGAACAGTTTAGACTGTTTCAAAAAGGTAATAAAGAATGAAGGTTTTGCAGGTCTGTATCGAGGTCTGGGTCCTCAACTTGTGGTAAGTCAATCTATATATATATATATATATCTAATTTTGGGCTTGATTCTAATCATACTGCGATAGGGTGTTGCACCTGAAAAAGCCATCAAATTGACTGTCAACGATTTTGTTCGTAGTCAATTTACCAGTAGAAACAATGGCGAGATCAAGTTTTGGCAAGAAATGATTGCTGGTGGTGCTGCTGGTGCATCTCAAGTCGTGTTTACAAATCCTTTGGAAATCGTCAAGATTCGTCTTCAAATCCAAGGTGAACAATTAAAGCATTTGGCTCCTGGTGAAGTTGCTCCTAAACGTTCTGCTATCTGGATCGTAAAGCATTTGGGTATTGTTGGTTTGTATAAGGGTGTCAGTGCCTGTCTTTTAAGAGACGTGCCTTTCTCTGCCATCTATTTCCCTGCCTATGCTCACTTGAAGAAAGACTTGTTTAAGGAAGGTCCTGATCATAAATTGAAGATTACTGAGCTTTTGATGGCTGGTGCTATTGCCGGTATGCCTGCTGCTTACTTTACAACACCTGCTGATGTGATCAAGACTCGTTTGCAAGTCGAAGCACGTAAAGGCCAGACAACATACAATGGTATTGTTGATGCTGCTAGAAAGATCTTCCGTGAAGAAGGATTCAAGGCCTTCTTTAAGGGTGGCCCTGCTCGTATCTTCCGTTCTTCACCTCAATTCGGTGTCACTCTGACTGTGTATGAACTCTTACACCAATTCTTACCCCTTCCTGGCCATGGATCTGCTGCAAATACCACTTCTACTACTACTACCACAGCTATCGTTAATCCTGTACAAACTATTGAACACAAAACTACGCTTCGCTCTACAAATGCACTAAAAATGTTGCTGGATCTTGACTATCGATTTGGTGTCCATCAACCCTCAACCAAAAAATAATAGACTGTATGTGTAATTTGTCCTTATTCTTGTGTATTTTAAATAAAAAAAATGTATATTTACATTATTCTTCTTTTTGCTTTAATGTCTTTGCTTGCTTTAGTTTCTTGATTTCCTTTAACAAGGCCATCATTAAAGGAACAGAAATAGGTACAAACAATGGCATATAAATAGCATATTTATGCTCATCAGGGAAATAAAGCATAGATACCATGGTTGGATCAAAAAATGCCTTTTCAGCCAGTTCAATCGCTTCAATTGAGTTTTGCAAAGCATTCAAATAGTCCCTCTTACGTAGAGCAGTATCCACAAGATCCAATGCATTCAAAGAATGATGTACTTTGTCACTAATATGATCTTGAACTACCATGTTGGGGATTTCATCTACCAACTGAGCTAAAGATTTTAAAGTAGAGATAGTATTGACAACATTCTCAAGTGTTCTTGTTCGAATTAAGTTGTCTTTTTCCAATGTTGTGATACCTGTGTGTGTGGCTGGTGCAAATGTCACTTGGTAATCATGTACCTTTATCGATAAGTACAAGTCAATAGAGTAAGACACATACCAATTGCTTGGGAACATGACTCTCCATGTCTTGAACACCAATTAAGCTTCTCAATTGAGAAACAAAGATCTTAATAATAGGCTGCAAATCTTGCTTGGTAAATCGATATTCTCCAGTTGCATTTCGAGGCGGGTTTTTGATGACAACACTTCCCCAGCGAGGAATAAGAAACGCACTTGTCAAAAGAGGTTGTCCTGTAAACCAAGGTTACTATTGGCAGCATGTATAGGTCTTTACCTTTAGCATCATGAATACGAAGTGGGGATTCATCAGCAGAGGGGACATATAAAATGAAATGAATACTTGGGTATGAAGTGATTGTGGATGCTAAATTCCATTCTGCAGAATTGACAAAGTGAGGCAAATGCTGAGGTTCAAAATAATAATAATTGGGTTTGCCTTCTCTTTCCTTGTATTTGGGTTTCAAAGACAATGGCGCATAATTTTGAATCTACAAAATGAGATTGTTTGTTTATTAGACAACCATGTTACCTGTGATGTGATGGTAAGGTTAGAGACAGTAGAGACAGCTTTGATAAAAGGAGTGAAATAAGCATTGATGGCATCACGAATATCCCAATCCATACGCATATGTTCTGGATTGTTGTTCATCAAACTAATGGTAGCTCCATATTGAGAAGAATACTTGAGTGCACGCATGCTTGCCACATCGTTCTATATACTCTTAAAAAGCTGGTCTGTAGACGACGCTATGCTTACCTTGTTTGTGCCTTCAACATGACAGGCAATGTTGCCCAAGTTTTCTTGTTTATTCAAGTAAATGGGCGTTATTAATGTGGCAATGGCTTTTGTCACTCTATCTATGGAGAGCATGAGCTTATACTTTATTCTCTTCTGTTCCTCTCACCTAGTGTCATGTCTTTGATGCTTAATTGACTTGATCTCTCACTTCCAACATAAAGAGTGTCTTTTTCTGCTTGATTAACATAAATAAAATAATCGCCAATAGGTGCTTCATCATGTCCTTCCACAACATCTCCTATCCATTCTTTTATCAGAATATCAATAGGGAACTGATCCTTGTATCTTGAATGTGTTGATAATTGACGTTTGATATCAGAAATGATTTGTTCTTGCTTATTGAGTTGTGGAGGAACAAAGATAGTCAATTGAGTGGGCATTACAAAATCGCATGCCTAAAAATGAATAGATTCAATAACTGTTTTTTTTTAAATAATAAAGCACTGTTCTTACTTGTTTCTGATATCGTGTATCAATCTCGTCAAACGGTAAACTAGCTCTATATACTTCTGTTGTTTTCCACCAAAAGGGTAAGCCAACCAAGACTACACTCCAAAAGGCAAACACAACAAGACGCGTCACTTTATCTAAGTAAAGGTAAATAAATGACTTGTTTGTCTTTACTCTTTCTACCTGTGTTGTCTTGCTGCATCTGAGGTGAAAAGAAAAACGAAAAAAAAAGATGAAAAACATCGGTGATTCAACCATGACTTTGTTTCTATAGTGAATAAGGCACACGTTTTCATTGGTTAAACAGTTTATTATGCATTATCTACAGCGTATATATGATTAGGAAGAGAAGATGGCAATAGTTTTTCTATATACAGCAGCCCAATTCATCATAATTGGACTACAAATGAGCAAGGATGCACCAAACACAAGCATTAACGTTTCAAAGTCTGAAGCAGACATAATCAATCCAGCAACAACAGGGCCAACAAACATACCAACCGAATAGGCCATATTGTACAATGCATACACTACAGAAATATGAGTACATTATATAGCATATAGATAGATTCTACCTTGAGCATAAGCAGCACCACCCTAGATCAATAAGTTAGCCACTTTAGTAGAACATTGGTTGACTTACCATTTCACTGACAGTTTCGCCCATTTCAGGCAAGATGGGAGTCAAAGTCACAGGACTAGAGAGACCAAAGACCATAAGAGGAGGAATGATCCAACAAATAGAACCATATCCCAAAGCAACTAAAGGAGAAGCAATGGCCATCATGATCATGCCAGTAGCAGAAATAACTTGTCTACCGATCTATAGTAGGCTGATTAGTTTATCTACTTTTATACCAGTACTCTCTACCTTATCAGAAAGATGGCCAATAGCAGGAGCAAGAAAAGCAGGAATGACCATGGTAACAAAGATAACTGGATGTAAAGACTGAGTTTCATTCTATTTTGTCATGGTTCTACTTACGACCAATAGTAGAAGCAGAGGCATCATATTCCTTTTGTAAATGAATAGGCAATGCAGGCTCAATGCCAGAAAAGACAGAAGCACTGATAGTAACACACAAGACACAAGACAAAATGCGCCAATTCTTTAAGAGATCAATCATCGTGAGTGGCTTCTTTTGACTATCCTTATTTTTGACAAGTGGTGTTGTTTCGTCTATATCTTCTTGTGCTCGAGAAACATGATCTTGTGTTTGTTCAATATGATCATGCTTGGGCTCAGCTAACCAAACAATAGCCAGGAAGTTGATGACAGCAAATCCTGAACAAAACAAAAAGGGTGCAGCAAATCCACCATATTCATACAAGAACCCACCTACTGCAGGACCAATGGCAAATCCTACTGTATGTGCAGTCAAGACAGTTCCCATAACAACACCGAGTTTCTTTGTAGGAAACACATCAGCCAATAAACCAAGGCCAATGGTCCTGTTCATAGATTAAGTAAACAATGTGTCTATGATGCACAGTTACATACCATGATGCACCACCTGCAATACCTTGAGCCATACGAGCTAAAATCAATACAGCATAGGAATCTGCAATAGCAAAAGCCAGAGTGGAAATCACCATACCGAGCATGCCACCTAACATAGGGTATCTTCTATTGTGGTAACGATCTGAAAGGATAGCAAAGATAGGAGTAGCTATCAATAAACCAAAAGCTTTGATTCTTGTTATTATAATGGATCAATGAATCAATCTACAAACCATAACAGCCGAATAATAAACCAACCATGGTAGAATCACCATGCAAACGCTCAATCACAAGAACAGGAAGGCAAGGAATAACAACACCATAGACTAACATATCACTTGAATAGTCTAAGTATTTAGGTCATGCAAACATAAAGTATACATACATAAACAATGTAAGTGCAACAACACAAGCAACACCAATACGAGAATGACGTGCTCTTGTCCATGCTGATTTATTAGAATAATCTTCTTCCATCACTTTATCAAAGAAAAAAGAAAGAAAAAGATAAGAATTTTTTTTTTTTATTCAGGGGAACTTAAAGAAGTAGATTACAGAGCATAGTCACAATCTTGACCAATGGAGAATGAACTTCTCTATCAAAAATGGTATTTTTAAACAAGTATTGCCAATGGAAACTTTAAGCTTCAATTACTCTGCTGATCTTTTTCCCACCATCTAATTATAGTAGAAATTCAAATGAAATATTTGTTTACACATACAAACAATCTACATATTGCCCAATAGAGCGGATATTTAAATTGAGCAGCATATTGTTCCACAGTTTGACACTTGAGTTTGTCATATATCATAAGGATAATATGTCCTTTTGTTTTACTTTTGATTGACAGGTTCAATTAGATTTTTTATCCATGCATTTTTAATAACAGATCGAATTATGCAGCTAAATTTTGGAGAATAATAATAAAATACCTGTTGCATGAATTATTTCAGTCTGTGTTGATGTTCAAAAAATAAAGGCGGGGTATAAAGAAAGCAAAAGAGATATCACGTATTCAAGGTAGACTTGTCAGACACAATACGAAAACCTGATTCTTTTAGTACAGTTATACCATCTTTTGCCAACTCAAACATCAAGAAATAAACTGCTCCTGAGGGTCCTGCCTTTAGTAATCCAGGCACAATACCCTTATACAAAGACCAAACGCCTTCTGTTGCAACCATCTTTCGTATACATCCAAGCACTGAATTATCTCGACTATAACTAGGGATCTTGGAAACAACATATTCTGACATATGAGGTCCTTGGACTTGCAATCGTTTTCTAACCACATCTAAGGGGAAAACACCAGTTTTACTGATAATACCTGCTAATGAGCCACAAAGCATGTCTTGCATTCGCTTATGGTCTTCTGGAATGACCTTCTTGTCCTGAATGTGTAAACATGAGTTATATGTCAACCATGTTTGTGATGTATACCTTGAGTGATTGAGCCATAGAGCACAACCCTTCATAACTAAAGAACATCAAACCCATATAAGGCATGATTTGTGTAATCGAAGATCCCAATCCACGGTAAAATCCTCGGACACCTTCTTTTTCATAAATATCCAACACGGCATGTAACATGTTATTATAAACCTAGAAAATGTAACCGAATCAATACCGGGCTAAATGGTTCAATCTTGAACTTACTCTTGTTTCACCTTGCATGGCAAACCGTGTTCTCAATAGATCAAATGGATATGTTGTCGCTGTAGCAAAACTACCTGCAAGCATACCTGATATAAACGGCTTTATTGCGGGTGATACTTGATGTTGCTATTAAAAGTAAGTATATCTAATCAAGAAATCATCCCAACCTTTTTCATAAAATCATCAAGAAAATAATAGGCATAAAATTGAGAAATACCATAAGTCACATAAAGCCATTCTGCAGCTACATTGCCTTTAAAAAACCCCTAGATATATAGATGAATATATACTTTATGGATCATCTTTTTTTTTACCTTGACCCCTTCTTCTGCTAAAATAGTTTTGAATGCTTGTGTAATGCCAGAGTATTTAATGTTATTTTTGGCTTGTTTGGAAAGCAATTGTCTTAGAGTATAACGTTCTGGTTGAACCTGAAGTCTGATCTTGACAACGTCAAGAGGAGAGATGGCGAGTCTGTCATAAAGAATTAAAAAACAGAAAGCAGGATAAGAGACTCATATTACCTTGTGGTAAGGCCTGCAAAGCCACCACATAAAGCTAGCTCGTTTGCATTTAGTTTAGAAGAAATGATATGTGAAGACATAAGAAAAAAAATAAAAAAGAAAAAAATATATAAAAATTTAATATGACCCAAAAAAGAAAAAGCACTGTCAATCAGTGAACCCAAATCAGACACGATTTCAATAGGATCTAAGGCTGCTTAGTGACAGTAATCCGATCAAGTCATGTTGCTAGGCAACTACAACACTGCTTTGTTATCAAGCATGACAAAGAAGAGCATTACTATCACAACCACCAATCAAAATGACCGCACATCCAGAGGCTTTGCGTGACTTGTCCTAACTTGCTCTTTTTTTCAAGTTCGGACCTTGTTTTCTTTTTTTTTACCCCCCTACCTTTCTGTTCTATATAAAAGCATGGCATCTACATTTCGTCAAGGCTTGAGTACGTGTTGTCTTTATTTAAAAACGATGGGTGACTAACGTTTGAATAGAAAAGGTCTATTTACCCAACATTGTGTTTAAAATGGTTCGAGCACCTAATCTCCAACCTAATCAAGTTGCTTTCCGTGTGCCACCCAGCTGCAACAAGTTTGATATTCACTCTTATTTAACCAACATTTACGGTGTTCAAGTACAAGAAGTACGCACAATGAATTATGGAACAGTTCATAAAAAGGGACGTAACGGCAAAGTTGAAGTATCACAAGCAGCTTATAAAAAAGCTATTGTTACGCTTGATCAAGTCTTTGAATGGCCCAAGGAACCTGAGTGGTGTAAATTGGATCAAGAACAAGCCAAGTTGGGATCAAAGGCCGCTATGCGTAAGACAAAGGGATGGCGTATCAGAGCACCCGAAAATGAAAGAGTCGAGTTAAAGAATGTCAACGATCAATTACAAGCAAGGATGGAAGCTGAACAGAAGCAAAAATAATAGATAGAAATAAATAATGTAAATAATCATTTATGTAAAAACACAAACTTGTTCCTCTAATTTGAACATCCTTGCGCGGCTTATTCGTTTAATCTTTTTTTTTACCGCTTGAAACTGCTTTCTAAATATAAAAAAAAAAAAAAAAGGTTTCCCCATAAAAAGAAAAAAAAAAGAACCTGATTGTTTCGGCCGTTGCCGCTTGATTTCTTTTAAGAAACAGCTATTTAAGTCATTGGCAGGAGAATTCATTAACGTTCTGTGGGAATAAAAGTGTAACCTGAATTGAACATTATAAAGCGGAATCTGCTTGTAATTTGTTCAAAATACACATTCTACATATCGGTTATTTTATCTTCCATTTAGGAAACACCTTATTGTTAAAGAGAGGAAGAAGAATGTTTATTTTCTAAGATATATATATATATACATGGAACTAGCAAAAGAGAGTTTTAAATGAAGGAAGTGTACAGTTGGTAGAAATAGGATGAAATAAGGGAGGTGATAATAAAGAAGGAGGTGCCAAAATATCCTTACATGATGGTAAAGAATATCTTTCTATGTGAGTTATTGGCATTTCTTGAAAAAAAGTAGGTCCTATGGTGACCAAAGCATGTTGTGTGTTTTCTTCGGGTGCTGGTGAAGAAGAAGAGGAAGAATCGTCACTATAAGACCGACGTTGAAGTAAAGAGGAATGATCAAACAAGGCAGTCATCTTTTGTTTATCAAGCACATCTTCTCGAGACACTTGAATGCCATGATAGGCATAAATGTGTCGAACAAGTTGTCCTTTTCTCCAGAAGGATTTAAAACAACCATTCGCAAGACAATGGTGCAGTTCAGATTGAGAAGACGCTCGGCGTTCACGAGCGCGCTTTGCTCGTTCATTCAGTTCTAGGGAGGCGGCAGTGGTGGTGCCTTGAGGTGGTTGATAATGAGTCAAATAAGAACCCAAGCGAAGAATGGAACAATGTTGCCGTAAATAATCATCTTCTTCCATGACGGGGTGCTTGCTATTTTTTTTCTTTCTCTGTTTAAGTATGCGTTCGCAACTTGATTGGTGTACTCGAATATGGCGCCGAAGTTCGTCTGATCGAGCAAAACGTCTATTACAGAAATCAAATGAACAAGCATGAGGTTTTTCGCCTGTATGTGTACGAACATGGCGTACTTTATGTTCTAATCGCAAGAATGATTTATCACAAAAGTCGCATGTATAAGGCCTTAATTCTTTTTGCATTTTGGAAAGGAACGGAAAGGAAAAAAAAGAAGATTATCATTTATATACAAAAATAAAGACAAAGAAAGCGGGACCACTGGAGTAAAAGCGGGAAATAGTGAATCTCAGGGTTCCAATTCTCATTCACGTAATTGGCACCAAGTTCTTTTTTTTTTACCGCGAATTCAGCAGAATGAAAAATCGGGGAACCCTTTTCGTTTAACCCGTGTGGTCGGGAAAAGCATTAAAAAGCGGGGAACTATATTTGTACAGAAAAAAAAAAAAGCATGTTTCTCATTATATCGGCTACACAACAGAGGTCATGCTTAACCATCCTACAGCAGAGACAATGGGTCATTGTACAGTGTTTTGTTTTATAATTATTGAATTTGGTTGGTTTTGATTTACAATATGGAGTAAACATGGAGACGTAAATTAACCAAAGAAGGATAAGAAACAAGCTTATTTCAAACAGGAAGCCAAGTACTTTAAAGACAATCCTTTTTTTTTTTATCGATACAATAACTCAAGAAATTGACAGTTCTATTGATATTAATTTAAACACCAGCATGCCATGTAAATAGGGGTCTCCTTTCCCCGTAATGTATTCCATTGACTGCTAAAATATACCATTCATAAGCAAAACAAAATGATAACTCATTTGGTTTTATGATTGTCTTTTAAAGGCAAAAAAGAAAGGACTCGATCATTTTTATTTTTATTTTTTATTTTTGCTGGACAACAAAGTTCTCTTACATAATTTATTCAGGGTACCTTACGTAAGGCTATTCCAATCTCCTCCACGAATATGTTAAAATGAAAAGCGATACTGATATTGCTTGTTGAATACGCTCTTCTTTACACTGTCATTCCATGTTTTATCCCTAATAGAGATAAGTGAATTTTTGTATTTAGTACTACAAATATTTACCCTTTCAATCGTTTTGTAATGTCATCCAAATCCAATTTAAGATAATCTACAATCAAATCACCAATTTCAGTATTTTCGTGGTTACCTCGGAGTCGCTTTGATGCATGACCATAGGCATACAAGTTCACATCTACACCAGTGTGTCCCATCGTGGTCCACTTGTCAAAAGGGGGTGAGTTCAATGTCCTACATTGAGTTTTTATGGTCTTACACCAATCTGGGCTCTTGTGCTCAACACGTCTGATAGCACCAATGCGAAATACTCGGGTCCTTTTCCAGTCTCTTTCCAGGCCCATAATTTATCAAATTCCTGTTGTGTTGTGTCTTGTACGCCTAAGCCGTGCTTGAGGATAATTTCGACCAGGAATTCTTTTGTGTCTGTTCCTGCCTCTACCGCTTTTGCCCAGGCTAAACTCAGGATTTCAGTCGAGTTTATAGCATATTGAAGTGCTTCTGGGTTCCATTCATATTCAGGATACTCTTCAGTCACTTGTCTACCTACAGTGAGACCACCTGTTTCATGATCACTGACAGAAATCAAGAGTGTGTTTGGATGCTTATCAATAAAATCCATCACGGCAGCCACTGTGTGCTGATACTCGAGTATTTCGTAATAATGGGCAGCAGGATCATTTCTAATATGTTAATTATCAAAGATATGCTTTTGTATTGTGAATGCTTACACATGAGCTGCCATATCAATGCGACTGCCTTCAATCATCAAGAAGAATCCATGCTTTGATTTTTTAAGGATATGCAATGCTTTCTTGGTCATTTCGACAAGAGAAGGTTGTGTAGCAGGGTCTCGATCCATGGCATAGTCCATATGCTAATGTATGCTTAGTTCAACCATATTGTCTTTATAAGACACCACTTACATGGTGAGCAAATAAGCCCATCAAAGGCAAAGGTGCGTTGTCATCCAGCTTATCAAATGCTGCTTTTTCAGTCATGATATGCCATCCAAACTGATCTTTTGCTTGCTTTAACAAGTCCCTGTCATCCTGTCGACAACTGTTGTCTGTCTGATTGCTAATGAACTCACATAATCCTCCACCAAACATCAAATCTACTGTTCTTCCTAAAGGCGTGAGTCCTATTTGATGTTGTGCGATATCATTTTCAAAATCACGCCAATTGACATGAGCAGAAAAAGCAGCAGGCGTAGCATGTGTGATACGAGACTTGACAACAAGACCTGTCTTCATCTGGCGGTGTATTTTAGCAGACTCCAAGAGAGTACCACAAGGTGTGCTTCTATCGTCCACTTAGAGATTGATTCAGTACATTTGATTAAAGATAGACGATGGATCTTACCTCCAATGGCTCCATTAAATGTCTTGATACCACAGGCAAAGGCAGTGGCTCCTGCTGCACTATCTGTAATCAAACTCGAACTACTTTGAGTCTGGATTTGGCCCACTATGATGTGATCTAAAGGAAACATAGTCTTCACAGGTAAATTGTTTATTCTTGCATGATATTGACGTCCAAATGTTTCAGAGGCAGGTCCAAACCCATCACTGATCATCAAAATGACGTTAGGTTGAGCATGTCCTAAGCATGTTTAATACTTGTCGTGTCCTGTTTGCTTACTCTTAGGCATATTGAAGACAGTCAATACGATAGTCAACATCATCATCAACATGAAAAGATAATGCATAAAGCGATGACATGCAGATGCATAACTCGGTTTCTATATATGGACAAATCAAAAGTTTAAATCATACATTGCAATACATACTTTAATAGCAATCTCAATATCGTCTTTTTCTTTTAAAGGTAAAAGCGTATAGTTAAATACCATATTAGACAATAAAAAACAAAAGAAAAAGAATAGAAAAGAGAAAAAGGAAGGGGGGTTTATATATGCACTACAGAACTCCGATGACACTCCTTTTTGATTTACTTCCCCTCCTTTTGTATTCTTTCCTTTTCTTTCTTATAAAATGGAAAAGAAGAAATCAAGCTTAATTCAATGGTGTATTCGTATATGGCAATTGATAGCAGCCATAGGTGCCTTTGGATTTCAAATAGGTGCATCACCGGTAAGAACATGATGGTGTACAATATTTACCTATGATGACAGTATTCAAAAGAGCCTCCACCCTTTGAGACACTGGGTCTATTGTATTATGGTTGGGTGATATGCTGGTTATCCATTGTGTGGAGTGTATTCTATATCACAAAATCAATTCAAATCAAACGGTTTTTATTGATCTTATTTGATTTAGTGTTGGCTGCATTATTTGGTGTCTGTATGTGCTATGAAATCAGTAGTTATACATGTAAACCAGGCATACATCATGGTTGGTGTGATTTCTATAATACAGGCTTATTCTTTCTTATGTCACTCTTTTTAACATACATCATCAACACAATAGGGGATGTCATAGTTTAATCAATAAATATTATCGTCCATACATTTCTTCAAAATAAGGTGCAAGGCGACTACGATCCACTGTGGCAATATAGTATTGACCACCATTGTTTGTCCAACTCACAGCTTCAGAATAATATTCAAATGCTTCTACTCGTAAAATAGATTCAGGCATATTCAGTGTACGCTGATTGATTTTGTGGTGTTTGGGTACAAAGGATTTGAGTGAAATGATCTTGGTGCCTTCTTTCAAGTCTAGAAACAGTTGAGCGAGTGCTTGATTGGTAGCAGCATCAAAAGCATAGTTATTGACTAACAATACATCTGATCTTTTCAAGGTAGAGTACAGATCATTGGCCGCAACATCTAAAAAGTCGCCATGTCTAAAATGAATTTTACCTGTAGGAAGGCGCCAGGCTCTAGTAGACAGGGTCATCAGTCATCGATAGGTATTTCATATCATGACTTACTTCATACGGGCTGCATATTCTTTTAGCTGTCTTTTTGCAAATTTACATGGTGTTTCCATAATCTCAATACCATATGCTTCACATCCAGTTTGTGCTGCTACTTGTAAAACAACATTACCAATACCACATCCCATATCCATAAATACACTGCGTGAATTAAGACCTGTTTTAGTAATGAACTCCTTGACCAAGATAGGGTTGATTTCACCATAGACATTATTTGAAAAGGCTTTATATATATATATATAAGTATATTGGCTTAAAAAGGGTATGCTTACCTTGGTAGTTATTCAATGCTTCTGCTTGACGTGCTACTGTACGACTATAGACTTGAAATAAGATATGACAGGCTAAATCATAGCTTGGGTGGCACATAGTCTTTGCATTTTGACTCATCACACCTTCTGCTTTCAATTGTCGTATCACCTTATTAAAATCCTTAACAGCTTGAACAAACCCGGCCGCATTACGACGATTACGATATTTTGTCAAATTACGCATGATACCATGGGATTGATTACCCAACAAATGCTGCTGTTCAGGCAAAAGATAGGATTCATAAATCAATTCAGCTGTGCGCATAATGTCCGTGATAGGGTTATATTCATCCTTGTCTTCTTCATCCTCGTCATAGCCTTTGCCTGTTGCATTCCTGATGACAGGTTTAAGCAAAAGAAAGCTAACAAAATAAGTTATTTTTTATCATGTATATGCCTACTTACTTTTCTGGTTCAACAGATCCAGGGTATTCAAGGACAACACTGAGATGCTTGTCTTTACTCATGGCGTCTGATTCTGGTTCAGTGAAATCTAATAGTAAGAAGTAAATAAGATAGTCCAATCATTCGGTTCTCTATGACTTACAAGGTCTGTATTGTGCTATTTCAGCTTGTACTATTCTATCTGAATGAGTAATTGATTTACAGGGCTTGGCAGGAGCTGGTTTCTTGTCTCGATGACTATCCATAGAGCTTGATAAACGTCTTTTGATAGTCTCTTTTTTAGGTGGTGTAGTAGAGGTGGATTCAACTAGCTTGGCTGTATAGTTAGATGTCTTGGTAGTGGTAGTCGCAGTTGTCGATGCTGTCGATGTCACTGCCGCCGCCGCTGCTGCTGCTGCTGCTGCTGCTGCTGCTGCAAGTTTACTAGCCATGACTTTCTTGGGAGGTAAGGCAATAGTTTGCTTATTTTGGTCTTTTTCAGTCAGAAGATGATTTCTCTCTTCTTTCTTGGAAGATTCAATCATGGTCATTATAGTTTTAGAAAAAAAAAAAGAAACAGGGAGAGAAAGAACGAAACAACAGAACAGCACTAAATGCAATAGAAAAAATCGAGTCACAGAAATAGAGATTAATTGCATGGCAAGTGGCTATTCTCCTCTTCTTACAGAAGTTTTCAGTTTCATATTGACTGATTTGATGTTGGTAGAATTGGAGTATAGGTACTCCGAGAAGGCGTAAGGCCAATCCAGATAGACTTATTGCAAGAGATGAGAGGGCATCCCGAGACTTGGTAGATCGACCATGCTTGACAGAGACCCTTTGTATGCCTTTTGATCATCTTTCCATTCTTCTTTCTTCAACAAAACAAGGATACTCTAGATACTCGAGACAATAGACGTATGTCTGTGAAGTCTTGTATTCATTTGCGATACAGACATTGCCTCTTTTTCTACACCTGTGTCTCTGTCACCAACAAATTGAACTACTTTATGCCAATCTAGTGGGTTATAAGGTTAGCTGAACTTCTACAATAAAATCATCAACAATAGATATCACTAAAGAAGCATCTTGAATATCAATTGAGTCAGCAACAACCTTTCTTTTCTTGTCTGTTGTATTCAAATCATTAGGTTTAGTACTTATGAGTGCCTAGGATAAACAGGGCAAGGAAGAGATAAGGTTGTTTTCTTGTCATAAGACTATGCTTAGAAAAAGCAAGTTTTCATGTCATTTTATTTCATATTGTTATTTATAATAAACCGTTGCAGAAGCTTAGACACTTATCTTCATTACTGTAATGAATTGGCTTGACATTTAGAATATAAGAAACAACTTTTTTTTGGGGGGACAGTATTTTGATAGATGCATGATTGTTTATTAATTGAAGCATTTAATGTTTTAAACAATTAAACTTATTACTTATTGGACATCATGTTGTTAAAACCTTGCTGCTGTTGTTGTTGTTGTTGTTGTTGTTGTCGCTGTGCTTGAAGACGTTGTTGCTGTAGCTGTATTTGCATTTGCAAGTGATATTGCTGTTGTTGTTGTTGTAATTGTTGTAATACTTGAGGAGAATGTTGTTGTTGTTGTTGTTGTTGCAGTACATGTTGTGGTGGTAATGGTGGTTGTGGTTGTGGTAGCATACCCTGAAGAAACATGGATGGACTATGACCAGCCAATTGTTGTAGTTGTGCAGGTGTGATACTATTGGCAATAGCAGTAGCAGAACTACTCTTTTTTGTCATTTCAAGACGGATATTCAATATGTTTCGTTTTAATGCAGTCTGATCATGTTCTAATTGACGTCTTTCTTTCTCCAACAGTCTCTTTTGTCTTTCTACCATATTCTCGAGTGCTTCATAGTGTGTTAGCTGCTGTTGATAATGAGTGAGTTTGTGTCTAGTGAGCATGGTAGTTAATTCCAATAGTGAATCCTCTTGCTCTGGTTCTTTTTCTATCTCTGCTACATGGCCTGTTGCTGCTGCTGTTGCTACCTGTGGTTTAACAGAAGATGCTAAAAAGGCAACAGCAGCCATCACTGGATTTTCTTTATGCTGTGCTGTATCATATTGCAATAAACCCAATTCCTTTAATTCAGCATGTTGAAATGGATCTTGCATAGGTAGTTCAAGATAGTGTAAGACACATTCATCGTGTGTCCGTGTGCCTACATGTTCTGCAATCTTTTCCCAATCATCATCATACAGGTTCAGTCCTTCTTGTAGCATGGCTTCTTCTTCTTCAGTCCATTCTTCCATTGGCTCTTCTGTTTGTCTTGTCTTTTCTAATACAAAATGACCACTCTTTTGATTGGGTGGATATTTGCCTTCGACGAAACATGTACGACAGAGATAGAAATCAGATTTTGTTGTACTGCAGTATTGTTCATCAGCACAGTCATTTTCGCAACTAGAACATGTCTGTTGTTCTGTTGGTTTGTTAAAGTCATAATGTGTTGTCACTGGTTCTTCTTTTACTTGTTCTTCTTCTTCTTCTTCTTTTGTTGTTATTATCTCTGAAGGTTTATCGAGTACTATTTTGAATTGACTATCAAAAGATGCACTTAGTGATGAGAATTTGGCTTCAGGATCCACCTATAGAATAAACCATCAATAACCACAAACAAGACAACATAACTCCCTTGCCTGATAATTAATTAATCCCCATTGTTCCAAGAATGAATGCACACGTAAAATAGAACACACATCACCCGTTAGGTTTCTTCTACAGGCAGTAATCGTCAAATATTCTACTGGATTCATGCGATACGTATTCACCATAAAATCACGGTATTCTTTATAGACAGTGGGTGTCTTGGATTTGTTGAGATTATTAAAGAATTCAGGTAGTGATTTAGATTCAATAGGATGTACAGAGGTAATATCAAACCAGCCAGCATAAGATGGAATAATGATATCATGTGCCTGAATAGAAAGATAACGTTGTGGATCTTCTTCAGGTAAGGGTATAGCTGAAAGGTTGATGGGTAAAAGAGGTTCTGTCTTGATCTCTTCATGCTCTTCAGGTGTCTTGAGCTTCTTGTTTGGGTTGTCTACACTGTCCATGGTAGCAGATCGTTTTAGACTTGGTTTGTCTGGATAGTCATAGTCTTCAGGTACCATCCATTCTTTATATGTAAAACTATCCAAGAGCCAAGTAGCTCTTAAGTGATATGGTATGCTGACAGTAGGTTTGGAAACTTGGTTAGGTGGTAGTTCTTCTACCCATTGATTATGTGATTCTGGTAAACCCACAAAATGAATCCATGATCTGTTGTATTGCGTCTCTTGGACATAATATGCTCTCTCTGCTGGATGAAAGACAGGATCCGTATTATTGTACACAATATGAGTTGCATTGGGCACATCCACCACTTGACCTATGATCTCATCAGTGTCTAGCGTACTTGATTTTTAACTTACCTCCTAATAGATGTACCATCTGTGACCATGCTTGTCGTTGGTGTGCCTCTACTTGTGTATCAAACCCAATCATTGGTGTCTCATCATATCCTTCTTGAACAAGTTGTTGTTTAACCACATCAATCAATTGAATATAGACATCTTTATTTTCAGGTGCATCAAATTGCCAATCACTCAAGTCCTTGTCTGATTGAAAACTGTAAGCTGTCTGAAGAATAGTATAGAGAGGAGATGGTTTTGCAAGTGCCTCTACATTGAAGAAGCGTGTAGGTATACGAGCCATAGGAGCCTCTTGTTGGAACTTGAGAAATCGACCAGTAAAATAAGCAAGCTCGGGTGCTGTAAACGCGGTATCACATCCAAAGGATGCAAGGTCATTTTTTAAATCATCTAGAATAGCATCAAAATAAGAAATGATACTGGGCTGTTCATAATAGTTGAGATCAATGTTGGGTGGTTGTTCTTTGGCAGTGGTGGTCATAGCAATAAGCGCGTTTCAAAGCATATAGCTTAAAGAGGGAGGAAACAAAAAGGAGACGGAAAAAGTGACTTTGTTCACAGACAGACCAACAGTAAGCGCGTTTAACAGAAAAAAGGTGACGTCATTATGCACGTGATCTCTAATTTTTAAGGAGTGATATATAAAAGCTAAAAAAATTTTCAACAAGAGCTTCTATGGCGCAATTGGCTAGCGCGTCTGACTGTTAATCAGGAGGTTGGTGGTTCGAGCCCACCTAGGAGCGTTTATTTTTCTTTTGGCTAGGGCCCTTTTTTTTTTTCTTTTTCTTTGTGAGATGATCGAGATTGCTTATTTGAATGCAACGCTATTGAGAATCAAGCATTATCGTTAGTAGTTCTGAGCAGAATGAACTTGAATAGTATTCTAAAGTTATTTTGTCATATAACAAATCCTTTTAGGATAATGATATAGTAAAGCTTTGAAATATCTCAGCAGTAGATTTTCTTGGACATTTCGTAATCAGTCTTAAGACATACATAAAGTATTGGGCTGTCCTACTATTTATTTTCTTGTTTTTGAACTAAGATACTCAGGAACAGACATGCTACTGCTTTTAAATTAAACAGATATCAACATGTCAAGACCTTCTATTTTACTGTTTGTATTAGAATAACTATGGGCAAGCAAGTACTATACCTCAGGAAACAATCGCTCTAGTGTAGATATTCAAGGGAAAAAGTATTCAGTAGCGTTGATTTGTAAGCACAATTAGTTTTTTGGTTTGGTTTATAGTTACAAATCATGCACTTACTTAACATGTTACTATAATGATGGTGTTTGCATATGATTTTCTTGCTTTCTATCATCAAATCTTGTGCTTATCAAAAGTATCCATTGTTATCTTAAAGCGCATACAGCAAATGCAAAGCTCATCCTGTCAAACTCAAAACCGTATTCAATAAATCCGCGGTGTATAACTTCACAGACTTTCATGACGATTGTGTTACTAAATGCTAACTCAAGTGATACTCAACGACATCAGGCACTTTGTTACAAGTCTCAACGTACTCTCTTTCTCGCATTCAAACAAAGGATTGCATTGATCTCAATAATAATGCTCCTTTCTTTTCCAGAAAAGGTCTGATGATTATCTTACTAAGAAGAAAAAGAAAATAGATAAGCAACCAAGAAAGTTTACAACCAAAATGTACTAGTTGTTGGGCGTTATCTTTGCGAATTTGTCATACGTGTTTTTGTTTGTTGTAGATGCTATTTGTATTGCCAAATACACACACCGCTTCTAAATCTAGAAAAAAAAAGAAACCTTAATTCGAACCCTGAGAAACATAAGCTAGCTAACGCATGATTTTATGATCTCCTCTTTTTTGTCTCAGTATAAAATATAAAAGACATGAGAGCCGGGCATCTCACCCAAGAAACACTGTGCAAATGAGTGTGTGAAAAAACATCTAGTTGAGATTACCTATTTTGTGTCTTTTGTACAAATTTATATGTGTATTCGTAATACCCTTATTTGAAGTAGTACATGATAAAAATAGTGGTTAAATCTAAATACTTTCCAGTAGCAATAATATTATCGAAAAAATCGATAGGGTTTAAAAACCATTCGAGTTTCATCTCTAAAGTAGAAAAAAAGAGAGAGACTTGTTTGTGAAGGAGAGAGAATGACAAATAAAAAAATATAGATTTGTCGTATTTTTCCATTTACTAAATCTTATCAATTAATTGGTATTGAGTCATAAGAGTCTATCGAATGAAAAGGTCTAAAACCTTTTCTTTTGGGAAATCAATTCACTCCCAGCAATACCAAGACCCTTTTTTTATCTCGTTGTTCTACTGGAAAAAGAGAATATAGTCATTGACCCTTTTCTTCTTGCTTTATCTTAACATCTATCTATCGTTTCTTCCCCCCTTTTTTTTTCTAGCTGTACTACTTGAAGCACAACATTATACATACAGTAAGTAGCACTTTAGGCAGAAATTGCCTAAAGTAAAAATTATACTACACATGTGACAAAAGAATAAGACGATCGACGAATTAAAACTCATTCCTCTTCTCGGATAAACTCTATTGTTTATTCCATCTCTATTGGCTTTCTCATTATGCGTATCTTTAAAGGGACTCTTTATAAATAAGCCTATCGTATCCATTGATCGCACCGTGAGAAATGACTGGCCGAACGGAGTATTGTGAGAAAAATTTGCCATGTGGACAACGAAGAAAAACTTCCATTTTTGGAGCAAAGCAAATGTTTTTCCTTGTCCCACCAATAACAAGATAAAGAAATGAACAAAGTTTAGAAATTAAGGAAAGATAGAATAAAATCAGTTATAGATATTTTATGAAAATTAGGATAATTTCAACTAAAGCATGTAGCAAATTCACTATCCTTCTTTTTCTTGCTTTTTAGTATAATAGAGAAAAAAAAAAAAAGAAAGAGAAACTAAAAAGAATGGCTATCTTTTCAACCATCTTCATATCAAAATAGCGAAATACAAAAGAAAAAGTTATCATATGGCAAAATTTGTAAATTGACGAATCATATTTTTTGTATCACTCAATCATTGGGTCAGACTTCCAGTCCAAAATCGGCGCTACAAGTCTTGAACTTTGTTTCGATTAGGTAACCGAAATTGAATATAAAATAAAAAACGAATCAGATCCCTTTCTTGCTTTTTTTCTTTCAAATTTCTCTTTCCTTATATTATGTCCGAGAAATTGGAACAAGACAAGGTTTCCAACAACGTTGTTTACAATGATGATGAATATCATCATGATGAACTTGCTGGTCCCGAGCCTACAGAAGAAGACTGGAAGTCTTTGCGTGAAGTAGCTGACAAGATTCCTGCTTCTGCTTACCTCGTCATTGTCATTGAGTTCTGTGAACGTTTCACTTACTATGGTCTTAGTGGTCCTTTCCAAAGTAAATACTACTGCGAAAAGCTAATGTATCATTTTACTTACTGTTTTGAATAGACTATATCCAATATCCCGCCCCAGAATCATGTATGTATTCAACTGATCACTTAAGATAACAGATAACTTACCTATCTTATTACTACTAGATCCCGCTGATCAAGCTGGTGCCATGGGTAGAGGTCAACAAACTGCTACCGCTCTCACCACCTTTTTCCAATTCTGGTGTTATATCACTCCCATTATTGGTGCTGTCGTTGCTGATCAATACCTCGGCAAGTACCGTACTATTGTTCTTTTCTCTTGCTTCTACATTGTTGGTTTGGTCATCTTAACTGCTACTGCTTCTCCTGCCGCCATCGCTAATGGTGCTGCTTTCCCTGGTTTTATTGTTGCTATCATCATCATTGGTCTTGGTACTGGTGGTATTAAATCTAATGTCTCTCCTCTTGTCGCTGAACAATACCAATCCAAATCACCTTATATTACTACAACAGCCAAAGGTGAACGCGTCATTGTTACTCCTCAAGCTACTTATCAAAAGATTTTCAACTTGTTCTACTGGGGTATCAACGTTGGTTCTCTTTCCGCTATTGCTACCACTGAATTAGAAAAGAACGTTGGTTTCTGGCCTGCTTACCTTTTGCCTACTTTGATGTTTGCTATTGGTATCGTTGTCATTCTCCTCGGTCATAAGCGTTATGTCCAAACACCCCCTCGTGGTTCCGTCTTTGTCGAAGCCTTCAAGTTGTTCACTCTCAGCTGGAAGGTCAAGGGTGGTATGGAAGCCTGTAAGCCCTCTAACCTCGCTGCTGATCACCCTGAACTTGCTGTCAAGGCCACTTGGGATGATGTCTTTGTTGATGAATTGAAGCGTGCTCTCAGAGCTTGTATTGTCTTCTGTTGGTACCCTATCTACTGGCTCTGTTATTCTCAAATGACAAACAACCTTGTCTCTCAAGCCAGTACCATGTGGACTGGTAATGTCCCTAATGATATTATGCAAAACATTGATCCTCTTGTCTTGATCATTACTATTCCTCTTATGGATCGTATTGTCTATCCCGGTCTCCGTCGTGTTGGTATTCCCATGCGTCCTATTTTCAGAATTTCTTTGGGTTTCTTGTTCGCTTCTGTTGCTATGGCCTACACTGCTGGTATCCAACAACGTATCTATGACAACACTTCTGAATACCCCATCTCTGCTGGTTATCAAATCCCCTCTTATGTCTTTATCGCTTTCTCTGAAATCTTTGCCTCTATCACTGGTCTTGAATACGCTTACAAGAAGGCTCCTCAATCAATGAAGTCCATTGTTATGGCTCTCTTTTTGTTCACTAACTGTATTGCTTCTATCCTTGGTTTTGCCTTGGTCTCTGTTGCTGTTGATCCCAAGTTAACCTGGATGTACACTGGTATTTCTGCTGCTTCTTTCATCTGTGCTATCTTGGTTTACGCCTTCCACCACAAGAACGATAAAAATGATGTTGAAGATGATGCCATTGGTCGTACTGGAAAGCAAGCTGAAGATTATAACAAAAATCAAGCCACTGTTGAATTCGAAGCTGAAAAAAGTGTTGTGTAAATTTTCTTTATCTAATTACTATTACTATTCCTTATTATTCATCTTAATATCTTTTTTTTTTTTTTTATTACAATTGATCTACAGCAGTGCTGTCATATCAAAAATGAATAAAAAATCTTTTCACTATTTTCTCCAAATTTAGCCTACTTTTCTCACACATGTAAGGGTGTCGTGAGAACAAATGAAAAAAGTTACCCTTCACTTTAACGTAATACAACAAAGTCAGGTGCAGTTACAGAATTACACAAAAAAAATTTTTTTTTACCTTATCTTTAATACGAAATTTAAGCGTAAATTAGGCGATTTATTTATTTTTTTGGGTATCCTGTAGTTTATCCACAATATATTCATACGTAAGAATGGTTGCTGCAGATGCAGGGACTGTACGAATAAGGTTTGTTTGAAGCCCTTTGTAGAAACCATACATGCCTTCTTCATATAGAATTACCTTGACAGCATGAAACAGTCCCTTGTATTTAAATGGCCTCGAAATTTGGTTCTGAAGTCGTGTTCGGACAACCTTTTCATGTTATTTGTCAGCCATCTGGAATCAAGTGATACAAGTACCTCATGCGGATAAGTCGTTGTACTAGCAATCATTTTAGATAACGCAGAAGCAATCAAAATTGCATGGATATTGTTTCCTTCGACTGTAGACAGAACTGATTTAAACTTCTCATACATGGGAAATTGAATAGCTACATGGCTTACACCAATGAGCGAAGGTCCTAAACCTTTATAGAAACCTCGAACACCTTCATGTTTAGCAATCATGATGAATGCTTCTATCAGGTTATTATAACGATAAGAGGATCGTACAGTTTGAGACTATAGAACATTAAAGACAGAAAAAAACATACAATGTCAATCTTTCTTTTTTCTTTTACCATAAATCTTGTCTTGATGACCCATACTGGACTTGTTAATGTCGTGCTCACTAAGCCGGCTGTTAAGGCTGATGAGATGTGTATTAACCAAGGGCTTTTCTGTTGGCCAAGATCATGGTTTGTCCAAGAATTTTTGCAGACATCATAAACTGTAAAATAAATAGCCCATGTTGGCAAATAACCTACTACTGTGGGCGTTAATCCTCTATAGAAGCCGCTTAGACCTTCTTCAATACAAATGCTTTTGAAGGTGCCTAAATACCAAGAACAAAAAAAAAAAAAGATTGGAATCACCATCAGCCAAAGATTTACTTTACCAATCGTTCCTCTATAGTCTCGTCTGCTTTGATTTTGAAGTTTTGTCTTTACGACATCAAAGGGACAAGTAATAATGGATGAGATGAGACCAGCGCCAGCGCCAGCTATAGAATGTTTAAATGTTTCATGAGTCTGTCTAAAGAACACATGAGCAAGTACAAGGAAAAAGATAATCTATTTACGCAAAATCCTTAAACCAATTAGCAGTGTAACTCATTCAATATCAAAAGAAAAAGAAAGTAAAAGAAAAGCAATATTATGCATATCTCTTATTTTTCCCGCATAGTCCCTCTTTTTTTTCTCAGGCTAACCAAAAAGAGGCCACAATTGCAATATATGAAATGAACAGATAAGACTGCATGCATGTTTATTTCTGCCAAGAAAGAGATACTTAATGTAAATGGAAAGCATATCGCGTCATGGTGTCCAATCTTTCAGAAGAAAAGTATAAAGTCAACAAGATAAATTCATTTGCTAAATCAGGATCTTCTTTGCGCATCTGATCAAATGACTCGCGTGTCAGTTTCCAGTAGACAGAGTCTGAGTCAGCAATCAAAGACCGTGTACGCACAAGGTTGTGTCCAAACATGCCTAATTCACCTACTACAGTGCCAGGCAAAATGGTTTCGACTGTCACCTCGTCTTTCAAGACATGCATCAAGCTACGAAGTGAGCCTTGTTCAAGAACAAGAAGATATTTACAAGTATCACCTTCGCGATACAGGGTATCATTTTTGGTAGCTGTAGCTCTTTCAAAGTACTTGCTGAGCTTATGGAAGAATTCAATGGGTGATTTGCCTTGATTGATTTCACCAAATGTTTGAACAAGAATAAGAGTAGGCTGACTTGTGTTCTTGTGAACAATGGGGCCATTTGTTTCTGACAGAAGGATTAATGCAAATGACTCCTTATGTGAGAGTCTACTTACCACTAAAGACGTAATGGATAGCATCTGAAATAATGTTATGACGAGGTGAGCCAGCAGATGCAAGCAGGTCAGAATAATCATACTGCTTGCTTGGAACAGGCAAAGTAGAAGCAGGTGTGCCTGATAAAACTGTATCATGGTTATGGATATCATTCGGTTTGATTTTAGTCTACTTACTATGCTTGGCTTTTTTTTCAAAGAAACTCGTCAACAAGACATTCTCACACCATTCGACAGCTTCATTAATATGCTCAAAACATTTCAGATCACTATCTCCATGTTGTTGATCATGATGAGACCAAACACCGGCTTTCATCAAGGCCTTTTCTTCATCTGAATGACGAGCTACATTACAAACAATCATGTACACTTGGCGAGCACGCAATAATCGACGAATACGAACAAATGCTTCAGCCGCACTAAAATCAAGACCTTGGACAAGTTGAAGATCCAAGATAAGAAACCGGATAGGATGCTTATCCCAATTGTGTTCATCCAGCATATGGCGAATAGCACTTTCTAACTGATCCACAGTTCCAAAAAACAAGTAGCCTTGTAACTTGATAATCTGAATTTGACCGCCTACTTGGTTCAAGAATTGTTCTTGACGATACAGTCTTCGGACAGTAGAGCGCATGTATTGACCTGTATAAATGGCACGAATAGCCTTGTTACGACGTGCGTTTTGAACAACAAAGAAGATACAGGCCATAATGATACCAACAAAGATACCTTCGACAAAGCCCAAGATGGCCATACTAGCAATAATGGTACAGATAGTAATGTATTCAAAATAGTGAACAGAACGCCAAGTATCAACCAAAGCTTCCTTGAGCAAGTCCAGACCCAAATGGAAAATCAAACTACCTACAACCATGACTGGAATATAGCCAACAATCCAAGGGCCAATCATCCACAGGATAGCTGTGGCACAGGCCAACATAACGCCTGCCACATGACTGTCACCTCCCGAGCGAATGAAAAGCAACGAATTGGTGTACACAAGATAATCTTTTTTTTTATGCATGAGACAATCTCCTCTCCTTCTTTTTTTTTCTTACTTACTTTGTACTGAACCAAACAATCCAGATACTGCATTTGAAATACCATGAGCCACTAATTCTCGGTTCACATCCACATCGTCCTTGTTTGTTGAAACACCCAGAGCAGGAACATTAATAGGAACATGCAAGACGCCTATAAAGTAACGCATAGATGATAAATAGATAAGATAATATGTGTGTACTCAACTTACCGAAAAAGGTTAATGCCAACATTGCAGGAATGGTCTCTGCTACAGCACGCCAGTCTACCATCTTGAGATTAAAGTAGGTATAGAAATGCCAAAATGGCGTATTACTCTCAACCAGTGGAAAGATCCAGCCAGCTTCACGCACTTGATTGACATCGAATCCTAAGACAAACACAACGAGATAAAATGCGAATGGTAACACCATAAAAAACACAGGTACAACCAAAGGAGATGTGATACGATATTGAATTAGTCTTAACACGATAGCAACAGCAAATGTCGAGAACCAAAGCGAGAACGTGTGTGAGTCCAGAAAGATCTTTTTGAACATGGGTATCGTGTATTCGAGATCCTCGCCCAATCGAGCAGATACTTCAATACCGGTTGCCACCAGGAACCAGCCAACACCACCAATGGTACCAACCAAGATGTGTCGGGGAAAGAAGCCGATTAACTTGCCAAGCTTGAGGGCACCGAGCAAGAAAAATGCAAGACCTGTCATGATGCTACTAATGGCAAATGCAACAACAGTAGAGGGTATAGCAACATCTGGACGATCTGATCCCACTGTTTCTACAATCTTCTCTGCCCTGTTCTTTATGTCAATAAATAGTTGACATAAACACTGAACTTACATGATATGCAAAAAGGGAACAACTGTTCAATGAATTAGAATTTTAGTTTCCTTTTATCCTAGATATAAACATTACCTTCAATCATCATACTAAATAATAATAACAATAAAAAAGAACAACTGAGCAAAAAAAAAAACCAAGCAAACTACCTTTTTTTTTCCTTACCTTCCATTACCACCATCAAATACACTACCACCACATGAATAAACAAGTTGAGAAATAATACAACTAAAACAAAACGATCAGGCGTTTTTTTTTCTTTGACCATATCCTTTACCTCACAAAGAACATGGAAATACCATCTGGACCAAAGGCAGCAAACATGGGATTATTGAGTGGAAATGTGATCATACCATACGAAATAGCATCTAACAAATTCAACAACAAACCCAGAATGACTGCAGGTATATAACTCAATGGCTGTGTGAAACAACCAATCCAGACTTGTGGATCCTTTAACTGTTTCCAACTAAGACAATGACGATAATAATAATAATCTTTTCTCGAATCCTGTTCTTCTTGAGCCTGGCCTCCTATTTCTGGATCCACATCGTGAATCGAGAGATAGTTGCTGCTTAATTTCTTCCTGGTTGAAGACGAAGAGGACGGTGATAACAAGTGTTGTCTTTCTTCTGTTTCATTCTCTTCATGTTCTTCTTCCTCTTCAATTCGGTTGGAATGGTCTCTTTGCAACAGGTTGGACAAGATCGAATGCGTCTTGCTTTCTGGAAGCGACACGGGTGATATCGGATTCAAAAACTTGTCGTCGCTTTGATGAATTGCTGGTGGTGAATTAGCCGGACTTGATTCTTGCATATATCTATCACCTAATGCTAAAGAATGCGCGCGAATCGATTCCAAAGAGGCAGAATAGCGCGCTTCTTCATTGACTGCTTCAAATAAGTACATAAATCCCTCCATCTGATCCATCACTTACCTGGGCCTTCGATATGGATATGGGAAGAATAATAAGAGCGAGAAGGTATTTCTTCATCCATTCTTGTGTTATTTTTGATGTGGATATCTTTTGGTAAAGAATCACTCGAAAATCCGGTATTGGACAACGTTGAGGAGTTATGTCGATCCATTTAGGTATTATTCCCGAGAGACAGTATATAGAAAGAATGTGTTCAGCAAGAATAACAAAAAACCAGAAGAAAGAAGAAAAAAAATTGTTTGCTGTCTCTCTTTTTCTTTTTATGGATTCGCCCTCAAGGAGTTTCAAAATCACAATTACGACAGATAACAGCTACTGTGTAACGATTTTTTTTTCTCTTTTCACTATGAATAAACATAAGCTTATAGATGACTATCAAGAATTAAAAAGAAAACCGAAATCAAAAGAAGCACTCGAGCTATTGAAAAAGCTAGCTTCTCAAGTCAAACCAATTCTCTCAAAGCACAACTGGAAGATCACAACCCTTTGTGAATTCTTTCCCGAGAATCCCAACTTGCTAGGTACCAAGATTGCAGCAGAAAGTAAAATAAAATAACACATTGAATAGGCATCAATGTCAATAGAGGCTGGCAGATAAAGTTGAGATTGAGGCCACATTACGACGAGAATCAATTTCTAGAATACCATGATATATTGGGCACTTTATTACACGAGTAAAGTAACCATATCTTGTTTTGATACTTATTTATCATCAGAATAGTTCATATTGTGAGAGGGCCTCATGATGAAATCTTCTATAAAAAACTAGCAGAGCTTCAGCAAGAAACAGAAGCATTGATGACATCAGGATATACTGGGGAAGGTTTTTACTCAAAAGGACATTTGTTGAGTTCCTCATCATCTGTCCCAAGATACTTGAGTAACCAAGCTGCTGCATCGGCAGCAGAAAAACGGCTCAAAATGTCAAAATGGATGACTCCTCCAGGCGGGAAGCGATTGGGCGGCAATAGCTCTCACAATAAGCATCTCTCGCCTGCTCAATTAGCAGCACAGGCAGCACAAAAAAGACTGCAGGACAAGGTATGGTGTGGTGGAAGTGTAGACAACAAGGATCAAGAGACTACAAACAAGAGAAGACTAGTTGATTCTCCTGTCACGATTGGAAAAAGAAGCCGTGTAACTATCGATTTAACTGCAGATGATCAAGAAGAAAATGACGATTGGGCTTGTCCTACATGTACATATTTAAACAACTCTATTGTCTTGTCCTGTATAATGTGTTTTACAGAGAGATCTTATACCCCTCCTCAAAGCGATGTTTGGACATGTCCACAATGTGAATTAGAGAACGAAAAGAAGTGGCAAACATGTACGGCTTGTGCCTTTGTTTATTTAAGATAGGAATTAAATGAACATTTGGACACTCATTGGTTTTCGAACTGCATTTGAAAATCCTTCATGATATCGATAGCTTATTCTAGAAATAGACGAATCAACTGTAGAAAAAAAAAAGTCAGTTTACAATCTTAGAACAAAGTTGCATTACCTTCCATTTTGGCACTTGTGGTAGTGGCCTTTGCTTTTGGTGTGCAAGCACGTCCAAAAAAGTCGAGTGAGATTTGTTTTGAAGTGTCTTTTGGCTTGATCCTTTCATTGCTCTTTGATTTAGTTAGTTCAGGCTTTTTGACGTCTTTGTTTCTTGAGTGAGAAGCTTCTTCTCTTCTACGTATAATTTCAGTTTCAATCTATTGAAATAGGTCAATGGGATATAGCATAACCACAAAAAATTACCTCATGTGCAATCATTTGTCTGACTGCATATTGTTTCGGCAGAATTGTCTTTGAAGTTGACAATTGATATTGCACAAGTTGTTCAACAGGTCTAGACTCAAGATGAATATGAATAGATAAACTCATAGCACACTTACGGTTCAAGCTTAAATATAAATTGTCCTTCTTCATTCTTTTCTTGTACAAACGACAAACCAAATTCAATCATAATGTCCACAAGGCGCATTAGTTTTGCTTTTTCTGAAGGCTTAATAAGTTGTTGATTTACCTATCAATATGTCAGTTGGTTTTGTTGTTGTGTAACACACTTACTGGTTTTAAATCAGGTGAAATCACATGTAACAACAAGGGCACTAATTCTTGAACAATCATTTCTTTTGTTAAGTTTCTTCTTTTTTGAGGATGAATGCCTGCTAAAAAGATAGCAATCAAATTTTCGTATGATTTTTTGGTTGAAAAAACTTCATATTCCACGCGAGGGTATTCAACACGATGTTCCTGTGAAGTGGTGCCTGCAAAAAAACGGTGGAAGTTGACGATAGGATAGGGCAAGTACTTGTAGAGATCATATTCATGCTTTTCGTTGGTTCTATAGTTCACTTGATCGTAAAAATAAAGCCATTCACTCATTGCACAAAACTTTTGAAGTGCTACATCATGAAAACGCATCAAAGGGTAAGATTCAAAGCAGCCTTGCATAATACGCTCAATTTCACCATTGGACATAATATCACTTGTAAGTCGACTCAAGCAATAGTTGCTGTCTATATCGTTCCTATTAAGTGAGGTTTTGTTGCGTGCATTCGGTGCAGAAAACAAGTCCTCCCAAATTGAAAATAAAGATCTGCCCATGTCTTTCTTGCCAAGTCCAGCTTGTTCCAACATATCTTTTGTAAACATAGTACTTTTGCTTCTTATAAGCTAAAAACAGCAGGTAAATAAGAATACTGCATACATACATACACACACACACACATACCTGTAATGTGTTTAAACAACTTCGAAGATCACCATCTGCTGTTTCTGATAATAAGCTAAGTGTTCTCAGATCACTTTCTAATCCTTCATTTTCACAAATATCTTGTAGGCGCTTAGCAATAGACATCATTGGCACCTTTTTGAATTGTATAGAGTGTGCTATCATACGTAATGGACGTAGCACAGGTGCATAGACATCATTACAAATACAGATAATAGGTCGCATTAATGGTTTTTCATCTTTACGCTTGCCTAGATATAACATAAGCATCTTGATCTGTTTCACCAGTATTTACCCTTCTTATTCTTTCCATCAGAAATCTCGACTGAAGCTAACTGAACCAGTTGTTTAATGAAGCTCTAGAATACAAATGTATCAGAAAGAGGAATCAGTTCATAAATCTATACCTCTGCACCACCACCACTACTAGCACCATCAATTTCATCAATAATCAACAGATTTGGTTTCTGTATCATATGCATTGTTCGCTTGTCATCCTTTTCATGAGGGTTTCTTATGATGGCTTGCATTTCCAAAGCGGATTTGATTTTGGACTTGACTACATCACCAGTACGATCATCACTTGCATTGACTTCAATCACATTGTATCCTGCCTTCTTTGCAATGACATGGGCCAGTGTTGTTTTACCAAAACCAGGTGGTCCAGACATCAGTAAAATCTAACTTGATTAGCTCTAATTCAAAAGGGTAGTTCTTTACCTTCTTTTCAGGTCGAAGTAACGGGTCATTATTATCCTAATTTTATGTCAATAACTTGTCTCTTTTCGTTTTCCCTTTATACCCTTTGAATGTCCTTTTTGAACGCTTTAGGCTCATAACCAAATTTAGTCTTGTATTGTCTCATCTGCTGATCTCGCTGTGATTCTTCAGTAGGCTTCCTTTTAAATACACACAAATCCCATTGCTTCACCCATCTTAGAACTTCACGATTCAGACGTTGATCACCCATCAAATCCATGAAATGTGTAGGTCGATATTTATCCACCCAAAGCTGCCCTGACTCATCTTTTGGTATTAACTTTTTCTTTTTCTTTTTATGCTTTGCACTTTCTTCTTGTTCAATTTCTCTATAGAGAACATGAATAAAGACGGTCGACAAAGCCTTTTTACCTTTGTATTCTCTCTAGTTCTGCTAAATTAGCTTGTTCAATTTCTTTTCTTAATTGCCATATAGGTTTTGTCAACAGCCCTCTTGAATGGCCCTTGGACGATGTGATCTTTTTAAACAGTATTTCCATTTTACGCTTTGATTCGCCTTGTGTTTTCCTTGGATAGAATAAAGGCTTGCCTGTTCTTGGACAATTAGCAGAAACAAATGCACCTGTATCAGGAACCTGCGTATAGTCAATGCCTGTTTTATCAATAGCAGGCTTTTCAGTGTATTTTGTAGTTGAAGTCAAGTCAATTTTATATTCTTCATTATCTGAAATGCCCATATAATCCATTGCATCGACTACAGAAGAAGGCTTAGGAGACAAAGGGTAATCTAATCTCTCTGTATCAAAAACTGGATTATCTTCCTCCATTGGATTAAAAGGGTCCTCCAAATCAAATAAAGTGGTTGCTAGTATCAAACCCTAGTTTAGAACCTGTACCTGAGTAAACACGATGAGGTTTTACCTGGTTCAGAAGACTTGTGGTTTATGTAGTCGTCCAAGCCAACAAACTCTGTATCTTGTTCTATACTTGCTTGAATCATATAGTCCAAGTCGTCTTCATCATCGAAAAAATTAGGAGAACGGTCTCGCTTAGTGGCCATAATGTGTATCGAGAAAGAGAGAAACGCGAACAATTTTTTTTTTCTCTCTCGCGTCAAAACACGGTACATGTAACTCCGCTATGTAGCCTTTCCTTTCTTGCTAAAAATTGCTTCTCATCTTTCACTCACGTTGCAGACCGACGATAAAAAGTGACATGTAACGGTTTGGTACGAGACTCTTTATGGGTCCTTGTATACTTTTATAGCGAAGTAGCGATGATCCGTCTCTTATTTGTTTTATTTCTAGCAATCGACACAAAGAATAGTATTTGCTGAGAAATATGCTACAAGAAACAATTTACTTCAATCAATAGCTCTTAGTTCAGGGCTACTTTGATAAAGCTAGTTGTCAGTAACATATGTTTAATTTAATAGTAGCTTCCAAGTGCATATATGCTGACTATGGAATAAACAAATAAATAATAAGCAAGATATATATATATAAAGAAGAAAAGGACAACAAGAAAAAAAAATCATTTATTAAAGACATCGCCTTTATCGTATTGCTCAATGTCATCCAAAGTAGCCTTCATCAGCAGCTTCATCTACACAATATGCTTAAAGACCTTGAATGTGCCAGGTGAAAATGAGTCGACAGTGGCGGGGAAAACGGTGCCAAGTAGCTCAGTGGTTCGGTAGATGTTTGAGCTACTGGAAGGCATATCAAGCATGAGCGAGACAAAGTGATCTCCGAATACAAATAGTTTAGTTATAAGAGACGTTTCTCTTTAAGGAAATACATACCAAAGCAAAGATATGCTTGGATGTATACTTTGTTCTTGATGCTTTGTCTTTTGTGGCAGATGTTGTCATGCATTGGCTTCATGAAAACCAAAGATTTCAGGCCTCTTTCCCTAAGGAATTTGGTACCATTCTCGCCTTCGTTTCTCAGTCCGAATTCACCACAGCCAAGCTCCAAATCGTTCTTCTTATAAAGCAAGACCGGCTTGCTTCCTGCTACAACTCGCTAAGACTTGCTTTTGCCATCGAACCTTTGTTTCTTGTTGGCTTTTAACTTGAAAAGACAAAGAAAAAACCTCACCACTAGAAGGCATGGTGGAAATGTAATTAGATTAGCATTTATACATATATATCTCAAGCCCTCAACTCCAATATCAAGACATGAGTTGTTTAAGAAACCAAAGGTTTCAGAAGCCTTTTGGCCTTCGCTACCAACAGCATTATTTCTGAGATAATTGAACAAGTGTTTGTTTATGGCATTGAGAACAGCCAAATCTACCCAGTAAGTGCCATATGGCTGACGACCATCATACATATGGCAAGTTGTCTTACTAATGAAATCGGTGGTAGTTTTCTAATTTAGTTTTTACAATGGTGCGCGAGCACATTTCAAGTTGATAATGTTTGTCTTCATCACTTACTGTACCTTTGTACTTGTTTATACGTTGCGTAAAAGCAACAGGGATAGGGGGAGAGTCTTGGGAGAAAGCTCTCGAATAAATGTCTTGTCTTCTTCGGTTCAGGCGGTATTTTTTCATCAAAGATGAAATGCATGACAGGGCTAGAATGTATTAGACTTGTTCAAGATCGAAATTACCAGAGTACCGGGTAGAGAGGAGGTGGCTAGAGAACGCTCTGTTCATTTCATTGTTCACTCTAGAAAGCAGCCACTTTTATATGAATATACAATTTTCTAAAGAGGAGGTCATTTCATTGAAAAAATTGTCAATTGACACAATAAATAGGTTTTTTTTATTATTTATTACACAAAGAAACCAATCATTTATCAAATCAATGATAAATGATTTCTTTGCGTGAAAAAAGAACATTATAGAACTGCATAATTAGAATCGAGACATTAAAAAACTAAAAGCAATTGTATTCTCAAAATGCTTCTTTTTAAACATACATTTATGCATTTTATATTGTTTGGGACTGCCCCTTCTCCAGCCACAGTTATATGAACCATCCTCTCTCTATCCAATATTCTGCGAATTTCGGTTTAAACATGCCCGATAAGGGGCAGTTCCTAAGAAAAAAAAAAAAAGATAGTATAGTGTAAAAAAAAACCTGTTTTTTTTAATCAAATATTCATATTCCAGCACGACGCTCCTGAACAAAAACACTGCTAATGCGTGTTATATTGATTCAGTGTTTGAAATTCTTTAGCATTGTGTCCTTCTACATGTAGAGAAATCAACTGTCAAAGGGTTTGATCTGAAAGAATCAAACAACCGCTATGATGATGTGTTGTTTGAAACCTATCGCTTGCATAGGTCAAACATTAAGGAAGGACGCCTGGAATCCTCAGACATAGCAACATACTTTATGTGGAGCCACCAAAAATTTCCTAGAGGCACGAAAGATGATCCCGGTTACTTGATTCGTCTTTTTCTTAGGAATCTTTCTTGTCGAATGAGATTATTTTGCCAGTTCAAAAAGGTTGTACGAAATGGAATTTGCTCCAACAATCCTTCCACACACTTTAGCAGAAAAATACAGCAATTCCCTTTAGTAAAGGCGACGCATTTGTTAGATGATATAGTATTCGATGAATCTGTTACTTTCTGCAAAGAATGTGGTGACGACATAGCAAGCCTGATATTGGAAAACAAGCCTGATGTTGGAAAACAAGCCTGAGGATAATTGCTTTCCGCCTTTCATTTTTCTTCAAGACTGTAGCAGTGTCATTATCAGTCCAAGAATGATAAGCTTCCCTGAACTTGCTCAATAGGGAAGTGTCACCTACAAGCTGCGTTGCAAAATATTTTCTACAATTCAATCAGATGGACACTTTTTCTGTGTTGGAAAGATCTAAAGATTGAAGAAAAAATCATAGACAATCTTATTTGCTCTGAGGCTTGGTTCCCTGCCAACACTCGAGAATCTGTTGAAAAGCATCTTTTTAAGAATGAAAAAAGTGTTATAAACAACAATAAATTTCTTGATATGAAGACTTTTGTATTACTATGTATTACATAATGATATTATACTCTAGTGTCTGGCAACTAAAAAAAAAAGTTTTACAAATCGCCTTTTTCTGTCCAAAAATACCTCATATGCTAGTAAACACAGTTTGTAGGCATTTAGAGCATTCATGTGTATATAAGCAGGCTTTATTCTATCTTTATATGTGGAGGAAACAGAAGAAGATTTGTTTCTATTATACTTTAGCATAGAGTAACACTTGATCTACTTAAATCAAAGAAAAAAGCTATGTTTGCTCATGAAAAATGTATGATCCATGACGTGCAACCGATAACTTCAGCCATATGCATTCAGTATGACATCTACCTACAAGTCTAATTTCCTTTTATCCAAGCTAAACCATAACACAAAAACCGCTTAAAAGGTTAAAAATAACAAATAATAATAATAATGACAATAATAATAATAATAGGCTAATTTTCCCTTTTTTAGAAGTATTTAATTATTCACTCCGTCAAGTGAATGAGTTTATTTAACAACAACAATCTTCACAGAGACAGCAACAACCGATAGCAGCTAAACAGTCAGTGATGCAACCACCACCACCTCTTAATCTATATATCATACGCAAACAGTCAGTTACAAATTACAGCAATAATAAATGACTTGCCTTAATATAGAGGATTTATTTTCTTGTTCTTGTGGTTGTTGTTCAGTTTGAGTAGACATAGCTTCAGTTGTAGGATAAGGCATTTGATTTAAGGGAATTTCATTCGTTGAGTTATGAGTAGCTGTGGGTGCGTTCATTTGAATAATAGTAGTAATAAAAAAAGAATTAAGAAAAAACACACTTTATATATATATATAGGCTTTTTTTTTTTTTTATAAGTAACACAAACTGTGATTGTTCTTGGCAAATGCGTCAAACAGTCGTCATTTTTATTCCATGTCACCATATCCAATTGTATCATTAACTTCATCATCCTCTCGCTTAAATAGAGTAGCCCAATATTTGACTTTAGAGGCATCTGGCATTAAAACACCGCCATCATCCACAAGGTCCTTATCTTTCATTGGATCATACAAATGATTGACAAACCTCTGTTTGTCGGAATTAAAGTAATCCCAAATACTGTATGTCTTGTCTTGTGGTTGATGACTGGTTCTTTCGGACTCTGAATTGAATAAAAAGGTACCAAACTGGCATGAATAGACATGGTAATGAAGATCCATCAACATGGCTTCATTGAATTCAAACCGTGTAGGATACAAATGCAGCAATTGGTATATACAGTCAAGGAATTGGTGAAATACAGGGCTTGTTTCTCGTTGATAACTCTTGTAGAATTTGTTCTGCATGTCTTTGATGGTATTGGTAGACAGGTTCACAAAGTATTTTTCATTGGACAAGTGGCCACATCGATCCTCAAATTTATGGCCAAAAGAAACCCAGTCTTTTTCGATCAAGATTTGAAATCCTTCAAATGTACGATAATAAGGATCAAGACAAAGTTCACTGAGAGAGACGAGTTGAGAAGTACGATCCCAACCATCTGAACAATGGACCAAGACATGCGAATTAAAGACATGGAGGTTTTTCACAATGGTCATGGTGCCATCGATCACCATCGCAATATGCTTTAACCAGCCTGATCTCTGTAATGCTGTCTTATTGATCTGTCCACCCGCAGCATCAATGCCTTGCATGGCTAAATTCGTGTTCATATCAGTCCAATATCAAACTGTGTTCATGACTCACCCTCACTGAGTTTGGCTAAACTGTCTCGCATCACATGGATATTATCAATGGCCACATAAATCTTTTTACAGTTGCGATAATGGTCCATGTTCTCAGTGCCTGCTCCTCTTGCCACATTACCTACTGCATTGGCCATGGGTCTTGCATCAATAATCAAATTGGCTGCAGTTGAACCATACAGTGTTTCACCGTTTGGACCTGTAGGCACATTGGTTGAGAAGATAGCTTCTATCAGTTTCTCATCTTGAATTGATCTGGCTTGTTTGAATCCAACGAGAGGTTGACTACTTCGCGTGATAGTAGCCTAATTGCGGCTCACGCATCAATACAGTCTTAAGGTCATCATGTCACTTACTGAATTATGCCAGTGCATATAAGATAAAGCAGGTATTCTGGCTTTACTACGGTATTTAGCAGCATAATTTAATGTATTATCACTGATTTTGGATGGCACAACCAACAGACGAGGATAGGTAGGTGAATACTAGATGGTCTTTCATGAGTGACATGGTTAGATGCATTACTTACTTACTTTATAGTCTCTGTTGATCAACGTAAATCGCCATGTATCTGTCTTTACATCAACACCCATACGTTCATATTCTTTAAGAGGATCATAGATGTTCCAGCCATTGGTGGATGTAAATGGTATTCGTGGTTGATAAGCATAGGCATACAATTGCTCTATAGAATCTAACACATCAAATAGGATCCATTTGTCTTTTATCAACTACAACTTACTGACACATGCCAATTTCTGAATACTATCAAACACATCTTGTGCTTCTCCTTCTTTCAAGAGAGATAATGTCAGCATCATAAAATCTCGACATTTGATAGAAAGTGGATGACGTCCTGTTTGTAATGAAGGTGGCTGTCTTTCCACTGTATGAATAATAGGATAAGGAATCTAACAAACAGTTCATTCACAAGCTAAACAACCCTATTCAATTTACCCATAACTCATCTTCTGAATAACTGAATATCAGGTGATGAATCGTCAAATGTAAAGTACCCACAAAGGTTTCCTTGCCTCTGTCCAACTGAACATCTTGAACCTAGCCTTGTTAGTGTATTGTTTCTTGGTCTGTTGTACCTGTGCAATCTTCAATAGATCGATTCGACTTGGTTGCATGTTTCCTTGAGGTTGAAACAGCGTGGGTAAAGAGACACGGGCAAGATTGAAAATGGTGAAAAAAGTGAAATAAATAAAAAAAAAAAGAAAAAGAAAAAAGAAGAACAAGTACCAAGCAGTGTTTGTTACTTGGTTTGGATAAAAAAAAAAAGGAGAGTAAAGTAGAATAAAATGAAGCAGAGATATCTTTTTATCATTATGTCGAATAATATTTGAACTCAGCGCATACGCAACGAAAAAAAAAAAAAAAAAAAAAAAAAAAAAAAAAAAGGTATGCCCTTTCTATCTCGTCTTACGTTCCAACATCTCATTCTCTCGGCATGTCTTTTACGTCTTGTGTTACTGGCTTATGGTGAATACCAAGACTCTTATTTCACAGTCAAATATACAGATATTGACTATGTTGTATTCACTGATGCTGCACGTTATATCACCCAAGGTCAATCCCCTTATTTACGAGACACATATCGTTATACACCTCTACTCGCCATGCTACTCACACCCAACATCTATTGGTTCTCTTCGTTTGGTAAATGTGTATTTGCACTGGCTGATATTGCTGTAGGTTACTTGATCCACCAGATCTTGATACTTCGAGGCATGCCTTCAAAAGAAGCATTGAAATGGGATGCCATTTGGCTTTTGAATCCTATGGTAGCCAATATTTCAACACGAGGCAATGCTGAGTCTCTTTTGGGTGTGATGGTCTTGGGTACACTGTATCTGATCTTGACGCGTCGTTATTTCTATTGGGGTTGTGTCCTGTTTGGATGTGCTGTCCATGTCAAGATTTACCCTGTGATTTATGCAGTCCCTTTACTGGTCTTGTTGGATGAGACACATTATGGCTTACCTTCTTTTCCGTTCTCTTCTCGTATTCAACACAGTCGATACCGTCTATTGCATCGATTAGACAGCAAGAGTTGGATGTATTCAGTGATTGCGTTTCTATCACCCCTTCGGATCTTGTTTGGACTTGTAAGTGCTTCTGTCTTTTTTGGATTGACAGGATACATGTATCAAAGGTAATCATAACAATATGCAAGGATACTTACTTGTTTAGTTATGGCCATGAATTCCTTCATCATACGTATCTTTATCATCTGACAAGACAAGATCATCGTCATAATTTCTCAGTTTGGTTCTATTCGATGTATTTAGGTATGCAAGGATCCAGTCAATGGATGAGTCTGTTTGCTTTTGTACCTCAATTAGCATTGGTCGTATTGATTGGGATTGTGTATGGTCAAGATATCTTTTTTGCTTGTTTCTTACAGACGTTTGTATTTGTCACTTTTAACAAGGTCATGACATCACAGGTAAAGTACATGTTCACATCGAAACCCTATGGACTCAAAAAAAAAAAAAAATGCAGTATTTTATGTGGTATCTGTGTTTATTTCCACTTGTGTTACCTTCTTCAAGAATCAAATGTCAATGGAAGGGATGTATTTTATTGACAGGATGGGCATTAGGACAAGTAAAGTAGATCCATACAAATCATGTTGCTCATTCTTTTTTTTTTTTTGTCTATAGGGCCTATGGTTATTTTATGCTTATCATTTAGAATTTCAAGGCCAAAATACCTTTCTGTATCTTTGGATAGCTGGTATGGTGTTCTTTGTGATCAATTGTTGGATTAGTGTTGAGTTTATCAAGCATCATCAATTTGAACCTATGTATGGCACAAGTGGGCGTATACGATGGGTGTGGGGCATGGGCGATCCCGGGTTCAAAAGACAGTAGAAAAAAAAACAAAATAAAAAATAAGCTTTGTGTATGTAGGCAGAGGAAAGTATATATAAAAATACCACTTTTCTTTTTTTCTTTTTTTCTTTTTTTCTTTTTTTCTTTTTTTCTTTTCTTTTATGTCTACTGACGTGTCTACCTTGGTTCAATCACTTCATACTACTTTCTCAAGTGGCAAGTGTATCTTATTTAATCTATCTAATCTAAAGCAGGTCTTACAAAAAACAAGGATTTCCGTAAACAACAACTTGGGAATCTAAAGCTTTTCTTTAAAGAAAAAGAAAAAGAGATTATTGAAGCCATTCACAAGGATTTCCGTAAACATGAACTGGAGACATTGATTGGTGAAATTGCACCTGTGGTTGCTGAAATTGATTATATGCTTCAAGTAAGGAATGATTCCCCATATCAGATTAATCATCATCATCATCATCATTCTGTAGCATTTGGATACATTGACAAAGACAACAGTCCTTAAACCCCAATTTAAAATGAACATGTTGGATCAATGTACTGTTCGTAAAGAACCCAAAGGTGTTGTCTTGATCATTGGTTCTTGGAATTATCCTGTAAGTAGAAATTTGATAGAGATCATTGTTCATCAAGATTAGATTCATTTGTTATTATTACCTGTGGTGGGTGCCATAGCAGCTGGTAATTGTATTGTGATGAAGGTAAAAAAAAAAACAAAAAGTTATGATCTAACTTGCAAATAGCCATCTGAAGTAGCAAGCCATACTTCAGATTTGATTGCTACTTTGATTCCTCACTATTTAGATCAAAGAGCTTATCAGGTTGTACAAGGTGCTGTGCCTGAAACAACTCTTTTACTTGAACAACAGTTTGATCATATCTTTTATACGGGGAATAGTCAAGTAGGCAAGATAGTGATGCAAGCTGCCTCTCGTCAGTTGACACCTGTCACTTTGGAACTAGGAGGAAAATCGCAAGTGATATATCTATACGATAATAATCCATACTTATTCCTTCCCTCCCTCTTCTTTAGACCTGTGATTATTGCGCCTGATGCAGATATACAGACAGCAGCGAATCGTATCATGTGGGCTAAGTTGTTTAATGGAGGACAAGTAAGTGTAGGATACAAACAACCTATATCTTATCCCTAGTAGATTTGTGTTGCACCTGATTATGTCTTGATTCCTCAATCTGCAGCACAAGAATTCGTAGACCGATGCCGAACCATTGTCTATGAACGATTTGGTGATCAACCACAGACATCCGATTCATTCTGCCGTATGATCAATGGACGTCGTTTTCATGCTCTAAAGAAACTGTTGGATGCAACAGATCCTGATGCCATCGTGGTAGGGGGTGAAACAGATGAAGCTGATTTGTATGTAGCACCTACTGTGGTTTATCCTGTACAACCCACAGACCCTGTATGGATGGAAGAAGAAATCTTTGGTCCTATTCTTCCTATTGTACCTGTTCAAGATATGGATGAAGCCATTGCTATCATCAATGTCAAGTAAGTCACTGATCTGAAAAGAACGATTTGGCCTCCCCCCCACCCTAAGCATCATCATGTTAGACCTACACCCTTAGCCCTCTATATCTTTACAGACCATCATGCCACCCGAGAAAAAAGTAAGTTAGTCTAAAGAACTCAACTCATACGACTATATAGTCTTGAATCAGACACAATCAGGTACTGTAGTTGTGAATGATCTACTGATGCAAGTACAAGAACTCTCGATGCCCTTTGGTGGTGCTGGCCCAAGTGGTATGGGTGCTTACCATGGACCTAAATCATTCGAGACATTTACTCATGAACGCAGTACGATGATCAAGTCGTCTGGCTTAGAGGGTATCATGGCTGCAAGATACCCTCCTTATACAGACAGTAAGAAAGTCTTGTTTACTCTGTTGACCATGGGATTGCCTGAAGGCTTTATTGAAAAGATAAAGTCAATTGTCCATGCTGTTCGTTCAGCTCGCCGTGTCTTTTCTTGACCCTTAGGATTCTTTTTGCTGCTAATTAAATAATTTAGTTGAATAACACACAAAGATGGACTTACCTTGGCTTGCCATGCTTGAGCCATTTGTAGAAACTTGAGAGAACGGTTCTGTACTTCATCATCAGGAAAGATGTAATCAAAGTACTCTTCCCAGATGATATTGTCTTCAGTAGAATCAGCAGCTCTTCTTCTCTTCTTGACCACCTTGGGCATCTTTTGGCTGACCACGTGTTGTGTTTCTTCTTGACCATAGTTCTCTTCAAAGTCTTTCCATGCCTCAAGTAATAACACACGCTCTTCTTTTAGTTCTTTTTCCTTCATCTTCTCATACGCCTTCTCAAAGATTGTTCGAGCACGTACCACGCCTTCTTCTGTAGTGTTATCTTCATAAGGTATCGATAGTTCAAACTGAGCAAAACTGATATAGACCTTGACATGCTCTGTTCTTTCCAACAGACGATAATACAAATCTCTTGTCTTTTCATATTCACCTTCCCCGATTTCGAAATCAATATAGGCTTTCCATAATAATTCAGGCATGTTGAGGTTCTCTTGAGCCACAGCCAGCTCATAAATAGCACGACTTCGTTCTGCTTCATCCAACACGTTCTTCTCTAGTTCTGCAAACTGAATCCAGGCAGAGCAGTTGGCAGGATCATGTTCAATGTATTTGGTGTAAATGGTACGGCATCGATCAAACTCTCTCAGTTGGAACTCAAGGTCGATATAGCCCTTAAACAGCTTATTCTTGGGACACATGCCAATCGCTCTTCCAAGTAACTTTCTGGCTTGCGTGACTTGCATCTGTCGAATCTCAAACTGAGCATACATTAACCAAATCTTGGCAAACGTGAATTGCTTGTGTGGTATGAGTTGAATGCACTGTTCATAGATTTGACGTGTGCGTTCTATATCTTGGTTTTCTAGTTCTTCATAGAGTGCATAGTTGATCCACAAATAAATATATCTTCGCCAGTATCGTTTCTCTTGAGCTGGAGGTACTTGAGCAATGGCCCTTTCGTACACTTCACGTACACGGGTAGGATCACCTGCTGATTCTTCCAGTTTAGCATAATCAAACCAGATATCATAGTTTTTAGGACTTTCTTCAATCTCTTGTTCGTACTGCACACGTCGTTTACCAATCACGACATCTTCAATGCCTGCTTTATCACCGTACTGTTTCTCGAAATTGGTGTATTGGTTATAGAGCGACTGTGATTTTGACTTGGGAAGACGGTCAAGACCGTACTTGAAAATCACACGGGCACGTTCGTATTCCTTGACTTTGATTTCAAACTTGGCAAAGGCCACCAACAGTTTTTGGTCGAGCTTTTCTTCTCCGAGAAACTCGAGTCCTGCTGTATAGATCTCTCTGCATTTGTTTAGGTTGTTGTGTTCTTCTTCAAACTTGGCCCATTTGATCCAATTGGCAGGCTCAGGATGAATACTGACAAAGCGTTCATAGATGGCACGCGCACGTTGTTTCTCGTTGTATCTTAATTCCATCTTGATATACGCCATCCAGGCATTTTCAGTAGGTTCCCATTTCATCCAACGCTCAAATACGTTTCTTGCTTTAGGCACATCACCCAAGGTTTCTTCCATATAGGTATATTTGTACCAAAACTGATCGACACGGGGCAATAAAGTGGTGGCACGGTCAAGCAAGTTACGTGCATGATTGACGTTACGATTCTTGAGTTCCATATCGACATAACGAAGCCAGATGGCATTGTTACGCCACTCGACATCCAAAGCACGCTCAAAGACAGAACGCGAACGTTGGAATTCCATCTGACTTTCTTCCCAAGTAGCATATTTGATCCAGTTGCTGATGTTCAGACGGTTTTTACGAATGTTGTCTTCGAATTCCTTACGTTTCCGTTGTCTGAATTCCTCCAATTCTTCCAAGTCGGCAATCTTTTGTTGAGGAATATTGTGGGTAGGTTCAAGACGACGATCGTGGGCTTCACGTAGAATCTGTTCTGCTGTGATTTGAATAGGAGCAGCGCTCTTATTCTTGACCTATGCTTTCATCAGTCTATTTCTTTTATGTAGTCATTCTTACCTTGGGAGGTCGAGGATTCTTTCCAAAACCACCTGTTGTTTGCTTTGTATCCATATGAACACGTAAATGAAAAAAAAAAAAAAATAAAAAAAATCAAAACGTCTTTATTGGTAGATGGTGTGACTTGCTACGACCATCGTAGCATAAGCCCTTGTCTTTTTTTTTTTTTCTTTTTTTTTCTTTTTTTTTTTTTGGTTATTTTATCGATTTAATATGAGGTGCCGTGTGCTTCGTGATATCAAGGCTCGTCAAGCTGTTGCAGACAATGAAATTACTCGCCAAGCATTCAGATACATCACTCGCAATGAAACCTTACCTGCTCGTGTACGCCATCAAGCTCAACTTCAATTGAATGCCATGCCCAAACAATCCTCACCTACGTTTATTCATAACCGTTGTGTGGCTACAGGTCATGGCAGTGGTATTTTACGTGAATTCAAATTATGTCGTTTTCAATTCCGTCTAAAGGCATTGAACGGCGAATTGCCTGGTGTCAAGAAATCTTCTTGGTAGATGATATGTTTATTGATGATGGAGTGGATATCCTTGTTCTATAGCACAATAGCGACATTTAGGTCTACCTTTTGGCACAAGATCTTCTAGTACAATAAAATCGATCGTCACATGACATGTATGGACTTGATCTGGGCCGATGAGTACCAAGAGTGTATCAGATAAAGTGTGTTGATATGATGTGAATCCATGGGCGTTAATGTTGATAGGGACCTCGAGGGTGGTGTGGGGAGGCACAGTGCCTCCTGTTTCACATGTCAATCGATGGTGAGCAGAAAAGAGCGAATAGGTGCATGGATCTGGATTGGGATTCGTAAGTGTGAGATGAGCGACTTTGGCATAGATGGTCGTGTTGGTCACTTGACATTCAAACTGAAGAGAAGAAGGTGTGATGTGACATGGTTGTGTAGCAGGATGTGTTTGGGTATATGTGTGTTGTTGTTTAGGTAAATGGTAGGTTGTTGATTGAATAGATTTGGGTAGTGATTTCTATATATATGTGTATCCTGTGCATGAGATGATAGTTAAATACATAAAAATGACTTACAAAGCGAGATGTTAATAAGCTCTCTGTTTCTGTCTAGATCGAAAGACACATTAATGGCATACACTCTATTTTTTTTTATTACCTTGAGATGAGTGCTTGAAAGATCATTTTGTTTTAACCAAGCACGATCAATGGAACTTAGGGGCAATGATCTTGCACCAAAATAGGCACCAGGAGAAATAGATCTACTTTTGGATGTTGTGTTTCTTAAGGGTCGAACATTATAGTGTTCATCCACACCACTTGGATGTGATACATGACTGTCGCTTTTCATTTGATCTAGTATTTCAGAACCTAGGATATCACGATCTGAATGAACAGAGGCATCACGCAAGTCTTTATGAAAAGGAAAAGAGCGTGCCTGGTTTAAATACTGTTCGAATTCTGCTTCTACTGAACGTTCAAGTTGATCAAGGTCTGTGTAGAGGTTAGATCTATCCACCAAATATTCATTTGCAATGTCTTCAATACCCATGCTTGAAGCAAAGGATACTGAAAGGTCGTCTTGTTTCATATAGAGTAAAAGAAAAAAAAAAAAAAAAGAAAAAAAGAAAGGAAAATCCTTTCCATAATTTCGGACCGGACATGTCGTTAGCATGATGCATGGATGATTATTTTAATAAAAATATACAGGTATAACACTACTATTATGAACGCCATTCTTTGTTGAATGACATGCGATTATCTAAAAGTCTTGGTTCATTCAGTTCTTCTAGACAAGTAGGTGGTGAAGATAAAAGAATACTTGATGCAGGACTAGGAGGAATGGCTCTTGCAGGCAATGCTAAAGGATTTGTTTGACCAGGATAAAGACCAGCAGATATCATGTCTTGTTTCATGAATTGTTCATACATATGAGCTAATAGAAATGAATAAAACCATAGTAAAATAGATAACTTACATGAATCTTGTTGAGCAATCAGTTTTTTTATCAATGCTTGTTGTTGTGATTGAACTTTTTTCATGTCTTCTAATTCTTGAACAAGACGATTGAAATTATCTTGAAGTATTCGAAACTGTTGCAGTGTTTCTGCTTGAGATAATTGAACCATGGCAAATGAAGCATGTATATCGCCTGCTTCTCGGCGTAACAGTTCTGAATCCATCACTTTTCTCTTGATGTCTTCTAACAAATCAGGTCGATTGTATTGAAATTTTGGATGAGAAAACTCCCAGATTTCGGTTTCATTATTGGTGCGTTGACCTCGGGGTGTCTTGTTGACTTTATGAAATCCATACATGTTCAATTGTCGTACAAAGCTTGAAAAGTTGGAATGTTTAAAATAGCCAGGCAATACTTCTTGAGAGAACCGAGGCACATTATACACAAGGAATGAAGTGCCATTGATATTCCAGGATATCAAGTGTTGATTACAGGTGTCATTGGTCATATTGAATAATTTACTGATAAATGTACTTGTACTTTTCCGTGTCGTGTTCTTTGGACTTTCTTCTTGACTGTCCCAGCCTTGATTTAATGGAGAAGGTGACTTGGAAGATGTACTAGAAGATATGCTGTTACGATGAGGATAAGCATTGAGTTGATCTGTTTGAGGAATGTTCATAAATGACATATGGTGTAAATACTGAGAAGAAAAAAAAAAAAAGAGAGAGAGTGAGTGAGGGAGAGTAACTTATATATATGTTCTTTAAAAAAGAATGTGATGTTTCGTATCTATCTGTCAACATGGAAGGATTCATATTGGCCAAGTTTCTCAGTTGATTATTTCTGTTTTACATGTTTATGCAGCGTTGCTTAGTAAATAACTTATGCTGTGGTTACAAGCGTATAAATCACATCATAGAAAACAATACTGGCTGGATCTATTCCCTTATAAATAGAGGGAAAAAAAAATGCTGCTCAAGACAATCGAACCACTTTTTCTACCACATTTCACCAATAGGGTGATGAACCCTTACTTTTATTTTTATTTTTTTTATCTTGTCATCTCCGCATATTCTAGACAGTCCCATCAAGCAGAAATAGGCGTGTTTCAGTCAGCATGAAAAAATAAAAAGAAGGCATCCCACTCGCATTTCCGACTTTATTTTGATTGGCCCGTGCACGCTTGATTTATATAAAATAGAGGGTATCTTTCTGTTGTGTCAGTTGAGTTTGGAATAAGTCTTGAATGAATACGGGCGATAATAAGGCTTGTTCTTCAGGTACAAATAAGGGTCTTATCTTCATTGTCGCTACATAATCACCTGACTTAGATTTCTTTTTCCAATGTGTGATTCTACTCTTGGGTTGTTGCTGTACCATTTTGGCAAACTGTTGACGACTGGGATTGTCAATCAATCCTTCCATGATCTGTAGTATGAATCGTTTCAGACTGTCATACACGAATGGGTCCTTCTTGTCGCATGCCAGACACATATAGAACAAGGTCAACACAGACAATGCTCGCTCTGAGATGGAATCAGGTGTAATCAAGAGTGGGTAATAGAGTTCAGAAGCAGAAAGTGATTTAACCGTCTTTCTTAAGGCAGCATAGGACACATATCGACCTGAATGACTCAATTGATGCCAGTTTTTTAAGCCCTGTTGACTCAGTATCACATATATATATATATATATATACTTACCTGAAGTACTTTGATCAGACTGGTTGCATAATATCTGTCTTCCTTGTCTAGACACTCCTTTTTCTGGTTTTTTAAGAGTTGAACTGTATACAATACACTGTAAAAGAGTCGCATATCTAACTCATTCAATATATACGTTCGATAGATGCGTCACTTACCTTGTTGATTGAGTTTTTGAATGATAGGCAAGAGAGATGCTTGAGGTTCATAGTGTTCATAGTCTCTTAACAGTGTATAGCAGTCAAAGGAATCATACAGTTGACCAAGGAAATGCTGCAACAAATGAGGATATTCTGTAGACACGCTTGAGTAATGTTGAGGATGAAGTACATGCTCTAATAATCGCTGAACAAAACTGGCTTCAAAGGGATGCTTGTATAAAAACAAGGTATTGTGTGTCCATTCAGAAGCATACTAGTTTTTTTTATTATTATTCAAATCAAGGCCATGGCTCAATTTGCTTACCTGGAATAGTCTGTCTGTCATTCTAGGTGATAGTTTACATGCAAGGAACAAAGAATATAATCCGTTGGTATGGCCATAGTCGTCTTGTTTTTCAAATGTACCATGTAATTCACCCGTGAGGTGGATAAGGCTAGAAGGTACTTTGAATGGCTTTTTTATCAAGGGAAACAAGAGCATACGTGATTGCCAGTCTATTCATGATTCAGTCTCTATGATGTTGATGAAATAGACCGTACCTTTTGGTTCGTCCAAGCTATTGTTTGTATATATATTTTTTTGAATACCATAGCGTATCAAGACCAATACTTTCTCAAAGCAACTGAGTGCGAGTTCCCAATCTTGCAATACAAGCTGTTGCTTGAATTGTTGTATGTTGTTGTCTTTGCTTTCATGACGCTCATTCAAGAATCGAACAAGCCCCAAAGCAAATGTGTGTAAGGGACAATGGAGAACGACAGGTATGTCTTTTAATACTGTCTCTAATGCTTGTTCTGTCCATACCATCGGTTTGGCTTCAAAGGATTGACAGCATGCATCAAATAAAGTGAGGTACAATCGAGTCATAAAGACATTGTGTTCGATATGACTCTCTTTCTCTACACCAGAATAAAGATGGGATTCAATACCAAGGCATATTTCCGTCAAGAGTTCCTTGATATCTATCAATGACCAAGTAGTCTCATCACTCGTTAACACAGCTGGAAGATGTTGATCTGACTTGTAAGAGAAAAGAATTGAGCATACACAAAAGGCATATATCCCCCACTTACTGGCTCACAGCATGCTTTTATAAACTGAAATGTGTTTTCGTTCAATGGATTCTCTCCTGCTCTAAACATGGCATAGCATGTTTCCCATATGATGGATTTGAAAGGAAGTTGCAGTTGTTTAAGCATAGGAAGAATAGCTTTGTATTGGTGTTTGTTCTTCAGACATAATTCTATCAACTTGTTCATTGTTTCATGAGGGGATAGAATAGCCAACTAGGTCATGATGAGTCTATCAAACACAACAGATGTACTTACCATCATGACTTTCTTGACGATGTCGTCTGATAGGCCTTCATTTTCTTCTACATAGGTGATTTGGTTGCCAATTTTTTGTAATTCTCTTGAGACATCTTGTCTTATGGTAACACTAACATGACCATAAGTACAGTGAAAAAAAAAAGAAAGCAAAATAAGAACTCACTGCTTCTGTGTAGTATAATCAAGAAGATCCAAAAGGGCTTCTATAGGACTGGACTCCATGCACTGATACAGCAAACTATACAATGACTTATGTTGATATTAGTGTATCATACCACTGCTTATCTGTTGTACTTACTTTGATACCTTTGTTGGATGCAGAGACCTTGTCTACCAAGACAGGCATGAGATGGTATTGAACAACAAGAGATACAAAGACATGCATACAACCTGATCTTTCTAAATCACTATAGACTTGTTAATTAAAAACAGATACAAGTGTCCTAGCTGCTTACACTAGCCAAAGATCTGCAAATTGAACCATCAGTTTTAAAAAAGATAGCCAGCCCCTTGTTCGCTTGTCTATTGCTTGACAGCACACCAATTTCCATTCTAAATAACTGCCATAGACTTGCTGCGTCACTTGGGATATCTCAGCCAGTATCACTTTCTGAAGTGGTACAAAATCAGACGTTTGGTTTGACACATTTACTATGGATCCAGTGGCTTGGTGAAGATGATGACAAATAGCGAGAAATGCTTGTTGATGACAGTCGAGTGTGTCTCTGTGTTTTGATAGAGCGTGGTAGGTATGTTGAATACTACTTTGTCTTTTTCTATTGAGATGGGAGATGTGTTGTTTAATACAGGCAAGTATGTATTTGTAGGCTATACCTCACATCTTGACATGTTTTGACAGGCACACAGGTAGAGTCTATCCTGCATAAACGACTTGGTTTTCCAGCCCATTGGGAAATCAGAGCAATATAATTCACTGTTGTATCTGAAAAGCACTCTTTAGAAGAAATGGCATCCATCAGCCTTTCCATCATATCATAGAGTCTATTTGTGCTAGCGCTTGTCTTGAATTGAATGCTTGGATCTTGTCTTGCTTTAGTCTCATTGTTCAAAATACATTCATAAATCACTTCTATGACTGATTCAAGGTGATGTTGTACTATGTACTTGTGAATAGGATGGCTTTGATGATAGCATACACTTACTGTCATGGTCTATTTGAAATTGAAATGCTAACCACCCATTAAACCGAGTATAGTCTAGATCCAAAGGTGCTTCTCTATGCATCAATCGAACAAAGGTGGTATGAAAATATCTTAATGGCTTCATGGTCTGTTTAAATGTGGTATCGATAAATTCAAGTGCGTCCTAAACCCAAGTATGAGTCTACAACTTTTTTTTTTTTTTTTTTTTTTTTTTTTACCTGGGTAGACATTCGCCCTAACGCTCTGATCGTGTAGGCATGCAGATCAAATCGACTTGATACATGATGCAGTATGCGATGATCAACGCCAGTTTCAAATCTAGGTATATCGAAATCAGTCGCGTAGTCTATCGAAAGTATGAATAAAGCTGTTGTTTGGGTAAACCTATCTACTCTTGTTGTTCATGACGGCATGAAATACGGTTGCATGCAACGCTTTTCGTGCGTCTAAGGAATAATCGTAATATGTCAATGTAGAAGCGAATGACTCGAGTAATTCTGTTGGGACACTAAACAGAAATAAGAGGGATGATTCATGTCTATTCGTTACCTGTCATAATCATCAATAGAGAGTTTTCGATGCTTAAAGATCTTGGTATGCATCGTGGGACGCTTTGATTCGTATTCTAGCCAGCCATTCAAATCAGCCTATTAAGAGTTAGATCAAGTCATTCGATTAGTTCATTACTTTGAAATGATGCTCCATGGTTCGAAAAAAAAAGAAATCAAGTTAACGCGTGCGCGCTGCATAAAAAAAAAGTGTAGCTTGTGACGCAACTTGGAGGTTGCTTTCTTTCATTTTTCTTCACATGGATGAAACAACAAGACAACAAATCATGGCTCATGTAGAAAGAAACATGGCCAATATTCCCTTCAAGACTCTCCGTTATGGTGAAATTGAACCGACTCAAGAAGAAAAACTACATCAGATGCAACTTACACTCTTGGATGATCCTGCTCTCTTTCTCGGTAAATGGGGACGACATCTGTCTCAAACTACACTGAGGATGTTCAAAGTGGTTGAGAATAATTATGAAGTCGACTTTTACTTGAATAGTTTGTTATATCAAGAGAGTCAAGATGTGGATATGACACGGCCTGTTTCTCGAAAATCGGCTATGCATCAATTAGCTCAGAATAGACGATATGAATTCTTGCAGCGCGAATTAAAGTATTCCGATTATTTCTCGGACGAATCGATTCGGTTAAGGGAACCTGTGCTTTATGATCAATATGTGGGTCAACATATACCTGTACAAGAAAGAACAAAGCCATTTGAGAATAACATGACATTGGTCAATCGAATTTTTAGTAATATGGACCAGAAATACGTTTATGATCATTTGGATCAACAAAAAATAGTTGATGAAGAACGATTTGAAGAAGAAGAAGAAGATAGTGAAGATGAAATTATGGAGAAATCAACACCATTTGTCATGACAAAGAATAAAGGAAAACAGGTTACTACAAGTGAAGAACAAGAAGAAGAACAAGACATTGAAGACATGATTGAATTTCGAGAACAACAGCGCTTAGAATTGATTCGTTTATTAGAAGAGAAATTTCTGGCTGGCAAGGATAAAGTAAGATTTATTTATTTTATATTTGATATACTCAAATTCTTTTAGGATTTTGATTACGATCAAGTAGATTATAACGAAGATTACGATAATCTTGTTCAACAAGAACAAGACATCCAAGATAGATATTTTGATGAAGATTGATTTTAAAATAAAAAAGAGGAAGTTCCCATTTGTGATGGTAGCATACTCAAATACTTCTCCAACGTGCCATCTTGCAGCCGTACCAGTGCTCTGGGTTTTCCCTGCTGTATTGCTACCCTCGGGCGTTTCCCCAGTATTGAACAACCTCCCAGCCCGGACTTCCGCCCAAACTCGAATGTTGACACCAGACTCTCCAAGACACTGTCTTCGACAAAGTACTGAGCATACCGCGATTCCATCGCCAAATGAATTCATCTCTTCAAAGACCGCAACTCTGCTTACAGAAAGCCGTAACACTTTCCGGTCAACTCTTTATAGAGTTGGGCTGTTTATAAAGAATTTAATTAAATAATATCGACAAGTTGTGGTATAGTTTCTTTATTTTATCTTTAAAACCCATTTGGTATTGACACAATACATACAAAATACTAGTAAACAATCCTATATATTGTTATTATGGTATGAAACAACATATCTCTCCAAGATAACAGTAAAGCATATTCGCCCTTCTTTTTTATAAGTTTTCGTGACTCCTTTTTTTGTGTGTTCACTTAACAAGAAAAGCTTAAAGGGAGGGGGGGGGGAGACTGCATCAAATCATACTTTCTTTTTTCTGCTTTATAAAATGCCAGCGTTTCCTATATTATCAGTCTCGAGGAAACCAGTTCTTTTAGCGATATTCTTTACTGTATTTGTCTTTTTATATAACATAGCAAGTCATCCTAGAGTAAGCAAGACTATGCAGTCTGTTGCTTACTACAATGACTATGATGAACGAGCTTGTCTTCCTCAACAACTTCTTGATAAAAGCCCGCCTGTTAAAAAAGCCAAGGCTGCTATTGTTATCCTTGTCAGAAACAAGTGAGTACATGGATACATTAAACTTGTTGTTTATATTCGTCTAGAGAACAAGAAGCTATTGCACAAACCATTGTGAATTTTCAAGACAAATTCAACAAAAATTTTGATTATCCCTATGTGTTTTTAAACGAAGTTCCATTTACACCTCAATTCAAATCAGCCATGAGAGCAGCAGCTCCCTCAGCCATGATGCAATTTGGTCTTGTGCCTGAAGAACATTGGAGTTATCCTTCTTGGATTGATCAAGACTTGGCAGCTGAGTCAAGAAAGAAGATGGAGAGCGAAGGTGTCATGTATGCTGGTTTAGAGAGCTATCATCATATGTGTCGATACCAATCTGGCTTTTTTTTTGATCACCCTCTTTTAGATGAGTAAGTAACAGACTTTTTGCTTTTTTTTTATTGTGTTGATGTATATTTCAGGTATGAATGGTATTGGCGTGTTGAGCCTGGCGTTGAATTCTTCTGTGACATTACTTATGATCCATTCTTGTACATGCAAAAGTACAATAAAAAGTATGGTTTTGTTGTCACTCTGACTGAACTCAAGGAGACCATTCCTACGCTCTGGAAGACAGTCGAAGATTATGCTCAATCAAGAAGAATTGATATCTCAAACACAAGTAAACGTTTGTTTCCTTATTTCAGAAACAAAGAAACAGGCGATTTCAATCTATGTCACTTTTGGTCTAATTTTGAAATTGGCTCCTTAAACTTATGGCGAAGTCCTCAATACCGTGATTTCTTTGATTATTTAGACAAGACAGGCAACTTTTTCTATGAACGATGGGGAGATGCACCAGGTAAGAAACAGGTATATAGAATAGACACGATTGACATATTATAGTGCATTCATTGGCAGCTGGATTGTTTTTAAAGACAGATGAAGTGCATTATTTTGAAGATATTGGATACCAACATGATTTGTACAGACATTGTCCCACAAAAGCCAGCGGATTAGGCTGTAGATGTCATTGCCCTGAAGGAACAAATGAGAAGAGCATTGATCATGATAAGAACTATGATACTTGTCTTCCAGTCTGGTTACAACATGTAAAAGAAGAGAAAAAGAGAGCCAATTGGAATGTTTGGTCATGTAAAGAATAAATTTACATACATTTCAAGTATATATATATATATATATATATATATATATATAATAATAATAATAAATTACAAATACAAGTTATGCATACACACAAATAATAGAAAGAAGGATGAGTTTGTGCGAATCCAGTCGACTTTTAGTTATTTCAATCCAATGAAAGTGTACGTTCTGCAAGATCTCCAGGCATAGACGAACTTGTTTGTTTAGAGAGAACTAGATAGCTCATCAGTATGTGATGTCATTGGTAAGTGGGTGTTGACTTACGATGTGGTTTTAGTCCTTTACCAAAATTAGAACAACAAATGCCTGCATTCATAATTGTCAACAGGACAAGTACTAAGGAAACACTGGCTAAGGTAGAATTAGAATCAAATCCAATGATGGTGTTTCTTACCAAAGAATGTCAAGAAATCTTTGACATAGGTATATTTGTATGCTTGTGTTGGATCATAGATACGGTAAATTTTGAAAATAAAATAGGCTATAGCAGCGCATGTACCAACAAAGAATAAGCTTATTAGCCATCTTGATTCATGTCGAATCTAATTCATATGAGTCAAACGCATGTTATATCTTGTTACTTACAGCATACACAGCTAACAATAAAAATAAGCAAATTAAAGGTATGGCTACAATGGTCAATGGGAATTCATAGTCGTCTATTTGTAATACAAGTACAAGGTATTGAATAGAATAACCCAAAAAGAAAAAGAGATCCAGCTTCAAAATGGTTAAAATAATTTGGAACCATCTATACATGTCTAACACAACGATGAGTTCTTAGCTCATGTGTCTCTGTAGGTTACTTACTTCTAATCTCAGGGTCTGCACCTATTTTTTTATAAATCTTCCAGCTATAGAAACATAAAAAGATGAGAAGGGAAACAGAAAGTGGAAATAGTGTCATCATTACCCAAATTCTTGATAGAGTCTTGCACCTATATAGAAATAAATAAGCTGACAAACACCAGTAACAACTGCAATGACGACCAATAATCGATTAATAAGGAAAATCAACGAGGAAGCAAATTGTTCTAATGAAGAGCTTGAATTGTCAATGGCGTCTTTTATCTGTTTGAATTGAAAGACTGCATAAGCAAAGCAACAAATGTTGAACAATAAAAAGGCAATCACTTGAATGGTATTTTGCGCACGAACCTAATAGGTGTTATAAGTCTATCTATGATTTTTTGGTGTTGTATTCTTACAGCGTCCCATGCTAAAACGACTTGAAAGACTTGAGAAGTGATAAATATCATTAAATAGACTGGAATACCCAAACCTAAATTATCGTTTGAGAATCTACCAATTGGAGTTAATATGCAAGTGTCTAGAAGCTTTCTTTCTTTTTCTTTTTTTTTACCCTGTGTGATAGAACTTAGCAAAAATGACAGCTTCTAATGCTATCACAACGATGGCTTCAAACATCGACAACACAACAAGAAAGACTGAATTAGGTGAATTTGACCAAAACTAAAAAAAAAAAAAAAAAAAAAAAAAAAGTCAATATCAACAAGGTGAATATAGAGTTGCTCACATTAAATCGACTATCCAATTTTTGTTCTCGAGCTGACTCAAACATTTTATGTGAAGATTGTTGTTCACCATCATAGGTTGATTCTGCAATACTTTCCGCAGACATCTTGTATTGCGTCGAAAAAAAAAAGTAAATCGACTTGTTGCTGAAAAAAAAAAGAAAAAGAAGGGGGCTAAGAAAAACAATAAAAAAGAAGAAAGACTACTCTATAGGGACAAGCACGCAAAAAAAGAAAGAAAGAGAGTTAGATAGGGAAAAACAAGAGAAGGGCTTCGGTAGAACCTTTTTTTTTTTTTTTGCCATGGTAAAAAAGCTCATTTGATTGGCTATTATTACAGGCACTAAACATTTGTAATTTATTCGTGTCATTTTTTTTTATTTTCATTTTTTATCATTTTCTATTCCTTTATTACTTGTGAACTAAAATAAAATAAAATAAAATAAAATGAAATAAAATGAAATGAAATGAAAAAAAAGTTTGACGTCAAGTTCTATTGTTTTCAAAAAGAGAAAAAAAACAGAGAAAGAGAAGAAAACCAGCCGCAACGGAGAAAAATTTTAAACTGCAGCAATTACTATGCTGCTGTGTAAGTCTTAAACTTTAACAAAGAATAATGCAGCCAAAAGCAACACACAGGTAGTCATTGTAGTAATTGTATTTAAGCGCAGTAAAAAAAAATACTATCTTTGCATGTAACATGAAACAGTAAAAAAAAAAAAATCCTTCATATCATTTCCTCATGACTCTTTTGTGATATGATCTCCTGTTTCCCTTTCATCTCTTATAGTCATACTAAATAAGGGAAAAGCGAGACTAGAGTTGCAAACCTTTTTTTTTCTTCATGGTAACACATATGTATATGAAAGCTGTTTGTACTAAACAATGGTTCAGAATGACAAGATGGACTCTAAGTGTATTTTGTAAGTATAAAAAAATTTCTACGCCAAGTAACGCGTGTGTTTTAAGCAAATGTTGATATCCAGTTGTTTAGTAACTGTACCTGAAAAAAATAGTGATATTTAGGAACTTTTGTCATTTACTACAAACGATAGAGTTTATAGATCAAGTACTCTTTTATGAAAAAAGTAGGCTTTTCATTATGCAAACGGATCAGTATCCGTGCTTATATCGAATGACTAGCTTGTCCTACTCGATTTTTTTCTTGAGTTTATGGAAGGGAACAGTGCTTTTAGTAAAAGATTACACAGAGTTTTTTAGTTTACCATCAAATCGTTTAAGATGATTCGATTTCCTATTTTGTTGCTTCTAATCTGTGGACCTGATATGTATAACAAAAGAGGGTTAAAGTTGAACGGAATCCGGAATGAACAAAAAAAAAAGAGAGGGCATGTGGTCTTAACACCATATTAAAGCATAAGTGAATTTTTTTCTCTCTCCTTCTTTCTTCTTTCTTTCTTTCTCTCTCTCTCTCACACACACACACACACACACACTTTTTGTTATTAATTTAATATAACCCACTCATACCCAATCACCTCCAAAATTCAAACAATAACAAAACAATAAAAAAAAAATTATCATTATAAAGAAAAAAATGTCTACTATTGCAGTAGCTACCAGCGTAACACCTAAATCTCACCATGCATCAAAAACATCAAAACCGTGCACATCTGCAAGTTGTTGTTCCCCTTCTCGCCTCTGGAAAACAATCCAATTGTTGATCAACACAGACAACCGAGACGAATTCCGTAAACTTTGTGGAGACAGCGTCAAACAACCTCACGTCGTCCGTGTGATTTTGACATCACGCCTGTCCAACAACCCTCTTGTCTACAAAAGCACCATCACGATAGACCGTCGTCTTACTGACAAGTTTGGCAAGTTATCAGCCACAGATCTCAACGCACTTGAAATTGCCCTTTTACAAAAGCATGACCACGTTGCCTACGTGCTCTTACAAACCCTCAAACAGCATGCCACCCCTATGGAATGTAAACAGTTCTTAAACCATCAATGGGGTAAGCAAGGAAATACAGCATTGCATTTGGCCGCATTCTGGGGTATGTCGAAACTTGTACGACTCATGTTAGAGATGGAGGCTGACCCTTTTGTTAAAAACAATCGCCAACTCAGACCTATCGATTGTGCAACACATCCCGACACAATCACTCTTTTGGAACAAAAGAATCAACAGACCATAATCACCAAAAGACCAAGTCTCTTGCTCAAGAAAGCCGAAAAGACCATGATGCGTTCACTTGGTATTTCAGAACCTGAACCTGTCCAAGAACAGATCTTTGTGCCTCCTCCTCCTTCTGTTCAAGATGAAGAAGACTTAATGTCTCGATTATCTCCACTTTCGTTCTCTTCCTCTTCGTCTTCGTCCTCTTCTTCTTTTGATTATCATTGCTGGACCCCACCTCAATCCCCTATTCCTTCTTCTGTGGATACAAAACAAGAACCCCTTTTGTCGGATTTGGCTAATATTACCATTTCAGATGAAAAGGATGACATTCTCTTCCAACGTCCTGGCTGTTTCCCTCAGCATCTTGTGGACAATAAACAAAATGTGTCACAGAAGCCAAAAAAGGTTCATTTCGACCCCCAGATCATTGTAGTAGATGCTTGCATACGCGGTGACTTGGAAGAGATGATAGAACTTGAAAATGAAGTTGTTTTGAGTGAGATACGCGATTTGCAAAATCGGTCCTTGTTGCATATGGCTCTGATGCACGGTCAAGAACATTTAGTAGAATACTTATCTGATAAAGTAGACATCAATCATGCTGACAAAGATGGTAAGCAATTTTTATATTTGAGATTTTTGTTTGATTGACTTTTTTTTTTTGTATAGGTTGGACTTGTCTTCATTATGCTGCTGCTTTAGGTTTATGGGGATCACTTCAGTTTCTCCTGTCAATTCCTGATTGTGATATCAGCGCACGGACCAATCATGGGCTAAGAGTTGAAGATTGTCCAGAGTCTGATTTTTGTAAAAGAAAGTGTAAAAGTAAGTGAAGCCTAGTTTGTTTGACATGAAACTCATTCATGTGTTAGTATTGATCGATAGAACACTTCGACGTGTCAACAATCTCAAGAAAATCACGAGAAAACAATCTGTAAATAGCCTTGCTTAAACTGTCCTTTATGTATTTATTTCCTTCCCTGTCCTTTTTGTACTATTCCTTTCTTTATTCTTTGTATCATCTTTGTATTTTCTATATACGCGCGCCTATATACACTCACACGCACAAAACAAACAATTATCGTATATACACTGTATTCTACCCTCCCGAGACCTTTCATTCAACCCCTTACATCCAAAAAAAATTATTTATTAACATAATACAATGATACCCTTTCCTTTCCCTTTCCTTTCCCTTTTCTCCCCCTTTATATCAAAAACACTTTTTTGTATGATTATATGTACTTATGTATATTTTTTTTTATATCATCACACGATATATATAAAAAGGCTAATCTGATATGGCTTTAAGAATAAACAAATTGTAAATTTATGAAACCATTAGTTATTTGTTTGTTTGTAAATTTATCCTATGACTAGAATGTGAAAATACACGGGAACAATGAAGCTGTGTAAAGTGTTTGTCCGTGCATTGTTTAAGAAAAAGAAAGAGCGGGGGGAATGAAACTTTATTGTCAATACACTGTTTCAGCAGCAGTAAAAAGAGGGGACTTTATGCTTAGATAAGACAGGAGTTTCATTCCACATGGAAATGAAATTAATGTACGCACAGTACAGGAATTTTTGAGATTGTTTAATTAAAAAAAGGGGGTAGTAAGCTTATTTTTACAAAAAGAAATGTGTATGAATTCGACTTGAATTATGAACAACCATTTCATGTAATTTATATTCATTCAATTCTTGTTTGATCTGAGTGGCTATCATGGCTGTCAATCGTGTACAGACTGCTTCTGAATCTGAACTACGATCATAGTCCACCTTGGAATACGTTTCATAAATATCCACCATCTTGTTGAACCTGATACCCTTTGTTTCATCATTCAAGAGTGCTTTGCTGGACCTTTTTAGGATAGAATACTGTCTCTTGGACTGATGCATGGATAATCGTGCTGCCGACCATCGCTGTCGATTGGAGGGTGAGCCTATTTCAATAGCACTTTTGGGTCGCGTGGTGTTGGTATAGCGAGTATTCTTTTTCAAGATGCTTTTGACAGGATGATGCGCAGTGATAGGAAATGTACCTAGAGAAGAAGATCGCCCTAGTTTGTCTTTTAGTTTTGCTACAGTAGAGAATCGTCCAGATCGCTGTTCATGTCTAAAAGGTGAAGAGGAAAGCATGATCCCGCAGGAGCTTCTGCGAGTATACGATTTATAAGAGGATGAAAATGAAGCAGTTGAAGACGTGTTTGAACTGGATACATCGGGTGGTCTCAATGTACTTGCAGTTGAATACCCAGCTGTGGTTGTAGAAGAACAGATAGATTCGATAGAAGGGTTCCACCTCGATGTTGGGGATATAACAGGTAAAGAAGGTTGGTTATGGGTTGAAGAGGAAGAAGAGAACCGAAATACTCGCTTGACCCTTGATTTAATTATAGAAAATTTCGATTTTTGCTGCTGTGGCTGTGGCTGTTGTTGTTGTTGTTTTTGTGAATGAACGATGGGTGCTTCACAATGAGGTTCAAGGTAAGACTGGATCATGGATTGTTGATGATAATCATAGAAATCATCATTTATATTAAAGGAATGTTCAATTTCATGTATCCAATTTTGATTCTGATCATCAGAATGCCTTTTTGGGGACTCCCTTACTGTTGCAGTAACAGTGGAATCACTTGTATCGTCGTCTGCATAATAATATTGAGGTTGTTTTTGATAATCATGGTAATGTTTCTATATAGGAATATTTTTTTAATGGGTTATCTTGTAAACAGCAACTTACATTTTTTAACGATAGTAAACTTATGTCATGAATGATTTTGTCTGTGGAAGTTGGTTTGGCATTGATAATGGTAGTCATAAGAAATACAATTAAGAAAAATGAATGTAAAGAGGGGGGGGGAATGAAAAAGAAAGAGATAAAGAAGAAGAAAAGGTTGTTTAGACCAAGATTTGACTTAAATATTACATAGTGTCTTACCTATTCTCTTTCTTTCACTCATATGGCCCCTCTTTTCTCCTTAAATAAATATTTTCTTCGGTTCTTTTTAAAGAATGACATTTGAATTCTTTGCCTTTATTTTAAAGAACCGACAAGCTTTGCAGCGCAGCTCTTTAGAGAGTATATTTTTGTTCTAGGTATCTACTGTTGATATCAGCGATAATCTCACTGACTGCACCATATTCAAACGGTACTAAAGAATTTATAGCCATCCAGCTAGATTATAGAAATGTACTTTTTGGCATCTTAATGAAGCAAGTAAGCTAACATGTAACCAAGGGAAATAAAGGTGTTTATAGTTCAGGCTCTTGTAATTCTTGTAGATTTGACGATGAATATATATATATATATATTTAAATATAGAAAGCGGTGCTCAGCAAGAAGATAAATGTTGTATGTGTTGTACAACAGCATAATAAACTGCCCGTATGAATCCATGCAATAACTACATCTAGTAAAATGACTCAACAACACCAAGGAAACAAGGACTATCTATGATATTAATGTTTTATAAATTAAATGCCTTAATGCAAATGATACAGTGGAACAATAATTAATGCATAGCTTAGTTCTGCTATTGGCATCCAAATCTCTAATTCAATGCAGATCTTTGTACGTTAACCAAGTTGGGGTTTTCAAGTCTTAACCAAAATGCAAGATCCTTGTCACAAATACAAACTATTTGCTAGTAGCATTAGAAATCTATAGACATGTTGTGTTGAACTCTTAATAAATAGCGATTCTTTGTCTAGTTTCAATTTTTCTACTTTCTTGTACCTTTTTGACAAGTGTCAAATCAAGAAAATGTTACACAAAAAAGTAAATAAAGGTAATAGTCTAGCAGATTTCCTAGGAACAACATGCTCAAACGGAAATTTGCAAAGTACCAAACAGAGAAAGGATGGTTCATAAAACTGTGGCTAGAAAAGGAGCAGTCCTAAAGAATATAAAATTCATAAATAAATATTTTGAGAATATAATTGCTATTAGTTTTAAAGTATCTCTATTCTTTTTATTCTGTTATGCCATGTTCTTTTTTCACACAAATTTATTTTTAACAACATTTGATAAACTAGTGGTTTTTTGTGTGATAAACAAACCTGCTTATTGTTATAAAATAATCTGTTAAAAATAATTTCTCAAAATTATTCTTTTCCTTTCTCTTTTGTTTTTTGTTATAAAATGACTACAATTTCTTACTCTTCCTTAAAAATTGCATACTCATGCAAAAGTGGTTGCTTTTTGGAATAGATGGGAGAGGATGGGCTGTTCTTTGCCCAACCCCTCTCTATCCACTACTCTGCGAATTTTGGAAGCCTACACCAATTCATCTCCAACTTATCAATGATACTCATTGGTGTGCCCTCAGGTTCAGCTATTCAAATAGTCATCTCTCCAAAAATAATCTATTGTATTTCTATAGCCAAGCTAATGAAGATGCTTTTAAGAAATACTGGAATAAATGGGCCAGTTCACTAAAAGAGAACTTAAAAACAGCATTCCTTCCGAAGTTATAACAATTGATGACTAAAAAATCAAATTACTTTTTTTTATACTACCATTACTTACAAAATACTATATACGGTAAAATTATAAATAGCACTCAAAATAAACCATATGATTTAATACTTTGATTTCAAGTTTTCTTGTAGACCACTGTTTTTTATCGGGGGTTATCAGCCAAGTTATAACTATCGGTGGTCCCTGAGAAACTTGCTTGTTCATGTCTTGTGCTTTAGAATTTTGATCAACTCCAATACTAATTGTTCTGATTTCACCCACATATGAATTGCTAAAGCAATAACAATGTGTGCTTAGCGAATTGTATTCGTCCAAAGGATGATTATGTTGGTGTTCGTCTGCTTTCTTTGTGGGTCGAAGCTTGAATCCAGTTTATCTCTAAAGACTAATAGCGGTTTTTATTCTGCTCTTATATTTAAACTTCGGTAAACACTGGTTTTATTCGCCTTCTATCACTACTGAGCCTTCCTTTTTTTTTAAGTTTGCCTTTTACCAAGATCCTTAACACCACTAGCAACCAGGTATCTTCTTGCTAAGGCGTCCGATGTCCAAGTGCTTTTGCTACTTATTCATCCTGATGAAAGGCAATGCTGTTGGGGACTCTGTCTTTAGAAACTGCGTTCTCCCTCTTGGCCGTCTTCTTGATCAGACGTGAGTGCAGTGTCTACAAGAGACATGCACTCATTGAAAACACCAAAGGTTTGCTCCACTTCTCTGTGCTTCTCCAAAGCTTCTCGTCTTCTTTTGGCAAGCTATTAATTCATTGTTAGACATAGTCTAATTTTATATTTTATAGAAGTTGCCTTGCTCTTCTTTGACAAAGCTTGCGCCTCATAGCAGCAGCTTCCTTCTCTTTCTCAGCCTTCTCGTTCGCCTTTTTATCCTCTCTTGCACTGTTCAAATGACGGTTGTAATAGTTTCTTATATACTGGTCTTTTTCTGCGTCGTTCCACTTTGAATCAAGAACCAAGTCGTCAAAATCTTTACCTCTGACTTTTTTTATTATTGACTTATACAAGTGCTTGTTGGTTGTGCTGGACACAAATCGTTCTTATAGGTTCCAGTCATGACCTTGTTCCTCTAACACTCGTTCTTCTACGTTTTGTAATAGTGTCTATTGTATTCGTTAGTAAATCTTTGGTATAATGAAATCAAAACATACCCAAAGCGCACCCTGTGAAATCGTGTTACCCGTGAAGCTGGGCAGGCTGTCAGAATTTATTTCTTGGGAGCAGCGGTATGAGAGAAAAGTTGCATTTCTTATTTTATGCTATCCATTTGGTCTTGCATTCTTTCACTGCTGGCCTTGAGTAATTCAATGTATTTGGACAATACCTCGTTTGATTGTTTAAGGTGCTTGTTACTCTCTTTCAGATACTGAATTTGTTCGTCTATGTCCTCCAGTTTTCTCCTAAGAGGGACCAGTTGGGTATATACGTCAGCTTCAGCATTGATTAGAGTAGCAACACTAGATGCCAATAGAGTGCTGTTGCTGGTGGGTACATCAATATAGGTAACATTTTTGCTGTGGTTGTGGCTCATTTCATTTTTCACTAAAGAACAAAAGGTTAAGAAAAATGAAAAGTGCCTGCCTTCTTTATATTGCATTGTACCCAATTACTTCATAATACTACTTCCTTTTTCAGATACCAGCTTTTAATTGAAGAGGTTCACCTTTGAAAAACAGAATGTAAAAAACGACCATTACCCTTTTTTGGAGCTAAATAACTTTTGATTCCATTTAGCACATTACACACTTAAGATGCTTTTGATCCTCAATTCATGCCTTTTTCTTGCATCAAGCTTATCATACATTCTCAAATCATGGCCTGGATTTTCTTGGATAAACATCCAAAATAAACTACTTTTGTTTTGAATGAATTTGGCAAATAGTATATTAGCATAATAACATTAGGGGCGGATTGGCAGTCCGCTGGAGGCGCGAGTGTTTATCAAGGCGAAGCGAATCAAACTTTAGCTGAAGGCCCAAGAAAGTTTATCGAAGCTCGCATAGGTCCGATTTTTTTTTTTTTTTTTTTTTTTTTTTTTTTTTTTTTTTTTTTTACAGTAGGTGTCAGTTTGGCTTAATATCACTCGTTTTAGTTAAACCAATTTTTCAATGAATTTGAATAAAAAAAATGACAAGATAAATCATATGTATTCTTATGTTTGCTGTGGCTCGTTTTCTTTGGGAAACTTATTGCTCTGGCCTGAAGGGGGAAATGGAGGAAGCCAAAAAGAAAATCTAGGGAATCACATTTCACTTCTTGTAAGATTGTGGACATTAAATTATTGATGCAATTATGCGAGAAGTCCTAAAAAAAGTTTTTTTCTATCAGTATCGAATGCCTGGCTTGTACCAACAAACTTGGCTTGACGGGAATGCTTAAATGTGATTTATACACAAAGATAATGATATCTTGTGACCGTTTACTATGAGTCTTTCCGCAGCGATATTGAAGTAACACCTTTCAAGCATTTCCTTATGCAACTAGATCTATTGTAGACTAAAGACAATTTCAAGCTGCTGAAAACATTCTTGATTCATAAAAGAGAGTACTTAGTAAATGTTAAGCCTGTTACCATCCACTGAGATAGTAAATGCTATGCTTTTATCTGTTACACAGCTTTTAATGCTCATTGAATGACTGCTGTTTTTTGTGATGATTCTTGATTGCGAGAACAAAACTTGACGTGTTTTTTCTTCTTCATACCATGTCTTCAAAATCGTCCTCAAAAAGTATATACTTTGCTCTACTTCTTTTTGTTGATACGCTTATTTCATAGATGCTAAAAAGAGAAAAACGGGTACTCCAGACCCTAATCAACACAGACTCGATCGTTTCTTATCTTCGCAAACAAGTCAACCTAAAGACGATCCTATGCAACTTGATTCACAACCAACTTTAAACAAATCACAAGGCTCACAAATCAATTCACAACTAGGCACATTTAGACAACAATCACTCTTACCAACTATTATCATTCATAACTTGAACCGTAAACTAAAGAATCCTGCATGTGTCATTTATCTCATGTTATGTTTCAATAGCCTCCCGACCCAAAGAGCTACCTGCCGAGTATCTAAGAAACAGCTGGGAAGTTCAAAAGTCACTCATACTGGCTATTTTTTCGAAACATGATGCAACGCACTTGAATTATGTAACAGTGTCAAAGGTAAATTTGAATACGATCTCATCCAGTATTCATACGAGTAGATGTCCGAAAATTTATGTCGATTTGGTAAAGCAGAAACTGTTTATCAAGGGCTCAGTGCCGAGATTGAAAACCATGTCAAAACCATGAAGAAAGAGTTGCTCTCAGTTCCTTTAACTCAAGCATTACTCTCCAGGTTGAATTTAAGCTGGAAGACATATTGTTCTCAACTGTCCATCCTCAAGAATGTGTTTATGGAACTAGATCGATGTTATGTTTTACCCAACACCAAATTTTCTTCCATTGTTCAGTTAGGAAAGCGTATCTTTAGTGACACGATTCTAGATGTAGCTGAATTTCGTAATGTTGTTGTTGCTGAAGTATTGAAGCTTATCAAGGATGATAGGTAATTACAATGTGCGATTCCATGTATGGGGCTTATGCATTCCATTCTTTGTAGAGACAATAAGCCTGTCGATATCAAACTGTTAAAAGATATACTGCACATGCTACTAGACTTATCATTCTATACAAGCGATTTTGAGCCCAAATTCTTAAAAAACACCAACCAATACTACAAAGATGAATCAGATAAGCTTGTTCAGACATTGTCTGTCCCTGAATACATTCAGCATGTCTCCAAAAGATGTAAAGAAGAATCAGAAACAAGAATCACCAACTACCTTGATGCACACACAAGACAAGCCTTGACTTTAGCTGTTACTAATCAATTGGTTTATAGCAAGGCAAGCCTACTCATTAAAAAAGGATTTAAGGAAATGATGGACAATAACCGATACGAACCACTTAAGACGTTTTATGGCTTATTGGAACAAAGCCCAAGTATAAGTATCCTTCGTCATGCATTTGGCGAATACATCAAGGTAAGAGAGAGAGAGAGAGAGAGAGAGAGAGAGAGAGAGAGAGAGAGAGAGAGAGAGAGAGAGAGAGAGAGAGAGAGAGAGAGAGAGAGAGAGAGAGAGAAAGAAAAAACAAACAAACATATTGAATTATCTACAGGAACAAGGTGTTGAATTGATAAAAAATACTGCTTTGGATTCAAGCATGATTGTCTCTCTATTAAAGTTTAAAAAGAGAATTGACAAGGTCCTCAGAGGCTGTTTTAATGACGATATCTCATTTGCAAATGCATCTAAAGAAGGATTTGAATTCTTTATTAACACACGAGGCAATAAGCCAGCCGAATTACTTGCCAAATTTATTGATTCAAGACTCAAGGTCTCTACTAAAAAGCAGCGTGATGTTGATCTCAGTGCGCTTGACAATGCGCTTGTCTTGTTTCGATACATTCAAGGAAAAGATGCTTTTGAAGCTTATTATAAGCGATTTTTGGCTAAGCGTCTTTTGCTGGACCGTAGTTCTTCCAAGGACCTAGAAAATCATGTACTGGAGCAACTGAAGCATGAATGTGGTCATGACTTTACAAAGAATTTTGAAAACATGTTTAATGATATTCAAGTCTCTGCTGATTTAGGCATTTCTTTTAAAGAGTTCGAAAAGGATCATCCCCGTATGCCAGTTTCTGTCAAGGTCATTGCTCAAGCGACTTGGCCTACTTACCCAACATCAGATATCCAATTGACTTCAGAGGTATTTTGATCGAACAAATATTGATTTTAGATTGCTGATGCGATTCTCTCTACAGATGTTGGCAACTCAAAGGTTGTATGAAAAGTTTTATGGGTCCAAATTTAAGGGACGAAAGCTCATCTGGCAAAATGCATTATCCTCTTGTTCTCTCATGGCACATTACCCTAAAGGCGCAAAAGAACTTATAGTCAGTTTATCTCAGGCAGTTATCTTGTTGCTTTTTAACAACACACATAAAGTAAGTCTCTCATTTACAGAGATCCAAAATGCCCTTAACTTGGGTAAGTAAACAAAACAAATTTAAAAAAAGCTAACCATTCTCTATAGATCAAAAAGACGCTGTGGGATTACTTTCATCACTTTCTACGGGCAACTATAAACTTATTATAAACGAATCTGGCAACAAAAACATATCAGCAATAGACAAGTTTAGCTTTAATACGGAATTTGAGTCTGAAAACGTAAAAGTGCGAGTACCTCCAGCTGTAACAGAACAAGCGACAGAAGAAACGAAAGATGTAGAGCAAAAAGTGCATTTCAATAGACAGCATCAATTAGAAGCAGCCATTGTTCGTATTATGAAGGCCAAAAAGACAATGGATCATAATGCACTTGTGAATGAACTCTTTACTGAACTCAAATATCCTTTAGAGGTATGGTTAAATTTATATGTAAAAAAAAACTAAATGATGATATAGGCAAACGCCGTAAAGATAAGAATTGAGTCATTGATTGATAGAGACTATTTGGCAAGAGACGCAAACGATAATACAGTGTATATATATCAAAGTTAAGCCATGTATATCTTGTAACCATAAAATAAAGCCATTTGCATAACTTGAGAAAATCAGCCTAGAACAGCCGCATGATCGCTGTTCTGAGTTGAGTTATAAAAACTGAACTACTATTGACTCAGGAGATCAGGTTTACTTTCTTTGTTACCATGAGTGGACAAAAGTTAACTGTGACATGTAAACTAATAAACTGACTTTTTCATGACCTAACACGTTTACTCATAGACTGCGATGAATACGATGTATGGCCACTTATTGCGGATGACTTGTCTTCTCAGCTTCCGCTTCGAAACTTGAAATGGCAACCTTCCAGTCAAAGAGCAGAGTGTGTCATCCCTATTCTCGAAGTAGATCTCAAGCGCTTTACAATAGACTATACTCCCCCTTTGTTATCAGATACGCAAACAACCTACTTGAACCTTTATTTTGTCGCGTGCGACGTATGTAAAAAATAAATAGAGTGCCAAACAGGCCTAATGTATTGATAGGATAATGAAGACTACAAAACGCGTGTACGCAAGAATATTCGCAACTGGGTAGAGACTATCCAGACTAAAAAGAACCAAGAATGGCTCGTAGTCTACGTGGCAGGTACAGAATCTAAGCGTAGTACGACTTATTTGGGCTTAAAATCATCTGTGTACGACAAAATTAAGACTGATTTTAATCCACCTAAACAAGACAGGTAAAATGAACATGGGAATGAGAGGTACTTGGTTTGACTAAAAAAATTGGGGGTATACTTAGATGTGCTTATATTCGTAAAAAAGATCCAGAAGGTCCACAGTCTGAATTATGGAGCAATTTCATTGAAAAGATCAAAGAATGTATATTATCAAGTTTTGATATGCAAGTGCTTCAAATCCAAGAAGACACAAGGAGATTGGACATGCAGAGACATATGCCTGGATGGAATTACTGTACATTCTTCATTTTAAAAGAAGGACTAGCACAAGCATTTGAGATCATGACATTGTATGAAGATGCATTAATTCAATACGATGAACTTGAAGCATCCTTTTTCCAAGTATTGAGAGGTATTTAAGTACAACAAAGTATTGCTTACCTAATACATTGTTTGATAGACAAAGCATTAGCTTGGTTTGGTCATTTTGGTGGTACTGATCTAGGAGATGATAGTGGCAACATTCTCGATTTTAAGCGCAAAAACTATCGCGATTTGATTAACAAGAACATTATCTCAGTATTTGATTTTAGAAGCTACTTATTTGCTCGTCAATGTCGTATGTTATTGAAGCTGCAGCGTGTGATTGAAGTGACAGCTCGAGCACAGCTTTTTATCACCAATTTCATACCAGCCATTCGAGAAAATGAAGAACTTTTGTCCGAAAATTTTGTAGAGTCTTGGGTCTTTTCAGCTTGCATGAATGTAGTGAACGAGTGCGAACCTTTATCATCTCAGCTGATTGGCAGCAATACAGACCTTGTTGTTCCTTATAATGCTGTAAAGGCTGATTTATTATTGACAGCAAGACGCCAGTTAGATAAAATTGGTGTCAAATGTGGACATCTGCCCATGACGGATCCCTTTTCGATCTACATTAATCACACATCCACCAAAACAGAAGAGAACAAGAAACCAATGACAAATACCAAATTACTGGAGGCAGTTGAGTCAGTAGAGGCATTTGACAAGACCTATATGGGTCTAAGTACACGGGCCATCAAGAGTTATGATGCTAGTTTTAGATCCAAGGCAGCATTGAATGTACATGGAGATATTGCAGCATTGAAATAGTAAGTAATATTGGATGTCAGTCGTAAGTTTCTTACAAAAAAAAAAGTATTCGAGAAAAATATGAAGAAGCTGTTCGTATTTATGAATCCATGATTTGGAGATATGGAGAACAAGAATGGTGTTCAATTGAAAACAGCTTGTTAACCAAGTGCGCTGATTCACAACAACGATTAGGCAGATATGATCAATATGTTGAATCGCTTTTGGCATTGCTCAAGAATGCCAAATATTTAAATGATCAAGATGCTACGCACTATACAAATGAAATGATCACCAATGTAGTCAAATTAGACAAGGAGATCAAACGACCTTTTTCACCCATTTTTTCAGTCTCTGTGATTTCAGTTATTGATGATAGTACTCTGGTTGAGAGCACAAGTGTTGAAGTCTGCGTTGACAATCATTTACCCAAGGTATGTTTATACACACTCGTGTTTGTATTTATTCATTTGATTAGCAAATTCATTATGACTCCATTTCTTTGAAACTTGTCGGAAGTGATCCTGAGCAAATTTGGTTTACAATCAATGACCGGGACTTGATGCCTGGCAAGAATACATTTTTATTGACCAGTTTGGTAAGGAGATCAACTATTGAATTCTACTAATGTCAATAGACTTCAACATCAGGAAACTATGTTGTGGAAACATGCGAAATGAAGTTGGGAAAGCTTGTGTTTAGTCACAACTTTTTAAGACCAGGACAAAAGAAGCGTGTTGTCAGATTGAATCATGATATAAAGCGATTGTATGCCTCTGTTTCTCAACCAGATGAAAGTATGTATATCATGTTTCTGTCATATTTTACTTATAACATTATGAACATACGCACATATACTAGTTTGTTTGGGAGAAAAACAAAGATTATCTATCAAGGTAGAAAGTCGATCGTACGATTCAAAAAGTGGTGTTTTACTGCTGGAATCACAGACGGAGGGCATGGAAATCACTAAAGTGCCTCAAGTATCAGCTATTGTGATACGCGATCAACAAGAAGAACAAATTGAATTGAATATGTCAGAAAATGGAGAAATTGCTTTACCAGACCTTGCTCCTCATGAACAAATTGAATTGTTTGCTGTATATGAAGGTCCTTATACAGAGTTTGATTATAGAGTAAGAGATATAATCTAAAAGAAAAGAGAAACTCAATATGTTGCTTATAGATAAAGACAACCATCACTTACAAGATAGATGAAACAAGTCATAAATTTGTATCTTCAGATTATGTCAAAGTGACAGTGCCCTTATTGGTGACTGAATCAACCATTTTCAGAGAATCATGGTCAGTATATTATGTTTAGTTTGAATTGACTGATGTCTGTTGTAGTGTGTTCCTCAAAGTGGAGCTTTCTTGTAATGGTGACTTGCCAGTACGTATTCTTGGGTCAAGCGCCAAACCCTCTACCTACTATTTAGTTGAAAGTCAGTCTGAAATGAAGCAATGCGATGTGGTAAGTCTAGACTGTGATATACATGTTAATAACATAAATAGACCTTATTCCCCAGACAAAATGTGTCGTTTATTTACAAGCTGGTAAAAAGAGAAGGCGAAATAGACAAAGCAGATATAAATGTAAACTCAAAAATACACTTTAATGTTCGATACCGATCTCTTAAAGATGGCAAGTGTCTATAGTTATATTCAAAAAAAAAACATTAACCTATCTTTTCTCTTTTATAGAAGTGGAAACCAGCCTACAAATTATGATGCAAGAAAAACTAAAAGAATTAAGGTTGGACCAACACTTGCATTATGTATTCCAAAAGGTCAAGGAAGCATTTTTGGGTTCTGTAGACTACTCGAGCTATGGACTAACTGATGTTGTTCATTTGGACGACTTTGATGCAGAATTATGTGAATCTTTCTTGCTGCATAGAGACCTAAAGACAAAGGTTCAATTATTGGATTTGATTGAAGAGTTCTTTGAGGTAAGCTATTCAACAGATGTTAGTATCTCATTGATTTTTTTCTAGCAAAACGAAGCCATTACTGTTAGACAAATTAAACAAAAATGCCCTCATCCTCGTATTCATTCTATAGCATTCCCTCTTGAAGTTCCTACTACCAAGGTAAGGAAACACGACAGTCTGACTATTCACTTAACATGCATTAGATAACACATACGGCAGAGCTAAGCTTGTCTGTTGAAAAAGACTTACTTGTATCAGAACCATGTCCATGTATCTTGCGTATCAAGCAACTTACTTATTGGAGCCCTGACAATATGAAGTCAAATGACGAGTTCTATTATGATATTGATGTGGACTATGATAACTGGCTTTTGTCTGGCAAAAGACGATTACGCTTTGTTTCAAAGCCTGACGAAGTCATGGAATTCCGTATCAGTCTTGTACCTTTAAAGACAGGTAACTTGTTATTGCCTTCTGTGCGCGTATCGGCTGTTTCGCCAGAGATATTTGCATCAACTGTCTATACGAATAGCGCACAACAAATCCTTGTCAAACCAAAATCGAAAACGGCTACTTTTTTTGTAGAGCAACAGAGCCGTTTTATTCAACCCAATCAATCACCTTATGCTACTAATCCATTATCAATCGCAATAGAAAGTAATAGAGGAAGTTCAGGCAGTAGCATAAGAAGTGGTATCGAAACAGCATTCTAATAAAACATATATATCTAAATAAAATGAAATGCACTAGCAGTAGATGAAGTAAGTGAATCTCTGTCACAAACTAAAGTGCGCCCAATGCTTTCTTTTCAAACATTATAAATACAATTCTTGTCTCGCAAAGTTCATGTTAGCCTTCTGTCATCCGATCAGGAGTAATATAGTGCTATATTGATGAGATATTGACTTGTTGTTGCCTTTGTTCATTATTCAATAAAGTATATTCTTTGTCTCACTACCGTCATAGTTTTCTTTATAAATTATTTGGACCCTTTGTCATCAAATCTATATAAACTGTTTCTTTTTCTTAGTTCTACAATAATCAAATCAGTATGCCTTACACTCTTATTAACTAATCGCCTCTAAATTAATTTGAACTCAAGAAGACGTGTGCACCTCATGCATTTATACCACTTTATACATTTCACTCATCACTAAAAAAAATCAAGGAGCAAGACTTTATGACTTCCAATGGACGAAATCAAATCAGAGGTAATCTTCAAGTAATCACAAGCGGGATGGGGCAATATCTAGTGAATGGGCTTGCTCGTTTTCCTAAGAGGGGACTTTTGTCTTTCTTTACTCAAACAAATACAATGATACTTTAATAAGACTGTTAACAGCTTTTGATGAAACTGGAGTAACTTCATTCAATCAAGCCATTCAAGACCTCGAGAAAGCAATACAAGAGGGTCACCGTACCGCATATAATCGAAATACATTAGAAAGAGACATGGATATTATCTGGAAAGAAAACAACTGGCCATAAATAAAATGCAAATGCTTGTTGCAAAGTTTTTATAGATCAATTGTTTGATTAAACATCGCATCGCTTTCATTTTCTTGTTAATAATGGCTACTCTTGTATTTTCAGGAACAGAGTCAAAGGTGTTCTTTCGCTTGCTGTACATTTTCTGCAGCCAGTTTATGCCTCATATTCTTGTTTTTTTTTATTTAATTGTGCATTAATCACACCAAAAATGGAAGTTGAATGTTCTACATGTATAATTTATTCATAGGCCAATCCTTTTTTTCTTTTTCAAAAAAAAAAAAAAAAAAAAAAAAAAAAAAAACCAAAAAAAAAACTTTAACTTCCCCAAGCCTTTATTTTTTTCCCTCTCTTTCATTTTCATTTTTTTTTCTTTATTGTTTAATGCATCCCCTAAAGAGGACATTCCGAAAAAAGCATGAATTGCCCATTTCCAATAAAACTCATTCAGTACACACCAGCCACCGTAAGCATTTGTCAGCCAAGATAAGCTTGATCCGTTGATATATTGTTTACATAGAAATATTGAATCCTAAACAATTATCGCTCATCACTCTTGTGATTCAAAACAGTATGTTGGTCTTGTTAATGCGTTATTCGAGAACCAAATCAAGCGATGAGCCTATTTATATTGCATCCACTGCTGTCTTTATGGCTGAAGTAGTCAAAATTGTGGTGTGTTTGGGCACACTTTATTACCAGCAAAAAATAATTGTCTTGATATGCTCTATTTGCAGATCATTAGGAAGCCACAAGAAGTAGCTAAAATGCTGATACCCAGTGGTCTTTATGCTTTACAAAACAACTTGCTATACATTGCTCTCAGTAATTTAGAAGCAGCCACATTTCAAGTCACATATCAACTTAAGGTGCTCTCTACTGCCGCATTCTCCATATGGCTATTAAATCGAACATTAAACCAAAACCAATGGATTGCTCTCGTGCTATTAATGATTGGCGTCACATTAGTACAATCAGAGAGCATGACGGGATCAGTTTGCCTTGACGATCAACAACCTTTAATAGGGCTGTTATCTGTCTTGGCCAGCTGTGTTTCTTCAGGATTTGCAGGCTGTTATTTCGAAAAGATTCTCAAGACATCTACAACATCCATGTGGATTCGCAATATTCAATTGGGAATATGTGGCGTTACTTTTTCACTCTTGGGTATGCTTTTGTCTGACTTCCGATTCATAAGAACGCATGGCTTATTCTATGGATACAATGCTCTCACTTGGCTTGTTGTAACCAATCAGGCTCTAGGTGGATTAGTTGTGTCCTTGGTAGTCAAGTATGCTGACAATATCCTAAAGGGTTTTGCAACAAGCATCTCCATTGTTTTGTCCGGTCTGATAAGTTTTTTTCTGTTGGATTTTCAGCCTTCGTATCTGTTTTTAACAGGCACAGCCATTGTCATTGTAGCGACTGTACTTTATGGAAAATAACACTTTATATAGAAAAATTTATTCCATACTGTGGTACAAATTGGCCAAATTGGTCATGCACAGTTGAACCAATATCATGGAAGCATTTTGATAAGGCATCCATCCAAGTAGTCTTAGAAGAATTTATTGGAGGCTAAATGAACTCGTAAAAACATTTTGCGGTTTGTCTTCTTTACTGATCTTAATAAAAAAAAAAGAAGCATTAAACAAAGGGAACAAATTAGGTATTTTGTACTACTCATAATGGGTCTATTGTTGAAGAACTTTAACATTTTAAAGTCTAACAAAGTGCACCTAAAGCAATGTTTAGTTTTAATAGTAAATTGTGTTTTGAAATATCTAAGAATGGTTATTTTTGTCAAAATAAGCTTGTAAAAATTACAAGGTACATGGCAAAGTAAATTGATAGCTTGTTAGAGCAAATGCTTAAATTTAGGACTCTAACAAGATAAAAAAAAAAAAAAAAAAAAAAAAAAAAAAAAAAAAAAAAAAAAAAAGGAAATTTCATTCGCCACAGTTCATTATATCTTTATATAAATGATATTGCTATTAAAGGGTGATATGCCCAAAGACACCTTTTCTATGCCAAAAAAAAAAGGTGATTCTCCTATCGATTGCAGGAAAGAGACATGACAAAAATTCAAGTCGTCATTTGAAATCCTCTTTCATGCTACTGCGGCAAACAGAGAGTTCCCGGTTTAAAATGCAAAAAGAGAGGTCACTGTTCCGGGCATGGATACTTTGAAAATTATTTCAAAGACCGCAGATTCAATTACAAGTAGGCGAGCAGCTCACCTCTTTTGTGAATCTTTCCCTTCACTCTAACAATCGAAAATGGGTAAAGTCTATCAATCCATAATCCATCCATCTGTCTAAAGGAAGGATGGATATATGCACACAATGGATGAACATGTTTACTAACAAACTCTTCATTGTTTCCTTCTTATCTCTTGATATACTTTTTTTCCTCATGAACTATAGTTGTAAGTAGTTTTATCTTATGCTTATCATGTATACTCATAATCTCTATAGAATTTCACTATTGAAGAAATCCGTGGTTTGATGGACAAGGTTACCAACGTCCGTAACATGTCCGTTATCGCTCACGTCGATCACGGTAAGTCTACCTTGACTGATTCCTTGGTCTCCAAGGCCGGTATTATTTCTTCTGGTCGTGCTGGTGAAGCCCGTTTCATGGATACCCGTAAGGATGAACAAGAACGTGGTATTACCATCAAGTCCACTGCCATTTCCATGTATTTCCAAATGGAAAACGAAGAAGACCTTAAGGAAATCAAGGGTCAAAAGACCGATGGTAGAGCTTTCTTGATTAACTTGATCGATTCTCCTGGTCACGTTGATTTCTCTTCTGAAGTTACTGCTGCTCTTCGTGTTACTGATGGTGCCCTTGTCGTTGTTGACTGTATTGATGGTGTCTGTGTCCAAACCGAAACTGTCTTGCGTCAAGCTTTGAACGAACGTATCAAGCCCGTTATCTGTCTTAACAAGGTTGATCGTGCTCTTCTCGAACTTCAATTGGACAAGGAAGAACTCTACAACGTAAGTTTTCTATCATAATATTGGGATGACTAATCCATTTATAGTCTTTCGCTCGTACCGTTGAATCCGTCAACGTCATCATTTCCACCTATGTTGATGAAGCCCTCGGTGACTGTCAAGTCTACCCTGAAAAGGGTACTGTTGCCTTCGCTTCCGGTCTTCACGGTTGGGGTTTCACTCTTCGTCAATTTGCTAACCGTTACGCCAAGAAGTTCGGTGTTGACAAGAACAAGATGATGTCCAAGCTCTGGGGTGAAAACTACTTCAACCCTAAGACCAAGAAGTGGACCACCAAGTCTACTGATGCTGAAGGTAAGCCTCTTGAACGTGCTTTCAACATGTTTGTCTTGGACCCCATCTACCGTCTCTTCGACTCCATCATGAACTTCAAGAAGGAACAAACCGCCACTCTTTTGGAAAAGTTGGAAGTCGCTCTTGCCAATGACGAAAAAGATTTGGAAGGTAAGGCCCTCCTCAAGGTTGTCATGCGTAAGTTCTTGCCCGCTGGTGATGCTCTTTTGGAAATGATCTGTATCCACTTGCCCTCTCCCGTCACCTCTCAAGCTTACCGTTGCGCTCAATTGTACGAAGGTCCTACTGATGATGAATGTGCTGTCGGTATTCGTGCTTGTGACCCTAACGGTCCTCTTATGCTTTACGTCTCCAAGATGGTTCCCACCTCTGATAAGGGTCGTTTCTACGCTTTCGGTCGTGTCTTCTCCGGTACCGTCCGTGCTGGTATGAAGGTCCGTATCCAAGGTCCTAACTACGTTCCCGGTCAAAAGAACGATTTGGCTATCAAGTCTATCCAACGTACTGTTCTCATGATGGGTCGTAACGTTGAAGCCATTGAAGACTGTCCCGCCGGTAACATTATTGGTCTTGTTGGTGTTGATCAATTCTTGGTCAAGTCTGGTACCATCACTACCTCCGAAGTTGCTCACAACATGAAGGTCATGAAGTTCTCTGTCTCTCCTGTTGTGCAAGTTGCCGTTGATGTCAAGAACGCCAACGATCTTCCCAAGCTTGTTGAAGGTCTTAAGCGTCTCGCCAAGTCTGATCCTTGTGTCTTGACTTTCACCTCTGACTCTGGTGAACACATTGTTGCTGGTGCTGGTGAACTTCACTTGGAAATCTGTTTGAAGGATTTGGAAGAAGACCACGCTCAAGTTCCTCTTAAGACTGGTGACCCCGTCGTCCAATACCGTGAAACTGTCACTGCTGAATCCAGCATTGACTGTCTTTCCAAGTCTCCCAACAAGCACAACCGTATCTACATGCGTGCTACTCCTTTGGATGATGAACTCTCCAACGAAATCGAAGATGGTAAGATTTCTGCCAAGGACGATTTCAAGACTCGTGCTCGTGTCCTCGCTGACAAGTACGAATGGGATGTTACTGAAGCCCGTAAGATCTGGTGTTTCGGTCCTGATGGTACTGGTCCCAACGTCATGGTTGATGTTACCAAGCAAGTTCAATACCTCGGTGAAATCAAGGATTCTTGTGTTGCTGCCTTCCAATGGGCTACCAAGGAAGGTCCCGTTGCCGAAGAAAACCTCCGTGGTTGTCGTTTCAACATTCTCGATGTCACTCTTCACGCTGATGCTATTCACCGTGGTGGTGGACAAATTATCCCCACTTGTCGTCGTGTTGTCTACGCTTCCGTTCTTACTGCTTCTCCTGGTATCCAAGAACCTATCTACCTTGTCGAAATCCAATGTCCTGAATCTGCTATTGGTGGTATCTACTCTTGTCTTAACAGACGTCGTGGTACCGTCTTCTCTGAAGAACAAAAGATTGGTACTCCTATGATGACCGTCAAGGCTCACTTGCCCGTTAACGAATCTTTTGGTTTCACTGGTGATCTCCGTGCCGCCACCTCTGGTCAAGCTTTCCCTCAAGCTGTCTTCGATCACTGGGCTATCATGTCTGGTAACCCTCTCGAAGCTGGTAACAAGGTCTACGATATCATCCGTGCCGTCCGTACCAGAAAGGGTCTTACTCCCGACATTCCCGGTCTTGACAAGTACTACGATAAGCTTTAAATTTAATAATACAAACTCATTAAATGTAAAATACATTTGGAATAAACCATTCTTAGTTGAAAAAAAACACATATTTTATTGTTCATTATCTTATTTTTTTAACATGTCAGCATAGCTTACTATAGTTCTGTCTTTAGCTTTTAATATGTCTTCATCATCAGTAGTTGGCAAAGCCATTTTTAGATCAACTTCAAACGATTGATTGGACAAGGGAGGGAAATGTACTGGTTTGAGTTCTTTGGCTATATGGTTTGAATCAACCAATTTGTTTGACTGCGCCTTACCTTGTTCTTCTTTCTTGTTTTTTTTGTTGTATTTTTGATTCTTGGTATACGGTTTCTTTTTCAAAGGAATTTCGTTCTTGAGTGATTCGCTTTTTTCTTGTTCTTTTGCTGTTATTATGGGCTTATCTTTCGTATTAAGCTTGGCATTGTTAGCCTGTGATTGTCTGAAATTATGATTGTGTTGTTTGTTATTGTTGTGATAAGATTTTTGTACATTATTGTTGTTTCGATAGGCTGGGCGTTGTTGCTTTGAAGAATCAGAAGGTAATAGATTATCTTGTTGTTTGCCATTGCGTACATGGATATCTTCTTTTTGTGCATTGGGTCTATTTTGTTGATGATAATAATTGTTTTGTTGGCGTATATTGTTGTAAAATGGCTTCTTGACCGAAGGCCGATATGAATGATTATGTCTTGGGCTGTTTGAATAAGGACTCATAAAGGAAGGATAATAGTATCCACTGTAAGGAGGATATACCTCGGGTATTAAACTGGATGGCTTTACAGTGTCTTGTGTTCGTGCTTGACTAGACCTAATAAGCAAATGAATGAACTCAATGTTCAATGTTACTTACACTCGTAATGTAGGCTCAGATTTCATTCGAGCAGCAATTGCTTGATCCTTAAATGACTTTCCTCTTACACTTGAAAGTAATGTCAAAGCATCATCCTCACTTTCAAATGTAAAGTACCACATATTACCAATATCTTTCTTTATCGACTGAACAGGTGGAGAATTCAAGTCTTTTAGCAGTTGATTTATCTCCTATCGTAAAAGTATCATTAGAAAAAGAAAAAATAAATGGCAGATTCAACTTGCCTCTTCTGTGCAGTCAGGCATGTCTCTTAATATCACTGTCTTTCGTTGCACTGAAATGTTGGGTTTGACTCTAGTGCCTGTCTCGTCCACTGTGACTTCTGAAGATTCTCGTAATGTTTTCACAATTAATTCGATATCCGTTGTCCATTCACGCACACGTTTGAAATTGGCTATGAGTGAAATAGGCACATATAGTTCTGAATCCATTTGAGACACCAACCAAGTATCATTGACAAGATTTTGCCTACATAGAGAACATGAATCACAATATATGATTTACTTTCAAAATTACCTAGAAAAATAATATTCCAATTGTCTTTTCAAATCGACTGTTTTATCTAAAGAATTTGACCTTAATCATTTCAAAAAAAAAAGAGAACTTCAAATTGATCCTTACTTTGATCGGAGCTTCTGAGGGATGTTTCCACGGAGCTTGTATTATTTAAACTGCTACTACTTTCATCATGCATTATAATCTCCAAGTCTTCATCATCACGTGTGTTTGTATTGCTTTCAAAAGGTGTTCTGTAATAATGATTAAGAGGAGGATAATAGATATATGACGTTGGATAAGATTCATGATAGTATCTCATTGAATGATGATAATTAGGAAAGCGTTGATTAGTCTCTCTTTTGTACTTGTTAGTAGGCTTGATTGCCTTTTTTTTAGTCATGTCTTTTTTCGTAGCATCTTGTTGTTGTTGTTGTTGTTCTTGCTGCGGTTCTAAATTATCAGAAACAGTCATCATTACTATAAAATGGTTAGTATGTTTAATGATTCAGCAATGATCTTTCACCTCGCAAGGTACACACGAAAAAAAAAAGAAGAAAAAGAAAGAGATAGAGAGAAAAAGAAATAAAAAAAAAATAAAAGAGGGGTGCGAAGGAGAAGGAGAAGAAAGGGGGGTGATCTAGCACAAGAGATAAATAATATTGCTTGTTATGGATTACTGGCTCTTTTTTATGTAATGCAGGAGCTTCTTTATCGTTCTTTCTTCTTTTTCATATGTCAAAAAAAAAAGAAATAGAGAGAGAGAGAGAGAGAGACAGGTTTTTAATAACATTCCTAGATTTTTATTAATATGGATCATTACGCTTCTGTTTACATTTCTTATAAACTGTAAATGTCTAGACGGCTTTCTCTATGTATATATATATATATATGTGTCTGTGTGTGTTCATGTCCCGATACAAACTCATTGGCTTAAGAACATATCTGTATGAAAAAGGAAAAAAAAATTTTCTTGCCTTGTGCAAATCAGATTTTCTCTTCTTTTCTCTTGTTTTCTATACATTATGTCTAGTATCACTGAAGAATTAAAGGCAAAGGCAGAAGAGATAAAGAACGAAGCAAACACTTTTTTCAAAGGTATTATTCTATATAAATAAGAAGCGTGTTCCTGACACTTGACAGAAAAACGCTTTCCCGCCGCTATTGAAAAATATACAGAAGCTATCGAAATAAACCCTCACGTAGCTTCTTATTATACCAACCGTGCTTTCTGTCACCTCAAATTAGAAAATTATGGTTATGCTATTGCGTAAGTAAAAAAAAAAAAAGATACTTTTTTTTTCTAGTACACAACAATGTAACATTTTATTAGTGATGCTAACAAGGCACTTGAAGTGGACTCCACTTTTACAAAGGTAACAAGGAAATAGAAAAGGCAGGTAATTAATAGCTTACAGGCCAATTATCGACGTGCTTCTGCTAATATGGCACTTGGTAACTTTAAAGAAGCATTAAAAGATTTTCGAATTGTCACGAAACGAGCTCCTGCTGATAAAGATGCTAAAGCCAAATTTGATGAATGTGCCAAAATTGTCAGAAGAATTGAATTTGAAAGAGCTATTGAGGTAATAGGCAGAGAGACATATACCATTTGGTGATTAATATGATCCATGGTAGCATAATGATCAAAAGCGTAGTGTAGCTGAGAATCTAGACCTTGATTCCATAGTTGTTGATGAAAAGTATGACGGACCTCGGATAAACGAAGAAACAAAGATGATTGATCTTGCATTTGTGGAAGCGATGATTGAACACTTTAAGCAACAGAAAAAGATTCATAAAAAATACGCTTTTATGGTATGGAATACACTGATGAATAATAACACGTATCACTTACTCGGTGTTATTAGATTGTACTGGCAGTCCGCAAATATATGTATGAAGCACCTTCATTGATTGATGTCAAAATCCCTGAGAACGGTAAATTAACTGTTTGTGGTGATGTGCATGGTCAATTCTATGACTTTATCAACATTTTCAACACCAATGGTTATCCTTCAGAAAACCATGCCTATTTATTCAATGGCGATTTTGTTGACCGTGGTTCTTTCTCTGTGGAAGTCATTTTGACCTTGTTTGCATACAAATGGCTTTATCCTGATCGTCTGTTTTTGGCCCGTGGTAACCATGAAACAGACAACATGAACAAGGTTTATGGTTTTGAAGGAGAAGTAAAGGCCAAGTTTAGTGAAATGATGTTCAACTTGTTCTCAGAGACATTCAATGCTTTGCCTTTGGCTCATGTTGTTCAAAACAAGATCTTTGTTACGCACGGTGGTTTGTTCTCCCGTGATAATGTCACTTTGGATGAAATCAGAAAGATTGATCGTATTGGACAAGGGCAACCTGGTAGTGAAGGTTTAATGTGTGAATTGTTATGGTCTGATCCTCAGCCAGAGAATGGTAGATCACCCAGTAAGCGTGGTGTGGGTATTCAATTTGGTCCTGATGTGACAAAGAACTTTTTGGAGACCAATGATTTGGATATGGTTATTCGTAGTCATGAAGTGAAAGCACAAGGTTATGTGATTGAACACGACGGTAAATGTGTTACTGTGTTCTCTGCACCTAATTACTGTGATACTGTTGGTAATAAGGGTGCCCTTATTAATTTTACACCCGATTTAAAGAAAGAATACATTACTTTTGATGCAGTTGTAAGTGTATAAATTTAGAATGCGATTCAGTTACTCACTCCTTTGATAGCCTCATCCAACTGTGAAGCCAATGCAGTATGCCAGTCAATTTAGTGGATTATTAGGCATGTAGAAAAATGTATAAAAAGAAAAAAACCATCATCTAGACCATCATTAAACATTTCATTCATTTTCAACTTGTTTATTAATAAATAACTTCCATATCAACAGTGCCAGCTTGATTAGCATCTTCTTGTATTTTCTTCTTTTTTCTATCTTCTTCTAATCTCAACATTTCTGCCTTTCTTACTGAATACCTTGTTAATAAATAGCCTAAACTTGCAATAGTAAGGCCTGCTAAAGCAACACCCGCTATAATAACGATCAGTATAAGATGATACATACATAGACTTACTTAGACCCTTCCAAATGGTTTCCCATCGAACAGCTTCAATTTCTGTTCGAATATCACCAAGTCGAATGGTGAACTTATTATTGATTTCTTGAATCTTGAGTTCCATTTCCTTTTGTCCTTCTCGAGTCTCATTCTTTCGGTTGTTCATGTCCATTTGAATTTCATTTTTCATGTCAGCTACACCTTCATTCAGACTTTGTTCTAATGCATCCACTTCCCTTGTAAGTACAGATAATTCGGTTTGAAGCATTTGCATATCGTTTTTTCGCATCACTTGTATCTCTGTTCTTAATTCTGATAATGCTGCCTTAAACAGATACGATTCATTTTCGAGATCAGAAGTGAGTAACAATTGTTGTCGAACAGAAGCAGTACATTCTCTTAAGCGAAATTTGATTCCCTTCATGATCACCTCTGCTTGTGGTCGAGTAAATCCTTGACTTTCGAGATAAGTAAGTAATTTATAGGTATCAAAATGATGGCTTCTTCTAAAACTGTTTGGATTTTTGTCTCTCGACATGGTATCTTCTGCCACTGCGTCCAAAGTAGGTGATATACTACTTGTATTCATCGTACTTTTGTTTTTGGCCTCGTCAAGCATATCAATTGGCCTTGTGGGCTGAGGAGGTGGAAAAGGTCGTGATGAGTCACTGAATGCAGTTCTTCTGAGTGATGGGCATCGTAATAAAGCTCTTGATCGACCAAGTCGAGTTAGATGAAAGGACATGATGAGAAAGAAAGAAAAAAAAAAGACGAGTTTATTTTATCCGGAAACTCCCCCGGATAACGAATTTTATTCTTGAGGGTATTTGCTTGTTCTTAGTTCATATAGACTGTCAGCAGAAACAGTGCTCAGATTAGATTCAGTTCGATGAAGATTAGCTTTCGCGGCACTTGTATGTTGAATATGGAAAGAAGAGATAGAAGTTGCATCCTCCTCGCTTGAATACAAAGTATCTTGTGGAACATATTCCCCGTCAGAAATTAATAGATCGTCTTGTTCTTGGTCTAATTGAATTGCTCTTGTTGGTTTGTTCTTGACAATAGTGTCTACAATCCAGAATTGAATGATGTTCATTAAAAGAGGGAAACTATAGAATGTATGAGTCATAACACATAGTCAAACGCTATACATACATTAGCATGACAAACAGGACTTGGAGTCGATAATTGCCCATGGTCCAAGAGAGTACCCATTTACCGAAATTTTCTAGCCAGGGACAGATTGCAAACAAGATCAAAACGACTACTTTCATCGTCACTAATGCTAGCACATAGACACCCAGCTGCTTTGCCCATACTTGTAATTGATTCACAAGGGGCGGTTCTCCATAAACACCGCTTTGAAATCCAGGAAGTCGATAAAACTCTGTTATAAACTTAACGCTGGACAAGACACTCCAAATAATCAATACACCAAATGTTGTGTCTATAAAAATATTGAGAAAATACCTCAAAAAAAACAAGCCAAGATCAGAAAATTAAATGTCTTGTGTTTCTTGGCTTACCATACACAAGGATTGGATTGAGGCTCGCCTTCTAGACTCTTGCCAAAGATATGTGAAGCTAATACATTCAGTGTGTGCACAACGCCACCGCCTATTAGCTGTTTGCTGACATCGAAGGACCTATGTAATTATTGTGAATACCGAGAAGCTTTTCTTTCTTGCTTTTACCAAATCAAGAGTGGCCGTTGTGGTGATTCCCTTTGTCGTTTAATATAAAGTGTAGAAAAGGCCAGGCCAGCCAACATAAGTTGAACAAATATAGCAAAGGAGTCAAGCAGCTTACAGCCTGCTTCGCTATCAGCATCATTAGGTACCATATATGTATATATATTTACAAGGAAGAAATGTGTGAATTCTGAAACAGCCAAAAAAAAAAAAAAAGAGACTCAATTCTTTTGTGATACAGTATTCCTTTCTTTTTTTTTTCAATAGCATGAAAGGCTTCTGTATCAGACTAAAATAATACTTGCAACCATACAAGAGTGTTTTATATGAGAACCATTGGATTTAAAAAAGAGGAAACACGGTTTTATCTAACAGGAAAAACCATAGCGCTTTTGGGTATCGAAATATCAAAGCCATATTTTGAAAGCTGTAAAACGACTAGATAGCCACTCACACTGCCTTTTTGGACAGTATTCCTTCCACTACCATTACCAAACCAAATAGTGACTATCTCGTATGAACAAAGCTGTAGCTGTAAATGTTTCATAAAGGGAGAAAGAATGCAATGAACTAGTTCTTTTCAGCTATAAGCTGTCATCGATTTTATTAAATAGTGCAAAGGATATTATGCCTCTTGAAATGAACGTACCTTTTCTATCAAAAAGCGCGTAACCAATGAAAGCATAAAGCCTTTTGGTACATACAAAAGCACTCTAAATACCTATAAACCATGTTTACTAACATCCATGGCACCTTTCGAGTCGACTTGTGCCAAAAAAAAAAAAGAGACTTGGAAAAAATGGCCAAAATGACCTCTAGATTGAAGGGTACTACTCATGAAAATCATCATTTTGACAACTCTTGATGTTCTTTTTGATGTTACAAGACGAAAAATAAAGCTATTGACAAGCTTAAATACTCAAGATGTGCGCCAGAAGCTGTAGTTTTTGATCAAAGTGTTTGTTTACTAACTATACTATAAACGAAAAACCTTATGGACATTTTAGTGTATTCCCTCAAGATTCTTGCAGCATATTTGTTATTCTCTCTACATCAAAAAATTCAGAAAGAAAAGTTCAACAGCTTTTATTGATGCATCAAAGCCATAAAACTGCGTTTTTATGCAGCTCTAAGCAAAGCCTTGATTTTTTTTTAAATGGCAAACCTTGATTTTTGATGCGGCTGGATGACAAATTGGGAGTTGCTTCCATTTTCAAACTCCGTCACTAGCTACTTTATTTCTTTAATGGCGAACACTTTGTCCATTCCAAAAAGAAGCATAAATGTATAGATTTTGACATTATAGCTGCTGTTAGTTCTTTTAGTATCTCTATTCTTCTCATTCTATTACGCGAAGTTCTTTTTTTACGCAAATAAATCATTTTTCTTTAAAAGCATTTGATAAATTACAGCTTTCTTTGTGTTATAAAATGATCTGTTGATTTTGAGAAAGTATTCTTCACAAAATGACTACACTTTCTTGCTCTCCTTTAAAGAATTGCATACTCATACAAAAGTGGTTGCTTTTTGGAGTAGATGGGAGAGGGTGGGGGAGTTCTCTAACCATCCCTTCTCTATTTAATACTCTGCGAATTTCGGTTTGAACATGTCTAGTAGAGGGTAGTGTATAAGAAAACCGTAGAAAAATGCAGTCGCTAAAGGTCTGTGGTAGCTTTTACTTCATCATATTTTTAACTCCGGACGCGTCTAAACCAACTTGTCTAAATTATCCGCTTTCATCATCTGAAGAAGACATTGCTTTAAAGAATATCAAACAGACATTCGGTCGAACACCAGCCTATACAGGATTATACGAGCCAGAAGATGATGGACTGACTCGATCACCTGTGCTGGGTACTACTGTGCCCAAGAATAACCTACCTAGAATAAACAGAAGAATATTGACAAAGAAACAAAAACAATCAAATATTTCAGGATTTGACTGTGATAATGCCCTGAATTCTATCACAAGTTTCTTAAAAAGATAAACAATAAAGATAGGCAAAAATCCATTCTTTATTTATTAAAAAGGTTCTAATGTTTTATTTTGTACAATTGTTTTAATCACTTTCTTCGTCCATATCTTCTTCATCTTCACCAACATCTTCTCCTTGTAATGGCTCATCATCGTCCATATCATCATCTTCTTCATGATCATCAATTGTAGTCACAGGCTTCTTTTCTTCTGAAGGAGTTAAACCAGCAAGCGATTGATGACGGAAAGATTGACGCACACCAGCATTAGAAGACATGTCCCAAACATGCATTTTACCATTTGAACCAGCAATAGCAAGTTGGAAAGGGGAATCAGGACAGAATTGAGTAGAAAAGATTCTACCAAGTTCGAAATTACGGCTAGTGACCATACTAGGCTTGTTATCTACAGTACTCCAGATTTTGATGATCTTGTCTGTACTACCAGTAGCAATGCATCCGGGAATAAGAGGGTTGATATCAAAAGCACTAACAGCTTCATCGTGTGCTTGAATTGTAAAGAGGGCCTTACCACCCTTACCGTTTTCTGCTTGACGGACATCGTAGTATTGAATCATACCGTTTTCCAGAGCAACAAAGAAGTTGGAGGGATTATGAGGATCCCAGCGAATGGATTCAACATCACTACCAAGATCCCAACGAGTGACTTGAGCAGGAGAGCGAGCATCAAGAACACAGACAGACTTGTCATAAGAACCTGTCAAGAACACAGTGGCTTCAGTAGGATGCCATGCGACAGACTGAACCTTGTCTTTGTGATGGCTATAAGATTGAACACACTTGGAAGTTGTCAAATCCCATAATTTGACAGTACCATCTGCTGAAGAAGACAATAAAAAGTTTCTATGATTCTTATTCCAAGACAAGCACATAATAGCATCTACATGGTATTGATCATTGACCTTTTTGGATCTCTTTTTGGACTTGTCTGTGTGGCCAAGGATGGTCTCGGGGAACATAACATCGACTGTGTCAAGATCCCAGATTTCGATATCAGGTTCAAATGTACCGATAGCAACATAATTGCCAGATGTGTTGGCATCCACCTTGCCAGTGGCTGAGTGGAAATCTAACCATTCAAGACAAAGAGGGAAAGAAGGAAGCATGATATCATGGTGAACATAAATGTTTTCTTGATCCTCTTCATAAACATGTACTTCCAATTGAGAGATGTCATCTTCAGTCTTTGCTGCCAACAGCATATTATCGGTAGGAAGAACTTCAAGTTCTTTCTTTTCTTCTTCTTCGTCTACATTGTGTTTCAAGGTAACATAAGGATCTTGTTCGTCGTCTTCATAAAAGGCCAAATCCTTGATGTTTGAAAAGATGCCAACCTCTAATATAATCCCATTTAGATGCCTTTTCTTTTGATGTATGCAACTTACTCTTGTTGGAAGCTTCGACTTCATTATCATAATTATCCAAGTTGTATTGAGCCATTTCATCTTCTTCTTTCTTTTCCTCGGTGCTCTTTTGAGTAGAACTATAAACACCTTGTTTAGCCCAACAAAAAAAAAAAAATAAAATAAAATAAAATAAAATAAAATAAATAAAGAAAACAGTCCTTACTCGACAGTCATAGCTTCAGCAGCCTTTAATTCTTCCTTAGCGTCTTCAAGTTGTTCAGCAGCCAACTTGCTGATTCTGGCATACTCCTCGTCATTGAGATCGTACTTTTTAGGGTGTTGAGCAGCAGCACCTTTGCGAATCCACTGAATAGCCGAGATCATGATTGAAAATAGATATAAAAAAAAACTAGATTCAATTTTTTTTTAAATTCTTGAAAAAAAAAGCAGTACCCCTATGTGACTTAAAGTTCCTGATCCAAAATTCAAAAAGTGTATTTCCTTCGTTATTAAGGATGAGAGAATAGACATTTGGATAGAGAAAGACATCATTGTATCATAGATGAAAATATGGATAAGTCAATTTTTAAAAGAGAGAGAGATAGAGGGGGGGGGGGAAGAGAAAACAGCAAGAGAATCAAGCAAAATATATGTCGAAAACCTATCTTACCTTGAATAGAGTGAATTAGTTATAGCAAGCCAAAAGATACTATTATGAAAAAAAGTTAATTTCGATTGATAAGGAAATGGTGTGTCATTGAGATGACACAGCTCTTCTGAAGCTCTTGATCCTTTTGTATATTGAAGTCATTGATATTTCTGTACTCTACAGCTTAGTTGCTTATTTGTGTAGTTTCCAAAAGTACACTTATTCGTAATTTTGAATTTCTGTGTTATGAATAGCATGCACACATACAAAATGGTCTGTCTTCGGATATTGAAAATCGAAGCAAATCCAAATCTTCTTGCCGCATAAAGACGCAATTATGTAGCCTTAGTGCAGTGACAAAAGTTGCCTTTCGATGTAAGAAATGCACTAAAATTACTCCTGAAATTCTGATATAGCTCTTGTCTTTCCCTTTCTCAATACCCAACCGATATCCAGATTACATTTAGTAAAAATCAGTCAATTTTTGATCATATGACTCAATAACATAAGTGTCGCAATGGTTTCCGTCAGGGAATTCTTTTTTAAAGTAGCTTATTGTATTTTTATTAATATGGGCTGACATGTTACAAGTTGAAAGATGCGAAAGAACAGTGCAAATGTATTGTATACCTCGGTGGTTTTTTAACTAATCGTTAAACACCGGACGCACCCAAATTATACGGCACCTTCAGATGATGAATCTTCAGCATTCTTTATTGGCTGTATCTTCTTTTTCTTTTTTGGTGGGTTTCGTTGTCGGGTAGCATTGACGCGTGGTGGTTCGAAATCATCATCAAGACTGATTTGCGTAGGCTGTAAAGGTGTTTGTGTTTCCAACACATCCTCTTCACTATGAATTTCTATGGGGTAATTGTTTTTCTTTCTTGATTCCAGTTGAATTTGTACTTTGGGTTCAGGTGGTTTTTGCATTTTGGATTTAGCTGGTTTCTGTACTTCTTTAGCTGGTTTCTGTACTTGCTGTTTAGCTGGTTTCTGTACTTCTTTAGCTGATTTCTGTACTTCTTTAGCTGGTTTTTGTACTTGTTTAGATGGCGATTTATCCATAGGCAGTTTAAAAATATCTACTTGCTGTTCGCTCATAGAAGGTTCTGATGTCTCCTCTTGTTGTCGACTCATAGAGGGTTCTGACATCTCCTGCTGTTGTCTACTCACAGAGGGTTCTGATATGGGTTGTTCAGTCATTGAATCTTCTACAGTTGGCGATGAAGAAGATTGTTGTGGTATTGGGTATTTATCGATCACTTTGATTGCATCTGTTGTTTCATCTGGCTCACTCAAATCCTGTTTCTTGGGTCGTCCTGGGCGTCGTTTAGGGTTGTCTACTTTTGCTCTTTTTCTTCTTACACCCTCTGTTTTCTTTCTTTTGTGTTGATCTTTGGTGGGTTCTATGTCAAACTCTTCTTGATCACTTTCTTGCATGACTCGCTTCTTTCTTGGCTTGGACTTTTTGAATTCAGCATTCAATTCCTTCTCTTGCTTTAATTGTGCCTTGAGTTGCTTAATGGCCATCTAACACATCATTAGTGAGTGGTATAGATAGGAATTATTTACATTTAATGCATGTATTTCATCTTCATGAGGCATACCAGCTTGTTCCATCATTTGCTTATACTTTGATTTGACCTGATTGACCTTTTGCTTACTTTGTTCTATCACAGCTGCGAATTCTTGTTCAAACTTCTCGACCAAATCTTGTTCGATTTCTTCTCTTATGTCTTCCTTCAGTTCAATCAAGGTCTTGTTGTATTCTTGATTGTTCTGCTTTTGCTGTTCCAATTCAAGTTTGGTCTCTTCATATTTTTGTTTGTATTCTTGTTCGCTCAAGACATGTTTTTCAATCTCAGCTTCAGCTTCTTTTTGCATCTGTTCCCATTCTTTCTGCATTTGCTCCCATTCTTGTTGCATCAACATGGCTTTTTCCTTGTATTTTGTTTTGATTTCCTTGATTTTAGTATTGCCCATATCAATGGCTTCATGGTATGCATTTTCAAGTTGCTGTCTTTCTTGTTCAAACACTTGTCTGTCCACACCCTGTGTCTGTGCCTGTTCTAACTGTGCTGTCTTGGCTGCTAATTCAGACTGTAGACTGGCAAGCTGTTCATCATGATTCTGTTGAAGGAGGATTCTATCCCGTTGTACAAACTGTAAGTCATGTTCTAATTGTTCCATCTGGTTTCGTAAAAGAGCCACTTGGGCTCTTTCGTTCGTCAATTTGACCTTGAGTTCATGTTCTATGATGGAAGGACGATGCTTGAGTTCATCCATGGCTACTTGTAAATACGTGACATGCGCTTGTTCAATCAAGAGTAACTCTTTTAAGCGTGTGTTCTATTGTTATTAGATCCATGACATTGATCTATCAAGTACCTTTTCTTTAGCCTCTGTTAGTTTCTTATTGTCCCTTGCTCGAATAGGCTTTTCATTTCTCAAGATGCATAAGGGGACTTGACTTAGTTGTTGAGTGAGATTCAGTAGGAAGACAACATCTTGCATGATCTTTTTAGGCACAGAATCCTAGGAGAGACTGTATGAATAACACTTTATACGATAGACATAGATACGCACATTGAGATAGGTAAATAGAGTCAATTTTTCTTGTCCTGCTAATGTCTTTGCCAACAAATAGGTCAATACATAGTTTTTGGTATCTAAATGTGAATTGTTGGGATTCATGATAGTGTGTGTCATATTGACTATAGGAGCATGTTAATGAAAGGACAATATCTATCTTACGCACCAAAATGAGTGAATGAATCATGCAGTAAATAAGCATTGCTTTTATCATAGTCTATTGTTCTTGGTCTTAATAAATCAAACAATTGTAGATAGCCTTGTGTCATTTGCTTTGAATCTGTCAGTCGAATGCTTAATACAAATGGTATTTTTGATCCATCTTTGACTATTTTCCATATAGCATCGACATCTTCTACTTTTCTCATATAATGGTCTAGTCCACTACCTTGACTTAATATCACTTCATCTACAAAAGCATATCAATCTCTATCAACTTGACTCGTCTTTACTTACTCGCCACAACTTTATTTCTCCTTAGATCAAAGCAATAGACATCTCTCATACCAATACAGGCATATTCAATCTTGAATTGATGTTCTGATTGATCTAGTTTTTGTCGTAATAGTTCAAGTGTCAATTGAAGGTCGTGTTTACGTTGTTCATATAGACTCTCTGCATCTCTAGATAGACAGTATTTATCAATTTGTATAGACATAGGTTTGCTTACTTACCCTTGACTCATCATAATAGCAGAAGCAGAATAGCCTATACAGTAGATCAATATGGACAATAAAACCAATATATATATATAACATACCTGCTAAAGCATAATCAATCAAGTTTTCACGCTCTTTTGTTGATTGCTTATCTAGTTCAATACATTTATCCACTTTCCATTCTTCTCTATAGTCTAAATAAGTGTCAATGTTGTCTATATGATGTGCTTACTCTTTATCGCCCACTAAAAGAATACACATTAGATCTTGAGAGATGAACATATAACATACCTAGCAATGTCAGTTTTACTTTATTGTCTTCTGGCTTGGCAAATATCTTGTAGTTTCTTAGTTGTTCTTCAGATTCTGTAATAGAGGATACGAGAGAAACTACCGTGTCTACTTTGGTCTTATTCATGGAGTGAAAAGAAACTCAAAAACTTTTTTGCAGTGAAAAAAAAAAAAAAAAAAAAAAAAGTTTAAATATCCGCTACAGGATTTGGGATCAATTTGTTATTGCTCATGTATACATGTTTATCTTATATGAATTATATTCAAGACAAAAGACCATTTTCTACTACCTTTTTATCTTTCTTTTTCTGTTTTTTTGTTTGTTTTAGACTTCATGTTGAGATTCGGAATGATGATGCTTAATCTGATAGAATCAACTGATTTCAAGAAACATCGCTTTCTAGAGTTATATTTTGTCACTCTACGGACTTTATTATAAGCTACATAGTAAAAGAGAGAAAGAAAGAAACGCGTCTATGGCTAAAAGACAAAGATTGGAAACGATGTTGAGAGGTACCTGAGTAAACTTCCTCATTTAGTCTCGGACACATCTTTCAAAGGATTGATATCGACGTCATCCTTTGCTGGGGAATCATCTACACAAAAAGAAAAAAAAAATCTTGAAGAGTGTGTGTACTACCTATTTTTTTTTCACTCCCTACTCTTTTGAATCATGTCAACACTTGGACGTACACTCAAGAACTTTATGAAGATTGGACCTTCAAATTACATTAAGCAAATGGACACCATTGGTGATACTAAATGGGGTCGTCTTGTTGGTACTGATGTTAATGGCAACAAGTATTTCGAAAACAAAGATGAAATTTCCGGTAAGGCCATTCCATGACCACCACAAAATGAGCTCACCACACACTAGGTCGTGAACGTTGGGTTGAATTTGCTAGTAAGCAAAATGACGGTGCTGATATTACTCCTGAATGGTAAGTATAGCAATGTACAATGGCATAGACTGAAACGAGAGATATTATAAAAGGCACATGTGGTTAGCTCGTATTGTTCAAGAACCTCCTACTGAAATGAACATTCAGCCTCAAAAGTGGTGGGGTGAACCTACTCCCAACTATTCTGGTACTCTCAAGAGCTTCAAGACTTACAACACCACCACTCCCAAGTTAGATGCCTGGAAGCCTGTTGTTAAAGCTAGAGAATAAACTGGGATTAATAAAAAGAGAAACCGAGATTGCTATATGTTTTTGAAAGTTCAATATGCTGTTCTCCTTGTCAAAATGATGGAAGGCATCCTATGCCACTTAAGCCATTGGAATTTTTATTGAGTGGGAAGAGACTGACTGTTCAGCATGAAAAGCAAATTTTGTTGATGTTAAATACATGATTAACAGTGTTCCTAAATCGGAAACATACAGGAGCCCAGTCTTCTTTGGCTTTTGATAAATTAAAGAAAGAAAGAAGAACGCTCTCATTCAATATGAGTGATTTAATGGCCTGTTTCTCGATTGTACCAGATAATACAGTTGTTTGAGACTACCATTCAGTATACTTTTACGCAGAACATAATGCTAGAGCTAACATATATCATAGGACAAATAACTCTATTTCACCTCCCACTACTTCAAAAAAGTGATTTTATTTCATTCCATAATACACATAGTAGTTTGTGAAATACATTTCATCACTTGAATAATGAATTCAGACTGATAATATCTTGGTGTGCTTTTAAAAAGACTTTACTTTGTTCAATATCTATAGCCTTTACAGAACAACAAGTTTTGATCTAAATGGATCCAATATGAAAATAGAAATACGAGTAATCAAAAGTAAGTCTTTTTATACAGACATTGCTTACTTTGCTTTTGAAATTATGCATCTTCACTGTTACACAGTTCATCCTACTCACTCAATTGACTGCTGTTTTTTGTTTTTTTTTCAAGCAGTAATTTTATCGCTATTGAATTTTTATTTATTTATTTTTTTCTTTCTTGTCACCTAATGTCAACGCCTGCAAAACAAGAAATCGTCTCTTTATATAGATCCTATATGCGCATTGTCAATGAATGGCCAGTAGATAAAGTTAGACCTACAAGGGGTATGAAACAAGTCTTGGAAAAAAGAGTGGAAGAAGCATTCAGAGCTCCTTCTGTTGAATTTATGAATCTCGAAAAAGCCCATCAAGAATTAAAAGCACTCGAAAGTTTATTAGACAATACATTTAAAGAGAAGGTAAGTTCATGTTTATATACATAGATGCTTATACTATGTTCTATATAGTATCCTATTTCAGATAAAATATTGACACCAGCAAGCAATCCTAATTATTATTCGAAATTGATGTCATCCCTGGAAGCAAGCAAGGATAGTCAAAAGAGCACTTTGGCCAAGCTATTTGGAAAATAATAAAGAGTGCTATTGTTTAAAACTAGTGATGTAGTGAATGATATCTCGTTTTAGATGCTTTCTCGTTGGCACAGGTGTCTTATTCCAGAATTCTTGTAGTTTAGATGGATCTGTCAAATGTCCCTATATTCATAAGAATTAATTGTTTAGCATCTCTCTATGTATTTACTTACCTTGAGCATATCTAATGTCTTTGTCTTACAGAGCAAAAATAACAAGGCAGATCTTAAGAGATGTAAACCACAATCAAATGTGTTTTCTTGAACAGGAATAGGTCGAATGAGTACTTTAATAGGTGGAATTCTGGTATGTGTCTCTTCAAAGTATTTCTTCCTCAAAAAATCCTTGATTAAAGAAGGTGCTGTATGTGAAGCAGTACATTTGTTGAGTGAATCCATGATGGTAATGTATTGTCTATTTCTGTCAGTCATCACTATGTCTAATTAACTTACTTTTTTTTGCCTGGATTGACCACTGCCATAAGATACCAATGATGACTATATGTTTGTTATTGATTTGAATAGTACAGTAATGAACTTACTTTTCACATATTGGAATCAGCCATAATTTCTTTGTGAATACATCTTTGTATTGGATCCATGTCTTGATAGCATGATAACAATCTTCTCCTGCTCTGTTTAGTTATATAAGCAAATAGAACAATACGAATTCAACATTACTCTTCTACTTGTTTTAGTCGACTATAAAAGAAACTGTTTGAAATATAGACTTCAGTATCCATGTCATATTTATCCAGGTACATGTGTAATACAAAATCAATCACTATATCATTCAGCCATCGACGTGGCTTCAAGTACTTCATGTCACTTATGCTTATGGATATACTGGATCCAGGAATAACAAACATACTTACTCAAGTTAATAAATAGATAAAATATATACGTTTTTGTTTCTTTTTACCTCTTTGTGTTTGTGTCTTCTTCACTGTCAGATAGAATCTCAATCACAGACTGATCTTGTTTTCTCTTCTTGATTACTTTGGACTATATGATTTATTCAACAACAAGACAAACAAGACAAGATCTTACCATCTTCTTTCTTGTCATGGTAAAGAGAAGAAAAAGAAAAAAATTCATAAGAAAAAAAAATATTTTATTTACACATAGATTTAAGCATTTTTCTTATTGCTAGATGCTTCACGACGAGCAGCTGCTCCTTGCAATACCTGTTGAATTGAATCTCTTGCTTGTACTTTCTTTTGACGATCTTTTTCCATCATCACACTGTCAGCCAATAAAGTATGGAAAGCATAATAAACACCAACCAACATGCTTACAAACAACAAACCTATTGTACCTTGAAATGTGATCCATTTGAATCGAATCACATAAGCAGTGAGCCATTCAAGCCATTCAATACGCTGAGGAAACATCTTGATCAAAGTATACAATAAGCCAGACTCAAGAAGATCTGCTGCCCAATTCAACAGAGGTAACCATATACCAGGACGAATAGATTCAGGTGCCTTTTGATAAGCCCAACTACAGATCACAATGACAGGAACTGTACGTGCAGTGACAAACAGCACATCATTGAACAAATAAGACAGATAGGCTTGTCTACCTTTAGCACCATAGCTGTTTAAAGCATAAAACACGTCATTAGCAGTATGAGGATTTTGATATTCAAGAATATCAAGGTTGGCTTCACCTTGAGCATCATAAGCAAAAGGATTGATGATCTCCAGAAGAGTATGAGTTGTCAAACAAGAGTAGGTCATCCACTTACCACAGAATACTTGTAGAGACGGTCAATCGTAATCTTGGCCATCACAACAGAAAACACAAGAAAACGAGCATTTAATAACGAGTTCAACAAGAACTGAGTTAGCTTAGGAAAAGGATCTAATCGAAACTTCATCATGTTGACAAGGGAAGAAGAAATAAATAAAAAAAAAAATAGAGAGGAAATTTCCCCGCCTATAAAGCGGGTAAAAGATTATTTACAATTTTTATTCTAGTTTGTAGGAAGATGCTTGTGTATTCTTGGCCTTGATGTCTTCATGTTTTTTGCTCTATCAAAGTCAGCACCTATTCACACTAGATGACACTTACTCTTTCTTCTTGCAATCGTTCGTTCTTGACCTTTAATTTCTCTTTTCTAACATCACTCTTGTTACCACCACCACCAGCAGTTAATTCAACATTGATCTGTCTTTTTTTGAAAAAAGTATGGTGAAAAGCTAATGCTTTCTAGAAACTATATGAGTAAAACAGAGAACACATAAACTGGCACTATACATTTAAGTCCTTTGAATTTTCAAATTCCATGAATGCAAACCCTTTAGGCTTGCCTGTGGCTTTATCTGTCAAAAGACGAACGGATTTAATTGTTCCTGCTGATTCAAAGTGTTTCTCGAGATCTTCTTTTGTTGTTGTGAAAGGTAAGTTACCCACAAACAGAATGTATTTATTGGCATCGCCATTAGCATTGCCTTTCTTGGCTCTCTTCTTCTTGGGACCTGTAGATCCTTCAACAGGCACTTCAATGGCTTCACCTGATTTACGCTTCTTGCTTTCAGGTTCAGGTTGAGATTCAGTGGGAGTTGGTTCATCAGTAGCTGGTACAGCCATATCATCAGTGAATTGAGCCTTCTTGGCTCTTTTCTTAAAGGCTAAAGCCTTTTGTTCTTTCTTGGTCAGTTTCTTTTCAGCCATAGGATAAAGAGAAAAAAAAAGTTTCGCACTTTTTTTTTGATCTTTTGGACAAAAAGCAAGTCACGCAATGGATGGACAGCATAAATTTCACCCCCAGCCAACATTTTGTTTTTGCTGTAACCATGTGGAAACGATTAGGACAACTTGGAGTGTCTGTTGCTAGACCGGCATGTAGACAACAAAAGACAATGGCTCGATTTATGTCGACAGAATCAACTGTAAAAGAAATCTACACGCCCAAAAAACGTAAATTTGGGTTTGGCACTGCTTTGTTATGCACGATTCCCTTTGTTACTTTTGGACTAGGCACTTGGCAAGTCCAAAGACTTCGATGGAAAGTCAATTATATTCGTACATTAGAAGACCGCCTTTACCGTGAACCTATTCCTTTACCTAAGCGCATAAAGTAAGTATGGCTATGTATTCTTCATTAAACTCATATCGTTAGCCCTGACATGTTGGAAGAGTACGAATATCGCAAAGTCTATGTTAAGGGACACTATCGACATGATCAAGAAATTTTGCTCGGTCCTAGAACAAGAGGAGATGGCAATGTAGGCTATTTTGTCATTACGCCTTTTGAAAGAGATAATGGTACCACTATTTTAGTCAAACGAGGATGGATTTCACCCGAGAAAAAAGACAAGCGTACAAGACCTGATAGTTTGGTGACAGATGAAGTGGTTGTCATTGGCCTTATCCGTGTCAATGAACAGGCAAGTTGTTTGTTGTGGATCACAGCATGACTGATAATTTAAACAGACAAATACATTTACACCCGAGAATGATATCGAAAACAATCAATGGTATTGGGCAGATGTTGATACCATTGCTCGATTGACTAATGCTCAACCTATCATGATTGAGAAAGTATCAGACATGTCTCCTTCAAAAGAATACACATTGATTGAAAAAGGTATTCCTGTTGGTAGATCACCTACTGTAGAAGTACGCAATCATCATTTGAACTATTTAATTACATGGTATTCCCTTTCATTGGCAACTACTGTCATGCTCTGGAGACTATTAAGAAGACCTCCTGTTCGACCCATGAAAGTCAAGAGAATATAAAGCATGTTTATTCATAAAAAAGGGAAGGGTATAATGCAAATATCAAATAAAATCTATAGGATGTCTTTTAAGTCTAATTCTACTGCTCTTTTATCAAGCACACTTTTTAGTTCATGAACAATTGTTTGAGAATCCAATCGAGCTGCTTTTTCTTCATTCTAATTCAATGTGTAAGTGATCTAAGGGTTATGTTTATCTACTTACTTCTTTGATTCGTTTTTGCTTCATTTCCTCAATACGCTGTTGTCTTGTCTTTGTAGATCGTTCTTTGTTGTTCTTTTCTACACCAGCAATGGCTTCAAAAACAGACGCCTTGGAAGCTGCAGGCAAATTCAAAATGTCAGCCACATCTTCAGAATCCAATAAAACGCCTTTTCCTTCACTTTCTTCAATAGGTGTTTCTGGTTCTTCTGGCTCTTCTTCTTGTTGTTGTTGTTGTTGTTGTTGCAACATCGGTGGATTTAGATAAGCTTCTAACATATCTTTACCATGTTGCCATTCCAAAGCCATGTCTTCAAATCCTTTTTGAACCGAAGTGTATTCATTCACCAGTTTTTGTTTTAACTCCTCTTCAGATGCTAATAGAGTGTTACATGAAAACACATGAAAAAAGTAACATACCTGAATTTAGTTGCCGTACATCTTCACTGCATAAATAGATTTTAGCTTCCATTGTTCGTAATTGTTGCTCAAGAGAAGAGAGTCGATGTACAAATTTCTTGAGTCTACTATCTTCTATTTTACTCGATAGACTGCCCTTGTCAAAATTATTCAAAGGTTTATCTAATACGACATGAGTACCACACACACACACACACATAAAAATACATGTACTTACAGAATTCAGCATCTAATGCTTCTGTAAGATCCTTGCCAAATTTCTCTGTCTCATCCACTAATTTGCTCAGGACATCATTGATATTCTTCCATGCCTGTCTGTAGTCATACCGTATCGAATCATGATCTTCTGTCATGACATCTAAAGCTAATAACTGGACCATACACTCCCTACGTTTCGCATGCATAATCTGAGCCAACTTCTTGAGCTGGTCCAGACTAAGATCGTCCTCCTCTACAGCAGAAAGAGATGCAATTGAATGCACATTGTACATATCGTACAAGGTTGCCAGGTTCTTTTTATTCACGACGCCTACCAAGTCCACAATCCCTTCTTCGTACACAATAAAGGCTCTTCGAAGCAAGGAGGCCAACATGTGACGCAACTGAGTGCATTTGCGTTGCTTGCTGTGTTGCTCAATACGTGAAATAGGCGGTAAAGGTGTTGAAAGACGAAAACCTCGAGAGACGAGTTCAATTTCTTGAATCGTGATCAAGACACGATGGATCTTTGTGTCAAACGTATCACTGTGGTCTGTAAATGCCTGAAGTTTGGATAGGGCAATTTGATATAATTGACGAATACTCGTTCTTCTCTATATATCCTTGTTAGCATGATCCGTATATAAAGTCCTATATATATATATATATATATATATATACCTTATGCCTGACAAAGAAAAACAAAGATGCTGAAGTAGAGAAGAATAACGAGATGGCAGGCAATTTAGACTGTATCAGGTATTTTTCGGCTCCGAAGAGAACAGCGAGCGTGGCAACCAGGTTAGTGACACCCAACTTTGTTGTCCGAGTTGACTGAAATGGTAATTCATTCATATGTTTCTTTTGTTTATGAACAGACAGGACTTCGCTCAAAAGAGGTGAAGTAACAATTAGATATTTAAATTTCTCTTCGAATGCAGATTCTTCTGCTCTTGATAATGAGATGGAAAAAGTGTCCTAGAAAAACATAAATATATATATTAAGCTCAAGAAGTCTATGTGCAGCTTTGTTTACGTGAAACATAGAATTTCTCCAAATCCTAGAAATATCCAACCGCTTTGATGTAGATTTTAAAGAGTTTGTATTATGAAGTGAAAGAGAAGGTGTTGCTATTTTGACAGTCGCTTCCGCCTTGTCAATAGCTTAAGAAAGGAAGAGAGGAGAGTATAAGTATATAGAGGAAAAAAACACAAGGCTTACATTCTAAATATTCTGCTAGAGGAGAATCTTCATAAACAACAAATTCAGTCATGATTGTTTAAAATAAAAAAGAATAAAAGAGAAAGAGAAAGAGAAAGAGAAAGAGAAAGAGAAAGAGGAGAAAAGAAGAAAAAATTATATTTATATAGGCAGTACATTGGCCGTGTTCCACGCGTCAGGTGAGTCTCAAAATTACAAAGACAAGGAGAGTTGTACAATAACGCATGATTTTGTTGATTTTTTTTTACACATATTTACAAAGTTTGCTAGATGTCAAATATCGACTGATAAATCGTTGCTATTCTTCTTTTGACTGCATAGGTGGTAAATCAATTAATTCCATCTTGAATACTTGTTGTGTATTTGGTATAGATGGTAACTCAATTTTATCCAATGGTGCACAGTAAAAAGGTAATTCGTTTAGTTGAGCATTAGGTGTTTTTTCCACAGAAGGTGATGTGCGCTCCAGTCGCTTCTTGATTTCTTGTTCAATAAATTTTTGCTTTTCTTCAGAATCTTTGGTACCGAATTTTTGACGTGCAATGCGATAGACTCGGCAACGAAGGTCATTTCGTTTGTTCTTTTCTTTATTTTCTGCTCGCCATTTTCGCATTCTATTAAAAGAAAAAAATTCTTTTTATCAGTCCTCTGTTGATAGACACATCACTTGCCTTTCTGTGGTTTCTGTTCTAGATGAAATCTTTCTTGCATGTCCTTTCCATCTTTTTTGGTCTCGGCTCCTTTCATAAGGGATATTGTGTATATTTGGGTTTTCCATATGTCGTTTTCTAAAAGGGAAAAATAATTTAGTTATGATTTCATTGAATTTGATACATACAAATTAGACCGAGTGGCAAATGCTAAAAAAGAATCAGGGTCAATAAAAAACAATGCAAGACTATTTTGACAGCTCACTTACTTTTTGTACATTGAGGACAAACAAATTGATGCATGTCCTCTTCTTCTGTTGCACCTTCTGTCATTTGAATGAAGAAGAAAGAAAGAGTGAAAAAAAGAAAAAAAAGAAAAGAAAAGAATCAGATACATTGGCTTATAAAGAAAAAAAAGCTGTGTGCGGCGTACGAACAAGACAGTAAAAAGCTACCAATCAATTTTAGGTTATTGTCAGGTTCAAATAAATCACGTTACTGGTATGGTTTATGGATAGGTTTCTTTGTGATTACCATGGTCCATATCAATGTCTTCAAACACCGATGACTATGATGTATACGTGTCAAAGCATATCTCCATGTTCTAAAAAGTTAAGACACCGAAGCCGGTATAATGGGGATAGGCTCTGTTTGCGCTTAAACTATTAAAGCATGAAAAATTCCAGAAACCAACAGAAAAGTAGCACAGCCAAAGGGGAAAAAGAATACCCTGATGATCCCTTTTAATTTTGTGTTTGACTATTTCTCCTCTTTTTATTTACACTATAGAAACTAGGTACACAAACCATAATGAAACGAACAATTATATCTCTGGCTAAAACCTTACAATCTTTTTTAATACTTGAGCTGTATTAAAGTCATTTTTATTGAAATCTTTTATTGAACAAGTACAAGACTTTTATTTTCTGTATGCTAGCAAAAATCAAATGACAGAAGGAACACAAAAATGAAGCACAGTCTTGGAGAAGCAAGTAGAAAAGGCTTTTGAAATGAGACAGAAGCACTAAGTGTCGAATTTTTCTTCCTAACAAATCATTTTCTGAATCAATCTAAAACTCATGAGCTATCTTTCAAAAGCATAGAAGTAATTAGGGTAAAAACTAGTTCAACTCATATTTAAATTGTTTTTATTGATAATATTTATAAATAGTCCTTTTGAGCGCACGACCTAATTTGGCCTTTAATCGCTCGGGCTCGGTCATTTCATAAGAAGGACTAATTAAACTAAAAAAAACCTTTAGAGGTGCAAGGGCAAAAAAGGCTTTTGGAAGGAGAGTGTTGAGATAATGTTTTTTGTGGGCATGGATTTGTAACCATAGGAGGAAGGACGACAATTGATTGGTTGAAGTAAGGACCAGCAGGTCAGTGTTGGCATGCTGCATAGTGTCAACTTGTGATAGAAGTGCGTGGATCGAGGTCTATTTGACACTCCAGTAAAGTATTGAGCGGTCGTTCTTAGAAGGTGCTGTAGGCAAGCGGTTTAAAAGGTGAGAAAAAGGATCGGGAACAGTTGTAGGTTGGTTTAGCATTACATGCATACTGAGGCTTTTGATAGCATGGGAATGTGAAAGATGTTGACCACAAGAACACGGCTTAGGAGAGCCTCCAGGTAGCCACCCAAGACGCCATCGTATAAGACGACTCAGTTCAATGTTGGTTATGGGCAACCATAGGATAGGATCAAGGGAAAGGAATGGGCGACAGAGGGAGAGTATTTTTGTTTTTGATAAGGTAAGCATTTTGGTGAAATTTGCTTCCAAGTACTGATGTTGATACTTTTGGAAATCTTTTCGAGGCATTGGTGTGAGGGGTTAAGGGAGAGATTTGCAGAAAGGAGTGGACGAGGGTTTGTGCCAGTGCGAAGCGGTAAGGTCTTGCAGTCGAGGCAGTAATTGAGTAAGAAGAGTGTCTTATTGCAGAGAGAGAACACGCAGTACAAATTTTACTTGAAGGATTTCACTTTGTTCACGCATTGTGGGCAGATTCAATAGATGCTTCATTACCTTTGTTGATGCAGTTTTAGATCCGCCGAAAATGGTCCTCAGGCAGTAATCTCGGGCTTGCTCCAATACTGTAGTCTGGGTGTTTGTCAAAAGCATAATTGCCAGTTCATATTCCATTTGTGGGCGAACCGTTTGCCGATAGAGCCGACAGGAGAGCTGATTAAAGAAGCCACGGTTGTTAGCACCAATTGAAGCAAGCATAGCCATTGTGGCACGAACTTTAGCAGCACCTGCTTTCACCAAGCCTTTAGAGCTAAAGAGGCTTTTTGCCTTGAAAGGAACTCCGAGGTAAGAGAAGATAGCCTGTCGTGGAATTACAGTACCAGAAAGAGCACAGTCAGTGGTGTCCTTCTCAGGTGCAAGAATTGCACATTTCGTAGGATTCCATCGATGCCCTAGTGTCAGGCTATGTTCAACACATTGGTCGAGAAGAGGTTGAAGAGTTTCCTTGGTGGCAATCAGTACAACATCATCTGCGTAGAGCAAGCAATTGATAGATGTAATGAGCTCGTTGGCGAACATATCTTCATTGAGAGGTATAGTACGTAACAATCAAGGAAGGCTATCGATATAGTGCGAGTACAGGCACGGTGAAAGGATAGAACCTTGTAGTACCCCAGTGCGTGGTGTGAAGCTATACGACTTAGTGTTGGAAAGAAGAACTTCAATTGAGATATCATTGAACATGTTCTGTAACAAAGCTAATAGTGCAGGAGACACTGTAGGCTGTAATCGGCACCAAATGACATTGTGATCTACTGTATCATAGGCTGATTTTATATCCAAGAAGGCAAGTGCTGGCGTGATCCTGTGTTACAGATTTCAACGAGACAAAGAGCTTGATCTAGTGCACTTCTGAATTCTCTAAATCTACCTTGAGCAATGTCTAAGCGAGGCGCTTGGTCTTGAAGTGGTTCTTTGAGGCATGTCTTAAATATTTTTCTAAAGACGGAGGTAAGACTGATAGGGCGGTAGTTAGCTGGACCAGTCATATCGCCTTTCTTTTGAATTGGAAACACTTGTGCCACTCGCCAACAATGTGGTGTGTATGACCATCGCCAACATAAACCAAAAATGTATAAAAGCAAAGGAGCAAGGGCTGTCCGAATTGGTTACAGTGTTTCCACCCGAATATGATCCACACCTGGTGCTTTTCTCGAAAGTAGCTTCTGTATTGCTGAAGTAACATCATCCAAGTCTAAAGGAAGCATCTCATCATGTGGCGCTGGTGAAATAGTAACAACGAAGGGACTCGATTCAGCTGGTAATAAAGAGCCATTAAATATAGTCTCCAAATGTGATGCCATGGTATTCGAAGCCACTTGGGCGCCTTATGGTGAGGTGAACGTAGGAGCAATCTTTCTATTCCTTTTGATGCTGCTGATATGTCGAATGGTGTTGCTATAGTCATCAGATGCTAGTTTTTGGCAATATTGCCTCCAAACAAAACGTCGCCGTTGTTTGATGAGTCGTCGCATTGCTGCTTTTGCCTGTTGGTGCTCTATCCAAAAGGAAAGTTTGTTAAGACCATCTGCTCTACGCCATTTTTTGTAGCACTGTTTTCTGTACTCTAATGCTGTCTGCATTTCCTTTGTCCAAAAAATGTGCTTATAATCGTTCCAGTGTTCTTTACGTCCACATGAAGAGTCCAATGCGCCATATATAGCAGTGCATAATGTACTGGAAAAATCTTCAATGAAGTTTGCTGCGTCTGTTCTCTGCTGAGGTTGTATAGTTGCATTCATTATTTGTGAGAGAATCGTTGAGTTGCTTTGGAATTGATCTATATACCTATTTCGTACTTTTTCGTCTACCAGTTTTCCCAGTCGCTATATGATTCTAGGATTTTCTGAAGGTGGTGGCGGTGCCGAATTAGTTAGAAAATCGAGATGCATCAATTTGTGGTCTGAGTCTAGAGACATATCTTCACAAATAGTAAGCTTTGGGTTGAGTAGTTCATTAGTACTAAGGAAATAGTCAACGATACTGCTACCGCTTTGTCGAAGACAGGTTGGGTTTCCCAGTTGTAACCAGCTGTTCCACACGATAAGGTTGTTGCCTTGGATCCATTCCTTAACGATCAGTCTATGAGGTTTATTGATTTTGTCGCCTGTAAATGATCCCATTCGTGCGTTGAAATCTCCACAAATTATTGTCTGTGTTGTATTTCTCCATGAAAGAGATAATGAATCAAGTATTGCCTGCACCTTTTCTCTTGATTCATGTGGAGGTATGTACAGACAATGGACTAAAATATCTGCAATCACAAAAGATAGTTTGTATTGAGAAGTGGATGATGGTTCATATTGTATGTGATGTATTGTATAAAGACAGGAAGGGGGCACTAAAAGGCTGATGCCTTGCTGGCCTGTATAAGAAGGAGCGAGTCGTTGGGTGCCATAAGTGTGATATTATTTCCATATTGTTGGGTATTTTAAAGGGGGGAGTAGCCATGTTTCTGTAACTAATAAAAGAGTGGATGAGTGATTAATTTCTAGTAAAAGAGTAATTGCTTGTCTTGGGAGTCCTGTAGCGTTAAATAATGACATTCGGATACTCGTCATTATTGGTCATCCGAGAAAGAGGAGTGCGCCAGTGATGGACCATCCGTAAGCATATCATCATCTCTGCCGAAAAGATCAGCGGCGTGCTTGGATGTGCTACGAGAAGAGCGAAGGGTCTCTTCCAAAAGGGTACTGTCAATCCATCCTTGTCGATGGAGGTATCGGGCAACAGCAAACTTGACAGGCTCACGAATGAAATCCAGAGCTCGAACCATTCTCTCGCAGTGGTAATTGTGAGCCATAGCTGCACGTTGTGTAGGAGTATCGTTGGCATACTTTGGATCGCGGTGAATGTTTGGGCTGCATGGATTAAAGTCATTCTTAAGGTTGATCTTGAACTTTGCGAGGTGAAGGCGCAATTCCTCTGCATAGTCGTTATGGATCAGTACTGCGAGAACATGTTTGTCTGGGTAATGTATGTCAAGTATTCTACTGTTATTGATATCAAGTTCTCAGACACGATCTGTGCGCTGGTTTGCGTCAGAGGTACGTCGTCATGACTAGTATCCATCCGCTGGGAACCACTTAGCTGATATGCTCTTGCTGCGGTAGTTAGTAGAGCTTGCATTTGGTGAAGCTCAAACTCGTTTTCACACTCCATACAATAAAAGACATGTGGTTTAGGATGAGCGTCTGAATTACCTCGTCTACGAAATCAACCTTTCGTGTTGCAGTGGGGACAGATTGAACGCTTTCGACCGAGATCGTACTCGCGTTCAACAGCATCAGTTTCATATACACTGAGAGCCGATACTGGCCCAGTATTGTTGTCTGGCCCAGTGTTAGGCATACTCAGTTGGTTTGACGTTGCTTTATAAAATTTTATGTTGGTTGAAGGTTATAGAAGACGTTTGAGGGATTGATGAAGAGGCTTTCTATATATGGTAAGTTATAGGAAGCAGAATACCTGGAGAAAGCTTTAGTTCAACTCATGGTACTTGTTGCTGCTAACAGAATTATAATAAAATAATTTACATATGAGAATTCACCATAGAATGCACCTATCCTTATCATTGATAAAAACAGGTTTTTTCTTTATTTATTTACTTTTGCTTTCTGTTTTCTATAATAAATTCTACTTTGAGACAAATAGCATATAAGATATAGCCTTTAAGGCATAAAAAAATGATACAATACTCAATATTCAGAAGTCCAATTTGGTTACACATTTACTCGCTTCAATCAAACCCATTTACCAAACAGTCAAATCTGAGAAAAGGTGAGCAAATAAATCTGGTATGATGATATGACAGTGCCACATTGCGCTAACTGTTTGGTCTACGACGAAAATGTTGAGTTTGACAAACGATCGGAATACATCACCAATTTTTATCATCAATACGAATTCAATAGTGTTTAATGGAGTACGACCCAGACCTTGGAAGAGAATGGACCTTTTCTGACTTGTATTGTTTGGAAAAAAAGGCATTAGAAAAGCATCATTGAATAGGGTCGTATTGTTCCAAAATGTCGGTAAATATTAAAGAGTTTGTAATAGATAAAAAAAAGGTTTATTTAAATAATTAATTCTCATGTCTTTTCCGTCTGTAGGCACTAGCATCACTACTACTACCTGACTCAATGGAACTATAATCTTGAACTTTACTGAGGTGGGCTCAACTACTATCCCAGCTACAAAACGAGACATTGTCACACTGATAGCTTATTTGGATGAGATAATCACTTTTCTCCATGAAATGTGAAGAAAAATATGACCAATACAAGTTTTATCTCATACCTTCTGTGCATAGGCAGTCAGATAGAAAAACCTTGAAGAGAAAAAGAAAGTCATCTCTTGGAGCCCTGTCATCTTTGACCAAAAGAAAACCATTAATGTAGCCAACTTTTGCTTGAAATTGTCATTTCTTTTTTTTTTACGTCGATTTCTAATTATGTGGAATATTTTTTTTTTTTTTTTTTTTTTTGAGAAAAGTGATAATTTTATCCGAACATGCTCAAAAAATATGTGAAAAATGTGCACAGCTATACATGTTTGTGCAATTTTTCCTTTTTCTTTCTGTTTTTTTTTTGAAACTTTGACATCATGGGAATACCAAGCAACACACTGACTGAGCAACATAAACAAATACTTGAAGAATTCAAGGCAATCATTTACCCTTTAATTACTGATCTAGACATGATTGATGACAATGTAAAGTAGACTGCGTAGTTTCTTTTCTTTTTCTTTTTTATTCATCATGACCTATAGATGCTTGTCCAATATTTGCAAGCCAATGTTTGGAATAAAGTAACGCTTTAATTGTATAAATAGTTTTTTATTCTTTTCAAAAATATAGGAAGACGCCAAAAAGCAGTTGATAGGAACAATCGAATGGCGTAAAAAGAACGCGATAGACAAGATACCCACTGCTACGAAACAAAATAAATTGCCTCTTCTTATTGCTTGTAGAGGCTATAAATACATTCAAGATAATAATGTCAGTGTTCAACCTGGGCTATCAGATAGTGCAATTCGTATTGCCAATTGCGTAGGCGGAGAATGTTTTCACAAGTTTGACAAGGAGGGGCATCCTATTTTGATTGACCGTACTGTAAGTAAACCTATTGACTATTCCAAGTCTCATTTTTCTTTATAGGGCTATCATAACACAAAGGAAATGGGAAACAATATCACAACTTTGGAAATGACAAATTTTCAGATTTCAGCTAATGAATTTTTAAACCGAGTGATTATGCCTGAAGGGTCTGAACGTGCAGGAAAGCCTATTCATAGTGAGACTATTATTTTTGACTGTACCAATATGAGCTTATGGCGTAATGTATTTTAGTCATTAGAGAATAGCCTTTTGTTCATATCATTTTTCTTTATCATAGAATTTCATATGAGTGCATTTACACATTTGAAAGCAATTGCAGAAATTGTTCAGAATTATTATCCAGAGACATTACATCGGCTGTTTATTGTGAATGCACCTTCAGCTTTTGTAGTCATGTTTAAAGTGATCAAGCCATGGCTTAATGCAAGGGTAAGTCAAATGTATACAGCATAAAAAAATTAAGATATGATATTGTAGACTTTAGAAAAGATCCACGTTCTTGGTAACAATTATCAGTCCATACTATTGAAATACATTGAACCAGAAAACTTGCCTGACTTCTTAGGAGGCACCTGTCAATGCCAACATATGCCAGGTGGTTGTGTGCCTATGATCTCAAAAGACAAGTTGGTACCAACAGAACAAAATGAACATGTTCCAACTGTATATAACTCGACAATCATGAAAGCTGCTTTTTCTGATCCATCGCTTTGCTCTATTTGACCAAAATCGAAATAGATACCTTTTTTGTTCTTGTTTTAGAGGAGAGTGATAGCTTTGCAATAGAAATAGGGTGAGTTCCATTCTATTTTCTCTTGAAACTGCAACTCAATGTGTGGAATATGATACTTTATAACTTGATATTTAGTCAATATTGACTATTGTAGTCACTTCTAATAAACAATTAGTCTATAGTAGCGATACCTGTGCATCTCATCGTGAATACTACAATTAGTGAGAGAAGAAATTAGACAATCTTTTATCATTACCAAATCCCTTCAGTATGGATTACATTTTACACGAGAAAGAAAAGTATGTTCATAAATCAGCTCAAAGGGCTCCCTATGACATGAATGTTTGAAAAGAACGGTTGGAATGCCTTAAATTCCAAGGATGCTTATGCTAACAAATTTGCTGATTTGATCCCGTCTTTTTATCGTAAATCATTGATGATCTGATAAGAGAAAAAACAGCTGGCTTTTGGTGCTTTTGATCTGCTGTCTGGAAATCAAGATGAGAACAAGAAAGAGCTTTGGATTAGTTCATGAATTCAATAAGTGCTTTATTTGAAGGATTTGACTTGCACTGTTTCTGTCAGAATGATATATATTGCGTATGTGTTTGACAAGTGATTTTTGATATGTAAGAAAGGGAGACAATCTTCCCGAACCGATCATTTTGATCCGATCCATATGTGATTAACTCTCTTACTGCGCACAAATTCGTGGGCAAACAATTAATGACTCCAGTCACTCGATTCCCACGAAGCCACTAAAAAAGATGTGCTGTCTATCGTTCACTGTTTGCTATTTCTCGGTAAAATTGAAATGTCCGGGAGATAATCTAATTAAGGCAATGGCACCGTGTCAATCAATTTATTCAGCAATCTTCGACTGTTTGGGACTCCGGTGTTCATTATGGCAGTGATGTTTTGTTTTGTTTTTTCAGTATCCAAAAAACATCAATCACATTCATAACAAAATTAGACATAAAGTAAAAGCCGAAAAAGAGAAAGACAAAAGAAAAAAAATACTAGTATTGTACATAAATAGTGTGTGCTTATCTTCGTGTAAGGGTAAAAACAAAATGATCTAAATAAAGGTAAATATGCTGTTTTTCTATTTTGTCAAATACTAGTGTACCCTCAAATGCGGAAAATGATTAGTAAACTTTTTTTTTCAGTTATAAAAAGTTTTCTGATTTTTCATCTCTTTCTCTTTCTTGTCTTATTCTACAACTATGTCAGCAGCTGAACCAACAACACAACATACTTCTACTCCTAACCAGGATATTGAGGCTAAATATCATGCCCCCGCTTATCCTCCAGTACCCATTTATGCTGCTCCAACCATTGCTAATCCTGGTCCTTTGGGTCTTAGTTCTTTTGCCTTAACCACCTTTGTTCTATCCCTTCACAATGCAGGTGCTGGTGTTCCTGCTAGTGGTCCAAATGAAGTTGTAGTTGGTCTTGCTTTGTTTTATGGTGGTGTTGTTCAGGTAATTTGACAATTCCTCTCTTTATATTTAATGTTGCTCATTATTTTTCTTTAAAGATCTTGGCTGGTATGTGGGAGTTCAGAACTGGTAATACATTTGGTGCCACTGCTTTCTCTAGTTATGGTGGTTTTTGGTTATCTTTTGCTTGTATTCTTATTCCTGGATTTAACATTACTGCCGCTTATACTGATTCCGCCGTCTTGGAAAAATCATTGGGCATTTATTTGATGTCTTGGGCATTATTCACTGGTCTTTTACTGATTGCTTCTCATCGTTCTAGTGTTGGACTAATGAGTTTGTTTTTCTTCTTGTTTATCACATTTACTCTCTTGGCTGCTGCTAAATTCAATGACAGCCTCACAACTCAAGTTGCAGGCGGTGCTTTCGGTGTGATCACTGCTTTAATTGCTTGGTACAACGCTCTTTCTGGTCTTTTGACAAAAGATTCTTCTTATTTCCTTTTACCTACCGGTCGTCTCAACTAATAACTTTTGTAAATGTCTGTATTCCCTAGTTTTTTTTTTTAAAATTATTTCTTAATCACTATAAACCTCTTTTTTTTTTAATATAAATTTGTATGTTTAGAAAAAAAAAAGGGAAAATTTTTTACCTTGCGTGGGAATTGGCGTAGTAAATAGAATCAAAAAAAGATAAATTGTATAAAAAAAAATTGATTATAGTTTGACAGCTTCAAAAAAATGCGGGGCGGAAGCATTTCCTTTTTATTTTTTAGCTATTAAAACATCATGTACCAAATGATATTACCAAAAAAAAGAGAATCTAAAATATCGGGTTTTCAAGAAAAAAAAAAGAACATTGCACGAAGAATCTGCGGTACATCAAAATAAAAGTAGACTGTGAATCGCTAGAATAAAAACGATCATAATCTAAACAACCTATCAGGCTTAGATCAAAGTCTATACAAGATGATTTTTTGTTTATTACTCTCGTACTACCCCTTTTATTGCGTATTCTCTTTCTTCAATGTTTTTCAATCAATTCCAACTAACCATTTTAATGTGAAGATAGACTTATTTTTGATTTCAAAAAAAAAGTAGCATCTACTTTACCCCAGGTTTTCATCTGGTATGAGAAACCTTGATTAAACTTTTAACCTAAATTTTGTGTTTATTCTGATTCGTCATCAAAAAAGTTCTCTATAATAAATTCAACAAACTCCTGATCCCAAGTCTCATTATCTTCGGCTAAACTTCTAAACAAAGAGCCATGACCACCACGCTTTATCCAGACACGAATAATCTTGAGTGCGTCCTCTTTCTTACCAGCAACTTCTACCCATTCCTCTAGTGCCCATTCACTCATGGCCCAACCAAGATACCCGCTTGTCAAGACTTCTTTATCTACTTCAACTGCATGCTTGAAATAAAATACAGCATTCTTGAGTAGTTGGTGTCTATTTCTTTCAGCAACAGGCAGCTCTAAGCGTGCACGAATCAAACTTAAATCACCCATTTTGTTGAGAATTCTCAAGTTCTTGGGCTCTAATGTCAATGCACTTTGGAACGACTTAGTAGCAGAGGCATATAATTGCCATACTTCTTTTCCGTCTTTTTCAGGCACAAGTGGTAAATTCTTTTTGTTGGCTACTTCTTCAATAGCTTGTCCATACGATGTCAACACATCACCACGATCACACATGGCTTCTACATGACGAGAATCATATTGTTCAACGATTTCATCGAGTCGTTCAATAGCCTTTTCAAATAAACTGCTGTCGACTGTACTCGAAGCAACAAATGAACGATCTGCCATAGCTGCATAAGTGGCTGCTTCTTTCAGGTTGATTTGAATGCGCGCTAATTTTTTTTCTTCATCATCTGTGGAAGTAATTTTGGCTAGCCATTTTTCAGCTAGACCAAGCTTAGCTTTGGCTTTACTGAACAAGTCCATGGATGCAGGGAATGAAGCGAGCATAGAAGCCATGGTTGTCATTGTTTCTGCTGTAGACAACAATGTCTCTATCAATGAATAGGGAGTTGTTGCTTCCACTTTGGTTACCGTAGTAAATTCTTGTTTATCGTTATCTGGTTTACTCTCTTCTTCCTCTGCTTCTTCTTGTTGCGGTGCCGACATATCTTGTTGTGGTGCCGACATATCTTGTTGTGAATCAGGTTCATTTAGATCCAAATATTCTTTTTCTTGCAAATCATAAACGCTATCAAACAATGAAATAGCTTCTTGCAATGCCATGGCAGAAGCAGCATAAGAGTTGTCAACTTCAGTTGTATCTTGAAGAATCTCGGAACGCTGATGAAGTGCTTGTGCCAAGTTGAATTGTGCATCTGTCTTATTGGCTTCTAAATCTAATGCTTTTCTGAATTTTTCGATTGATTGATCTAGTTTCTCGAGCTTTTCTTCGGGTGTAGCATGAGAAGGCAAAAAATTGACAAGCAAGAATAAAACACGACCCCTAAATTATGTCAAAGCATATTCTCCAAATAGACAATTGCTCTCTCTCTCTCTTACCAATTGTATACACAATCCGCATCTTGGTTATTCACTTCAAAAGCTTTTCCATACATATCAGCAGCTCTTTCATAATTACGTTGAGAGCGGTCACCACTATGGTATCTTTCACCTTGTTCTTCAAACTGAAGAGCCTCTTTTGAATAGGTTTAAGTTTCTTCTTTATAAGTTTGATTTTTTATAGAATTTTACCTTCCATAAACTCGTCAAAAGTTTCGGGCTCCTTCTTTTTCTTTGCAGGTGCCTTTGGTTTTTGTGGTTTTCTTGGAGTAAATTTGCCCATATCGTAAAAAGAAAAAGTCTTTTTTTCTTTGTTTTGCATTTTTTTCTGCCAAAAGCAGTCCCTTGAATGCTTAAATATCACTTGATTGGCTACACTTTTTCATGCTACACGCTTACAGTTGCACACAGGGTAGGCTGTTGTATTTTTTTCATGCACAATAACCCTCTGTCATTATTAATGTCAACTCAACTAGATTCGCAAATACCGAATGACACAATATCATATAAGACTTCCGATTTAATACCCTCTTCTTTTTACGTGCGATTTTTCGCTCAAGATAATTATTCAGAGAACCAAAGTCGCTTGAGACTTGCATACACACGTATTAATACGGTAAAAAAGCACCTGTTTGTATCAAAAATACTCAGCAATTGTAAAGAATTACCTTTGTTTGGGAGAAAATCTCATTTTATTACAGTGATTTACTTTAACGTATTCAAATAAAAAAAAGAAAGGCATGTTTGTATGTTTATGTATAGACTTGTACATAATTTTGGGCCACGTATCCTTTTTCATTTGTCAGGCAGTTCATTCTTGAATCAAACTTAATTGCGTAATACCAGCCATCATTTCTTACTTCTGTTACTGCTAACCATGTACCTCTTGAATATTGAAGTTCTTCCGGCTTTCCGCTATACCAATCACCAAGTGCCATTGCTAAAGGTTTCATGTTAATTATCGCTTGTTTATTGGTTTTTCGCTTACCCCAAAATAAGGTGGGCTGAGTACCTTGAGGTATGTCTGCTGGTGGTTGATACATGTTATTTTCCACGACTTGGTAGGTATAATTAGCAGGATGAGCTGCGGAAGGTATATTAGCATAATGTTGCTGTTGTGAATACGATGAGTAATGTGGCTGTTGAGACAATGTGTAGGCTTCATGCCCTGTCATTATATACATGTCTTGCAAATGTGCGCTATCTTCATGAGAGTGATAATTGTCACCCGTATCAGTGAGCATAATTGGTTTGTATGAATGCTTTTGCGATGAAGGTGCTGTTATTGAAGACCGGCGATGTGATGTTCTACTACTGGTAAGATTATTTTTATCGTCTGACATGCTCTCTCTTGAGGAATTCTCTTTGTTTTTAGGCTCGTTGTTGCTTTTGTTCTGCTCTCCAAACAATCCCAATTCTTCCAGCAAGCTTTGATATGAAATATTACTAACTGCTTCTAAATCAGCAGATCTCTGTCGTCTTCTTGAAGTGAAATGACTGCCCGAGATACCTGATCTACTTTTAAAGTGTCGTGTATGCGTTGATGTGTCCGTATTTGTCTGATCGTCTTCTAGATTTAAGTGGCCCAAGTCGAACATGTTATTACCGATAGCAAACACAACTTTAGCGCGTGGATCAATAGTAACATTTTCCTCTTCTTCAGCTTTTTTAATTTCATTTTCATCACTATCAGATGTGTCTGAAGCAGATGACATATCAGGAACAACAATTACTGGAGGAGCTACAGGGATAGAATGGGTTTCTTGGTTTTTGATCGAGTTTCTTTTGCTTTTTGAAGCAGACGTAGAGATAGAAGGCAATGGTTTGATGACATTACGAATAATTGATTTCCTTCTTTCTTTTTGGCTTCTACTTGGTTCTGGAGCTTCTGCAGGCAATTCTTTGGGTGTAACTATTGATTTACCTCGGTTCAAGAAATTTGATACAATGTTATCTTTTGTAGACTGCAGTTCAGTTGGGTTTCGTACTGTTAATTCGGGTTTCACTTGATCAACAAGAGAGTCTGATACGGTAGCCAACTCCAAAGGAGCAGAAAAATTAGCAACTTTATGTTTTTGAAAAGTCTTTTGAGGATCGTCAGAATAAGGCACAAAAATCTCAGGTTCAGGAATCAATGGGCCAGTTCCCTTTTCACTAATAAATGTCTGAATGTCCTTTACTGGATCATATTGATCTAAAGTCTTCCAAAAACGTTCATATGACTACATATGAAAAAAATAAGCATATTTCATTAAGCAATTTCTGTTACCTCTTGATCTTGACTCGTAGCCGTTGAAAGAACATTGATATACATGGAAAAACTATGATGAAGAAATTCCAGTCTCTTTTTTTCCATGCCTTGATATGTCTATAAAGTTGTCAGTCAATACTCTCGTTTTAATCGCGCTTACATCACAGCTAAGCTTCCATGCTTTGTTCCAATTATCGGTCGCTTCTGCAACCTTGACACATGCATTTTTATACTCTTGTTCTAGAATAGATAGAAGGCAAGTTTAGGCACTTTTTCTCTCTACTACAACGAATAATGTACCTTGAATTTCGATTTCATGTTCTGTTCTTTCCATGCGCTGTCTGATTTTTTCAGCGTCTCGAGTCGAAGTAGCATTTTCGAGTTGAGACTCGAGCGTCCTTAATTTAGCACAGTCTACTTCATATTTCTCTTTCACCTTGGCTAAATAAGTCTCACTTGATTGTTTGTATCTGTGCGCTTTTTCCACATTGGTATGCGTTAGCTTTCTTTTGTCTTTTTGTTCAAGTATAAAGTTATCAAGGTCAATTTCTAGTCGGGTCTTTAACTTTTGTGCCAAATTGAGATGTGCCTGTGCAGTCCATTCCATTTCCTTATGAGCTGAAGATAATAGTGCATGAAGAGTTCTAATTATCGATGAGTACATGAATCTATATGTTGTATTTTGAGTCTACCCTGTTTCTTCGCGACCCATCCCTGCTTTAGCATGTTTCATTAATTTTTTACCGAATTCTTCATGAAGGGAAGCTCTACAAATTGATAAGAAAACAGCGTTATTACTATTATTCCGTACCTGACACTATAAAATGACTTAATTTCATCAAATGTTTTTTTCGTACTATTCATTTTAGCTGTAAGAACATAAAAGCCATCATCTTTTAAGCCCTAAAATGAATACTGTTGGATTAAATTCACTTAAATAAAGATCTCCTTACCCAAAAGTGATTGGAAAACGCTATTTCGGTCATTTTTTTTTGCAAGAGAAAGGGAAAAAAGGGAAAAAAAGGAAAAAGATTGTTTTTAACAAATAATCTACATTTGCATGTTTTAACAACAACGAAATGCCTTTTATGGAACCTGCCAAAAGCCTAGCTGGTCTGTGACGCGCCTTTTGAGTTTTGAGTTGGTAAACGCGTTCTTTTTTTTCTTTACGTGCCTTTATTTTCTTTCTCTGTATTTGTCAATATGGACGGACAACCCCCACCAAAAAAGCAAAGATTTGCTCAACCTGAGAACGAAGTAGAAAAAGAAGAAAGCTCTTTCTTGGATCTGCCTGACATACCAGAAAAACCTGACAGAAAAGTTTCTTTTGCACCTACAACGACTGAAAGTACCTTTTTACCACCTGAAGACGCTATTAACCAAAAAAAGCCTCGACTTGTGATGAAAAAAATGATCTTGAACAACTTTAAGTCTTACGCTGGAAGACAAGTCATTGGCCCTTTTCATAAGGTAAGCGCAGCCTTTCCTTCGTATGTTCCAACTAAGCCCTTTTGCATAGTCCTTTAGTGCCAGTAAAGTGTTTTTTTTTATACTATCGACATAATCAATTAACTTTCTATATAGTTGTTGGTCCCAATGGGTCTGGAAAATCAAATGTGATTGATGCTTTATTGTTTGTGTTTGGTTACAGAGCCAACAAGATGCGTCAAGGAAAACTATCAGAACTGATCCATAATTCAGCCAAACACCCTGACTGTACAACCTGTTCAGTCGAGATTCATTTTCAAGAAATTATAGATGGAGATGGAATGAATGAATATACTATTCAGCCTAATTCACAGCTTGTTATTTCCCGTCAAGCCAGTCATAACAATTCTAGCAAGTATTTTATCAATGATAAAGCAAGCAACTTTACAGAAGTGACTACGCTTTTACGAGACAGGGGAATTGATTTAGATCATAAGCGATTTTTGATCTTACAAGGTGAAGTTGAATCAATTGCATTGATGAAGGCAAAAGCAAAAGATGGCAATGATGACGGGTTGTTGGAGTATTTAGAAGATATTATCGGTACATCGAAATACAAGGATCGTATCGAAGAAGCAAGTGGAAGATTAGAAGTATTGAATGAAGAGCGTGCAGAGAAATTAAGCAGAGTCAAATATGTCAGTCGAGAAATGGATGGTATGGAAGAGAAAAAAGCAGAAGCAGAAAACTATTTGGAAAACGAGAACGAATTGACACGAAAAAAGAATGAATTATACCAAGTTTATACAAGTGAAGCTAAAGAAAACACAACTGTTGCAAATCAAGCTATTGAAGAATTAAGTGCTAAACTGGAAGAAGAGGCGCACAAGTTCAAAGCAGTTGAACAAGAAATATTAAAAATGAACAATGCTCATCGGGATATTGTCAAAGAGTACACAGTTATTGAATCAGACACCAATAAATTAATAAAACATCAAACAAAAGTGGAAAAAGACCAAGTACAGACAAAGGAAAAGCGAGAGCATCTCATTAAAAAGCAAGAAAAAGGTAAAGCTACACTAGAATCTGATCGCGCTGCAAGAAATGCTGCTCAGGAATCCATCAAGAAAAACACAGAGGAATTAAAACAGCGGAGAGGAGAACTTGTTGAACTTGAAAAGCAACTCAAGGAAGAGGAAGAAAAACTTGAAGAGATCAATCGTGAACTCAAGGGAAAAACAGATGGATTTCTAGCTCAAATTGAAGAGCATCAAAAGAAACTGGCACCTTGGACAGAAAAGATTAACGAAAAGCAAAAAGCAATTGACGTGAAAAAATCAGAAAGTGAAATTTTGGCTGAGCGCATTGTTTCTGGTGAGAAAGCAGTAGGAGAAGCTGAGGAACAAGTCAAGAAGCTAGAAGAAACCATAGCCCAAAAAAAGAAAGAGACCAAAGACTTGCCCAAGAAGATCAAGGAGCTCATCGTTGAAATCAAAGAACTTGAAAGTTTTCTAGAAACACTCCATGATAAAGAAACAGAAAAACGTAGAGCTATGAACGATGCTCGTCAAAAAGCAGACGAAGCAAGAGCATCTATGCAACAATCTCAAAGCCGTGGCAAAGTACTCGATAGCATCTTGAGAATGCGTGATTCTGGTCGCATCAAGGGTATTTATGATAGACTGGGTAGTCTTGGTGTAATTGATGATCGTTATGATGTGGCTATTTCAACAGCATGCAGTGCACTTGACAATATTGTCGTTGAGACAGTAGAGGCAGGTCAGGCATGTATTGAATATCTCCGTAAGAACAATTTGGGTCGAGCTGTCTTTACTGTCTTGAACAAGCTACGTGAGCAAGATCTAGACGAGATTGAGACACCAGAAGGTGTGCCTCGCTTGTTTGATTTGATTGAGCCCAAGGATGAAAAGTTTAGACCTGCTTTCTATAGTGTGCTTCAAGATACATTGGTTGCTCAAGATATGCGTCAAGCCAATCGAATTGCTTATGGCAAAAAGCGTTGGAGAGTAGTGACCATGGATGGTAAATTGATTGAAAAATCAGGTGCAATGACAGGTGGTGGTAATCGTCCATTGCGTGGGGCTATGAGCTCAACATTTAAGAACGATGGCGTCAGTGCAGAAACTGTAGCAGAGCTAGAACGAGAAAGAGATCGTCTTGAAAAAGAATATAGAAATGCTGTGGATGAAAAGCGAGCAACAGATGCTGCTTTAAGAAAAAAGAAAGAGCAGTTGCCCAAGATTGAAATGACGCTTGAAAAGCTCCAAATGGACATCAACAGCTTAGAGAGTCAAATCGAAGATGAAAGAGAGCGATTAGAGGGGCTCCAGTAAGTGACCAAGTATAAATATATGCCCTGTCTCATAGGCTATTAGAGCACAAACAAAGCCAAGTCCTGCTGATGTAAAACGACAAAAGCAAATAGAATCAGAGATAAAGAAACTGGAAACAGAAATGGCAAAACTCAAAGAAAAGACAGTTGAAATTGAAGAGACGATTAGTTCATTGCATGAAGAAATTTTGGAAGCAGGTGGTATGGACTTGAGATTGCAAAAGATCTGTGTCAATGATATCCGTAAACGCATGGATAACTTGAATACTCGTATCACAAAGAATATGGTTGCTAAAACAAAGGCTGAAAAAGATGTCAATAAGTTCGAGGCTTCTATTATCAAATTTGAAAAAGAAAGCGAAAAGTATGAGCATGATCTTGACGAACTAAATGAAGAGGTTAAGCAATACGACAATGATATGGCTGACATCATAGCCAAAGTCGAAGAAGCTAAAAAGGTAAATCAAGTTATTCTTATGTTTAAAATTAACGCTTTTATTCTTAGCGTATGGAAGAAAAGAAAGCAGAGATGGAAAAGGTCAAGAAAGAACTTGATGAAAAGTCAGAATCTATTAATAAGCTTCGTGAATCTGAAGTTGATATCAAACATAAACTGGAAGACTATAAACGCACTTTGATAGACAATCAAAAGAAAGCTAACCATTGGGATGAACAGAGATCAAAACTGGTATTACAACGTATTGATGAAGAACCTGAAGAAGCATTGGTTTTGCCTATATTTCAAGGTGATGAACTTAAGCAGTTAATGCAAACAAAACAAGCCATCAAGATGGAAATTGCAGAAATTGAAAGTAAGTCTATTCACAAAAGTTCCTTCTTTTTACTTACTTCTTCATAGCTTTTGTTCAAAATGCAAAGCCAAACTTATCTGTGCTTGAAGAATATCGCCGTCGTCGTACCGAGTACAATCAACGAAAAGGAGATCTTGATTCTGTTACTGCAAAAAGAGACACAGTAAAGAATGAAGTAGAAACTCTTCGAAAGAAACGATTAGATGAATTTATGAGTGGGTTCAATATTATTTCTCAAAAATTAAAAGAAATGTATCAGGTAAATATGAAAGCATTATGTATAGTCTTGAATTACATTGAATTAGATGATTACTATGGGTGGCAACGCAGAACTTGAGTTAGTAGACAGCTTAGACCCCTTTTCAGAAGGCATTGTGTTTAGTGTGATGCCTCCCAAAAAAGTTGGAAAAATATTTCTAATTTATCTGGTGGTGAAAAGGTAATCGAGAAAAAGATAGACATGAACTCATTACTTTATTCAATAGACACTTAGTTCATTAGCACTCGTCTTTGCACTTCATCACTTTAAGCCCACACCTTTGTATGTGATGGACGAAATTGATGCTGCCCTTGATTTTCGTAACGTTTCTATTGTAGCAAACTATATTGCAGAACGAACGAAGAATGCACAATTTGTGATTATCAGTTTAAGAAACAACATGTTTGAGTTAGCTGATCGACTGGTTGGCATTTACAAAACAAACCATTGTACAAAGAGTATTGCTATTAATCCAAATATGATTGCAACACTCACTTCTATACCAACAAATGCAAGTCCTGCATCCAACAGACGATCAACCACTCAATCACAAAGCTCAATAGAAAATGACATTGAAAAGAATACTAACAACAATAATAGCAATAATAGCAGCGAAATTCAAGCATCTTCTTCCTCATAGAATATAAATAAAGCATTGCGGTATTGTATGCCAAAAAAAAAAAAGGGATTGTTTATTCCATATATTAACGAAGTACAAATGAGAGCCATGCAATTAAAAGGAAACCATTAGATGAAAAATAATGAGTAAATAATTTTTTATGCCCATGTACCCAGAACAGACATGAGAGCGGCACCAATATACATACAAATAAAGCAATAGATTTTGCGTGATAAAGGAGATCTTCTAAAAGAGGTATTGTGGTTGATTTCCATGCTCATGAGAGAAACGTAAGCATTGTAGAGCAAGATACCAGCTGAAAGAGAATCCAAGATACCTTGGGCTAAAATAGCAGCAGGAGGATTAATAGAAGAACGAATACCAATGCCGATAGCAACACCAATGGGAGTCATACAGATAAACAAAAGGCCCATTACAGTAGGTTTAAGCCATGTATTGCATTGAAGCTCGTTTATGCGAGTACCAAGAGCGATACCTTCAAAGAACTGATGAAATACCAAAGCAATCAACAAAGTTTGGAATGAGCCTTCACTAATAGTACCAAGAGTAATACCAATGATAATAGAGTGCATAACAATACCCAATTCCAAGATGAATGTGCCAATGTTGCGAATAGATTGTTCGTTTTCTAAGAATCCAGCAGAATGAACATGTCCCGTTTCATAGTGACCAAGTTTGTCCATTTTCTCATTGACTACATGACCATCTTTATCATTAATTACGGGGATGTTGTTCGCTGCCATCTTATCCAGGTTGGAGATAGCAGCTAATTCAATCAATTGAAGAAAGAAAGATGCCAACATGCAAAAGAGACCACCGAAAGCATGATAAGAGTGCCAGCCTTCTCCAATGCATTCGGATTCAAAACGTTCAAGGGCTTCAGGTAACATATGGATGAATGCAGTAGAAATAATGACACCTGTGCCAAAAAATTTGCCTGCAGCAAGGATCCAGTCGCGGATGCCACCTTCTTTAGGAGGGCTGATACGGTAAAGAGCAATGGGGGCAAAGATACCAACAGCAGAAGTAACTAAGATGATGAAGATAGAACCGATTCTCATAGGCATGTTGTAGGCAGACTCAGCTTCCATATCACAAGAAATACCGTGAGCATGTCCGTGTTCGTGTTCGTGTTCATGTTCAGCAGTTGCTGATTCTGATTCTTGATTAACAAGTGTAGTGTTAGTAGCTAAAGAGAGATGCCTTAGTCCAAACAGATCTTCAAATTGATTTTCTTACCTGAAGAGACTTCATGGCTATGATCATGATCATGATCATGGTCGTGGTCGTGCTTATGAGCTTCAGTTGTGGCTCCAACAGTAGTATCTATTACAAATTTTGTTAGTATGTTATAAACAAAGTCATTGAGTCCCTTACTTGTATGATTATGGTCATGGTCATGATCATAAACTTCTGTCGAGTTATGCACAGTGCCATCTATTGAAATCTGTTTAGCGAATATGATCCGAGGAAATTTTTGTATATATTTTTTCTTACCTTCATGGATGTGATCTTGAGCATGAATTGTAGTTGTGAAAAACAGGGCTACAACCAACAGCAACACAAAATATTTGATAGCGAAAGATTTGGATGCCATTGTGTTTGCTAAAGAAATGATGAATCAAAGGCGAGAGATAGAAAAAGTTCTGTCTATTTTATAGTGTTGACAAGTACGACTGTTAAGATACTCTTCAAGATACTGCTTTGACAGTTTGAGCCAATAGGATACAAAAATTTCTGGAACAAAGTCACTTTAACCATCAAGGTACATGCTTCCTACCTTTCCATTGTTTCTTTTGTTAAAGTTTGTCGAGAATATGGTTATATAATTATATAATTTTTTTCTGATTTAGTTTTGTTTCCATTGAGCAGTAGAGCGTTTCATCCCAAAAACAAATGAGACTATATCTACATGTCTAGTTAGTCTTTGCATAATTTGTTGATGTTGATCCTGGGTCGAGTTTACGAGCATTGCTTCAAATGACAAAAGAAGAATTGTTGATTTTTCGGATTTAAGACTCAGTTCTCGATGAGCTTGTTACTTCCCTCTTTCTCTTTGAGTTCGGTATGCAAGTAGACTTGTCTTGCTTTCTCATATGTAATACTGCGACTGATAAAACCAAATTGTTTGTGTTTGTTGATTTCCGGGTAATTGCAAGAAATGGAGTAACACAACACTAAAATTTATTGTACACAAACAGTTTCAAGTTGAGCAGGATATCAATTTTTTAAGAAAAAAAGATGAGCAGGATGTTTTCATTATAAAACAAAACAAAACACAAATACGTCTCTCTCTCTTTTTTTTTCTTCAGTGATATAAAATGCATAGCTTCTAAGCAAAAAGTCCTTCTGTTTAACAAATAATTCAGGTTTGCTTTCTTTAAATTTTGAGTTTCTTCGAATTCTACAATAGATAATTTCCTTGAAAAAGACGCATAGTGCTTCCAACAAGCAATGTCGCCACCAATCAGGCGTGACGTCGTCGATCAGTCAACAAATGTCGTATTTTTGGGAACCATGTTGCTTTTGCTTGAAGATGGACATGTAAATGTTGTCAATAAGAGTGGCAGTTTGAGCTTATGGAGTAAGTTTCTGATTAGAATGTATTTGTTATTGAAACAACTGCCATTCACTTAAAAAGTGCAGCTTTCAGCGAATTTTCTTTAGCTTGTCTAATGTAAATAGAAAATTCAAAAATGAATACACTCATATGGAAGAGACGAACGTAGAACGTGGTTATGTACGCTATACCGTCTAGGATAGAGTTTAGTTTTTCGATTTGAAGATTGAAAAATGTATGGGTGTATCAGCTGCAGTGAAGCAGTTGAGTATGCACATTCTAACGACGCAGAAATGGACTAGGTAATATAGTATGTGTCTTGGAAACATCTTGGATAGTTGTAACAGACTAAGCCGTTAGTGCATTTTGACCGAAGAACATAGAGAAACTGTTGTCAACTTCATTGATGTCAATCACTTTGCGGCTGTTGTTGAACCAACCAGAACAATTGAATAACATAATAGATAAAAGGATTTTGCGTAAACTTTGGTTTTAGTGAAATTTTTTGTTTAAACAAAATATATTCTAAAAGCAAAACATATATGACATACAAGCATTTTGCTTGGTTTCTTTCTTTTTATTTTTACCATATGTGTGCTCTCAGAAAGCATTCTCAAATAGTATCTTCTTCCAATCAACAATATTGAGCATAAAAGGAATAATCAAAACGTTACCTATAATGATCAGGCTGATATGATTGTACAAGGAGCATATTCACATTAGAGTTTTTCTCCCTTCCTCCTTTTGCATCATTAAGGACTCCTAGAAATGCTATCGACAGCTAATAATGGCAGCAAATATTTAGTTAATAGTGGCGATAAAGTTCCATTGTAATATGCTAGTTCTTTGTGGAACACGTCTATAACCGCAGCAGGCATAAGAACCCCGCCATCAATTTTTTTCATTCTCGCTTTTTGTAATACTTCTTTTTTTTTCTGATAGATCTCGATCGTAAAAACATAAAGAAGAAATGCCAGCCATAACACCAGCACAGCTTTCAGTGCTCCAGCATAATACAAAAAATATCAGGAATATTTGTATTCTTGCTCACGTTGACCACGGCAAAACAACACTGTCTGACTCGCTATTGGCAACCAACGGCATTATTTCCTCGAAAATGGCAGGCAAAGTAAGATATCTGGATTCTCGCGAAGACGAGCAAGAAAGAGGCATTACAATGGAATCTAGTGCCATTAGTTTATATTTTAAGCTTGTCAGATCTGTTACTTCAGAAGGTAAAACAAAAAAAGCCGCAGTTTTGGTCGAGCTCTGACATATATGACATCAATAGAGGCGCAGTTAAAGACAGTAGAAAGTGAATACCTCATCAATTTGATTGATTCCCCGGGTCATGTTGATTTCTCTTCTGAAGTATCTACTGCTTCTCGATTATGTGATGGTGGTCTTGTCTTAATCGACGTGGTAGAAGGTGTTTGTACACAGGTAAAGATATATATACTATTTGAAATAGCACTCATTTAAAATATATAGACAATTTCTGTTTTGCGTCAAGCATGGATTGATAAAGTAAAGCCAATTTTGGTGTTTAATAAAATGGATCGATTGATTGTTGAATTGCAAATGACACCTCATGAAGCCTATATCCACATGAATAAGATTCTAGAACAAGTCAATGCTATCATGGCAACATTCTTCACAGGAGATTTGATGGAAGATGAAGCAAGAAAGATGGCAGAGACACAAAAGGAAGAAGAAGAGTTTGATCCCAACAAAGTTTATGATTGGAGTGTAGAAGAACGCGATGATTCTGATATTTACTTTGATCCTGCAAAGGGAAATGTTATTTTTGCCAGTGCTGTCGATGGCTGGGCCTTTAGGTAATCCGTATGAATACAGACAAGTTATTAACGATACTCAGAGTTCAACAGTTTGCTTCTCTTTATGCAAACAAACTTGGCTTTAAAGAAGAAGTTTTACAGAAATGCTTATGGGGTGAATATTACTTTGATCCAAAGGCCAAACGTGTTATTTTACCAAAACATCTCAAGGGTAGAAACTTGAAGCCTATGTTTGTTCAATTTGTACTTGAAAACATCTGGGCAGTTTATACCAATGTCGTTATCGAGCCGTAAGTAGTATATACAAGCAAGCCTGATATTGATTTGATAATTGCCTTAGTGATCGTGAAAAGGTGGAAAAGATTGTAGGTGCATTGAAAATTAAGGTTCTGCCTAGAGATTTGCGTTCTCGCGATCCTCAAATTTTACTTTCTGCTATTTTCTCTCAATGGCTTCCACTCTCTACTTGTGTTCTTTTGGCCATTATTGGTCAGTTACCGCCTCCTAAAGAAGCTCAGCGCATCCGTATTCCTAAAATGTTGTATCCCAATGTGCATCACAAAGATAAAGAGCCTCTCGAACCTACAAATAATATCGAAAAAGCATTGTACAGCTGCGATGTTTCTGATGAAGCTCCTGTAGTTGCCTATATCAGTAAAATGTTTGCTGTCCCTGTTGAATTGTTGCCAGAAAATCGTCGAAAGCAAATGACAGCCGAAGAAATGAGAGAACGCGGTCGCCAACAACGTGAGCTTCGCAACCAACAAGCTCTGCTGGATCAATCTGGTGAAGGCATTCCTATCAACAACGTTGTAGAAGAAGAAGAGCAAGAACAAGAAAGTGAACTGTCTGAAGAACCCAAAGGTGAAAAACTAGTTGGTTTTGCTCGCCTTTATAGTGGCTCTATTCGTGTAGGCCAAAGACTGTATGTTATGGGACCCAAATACGATCCTAAATACCCTAAAAAGCACGTTTCTGAAATTGTTGTACAAAGCTTGTATTTAATTATGGGTCGTGATCTGGAGTCTCTAGATGAAGTGTGTGCTGGTAATGTCTTTGGTATTGGTGGTTTAGAAGGTCATATTCTTAAAAACGGTACTTTGGCTAGTACTTTAGAAGATGCTCGTAATATGGCTGGCGTTAAAATGGAGACTTCTCCTATCGTACGCGTTGCTTTAGAACCTGAAGACCCTACTGAAATGGACAAACTTGTTGAAGGCCTGCGCTTGCTGAATCAAGCCGATCCTTGTGTTGAAGTACTAGTACAAGAAACGGGCGAACATGTTATTTTGACAGCTGGTGAACTGCATTTAGAGCGTTGTTTGCGTGACTTGAAGGAGCGATTTGCCAAGATTGAAATTCATGCTTCAGAGCCTATTGTTCCCTTTAGAGAAAGTATTGTGCGTGCTGATTTAGCTGTCAACAAAGAGAAAGAAGGTGTAATGGTTCCTCGAGGTCGTGTAGAGATCAAGATTAATTCTAAGCTTATGACTCTAAAAGTTCAAACAGTGCCTTTGCCTACTCGAGTCACTGAGTTTTTGACAAAACATTCTGCATCTATTAAGGCAGTTGTTGATGAGAAGATCGCCAAAAAGAACCATAAACGTGAAGATGATGACGATGAAGAAACAGGGGACGCGTCGCCATTGAATGCCAACAACTTACTGAATACAGAAGAGCTTGAACAACAACTTCGACATGAGTTTGCTGAAGCAAAGAAAGAAGGAGGTCCTTTTACCTCCTTATGGGATGACATTGTTGATCATATCTGGGCTTTTGGTCCTCGTCGTATTGGTTCCAACTTGTTGATCAACCGTATTCCTGGCTATGTCAGAAAACCCTTTTTCCAAGTAGATTCAAAGAAGAGTACTGAAGTCGCTGTCGATCATGCTGATGAAGTAATCAAAGTAGATGATGATAATGATGCACTCTCTATTCTAGATGTGGACTTCCATATCCACACTGGTTTCCAATTGACTACATTGACTGGCCCTCTTTGTGCAGAACCAATGACTGGTGTTTGTTATATTGTCCAAGGTGTTGAATTTCATCCTGAAGAATTAGTTTCTTCAAACGGAGAACAAGTCGATGGTAAGTGTAAATATTTGTTTTTTTCGCAAGTATATTTACGTATTGTTAGTTCGCTCTCGTCTCCATACTGTTCAAGGCCAAGTTATTGCTGCTGCCAAAGAAGCTTATCGTCAAGGTTTCTTGGATTGGTCTCCTCGTCTGCTTTTAGCTATGTATACATGTGATATTCAAGCTAATGCAGAAGTACTTGGTCGTGTCTATGGTGTTATTTCTAAGCGAAAGGGTAAGATTGTCTCTGAAGACTTGAAGGACGGTACATCATTCTGGCAAATCAAAGCTTTATTGCCTGTGATTGAAAGTTTTGGTTTCTCTGATGAAATTCGAAAGAGAACATCTGGTGCTGCTAGCCCACAGTTGGTGTTTAGTGGATTCGATTTACTAGATGAAGATCCATTCTGGGTTCCTACTACTGAAGAAGAGTTGGAGGATTTAGGTGAGAAGGCTGATAAGGAGAACTTGGCTAGAAAATATATGGACACTGTCCGAAAAAGAAAGGTAAACATAAAAACCATTTTACTAATGAAAAACTCACATTTTTTCATAGGGAATGTTTGTCGAAAAGAAACTGGTTGAACATGCTGAAAAGCAAAGAACATTGAAAAAGAATTAGAATCACAACTGTTAAATAAAGAGCCATTGATTTAACTGAATGAAAGACTTGTGCATTTTTGTAAATGGAAACAATTGTTTACATAAAATTTATCGCGTTTTTGAGTAGCCATTGAAGTGGACGAAATGTCTCTCATCTATTATTCAGGACAATATGGAGATACTTCCAGGACATGTAGTTGCTCCTAGATATAGCCCGGTCCGAATTAAATGTCGCTCTAATGTCCATTTGTGTTATCGTCTCACAGGTTTGAACCCCATCGTTTTTTTTTTTTTTTTTTACTAATAAGCCACATAAGAAATAAACATACTCGCAGTGCTACAAAGACTTTATGAACCATGCGTGTTGCTTTTTCATTTGAAAATACAAAAGAAAAAAAGGAAGGAACAAAAAGAGATTACATGACAAAACCCTTTTCTTAAACATAAAATAGAGGGTCTTTTGAACAGGGTTCGGAGTAATCGGAAACACAACTAAAAAGGTTGCTGTTGTAACAAGGAGAAGAGTTCAAAAAAATTCAAGGGTTCTTACTCAGAAAAAGTGAGCACAGGGTCTGCTAGTTATGTAATCGGATGAACCAATGATTTCATTGATTATGAAATCAGCTGTTTCCTCTCCTATCCTCCTTCTTTCTTGAGCTTTCAACCTATTTGTACAGCTCATCTTTGTTTTATTTTATTTTTTACTTTTTTTCTTCTAAAATTTTGTTTGATATATGGATAAAAGCTTGTACATTTTGGATAGAATTTAAAAAGAGAGAAAGAGAGGGAAAATTGACTTTAAAAAAAATTAAAATTGCGTTTTCCTTTTTTCGATGAAGGGAACCGTTTAGACCCTGAATGAGGCTCTAAAGACCTATAAAATGAAGAACCGCTCCCCCGTGTTGCCCCAGAAACATTTGCTCATAGTATGATTGGTCATCAGCAAGACCCTGTTCGCTTGTTGTGTGCTCGGGTAATCAAAAAAAAAAAAAAAAAAAAAAAAAAAAACGTATAAATTAACTGTTTCGTCTTGATTACTTTTCGTTTTTTCTTCTTTTTTCTTCAGCAAATACATAAACACAGAAATGAGATTGGTTATTCGCGACGATTATGATGAAGTTACTACTTATGTTGGTAAGTTTTGTTTGTTTCAGGTAAAATATGTGTTTGGTACTGATAGTTATCAGCCAACTATATCAAAGAACGTATCAAGCAATTCAAGCCTACTGCTGACCATCCTTTTGTCCTTGGTCTTCCCACTGGTTCTTCTCCAGTAAATGTCTATAAGCTTCTTGTTGAGATGTACAAGGCTGGTGAAATCAACTTTGAGCATGTCGTTACCTTCAACATGGATGAATACGTTGGTTTACCTCGTGATCATCCTGAATCCTACCACTCTTTTATGTGGAAGCACCTCTTTATGCATGTCAACATCAAGCCTGAAAATGTTCACATTTTGGATGGTAATGCCCCTGATTTAGATGAAGAATGTAAGAAATTTGAAGCCGAGATTGCCCGTGTTGGTGGTATCGAACTCTTCTTGGGTGGTATTGGTCCCGATGGTCACATTGCCTTTAACGAGCCTGGTTCTTCCTTGACTTCTCGTACGCGTGTCAAGACATTAGCTTATGAAACTATTATTGCTAATGCCCGTTTCTTTGATGGTGATGTCTCTAAGGTTCCTAAACTTGCTTTGACTGTTGGTGTTGCGTAAGTTGTTATGTTTGTGTATGCTATTCGCTGACTTGTAATAGAACTGTAATGGATGCTCGTGAGGTTGTTGTTATTATCACTGGCGCACACAAGGTAAGATTTATTATGTAAACTTGTCATGACTTACACAAGAAAATTTTTTTCTATTGTTAGGCTATTGCCTTGGCAAACTGTATTGAAGGTGGTGTGAACCACATGTGGACTGTTTCGGCCATTCAAATGCACCCTAAGGGTTTAATTGTGTGTGATGAAGATGCAACCCTTGAGTTACACGTTAAGGTAAGTTCATTTATAGATATAAACTGGTCAATACTTACCCATAACCAGACTGTCAAGTACTTTAAATCTATTGAGCACGTCCATCAAAGCTTGATTGGTCCTGAAAACTTGTCTCTTCAAGGCGGTGTGAAGCAACTCAAGAAATTGACTCATAGTTCTAGATCGCAAACTCCCTTAAATGGTCCCTATGATGAATAATTGCCATTTTTTCTTTGTTACATACTATATTCCTTATCTCTCTTTATATTCAAACAATATATATATATATTATACATATACACTATAGTCATCTTGAATAAATATACACATTTTCTTTCTCATCATTGTCAAGAGAACCAGCTAGTAGCTAAATAAGCATTTTGTGCTACCAAACCTGAGTTGACCAAGTGAGCATCAAATGCTCTGATCAAATGCAGTTTCATACTTAAAAGTTACAAGAGTTGATAAAGAATTATATCCATTTTTTTGTCTTTGATTGTCTAATTTAAGTAAATTTATCTCCTTCTTTTCTAGTATAATAATTTAGTTTTGACCAAAAGTAAGTGATGACTAATTTTATCACGGCTCATTATTGAAAACGTAAAGACATTTATATTGACAATGTTGCACACTTGCATTTGTAAGCATAGCAAAAAAGATTTTAAACTCAAATCAAGGTAAATAAAGTGAAAACAGTCCTTCTTTTTATTCACATGCACTAAAGGCAAAATAAAATAAACAAGGGATAACTTGCATATAATCAACTTCAGGGTCTCATCAGGGAAAGAAAATGAAAAGCTTAGCATGCAACTTGCTTGTAAAACACATAACGTACCACCTGACACATGCACTTTATAAAACGAGCTGACTTTTTTTTTTCTTTTTTTTTCTCTCTTTTTTATTTTTTTATTTTTTTTTTATTATGTCTAGTTCACTTGAAGAGATCAAGTCTATTTTTGAATTGACAAATGATACTTTCAAGTCAATTGTCAATGGTTTTAAAGCAGAATATGAAAGTGGTCTCAAGACAGCATCAGCATCAGGCCTTGCTACAATGATTCCGTCTTATGTTACCAATTTACCTTCAGGTAAAGAAACAGGCACTTATCTTGCCTTGGATCTGGGTGGTAGTACACTTCGAGTCTGTGCAGTTGAGCTCTTGGGCGACTGTAAGACAAAAGTTACCGAGATTCGTCGTCAGATTGCACCTAACGATCCGCTCCGTACAAGTGGAGCCACAGCTTTCTTTGATTGGATTGTGGATGCAGTTGCTGAATTATTGAAAAAAATTGGCTACGATACTGTCCATTCTGAGGGCCCTGTCTCAATGGGTGTATGTTGGAGTTTCCCAGTAGAGTAAAAGGTCTATTTATAGTTTATATGTTATCTAACCTTAATCTTCAGTCAGACAAGCATCTCAGGTGGAAAAATTCTTCGGATGGGTAAAGGCTTTACAATAGACGGTGTTGAAGGATATGATCTAGCCAGTTTATTTGAACAGTCATTTAGACGCAAGGTAAGCCCTCTTTATTTATCTATTTTATCTGATCAGTCTTTTTGTGTAGGGTGTCAATGTAAAAGTCATGGCTTTATTGAATGATACAGTGGGTACTTTGGTTGCCCATGCTTATACCAACCCTGATGCTCGCGTGGGATTTATTTATGGCACTGGTGTCAATGCAGCATACCCAGAAAAAGTATCTCGCATGATAAAACTACAAGGACAACATCAAAATTACGCTGAAGATACAAAAATGCTTGTCAATACAGAAATTGACATTTTTGGAAGCGATGCCTACCTTCCTCGGAATAGGTATGACAAAGAACTAGATGCCAACCATTCTCAACCCGATTTTCAACTATATGAAAAAATGATGTCCGGTGCTTGTATTGGTGAACTGGTTCGGCTGGCAGCATTGGATTTGATCAAAGAAGGCAGTTTGTTTGATGGACATCAACCTCTTGAATTTGAAAAAGCCATGGAATTTGGCACAGCTATCACAAGCGATATTGAAAGGTATAAATAAATCAGAGCACAGCATGTAGTACAACATGAACACTAATCTAACATTGGATCTAGTCGTCTCAATGATGCTAAAGAAGTACGTCTAGAACATTTTGAAAGCTTATTTCACTTTCAAGACGATTATAAGGTGACTGAACAGGATCTTGATTTGGTAACCGAATTGTGTACCATTGTTTCTAATCGAGCAGCCCGTTTGGCTGGTGCTGCTATGGCTTCGTTGATTGAACAACAACAAGACCTACTTGAAGGAACAGGACCTATTGTGATTGGTGTAAATGGTTCTACTTATGAAAAATACCCTACAATGCATCATCGTATTTATCAATCCCTTGCTGAATGGTTCGGATCCCAAGTCAGCCAGAGAATCAAGGTTGAATTAGCAACAGATGGAGGTAGTATTGGTGGCGCACTTATTGCCATGTTGGCTGAGAAGGAAGAGAAAAAAAGGTAAGTTTGTATGCTGTAACAAAATATCTAACTGATGGACAAAGGCTCAGAGAGACCTTTGTACCTGAACAACGTCTCATAGAAGATGATGAAGATAAAAATACATTACCCAGCCAAATCTCAGTCAAATCTACTCCTAAAAAGAGTGTTCATGCACCACCTCCACCCTCCTTGTTTGGTTGTTTATTTGGTTGGTTAACGCCATTAAAAGCTAAAAAAGAAGTAGTTAAGGTTCAAGGATCACTTGATTTAGAACGAGAAAAACTACAAACATAATACATACACATACACTTTAATGATATTTACATATTTGATTTTATTGCATGCCCATATACTCAATAACAACCCTTGGTTTCTTTGCTTTTGGTCTGGACTCATATTCAGATAACGAATAGCATATTTGCTCTCTTTTTATCGTTGGATAGTATGAGTCTTTTTTCGTTGATTCTTTTGTATGTGATCCAATATCACTAGCAGTAGTACTTGTCGTAGTAGCACCATCATATGCCCAATTGAGAGCCTGCATGATATTAACTAGATCATAGTTGACTTCAATGGCTTTTTGTGGTATTGGTGCGCGACAAGTAAAGCATACATTTGACTTCGTCTTGTTCAAGCAGCCTAAACAACAAATATGACCGCAAGGTGCAGTAACAGGATTCTGTTGTCGTTTTTAGCCCACAATCCCTAGAGTAATGACTATACCTTAATTGGCTTTGAGCAGGCATAGCTAGAACATGCTAAAGCAGTATCGAACAAGTAATGAAGAAACTCATATTCAGACCAAAATTCCATTTTACGAATTTGGCTCCACATGCGTTCATTTCTCTTATCCTTTGTTATTAGTTTCTGAATGCGTTTGGGTATTCTGTATCTGACTAAATTCGCAGTCAATTGTGGTGATTCTCGAATTGTGCGTAAACCTTTTCTTCTCATCACTGCTTTTCCTGCAGACATCCAAGCTGGATATTCTTGATCATCTCTTCTAAATAAAAATTTCCAGATAATAAAACCTGTCGTTGGTTCTATAAAACAGTAACAGTGAATCTATGTAATCAGGCATATACCTATACTTGCCTCGATAAGGCCAATATTTGACAAGCTTATATAGACCATCATAGCGAATACCTTTTTTAGGAGCAAAATCAGGATGCGAGCGACGAAAATTACTAGTACGACAGACACGAATAGGCTGACTCTTTCTCCAATGAATGGCTTGAGCACCATAAATCGGATTCACAGGTGCATCACACGTCTTTGCTAGCGCCAGGTTGTGTTTGATCAATTCCTGATCTCCCTTGATCTGCGCAAATGAGTTGCATTTATCTTTTTTCAGCTTGCCACCACCACCAGAACAAACAAATTCATATCCTTTATCTTTGTCTTCTTTAAAGCCATAGTTTAAAATTAAAGAAACAGCGCCTGCTGAGACAGAGCCGCAAACGACATTGTTTATTGCTCTATGAATTCCCCATTCTTCAACAAGTAAACGATTGCTCCAGCTTTGACTGCAATATATACCGGGTATTTTTCCAATATGATAAGTAGGTACTGTTGATTGTTAGAATGGATTAAGATAAATAAGCAAACTTGCCTAGTACACATTCTGCTTCTCTTACTTTGTCTGGTGCTTTAAAAGCATCACTCTTGATGGCTGTTCCCTTTCCAATAACCAACTCGCGATCATGATTATAACAATCTGGACAATACCTATCTAATGTCAACTGCAAAGACATTGTTCTTTATGCTTACCAGTATTGATCCGTAGGAGGCTTTGATAAGTCAGCGCATTGATAATGCCAATAACTATCACACTGATCACAAATCTGATAAAAAAAAGTGTAAGCAACGCTTTTTTTTAAAAAAAAAAAAAAAAAAAAAAAAGAAAAAAAAAGGGTACATACAAGAGGATCTCCTGTTTTCAATAAACATTTGACACAACCACATTCACTACATTTCTTTTTCTTTTTGTCGTTTTTGCAGGAAGGACAAAAAGGATCACCAAAAGGAGTAGATACTGTGTTCATATCATGAATGATATCAGTTGGTCTAGTGTCAGTTAATTCTTTTTTGACGTGAATAGGCATCTTTTTCTTGTTTGGTGTAGGTGGCTTCAAGTGAACAAATACACAGGTTCTGTCTCTAACACGATAAGTATGGTATAAAGTAGCTGGTTTCTCATCTAGAGAAATATCGAGCATCTAGTATATCTTTAGAGTGAAGCCCTTTGTTATCTATATAAGCTTACAATTTTTCCAAACGCGATCAACAGAAAAGAGTCTTCAGACATACCAATAAGTTTAGCTACCTGCTTACGGAAAGCAGAGATAGTTTCACTTCGGTTGGTCTCTACTATCTGGTTCTTTTGAAACTGGCTTGGTATAAGTAGCTGAACTTGCATATAAAACAAAACAAAAAAAGGATAAAAGAGAAAAGAAAAAAAATTTTATTGAAACTCTATATCTGCAATTAAGCATAAATGATCACTGCCAAAATGCTTATTGGGTAAGGATGGCTTCAGGTACTCTTCTTTTGGTGGTGTTAGTAATTGTTTGATGATTACTGGTGCGTCAACAAACATATAGTCTAGTGTTCCTTTAAATTGTGAAGCATAATCTGTGAACTTAGGTTCACCAAACAAACCAACAAGTTCGGGAGGACCAATTTTGCCAAAATGACTATAAATACTTGTCCATTTTGTCTTGTTGTATTTAGCCAGTAATTTTTCTGCTGTATCTACATCTTCAGTTATAATAATTCTATCACTTTCAACCTTTTCTTCTTCTTCTTCTTCTAACCCATCTTTCTTTTGGAGAGTGATCAGACGTGATTCTGCCAAATTCTCTACGATATCCTGTGTGAATTCATTTGTTGTTAACAAGGCATAAACTGGGTCATCAGGAGTAGTGTTAAAGTCACCGTTTAAGAAAGAGATCCATGATATGTCTTTTGCAAGCTGTGATCTAAATTCCAACAGTCGATTGGCATAAATAATTGTCTGTCTACACCTTTCATAATTGGAAGATGGCCTCCAATACAGATGCGTATTACCAATTACAAATCCAGTGTTTGGTTGGTCACTCAATCTAAGCGCAATGAGTTGTCCGATGTTGCCTGTCAAAACAGAAGGCGAACAGAGTGTATCCAGATCATAGTTAATGGTATCATAATCCACTTTTGTGTATTTGTTTTTTTTGTACACAATGCCACAACCATGACGCTTTGAAGGATGGCAGTAATACTCAACTTGATATCCTAGTTCAGTAAAGATCTGCTTGTAAAATTCATCAAAATTATCCAATTCTAAAGAAAAAAAGAAAGTTAAAGCCGTGTTGCAACTATTCAGTTTACCTTGAATGGTCAAGATATCTGCATCATAAAGCTTGATCTCATCCACAATCATCTTTCTTCTTATTTTCTATTTAACGCTGAGTCATCACTTTACAAAATAATACGACATCTTACCCACTTCAGATAGTCGCCTGAATCAGGAAATAATTCGCGTTTTATCAACAATTGCGCTAGGATCTATCATAAATTAGCATGATACGCGTCTATCAACATTGATAGTTACATTAAATGTCATGATACGGATACTACCTAAGATACACTTGAGTGGTTCCTGGTTGGGTACAGCTACAAATTCACGTTCCAAAAGCTTTGGAGGTATTACTTGTTTTTGGTTTTGTGCCATACTTTGAAGCTTTTTGGCTTCTTTCTTGGCCATTTTTAGTCTTCTTAGTTCTTCAATATTCGCAGGCTTCTTTGAGTGATCAGTCATATGTACGTATTAACAGAAAGGATAAGAAAGCTATCAATTTATACGGACAAGTGAAGCTTTATCTGCTATTCAATCTCCGTTGCCCTGCTGCTGCGGTCAGGTTCTTTCATACATACGAAGTTTCAAGTTAATTCTGTATAAATTAGCTTATTATTTCACCAAAGAAAAGAAAAATAGCTTATTTGGGCCATAGCACCTGATGAAACAATGTGGAGGGGGGAAACATACAAGCTGATAACAGGTAAATAGTATATGTAGGCAGAATCATAATAACTATAACCGTAAGATTTATGGTGAACATTTCTAAATAAATGATATTCATCTAATGGCTTCTTTCCTCTCTTTTTGTCTCTTATATATCTAATATGAACTTATTGTACTATCTGCTGAAAGGTTTTGTATTTCTTAGCCTATCTGTCATGTGTTTGTCTCAGACAATAGATAAAGAAGGTACACCAAATACATACTTTAAAACGAATTATTTATATACATATCTTTTAGGCAAGCCACTTACAGATTTTGTGGCCACTATGAGTCAACAGACGAATTCTAATAATTTTAGAAAAAAGTCAAAACCTACAGGTGTATTAGACAAGCTGTTATTACCTGATCCCTCAAAAAGTCTACTTTCACTTCCAACAAATGCAACGTTCGATCACACACATCGACCAGGTCTCTTGTTATGGAAGACACCCAAGCTTGTCTGGCAAGATCCCAATCGAGGGGAAAAAGATCCTGTCATTCTAGGACCTGTTTATCGCTTACCAGTAGATTCAGATGACTCGGGGGCACAGGTACAGATGGAGTGGTCTTATACACAGCTTAAAGTCAGACCAGACAAATTGACCATTGAGGCAGTTGGACCCAATAAGGCAACATGGACTATTTCGGTGATTGATGGAACACTGACAACGGCCACATGGGACCTACGATCCACTCCCAGCTATAGTCCGTTGATTGAAGGCTTCTATACATTAAACGTGCATGATCAACGTGGTCCAGCAAGCCCACCAAAGCCTGGTTGGCTAATCGCGAATGACAAGATGAAAGTTGCGTTGTACAAAACAGAAGGTAATCATGTAGGCGAAAAATATGCGCGTAAGTTTTATATTGATTCAAAATTATGTATTAATCTTCATACCAAAAGCCTCTGAGTGTGCTACATGCTTTGAATTTGTCATGCAGGGTTTTGAAAGATTAGAAGGTGCCTCTACGAGAAAGTATGTGAATTCCGCTATCGTGTTGACTATTTGGTTTCTTTGGACTCTTTTGTAGCACGATAACTAGAGTATATATTCATAAAAAATAAACTTATATCATAAGAAAGACTTGTAAAGGAGAAGCAATTCTGTTTTCGTTACTGGTCATTTATCTTCCCACGCCGAAATGCTAAACAGCGCAATGATAAAGAAAATATTCAGGCACTGATTGTGATAGAATTCTCACCCCCCAATTGCATAATTATATTTAAATTCCCTTTTTTACTATTTTGCATTTCTCTTTCTCTCTTCTTTCTCTCTCTTTTTTTTTCTTTGTTAACTTTAACTGTCAACGTATGGATCTAAACCTTTGCTTGTATTGTGAAAAGCGACTTGCAGACGATGTAAATAATAAAATATCTATGTTTAAAATAACTAAACATCTTCTATAGAACATGGCATTCTGTTCAATTCCATGCCAGTCGAAAGAAGCGTCCAAGTCCATGACTGGATCATTTGATGCATTCAAGTCAAGCAATACAATGCAATACGAAGCTTATCCAATATCTTATCATCGCAGTCCTTCCCTCACGTACTCGTTGAGTTCTTCTACAATATCGCAAAGGAAAGATTCAGCTGATTTCTCGATTGCTCGACCACCACCTAATTACTATCTAGTTCAGTCGACATCCACAACATCTTCTTCATTTTCATCTTCCATGTCAGACATGTCTATCTTTTTAACGCCTTGTTCATGCGAAGATAAAGTCAGTACTCTTTGTCCTCCCTATCACATCACACGTACGACACATAATATCGCATCTTGAATAATTCTAATCCCACACACACGTACACACATTCATTTTTTACTTATGTCATTAATATGCTTCTTTTTTTATGTATTATGCTTCCATTACGTACATTATCTGCAGCTTGTTTTTATAATACTCTCTCTCTTTCTTTCTCCTTCTGTGAATATTATTCTTTATTAAAGAAACAATACCCTTTTTGTAACAATTGCAATTTATATTTACGCGTTCTTTAGGTCGTAAAACAAATAGGATGACAGAATGACTATTTTTTATGTCCACAAGCAGTACAATATTGGATTTATTCCCATCTGTAGTAGTTGTAATGACTCATGTTCATGACCCGTTAATGCAGCAGAAGAAATTTTGCCTATGATTGGTCTGGGAAGAGTTTAGATTTAATGATACAGTTTAACGTCCGTTCATGCTTCCGTCTTTTACTAAAGCAGCTGCATTACGAGTTTAAGTTTCTTTTTTTTAGGAAACAAATACTTTTTGTGATAAAACAAGGCAAAAATTTTAGACGTCATTTTTCCCATTAAAAATGATATCTGTGTTCAGCTCTCTTTTTTTTTTTTGTATGAACAAGATGAAGTTGTATCCCAATTTTCTGTTACAATGATGTGTAACAAATAACTCTGCTCCAAGAAACACCAAGCACTCTTAGTGGCTCTAGCACGTTTAAACTTTCAAGTTGAGGCTGATATTAGGTTCATGAAGTTATTGGTCGCTGAAAGAAAGAAAGAGAAGAGTCGAGAATCACTAGACAAATTTGGCATAAGATAAGCTTTTTTTTGAAGACTAAAAAAGATTGAGAATTTATTTAAGAATAAACATGATTGGAGATTAGGTGCGGTCTTGGTTCTTGAATCGTGTCTTGAGGTTGACCACTTCTCTATTGAGGAATCTCTTTTGAGCTTGAGCACGTTTAGTAATTTCTTCTACACGAATCAAGTTGCTTTCAGTCAGCTGAGACTTGTTGATTTGATCACTAACGTTGTTCAACAAGTCCAAAACTGTTCCAAGTTGGTTAGGCAACCTAACAGAAAAATAAATAAAATACACGTTGAATAGTCAAGTCATTACCATGTAACAATAGGAGAGCCACCGGTAGCTACAGGATGAGCTGTATGCTTGATAATGTACTCTTTTGTAAAATTCCAATGTCTATGACGGAAAGCGCGAATTTGATCAATGTTAGACAGATAAATAGCGGCAGAATTAGGATCTTGTAGAGCAAATTCCTTCAACTCAACTTTCTTGGCCTTGTCTTGAACATATTCCAAGAATTCACGATGGTTGGTAGGACGGTAAGATCTAAAGTCACGCAAGACAGTAGTAAGTGGGTTTTCTGGCATGAGTTCAGTGATTTGAAGTAAGTTATCTCCCAGAGGAACCATGGAATCATTAGCACCTGACTCGCCACGATGAACAACAGGGACATCACTGATGCCTTCATAAATAACACCATCAGGGAACATGGGCTATACAACATGATTAGCTTATGTAATCTTTCTTTAAAGAGATGTACCTGGTTTTTTGTTCCCATGATAAACGTTCTGAACTTGATGTAGTCTTCAGGCATACTACGAGACCACATCATCTCCATTTCCTTGTTGATGGATTCATATGTTTCATTAAGACCAGCCATTTGCATGTTGAACTTGGCTCTGTCGTTCTTTTCAACAGCATCAAGAGCGCCCACAGCATAACTAACAAGTCTTGGCGAGTAGGACACCATGGTAACATGATTCAACACAAAGCCTTTTCTGTAGGTATCAAAGAAAAAGTTAGAAAGCAATTCTAACATATTCTAAATCTACTTACTCTGATTCACTACCAGCAAAGGCACGGATCAAAGCTAAGTTATCATAAGTGAGGCCACCTAAAGGATTAATTTTCTTGTAGTTATAAAGACTAAAAATGAAGGATCAATAAGCGTTCAATCATTTCTTGAATGAAAACTCGATCTTACGCATAACTCAAGGCACTACAGAAAAAAAAAGAGAGTGAGTTTATATACATAGAATCAAAAGCACTTACTATTCCATAAAGGGTTGACTATGTATCTTCTTGGACACTTTGTGCAAGGGAACAGCAATGTTCATAGGCAAGACTTTTCTACCAAGACCATAGTCACTTCGAGAGCGATACAAAATATCGCAAGGTTCAAGCAAGTAAGCAGAGGCAGCAAAAGTATAATCACGGAAGAGGGCTACAGCAAGTGAGTTATTTCCTATAGTCACAGAAAAAGCTTACCTGATAAAAGACGTTGATCAGTGATATTGTCAACATCATAAAGAGGCAATTCATCACGAACAGCATCACCAAATTGACCGCTTGCCAAAAGACCAGGAGTTCCATCCAAGAGTTGCAAAGGCATGCGTTGCAAGAGCGACTCAAGACGATCAAATTCACTGGGAAGTTCAGCCAAAGGGTCTTGGCGAGGCAAGAATCCGTTCTGAACACCAACGCTAAACATTTGGTGACTCAGATCATTACTTTGAGCCTCAGTAAGGAGAGAAAATTTTCTAGAAAGACAGACAGAAGGAATTGCTTTGAACTGCTTGGGTATAAGGGAGGATTTCAACTGAATAGCAGCAGCAGAGACAGCATTAGGCTTGAGGTTCCGCAGAGTAATCATGGTTAATACAAGATTGTTTTTGTTTTGAGAAAAAAATCTCTTGCGATTTCGTTTCGCTTATATGTATTTAGTTTTTTTCAGAATACCGCCAAAAACCAAGTAATAATACCGCCATTTTATGGATCAAGACACGTAATAATACCGCCAGATATTATAGATAAATACATACTGTTTATTTTTTCTCACACCTAGAAAAAGGAGTATCGTATCAGCAAGAATAAACGACTGCATAGAGCATGTTTGTATAGACATTTGATGTCGCTCTCTGAAATCCTTTCTTTCTCCTCTCCCCCCCCTTTTTTTTTTCTACGGCGTACTTTTAGGGTTGAAAGGGTCAGAGATAGGCAAAACAAAAGTTTTTCCGTGGGAACTTACTCATCCATCAATATACACACAAAAAAGTCACATTTATGCTTAATGAAACATTCAAGTCATTCAAAAGCTTTTTAATGAACAACATTCTGCTATTCTCATATAAAGGACATAAACTTTTCTTCTCTGTTTGTGAATAATCTCTCTTGTGATTTTTTTAGGCTTGAGTAAATCGAAGCAAACATGCTTGTCTATATGCAAACAGTGCTTCTCTGGAAGTATAAAAAGGGGTCAATCCCAAGAATGATTAGTCTACATCACATGGTTGCATGCTACTTTATTGATGTAACGTGGAATTCAGTATTCACTCTCTTTGCCTCAATGATTCAAGAGGCCATTTTGGTAAGGTGGTAATGGTATAATCGTCAATCAAACCAGCTTGCAATCGCTCTAATCCAGTCCAAGCAATCATGACACCATTATCAGTACACAATTGCGGAGGAGGACATATTAATGGTAGGTTGTATGACATTGCTAGGGTCTCTAATCTATTATTAACATTGATTAATATAAATAAGTAACACCAAATGAATGCTATCGTCACTTGCCTACTTCTAAATAACGTGTTACTCGCCACACCACCACTCACCACAAGTGCTGTCAAGGGCTTCTTGAATTGAATTAGCTCTTGTTCTAAAGCCAATGTAATTTTTTGTTCTAAATGACGAATGCAAGCCAATTGAAAAGCAGCAGCCATATCATTCACATCCTGTTGTTTGTTTAAGTCGACAAGTCGATCCACTTCAATCAACCTTGCAACAGCTGTCTTTAGGCCCGAAAAGCTAAAAGCAATCACTGACTTATTTCGCTCCAACATGGGCTTAGGTAAGCGAGAAAGAAATCGACCAGGATCGCCTTGCAAGGCAGCCTTTTCAAGCGCAGCTCCTGGGCCACCTCGTCTTCCTTTGATCCATTCCAAATTGAGCAAGCGAGCAGTCTTGTCGATCGCTTCACCTATTGCATTATCTAACGTTGTTCCCAATTGATTATAGTCTCCTATACTATTGGCTGTCAACAAGAGGGTATGTCCACCTGAGATCAATAATGTCATAAAAGGAAAGGCTGGATAAGGAGCATTTAGTGGGTTTTCGGTTGTGAGTCTGGCTGTCAAAGCATGCGCTTCCTATTGTTTCTATCAATATACCATTTCTTTTCTTTGTCTATTTACCATATGATGCACGCCAATCAATGGTTTCTTTGAGACTGCAGCTAATGTCTTGGCTGCATTGAGGCCTACAGGAAGACAAGGAGGCAAACCAGGTCCTCTAGTAACTGCAATAGCGTCCAAATCCTGTACAGATAAATTGGCTGAATCTAAAGCTTCACAGATAACACTAGGCAAGTTTCGAGAATGTCCCTTGCTTGCTAGTGTAGGTACTATGCCTCCCATAGGCTCGTGCAACTCTTGTTGACCACGAATAACTTCAGATAGAATTTCTCTTTCAGAAGTGACAACGGCTGCTGAAGTATCATCACAAGACGTTTCTATTCCCAATACTCGTAAAGGGCGTGCTCGGCTAGAAAATAACCTTTTTGCTGAATTAGATACAATGCGGGATAAATTCATTTAATGCAAAAGTAAAAAAATAAAAGAATTGCAACCCTTGCTTGGGATTCTATCATAATGTGACGCCTTTTTTGAATTAAAGAAATGCAGAATGTTTATTAAGATTATGTATTACGATGAAAAAAAAGAAAGAAAGGGTATGTATACAGTATGAATTATGCAGATCATGATGTTTTTTGTATTGCATTCATAGCATGTGCCAAAGCAAGATGACATTTAAGAGATCTTTGTATAAAATAAAAGTCAGGAGTCAAAGGATTAGAATGTTTGACAAGATCTAGAATGTTATTAATTAGCTTTTTTTTGTATAGTTATGTTAGTGATAAAAACCTTTCAGTAAGAGTCCATAACGTGTAATTCTTTGAATAGGAGCAATCATATAGTCGGACAATCCCATTCTATTTGTTTCCTTTTTACGCAATGAGTCCTGATTCAGTAAGTCAGACAAGATTTTTTTTTTTTTTTTTTTTTTTACCTGCACCAATTGTCTATATACAATGCTTCTGTCTGCTCTACCAATACACCTTTGTTGCTTGGAGAAATTTGCAGCATAGCGAATATAAATTTCGAGTTCTTCTTCTAGATCACAAAATACTTTCCCAATGGATCCATAGATTTCACCATTTTCAGTAGTATTAATGGCTTTATTTAGACCATTGACCAAGAGCGTAGAAAGTGTAATTAACTCGGGTATAAACGCAAAAATGGTTTGAATGTCTTTCAAATTGACTAATGGCCGAGGATATGTTGTGGCTGCTTCTAATAATGGATCCATAAACATCTACAGACAAAAAATAAATACAAATTGAGCTACGCGTCAAACAAATTACCTGTTTTATGATCAAGAGATGCTCCAAGTATGTCGTTTCTGTAGTGACCAATTCATTCAAGACAAAGTGTAATAAATGCGGTGATTGACCATGAGGAGTCTATATAATAATAAATTAGAATATTTCAAAATATGCTAAGACTAACCATTTTGGAATCCACAAGGTACTCATTGAATGTATTTTTCCAAATTTCAATACCCTCCTTTTCGCTATTGCTTAATGCTTTTTTGTTGAGATAAGGTTTTTCTGGCGTCAATGTACGTTTAAGTCGCGCGGATAATGATTTTTGATGTTGAGTATGACTGGTAATTAACAAAGATGGGGCGGAATCCGAATGGGTAAGTGTACAAGGAGAAGTGATAATATCAGATCGAGAAGATCTTGCAACAGGCCGAGCATCTTCGTTATTGCAGTTTCGTTTGAATAGACTTGTCTCAAGAACAGACAGTGAGCGGCGTGCAGGATTATTGGTGTATTTTTTCTTTAGATCATTTACTGCTTTCTGAATTGGTTTCACTTCCAACTGCTGAGGAAAAGGAATGGACTGAACAGGTTCAAAAGTAATTGGTTGACTATCGGAAAATAAGTTGTCAATGGTATCAGATGCCCATTGCTTTGTCTCGTATGCAGTATCCTCATCAACTGGAAAATGAGGTGGCATAATGATCTAAAGAGAGTGAACTTGAGAGTTGTACAGGAGGGCAAGGCGCCTACACAATTTCAATTAATGAGTTTCCAAAAAAAAACAAGAAAGAAAAGAAAGAAGATAAAGAAAGGGCAATGAATACCACGCAATAGGTTGTACAGTTTTATACAGTAAGAATGGTACACTATTTTCATTAATTATTGGAAATAAAAAATTGAAACACAGGCCAAAAAAGATGTTCTGATATTTGATATAAGGTTATCTTCTTCACCTCTATTCTACTGTTACACTCACTCTCATCATTGCATAGATTTAAAGCAAAAAAATAAGCAAATATGAGTTGACAATGACTCTTTCCAATAACCAATCACAAGAGATTATAAAGTGGAAACATGTCACTACGCCAGCACCTGAGGTACCAAACACTCCAGTATCAGTCTAACCCTCTCCTGAGGCGGATAAGGGCTCAATTGTTGAGAGTACTGCTAAAGCAAACGACCACGATGATACTGACCACGCCGTGTAGGAAGTTGAATCAGAATTTGGATTAGATTCCGAAACCAAGCCTAGAGAAATTAAAGCATTCAAACTAAAGACCAAAGTTACTACCAACACCCGAGATACTCCTGGTGTCCCAGACTCAATTCCTCTAGATTCATCCCTCGAAACACCCTCAGGCCTGAATTCTCAACTGAATCATGCCGTATCAATGCCTACCATTAACAATGGGTGAAATTGATTCAAATGAAACCAGAACAGAATGATAAACGCTTTACTCAATTCGATCAGCATATGAAATTCTCTACACAAATTGACCGGCAGGAGGGACACTTTTCCCAATTGGAACAACTTATGCGTAACAACCAACAATTGGAAGCTGCTATAGCAAGCGCCAATATGAAAATTTGTCAATTGGAAACTCAATTGCAGCAAGCCTTAGAATCACAACAAGATACTGAGATACTCACTACCCCCAGCTCTCGATAACTCCGAAGTACCAGCTACTCTGGATTGGGCGCTGGATCCACCAGCCTCAAGCTATGCCTCTGTAGCCGCATCCGGTCAAAAGATAAATCCGACACCAAAGGAAACTCAAGAGCTCTCTGCTCAATCCGCGCCCAAGACAAAAACCGTCTCCAAAAAACCCCAAGAGGACTATTGGTAAACAGCGACAAGCAGCCGCTAAAGTATTTACAGCACCTGCAGAATATGATCCGCCCTCATTTTCCGATGAAAATGGTAACTATGCTCCTATATTTAAGTATGTCTACCTTCCAAACAGATTTAGAGATCAACTTTCAACAATGCGTAACAAGTTCCACAAATTGGGTGTCGCTTCTAGCCGCATTTTGGACATTCATTACCCAGCACGAGGAATCGTTGCGGTTCTCATTCATATCGGGTATTCTAATGAATTCAATAGACTTTCAGACAAATGGAAGATTGTACTTCTCCACGATTTCAATCCATTAGATATTCAACACCTTCGTGATCGCAAGCTCCTCGAAACTTCGACAAGTGACGAAGAGCGTGCAACAAAATTGAAGGAGATCCACCAACAACGACTGACCCGTACTTTAGAATATATGCGAGAGCATGTTCGCCTACCAGTGGCCTTTGATTTTATTTTTCGAGGCTGGCTCACTGCAAGTAAGGCTCAATGAGCCTTCACAGATGGGACCTTTCGTATAAAATAATAATTGCCCCGACAAGACATTCGCAAGCGAAGAAGATATCTCTATACATCGTTGTTTATGCTTCCTATCCTTTTTTCTATATTTTTCATAACTTTATGGTTTTGTTTGCTCCTTTCTTTCTTTGAACTGATGGTTAGACATTTACCCCATAGGTCCCAGTCTTGATAGCCATACAAATAAGAATATAAACTTTTACTGAGAGCCTGACTAGCGATTTTGCCAACTTTTTAATTTCAAAATCTGGGCTATACGAAGAAATGCATAATTACTTTTAAAGAAACTGACGCACAAGTAGTTCGATTTGTTGACAATGTCTACTGTGTCGATGATCTGAACAATAATGAAGTTTACCAAACAAAATTGGCTACTACGCAAGAAGTGTTTGATATAGTGGATAAATATATATCCATATTTGAAAATAAAGCATCTCTTTTGTTCGATGATGTTCAGTTGAAAACGTTATTTTTACGGGCCAAAAAAAACATGCATCAAATCGTAGAAGAGAGCTTTATGTCATGAAGGAAATCTATCATGGTAATATCACACTGCTAAGCCTGAACATTGGCTAGTGTGTGTATTTTTTTTTAGATTGCCGAATTATCAACAATCTTGAATTTGAAAATATAGGATATGTCAGGGAATCACTTATCACAGACAATGCTTCAGTTGACGAAGACGAGGAAGAAAATGTGGTGACAAGCTCCAAGAGCCGCTTGTTACCACATTGGAGTCCGAGTCGAATTCAACAAGAATTGTTGAAGACACAACCAACAATTTGGATAGCAAAGGCTACTTAAATCAATGATCAATAATTTGCGTTCTCGTTTTTTCACTATACGGATTTATGTATCTGTTTGTTTACATTTACCAACGTCTTTATGAGAACAAGATTCAGAAAATGATGGAGCTTTTGAAAAATCAAACAATATAGATGGAGACACTTAATCCCTGGATCTCAAGATTTATTTGAAAGAGATGAAACAAGAAAACAGAGCAATTCTGCCGCTAAGTAACCAAAGCATTCGTAAAATAATACTAGAAGACCTTCCATTGCAAATGCATTGGTGCCTTGTAAAATTGTGTCCATTGACGGGGCTTGATGCTAATGTTGAAGTCGCTTGGCATTAGCCTGTGAGGAACATCTGGTTCAAAATCATACATAGCAGAATTCTCAGCAGACAATCCTTACATCGAAGAAGAATAAAAGACAGAAAATGATCAGTCCATCTGCTGCAATGAAATAGAAGATACTAAACACTTACAGACTTCTTGTGGTAATAAGACAATGATTTGGCAAAATACATTCAACAAGTTTCTTGGTTACCCAATCGACATCAATGCAGGTAGAATATCTCAAAATATTAAAAACCTCACACTGTCGAAATATCTCATCTGCAACTTAGATGTAAACATTAATATATACGGCTTCTTTGCAACAATCATTAGATCAATTGGGTATAGTTATTTTCAGAAATACTTCCACGGACCCCGCCAAATCTGCAAAAGAGTAAACAAAGAAATACTGAAGATATCTAAAATGAAAAAAAAAAATAGCTTATGATAGTTATATGGTAAGTCACTTCACTCTGTGTACACTTGACCATCCTTTCAATGTTTTTTGTTCTTTATAAAGAAATCGAATTTATACCTTGTATTTTTGAAATTGAGTATTTAATGAAATTAGATGATATTTACAATATATAAAAAAATATAGCTAAAAGTCAGCAAATAATTCGTGAAAAGGATCTCCTTTAGTCTGTTCGGTGAGTTGTTCATTGGGGTACTTTTCAAAATTACTGGTATCATAATCATTTGAATGAGCTGGTATAATGGGTGCCTACATAAAGATTATGTTTACATAATAGTCATAACAAAAAAAAAAAAATACCCTCACTGTCTTAGTCATCAATCCATGCCAATTAGTGCTACGAAACCATTTGTGCCTCTTGACATCATCTGCCCCACCTCTTAGATTTCCCAATCGTCTTGTGCGATCAATGACAAGTAGCTTTTTCAACATGTCTTTGCTAACACTATCAAAATAGTTTGGGTACTGTACTTTGCCACCCAAAATACGCTCATAGATCCCAAAGTGATTGTCGTCATAAAACGGTGGATATCCTGCCATCATTTCGAATATGAGAATGCCAAGTGACCACCAATCAACTGATTTGCTATGTCCTTTACTCTGGATAATCTCTGGCGCAAGATACTCTGGAGTACCACAAAGTGTCCATGTCCTGTCTACAACCTTTTTAGCAAATCCAAAATCAGTGATTTTTACATATCCTCGATTGTCTAATAGTATGTTCTCTGGTTTGAGGTCACGATAAATAATATCCTTTGAATGGAGGTATTCCAATGCCAGCACAATCTCAGCAGCATAAAACCGTGCTGTATCAGCAGGAAAGCGACCTGCTTTACGTAAATGTCGAAACAATTCTCCACCAATAACGTATTCTTGGAGCATAAACAGGCTCTGACTATCTTGAAAAGTACAGTATCTAATGTGTGTTATGAATCACATGAAAGCGGCTGTATATATAATGCATACGTACAATTGAACGATAAAAGGAAAGTTGAGTTGTGACAAGACTTGTCTCTCAGAGTTGATATGCTCTACTTGTTTCAGCCTGACAATATCAGCTTTTTTTAATACTTTGATAGCATAATATTTCTTGGTGTTTTTTTGTTTGCTTAGCCAAACTCTACCAAAGGTACCGGTGCCTGAAAATAACAGTGGTTTAATTAGACTGGTCATGGGCAACATGTATCACAACGAACCAAGTGTCTCTATTAACTCATAATCCCGGATATTCAACGCTGGATAAGGATCAAATATAGGAGGCTGATTATGCCAATAAACAAGCTCCTCTTGATGTGCTTCCCATTTATCATTTTCTGTATTTATAGTACAATCGTTCTGTTCGTCTTTCTTGTTCCATAAGCCTTGTATTGTTACTGTCGGGCTAAAAGAAAGAGACGCCAGAGAAGATGACTTTCGTGAAGTATGAAGGTACTCTCTAGAAGCAATCTCGTTTGCTGGCTGGTCGTTTCGCTTTAAAAAAGAGGATACAAAATTTGTTACAAGTTTAAGTGGCATATTCTAATAACAGGAAAGACAAAAAGAAAAAAAAGAGTGTGCGCACACTTTATTCGGAAATGTTTAAGACATTTTTTGAAAAAGGAAAATTTTACACAATGGGGGGGGGGCATCATTTGAGACAAGAACAGTATAGAAGGAGTAAAGAAGAATAGAACAATATCTTAGAAAAAGAAGTTCTTACAATATAAAGAATTGGTTGCATTTTTATTGAAACCAGTGATTGCATTATTTATATTTAAGCAAAAGAAAGATAAATTAAAAGTGTTAATATGTTCATAAAGCAAGTTGCTCACGAATGCTTACCAAGCGTAAGTAGGGTGATGCAGTACCATGGGTGCTTGATGAAGTGATGACTGTTTTATTAACTGAAAGCACTAAAGCAATAATACGCAAGCAAGAGAAACAAAACACTGGCAGTAGCGACAGTATCAGATATCATACAAAGAGACAAAAATCGTACTGATATAAACAACATAGAAGCCCGTTTCCATCAGTAGTAGGCAATACCAAAAATGATCTTCAGTGGCTAATGATCGTTAGATTCATGTACCATATGGAAACTAGGAAGAATAACGAAGGCGTATCCAGGCTAAATGATTTGAGACCAGCAGTAGATATTGAGCATAGTTTATATGGCAGAATTTAGCACAGCCAGCACAACGCAGTAAATCATTTGCAAGAATAACGAAAGCCAATGGATAACTAATATGAGCCTAGTTGGCTTTAAATGGAATGTAAGGCTCCAATGTTCTTGCTAGCAACGACATACTTGCAGCTCATTTTCAGACAAATTAGAGCGTATATCTGTAGAATCTTCTTTGATCAATACCTCTGCTTCACAAGGCAACATGCTTTTGACAACACCTTTCAAATCATTCGACCTTTGTCCATTAGCATCATCATCTGCAGCTTTCAAAGCATCATCTCCTTCAACCACGTCGTTTTCATCTGTACTTGAGTAGCCCTCTGGAGAAGTAGTAAGAATAATATTTTTAGCATCCGTTACTGACGTGTGAGAAGCAACATGTTTAGAAGTAGTTTGAGTTCACATAAATGCTTCACCTTTGCCTTCTTCAATTTCAATCATTGTGCTTTGCTGCCTAAGTATTTTTGCTCTAAATGTCATAAGATGTATCACATATCAATCTTTCTAAATTATCTAGCTCTAGTTTGAGTGCCAAATAACATAGGAAAATAGAAATAGAAGTATTTTCTAACGTAAATGTGAGGGTAAAGGGACAAGATACACCTGATGGTATTGTGCGGAGATTGAAAACGGAAGACAACTCCAACTTTCCTGCCGCATCAAAAATCGAGCAGCAGTTTCACTTGCAGGCCTACAGTAAAGCATCCAATGCCAAGATTAACTACCATAAAGTGCGAACAATCTCTCTCTCTGACCACAATCTAGATGACAAATGGCTGACTACTCTACAAGCCATTGGCATTTTCAAGATATGGTGCCGTACAGATGCTGAACCCATTATCTATTTAGGTTTTCCCCTTATCCAATCCTTGGACCAACGCGCTCACTTTTTTCGTCCCTCACTCGATCACTGTCTCAACTGGCGGATATTCATGCCTCACGCAATATTTCTGTTGTTGGTAGAGCTACAGTTGCCAGTTCACTTTTGTTGTCTAAATGCTGGTATATTTTGCGAGTGATCCCTACCACTCAAGCAATCCTTAATACCATTCGAACTGTCATTACTTCTTTTGTCAACCGGCAAATCTTTCCTCGCATTAGTTAGCAAACGATGGCTGCCACAATGTGCTGCCAGACAATGGATGCTATTCCTAGGAAACAGTACTCATATATGCCAAACCCTATCGAATACTTTTTACTCCCATTACGCTCAATTGCTTTGCCATCTGACACCTTTGAATTGCCTCTCAAGTTACGCACAGTAGCAGTTTCCTACCTATATGAGTACCATTCACAAGGTCACTATTTGGCACCAATACCAGTTTCTTCCTTTCCCTTGGATATCCGTCGTAGTGTTAGAAAATACCTTCAAGCAGTGAATCAAAGTCATTGTCAACTGGAACCATTCTTTGGTCAATGCCTTGTTCGTACTTGATTAGACTTACACAATTCTGTGCATATTCCTGCAATTCAGCGGTCTCTTGGTTTCTTTTCTTTTGTGCGTATGTTGAAACTGCCTTTAGACAATGAAAATTTTGTGGCCATACTTTCCGTAAGGTCATCACACAAGCTGCCTTGTCTAATATTATTGCTCGGCAAGAAGTCTCGTCTGCTGCTTGGAAGTACTTTTGGTGCATACCTATCACAACATTGCAGAGAAATGTGATGTATCGATTTCTGACTCGCAAGATTCCCACTCGCTTATTTCTATCCAAGATTTTTCCTGCTCGCTTCCCTACTGCTGCCTGCATTTTGTGTGGTGATCAGGAGACTGTGTACCATTTCTTCTTTCGCTGCCCCCAAAAATTTCCATTCTGGGATGCCTTGATCAGGGAATTTTTGTGGCCAGGCACCTCTCTGGATCTAGTCTCTTATGCACTTGCATCTTTCAATTTTTCTCGGATTTGGTTTCAAACTAACTGTCCTCTTTCAGTAGCCATGGTAACCTTGATCGGTCTCTCTGAAATCTGGAAGGCCCATTGGACCCATACCATGCAGAACCAGCCACTCCATTATCTCTCTGTTCTTCACAGCACTCGCTATCAAATTAAGCGTATAGCTGCTAAAAATGACCTTTCATCTTGAGAGGTCTTTTCCCGCAATAGCTGCTCTTCTTTCCTTTTATATTTTTCTACTTTCTTACTATCGTACCAATTTTGTTTTTCTTTATATTTTCTTACAATAAATAATTGTCGAGCACCTCTTTTAGTGGGTCCCTCCCAAGACCACTAATACGTGCGGCAAATAAAATCATTAAAAAAAATCGAGTTTTTGCTGAGAACTGCATAAAGACGCAGCTATTCGGCTTTGGTGTAGTGACAAAAGTTGTATATCTTTGTCTTCTGAGTCTATTGATCTAGGAAAACAACAATTTTGCTGCAAAAATCTTGAGAAAATACGTAAAAATGTTTGCAAAGTTTTCTGCTTATATCTCCTCATTCTTATGGTACAATTGGCAATTAAATACATTTATCAAGAACCAGAGCTTTTGACGCACATGATGATTTTCATGGATAATACTCTTTGGTCCAGAGGTTATTTTGGCCATTTTGAACATATTCGATTTCTTGATTCAAATCGATATCAAATGTACCATAGATGCTAGTAAAAATATTTTGTAGGTATTTAGAGCATTTATACGTGTAAAAAATAGGCTTTGTAGTGCCTTTGTTTAGCTATGCAAGATCGCGTATCAATTTGTCCTTTTGATGGGCTCAATCTCATCGTGAGCTAAATCAAGGTATCCAGAGAATCTGCAGACTTACGGTAGAGAAAGCTTATTTATTTTAAAAGCTAAGATATTTTGTGCATAATTTAATGAAATGATTACAACTTGCGCTGGAAAGAACTAAAATAAACTTGTTTTTTTTTTTATGAAATGCTAGCAGCTACTGCCGTTTCAAAATCAGTACAAACTTGCAGAAATGATTACTTCACAGAGTCGATATTGGAGTGAATTGAGTGGCTTCATATAATTAAGTCTTTTACAAGTATAGAAAAGTCAATCCGTATAAAGAAACCATAGCATTATGATGGGAAAATAATGCTTTTGTACATGCAAGTATTAAAGCACCGCTTCTCTGATAACTGTAAAAAGTCTTTCTTCCTCTTTTCTTCTCTCTATTCTCCTCCAAATGAGCGATATACCTGTTAGACGCTTGGACCAAATCAAGCGGCAGTTAAACTTAACACCATCACCTATGTCTCTTGAGGCGCCCAAGGATATGGCACGAGAAAGAAACAGCGCAACGTTTGATATTCTCGCCCTGTCTTATTTATGGGTGGATGGAGAAGAAAACTACAGACAAATGGTATACATAGGAAACAAAGTACAATAAAATAATTTAAACGGACATAGAAAAGGGCTTTTGATTTTATTGAAAAAGATCCAGAACTTGTCGTTCAGCCCCCTAAAAACATTTTGGAATTCACGAGAGAAGAGTCCAGAGAATTGTACAGACATTGCTTAGACACATGTGTGCATGACTAACTTTGAATGTAGTACAATGGGACAACTTCATAGGCTAGCGAATCTCTCTAGGGAAATTCAAGACAAGAAATTTACGCAGCTTGTTTACAAAGCAGTTTTTCATTACTCTGAAAGTTGCGCTTTGCGTATGGGTGTTCATGAAGCCTTGTTTCGTAATGCCATTCAAATGCTTGGAAACAAAGAACAGCAACAAGAATGGGTGCCAGATATTGACGAGCATCGTGTCCTTGGATGCTTTGCCATGGTACAAAATACACCCACAGGGTATTGTGGCTGATCCTCCTTTATAGACAGAGCTTGGACACAGCTCAGCTTTACGTGACATTGAGACAACTGCAACTTATGATCAAGATAGAGATGAGTTTATTATCAACTCTCCCAGTATTACTTCAACCAAATGGTGGACTGGACTCGCTGGTCAAACAGCCACACACACAGTGGCCATTGCTCAAACCATTGTTCATGGAAATAATGTTGGTCTCAACTGGTTTATTGTTCAATTAAGAGATACAAAAACAGGCTCATTATTACCTAACATTCAAGCAGGTGACGTTGGATCCAAAATAGGCCACCAAGGTGTTGACAATGGCTGGATTCAGTTTCGACAAACGCGTGTTCCTCGAAAACAGATGCTCATGAGATGGGTAAGTATGGGTCCCCAAGGCAATTTCAAGACAGCACCCAACCCTGCTGTTATGTATGCTACGCTAATCCCTGAACGAGTTTCCCTTGTTATGATTACAGTCACGCTTGTCACACAAGCATTGGTCATTGCCGTGCGCTATGGTGTTACTCGACGCCAAGGGACTAAAAATCAACAAATTATGTCTTATCAATCACATTATGTCAAATTGTTGCCTGCTATTTCTTTTATGTATATGATCCAAATGTCTTTTAGAACACTTGATATGCAGTTTTCTATCTTGACAGCTGATGGCAAGATGGATCCAGAAGTTTACTTGAATCATATGGGTGATATGCATTTCATCTCTGCTTCTCTTAAAGGGCTCTCAGGTGCTTATGCAGCAGAAATACTTGAGATATGTCGCCGTTGCTGTGGTGGCCATGCTTATTCTAGTTATAATGCGCTTGGAAGCCTTATTGCTGACTTTGGTGTCATGACGACTGGAGGAGGCGACAATGTTGTCTTACTTCAGCAGGCAGCACGTTATTTATTGTATCGCTTCAACCAGATAATGGAGTTTGACGATTTTGTTGAACTGAAATATGAAAGCTCATTGCATTATATAAAGCATGCTAAAGAATTACTCAAGTTAAATTCTTGGCCTGTATCTGCGATGCATGATTGTGTTCAAAATTTCGATCTGATCAAACAAGCATTGTATACAATTCTTGTGAAAAGAGCAAGTATTCTCAATCAGCCATGCAATCTAATTTTCTCTTTTGGTAGCTCAATAGCATTCAGCAGGCATTGAATCAGGATGCAACTCATGAAGATCTTTTACTTGAATGTGTTAGAGTGGCCGAGCTTCATTGTGCAGCTTTTTTGTTTGCTGATAATGTCAAGAGGTTCTCAAGCACAACTACTGGCTTATCAAAGGATTTGCTTGAAATAGTGAGAAAGATGGTAGCTTTATGGGGTCTTCATACGCTTCGCTCTTATGGAGACCAAGGATTTATTGAAGGCTTTCTGAGTCCTAAACAAATGAAGGATATTGAAAATGAATACAAACAAGTAAGTTCAAATCATTGATCTTTGCTCGTCTGACTGAATCAATCTTTACTAAAAAGATGTGCAAAAGCATGCGATATGAAATTATTGGCCTTACTGATGGCTTTGGTATACCTGATTTTATACTGAAGGCACCCATTGCGCGATATGATGGTGATATTTACCAACGTAAGTACATGAAATCACAGGAAGAGTAACGACTTGACGTATTTGATGTTCCTTTTCAGCATATCTCGAAACGGTTCTACAAGCTTCTGGAAGCATTGGGACTGTATCTTATCACTCAAAATATATAAAGCCCTTAACTGAAAGATTTGGAAAGAATTGAATTATGACACCATTTTTTTTAGTCTCCTCTGTCTTTTGATAATCTCTAACCAAAACAGGAAAACTTTGACAGATTGTTTTCCCTTTTCATTTTCGTTTATATACAAATAAAAACGTTTGCCTTCTTTTTTACATGATTGCATGAGCATATAAAGACTATCACACAATACTGAAAGTAAAAGAAAAGTTCACTTTAGAAATGCCTTGTTAAGAAAATAATTATCTTTGTAAATTAATCGATATTTCTTATGAGGATGACATTTCATTAAAAGACGAAAATTCGAAGAAAGAGAAGCAAAAGTCGCTTTAAATAAGTGTTTGGGTTTATCGATAAAAAGTCACGATAAGACGCTAAACTAGTGTAATGTAAACTGACTCATTTTGTCAACTGAACTTCAATTTTCTACTTTCTATTGCAATGACAGTCTTACATAATAATCAGAAGACAAATGTTTGTGCTTTTATGCGTAAAAAAAAAGCAACAGACCTATATGCGCAACTTCGGCACTTATTAGTCAATTGCGCCTTTCTCAAATGTCTATGTCTAAGGATGATGAGGGCAGTAATTAAGGGTGAACCCTTACATTCACTTTGCTCTCAATAATTGAAATGAATCATGATAGAGTCGCTCAACAAACATATCAAGCTAAACTCAAGCATAGTATATGATGCATTTAACACCCCCCTTTTTTCTCAACTCTTAGCAACATAACATTGGTGCAAGCAATATTGTAGACAAATCTTATTTTCTTACAATATAAACAATCTTTTCTAACATTAGTATTCAATTATACACTGATCCGAAATAAAAATTAGCCTAATTTTTTTGTCATTCAAACTCAGGAACAAAGGTATCACGATCCAAGAGCTCTTTAATGTAAGTAACAATATAAATATTATTTATGCATCTCATGTTCTGCTTAATTTCTAGAATTCAATATTTTTTTTCCACACGAATTTTTTTCAATAAAATGCATATAAGCATTTATATGCTTAAATGCACATTAAATTCCCTCTTTTTTAGCGGCATTCAAGGGCATGACTTTGGTATGTATAGGTTTTGATGGCACCCCTTGAAAACCCTGTATAGTTGAATAATTTAAACTGAGGAAAATGAATTTATGGGAATTACTAAATCAAAATAATTAATTTAATATGTGTTTACTATGTATTTCACACCCTTAAAATGCAAGTTTCTTTTCAACTATTATGAAGTCTCGATATACTAAAATGGCAATGATAAAAGAATGTCATTTATACACACTTTCCAAGCACAATTGAAAACGATGGAAAAAAATAGGAGATGAATATTTCAAAGCTGACCGAGATAAATAAATGAATCACAAAAAAAGACAAGCTAGTCTATTTGATATGAAAATGTCGTTTAATTAAAGGGAAACAAACATAAAAATGCATAGCAATGAATGATGATGGATGATGAAAAGAAAAAAATGTTAGATTAACTATTTCTCTTGAATGGGATCACTCTTGATAGCCATGGTTGCCTTGTATTCATCATAAGCAGGTGGTGCATTCTCTTGATTATTGAAGCGTTCTTTTTCTCGCATGGGTAAAAATGAAGGTGGTCGAATAGAGCTGGGTCTCATGATTTGTTGCTTTGAATCAGGAACAAATGGTGAAGATGCATTTCGAAAACCGTATACTCTTTGAAGAAAAGATTCTCGCTTTGATTTCTTTTTGTCTTTATGAGGCGTCATGATAACGTACGAAGGTGATTGTTGGATTTGATATCCGTCTTTTACCATTGCAGGTTGATAAACTCCTAGCAGTTGTTGTTGTTGTCGCTGTTTGACTAAAAATTCTTCCTGAGCTTGAAGGCGTTGTTCAAGATCAAGTAATTCTCTTCGCCTGTCATTCGCCTTGCTCATCAAAATGTAAATACCAATAAGTGCAAGAGTAAATATGATGGCGACTATCACTATAAACAAAATTTGGTTTGAATTAGGTGCCATTATGTGCGAAGAACTGATTTCTATGTAAATAAAAGGAATTGTGAGGAGAGGTTTGTAAAAGAGAAGAAGAAAGAGAGGTCGAGAAAAAAAAAGATGGCACTCTTGCCGCTTTTAAATCCTGATTTTGTCCCTAAAAAGAAATCCTTGAATATTTTTGAAGGATGTAAGAGATTTTTCTCTTCGTTCGTCAAAAGGGATGAAAAAGAAACATAAACAAGACTCAACTCACATATCTACATAACTGTAAAGCTTTATGATTATGATTATAATTCATTATGTGGTAAGGGATCTAATTCTAAATATTCTGCAGTAAATGTACGGAAAAGAACTGATAAGTTTTCAACTACATTATCGTCAATACAATCTGCATTGTCCTATGAATGATATTCAGTGCACAGTAAATACATAGAGATAACCTTACAAGTCTATTGTGCCAAACATTAGGGAACGGGTGAGGGATCATATGTAAAATATTGACTCCACGCATCAAAAATGGAACGTGATCGTCTCCTATTGCTTCCCCTCTGAATGTCAAGAAAGAGTTTGGATTGAACATTGATACTAAATCTTGACCCGTTTTTGAAGACACAGTCTTGAGAATAGACTGGTTATTAAGTCGATTTTCTAAATTTATCAGTTGGTCATATAGCCAACTTGTTGATCGATACAAGTTGGGAAATTGTGTGTTGGCTACGCCCAAAAGATCGAGTAATACCATCACTTCAATCTGGTCCAATCTGTTTCTCATTGTCTTGGTTGGGCTAGATACAATGGAATTCTCCCAAAGATTTGCTAAATGTCTATATAGTTCTAAGTAAAGTTTATGCGCCCAGAACTTATTTACCTCGCTCCATAAATTGAGTCTGTGGGACTCCATTGCTGGAATGCTTCTTCTCCGTCAAAGAAAATCATTTGAAGCGTCTTGTCTTTTTGTCTATAGTGAACAGAATTATCTGACATCATATCGTTCATGACTTCTGCAATGTTCATCAAGATACCACAAGGAATCGCACTGTCTGTGGCGCCAATAAATTCAAAATCAGGCGAATACATAGAATCATAATGGGCTGCTAAAACAAGCCTCGTTGGCTTATCAGGGTTATGCGTAACAATAATATTAGCAAAAGACTTGTTTCCAAAAGGTGTTGTGTCTGAAAATTCATCCAATTCAACATGCCAACCTAGAGACTTAAAGTGTTCGACAATGAATTCTCTCACTTGTCTGTTCCCTGGTGTGTCTGAGACTCTTTCGATCAATAAAGGCTTCATAAGGTTGCCGTTGACTGAAAGTCTTGTTGTATTTGTAAACTTGGATAGGTGACGAAGTGCTTCATTTGGCAATTCTCGATAAGCTAAAACAAGAGGAAGCACAAAAAACAACAAGCGTGCTAAAAAAAGCATATTTTTTTTAAAGAAAGGAAAAGAGAAATAAAAGAAAAGGCCATTTGTTTTATCCATTCAACGCGAAATTTAAATTCAGATAGTAAACAACTAGGACAGCTTTAAGTGTGTTAAAATTTTAGCAGTCTTAAACATATTATAAATAGAACATCTTGACACAAAGAATACAAAGCGTAGACTTCTACTATGTGAAAGCACAAATAAGGCTGCAAGTAGATACGATGTATTCATTCGCGTTGATCGAATTAAAGGCAAATTGAACGATACATTAACTTTCATTTATTTTCGATAGGAGCAACTATAGAACAAGAGCACTAAAAGTATACAAGCCTGTTGGTTGTCTAATTGTAGATCTATTGACTAAAGCTATTATCATAGTTTCCCTCTTGTTTGTGTTTCTAGGCGTATTTACTAGCAGAAACTACTCTTTATGACTTATTTAAAAATTGAAGGAGGATTCTATAACACACAATACATGTTGTTTTATGCATGGATACTTGTGTCACTATAAATTATTTATACTCCATTGCATTTATATTCTGGACTTGCTTAGGTTTAGGAAACTATTATCTTATTCTATAGCAGTAAACTATAATTAAAGTAGTGAAAGCTATGTTGTAGCTACGTCTTAATACAAAGTTTGGTTATTATCATCTTTTGTTATTATGCAGTGGTAAGTAGAACTGAGGCAAAACTACGAGGCACATAATGATGGCAACTTTGGCACTAAAATAAAGGTACATCTCAGACTTGTGTCTACTGTTTCCAGAAACTTCAAAATCCTAAGCAATTAGTCAAAAGGCAGGGAACAATACGATACAGAAGCATGAAAGGTGCCCTTAGTTTCTTATAATCCTGAATGTCCCTTAGTCAAGAATGGTCGTAATATAAGTGGAAAAGATAAGGTATCTGCTTTAGCCATTGCTATCTCAGGCATAACCACTTTGCTCTTTCACAAAACTCTTCGTGCTTTCTCCTCAAGTGTCACTCACTCCAATATTGAACTAAATTTGAAAACGGCAGCCTTCTGTACACGAAGCGGTGTATCGGTCAAGAGTTTAACATCTCTTTAGCGGATTAAGTAAGTATTTTATTCATTTTTACTTTATAGCTGCTAAAATCTTAACATTTTTAAAGTTTGCGAAACAACTACATTTGAAATCAAGATTAACTGATCTACCAGCAAGATTATAATAAATGGAATTTTTCTGGTTTAAACCCTAGATGAAAGAGTATATCTACATTCCTATTGATTTGGAACCAAAAAAGAAAAAAAAAATGTATAAGAGAGATGTTCATTCAAAAATAACTTTAAATGATCTAAACAGAATGCAAAACCGGTGTACAAATCTAATGCAACTTTGAATGATTTATTGATAAGACGATAGAAAAAAGCATGACCTATCAAAGGTCATGCTCGAATAAAGAAAAAAGATTATTGTATGCTTGAAATGGAGAGAAGAAAAGAGGGTATTCAATGATAAAGTTGAAAATGATTTGATAAATTGCCTTGGGAATGAAAACGACGTTGACATATGGAGCATCTTAAAGAACTTGATAAAGATTGTCGGCGTATATGACTGTTTAATTCGAAAACGGATTTGTCCGAAAAATAAGAAGTAGGAGACACTTCCTCTTCCTCTTCTTCATCAAACCATACTCCAGTTGGAGAAGATGTCTGTGATAATGCAATCATAATACGTCTTTCTTCATATTCTTCAAGCGGCCATTCGGTATTTCTATTTATTAAACTTGATGTTGAGATAGTACTTGGTCTGTTGCTTATAGTATTATTTGTGTTATTTGTATTAGTATTATTAGTAGTAGAAGTATTTGTGGTAGTAGAAGTAGTGGTAGGTGTAGTTTCGGTCAAGTAAAGAGGAGTAGAGTACATTTTGATAATAAAAAAAAAGAAGAAAGAGAAAAGAAAGACGTATATTGCAAAATTCTAATAAATATGATTTTTTTCTCTCTTTTTATGGCTGTTCTTCAGGCATAAAGATTTTTTCCATAAACTGCTCATAGCTCCTGCATTAAGAAAATAGAAATCCATTAGATTCTTTGACGTCATTTTATATCAACTTACCAGTTTGTAACTTTGTGTCTGTTTGTGATAGTCTTCACATCGTTAGCTCTTTGTGCGTAAACGCATTTATAAAAAGAGTATAGGTTTGTATGTACTGACGCACGGAATGCATCAATAGCGGTTGATCTTACAAGTGAGCCTAGAATTGCCTGAGATACAATCATTCGGTCAAAGAGTGGGCCAAAGTAAGGAATCTGTCCAAATTTGAAACATCAGTTTTTTTTTCTGAAACTTCCCATTGTGCTCTTTAAGGGAACTGCCCCAGTTTATTTCTTACCTTCGGATCCCGATAGACTTGAATCGAATACAAATTATTAGGCAAAGGTGTAACGATAATCTGGGCATTGCCAAAATCACCCCCGATGGTATCAATACGATAATCTCGATCGTGTTCATTCCAAACAATATGCACATGGTCATTACCAATGTGTCGTTTCTATTTTATGTCTAAGATACATATCATGCAGCCTTTTCTTTTGCTTACCTTTTTTAATTGTTTAGGATCTGAAGCATCTGTGGGCATTTTTGTCACATCATGAAATATCATTTCAATCGTAGAGGAACAGTAATACGTAGCCCGTGTACCATTGGTCAAGTTTCTTTCAAGCCCTCCCAGATAGCCTGTATGTGTTGCAATGTCGATTTCCCAGCCAAGACTATTCACAAACGCATTATATTTCTCGGAGCCTCGACTGTTCTGTAAAATGGTTTGTTCATCTTCTTGTCCATGAGCTACATAGATTAATCCAATTTTCATGGTTTCTCGGCTATTATACAATTAAAGTTCAGTTATCACACAACGTGGGGCCTCGCATCTTTCTTACCCATGTTTTCTATCCAGTCCTCTCAAGTCTCGATAAAGTGCAGGCGTCTTATTTAACATTTGAAATGATCCATCCTTCAAATGCTTGTAATGTATCAACCCCATATGGCTCATAAGTAAACGACTTTGTTGGAAAGGAACATGCGGTTTTTCGGCTTCCAAAGGAAAAGCGGGTAAAAAGTCCTTTTGAAGACTGAAATTGTTCATCAAACAAGACTGTAAAGAAGTGTTATCTCCCTTTTCCAACATGTTGTTTTCATCTGGTGTTTCTTTTTTACGAAGTGCGTTCATTTTTGAGTACCAAAGTTGGCTGCATAAAATAGGATTAGTCTCCTTTTTTTTCGTGTATTTCTCAAGACTTTACATATCAGATCTTTGTTGTTCATTATTTTCGGCTTCGTTTTTGAGATATACGTTTAGTTGATCACCGAGATCACCCAGCATATCCAACTGAAGGTCTGTGCTTGTGCTAGGGACATTTAAGGGTAAACTAGGGTCCAGTAAACAATCTGGGTGTGTGTCACCAATCCTATTCTATTGTAAGCTCCTAATTCCTGCATGACAAATTACTTTACTGTTTTAACAAGGTTCCCATAGGGTCTTGCGGTGATGGATGTTTGCACAACATCTCATCAGGCCTACATCATAATGATTAGAAGATGAGTATTGTTTTCCCACTTACATGTCTTGCTGTATGCAAACATTCTCTCTCAGCACAAATCTCTGTTCATTTTCAGTCTTATCTTTTTGTTTAAAAGATAATGATTCAATCGATGGCTCAAGTTGCGTATCCCAAACATAACGCCCAGTTAAATCTCGTATGATAATTCTTGCTTGAACACCTATGCATTATCATGTTAATTTTCTTTTTGAGTTGAGGAGTCTATACCAACCTCTATGTGTTGTCTTTGGTAATTCTACAAATGCAATGATGGTGGTATCATTAAAAGAGAAGTATTGGTATTGATGATAAGCAACATCGTCTTGAGACACACCTGGTCCAACAATGGTACTATGAATTGTAGAAGGGCCAGATGGAGGGGCGAAGTTATTGAAGTGATGCAACAAGTGAAGAAGAACAGCTTCGGCAGATTCCTATTATAAAAAAAAAGTGAGACACTGTCTGTTGTTCATATTTTCAAACATGCCTTCACATATCCTTGATCGTTTTCTGTCGTTTCTGAGGATCCTGTAGTCGTTGTAGTATGGTTTACCATATTGTCGTGTAATGGAGGCCTCTTTTCTGATATTAGTTTAAATTTGAAGGGAGTCTCTTTCTTTTTGCTATCTGCTGGCCTTGGTGGATGGGGCAAGAGTTTTTCATTGCCGTCCTAGAACACATAAGTACAAAAATCCAGCTGAGAAAAATACATACTGAAGTAACATGTAAGGCAAGTTCAATGACATCAAAGACAAGTTGACACAGGTCTGTGTCTGTCAAAATAGCTGGTTTGATGCACATAATCCATTCGAGCAAACAACTGAATAATTTTGAAACCACAAATCCCTTTCCACATTTTGTATCGCGTTGATAATACTTCAAGTGCACATTTAATGAATCCACAATTCTAGTCAAGACTTCTTGTACAATAATCTAAAAAGCAAGTCAGTGTATGTCGAATATACGCAAGGCTTACCCCTTCTTTATCTAATTCTTCTTTGTAAATGTGCGCCATGGTGATAAGGCAATCAGCCACTGTGTTTACAATTGAGATATTGCACCAGTACAAATGATTTAAAAGCGATAAAAGACATTCGTGTACAAGATCTTGTTGGGGACTAGACAGACGTCAAATATCATATAAACATTTTGACAACTTACCTTTCACAAGACAACATTTCATCCATAACCAAAGCGCATAAGGCACCCAATAACATGCAATGAGAATCAGTATCTTCTTCTAATTGAGGTGGTGTAGTTCCTTCATTGACAAGACGAATGAGTATACTTTTTAACCAGATCTTGACATCTGTGAAAGAAAATGTTTCTCCTTGAATGCCTTGTATCCAAGTTAAATCTAAATCTTTTGTATCAATCACTACATCTTTTAAATGATTGGAGATAGAAATGAGTGAGCCTAAGATAGTAATACAGCTCTTTTTGACAGCAGGTGATACATTGCGTGGTATATTATCATTCAAGAGCTACAGAAACATATTAATATTTAGATATACAAAAAAGGGCTACTTACGTGTTTCTCTATAGCATCTATAAATGAAGGGATTAAGATATGAACACCTGGTAAACAGAAACCAAAAAGACGTTCTGAGTTTACGATGATGGATTGGATGATCGTATTATCATTGGATGCCAATCCTTTCAGAATGCATTTGTAAAAAGCAGCGTAATAACCTTCAGGCATTTTCTCTTCAGGACGTTGAGACATTAGTCTACATAAGCTACCAAAGGCTATAGCTTTGCCCGCATCAAAGGAACTAAATCGTTGAATATATATATATATATATATATGTATATAATACGAATGACTTACGATGGCAATTCTGTTGCTTGAAATAGCCATGGAGCTGCTTCGTACATGGCTGGAATAGGTATATCCCGATAAGGTTGTTGTGCTCTTACTAAGCGTAAAGTATCCCAAATCTCGACAACACATTGCATGGCAATGGCATGGTTTTGAGGTCCCTAGTATTTTCAAAAATGAACAAGACATTTCATTTTAGCTTTCTTTACCTCAATATCATTAATATTGCCTATTGCCAGTAGCATGTTTTTCCAAACAGCTAATACTTGTAAACCATCATATGGTAAATTACTCAGCACCAAAAAGTCTGAGCTTCTAAAAGAACCCAAAATTACAGGCAGCTTCTCTGAGGCAGCAGCAGGATTAGCCATGACAGAAAGTGATTCACCAGCAGGCCAAGCAGAGGAAGAAGAAGTGCGGTTGGACTAGTTTACAGATAAGCACGGCAGTTACATCATACACATGTACTTACTTTGGTTGACATTTCTTCAATAGAACTAACACTAGCATGATCCCAATCGGGCATGCCTTTTTTATCTTCGTCTTTCTTCATTATACCTGATTGTGTATTATCGCCATGATGAACAAAATTTAACAATTTGGAACCAGAATCTTGCCACAATGTATCCAGCTGCTGAATACTGATCGTACGACGACCTACTGTCTTTTCGCCAGTTGTGCCTGTAGCGTTCGTATTACCAGCATGATTACTGTTGGCAGCGGCTGTTGCATGATTACTGCTTGTACTAGCAGATCTGCCTGTCAAACTATGACTACTGCTGTTTGCATTGGCTCTCTTTCCGATGGATGCGCTGGAAGACTGTACATGATTGGTGTTACTATGACCGCTGCTTGCATGAGAAGGTGTATTAGAAGAAGAATTGACAGGTTTAATGTTCTTTATGCCAAATTTGACACTTGTAGCGGGATTGGCGTCCTCTTCCTCTTCTGCTTCTTCGTCCAAGACCAGAGCTAGATTGGTAGATTTTCGATCTGTTTTAAATGTATTGGCAATGTCAGATAAAGAAGCACTGCTCAAGTTACGCAAGATATTGGACATACTGCCCTCTGTTTCAGGCGTTGCTTCCAAAGCTTGTTTTTCTATAGATGGTATAAGTAACACAGGCTATGTCGTATACGCATGAATTACCTTGCATGCTAATGTGTCTTAGTCTTGCTTTAGAGCGAGAACCACCGCCTGTATGTCCTCGAGAGTTACTACCTGTAGTATTGTTTGCGTTATTGAAATGTGCCGAGTATCGAGTGCCAATATTTATGTTTGAGCCATTGAACTCTTCCATCAATCGATGCTTTGATTCAGGATAAAGTTCATAATCTATTTTGTAAAGCCTTGATGATAGCAATCGAGTCAATTTTTGCATGATGCGCTAAACAAAGCATGAACAAACTACACATAACATGAGTTCGCCCACTTACCACCCATTGATTTAATGCTTGTACCCATCGCATCGAACTAACTAAATGCGTTTTCAAGTGATGCCACAATTCCATGTGTGTTATTTTAGCACGTATAAATGCATGAAGCAAAGTCTACCCAGTATGAGAACATATCCAATCTGATTCCAACTTACCTCCCAAATATAATCTGCCAATTCTTCTGCTAATGATTGCACAGGAATGCGGCTGTATTTTTCAGGTTGACTCATAAACCATTGTTGTATATCTAACAAGCATTGCAATAGTAATTCCCAACTCTCCCATTCAATATCAATACCTCCTTTAGACACAGCAATAGAACGATATACATTGATGGCATCTTTATAGAGTGCTACTAGTCCTTCCCAATCTGCGACTTGTTGAACACTAGCTGCTTGAATATCTCGTTTGCTTTGATGAGAAGCGTCAGGTCGGCGATCTTCAAAGATCAATTTGATCATTAACAAGTAACGACGTAAAAATGCATTTGCATCTGAATAGTCTTCGTTATTAGGTGTGTTTTTAATGGGCAAGAGTGGTGCATGTTCTTCTACAGGTGAAGTAGAAAACACACGAGAAGAAGAGGCAGATGAAATAATGGGATCGTTATTGATGGACGTGTTAGAGACAGATGCTGTACTACTTGAACGTGTCACCACACTGCCTGATCGACGCAAGAATGAAGGTCGTTCATCTTCACTGCCCAAGATCCATACGCCCAATACATGAATTGCACCTCGAGTGATGTCGCGATACTGTGCGTTCGTACAAGGTAATATCAAAGATTGACGTATGATTTCATGCAACATTTCACGAGTTTCGTGTGATGACAAGACAATGGATTTTAAGATGGGTGTAGCTGGAGAAGAAACAGCAGCAGTAGGCGCATGTGAACTATGAGGCCAGTGCGCGTTTGCATGATGGCTGTCATTATCAAGACAGTAGCCAATCAAGAACTTGAGCAGCGACCGTAAAATAGAAGGAGGACATGAAGGAAATCCACACACTTGTCATGATTTAGTACACGGCTCTATTCCTTGACTATACTTACTGTCTAATTTTAAAGATCCTTCGACAGAAAGAGACTTTGAGATAGAAGGCACAAATTTAGTCATGTAATGGGTTCTAAATATCCTAAACAGAAACTTGGCACTGGCTGTGGCTGCATCAATGCCTACACCTGTAGCAATCCCATCGTCAGGTTCAAAATGATCGCCAGGCGGATAATCATATTCGTCTGGTGGAGGAGGAGATCCTGCAGCTACATAAGCAAGCCGAACAAGATTGGAAATAAAGATATGGATTAAGACAATTGAATCATTAAACGTAGGTTGAACAGGATTAGGATACAATGGTGGCGAATCATCTCCCAAGATCAATCGTTGATTCAATTGGATTGGGCTCGCTTTGATTTTTTCGTTCCGCTGTAGCCCTTGGTTGGCATGTTTGTCTGCATTGGTAGTATGGTTTTCTCTTAATTTCTTTACAAACTGTAAGCCACTCGAGTGCAATTTGTTGGAAGTAGTAGTGATAGGAGAATTGGCTGCCTCATCCATATCATGAATCTGAGTTGGTGTTGTTAAATGTGTGGTGGCATGCATAGGAGTAGGTGCTATAGGTGGATTAGTTGTGCTATTCGTCGTGGAAGAGGTAGACGAAGTGTTATAATGCTGTATATCGTCTAACACAAACAGATCAAGCGAGATAGCATTGGTGAATAAATTCATGCATTCAGGATACTCCACTACCTGATCATTCAGCCATAGCAACAATAATTGAAAGCCAAGTGCGCGGAGTCTGGGATGGTTGCCATGGTCGAGAATATGTGTCAAGACAATAGCAATGTTGTTTCGTTGCCAACCATTGCGCATCAGTTCAGGCACATACAGGAATATCTTTCGTAGCAATAGCAATGTTTTTTGTAGATTAACAAGTTCTTTGGAGTTCCAAGACTGCGGTCTCTCTGATTTGTCTATGATGGATGTTAGTTGACTGAAAAGATTATTCCTGAACTTTACGTTTTATCTTTTCTATTTGGTGCATACATGTATCAAACACTACTTGAAAGACTTGTTCTGCATTTTCTTGAAAAAACCTCGCCTGATCAAACGTGTTGGTGGCATCTAGAACAAGATGAGAAAGACTTTCCCTTTTTTCTGTTTTTGTTACCTATAAAGCTCCATAAGCTTTGAGCTCTTGATTTTGTCTTTTGTCTTTCGTCCAAAAAGTTCTTTGCTTTTTTTCTTAGTTTTTCGTTCTTGTCGTCTTTGCCTGAAAGTGTGTAGGTTGAAGTAGAAGGCAAGATGGGTATTTCCAAGTGAGTACTTGCTTCAGGCGTAGTGGTGGTAATATTAGAAGGTGGAGTGGCTGAGGACTTGTCTGCTATATGACCCGCGAGGCCCTTTTTAATAGACGAAGAAGAAGGAATAGCCTTCCTCATATTATATACAGAAAAGCGAGTGTATCAAAATAAAGTTTTATAAAAAAAAAGAAAAAAAAGGTAAAAATGTAATGGCATTTCAAGTTTTGATTGAATAAACTAAGAATTGCCTTTTTGGGAATGTCTAGTCTATGAACATCAAAGATAATAGCGCTTCTTTGGTCAAGGCTTATGTTCTATGCAGGATTAAACAATTGCTATTTTGGAACGAAAATTATTACAGTCAATTGTGTACTTTGGCAACACTCTATTACTCTTTATAAACTTAAGGTTTTTTATTTCTTATATTTTAATGAAAAAAAAAATAAGGAACAACTTGCATATACATTACATGAATCGTTTCGAATTTAATTTATTACTATTTACAAGTCTTTTTTTTTAAAACAAATATAATACAAAAAGAGAGAAAGGGAGAGATGTATACATAACACTACGTTAGTAGCCAACACCAACCATGATACCATAACCAAGGGTGAAAATAAGCAAAGTGACAATCACACTGGTGGGTACACCAATAATCAAGAAATCCTTGGTCTTCAAGTAAGGTTTACCCGTTTGATCTTCCATCATGATAGCTGACATATTGGGGTAACCAGAGACAGGAAGACCCATACCTGCAGAACAAGCCAAACCAGCGCCCATCACCAGCAAATTAGGGTGGGGAACAGGCAAGTTTTGACCTACTTGTTGAACAATAGGGACAATGATCAAGGCAGCAACAGTATGAGATACAAAGGTAGAGAAGACCAAGATCAAAAAGGCAAAAATGGCAAGAATGGCAATAGGCTGAAGGTCTTGAATGCCGTCCTTGATACGAAGAGCAATATCTTCTAATAAACCCGAGGAAGTCACTGCATTACCGAGTGTCATACCACCTTGGGCTAAGACAACAACAGACCAAAGGAAAGCATTCAGATCATCTTTACCAAGAATACCAGTACCGAAAAAGACAAAGAGAGGAATAGCTGCAATAATACCGGTATCACCAATAGCATATTCAATAGAGGATTCAGCGCACCAGAGAGCAATGGTCAAGATAGTAACAAGCATGACAAAGACTTGGCTCATGTTGACCTTATCACGAGTAGGCTTGACTCTGTTCAAGTGAGGAACAGCACGATCAGGTCTATAGAAAAGCAAGAGGAAGCCCCAGCAAACAAAGACACTGATAATAGAAACAGGGAGAGCAACACCAAACCAAATACCCCAACCTGGGTTAGGAGACATGTATTGAAGTGTAACAATATTTTGAGGTGACGAGATGGGTGAGGTCATACCACCAATACAACTGGCCAAAGCAATACCCAATAAAAGACAGGGTGCTACAGGTGAACCATCAGGCAATGTACGTAGAATAGGATTAATCAAAGAGAAACAGAGAACTGGTGTGGCTACATTAGAGATCCACATACACAAGAAGGTAGCAACTGACATGATAGATAAAAGAACCCAGCGAGGACGAGTACCTGCACGAGAGAGAACATGAGAAGCAAATGCCTTGGCGATGCCGTACTTGGAGAGGGCAGCAGCAAGAGCAAAACCACCAAGAAGCATCATGATAGTACCACTAAACATAGAATGGAATACTTGAGAAGAAGCAGCCTTAGCAGCCATAGGTGTACCATCAGCGTTGCGCAAAATGCCAAGAGGGACAATTAAGAAGGGAATCATAAGAGAAGTAGCATAGAGAGGGATGGCTTCAGTAGCCCACATCAAAGCAGCAAAGATGAGAAGAGCAAAGCAGTAGTTTTCTTGTTTGTTACCAAATGTGTTTACATTCAGCAAGACAACAAATACGGCGACGGAAAAGAGTAAAGCCAAGATGCTGTGTAAGAGTTCAGCACGAATCTTAAATTGAGTACAGGGAATTGTGTAGCATTTTTCTGGCTTGCTTTCTTTGACATGAGCATCCAAAGTCTTACGTTCTTGACCAACCATGTCTTTCCAAACAGTGTTACGATCATAAGTGACTTGGTCACGTAAATGTGTCTTCATTTGACGAACAGCAAGAGAGACATGACCATTGCAGAAAGCGTCGGCGTAAATACGTTCAACACGCTCAATTTGAGCACGAAGAGCTTCGATTGTTTGAGGCATAAAAGGTCTGGAGTCAAGCACCATTTTCTTCAAGTATTGTTGTCTTAAGTCACCATCGAGAACTTTGTCGTGCTTCTTCAAGATCTTTTCAAAGGCCATACGATTCAATTCTACATAAGAATCAAGTTCGGACAAAGAGACATAGAGGGAGATGAGTTGGCTTCGAAGGTCAACAAGTTGTTCAACATAGTTGGTATGGTGAGCATCATTGGAGTGAGTAGACATGCGAGATTCAAAAGACATTTTGCGAGGCATTTCTTTAACAACTTCTTTTGTTTGAGACAAATCAAATGTAGAATCGAGATTTTCCAGAGGTGTGTTGTGCTTGGGATATTGATGTTGGTCGTCATGATAGAGATTTTGATGGGGTAAGCACTCTCTTAATGTGTTATCGAGCTCATCAAGACGATCATAAAGCTCAGCTTCTCTTTGAGTGTAGAAATCAAAAACCTTTTCGAGCTGTAAATCAAGTTGAGCCAAGAACTTGTCTTGTCCAACTGTGATGGAGGAGACTTGCTTTTCAGGATCAATAGAATTATTAAGAGCATCCACCTTTTCTTTTTCAATTTGAAAAATCAGCTTCTTTAATTGATCATAACTATCCATAATAAAGAGTGTTAGTAAGAAAAAAGTACAAAATGAAGATTTTGTATATGCATGCAATGCTCCTTACGCAACATAATAATCAATCCAATCAGGTACTGCATTAAACTGCAGTGAATGTGAGAACTTCATGACTTAAGGAGCACTTGAAAAAGAGAATGGAAGTGAAAAAAAGGGATTTAAAAATGAACCATTTGTTAAATGAAGGGTTTTTATGTATGTTGAATGATATAGCGATCAAGTTAAAAATACTCCGTTGTTACATAGTGTAACAACAAATGCTCTAAATCACTACAATCTGATTGGACTCCAAGGGACCCCATACGACCTCACGTGTGGTACCAAAAATATTTTTCATTCGCTAGAACCAATGATAGTAATCATCAGATTGGCTAATTCTAATACCGTTTTACTGATAGTAATTCTGTTTAAAGTTTTAATTGCTTTGCGTCCCCTTGAAAGGACAAACACTATATTGCTTTTTCCAGAACATTTTCCACTTGCAAACAAATGCTTTAAAGACTTGAATGAATGAAGCAAGCAAACAAAGAGGTCGGAGAAACTTGCTTGTAAGAGGGGAACGTGTTTTTTTTAGAATTCATGGAAGTGACTGAGATCACGGAAACTGACAAAAGTAAATTTGCTTATTGTCCTAGCCAATCATCGTCCACACGTGTAGAAAAAATGGAAATTGAATGGATTGAGGGCATACGATGGTTATTTTGATCTACTTTTGGAAATATTTTCAAAATGTGTAACAGAAAAAGATTTTTATTTGTTTTAGGATAAACTGGTACTTGCAAGCAAAACTAGACTTTTCCATTTTATAGACAAGGTTCAGCTTGATAACATTTGACAAAGCTCTCTTTATAGCATCAATTAAAGATATATTATCCTTATCAGGTCAATTTGTCATTTCCTATGTAACATTACACACATTGTATCACTTGGATGATTTCAGTTAATTGCTTACGTCTTTCCTCTATATGAACACATCTTGAGTATTATTTATGAGCTGTTCTAGTTTGGCAATACATATAAGAAAAATTAAATTTAAATGACAGAGTTGCTTTAAATAGTTTGCTAACATGATGCGCTATTGAAGAGAGAAAATACTGAAATGCTGTTGTCTGTCTCGTATATCATTAAAATGTGTATAGAACAAGTTTACATTTGTAACCATAAATTTCTTTTTCAGCAGCACCTGAATTCAGACTTTGGTCTCTCGAAGATCACTTCAAGTTTTATAATTTGCAAATTCGCCCTTGGATCGACTGGTATTGAATTAGCAAACTTGAGTGGTATATTAGTATCGAACAATTTTTTTTTCTGAGAATGGCATATACAATAGGACTTTTTACTTTAGGACAAATGCTAACTAACATATTTACATTATGCCGAGAATTAAATATACTATAGCCTTTTTTGCTTTAATTATCTTTTGATTGAATTGGTATTGATATGGATAGCTATCAAATAATTAAAATTGGTTGCAATCTTATATTTTCATGAATAAATTAGATTAAGATAAGGCGTTTGGTTATTATACCCTTTGTTTTTTTTCGGGACTGAATTTGAATTTCCCTAAGGATCCTGCAAAAGTTAAAAGTGACTGCAAACCCTTTGCTTGCTTTTTTTTTCTCCTTTTCTTTTATTCTTGTCGTTGTTGTCTAAAATGGACAGCAAACAAGAGATAAAAGCACCTAGCATGACAGAAACAATTCCACCATCTTCACAGACACAATTTGAAGCTTATGCACCCGTTCAACAACCTAATTTATGGAAGACATTTAAATCTCAAGTAGGCACAAAAGAAGGATGGTGGGGTGACTTTGATTGGATCAGTATGTGTGTTCCTTCTATCTTCTTGAAAGAGAAGCGCGGTACACCCTTTTGGGGCTTGAATAGTCGACTGCCCATAGGCCTAGCTTTAGTTATGGGTTTTCAACATTCACTTGCCATGGTACGTATTATTTTCGCCATCTTAAAAAAAATGACCGTCTTACTGATTTGAATGACTCTTATCTATTTTTTTTTGACAGGTCAGTGGTGTTGTTACACCGATTTTGATTATGGCAGCATCTTTAAATTTGGAGACAGCAGACCGTCAGTACTTATTATCAGCTGCATTAATTACCTCTGCCATTTTATCATTAATTCAAATCACTCGCTTTAAGATTTGGAGAACTGGTAAACCATTTGTACGGAATGGTTGATTGCTAATTAAACAGGCTATTTCCTCGGTACTGGTTTACTGAGTGTAGTGGGCCCAAATTTTGCTAGCATTCCTGCAGTAAGTGCAGTCATTAAAAACATGTACTCTACTGGTTATTGTGCAACTAATACCCTGGCGGACGGCTCAATTGAGTATTTGCCATGTCCTCGAGCATGGGGAGCAATCCTTGGAACAGGTAAGTGTATGCTAAGTATGTTGGTATGTCTAATGTGCTTGAATTTAGCCATGGTATGTTCGTTCTTTGAAATCGGCATGAGCTTTTTGCCTCCCAAGACTATTCGTCGTTTATTTCCACCTATTGTCTCTGGCACTACTATTTTGTTGATTGGCTGCTCCGTAATTAGCACTGCTTTAGAAGATTGGGCTGGTGGATCAGGTATTGATAGAATACGAACAAAAACGAAACTAACATTGATTTAGGTAGTTGTATGTCAATGCCAGAAACAGGATATTATTCTCAATGCCCTAATATTGATGCTCCTCATCCACTTCCATGGGGCAGTCCTCAATTCTTGGGACTTGGTTTTGTTGTGTTTGCAACTATCGTGTTAATTGAAAATATTGGCTCTCCATTCATGAAAAGTGCTCAAGTAAGTAACCAAACCAAACAAAAGTCAATATTTGCTAACAAATTGTAGATTATCATTGGTTTGATTGTAGGCTTGATTGTAGCAGCAGCTTGTGGATACGTTGATTCTAGTTCGATTAATTCTGCCCCACCTATTACATTTTTATGGACCAGAACTTTTCCAATTGATGTATACGGACCAGCTATTATACCCTTCCTTATTGTGTATTTAGACAACATGCTTGAGAGTATTGGTGATATCACAGCTTCATGCGATGTGTCTGGTGTAGAAGTAGACGGGCCATCATTTCAACAGAGAATTCAAGGCGGCTTACTTGCAGATGGTGTAAACTCTTTCCTGGCTGCGTGTATGACTATTTCTCCTGTAGTGACATTTGCCCAGAACAATGGTGTGGTTGCTATGACTCGTTGTGCTAATCGCCTTGCTGGCTATTGTGCCTGTCTTTTTATTTTTATATTTGGCATCTTTGGCAAGATCTCTGCTGTATTTTTAGCAATCCCATCCTCTGTCTTGGGCGGTATGAATGCTTTTTTGTTCGCCTCTGTAACTGTTTCTGGTATTCGTATCCTGTCCTATCTCGAATGGACTCGACGTGATCGTTTTATTGTCACTTGTTCATTGGCCCTTGGCTTAGGCGTCACTTTGGTGCCTTCATGGTTTACTCATGTGTTTACATATTCTGGTGATAATGCTGCATTGAAAGGCTTTTTGAGCGCCATTACTACTATTGTTGACACTGGCTACTGTATTGGGTCTTTGATGGCCATTTTTTTAAACTTGGTTATTCCTACTGAATGGGGACCAGAAACAGCAAAGGAACAAGCAGAAAAAGAACGAAAAGAGCGTGATGAGATTCGTGATGGTTTTATCAATTCCTCTATCAATGAAGAAAACCCTCTTCAGGATCTAAGTCCTACAGCTAGATCTTTGACTCATTAACATTGAATTACATTTTTTTTAATCTTAAAAAGATAAATAGTACTTTTCTCTCTATCTTTTCCTAATAAACTGGAGGGTTTTCCTTTCCTAATCGTGCATTTCGGATTTGCTTTGATCTATTCTTCTTGTTTTCTTCAAACAAGTATTTTCTGTCTACATTGCTAAGTGCAGACACATCGTAACCGTCTTCATCATCTGAATCATCTGTGAATTGTTGACGAGAAGCATATCCTGTTGTATAGTGAAATATTTCTTTCATCATTAAATTTGTCTTTAAGTGATGTTGAAGTCCTTGATGAAGACTTCTTCTAAACGCATTTAATGGCAAAATTTTGGCCCATCCTCGAAAACTTAATACTCTTCCATTGATCTTAAGCTCTTCAACAGGCTTGATATTTTCTTCAACGCTCTTGACGATATCACGGAATATTGATTTCTGTTCTGCTCTATCACTCTTTGCTCGACGACGACTGCTATCAACAGACAATTCTTTAAGAGTGTGTATCAAACCATCCATATTATCATATTCTGGTTTCACAGTCTCCCCTTCCTCTTCTTCCTCTTCTTGATTCTATAAGAGACATAAGACACATTACATAAAAGTCTTTTGATTCCTTACGTCTGCTAGTAAAAAAATGTTTGCAGTTTCAAACATAAGTCCAATGTTTTCTCCTGCAGCAATCCGAACATCTTTGTCTGAGGATTCAAGCATAATTTCATGCACTGGCATAACCCTGATATGAGGTTCAAAAGTCAGTTGATATAGCATAGTTACAACTCTCAAGAACTTACTTTTCTAGCTCCTCCCATAGCACATCAAAATCAACAAATCCTGAAGTAAAAGATGATGCATACAAGACGCCATAAGCTTGAATGGCCGCACAAAACAAATCGTCTAATTCTTGAGTTGAAAAGTGCTCTACATTGAAATCAGCACCATCTGTCTCGATCAAATCAAAAAGATAGTCTCGGACTAATTGCTTATCAATATCAGAAGCTGCGGTATAAGTAATCAATGACAATGTTTGAAGACACTATGTGCGTGGTGAGTAAAATGTAGAGCTCATTTAATCCTACATTAATCTTGATGGCTATGTCTTCACTGTCCTTGATTGTGTTTCTTAGAGAGGGTAAGATTCTTCGGTATAAATCGTCTGCTTCAGTCTCAGAGACCTCACTCAAGTTAACAAAGGCTAATGCAATTGCTCTTGCGGCTAGACAAGCCTCTTTTGTGCTTCCATGTTTCAAAAGTGATCTTTTAAGCAAACCTAAAATTTCTTCGATTCGATTTTCTATTTGCGAAAAGACATGGTGACAAGCAAACGTATCCACAACTATTTCGAGCGATTCCTCTCGAGTACTATGTATATTTTAGTTTTATTTACCCGTGTAGACGTGTTACCTTGTTCTACTTTCAGAAAGATCGTCAATAGCTTGATTGAGCTTGTCAATCCAGTTCAAGATCTCGGGCACTTCTTGGCTCTCACGTTTTGAAGTCGACTTTGCACTTCTTTTTGAAGAGTTTGGAGGCATAGTGCAATAGAACAAAGAAAGGTTAATTTTAAATTAACCCGAGATAGCCTTGATATGACGACAAAAAAAAGTTTTTAGTACTCCTATGATAAACGGCAGGCGGCATGAACTAATGATTTGATTGGAGCAAAGGTATTCTATGGTCTTACGATGTTCATACAAGCCCCATGTGTGTTTCGATATATCGAGTGTCTACATCATTCTTCCTATTTGTCTAAAACATGTTTATCATATTAGTGTAGTTTAAAACAAAAAGTTATTTTTTGAGTTGTAGAGAGAGAGACGTTTAAAACGTAACAAAAGGTCTTCAATAGGTACATTGTGCATTGAAGCGCTTATTTGATAAAATGAAAATAGATGATGCTGTCCGCTCTACAAACAATAGTTGCTTCTTCAAGTGCGTATGAAAATCTTGAAGGCTCTGACAATGGCTTTCAATCTTCTCCTTTTTGTACAAAAAAAAATTGATGTATGTGTTTATCTTATTCAAGATAAGGCCTCTTTTGCCCACACTCTCTCTTTTGGTAATTTGTTTCTGCTTTCTTTTTATTCTCAAAAAATGTCAAGGTGTATATAAGCTGCCATTATTTCTAACTACTGTGTAATTATATTTCTTTGGGTTGAAATCGACATATTTGTTTTTATAATTAAATGAAGGCAAGCTACTTTTCGGTTATTGTCCATTACAGCGTAGGGCTTTCTTTTTTCAAGAATAATTAACATAGACAGAAAGCAAAAACCTAATATGATCGCATTTGAAATCAGGCAAATAAAGATTGATAATGAAAAAAAAAAAAAAAAAAAAAAAAAAAAAAAAAAAACTTTGCTCAGTAGCTTATTAGAGACCTTATAGGCTGTGGAAAGACAACAAAATACCGAAAGTACACTTTGAACGAGTAAAGCAGTTTATTGAAGTAGTCAACAAGCTTCTGTCTATCAAGAATGCAATGATGGGTAGAACTAAGTCTAAGGTTTAAAATAGTGTAGTGGTCGCTCGATTTAAAGGTGCTCAATTCAAAACGCTACACACTGGATCGAAATAATCTAAGTAACAATATAAATATTATTCATGAATCTCATGCTCTGCTTGATTTCTAGAATTTAATATTATTTTTTCAATAAAGTGTATATGCAAAAGTGAATTTCTTAAGATTTTTGCATACTAAGAAAAATAACCTAACCTTTTATTCTACACGATTCATAATACTAATCTATTATCCTTTGGAGAGCTTATTTAAGGATAAAAAGCTTGCATATTTTGGGTTTCAAAAAGTGGCAAAACATTTCCGTTGCAGTGACCTCTCGGTTTAAGAAGAACCATTCTTTGATGTGGCGGCCTTTTGCATCAATTACCGCTTGGCATTTAGTCCAGAGAAATCAATTGAAGCAAATTGGCCCAAAGGGTCGATCAGGGCAATCTCTAATCGCCTATTGTTTTGATTACTCTGCTTGGTTTCTGGGACTTATTTTTTATTCCTTTGACATTCTATTTGAATGAAGTGAATGAGACAGAGATTGTTATCACTAAAATTAAATATTTTTCAATAAAGTTTACAAAACCGTTACACTTTCTAATGGCTTTATGTTTCAAAACAAGTTGTCATTTCTGGGTGGTCTACTTAGGAACTGAGACCTTACAGCCACAAATTTGGCGAAAAATACAACAGCTTGTCAATGATAACATGGCTTTGTCCAAAAAGAGTATGACCTTTCCTGACGATCAATACTAACCAATCAAGTTAAGTCTGTTCATCTGAGCGCCATTTGTTTATACTTTGCATTTTTCCTCTTCTCTTCTCTCTTCTTTTTCTTTCTTCATCTCTATACTCGATACAAGATGAACGGCTTAGAAAGTAAAAAAATACAAGTTTATATGGTTTAATAAAAGCAACTTTATTCTAATATATTTATATTTTATAATAGACCAACTTTTTCAACTAAAGGTAAAAGGAAAAAAAAAAAAGATAAAAAAAGGAGACTTATATTATGTCCTAGTTTACAGCAAAGCAACTCAATAAACAATCCAAGAGGTGCCAAAAAGACGAAATTACTGAAAAAAACAAGTTAAAGAAGGCTATACAAGATGGTAATATGGAAGGGGCGCGTATATATGCTTCCAACGCTATCAGAAAAAAAAATGAAGCCTTAAATTTGCTTAAACTTTCTTCTCGTATTGATGCTGTTGCAAGCCGTGTTCAAACAGCTATCACGATGAGAAAGGTACGTCTTTTATTACCGCCACAATAATCTAACGTACTTTTAGGTCTCTAATTCAATGGCACAAGTTGTACGTGGCATGGGTAGAGCTATGGAAACAATGAACTTGGAGCAGGCAAGTAAGAAGAAAGAGAGTGTCTTGTCTTATTCGTTATAGATCTCAATGGTGATGGATAAATTCGAGTCACAATTTGAAGACCTTGATGTTCAAACAGGCTACATGGAGGGAGCTATGGCTGGTACTACAACATTAAATACACCCCAGGATGAGGTCGACTCGCTTATGCACCAAGTAGCAGACGAACATGGCTTGGAATTGAATGATGCCCTGAATGAACTTGAACCCAGTAAGGTTCTTAATGAACCCAAGCAGAAGGAAAAAGAAAGGGATGAAGATAGATTGTTGACTGAAAGATTGAAGGCTCTGAGACAATAAACGTTCTTTTTTTCTAAGGAGAATAGCCTTTATTGGCATACGCACACTGTATATTGACATATTTATATGTACTCCTTGCATTTATAGAGTCACTGTGTTATTGATATAAAACTCTTACTTTTTTGCCTTTATTTCTCTTTTCTTTCTCTCTCTCTTTTTTTTTCTTATTTATCATGACTTGCGAAGATGTTCATTCATGGTCTCCTATCTTTCATATGGATTCTCCAGATCTGTTTACAGAAACATTACTAGGACAGTTTGATAAAACAAAACTTATGCTCGATAGTCGTTTTTCTGTATATACGCATGACAGTCATCAAGTAAAATAAGCTTGCTTTTTTTTGATCTCATTACTAACTCCAATTCTAGGAAGATGAAACACAGAGTTCTCTGCAAGACGATGGTCGACTATCGAAAAATCCCTCTACTATTTCCATACACAACGAAACCATAGAAACTAATATAGAAATTAAGGAACAAAAGGCCTTAAGTACTTTTGCTATTACCGCTGCTATTGAAGCACATTCTCCTCTGCAAGCTGACAAAAAGAAAAAAGGATTGTTGCACAAACCTTCTACCTTCTTTAGTGAAAAAGTCCTAAGAATGAAGACAAGCAAGGTTGAATTGAGTCAAATCGAGGTGGAATCAGAGTTAGAAATGAGAAGAAAGTCTTGCCCTGGATTTGTTATCCAAGCATCCAATGTAGATCCAACACCCAGAAAGAAAAGTCATTGGTTTAAGCGCTTGTTTTCACGTGACTGATTTTTTTCAGAAAAAAAAACTTCTCAGTAAAACGCGGCGACAGGACGTATTTGTATAAATTATCTTTTCTTTTCTTTAAATAAATTATTATGACTACACCTATTAACGAATACACACTTGAGAACAACACTGTCTTTTCTATTGTTGGAAAAGGTCTCAAGTTGAACACAGCTTCTGACGTTCAAGAGTTTGTTGAGACTATTAACCAAATGGATAACCTTCAAGTTATCAAGTTGAGTGGAAACACTCTTGGTGTTGAAGCCAGTCAAGCCTTGGCTGAGTCACTCAAGACAAAGACCCACTTGAAGGTAAAATGAAGCTTTCATTTATCTTGATTTGACCCCTTTCTTTTTAAATTATAGCAAGCTCTCTTGTCAGATATTTTTACAGGGCGTTTATTAGATGAAATTCCACTTGCTCTTAAGGCTTTATGTGATGCTTTTGAACAAGTTGATTTGCTTGAACTCGATTTATCTGACAATGCTTTTGGTCCTGCTGGTGCTCGTCCCTTGATCGACTTTTTATCCAACACAAAAACCCTTCATACCCTTCGCCTTAACAACAATGGTCTTGGTTTAGGCGGTGGTGCCATGATTGCCCAAGCCCTTCAGGCCTGTGCTGATAATGCGAAAGCCGAAAATCGTGCTAGTCCTCTTCGTACCATCATCTGTGGTCGTAACCGTCTTGAAGATGGTTCTTCACAAGCATTGGCCCGTGCCTTTTCTTCTCATGGTACCTTAGAAGTTGTTCGTATGCCTCAAAATGGCATTCGTCCTGATGGTATTCGTACCATTGTTGAAGGTTTGCGTGACTGTAAGAACCTTAAGCATCTTGATTTGCAAGATAACACATTTACCGCTAAGGGATCTAAGGCATTGGCTGCTGCTTTGCCTAGTTGGTCTCAGCTTGAAGTACTGAACGTGTCTGATTGTTTATTGAGCAGACGTGGCGGTGTGGCTGTCTTCGAAGCACTTGCTCGTGGTGAAAACAAGCAAATTAAGGAATTGTTATTGCAATACAATGAAATCCAAGCTGATGGTATTGAAATTTTGGCACATGCTATCAGGTCTCATTTGAACTTACTTGAAAAACTCGAATTAAACGGCAACAAATTCGAAGAAGATCATGAAGTTGTTGAAGTGTTGAGAGAAGCTCTTGCTACTTGGGAACATGAAGATGCTTTAGACGAATTAGATGATATGGAAGAAATTGACAGTGAAGAAGAAGAAGAGGAAGAGGAAGAAGAGGAAGAAATTGTTAAGGAAGCTGAATTGGCTGAATCTCAAGAGCCCACTACCAAGTTAGACAAGAAGGAGGAAGATGAATTGGCTGAACAATTGAGCAAGACACATATTTAAATATCTCTTTATTGTTATATATATATATATATATACATATTCATATTGCAAACTGTTTCTTTTTATACACATAAACATTTATATATAGATCAATAGTTGATTAAAAGGTCTGTGTTTTCACAAGCATATGACTGCAGTACATATTCCACAGTTGATTTCCTTCTTTTGATGGTTCAACCATAGCTTTTGCCAATTGGAAATACGATTCAGCAGAGAGATCCTCCATATGATACGTTTCTTGAGTGGAATATTCAAGTTCATACTCTAGGGGACCTTTTGTATTAGGCACATTCCATTTAGTGAGGTTTGCAAAGTATTGTTGATAGCCTAAAAGTGTTCCATGAGGCTTAAGTTTATGACTGTCATTCTCATTCAGCTGATATTGATAAATACGAATAGATGGGTTATAGACTGGTAAAACAGAAGGTGAAACCTGGACTACAACCAGAGGAGAATGAGACTTTCCGGGAAAACCACGCTTGTCATCATGAGGAGGCTCGATGTCTTTGTACATGTTACGCAGCCAGTTTATGTAAGCTTCAATGTTGCGAGTTGTATGAAATGCATGGTCATCTTCCTGAGTAATAGTCAAGTTGTCTACTAACTTTGTATTTGTAGGTTCTCTTCCATCAAACAGTAAGAAATGATCGATATTCATGTGAGCAAAAAAGTGTCCCATTACCACATCAGTGTATTCTGTTGCAATACGCAAGTACTCTGACAAACAAGTGCCCTTATAATCACGAGGAGAGGGAGGGACATGACCAATCACATATATTTTTTGCTTGCTCTTGCGTGCCTTTTTTAACTGTTGCTCAAACCATTGCATTTGTTGCGCTGCGGGACTGGAAGGGTGTAAACAATTACGCACAGCCTCGTTTTTGGTATAAAAATACATCGAATTGAGTGTCATAGCATGTATACCTGGTGCTACCTCAACTATAAAGTAACCACCTTGTCGAAACAGTGCACGTTGATCAGCAGGCATCCATGGACGCCACAATCGTTCATAAAATAAGAGGAGGTCACCATCTACGTCAGGACCACCAATTTGGTTATGAGGGAACACATCATTATTACCAAAGCTAGGAATAACAGGTATTTTATCATTCCAAAAGGTGTCTAGAACCATGTCAGTTACATGTTGATTAAGGGCGTAAACATCCCGTCTTTTGCGTTTTTGCTTCTTGTCCCAATCATGCCTATAAGAGGAGAAATTAACGTTTCAGATAAAGTTTATTTGTTTCCTTACTTTGCATTGTCGCCAGTCCAAATAACAAAATCGAGTTTGTCGTTCCAGTTTTTTGAAATCCAGTCAAGCGTTTCTTGTGCTAAAATAACGGGCGCATCACACTGTTCACCAACAGTACCATACTTGTCTGCAAGAATCGATGGTGGTCTTGATTTCTTCTTTTGGGCCAATGCCTTGGGTAGTTCATGGCAAGCTGAGTCCACAGTAGTGCCTTGGGTATAATCTTCATCAATCTGTAAAGAGAATAAGCTCATATATATATATATATCAGTACCATCACTTACATGCATATCAGTAATGTGAAGAAAGTAGCCATGCAGCTTTCTTTTCTTTTTAGTAACATGATGCTGTTGTCCAATGTGCCAAGAAGAATATGGTATCATAGGCATGCCGAATTGGCTCGCAGTAAGATTTATCAATGTGACATGTGGATTTGAGCTAAAATAATGCCAGCTCATGACTATACAAAAAATAGATGTAGCAGACAAAAGAAGTGTTCTTGTCCACATTGGATATGTATTTCTAAAAAGGAGTCTATAAGAAAAAAAAAGAAGAAAGAAAGAAGAAAAAGAAACTCGTTGCATACATTATGCCTGATGTTTATATAGTCACTATTTGACAATTAAAAGTGTAACCTCAAATAGCGAAATCATTCATTCTTGTCATGGGGCGCGTCCGTTTAAGCCGTAGTCCAATCGATTGACTGCATGGCGCTTAGATAGTCCATGATTGGAAAGTGCGATACTATTTATCATAAGGCTGTTCCTTACACAGGCAACTTAACATTTAAAGTGTAAATCCCGATTAAAGCACCATTCATATCTCAGGTACCAAAAATTTCTAAACAAGCCACTTATGAAATCAAGTCGCACATGCAATGAGAAAAAAAATTTTTTATGGGGACATAAAAAGCGTCGCAAAAGGCTAAATTGTTTTGTTCTTTCTCTCTTCCCTTTCTATTTAAACAAAATGGCTCCCGTCAAGACCTCCACTGCTGCCGTCAAGAAGTCCAAGTTCATCATTGACTGCTCTGGTCCTGCCAACGACAAGATCTTCGATGCCGCTGCCTTTGAAAAGTACCTCCACGACCGTATCAAGGTTGATGGCCGTACTAACAACCTCGGTGAAGCCGTTACCATTTCTCGTTCTGCTGATAACAAGATCACTGTTGTTGCCAACATTGCCTTCTCCAAGCGTTACCTCAAGTATTTGACCAAGAAGTTCTTGAAGAAGAACCAAATCCGTGACTGGCTCCGTGTCATTGCTACTGACAAGCAAACCTTCGAACTTCGTTACTTCAACATCGCCAACGATGAAGAAGCTGAAGATGACGAGTAAATTCTTTAGCAATAAACTGTATTTTTGTCTTGTCTGGATCATCTTGGATGATTTAGACACCTTAAATACACAGGGTGAGAAGAGAACGAACCCTTTATAAAATCAATCACAATCTCTTTGGAATTAAAAAAATCAAGGAAAAAGGCTATTTGTATACCCTCCTTTTTTCCTGAGTAACTATCATTTTGAAAGTAATTTTGTTTTGCATCTTTTATGAATTTGTTTTCTTGAATCTTTGAAATCTCGTAACGCCTAGGCCTTTCTTCATATGCATTTGAGTCCTAGAATGCAGAAGACGATCTTCGACTAAATTGTTTTTGACTATTCATGTTCTTGAACTCTATGCTAAGAGTTCTTTGACAAAACATACATGTCTTCTACCATGAAGTAACCAAGTAAAGGGCTTCAGCATTTAGCGAATTCGATAAACTTGCTTGTCTACTGTATGTTACTTTCAGGCAGAAAGTCTTCATATTTTTGAGCTACATCTGCTCTATAGATATACTATTAGGATCTTTCTATCCTATTATTGAAATTTGTATCTTGGCTTTTGTATCTTGTCTTTTTCTTGAGGGATATCCGAATGCCCTAAACAATTACATTTGGAGTAGACTATAAAATTAGTAAAAATATCTGCTTAGAAATAAACATAGCTTGCCCAGAGATCCTAAGAAGAAAGCTCTGGAAAACAGAGAGAAAAATAAACAAACAAGCATTTGTTTGTATCTTCAAGAACCATGTGAGTTGAAGTTAAGCTATAAAAGGGATCTCTGATAGAACTATACTTAAGCTGATAGCTCTCGATACAAACTAATTGTCACAGCAAAAATTCTGCTAAACTATATGGAAAAATGTCCTTTGTTTTGATGTCACGTCTAATCAAGATGGTGGATGCGCATATCATAGAATGTTTATTTGACTTGGGTTTTGCATGGAAGTTTGCTTATAATGTATGATTTCCGGCATGGAAAAAAGATGTCGTGCTCTCCGTCATTTATCTTTAATTCACTTTCAACACTTCTTTTCAAAGCTTTCAGCTCTATGTCGCTCGCGATGAGCTGGAAGCGATCTTCTGCTTTTGATAGAAAACTGTAGCTCATCCTAAGACATGATGATTTTAAAATTGTTTTCATATGTTGATGGCTCAGATATGCCTCTTATATAATGATTACTAATGTCATAAAGCATATTTTACGGCTCGACGTTTAGTTGGTTCGTTCAGAAATGAGCATAAAGCACTGTTTTTACTTTTGTATCCTTTGTTTTATATCTTGTCATATAAAAATCAAAGCAACTGTATCTACAGAACACTTGCTGCATTTAGCTGAATTGATGTATGAATGAGCAAAACAAAGCCCTCTTTTTTAATGAGTGCAATTATATTGCGATGTAACGTTTTTGATGCGTCTGAGAAAAATGAATAGATACACAATAAATGATAGCGCAGATCCGATACTTTATAGGGAGCAATTCATACATCTTTTCTTCCTACTACAAGAAATTTAGACAAAAGACAATAAATTTTGGATGATAATCATTAATGATTTTTTATTTTTTTTAATTTTTTTTAATTTTTTTAATTTTTCTTAATTTTTCTTAATTTTTCTTAATTTTTCTTAATTTTTCTTAATTTTTCTTAATTTTTCTTAATTTTTCTTAATTTTTCTTAATTTTTTTTAATTTTTTTTAATTTTTTTTAATTTTTTTTTAATTTTTGTAATTTTTTTTTTTACTTTTTATTTTTATTTTTTACTGTTACAATGTAGATACGTTTCTCAATAACACAAACATGATATAAAAATTAGGAACAAACATGCGAAAAATTGAAGAGGCATTTCTTATGCCCTGAAAAGTATCTAGGATATTTATTCCTGCAGATTTATGTACATATGTAAGACAAAGCACTTACCACAAACTGCCACATTTGGGCTATATTTGCATGTAAAAGAGCTTGAAGTCCTGCAATGCTGACAGTGCTATAGAATATCGAGGTATTTATACTTTTCCTTCTAGATCAAAATATTGTTTTGGGTTAGCTTCTTGGCTACAGATTTATTTGTCAGATCAGGAGCAATTAAGAGAAATGCCTTTAGAGAAAGTTTTCAGCTCAGTCAATGATAAATAGTTTGAACTGAACTTGAATGAACTATTACATACTTGTCAATGCCAATGCTAGTGTATTTGTCAGCTCTAGCTGCCACTTTATGAGTGCCGCTAATAAGAACAGAGTCACTAGGTCAATAATCTCTGACTATGAGGTCGATGTAATATTTTTGGTAGAATGAGGGAATGTCAGCGACTATAGATCCATTTCAATCGCCATATATGTGATCTAGTTTCTCGCCATAATCATCATTTATTGATCTGTGTATATGGATTCATATATGTTCACAGAAAAACTCTATAATTCGCGATATGCGAAAGATGCCCTTTGGTACGTATATTAGATGTTGTATTGTATAGATTTCCATATGCTTACAACTGCAATTTGGTTACTGGCTTTTCTCTAATAAAAGACACATCCAGCTCAGGAGATACATTGCCATTTGCATGACTTAATGGAATCAATTGTATGTTGCCTTGATAAAATCACCAATCATCAATGCATATGCATATACTTAACTCAAAGTATTTTCTCTTGTTACTGCATGCCATTTGGATTATTTTATTGATTATCAAATTTATTGAGATACATATGTACATCTAAAAGATCGGCAATCACTACACCAGATAGGCTACAGAGATGCAAGTCTAACATGGAAGTATATTTGGAGCTATAGTATGTCCAAGATCAGCACAAATCTACCTCAATACAAAGTTTTAGGATTGGAAGCGACTCAAGGCCTGTTAATCATCGTTAAATATCAATTAATAACATAGATGAGCATAGATGAGCAGAATTATAGAAAAAAATGCGTATATTTTGGATTTTCAAATATTTGCTTAATTTTTTATAATTCTTTCATAATTTATCATTCATTATCTTTTTTCTTAAAATCAGAAACACTACAGCGTAAGCGATGAAAGAAATTTCTCATTGAATGCAGAAATTTTGGCCAAATCTTCACTCAAGTATGGAAGAAAAACGCAATCAGTTACACTGTGATGAGAGTGTATTTTTCTAAACCCAGAAACTTTTTTCTGTTGAGACAAATAGCATACTTACGCATTAGTATTAATTTTGTCAAATTCATACTCAAAGTTTGTTAATTTATAGAAAAGATCCTTTTGGAAACATGTCACAATGCAGATTTTGGATGCTAGGACTTGATCAATTTATAAGAATGGTTATACTAAGCTAAGAATACCTTAAGAGAACAACGGTAAAAAAGAGGAATAGAGAGGAAAGCGTTGATCTGATGGTATGTCTGAGAGTGGGTTTATAATCAAAGACGAAAGAGAAATATTTGGTTGGATGTTGGAGGGAGTAGATTATTTGTGATAGCATGCTATATAGAGGTGATTTGGGACAAAAACAAATGAATAGAGGTCCATTTGGTACTGCAATAAAGTAAAGAGCGGAAAGTCTTGAGTGTTTTCTTGAGAAATCAATTTGCAAACCTCTGAAAGACAAAGAGCTTGATCAAGGACACTTTTGCATTCTCTAAAGCCACCTTGGGCAGTGTCTAAGGACGATGCTTAGCCTTGGAGAAGTCCCTTGGTGTATATTTTGAACATTTTCTTCTGAAATTAGCTCAGACTAACTAGGAAACAATGGATTGAATCAGTCGGGCCGCTCTTCTCGTGAATTAGGACTATTTGTGCGACTTATCAACAGTGAGGCGAGTATAGCCAGCACCAACGCCAACGCCAACGCCAACACGAATCAAAAATATGAGAAATCAGGGGACCACTAAAATCTATGTAGAGCCATCAAAGGATTACGATAATAGCCGTAGATGTCAGGAATTTCTCATGAATGTAATGGATTTGCCAATATATATACATTTTAAAGCCGATAAAATTTATGCCGACAAGACAAGTATGCCATTTGTGTACTTAAAAAAATATTTCTTGAGAAATAATAAAAAACACTTTTTTAAAATAAAACCCACTACTTTAAAATAAACCATTTTTTTTTTGAAATGACAAAAAGCAGAAAATTACAAATTTTCTATTTTTTTTTTATTTTTTTTTATTTTTTTTATTTAAAATTTAAGAAAAAAGCTTGGTTTTCAATTTTTCTGTTTTAAAATAAATAACGGGTCTACCAGATAGTGGTTTTACTGTTTTAGTTCAAAAAGGGATCCTCGTTGGTAGACCCGTTATTTATTTTAAAACAGAAAAATTGAAAACCAAGCTTTTTTCTTAAATTTTAAATAAAAAAAATAAAAAAAAATAAAAAAAAAATAGAAAATTTGTAATTTTCTGCTTTTTGTCATTTCAAAAAAAAAATGGTTTATTTTAAAGTAGTGGGTTTTATTTTAAAAAAGTGTTTTTTATTATTTCTCAAGAAATATTTTTTTAAGTACACAAATGGCATACTTGTCTTGTCGGCATAAATTTTATCGGCTTTAAAATGTATATATATTGGCAAATCCATTACATTCATGAGAAATTCCTGACATCTACGGCTATTATCGTAATCCTTTGATGGCTCTACATAGATTTTAGTGGTCCCCTGATTTCTCATATTTTTGATTCGTGTTGGCGTTGGCGTTGGCGTTGGTGCTGGCTATACTCGCCTCACTGTTGATAAGTCGCACAAATAGTCCTAATTCACGAGAAGAGCGGCCCGACTGATTCAATCCATTGTTTCCTAGTTAGTCTGAGCTAATTTCAGAAGAAAATGTTCAAAATATACACCAAGGGACTTCTCCAAGGCTAAGCATCGTCCTTAGACACTGCCCAAGGTGGCTTTAGAGAATGCAAAAGTGTCCTTGATCAAGCTCTTTGTCTTTCAGAGGTTTGCAAATTGATTTCTCAAGAAAACACTCAAGACTTTCCGCTCTTTACTTTATTGCAGTACCAAATGGACCTCTATTCATTTGTTTTTGTCCCAAATCACCTCTATATAGCATGCTATCACAAATAATCTACTCCCTCCAACATCCAACCAAATATTTCTCTTTCGTCTTTGATTATAAACCCACTCTCAGACATACCATCAGATCAACGCTTTCCTCTCTATTCCTCTTTTTTACCGTTGTTCTCTTAAGGTATTCTTAGCTTAGTATAACCATTCTTATAAATTGATCAAGTCCTAGCATCCAAAATCTGCATTGTGACATGTTTCCAAAAGGATCTTTTCTATAAATTAACAAACTTTGAGTATGAATTTGACAAAATTAATACTAATGCGTAAGTATGCTATTTGTCTCAACAGAAAAAAGTTTCTGGGTTTAGAAAAATACACTCTCATCACAGTGTAACTGATTGCGTTTTTCTTCCATACTTGAGTGAAGATTTGGCCAAAATTTCTGCATTCAATGAGAAATTTCTTTCATCGCTTACGCTGTAGTGTTTCTGATTTTAAGAAAAAAGATAATGAATGATAAATTATGAAAGAATTATAAAAAATTAAGCAAATATTTGAAAATCCAAAATATACGCATTTTTTTCTATAATTCTGCTCATCTATGCTCATCTATGTTATTAATTGATATTTAACGATGATTAACAGGCCTTGAGTCGCTTCCAATCCTAAAACTTTGTATTGAGGTAGATTTGTGCTGATCTTGGACATACTATAGCTCCAAATATACTTCCATGTTAGACTTGCATCTCTGTAGCCTATCTGGTGTAGTGATTGCCGATCTTTTAGATGTACATATGTATCTCAATAAATTTGATAATCAATAAAATAATCCAAATGGCATGCAGTAACAAGAGAAAATACTTTGAGTTAAGTATATGCATATGCATTGATGATTGGTGATTTTATCAAGGCAACATACAATTGATTCCATTAAGTCATGCAAATGGCAATGTATCTCCTGAGCTGGATGTGTCTTTTATTAGAGAAAAGCCAGTAACCAAATTGCAGTTGTAAGCATATGGAAATCTATACAATACAACATCTAATATACGTACCAAAGGGCATCTTTCGCATATCGCGAATTATAGAGTTTTTCTGTGAACATATATGAATCCATATACACAGATCAATAAATGATGATTATGGCGAGAAACTAGATCACATATATGGCGATTGAAATGGATCTATAGTCGCTGACATTCCCTCATTCTACCAAAAATATTACATCGACCTCATAGTCAGAGATTATTGACCTAGTGACTCTGTTCTTATTAGCGGCACTCATAAAGTGGCAGCTAGAGCTGACAAATACACTAGCATTGGCATTGACAAGTATGTAATAGTTCATTCAAGTTCAGTTCAAACTATTTATCATTGACTGAGCTGAAAACTTTCTCTAAAGGCATTTCTCTTAATTGCTCCTGATCTGACAAATAAATCTGTAGCCAAGAAGCTAACCCAAAACAATATTTTGATCTAGAAGGAAAAGTATAAATACCTCGATATTCTATAGCACTGTCAGCATTGCAGGACTTCAAGCTCTTTTACATGCAAATATAGCCCAAATGTGGCAGTTTGTGGTAAGTGCTTTGTCTTACATATGTACATAAATCTGCAGGAATAAATATCCTAGATACTTTTCAGGGCATAAGAAATGCCTCTTCAATTTTTCGCATGTTTGTTCCTAATTTTTATATCATGTTTGTGTTATTGAGAAACGTATCTACATTGTAACAGTAAAAAATAAAATAAAAAGTAAAAAAAAAAATTACAAAAATTAAAAAAAATTAAAAAAAATTAAAAAAAATTAAAAAAATTAAGAAAAATTAAGAAAAATTAAGAAAAATTAAGAAAAATTAAGAAAAATTAAGAAAAATTAAGAAAAATTAAGAAAAATTAAGAAAAATTAAAAAAATTAAAAAAATTAAAAAAAATAAAAAATCATTAATGATTATCATCCAAAATTTATTGTCTTTTGTCTAAATTTCTTGTAGTAGGAAGAAAAGATGTATGAATTGCTCCCTATAAAGTATCGGATCTGCGCTATCATTTATTGTGTATCTATTCATTTTTCTCAGACGCATCAAAAACGTTACATCGCAATATAATTGCACTCATTAAAAAAGAAAACAAAACCATCAAAGCTATCATTCAGGGCACAAAAGATAACTGCGTCACAGTAAATACTCTCCCTTATACTTGTCATTGTTTACTTTTTTCTAATGGAAGAGTGAATTGCCAATTGGCCTCTTTCTCATAAACGCAACACCACGAGAAGTGAATTGATTGTTTCGTTACAACTAGTTTGACTTTAGTGGCAAGCTTTCATTCCTGTTATACACTGACCGGAATAAAAATTAGCCCAGTTTTTTGTTGATGATTTGTTGAGATGTTTATTTTAAGATAATATAAGTAGAAAAAAATCAGTACTTGGTGACACAACCTTTGACATCAATCACAGCTTGGTATTGGCTAGGCATATTGTGTAGTAGTATGAATGTGATGAATTGAGGACTATCTCAGTCTTAATCATACAATTGACAAGATAGTGGTATTCAGTTACTTCCTCGTATCCGTGTAAGTATTTTACATGTACTGGTTCATATCTGTTACTAATTTATTTCTCTCTTTTATCTCCCTTCTATTCTCTGCTGTTTTTTATAAATATTATTCATGTAACTCATACTCTGCTTAATTTCTAGAATTTATTTAATATTTTATTTTTTCCACACGATTTTTTTTTCAATAACTGTATGAAACAATTCATATATGCATGTAGTCCGGCTTTATCTGGCTTTGACACAAAATTGCTTATCAGCCAATGCGAAAATAAAGCAGGATCTGTGTTGCCGAGAAAGTCAATAAAAATGACGTTGATCAAGCACTTGATGATATTCATTTACAAGATTGATGTTACAACAAAAGGCGCATACAGTAAAAAAAAGCATTCAATTCATTATTTATGGCTTCTATCTTATACTTCTTTTTTAGGGAAATACAAACAACCCAAACGCCATTGACATGTAAAGGGCGGGGAGAAATGACCGTGACAAACACAAAGAGGAGGCGCGCGCTGGTTCGGCTATTTGATGCCGTTCTTCTTTTTTTAAATCTCAGCATTGAAATGCATATAAAAGGATACATGCACTCTTTGTTTTTTCTCTTCTTCTTGTTCCTTATAAACAATCAAAATGGTCTCTTATATGAAAAAATCATTAGGTACATTAGCTGGCTTTGGTAGCTCGAATCTTTTGCCACCTGCAGATCATCTATCGTTACTCAACGAAGACGACTGTACAGGATGTGCAAATCCATGCGCTGAACACAAAGAGTTCCCTTCTTATTTACATATTGAGCAAGATTTTCCTATTCTCGGCTCTGTTAAACCTTATGGTAGACATATACTCATCTCTACGGGTATGACCGATTGGCCTAAACATATTGACGACGAAAAGGACTCATTTGCTCAGGCACTGTTTGCAGCGATCCATCAGAAAAAGCCCACCGCCTGGAAGAATCTTATCACCAATGCTTCCATCACATCCAGTCACTCCAATGTTCCTGGTGGTTGTGATATCTTGATTTTTCCTGATAACATTCTAGTGTCCAATGTAACAAACGATAAAGCAGATGATTTCTATCAATTGTTTATGGCAGCGCCGTTACCTAGAGAACCCATGGATATCGAGTTTATGATGCGAGATGATCGTATAGGTGAAATGAAAATCCAGAAATGTCCTTACAAGAATCTAATGTTGCTGTGCTCCCACAAAAAGAGAGACAAGCGTTGTGGTGTTACAGCTCCCATCCTTGCTCAAGAAATTGATCGTGTATTAAGAGAAAAAGATCTAGGTGAAGAAGATGTTGCTATTATTATGGTGAGCCATATTGGAGGCATGTGTATTCTGTATCTAATTCGTGCTGATTGTTCTTTTATGATAGGTCACAAAATTGCTGGCAATGTGATTTGCTATATAAATGAAGGCACAAGAGGTGTATGGTATGGTCGAGTCAAGACATGTCATTGTAGAACTATCATTGAAGAAACCATTGTCAATGGCAAGGTTATCAAAGAAATCTATCGTGGAGCTATGGACAATAGCTTTGAAAATCAACAAACAAGATCATTATTAAAATGGTAGATAAAATCAAACATTTGTAAATAAGAAAAAAAGATTGTATTGCTCTGCATAAAATAGACGAACTATTGTAATAAACAATAAAATATCTGTTTATTTTCAATTATATAATAAAGCATCATTTATTTTTCCTTACACTATGCTTGAAACTACAATGCTTTCAAGACCAACATATTCATCTGGAGTTAAAATGTATGGATAAAGCAATTCTCAAAAGCCACACAATTTCATATTTCATTTTTTTTTCATTTTCATATGAAGTTGAATGAAAATACAATCCTTGTAAGCTACATAAAATATGAAGCCTTTAAGACACTAAATAAAGCAAAGATTGGTGAACATGTTGTGTTGGTGCCTTATAAACCTGAGCATGTGCCCACATATCATGAATGGATGAAGTCTCCCTTTCTTCAAGAAATGACAGCTTCTGAGCCCTTAACACTCGAACAAGAATATGAAATGCAACAGTCATGGCATCAAGACCCAGAAAGTACGATTATTTGATATCATGATTGTTACTGATATGAGATTATATAGAACTCACATTCATTGTGACAAGTCTACCTCTTCATTCAAACAAACAACTCAAAGATATGTCTGAAGCTGATATAAAAAAAGAAACAGGCAAGTTACGTACATCCTCTACTTTGTGTATTTATTCTCTATTTTACAGTCATGATTGGTGATGTGAATATATTTTTAAATGATCCTGATAATGACCCAACCTTTGGTGAGATTGAGCTTATGATTGCAGAACCCGACTATAGAAGAAATGGCAAAGGAAAAGAAGCTCTTCAAATGATGATGGCTTATGGTAAATTATTAAAAAATGCCATAAGATATTTACTTCCTTTTGTGTGTGTGTGTGTATTTAGCCACTGAAATGATGGGACTCAAGACATTTCATGCAAAAATCTCACTCAAGAATGAACCCAGCATCAATCTATTCCAATCAAAATTCGGATTCTATCAAGTCTCTATCTCTACAGTATTTGAAGAAACTACACTGGAATGGTCTTTACTTGAATCTTCTTTGCCTAAAGTAGACGAAGATGGCAATGAAATCGAAAGTTATGGCTCAAAAGCAACACCAGAACAACGTGAGCGCGTGCAACAAGTGTATCATGCATTAGTCATGATGTGGCAGCATGTCAGAATAAGCCAATATGTTTATTAGTCATAAATTTACCAATAACTGTGTTCCAATCCTTCTTGTTGCTCATTCCAAAGTGTAGGTAACTTTATCTGCTTCACCCACCATTCGGGCGAGACCCATAGTCGATCAAATGAGATGATAGCAGGTGCATGACTGAGTTTACCATGGTGTTGTTCAAATGCATCCACCAACTTTCTGAATTCCTGCCTTGTTTCTTTCATGTCGTACTTGACTTGGAAACCTGTGCCCATGACTGCAGAACCTTTTGTGTGATGGTTGTATTGGTACCACAGTTTCTTATCACTCATCATGGCTGCGCCTGCTTGATTGACATGCTGCAGTCGTCTTGAAGTAGCAATCTGAGCAAAATAAGCAACAATATCAATATTGGTTTTGATGTCATCAAATAACACAATGGAGCAATCACTTGGTGTTGCATCTGTAATGGAATCTAGACCTTCTTCATCAATAGGGCATAACTTGAATTCAACTGTCAATGTAAAAGGATTGATTCTAGCAAATTCACCTAATAATAACAGTTCTGTTGAAAAAGGAAATGTTGGATGTGACTGATTGGATGGATAAGATTTTGCTAAAATATCAATCTACACATATAAGCAATGCGTTATATTGCAAGCACATACATACATGTATTCTCCAGCCTTCGTTTTTTACATTTTTATCTATTCTTTCACTCAACATAATAGAAAGCCAATAACCATACCAAGTATTCATTCTTGCTAATGTCACCAAATCTTCTGTATCCAAATAACTGAATACATGATAGAGTATTTCTATAGGCAATTTAGAGAGTCTGTACATAAAGAGAAAAAAGAAAGAAAGAGAAAAAAAAAAAGATGATTCTTTTATATTTTATTTCACCTGATTCATGCAACCCTAACAACCAATCATATTCATTCTAAACCATACATGTGAAAGCGACTTTTTTATCTAGATGTATTCTCGGATGAGGATTGTGAGTACATAGGAAGTATAGGGTGATTAGGTGAAGAAGGCTGGTTTATAAACATAGATTGCTGATAAGGTGTTTGAGGAGAAGACATCATATTTGTTGCTATCGTATCCTTTTGAGGAGAATCATACATGGGTGTATTAGGCATAGAATACATTGGTTGTGGATTATTATTATTATTATCATTACTATTATTACTGTTATTTTGTGACATTGGATTGGAGTGAAGTGCTGGGTGAATAGTGGGTTCACTTGTATTATTGTTACTGTTGCTTGATTCTACACTGCTTCTACCAATAGGAGAATGTTGCTGAGGATCAAACGTGAAAGACATGTCCGAGGCAGTAAATCCAGGTGTATTGGATGAACCAGTCATTGTATAGCTATGTTGTTGATTATGATGGTGATGGTGATGAAAAGAAGCAGAAGGATGTACATAGCCAGTTAAAGCATCGGTATCTAATCTTATATTACTATTAAAAGTGTACACAAAACTTGATGGTGGTGGTGGTGGTGGAGGAGGAGGAGGAGCTTGTTGTATAGGTTGATGTCTAGGTGGAGGTGTCAAAGGTATAGGTGTTCTAGGATAAGCTGGGGGAAGAATACGTGATAGTGTGTTGTGCATAGTGGGCATAGAAGATCCATTGGGCAACACAAGGGGAGAAGGCTGCTTTGCTTTACCCTTTCTTGCTAGCTTCTTGGGTGGTTCTGACATTCTCTGTATATCTTCAGGCCGCATACGCTTCTGCTGTGCCTTCATCAACTGAGATTCTTGTACTTGACGCTGGTTATGGATTTTGATATAGTAGATCTGTTTAGGTATCTCAACTGGGACATAGCCTTTAGGTGAAGCTATATCAGTCTTGAATGATTTTTTTGTTGTGTCAACAGGGTCAGTATCTTCAAGCACAAAAGGCGTTGGTAGTTCATCAGGCTGAATCTGGACTGTACTGCATATAGACTGAAATAACATGGCTAATTCTTGTCGAACAAATTGAAATAGATCATCATTCCCAGCTGTGGTCATACATATCTTACTCCATAGTTCACTCAATTGATGGGTTCTTTCAGAAGAATCTCGTATCTTGATTTTTTGCCGTTCTTCTGAAAGACGATTATAGAATCGTCGTTCATTCCAATGAATATCTGGAAATTGTTCTCTTATACGGATCCGAATATCTTGCGTTGCCATGCGTAGTCGAGCAAGTTCGTAAATAGTGTCAATGATTTCCTTTGGCCATGAACGTTCGATTTCTTCGGGTCGCATTAATTCATGGTTATGTTTGCCTGCTTCTGGGTTCAATGACTTTCTAAATTCCCACTTGTTCTGTTCATTCTCAAACAAGACAATTCGCCAGCGACAGTCACATCGTTTAGAAGGTCTTTTGCGTTGTGGGTTGGATTTAGGGTTTCTTAATGAATCTGGTAAACCTTCCCGAGAACAATAGACATAAATATTCTAATTCTAAAGTGTCATTTTTCTTGCTTTTGGTTTATTCTACTTACTCTATGTGTACTTGCTTCTTGTTTCACTGTAAAACCAAACTCAGCGCACAAATCACGGCAACGTTCAACAGCAGAAGAACTGTCATCAAAGGCCATACCAATCAATCGTTCATAAAAGGGTTCAAGCTATTTTATTAGAAATCAACATGGCGGTGTCACATACCAAAAGAGCCTGCTCTTGCTGTTGTTCGGGTGTTAGTATGGGGTGATTATGAAGAGAAGAGGGATCCTTCTTTGTCATGATGAAGATGAGTTGTAACCAAAAAAATAAAATAAAAAACAAAGAGTGAGAAAAAAGGTTAAAAAAGAAAGAAAGAAAGAAAGAAAACGGTGATAACAATTGTTTTGGTTATAATGCCATTTTTTTTATATGTACCTTTTGATTAAGTTCTTGACAAATATATGAAACTTTACCAATAGTAAACGATAGCCAAAGATCTCAATTTCGTGTGACACCAAGTTACTACACATCTAAACTGACCCCCTGGCTTACAAGACAACAGAATACCTACTATAAATACACTTTACAAGCATTTTAAAATGAATTTATCCTACTATCTTTCTTTTCTTGTGAAACAATGCTCATAAACTTACTAAACTGGTCCTGGTGGATTTCTTTGGTCCGCCGAAAAAATCTTCTTTTCTTTTCCCTCTCTCTTTTTTTTAAAATGATCGATGTGCCTGTGTCTAATAGATTATATGCTTTATTGGGTTCATCGCCTGATGCACCAGAAATAGCAAATTACGCTGAATTCAAACCCACTCTATCTGAAATATCGAATTATGTATATTATGCCTATAAACCATTGGGTATCTCATTTTGCTTCATAAAAGACAATGACACACTAAAACTGGATGCTATTGATATCTATAACGGAAACACACGCGATGGATTCTCTCCTTTTCATGCTCAAGAACATTTACCGTGTGGATTGACACCGACAATGCAAGCACACCAAATTGTTAGTTTATTAGGTGAACCAGATCGAAAGGGGGGCGGAGGACAGACTCGGACACCTTGTTGGATTGAATACAAATTTAATCAAAACTCTGGTATTTTGATTCAACTTCATGGGTTTGAATGGGAAGACCGCGAGATGGGTTGGACAAGCTTTGTTCTCTATTAACTTACCGAGTTCCCGGATAGTTTGTAGCTTTGTGATAAAGGAAATCACAGTAGATTATGCATGTGAATGCATTGGCCATCATGCTATGTTTGTGCGTCCATTTTACTAAAGTAGCTTTCATCTGGGAATAAAATTCAATGTTCAATTGGAAAACACTTGAGATATTCATGCTATAATCATTGATAGGCATACAACAGAAATGGAGAGATAATGATTGGATAGAGAGCAATAGTTTATTAGTTTGAGAGGCATGGTCAAAATGGTGCTAGCAAGTATGCTAACAAGTAATACCCAGCATTATTCAAGAAAGTATGTACCGAGTACAAAGATGTATACCAACACTCAAGTGACTACAAGTCATGCTTCCTTTTTTTTCTTTTTTTGTAAGCATGAGCGGGGTGTTGAGGTGACTGCTGTCTTCTTAGTTTGTTTCGTTTTAGATGAGCAGCCATCGCTTCCATCTTCATCCATGGAAGATTTACCACTGTCTGCTTATTTCCAACGACTCTGTCAACACATATTGGACGGATCGTCAAAGAATGTCACTAGAAAAAACATTGAAGACTTTCGCGTCTTGCTTCACTTGATTATGCATGAATGCTCAAAAGCAAATATTGAGGTAAAATAGCAATGATGTGGCATCGTGTCATTGACATGTTCATGCAGACAGGAAGGAAATGGGTACTTGAATACTGTCAAGCACCTCATCATATGAATGCTATTCTAGAATATATGTTGGCATTGTCTAGATCACGTACCTCACAAACAGATAGAATACATCTCATTTACTTGCTTAATGATGTCGTCTTTCATACGTAAGCTCAAGTATATATCTTTTTTGCGTTGTTTTTTCTGATAAGAAACAGTGCTAGGAAACAGATAACATGGATGCAAGAAGCCATGCTGCCCTTATTAGTGCCTCTTTTACGAATGGCTTATGAAGCAGCAGAATCAGCAGAATATGAAGCTAAAATCATGAAGGTATAAAGCATAGTATATCATACCAAACTTAAGCATTGATTAGGTGATTGGCTTCTGGGGCGATCAAAACATCTTTGAACCTCAGGTTATTAGTCGCATGAAAAGAGATATTATGTCACATCCATTTCAAAACTCTTTTGTGTCTTATCCTCAACATATGCCTAGTGTTCCACCACCTCATGCCAATTCATTACAACAAGGAGCAGTACCTTTGCCTATACCACCACCACCACCGCCACCAGCTAAACCTTACCATGAATTGCCTGCTGGACTTATGCTTTTTGCCAAGGTAATGCTTTATGAAAAAGAGAGTCATATATTTATCTGCTGTTCATTTAGTCAGAGGATTATCAACCTGTTGATCCAACTCTGATTCGAGTTCCCTTTCCACGTCCACCACCCACACAAGAACTTATAACAGCTGTAGATGAATTCTATCAGGGACTTGACTTGTCCAGTGCAGATAGTGTGATTATAGACGAAAAAGCCACTAGATCCAACATTGATGCGCAAGGTTGGGAAAAAGGTTATTTAGATGAATATACAACCTCTATTCATCAACGAAAACAACAGCGCAATACACGATCTCCAAGTAGAGAGCAATACCATGATAGAAGAGAATATCTAAGTCCAAGTCGTGGTAGGAGCCGTAGTAGAACACCATCCCCTCGTTATCGCCAGCGATTAAGCCGTAGCCCTCCTTCAATGAGAAGCCGTAGTCCTTCTCCAGCCAAAACTCGAAGTCCATCCAGAAATCGATATCAGAGACGTTATAGTCGCAGTCATAGTCGATCACCTTCCCCGCCACCACCTTCTTTGATGCGTTCATCAAATACGAGTTATGGATCAGGCAAAAGCAACGGGTTTGGCAGGCACGATTTTAGTGGTGTTCCACAAGAAAATAAGTATATGGGGCTTGGAAGCAAGTCTGCTATGGATGAATTTGATCATTTTAGACGTAACAAAAGTCAAGCATTTAACAGACGTGAGCCTCATCAACCTTTTACATGTTATCGATGCAACAAGGTAAAAAAAAAAAAAAAAAAAAAACTCTATTCTTATATACAAATCTAAACTTCCCTCCTCTCTCTCTCTCTTTTTTTTTTTTTTAGGTGGGACATTTAGCAAGAGAATGTAACAGTCTTTAATAATAAACTATGTCATCTTGATCTCAAAAGACCATAAATCTCGAGCACAAAGCACATCCTCTTTTCGTTGATCTAATACATCAATGGCTAAAGAACGGACTTCCTCCATCACTTCCAAAGCCTCAGGATCTTCATCACCACGATAACGAGCACTGAAGTGAGTCAAGATCAATTTTTTACACTTGATTTTCTTTGCAAAGGCAGCTGCCATTTGTGGTGTTGAATGGCCATGGTTTTTGGTTCGTTCTTCTACTTGTTCGAATGTCACCATTGTCTTTGCGTCTAGTGTATCGAGTCTAGTAAGTGCATTTGTAGCTTCATGCACAAGCAAAGTAGGTGTGTTGGTTAAAGGCAAGATGGACGATGGATCTCTGGTGTCTCCCAAAATTACGATTTCACGACCAGGACGTTGTGGAGGAGGTACAAGTACATCTCCATCAGGCAACGTATAAGGCTCTTGTGTTCGCTGAATCTGGCCCAACAGTGTCATGGGATTTTTCATGCCTTGCGCTTGTAATGCCTTGGTATGTTTCTTGATCAAAGGGATCAAGCCATCCAATTTGCCTGACGAAGGTGGTTCTCGAATCACATAACCCAATGAAGGAATAGAGTGCTCAATATACGCAGCTTGGACTTGATACCCTTTTTTGCCTGATGCATACAACGGTAGTGTAAATGCATTGTTCTCGATACGTACATTTTCTCCTGGCAGTTCGTTGTGATGGAGATCCTGGTTGAGATCCTCGGGATCGGTATCGCAAAGCAGTTCGTGAACACGATAAGGACGGCCGAGATGAGAATAGGTTAATTTGAGTGTGGTTCGAAGCCACGATCGTAAAGGTGTAGGTCCATAAATATCGATCGGCAGCTGGGATTCGGATTGGGTTGTGTTCTGAGGATTCAAGTTGTCTGTCATACTGCAGAGTAATGGTCCAAGCCCAAAGCAATGGTCGCCATGCATATGTGTGATAAAGATACGCGTGATCCTGCCCATTTTTAACTGACTCTTTTGAAATTGATGTTGTGTTGCTTCTCCACAATCAAATAACCAGATATCACCGTCTATTCTTAATGCCATGGACTGGTGGTTTCGAGTAGCACTAGGTTGAGCACTGCCTGTGCCTAAAAATGTAATATCCATGAATGAAACCATATTTTACGAAAAAGAGGAAAAAAAATATACTGTTTGAGGTTAAATTTTCCTTAGAAAAAATTGAAGTCCAATGTGGTAACAATCTACAAATTTTTAGACAAATAAACGTATTATAAAGCCTGTTTATACACGCATAAATGCTCTAAATGCCTACAAATCATGTCTACTAATATACGAGGTACCTTTGGAGTTGATTTGGACAAAAAAAGCAACTTGTAAAATTTGACCAAAATGACCATTCGGCCAAAAGCTACTAGTCATGAAAATCATCTGTTTGACAATTCCTTGAGCCTCTTTTTGATGCTTCAAGGCAAAAAATAGAGCAATTGACAAGTTTAAATACTCAAAATTTGCGCCAAAAACTAGAGCTTTTGGCGAGTGTGTTTGTTTAACAGTTGTACTACACAAATGATGAGATATAAGCAAAAAACTTCCTGAACATCTTTACGGATTATCTCAACATTTTAGCAGCAAAGCTGCTGTGTTCTTTATATCAAAAAATTTGAAATAAAAAGTTCTACAGCTTTTGTCACTACACCAAAGCCGAATAGCTGCGTCTTTATGCAGTTCTCAGCAAAAACTCGATTTTTTTTAATGATTTTATTTGCCGCACGTATTAGTAGTCTTGGGAGGGACCCACTAAAAGAGGTGCTCGACAATTATTTATTGTAAGAAAATATAAAGAAAAAAAAAATTGGTACGATAGTAAGAAAGTAGAAAAATATAAAAGGAAAGAAGAGCAGCTATTGCGGGAAAAGACCTCTCAAGATGAAAGGTCATTTTTAGCAGCTATACGCTTAATTTGATAGCGAGTGCTGTGAAGAACAGAGAGATAATGGAGTGGCTGGTTCTGCATGGTATGGGTCCAATGGGCCTTCCAGATTTCAGAGAGACCGATCAAGGTTACCATGGCTACTGAAAGAGGACAGTTAGTTTGAAACCAAATCCGAGAAAAATTGAAAGATGCAAGTGCATAAGAGACTAGATCCAGAGAGGTGCCTGGCCACAAAAATTCCCTGATCAAGGCATCCCAGAATGGAAATTTTTGGGGCAGCGAAAGAAGAAATGGTACACAGTCTCCTGATCACCACACAAAATGCAGGCAGCAGTAGGGAAGCGAGTGGGAATCTTGTGATAGGTATACACCAAAAGTACTTCCAAGCAGCAGAAGAAACTTCTTGCCGAGCAATGATATCAGACGAGGCAGCTTGTGAGATGACCTTACGGAAAGTATAGCCACCATTTTTGAGGGCAATGAAATTTTCATTGTCTAAAGGCAGTTTCAACATACGCACAAAAGAAAAGAAACCAAGAGACCGCTGAATTGCAGGAATATGCACAGAATTGTGTAAGTCTAATGAAGTACGAACAAGGCATTGACCAAAGAATGGTTCCAGTTGACAATGACTTTGATTCACTGCTTGAAGGTATTTTCTAACACTACGACGGATATCCAGGGGAAAGGAAGAAACTGGTATTGGTGCCAAATAGTGACCCTGTGAATGGTACTCATATAGGTAGGAAACCGCTACTGTGCGTAACTTGAGAGGCAATTCAAAGGTGTCAGATGGCAAAGCAATTGAGCGTAATGGGAGTAAAAAGTATTCGATAGGGTTTGGCATATATGAGTACTGTTTCCTAGGAATAGCATCCATTGTCTGGCAGCACATTGTGGCAGCCATCGTTTGCTAACTAATGCGAGGAAAGATTTGCCGGTTGACAAAAGAAGTAATGACAGTTCGAATGGTATTAAGGATTGCTTGAGTGGTAGGGATCACTCGCAAAATATACCAGCATTTAGACAACAAAAGTGAACTGGCAACTGTAGCTCTACCAACAACAGAAATATTGCGTGAGGCATGAATATCCGCCAGTTGAGACAGTGATCGAGTGAGGGACAAAAAAAAGTGAGCTCGCTGGTCCAAGGATTGGATAAGGGGAAAACCTAAGTAGATAATGGGTTCAGCATCTGTACGGCACCATATCTTGAAAATGTCAATGGCTTGTAGAGTAGTCAGCCATTTGTCATCTAGATTGTGGCCAGAGAGAGAGATTGTTCGCACTTTATGGTAGTTAATCTTGGCATTGGATGCTTTACTGTAGGTCTGCAAGTAAAACTGCATTCTGCGAAGGTCATGGATATTATGAAGAAAAACTAAAGTGTCATCAGCATAACTAAGCAATTTGATAGCAGGTAAGGTGATAGCTTGACTAAAACCATTATGCTTGAAGCGATAGCCAGAAAATTGAGTGTCATTCAATACCGACTGGAGAAGTGGCTCTAAGGCAAAATTGTATAAAATACAAGAGAGTGGGTCACCTTGTTTGAGGCCTCGGCGCTTTGGAACCAACTGCTTAGAGAGCCAACCATTGATGTTGATACAAATGAAATTATCTCTGAACAAGGTAGTAGTGCTGGCAACCAGGGTCTTTGGAAAACCAAAGTGTAACAACACTTGCTTGAGATAGTCAAGGTTGACACAATCATAGGCTTTTTCTTGGTCTAAAGGAATGCCAAGATCTTTGTCTGGTCAGCGGTAGTTTGTTGCTGCATTTTCCATGATCATTTGGGTGAGCAAGCCATGTTCAGCAATATATCTACCAGGCATAAAGTCTAGCTGATGTCTGTTGATAAGTGTAGCAGCTACTGTCATAATCCTGTGGTTGCTTATCCGAGTGAAGACCTTGTTATCTGCATTCACCAACTGAATAGGACGATAGTTCTCTGCCCGTGTTAAATCACCTTTCTTAGGCAAAAGAGTCATAAGTGATAGCAGCCATGATTTCGGGAATAAAGAATGAGCTAAGGCATCATTGTATACTTGTAGAACCAGCTGCCTTAAACAAGGAACACGAAGTAAAATACCTAGAATTTCGTATGGCAAACCATCGCTACCAGGACTACTCTGACGAGATGAGCGTCTACTTGCTTTCGATATTTCCAGCCAAGTGATAGGACTTTCAAGGGTAGATGCTTGCTCTTTAGTAAGTCGTTGGCTGTTGGTACGTTGTAAAAGCGTATTGACATCAGAGGATTGGATCTTGTCAGGACGATATAGCGCCTTATAGAAGGCAACCATCACCTTTGTTTTCCCTTCTGTATTAGTAACCAATCGTCTAGAATTGGGATCAAAGAGCTTTGGTATTGTTCGCTGTGCAGACCTATCTTGTGCAAGTTTTTTGAGAAGACCAGGAGATCGTTCACCTTTTTCTCGCCAAAATTTGCCTGCTTTGAGATGTTCTATTTCGGCAGATTCATCCTGCAAAATAGTAATCATTTTTACAACTTTTGGTAAAAGAGATGATAAAATAGATATATTTTTATGATCTCGTAAGATTATGTTGCGTTTGGATTGAAGCTTTTTCAGAGATTTGGATCGCCAGTTGTTACGCATGATCTGGAAGGATCGAGTAAAAACTTTGACTTGTTCTTTCAATTCATCCCAAATAGTTTGAACTGAAGGGCAATCAGGATCCAAACGGTTGATGTTATCCATGTATTGCTCAATATGTATTGTCAAACCTTTTCTATATGCAGATAGTCGAGCAAGATTAGGATTACCTTTCCAAGGACCAGGTCCAGCTGGAGTGTGTACCAGTTGATAGTTGATAGAAAGCAAGGCATGGTCAGTCCAACTGTAGTTGACGAAACTTTGAGTCATAGAAATTACGTTGTCAGCATGAGGTAGAGTGCAAAATATATAGTCAATATGTGTGCGACTACCAGTGGTACTAACAAATGTAGGAAGAGGATCACTTTGAAAGCAATCTTGGAATGAAGTAAGAAGTAGATCATTCCAGCACGTATCAATGTTGGATTTTCGGTAAATGTCATAGTTGAAATCGCCAGCAATAATTATAGGCAAAGACGTTGACTGTAAATGTGACATTAATGGTTGATTGGAAGATAACGTGCGAAAGAATGTGGATCGACTACTACGATAAGCAGGAGCATAAATATTGAGGATATACATAAAAGGAATGGAGGGTTCAGAGGCATGAACAATGGACGCTAAGAGAAAGTGGCCATCGGTAGAATTGATGGTGGGATGTGCTGTAATTTTGTAGTGAGATTTAAAGGAAACAATGCCACAGTGTTCTGTCCAAAGACTAGATTTAGTCTGGAACTTGAGGTTGAACTGTTTCTGTATATTAAGTGTAGATGCGCGTGTTTCTTGTAAGCATAGAATGTCATATTTAGTTGAGCGTAGAAAGCGGATGAATAAGGACTGTTTGTAAGGATCTGAAGTTTTCGTAAGGCCACGACAATTAAGGGTGGCAATTTGCATAGAGTCTTTAGGCATAGATTATCTTATTGAAATTCAGGAGAGGTACCAGTTGATCCACCTGTATTATGATTAGGCACCACTCCATGTCTCTCACCGTCATGATTAAGTTTGATCTTTTTACGCTCCTGGATAAACTTTCTAAGTCCAAAGCCTCTTGGGTTGGATTATTGCTTGGAATATTTTGAAGATATTCATCATCATCCTCTCCATCGGAGTCAATGATTTCTACTTCACTATCTCCTTGCTCTTTCATTTCATGATCCATCAATTCATGCTCGACTACTGTAGTACCGTTTGAAAGTGTTTGAATAGTCTCGGTTGCTATTTGACTAAGAGGAACGGTAGTCAATGCAGCAAGAGAGACACTTTGCTTAGGCTTCACACTTTGTGCCAGTTGCTCATTGGGCAGGTTGGAGCCTGATCTACTAGCCTTGTCTTTTGTGATCCCAATACGCTCATTAGGAGGGTGGCCTGATCCATGATTACAACGAAGACAATCACGGCTGATATGACCACGCTCATTGCAATTATAACAACGACGAGTATTAATGAGTCCCATGCAATCTGCTCGACAATGGTCGGATTTTTGACAAAAACGACAAAATTGGGGCATTTCATCCCACATAAGCAGAAGCTCACGATCAAATTCGGGCCAATCCACTACTTGACCAAGTTGCTTAGGCTCAGTCTTGTGAGGTTGTTCAGGTCAAGAACGACGTAGCCCTGGCCGAAAAATACAGCACCGTCCATATGAAACCAAGATCCAAGACTTCACCAAAGTGAGAAAACCGTTTGGTCATTTGCTCACGGAGAGTTAAAGGATGAATCAAAGGGAGTCGTTCAACCTTAACTCGAGCAATTTTCGCATTCTGGGGCAAGCTGCGGTAACCTTTGATAATATTATTATCTTCCATCTGTAAATCGGTATTGATCAACTTATTGTATACTTCTGAGTTGGTGTCCCAACAAGTTTCAATAAAACGTCTCTGCAAATACTTGCGCTCAACAAGTAAAGTGCCAAAGAAATAATACTCTTCATAGGTATTGAGTGACCCAAGAAACTGCTTAAGGCCATTCGCATCACGAATGTTGGTGATATCGATCAATACACTGTCTTTCTCTAAACCGACAATATAAGGCGTAATAATGCCTGAAGAAAGAGTGTTGGTACTAGCATACTTTGACTGGGAAGAACCAGAAGTGCGTGCAGATGAAGCAGTAGCAGCCAATGATGACGACTGGTTAGCAGACACAATAGTTCTAGCCGCTACTTGCGACCAATTCTGGGTGAATTATCGTTGTTACGGCGCCCTTTAGAGGATGTCATGTTGTGGGTTGGCTTGTTAGGCGAAAGAACCATGTTCGAGAATTTTTGGAGTAACCCAATGTAGGTCTGATCCAACCAAATCAAATAAGGCAATGTCTGGGTACTCCTAAGAAAAAGAAAGCCAGTTTACCAAGATAAAAAAGGCGAGTTCATTTGAGCATTGCCTTCAAATCTGTATTCAAAGTTCGTTGTACACTGTAATTAGTACAAAAGAGACCCTTTTCAGTAGGTATTGACTAGCAATTAGGTAGTTTTCTATACATTATCTGATTTGCAGAGTATTTTTAAGTAAAATCTACCATTATACATAATACTTCGAACCTAAAGAGAGTAGCTTTGGACATGATCAGTAATAAATGTCAAACAAAAGGAGGATCGGCTGTTTCAAACGCCGATTATCTTCTTACCTTGCGTGTTAAATGTACTCCCTACTTTGACGAGTATTTTATTTCACTTAAGAGTGCCTATGTCAAGAACTGAAGATAAATAAGCGCAAGATCTAATCAACTACAAGTAGTGAGTGTGGAACAAAACAGTCTACGATTGCACATAGTGCAGATGCCATTGTAACCTCTATCTCAGTAGATACCTAAGGTTATTGATACACCAGCAGTACAGCTTGCAAAACAACCTTCAGTAGAGCAAACCTTTGCATGCCTATCATAGATCTACCATGAAACATACACTTATATGTTTTTTTATCTGAAGATGAGGCCATGTTCTTTATTTTTGTAAGATGGTTTTTATGCATTGAGTATCTTAATCTTGAATTGAATTAATTGCTTGTTCATAAAAGACTCAATCTTGAGGTCATCTTCTTTATCTAAGCCATGCAATATTTCATACTTTTTATCTAAAGCAGCCAATCCATCCACTAATCCCTGACTACACACAAACGCATCCAACTGAATTTCTTTGATGTGATTTAATGCACCAATAAATTCAGCCAGGGCTTCTTCTGCATCATCTTTTACGTTTTCCTCTGTCAATCTTCTCCTTAAGCTCATTTCAGGTGATTCCCTTTTACTGTCCCATTGATGCATGTCCAGATACAATAGTGTGTTTGCACAAGGTAGCATACATTCACGCCAAACGCGCGAAGTAAATGAACTCACATAACCCAAAGAAAGTGATGTCAAGTTGGATAAAGAGGCAAAGACGTGGTATTTCTGAACCAGGGTATTTTCAACTTGAAGCCAATAGGCAATCGTATTCTGTTCTTCTTGATGGTTTACTTGAGGTTCAAACAAGACTTCTTCATAATCATATACACCCCATAAAGAGAGTGTCTTGAGTGTGGATGGTAGTTGCTCCTTCTTGTCACCTTGACTATCACTAAGAAATGTCGATCGACTTAGACCTAGATTGCAATGCTCTGCAAAGTCAATCTGTAGATATTCTAGTTGGTGTAGTTGAGAAAACATGGTGAGTCTAAGATTGGGTCTTTGTCCTATGTAAGTATGTTGACAACAGAGTTTTTTGATATGACGCAGCCATGATATTAAGCAGTCAATGTCTGCCAAAGACATGTTGATGAGGTAAAGCTCTCTTAATGCTCGAAAGGGGGATAGTTTGATATCAATAATGGGATATTGAATGTCTTTGTTATGGTCTGTGATGGTCAATGAACGTATATAGTGCATTTGGTCAAATCTTCTTCGAGGTAAGTGCAATATGTTGACTTGTCGATACATAGTCTTCCAAGAGATAGCTGTCTTTCTCCACTAATAAAAGGAGGGATTTTTAATGGAGTGTAAAGGGTGTTTATGTGTGTTACCATAAAGGGTTGAGTGCCTATGGATCGCCAAGTATGACACACACTCAGTAAAGCACAATATGTCTCGAAGTCCTGACAGTGCTGAAAGATAGAAATCAAACAGTCAGTAGGTAATCGATTGATGGGTACATCGTATTCATCTTTGAAGGATTGTCGTTTGGGCGTGTTTGATTTCTTTGAACCTAATCTTTCTAAGGATCGTTTTTTGATTTCTTTTGTTTTGGGTTTTTGAGACTCTTGTTTCTTTGGTTTTCTTATACGTGAGGAAAGCACCAACTAAAAAGAAAGAAGGATGAGATCGAGATGGATGTGTGTCTGTGTGATGAGCATACCCCAAATGGTTGCAATTGTTGTATTTTCTTTAACGCGTCATTATCTAGCTTTGGTGGAGGTGTAATTTGATTTTGGTTGGTATTCTTGGACTGAAGAGGTTTTCTAGACAACGACATGGGATGTCAACATGGACCATATAAACCATGAACAAAACTTTTTTTTTTCTTTTGTTAAGCAGCCCTTTAACGGAGATTAAAAACGCGCTTTCAACACCAAGTGACGTTTTTCAAACTGTGCGCGTTTTTTTCTTTTCTTTTCTTTTTGTTTCTTTGTTCAATGGAGATAAACGAGCAAACATACGCTACACTACAGCAATACTTATTGCAGACATTAAACCCTGCAACACAAAAAGAAGGTATGTCTCGAGAATCAAACGTGGACTAACAACGCGTAGCCTCTTTAAATTTGGCTCAAGTAGAGACCCAACAAGGCTTTCCTTTACTTTTGCTTAAAGTGATTAGTGATGAATCCGCTGATGCCACTATTCGTATGGCTGGTGCTGTCTATTTCAAGAATTTTGTGAAGCGCCATTGGGTGATGGTAAGCCAGTAGGATACGTGTATATCATTTGTGTATTAACCAACCACAGGAAAATGAAAATGAAGCAGATAAGATTGCTCTACCAGACCGTATTGAGATCAAACGACAAATTGTGCAGCTCATGATCACTGTGCCCGATAAACTTCAGTTACAAATCAGTGACGCGCTTAGTCTGATTGCTGCTTCTGATTTCCCTGAAAAGTGGGATACTTTATTACCTGTAAGCAGACACACTTGATAATTAGGTGTATTGATATCTTTGCTGATAGGAATTGATCAGTAAATTGAGTCCTACTGATTATCGAGTAAACAATGGTATTCTTGGTACAGCACACTCTATCTTCAAAAGGTAAATAGTCTTATAAAGAACGAAAACTTATGTTGTTATAGATGGAGATCAGCCTTCAGAAGTGATGATTTGTTTCTTAATATCAAATATGTCTTGGATTTATTCTGTGAACCTTATATGCAACTCTTTCAAGTAAGGAATTCTACTGAGTTCTCCTTTATTGACCTCTGTTTTGATTCGATAGATTACAGATAAACTGATTGAAGAAAACAACACTAATTTACAAGCACTGCAGATTTTAGCTCGCTCATTGGTACTTTTGATCAAGATTTACTATGACTTGAACTGTCAAGATCTTCCTGAATTCTTTGAAGACAATTTGAATACATTTATGGGCTTATTCGAGAAATATCTTGTCTATCAAAACCCATTATTAGTAACTGATGATGAAGAAGAAGAAGGACCATTGGAACAAATCAAGACGGGTATTTGTTATATTCTTGAATTATACGCTTCTCGTTACGAAGAAGTATTCCCTCAACTAAATGGCTTTGTGCCTATTGTGATTAATTTGCTTACAAACACTAATGGTGATCCTAAATATGATGCTGTATGTATATGTGTATATACTTACTCAAATAATCCATACTGACATATAGCATAGATGGTATGCAAGGCTTTTTCTGTATTGACTGCCATTGTCAAGATTGAACGCCATGCTCAATACTTTGCAGATCAAAATACACTTGGTACAATGTGTGAGCGTATTGCACTCCCCAATGTAGCCATTCGTACCTCAGATGAAGAACTATTTGAAGACAATCCTATTGAATACATCCGCCGAGATTTAGAAGGATCCGACACAGACACACGCCGTCGTTCAGCAGCCGATTTCATTCGTGGTTTGATGGAGCGCTTTGAGACTCAGGTTACCAAGATCATGTCTGACTATGTCTTTCGTTACTTGCAAAACTACAGTATTAATCCTAAAGCCAACTGGAAAGATAAAAACACGGCTATTTTCTTATTGGTTGCTATTGCTACGCGTTCTGCTACAAGTCAACAAGGTGTCACCAAGACCAATGATTTAGTGGACGTGGTCGATTTCTTTTCAAAGCATGTCTTGTGTGATTTGCAGTCTGAAGTGATGACTGATATGCCTATTCTTAAGGTAGATGCTATCAAGTATGTCTATACATTTAGGAATCAGTTGACAAAAGATCAACTGTTGACTGTATTTCCTTTGCTTGTGAAGCATCTTGAATCCACTGATTATGTGGTTCATACTTATGCTGCTATTGCTATTGAACGTATCTTGTTTATGCGTCAAGGCAAGACAATGATGTAAGTTGCAAATAGGACGATATGAATAATGGATTAGCTGACACTCTAAAATCAGGTTTACTTCAGAAGACATTAAACCTTACTCAGAGACACTTTTGTCTCAACTGTTTAGATTGATAGAACAAGGACAAACACCTGAAAAACTCTCTGAAAATGACTATTTAATGCGAGCTGTAATGCGTGTCATCATCACTAGTCGTCAAGACATGGTCCCTTATGTGAATGTGATCATGGGCAAATTAACCAACATTCTTGCCATTGTCAGCAAAAACCCTAGTAATCCTAAATTCAATCACTATGTGTTTGAGAGCATTGGTGCCTTGATTCGATTCATTTGCCCCATCTCTGAAGCTGCCTTGTCTGAATTTGAAAACATGTGCTTTGGTCCATTCCAGACGATTTTGGCTCAAGATGTTCAGGAATTCAGTCCTTATGTGTTCCAGTTATTGGCTCAATTGCTTGAACACCACAAGGGTACCGAATTAACAGAAGCCTACACCGCTCTTTTGGTGCCTATCTTGAATCCTGCTTTATGGGAACAAGGTAACATTCCTGCTCTTGTACGCTTGATTCAGGCTTATTTGAACAAGGGAATTCAATCCATCTTGGCCAGTAATCAACTTGAACCTATTCTTGGTATTTTCCAGCAAAAGCTTGTTTATTCACGTCAATTTGATCATTATGGTATTCTGTTGTTGGAGACATTGACAAAGCGTGTGCCTATGTAAGTACATTGTATATAGACAAGGCTAACTTTGATAAGTCACTTATTTGGCAATTACCTTCCTGCTTTACTTTCTGCGGTATTGAAGCGTCTTCAGAGTAAAAAGAAAGGAGATCAAATTAGCTTTGATAGATTTACACGTAACTTTACACTCTGGATGAATTATTGCTTCTTGCTTGAATCCATGAATGGACCCGACACAATCATTCGTGTGTATGAATCATTACAGCCTGGGTAAGTGAATCAACAATATAGCAGGAGTTATTCTTATGATGTATGTGTATAGTCTTTTTGGTCAAATTATGTCCTTGTTTATTCTCCCAGACTTGGTCAAGTTAAGCAAACCTATCGACCGTAAAATCAGCGGTGTGGGTATGACCCGCCTTTTGACCAAATCAGACATCATGTTGAATGAACCTTACTTGAGTCAACTCTGGTCCAAGTCCTTGTTGGCTCTGTTGGCCTTGTTAGAATTACCTGGTTCACTTGAGACAGATGGGCCTGATGAATTGTATACCTTGGATATTGAAGAAGGAGGATATCAAACTACATTTGCCAAATTAGCTACAAGTAACCCTGTTCAAGAAGACCCTACTGCAGGCTTACCTTCTTCTCAAGTCTATCTTGCTCAACAAATCATGGCCATGGCTCCAGAAAAACGTCAATTGATCAAGCCATTCATTACTCAATTACCAGAAGCAGTTCAATTCCTGCCTGGTTATTTCTCTAGTGCCAATATCTCTTTGGATCAATTGTAATAAACAAAAAAAAAAAAAAAAAAAAAAAAAAAAAAAGTGAGTTCTATAGAATATAAGGCTCAACCTAAGGTTTATTATTATTGTTATTGTTATTTACTAAAATCCTAAATTGTGTTGAGGTGAATATGTTGAACTTGATTTTTGAATAGGTTCCAAAGGAGCTGTTGTCACATAAGAAGGTGTATATTTTCGAACGATTTTCCTTAAAGCATGAGGCAATGTTCTCCAGGCAAACACCTTGACGTCTTTTTCAATATTGCGAGGTTTTGGATGAGGAAAGGACATGATCAGTTTGAAAAAGTCAGCGCAGTCTACTTTACATTTCGACACCGTCAAGGGTCGAAAACCTTCCAAGTTTCTTCGAATCCGGTTCTTTTCTTCTACTGTAAAATGAATACCAATCATACTCTCTAATAAATAGATGCAATCCACAGAAGTGATATAATAATCATTACGTTCACGCCAATAAATACAAGAAATCACAATAGGTGTGTCTGATCGATGATTGGTGTTCATGCTGGACACGCCTGGTGGTGAATGGGCGATGGCAGCAGCAGCAGCAGCAGCAGCAGCAGCAGCGGCAGCGACGGCAGCGACATTATCTCTCATTCGCTGCTGATGATAGACGTGTTGATCCATCGGTTCAAATCCACACTCGACCAGTGTTAAATTACCTTCTGCATCGACGGTTGTCTCTCGCCAGAAATGAACAAGACGACGACCGAGTTGCCATTCAGACATGGACCAATTGACCATCATATCAGCTAGATCACCATTGAGTTTTAAATGCGCCTTGTTTAATGCAGTACAATTACTGGAGGCAGTTGGCGTGGTTGATGTAGTAGTGGTAGTAGGAGCAGAGGCTCGTCGAGGAATATCAGGCGCCTCTGCTAAACTACATGGTCTTTGCCTTTGTTGAGTCATGGTGTTTTGAAGATAGAATTGACGCATGTCATTGGGATGAAACATTATGTTGTGTTGTGTTGAAAACGATCTATGACGTTGACGCTGTTGCATTTCCAAAAAAGCACGGTACATACCTTCTTTTTGAAGCATTGTGGTAGGAGGAGGAGGAGGCATAGAAAACATACCATACATACCAACACAAGGTTGTTGTTGTTGTTGTTGTTGTTGTCGTGGTGGTGTATTTCTATTGAACACATCTTGCGGAAGTAACATAGTGTGGGACATGGGCGTAGGATAAGAGCCAGCCAGTGGTACTGAAGTCGTATAGTTTGGTTGAGTACTTGTACTGTGAAGACTAGAAGGAGACGCCCAATGAACTGTGCTTGCCTCACTAGGAGGAGAGATCCAATTGGTCTGAATAGGGCCATTGACAGTCAAGAGAGGATCATAGGGAGCCAAAAGTTTCAATAATTGTGCATCCATATCTTCTTGGTCTAATTTTACATGAGTTTCAATCAACCAATGATTTGAATGAACTTGCCTGAGCTTTTAACATCAAATGTAGTCTTTTTCTTGGTGCATTCATCTGGTTCGCAAGACAAGGCTCGTTTACGATTTGCCCATTTCATGTCTATACAGAAAAGAAAAGAGACAAAGGAAAAAATAAGCTTTCCAAACAAACAAATAAAACAATGTGGAGAAATCGGTTTAAATCAAAACAAACCTTCGCAATAAGTAAATGTGCCTATATTCAGTGTCTCCGTAGCTAAGTCAGGATCATGAGCGTCAAATAAACAAACTGAGATGGGCACTCGATCTGAATCTGAATGAGTTTCTTTGAGAGGAGGTACGGTGGCTATTAGAGTGATCCAGACACTCGCATCGTTATTATGGGAGACCCTTTGTTGTTGTTGTGAGGTTTCAATGGTCAATGAGCCAAACACAATTCGCATAGGTACCACTGCTTCTTGATGACATTCTAAGATGATAGACATAATAAATGAGGCTTGACCTTGTTGAGGACTCCATTGCACTAATGTTGGTAGTTTTTTGTGAAGCGTAGGTGATAGCGAATGATTCTTTTTATCTTGTTCATGAAAAGAAGTATTAAATAATTCATCTTCTTCTACGTGTGTACTTTCTGTGCCATTACTTTCTACATCTTTTAAAAGCATGTCATAATCTAATTAAGATTAATATATAATTTTTTTTTTTTGTGATGCATTGTACCAAATAATGAGTCTGACAGATCAACGCCTACGCTGATTGTCTTTTTATCTTCAATTACTGCATTCACAGGTATGATGTCTGTGTCTACAATTGTCATTGTATAAAAGAAAACAAAAAGGAATAGGAAAAGAGAAAAAGTATATATAAAAAAAATAGGAATAAACTCTCGCTTAATAAATAAAAAAAACAGTCTATAAGCGACTTAACAAATAAATCTTTCCCTCTTCTCATTGTCCATCTTTTTTTTCGCTAGGACATAAAAAAAAAAAGGATGGCTTGATCATTCGACAAGATACTTTTTTTTTATCGATATGACATAATATGGCTTCCATTTGCATATATACAACAAATAAACACAACTATTTCTTTGATTGCATACAAGTAATAGAATTGCAGTTCTAAACACTTTGCTTTGTGTACCATATGTATTGTGCACAGATACTCAAAGTTTATACCATGTAGTACACAACTGAAAAAAAAAATCTCCATTGTAAGTGTCAGTAAAAGACCCATGCTTTTGCTCTTCTTTCCTTTCTATCACTCCAGCTTATATACATTAATAAAAGACCAACGTATTGCTCAAGTATCTTGTCTGAAATAAAAAAAAAAGAAGTCTTCTTGTTTACTTTATTTATAGGTTTGCTTATTATTAAATGTCAGTACTTTCAAATCACAAGGAAGTACTGTAAACAAAAAACGGTGTTCTTCGATTTTTTTAGTGTAGTATGGAGCTTAACAAAATGATTTTTTGTATTTTTTTTTTAGAAAAAAAAAGAGTTTTTTAAGCGAGGGATCTTGATGAGAGATTAAATCTCTGAAACAAATAAAAAAAAATTGCTGCATTTATCATTGTAACTACAGCAACAACAAAATATTGTTTTTAAAAAACAAGCTGCAGTCTATCACCAACATTGACGGCCTTTTAAAATCCCAAACACATTTTCCAAGTGGTGTGATTCTGGAACAAACTGACCCCAGAGGGTATATAGATCAATGTGTGTATGTGTCTTATAACCTATCCGGGTTTACATATTTAGTGACCTATTTCTATTTGGAAGTAATCGACATATATAATTAGTAAGACTTTTTTCTGTTTACATGTGTAAAAAAGCAAAAAATAGGTTTGAAATCTCGAACATAAGAATCAACTTTATCTGTCTGTGATAAACTTTAAAACACTCGAATCGATGTCTATCATGTCTCTTTGTTTGTTTGTTTGTTTGCTTTATCTTTTTCTTTCTATTGCATAGTTAACTTGACAATGTGTATCGCGAACGATCTTCCTTACAACTTGAGAGCTTTATTTTCATTTCAGTAAATGCAGCCCACCTTCAGGTACAAATTAAGTAAAACTCCGAGATTTAATTCGTAAGCTTAGTCATGGTATGACGGATAGCAGGGGCAGGACACAATTTTTTTTTTTTTTATTCTTGAGAAACGCATATGTTTATAGAATGAATGCATGAAATGTAGTTTATTGTCATAAAATACTTTTTATATGTAGAAAGAGAAAAACTTAAAGTGAGAAAGAGAGAAAGAGATAGAAAAGATTTTTTTACGTGCATTTTCTTGTAGAAAGCAAAACACAAGGAATGTATGCATAGTGGCATGGATGAGAGAGAAAGAGAGAGAGAGAGAGAGAGAGAGAAAGAGAGAGAAAGAGAGAGGATAAATTATAGTCGTGTCAGCTTGTGTGTTGCATTAAAATTCATATGATTTAGTCAAGAGGATTTTTTTTTGTCTTGGCTATCACTTTGATGGCTTGGTATTGACTTTAATGCATCGGCTTTGATAATACTTTCTGTTGTGTTACTGCCGGCAGTAATCATCCCGTTGTTAGTATTATGTGTAGTGGTCGTTGAATCTATACCAACGGATATTGAATCGCGGTGTTGGTAAGGGAGAGGATATTTGCTTCCAAAGGATAGCCAAGAAGGTGAGTTAGTATTGGTGTTGATATGGTTGGAAGTGACAAGTGAAGGTGACGATATTAAATGAGGTTGGTGGTCAATGTCATGTTCACTTTTAATTTGTACAATGTCATCATGATTAGAGTTCTCTTCATAATAAAAGCTTGCGTTGGATTCATTTTGTCTGGTATCAAGACGGTGATTGGATGGCGGCGTGTTCACCGGGAAGGACTTGGGGTTATAGACTGAAGAAGCCAAGATACGATGAGGAGGAGGCGAGTTCTGATAGTTGTTTAAATGTAGATAATTTCTATTAAACGAGTTGGGTATAGTTGCACAGGCTGTACTCATGTAACCACCTGTTTGTTGGTGGTTTGTGCTCTGTTTCACCGAGTGTTCTGTAAAACCTAGGGCCTCTTCCAACTGCTGAATGCGTATTTTTTGTTCATCAATTTGAAGTAAAGCAGAGTTTAATTGCTCTTCGTATTCTCTACAGTCTTCTTGGTGTTTCCGTTTCATGTGATAGACTTGTAAGCGGAGTTCTTGTTCTGTTTGCATGAAAGGTTCTGATCTTAGTTGTACGTCTAGAACCATATCTTGATTGCTCTCGGTTTTGTCCGAAACAGCAGAGTTAGTAAGGCCAGCTAAATCCACATTATTATCATGCAACAGTGTTGGTGTAGTAAAACCCGTATCAAGCGACATGTGTTGCATTAGATTAGGCGAAGAGAGAGTCGATGTATTGACCATCGAAACCGACTCAGAAGGCAACCCGCCTCCTGTTAGTTGTAATTGTGATGTATTATAGTCAGCAGGGAGCATCGATGTGGCAGAAGAAGCCGAAGAGGAACGACGGTTGTCATCATGCACGACCAAGATCATGTTTTCTTGATCCATTTCTTCAGATTCATCATCATCGCCCGAGCCCACGTTGAGAATTGTTTCAGGGTCTTCTTCGGTAGCGATCTTGGCTTTTGATTTTCTTGAATATCGTGTTGCTTTTCTACGAATCAAATGAAACAAATCGCGGCGATTAGGCTTGAAGCAAGGGTGATGCCATCGACAGGATTCCTTGTCTTTGGTATCTTTGGATTTCCTTGCATCCGTATCTCTTTGAAAACCATAAATCTAAAAAAGGTACATCAGTGCCACGTAAAAAAAAACAAAAAAAAATTTACATTGAGTTGGCGTACGAACGAAGCGAATTTGCAATGTTTAAAGAGACGAGGTAGTACTATTTCAGTAAATTCTAATAAACATAAAGTAATAAATTAAAGACTGTATTACTCGTTTGTAAGCCCTTACCTGGTATACAGTCGATAACAAACATGTCTTTACCATCATGTTGACACCACCTTGCGTAGTTTTGATTATTTTCAGGCGATTGAAGACATCTATTTTGTAATAAGAGGAAGGGGGGTGAGTTTATGTCTCTCACATGTATGTATAAAAAAAGGGGGGGCAAAGGATAGGGGAGAGAGGGAGTCTAGGAGTAAGGTATGTTAACTTACTGATAAAGTTTTGACACAAAACCGGCAATACCACGTTCTGAAGGAGTAGACTGATGTTGTCGCCGACTAGAACCAGCATAATCATTCACATTTAGCATAGGATGGTTCCATGGTCCTTGAAAATTTTGAGATACAGGAACAACAGGAGGAACAGGATGAGTACTCATCATCATCATTGAATTGTTTCCTTCTTCACTGAGGATAGGTGGAGAATGAATTGCATTGCTATCAAACATGATAGAAGGGGATCTTTCATTAAACATGTATTGATTTACTACTGTATTAAATGAAGGCGAAGAACGGTCGTTTTGTCTCGCCATCATGTTGTTCATATCAGGTGGGTATTGGTGATAATCCATTATACTTTCTCGACTTGGGGTAAAGAAAGAAAAAAGAAGAGAAAAAGGAAAAAAAAAAGTTATTTAATGTTTGGTTTGTAGACGGAAAATTAGTACAAGCTATTGCGTTGGTGACTTGCATTTATACTGTTTTCCCACTCGTTTTATGAATATCGCTCTGATAGTTTTGTTATAGTTCTCATGATAGGTAACACTTTGTAAAAAGAAAAAAAAAAAAAGCTTAAATGTCGGAGAAGATGGAATGAGTTTCATGATATTGACCTGAGCGTAAAATTACACAGGATTTTAGCCTAAAATGAGACGGTTGCAAAAAGTTTTAGAGACGGTTACAGAAAAATTAAGAGACCATTGCAGACTTCCAAATTAGACACAATGGAATTATTGTGAACTTTCTCAAAATTAACTTTGTAAAAGTCTCTAGAAAAATGCCTAAAGTTACAGTGTCTCGATCTCTCATTTCTCGTAAACCCAAAGACGGAATCCGTTTTGATCTTGGCCAAATTTTTGCTTTTGCATTAGTCCAATCTTCCTAGTTATGACTTCCAAAACTCGTTTCTGTTGATTAACAAAATTCGCTTCAGGCTATAGTCTGTCTAGAAAAGATTACCGTTTTATAGGGGGGAAATCCAGGATAGAAGCCAGGATAGATCTTCCATTTCTTTATTACGCGCTTATTTTCTTACTTTTACATAATATCTCTATCTTTATGACAACTATAACCAGGAATCAAGCAATTTGTATGTCCTATGGCGAGAAACACACGGCAGAAAACGTTGCTCGTCTTTCCAAGAGACCTGATGAAGCCCAAAGTCGACATTGGCTACGTAAATGACCCTACTGAGCCTTTCTTGATTTGGAAAATAAAAAGCAACCAGAAACCTTTAAGATATCGTGCATATGCCAATGAAGCTCCAGCATTTATAACATCAAACGAAGTATCTACTGACCGGACATTGCTCGGTAAGCGCAAGAATGAAGAAAATGCAGTGATGTTAAAGTTTTTTTTTAAGCAACCCCCGTACAAATTGCTCAGTTTCTCAACATGATATATCTTCCCTTTGATCTTAATAGTCAAGACATTCATGAATATCAACAAATATCACAAAAAAAAAATCCTGGCTACTGTGTAGGAATATACGACTCTCTTTGACAAGAAGACTATCCTTTCATTTAATAAGTGATGCTCACACAAGAAACTAGATTTTTTGAAAGTAGCCTCTAAAAGGAAACAGACAAATGACGGCGAGAGATCAACTTTAAGAAGTTTATTTGTGTCGAAGAAGCAGTTTCTTGGTGAGGGCAATTAAGAATAACTTGTTGGTTGACACTAACTGTGAATTTGTAGATTCTACCTTTAAGAAAATTATAGAACATTTACCAGCATATCATAAACTCTTACAGAATTTGAAGGATGAGAGCTATATCTTGATTGGCTATGTCCGAAAATCCCCAAATGAAAAGATGAAGCCAATCGCATTTCGCTTTTAGAAGCAATGTGCAACAAGCTTAAAGAACGATCTACAGTAGGTTACATTTTCTTGTCTCTCTGTTGTAAAGCAAATGATTCGCTGAACGAAAGAGACAAAAAAAAAGAAAATTTATTGTAACAAGCAAGATTTTGGTTTCCTTTTAATATCCAAGGAAGTAGCATACAAATAGCACTTAGAATCAGTTATCATTGTAAGAACTACCAAGTTTGGCTCAGTAGGGTCATTTACGTAGCCAATGTCGACTTTGGGCTTCATCAGGTCTCTTGGAAAGACGAGCAACGTTTTCTGCCGTGTGTTTCTCGCCATAGGACATACAAATTGCTTGATTCCTGGTTATAGTTGTCATAAAGATAGAGATATTATGTAAAAGTAAGAAAATAAGCGCGTAATAAAGAAATGGAAGATCTATCCTGGCTTCTATCCTGGATTTCCCCCCTATAAAACGGTAATCTTTTCTAGACAGACTATAGCCTGAAGCGAATTTTGTTAATCAACAGAAACGAGTTTTGGAAGTCATAACTAGGAAGATTGGACTAATGCAAAAGCAAAAATTTGGCCAAGATCAAAACGGATTCCGTCTTTGGGTTTACGAGAAATGAGAGATCGAGACACTGTAACTTTAGGCATTTTTCTAGAGACTTTTACAAAGTTAATTTTGAGAAAGTTCACAATAATTCCATTGTGTCTAATTTGGAAGTCTGCAATGGTCTCTTAATTTTTCTGTAACCGTCTCTAAAACTTTTTGCAACCGTCTCATTTTAGGCTAAAATCCTGTATAGCTACTCTTTCTAGAGCACAGTGTTTTCTTGTCGCCTCAAGAAGAAGAGGAAAGAAAAAGAGAGACAGAAGGCTAATTATTTATAAAACAACGGTCAAATTGCATAACATTGAATTCAGTGTTTTCTGAATATGCAAATACAGTTTTTGGATCTAGTTATGGCAGGATTTATTTTGATCGAAATGCTATAAATCATAACTCTATTGTCTCTTTCTTTATAGTCTTGTCATTCGTTTTTCTGGAAGTGGTAAATTTCCCAAAAGGCAGCTCATAAGTCTAGAGCTAACTTGGCCTCAATAGTAAAAAAAAAAAAAAAAAAAAAAAAAAGTTTCTATCGCGAATACATTTTCACGTTCTGCAAAATAAAATACCCTTTCTTCGTTCTAGCAGACGCATGACGACTTTTAAGTTCAAGCATCATGATTTGTTTACTTTAGTTAGTACAACAGCAGTTTTCACTTTGACTATTGTACCTATACAATATGAAATAGGAGCTTCATACTGACAAAGCCTATTTGTTTCATTAACAAAACAACAGACATACAGTATTAGACATTATGTAAAGTTAAAGCAAAGCCTAAAAAAAGTTTATGACATGGGTAAGATTGCTTTAAAAGTCAAGACCCTCAAAATACAGTATTGAACACAAAATGACATGGACATTGCATCTCCTTGCACACACACACACACATATATATATATATAAATCCATTATATTGATATCGATGATCAGAAAACAATCATAAAAAAGGGAGGAGGGAGGGGGTGATAAACTCTGATCATACAGGCATTTTAGAAAATAGCTTGAGGATCACCTCCAAATTTACATTCAAATAGTGTGGAACCATGTGCCATCAACAAACGGTGATCAAGAAAATGTGCCACTAAATTTAGGTAGTGACAATGGCCAAAAAGAGCCCAAAAAGTAATTTCTTCCATACAGGAAACCCTTCTTTTGTGGTCTATGCTTTTTGATATGCTTGTACAACTTATGAATTCTTACAAAGCTTAAACGTTAGAAATGTAATTAGAAGCAAACATTCTTGACACGAGTGTACTTTTTTTTTGTTAACCTTATTAAACACTCCTTGGTTATATCGACCATGAATCTGAGAAGTAGTAGCAGTCACACCTGAGCGCCAATGTGAGCGCGTTTCTCGTCTCTCATTTTCTTTCTCTTATATACGCAAATGGTATTTGATACAGAAACAGACAGGCTTTTGTTTACTCACCATATTCCTGTAGTTATTCTACTCTTTCTTTAAGACTCTAGTTGATCAACAAGTGACAGTTGAGCTAAAGAATGATCTCGCCATTACAGGTGTATTAAAATCAGTTGATCAATTTTTAAATATTCGCTTGGATGATATTAAAGTAGTTGATGAAGAAAGATATCCTCATATGGTAAGCAAACAATACAACAAAGAATGATGCTTACACGAATATTAGATTTCAGTTAAAAACTGTTTTATTCGTGGTTCTGTTGTTCGATATGTGCAACTCCCTCCTCAAGCTATTGATACAGCACTTTTACAAGACGCAGCAAGAAGAGAAGCAGCACAACCTTCAACAGCACAACCTGCTAATGTCAAGGTCAAATAAAACAAGAAACAAAACAAAACAAAAAAGTCTAATAATAAACTTTATGATGTCAATGAAAGGCTTATTTGCTTATGTGAAAGATAATTTAAATATGCAGTTAAATCTTTTTTTTCAAACCTTTTTTTTTTTTTTTTTTTTTTTTTTTTTTTTTTTTTTTTACTCTTTTCTCACCATAAAATGCCATTGTTTGGCCTAAAAACAGCTAAAAAAAAGCTCTCTTCAACTCATTTTCCTTCTTCTCTTACCTTAAGAAAGACACAATCCACAGGAGACATTGATGATTCATCTTCTGCAACAGTTAGTTTCCAGAGGAAGGTAGTCATTGTCAATCATAAACATTCTGATGCTGCTGTCGTCAGTATATTACGTACACCACAAAGACCTCCTACGCCTCCATCCTCGCATCATAACATGATACTTGCTCCTGTATTGGAAGGAGAAGACGAGGAACTTGCCTCAAGACTGAGGGAAATCACAGCCTGTGACATGGAGCTCTTATTGTCTTTAGAGACACAGGCACGTATGGATGTTCAGGAAGAAAAAGAGAAAAAGCAACAAAGACCTTCACGTATTCGATTTGAGCTTCCCGTTACTCCACCGAGATCAAGATCACCAGATCCAAATTTCCATCATGCAAGACAAAGGCGTTGGTCTTTGCCTGAAGATGGAACAGCTTCAGGCGACATATCAAAAAGAACATTAACCGATTGACTCGCTGGAGTCGGCTTGTCAAACAACAGCAACAAGAAGAAGCAAAGAATAATCAAATCATTAAACTGAACAGCCTTGACAGTTGTAACAGTAGTTTGGAGGAATTGTCAGACAATAATGCAGATAATGTAGTACAAGCTGATATTTCAACCATCGTTATTGGTTCCAAAGTCAAATTATTTAAACGGCCTTTGCCTTTGATTGGTAAAGTCCAATATATTGGAAAAGTTCACTGGGATACAAGCAGTGAATGGCTAGGTATTGAATTAGATGGCAGAGGTAAGAAATTCAAAAAATATAACAAGAATGTATTGATGAATATTTTTATTCTTCTAGTTGGTAATACAGACGGAAAAGTAGACAATACTCGATATTTTCAAACGAATCCTCATTGTGGCATATTTGTTAAAAAAGAAGATGCTATTAAAGTGCAATAATCCCCCTTTTTTATGCCAACTAAAGGAGTAGTTTAAGGTAAAGGAGTACTGATTAAAATTGGAGTAATTCTTCTCTTTTTGGGCTTTTCAGTCTCTGATGTTGCTAAACTAACAGGTGGTGGTGTCACTTTGCGTTTAGCAGGTTTAGCCCATTCTTCAATATGTCTTGTATGTTGAGGAATATCCATCATTTCAATATCATATTCTTGAACTGTATCTTGTAGTTTATCATGCTTCACTCCTAATTCTTCATGTGAGAAGACAACTGCAGAACAATAGCCGTCTGCAGAGGAGAACATAAGAATAGAGCCATCATGAGACCTAAGCAATAATGAATAACAAGCGCCTTTTTTTTTCTTTTTTTTTTTTTTTTTTTTTTTTTTTTTTTTTTACCATGCAAGGTCAGTAATAGGTGCAAAATGCATCCCTGAAATAGCACAAATAGGACGAGATTGTTGCGTATCATAAATATAAACAGAGTCTTGTGTAGCTGTTGCATAGACCATACGATAAGGTAATGCAAAACAGGATGTAACATTTCGTCTTTTGTTTAAAAGCATAGGGCACCATCGAATAGCTATAGAAGGCTTTGGGTGGTTTCCTATAAACCCAATAGGGTGTCTATATGTCTCTTGATAAGCAACCTATCTTTTCTTCTACGTCTCTTACTTGAGTATTAAATTACGAGGATAAATATAAGCACAATTGAGTAATTCTTGGTCATTTTCTTCTGTGTCTACATTGTTCATAGCTTCAACTGGCTTATTTAAGCCTGCTGGTGTGATCAGTAATGCGCCATCAGGACTAAAAGATAATCTTCTAAAGAAAGACACTAGGTTTTCATCATGATAAAGGCGAAATGACCCGGTTGTTGTCGTTGTTGTTGTCGCTGTCGCCGTTGTTGCTGTTGCTGTTGCTGTTGCTGTTGCTGTTGCTGTTGCTGTTGCTATTGTTGTTGTTGTTGCGTCTTCTGCCACTAGTTTTCCTTTATCAAATCGAGTGAATTTACGTGAACATGCTCCAAACACAAGTTTTCCATTTTGTGCTTTTTTGTATTTGTATATAGCCACTGAACGATCACTGGATTGAGTGGCCACATATTGGCCCAAGGGATCCCAACTGACACCTTGCACATAATGTGTATGATCCGCAAATACATGAATACAAGTCTCTAACAAGTATCAGTCCATTGTTCATCGCCTGTATATAGCATACTCTCTGTTAGACACCACACTCGAGCTGTATTATCAATAGATGCTGTAATCAAATAATTGCCGCAAGGTGACCAAGCCAAATCATATACTTCTTTATTGTGACCACTATACATAAACATGTCAGCTTAAAATACTATTGTAGGTTGACTATCTTACTAGAACATGGAGACAACTGTCCAAGTTTCTTTTTCATAATCATTATATTCACTTGCAAAAGTTGTTTCTTTCATAGGTGATAGTTTCCAAATAATGATACATGTATCTATAGCATGTGAGAAATCACAAAAGAAAAAAGAGGTTGATTTCTTACCATCACCCGCTGAGGCGAGTAAATCACCTTTAGGTGAGAATCGAACAGCATTAATAGGTGAAGAATGTCGCTTAAGTTCTGAGAGAAAATCGATGTTGACAGGTAAAGAATCCACTAATTGTTTGTTTTTTTCATTTTTGGGACTTGAGGAAGAAGGTGTTGTATCTGTTCGTTTCTGAATACTCCAGATCTAACTACTTGTTAGCATAGTTTTTGTGATCAAGGTTGACATACTCGAATAGAGTTATCTGCACCGGCTGTTGCGTATCGTGAACCGTCAGGAGAAAAATCAACTGAATAAATGGCTTGTCCGTCGTGCCAGTTAATTTCTAATGTCTTTGCTAGCATCTATATATATATAAAAAAAGAGGTCAAGTCGAACGCCAACAAGACGCGTTTATTTAAAGAGCAGATACGCGGTTATTCAAATGTTTGTTACTGGTGCCAAACAAACATGTTCTCTATCAGGGTCCGTTTTTTTTTCTTTGCTTTAGGCAACCTTGTTCTTCATTTCTGTTAAATCATTCTGAATGAAGCCAAACCCTGCTTTGATCACTATCTATTTGACATGATGTATAGCAATGCATTATTTTCTGACATAAAGTCCACATTAGCGAATATCATTCTGTCCCCCCCTCCCCCCTTTTTTTTAGAGATAAAGCGCAAACAAGGATTGAACGTGATAGATGTTTTTCAGTTCAAGAAGTTCGTGAGATTCTGAAAATAGGTTCTCATGTCATTCCTTAACTCCGCAAGATCTTCTGGGTCTCTATCCTAGAGGCATTTCTTTTTTATTTTAGATAAGAGTCAATAGAGAGTGAGGACAAATGAATGACAAACAGAGTTATAGCTATGAATAATATACTAAAAAAAAAGAACCTTATATCAAAAGGGTTTGAAAAACAGGTTTTCTGTTGTGTCATTAAAAAAAATGGGGCAATTAAATCAGGAGAATTCAAATGCAACTCCATTGGCTAACTCATTTGAACCTAAAAAAAAACAGAGTGCCTTGTACATAAATATTGACAAAAAAAAAAAACTTCTTTTTTTTTTTTCATCTCATCTTCCAAAAAACTTGTTTTCAATGACTCAACGCGGTAAGTTACGGCAAACTATGGAGTTTAAGTACAAGATAACTTATACGTATAACAATAGAGGTTTATATTGCTGCTGCTGTCCGTACCCCTCTTGGTGGTTTCAACGGTTCCTTGGCTTCTTTGCCTGCCACTAAGCTCGGTTCTATTGCTATTGAAGGTAATAAAACATAAGATCGGATCAACCAGAGAAATTCATACGAGAAAATTCTAGCTGCTGTCAAAAAGATCAACTTACCTGTTGAAGCCGTTGAAGAAGTTTTCTTTGGTTGTGTTTTGTCTGCCAACCTTGGTCAAAACCCTGCTCGTCAAGCTGCTCTCGGTGCTGGTCTTAAGGAAGAAACCATTGCCACTACTGTCAACAAGGTCTGTGCTTCTGGCATGAAAGGTAAATGATTTATTTTAGATGACAAGAGGTTTTTAATCCATGTAAAAGCTGTTATTTTGGGCGCTCAAAGCATCATGCTCGGTAACGCTGAAGTGATTGTTGCTGGTGGTATGGAATCCATGAGCAACACTCCTTACTACTTGCCCAAACAACGTTTCGGTTCTACTTATGGTAACACCGAAGTTGTTGATGGTATTGTCAAGGATGGTCTTACTGATGTCTACAACAACTACTTGATGGGCGTTGCTGCTGAAGAATGTGCTGCTGAATACGACATCAGCCGTGAACAACAAGATGACTATGCCATTGAATCCTATAAGCGTGCTCAAGCTGCTTTTGCTGCTGGTCACTATAAGGAAGAAATTGTGCCTGTCACTGTTTCCGGTGGTCGTGGTAAGCCCGACCGTGTGATTGAACAAGATGACGAAGTTGCCAAGTTGAACGAAGAAAAGCTTCGTGCTGTCCGTCCTGCTTTCCAACCCAAGAACGGTACTGTTACTGCTCCTAACTCCTCTCCTCTTTCTGATGGTGCCTCTGCCCTTGTCCTTGTGTCCAAGGAAGCTGCTGAAAAGTACAACCTTCCTTTGATTGCCAAGATCAAGGGTTGGGGTGAAGCTGCTCAAGCTCCTGCTCGTTTCACTACTTCTCCTGCTCTTGCTATTCCCAAGGCTATTAAGCATGCTGGTTTAACTGCTGAAGAGGTTGCTTTCTATGAAATCAACGAAGCTTTCTCCGTTGTTGCTTGTGCCAACAAGAAGATTTTGAACCTTCCTGCTGACAAGATCAATGTTTGGGGTGGTGCTGTTGCTATGGGCCATCCATTGGGTTGTTCCGGTGCTCGTATCATCACTACTCTTTCTTCCGTCTTGAAGAGTAACAGTGCCAAATATGGCGTTGCTGGTGTCTGCAATGGTGGTGGCGGTGCTTCTGCTATTGTCATTGAACGTTTGTAAAGAAAAGAACAACAATAACAACAGTAATAATAACCATAACAATTTCTTAATACACACCACTAATACACCACCATTTTTTTTTTTTTTTCATATCAATATGTATAATAAAACAAATCACCAAATAAGGTAGTCCTTATATCTCTACTGTGGCTTCGTTATGAGTACAAAGTGTGGTGATTATTTTTGTAAATGTTTGCCTGACATTTAAAAAAGAAAACCTTTGACTATAATTATGCACAATGGGCTTGGCAGAAGCCCTTTTATTTGTTTACTTTTTCGTAGGGTTTATTTTTAACTTACTGAGCAAAATTTTCTTGTTGTTATTTGAACATTTCTTTTTTCTTTTTTCGCTTTTTCTTCTTTTTCGAAACAACAAACGATGTGGGTACAAGAAAGTGATGCGTGGATAACGTATAGTGTTTTATTTGGCTTGATGACGATCCTATTGTTTATAAAAGCAACAAGGAAACAATGGCATATATTCCCATTTATTGTTTATGCAGCATTCATGACATTCGGTCACTTGTATGTTGCCTTGACACCTTATTTTACTCGAGAAGACATTGGTTGGAAAGATCAAGAACCTATTCTAAATCAAATGCCAGCATTTTCTATTTTGGTATTTGGAGGTATCATTGAATTTCAATTCATCTATGCGAGGTTTATTGTTGCCGCCCTCAGAAATTATAGACGATGGGGTAGTTTACATCCAGTAGTGATTGACGAGAAATCAGAAGAAGAAGACACAACAAGTGAAGACTCGCATGAAAAACTTAGGGAGACAGCGATTACTTCAGAATCCTACATGATCTTGAGTCAACCACCACCTGTTGCGTTTTCAATCAGCTCCATGATGTTATGGATCAATATTTCAATACTAGTGCTCTATGCGGCGACTGTTGTTGTCTTTTTATCGTGTAAGAGTGTATTGGAGGATGAAGAGACAGTGAATTTAGCATCAGCCCTATGTATGACGGTCATGACCGTGCCTACTGTGTTGAATTTTTTGACAGTGCTATATATCAGTGGCAAGTGTCGCTCCTCTGAAGAAATCAGAAGAATCATTCGACAAAATAGGCAAGATGCGCTGATTCTATTTTTAATGCCATTGCTTTTTATGTGGGTTATGTCCAACACGACGGCTGTTGCTTGGCTGGCTGTCAAATCACCTTTATCAAGGCCGTTTATGACAGACTCGTTTGACCTGAAGAATTGGATTGTGTTCAAATCGTTTCTTATCTATTTCCCGCTTGTTCTGTTACTGATTTGTTGTGCGGTCAAAAGTGCCAGTGATGTCAATCTATTAGAAGAAAACAGACAAGTCAATCCATCTTCTGAGCGAACTGTAAGCTCGAACACTACTTTAATGAACAGAATACATAGTGAAGAACGAATGAATAAAAGGTTAATGTTTATTTGATTGTTTGTTTGGAAGGCTGTTCCAAATAGGATTGTTTTTTTTAAAAAAAAACGTCGGAATTGAATTTGCATATACGCTGTCGCTCTGCAGAGAGACTACACGTTCACGTAAAAGAGAGAGAGAGAGAGAGAGAGAGAGAGAGAGAGAGAGAGAGAGAATCATGAATGTTTTAGATCGAACTTGGTGTTCCAAGCATTATTCTGCTTTTTCTTTTTCAATGCCAAAGTCAAGTAGCTCTAAGAAACTAAATAATGCAAATGGAAATAAGATCATCAAAGGCCTAAGACACAAATTTTTTGCACCAGGCAAACGAGCGAATGTTTTAATGAAAATTCTTTGCCGAACCTTAAGTAGGTTCAAGAAATTCTCAACCTGGATTTGAGAGGGCTTCTAGCTAGCGCTCACGCAAGTTGCTAACCCTGTTTCTTGTTGTAAACATTCTATTTTTTCAACCCTCATAAAAACAATCACTTTTCGGAACGAATCGAGTACTTCCTTAAAACGATAACTGAAGAATTTGATAGGAAGCGTTTAGAAGGAAAGATACGAATGATTGATTTGGCTCACGATTAGATATCGCAGTATTGCAAAGGTGCATACTGGTCTGAATTTGAAAAGCTATCGTATCCCATCTATGATTTAACGCAAGAAAGTAACGAAATTTGCACCAACGTAATTAGAGTAAGTAGTACAGCATCAAGGATGCTTCGCCAATTTGATTTATAAACATTAAGGGATGAAAACTTACAACTGGGCAATGAAAGATAGCCTGAACACCAAGTACTTATATATTTGGATGAAAAAAGGCTTCAGTATCATATAAAACTTGCATGTATTGGCTCTTTCTAAAACAATTCATATAATTTTTAATTCCAAGAAACATAAAAGAACAGAAACATATGCACTATATACAAGTGTGGGGAGCAAATGAACATAGAACATACCAGATGGCAAAGTGCGGAGATTGAAATAGAAGCCAACTCCAGTTCTTCATCCTGCTGCATCAAAAATCGGTCTTTTGCAGTGGCAGAAGTTGTAGTACTTTTTATTTCAAATCTCTTGATATAAAGAACATGAGAAACTTGATGCTAAAGTATTGAGTAAATAGGCTAAAACGCTTACAATTTTTTTTTCTTTTTTTTTTTTTTTTTTTTTTTTTTTTTTGCTTATATCTCATCATTTATGTAGTGCAGCTGTTAAACAAACACACTCACCAAACACTAGAGCTTTTGACGCACATTTTGAGTCTTTATGCTGGTCAACAGCTTTATTTTTCGGCTTGTAGCATTAAAAGGAAGCTTAAAGAGTTGTCAGCTTGATGATTTTCATGAGTAAGTACCCTTTGGTCGAATGGTCATTTTGGCTATTTTTTACAAGTCGTTTTTCTTTGTCCAAAAATACCCTGTGTGTTAGTGAACATAGTTTTTAAATAGTTATAGCATTCATGCGTGTGTAAACAGGCTTTACAATACGTTTATTTGCCTAAGAAAAAAAGACAATGATTTGCATGTATTTGTCTAGTGTTTCTACTATATGAACAAGTGATTTATTACCCAACTGTTGATGTCTTAACAAAAAAAAGAAAAGACATTCAATACGCCTGAATTCACTTCTATTTTGTGATGCCTTTAGTTTACCACTTGAATTACTTTGTCTATAATAGAGAAATCAATGATATATCAAATCAATCATTTACATAAACTCTTTTCTGGGCTTTCTTATTCTTTATGCTGTCTGTCAGACTTTTACTTTGACAGACATATTCATTGTCCATCACTTCAACGTTGATTCTATTTATAACCTGTCAAAAATCTCTCTATTACGACAACTCTAGTTCATTCTTTATGTAAAGTAAATCTACTCAGAGCAATCTATTCGTTTATACATGCGCCTGGCTTCATATCATTTGATGATCAACAAGCAACTTTATAATAAAAAAAAAAGCTTTTCAGTTCACCTTTTAAAGAAAAGCAGTATGGGATAATAACAAAATCTTTTTTACATCAGCAAAGATCCCCGATACTTCTTTTGCTTCTAGACCAATTGACAAGGTTTAGAGCAAGGTTTTGGTCTTCTTTTGAAATATTTTCTTGGTCAAGAATAGCTTGAAGAGGTTTTCTTATGCTTTTGAATTCTTCCTGTTCTTGTTCTGAATCAAATTCTATATCTTCGTCATCATCATCATCATCGAGGCTAAAGAAATCCAATTTATTGATATCTGGATAAACCCACATTTCCTAAACATCACAGAAGATGAATATGAAAGTGATGGCATAACCCTATTGACTTGCCTCCTGCTCCACCTCTAACGATGGCCTGCCCAATCGAAATACGATACGGGCTATTTGCTCAATATCACTCTCACCTGCAAAGATAGGATAGCCTATCATCAACTGTAAGAAAATGACACCGAAAGACCAAAGATCGGTGGAAGAAGAATATGTTCGATAACCAAACAAATGTTCTGGTGCTTTATAAAGTCTATTCTTTCTTAAGTGTGATGCATAAAACGTAGACATACCTTGTGCCTATGTCTGTTGTTGTATGGGGTGTGTTTATACGTTGAGCACACCCAAAATCAGATAGAAACATACAGCCTGAACCAAGAAGGATATTCTGAGGAGACAAGTCACAGTGAACAATACCCTGTTGATGTATATAGCTTAATGCTTTTGATATTTGATCCAGAAATTGATGTGCTAGTGTCTTGTTTTTTGTATGTACAAAAGATTCGAGTGTTGTATCATAAAATGGAAATATCAAGACATGATGTGTATTTGTCTCTTGAACATCTAATAGTTCTATAATCTTTTATTTATGTTTTTTTTTTTTTGGTAAGGTCGCATATCATTGTGTGTAGTATTTACATGATGTTTATATGAGTCTTTATTCGTGATATTGAGTTGCTTTAAAGTATCTCTTTCTCGAAGAAAATGTTGGTAAACAAGACTTCCGTGTGCTCTTGAATAGATCTTGTAAGCAACACACTTGTTGTCTATGACACGCTTTTCAACTCGAGCAAAAGTGCCCAACATGCAATAGGAAGAATTGCGCGTTATTGAAGGAAAAAACAAAGACTATCTACACAATCCTGACTTAAATCAACAGTCCAATAAAAGCAGAAAAAAGAGCTGAGAAGGAATTTTTTTTCTTTAAAAGAAACGATAGATTTCATCTTTTTCTTTTGTTTCTTTCACTTTCAACATGTCTTCCAACAATTTAGAACCTGTTAATGGTAAGCGTATTGCTCTTCCTGTTCGTGTTGAACCCAAGGTCTTCTTTGCCAATGAACGTACTTTTCTGTCTTGGTTAAACTTCACTGTTGTTCTCGGTGGTTTAGCTATGGGTCTTTTGAACTTTGGTGATCGTATTGGTCGTATGTCTGCTGTCTTGTTTACTGTGATTGCTATGGGTGTCATGCTTTATGCTTTATATACCTTCCATTGGAGAGCTACAAAGATTAGAAATAGAGAAGCAGCTCCTTATGATGATCGTGTTGGTCCTACTGTTTTGTGTATCTTTTTATTGGCTGCTGTCTGTGTCAACTTCTACTGTAAGTCAACAAACGACATCATGCGTGTACCATAAGAATCTAACTTTTTTTTTTCTTTTTTGTAGTACGAATGGGTGGAAAACATTAAGATGCATTCATGCCAACATACACACACACACACACACACACATACGCACACACACACACATATATTCTCTCAACTACTTGTATCATAATACCTATCCAATATCTATATTATTATTTTTTTTTTTTTGGGCAAATAAAGAAAATATTATGCTTGTCTATCAGGGCGGCGTGCTAATCCATATCCAATCAAGTACGCGGAACTGTCCCCACGTGTGCATCAGACTAAGATACCTTTATATTCAGCACGTTCAAAACGGTCACTCAACTCGGGCCATTGTACCAAAAATCGATCCACAAAAGGGTACAAAAGTTTACCGGTCAATGAGAGACTCGACACGCGGGCAAATGATTCGATATAAATGATTTCTATCTTTTTAAGGCCAACTATCTTTGGCTGATGAGATTCAATTCCATAATGGGATGGACTTACTCTGGGTATATAACTTAATAAGCACAGTGGAATACAACTACCAGGTCCATTACAAATAATCTTTGATAAGCATAAGTGAATAGTCTAGATGCTATATCTCATAATTGTTTTACCACATCAGGCCAGGCTTGAATTAAGACTTGAATGGATGTACCTATTGCATAGACAACAGAAAACGGAACAGTCCGCCATGACTGACCTACTTTTCTTGCTCTCGCAATATGACACACATAAAAATCACCCTAATGTACATGAGAGAAAATGTCATCGAGACATTCCTTACCTGATCAAACTGGTCTTGTTCAAGTTGAATAGCCTTGTTTTCACTAAGTATATCATGATGTGCTACTACATATGTTCTGGGTCTATATCGCTTTGGATCCAATCCACGTAAGAGCTGTATCATTTCTGCTGTATGTCCGCCTTTTAACAGTACAATAAATATGTGTAAGGTGCAAATTAAGTTTACCTGATCCCAACACAACCAGTGTTTTGCAACACTCTCTCTTCTGCTTATGTGTTTGAGTAGGCAATACAAGCCATAGACGTGTTAGGAAGACAACAATGACCGAGATCACAACAAAGCTCCACATTAGAAAACAACAACAACAGAAAAAAAAAAAGAAAAAAGAAATTTATGTACATCATTTTTTAAACTTAAGCATAAGAATATCGCCTACTTGACTAATTTGTTCAAGGGCTTTATCAAGGTCCTCTCGCGTATGAGCAGAAGAAATACAGAAACGAGCTCTTGAACTAATGATAGGTGTAGCAGGATAACCAACAACGACAATAGCAATACCACGCTTAAGCATTTCTCGAGAAAAGGCACTAGGCAAATAAGAAATGAATGATTTCATATCGTCTACTTGATACTTACGAAATTTTAGCAGGATTGAAAAGAAGAAGAGGAATGACAGGACTGCCTTCATCACCATACACAATGAATCCCATCTTTCTTAATGCATTAGAAAAGTAACGAGAATTGTCTGCCAAGTTTTGAATACGTTGAACTCCATCGTCTGTACCATCTTCTCCCCTATACAAGTGTGAATAACACCACTTGAGACACAATGAACTTACATAATCACACCCATACTTGAACTCACTTGTTGAATGACAGGTGGAGACATGGCTTCTGCATACAAAAAGGCATGGTTCTTTAATCTCAAATGATCCATGACTGCCTTATCACCAGCAATATAACCACCGGCAGCACCAAATGATTTTGTAAAAGTGCCCATCAGAATATCAACATGCTTTGGACTAATACCATAGAAATCACACACACCACCTCCGTTTTCACCCAAAGCGCCAATAGAATGTGCTTCATCTACATATAGATAAAACTAAGATAATGATAGAAGAAATAAGCATAGATGAATAACACATTCGAAACTTACTTTGTATTGTTGCTTCAGTTTGATCAATTCAGGCAGATTGACAATAGAGCCTAATCTATCGTCAGTAACAAGATCGATAGACATATAAATTACCTTCCATAGAATATAAACCCTCTACAATTACCACAATCTTCTTCCAAGGACGATGGGTTCTTGGCTGACCTTGAGATATCACTTCCCTCAACAGATTCTTCAAGTCAATCATATTATTATGCTTAAACACTCTGACAGAGGCACCTGAAAGACGAACACCAAAGATAATAGAACTATGGTTCAATTCATCACTGATCACTAAACAGCCCTACAACAATAGGAATCAGTTGACTATTTAAGATCCAAGTCTGTACTTGCCTTGTTCACAAGACAAGGAATCGTAGTCGAATTGGTAGCAAATCCCATAGAGACAACAATCGAGTCTTCTTTGCCCACAAATTGAGCCACTTTCTTTTCCAACTGACGATGAATATCCAATGTACCCAATTCCATTCTTGTACTAGCACTTGTGATACCATACTCGCCTACACAGTCCTCTACTTGATCTGCACAAATACCTTGATTTTGAGCAAACCCCAAATAGTTGTATGATGAGAAATTGATCACTTCTTGTTTCTTTCCAGTCAAGCGAAATGTCAAGTTAAAATCGTTGGATTCTCTTTCGAGAATAGTGACTGTTCTACTAGGGACACCAGTAGTGGGTCTATTCCAACAATCTCTATCGAAACCATCAACCTTTCCCCACCTTTTCTTCTTATGTATTTACCTAATACGAATATACATGCGTCTTGTATAGAAAGAATCAAAATCAGACACTAAAGGAGCATATCCCTATCATCCATGGTCAATCACGCCACATATAGTTGTCTTAGATGTTACCTCATTGGTACGAAGATGAGCATATTCTTTACGTTTAAACACTTTACCGAGAATATCACGCAAATGACCAAACAATATCAAGACCAGATAATTTAAATAAGTAGACACAAGTACAAATAAAGGAGCAGCTTCAATCTTTTGTTCAAAATCCTCATATTTTCGTTGAGCTGCTGCAATCGAGTTTCTTCTTTGTGCAGCTGTCAAATTCAATGCCTTTGGATGATCCAGATCAGCTAATAAATCATGTGATGTCTTGGGTACAGGTAAAGCAAGCAGTGTAGGTGGTGGTTTGGCAGGATAGGTGGATGAAACAGAATAAGCTCGACGAGTACGATTCACTAAATTAGAGAATGAAAATGCTCTTTTACGAGTACTGGGTTGAATCCCGTCTATTTGAATGGTTGGGATTTCTTGTTGCTCTTCTAAAATAGGTGGTATCGTAGGCAACTGTTGTGCAGGCATTGGATACAAACAAACAGAAAGAGAAAAAAAAAAAAGAAGAGAAAAAAGCTTGACCTGATTGATCAAAATCCAATAATTAATTATTCTAATCCACCAATCAAAAAGTTTTTATAGGCGTTTCACGAAAAAATAGATAAAGAAAACAAAAACAAAAAACAAAAAAAGAAAAGGACAATAGTGAATACAATATAGACCATAGTCTTGAGATAAATGCAGTCATAGTCAACCATAGGATAGACTCATTTAAGCACAAACTAACAAAAAAAACCACAATTTGTCAAATTAAAAAAAATTTCTATTTAGTTTTCTCAGATATCGCATCCCGATTGAAACTCCTTTGCCTCAAATGAATGAGTAAGGATAATATAGGCAATTGGGTAAAACCTTTTGCAAACTTATAACTCTGTTATCCAATTTTTTGAAATGATAGGCATGGCCTGAACCCATTTACCTTGGCCAGAATAAAGGGAAACTCAAAGTATGGAGGCAAAGTGGCTTGGTAGGCCTACGTATAGCTTACCTTGTATTCACGATGCTATTTGTACTTTATTACTTGTTCTCTTTAGGATGGTTGGTAAGAGTGGTTCTGATTGCTAGCCTTCTTTTTAACATTAAAGAAAATGAAAATCTATATAAAAAACATACAAGAGACCAATCAACTCTGTTTGATATAATAAAATGTAAAAATCATCATAGGGATTGAATGTGACTATTTCCAAATACAATGGGAAATACGGCTTCTCACTTCTTTACAAAAAGAAAAAAAAAAATTTCAATGGTTTGTTTTCGTGTTAACAATGTCAAAAGACAGTGACGATTCTGCCAGTGATTACTCTGACTTAAACTCTTTTCATTCAGATGAAGAGGAAGAAGAAGATATTGATGACTATAAAAAGGGAGGTTATCATCCCGTTTTGATTGGCGATCGCTTTGATAATGGTCGTTATATTGTTGTCCGAAAACTAGGTTGGGGTCATTTCTCTACTGTTTGGCTTGCACTTGATACGCTGTAAGGGAACAAAAAATAGATAAAAAAAAACGAATGGATTTGCTTATAAACAAAAGAGTCCTCAACCATTTGATAGAACCAATGTTCATGTCGCGCTGAAAATTGTGAAATCTGCTAATAGGTATACAGACTCTGCTTTAGAAGAAATCAAGTTACTTGAATGTGTCAAAAAGACAAATCCAGAATCCAGGGGTTATCAACATGTAGCACAATTACTCAATCATTTCTGGCACCATGGTCCTCATGGTAAACATGCTTGTATGACATTTGAAGTCTTGGGCGAAAGTTTACTTTCTTTAATGAAGCGATACAATTACAAGGGCATCCCTCAGCCTATTGTAAAGCGTATAGCAAAACAAGTACTTGAAGGATTAGACTATCTTCACCGGGAATGTGGTATTGTGCATACAGATCTAAAGCCTGAAAATGTGTTGGTATGGATTCCCCATATTGAAGACTATCTGAAACAAGATACAGCTCAAGTGCTGCAGGAAATAAGGCGGCATGAAGCACCAACACTACCACCAGCACCATCCCAGTCTTGGCTAGCTGATGTAGACACACAGGGATTATCTAAATCACAAAAAAAGAGACTAAAGAAAAAGAGAAAGCAAAAAGTATTAGCTGAGGCAAGACAAGAGCCAGATGCAGTGTAAGTCTTCTTGCTTGAGTCTCATGTCATCTAACAAAAAAAAAAAAAGGGATAGCAATGGTTTGAGTGATAAACTCGGTCAACTTGCCATTCAACAAAGCACAAGAGAACCCAAAGTCATGCCCTCTTCTATACTAGATATTACATTGATCATGAATGGTATTGAGGCATTTGATGATATTGTAGTCAAAATTGCAGATTTAGGAAATGCTTGTTGGATGGATGGAGAATATACACATGTCATTCAGACTCGACAATACCGTAGTCCAGAAGTCATTGTGGGTGCCAAATGGACTAATAAAGCAGACATGTGGAGTGCTGCTTGTATGGTAAGCTAAAGAAGCATATTTAGCCATGGTATTGATTTCAGGTATAGATATTTGAACTGTTGACAGGCGAATTCTTATTTGATCCTAGAGCAGGATCAAAATACAACAAAGATGATGGTAATCCTATACAGGACTCACTTGCCATTGACTGAGTCTTCTTTGATAGATCATCTTGCTCAAATACTAGAATTAATGCGCACAGTCCCCAAAATACTAATATCGGGCGGTGAATTCTCTCGGGAGTTCTTTGATAGGTCGGGTAAATTAAAGCATATCAAGAAATTACGTTACAGAAGATTAAGAGACGTGCTTCATGATACGTTTTTAATGCCACCCAAAGATGCAGATGAAGTCAGTGGATTTTTATCGCCTATGCTTGAGATGGACATGGCTAAAAGAGCCTCGGCTAGCATTATGTTGGAACATCCTTGGCTACAAGAAGTGTAATAGAATAAAAATGATGTGCGCCATTGTGGCTAGTAAATAAGCGGCAAATAGGATTGTTATATACGAAATGACCTCATGTTGGCTTAAAATAGCCTATAGGATGACTTTGAATATCATGTAAATCGGACAAATGCGCCATTTTTTTTTCTCTCTCTCTTGCCAAGAAATACCTAGAAAAGGGCATAAAAACAATTGATTTTTTCCCTCTCTTTCTCTTTCTCTTTCTCCTTCTCTTTTGGTCAATGAATTTGAATCCTCAAGAACTTCATTATTTTAAGCGTGAACTCATTGCTCGACAACTCGAGCATGAAATACAAGAACTAAAGCGCTCCAATGATGTATCAAGTTTGGTAAACCCTTCTAGTGAAAATAAACACTATCCATTTCTGCAATACATCAGCAAGCATTTCGTACTTGAATTTCCTTTACTTAAGAACGGGGATGAAAGAGGCTTCTTTAACAAAGTCCAAGCCTTTTTGGATGAATACAGCAAGCTTAAATTAAACAATTATGCACCCAAGAGCTCAAGAGATTCTCAAAGACGCGTCTTGATTTACAAGATTCAGAAATTATTGATTGTTGCTCTCTCGGCCAGTATCAAGACAGTCCAAGGCAAAGAAGAAAGCATTGATCTCTTGTCTGTAGGTTCCAAAGAGACCGAGGAGGATGCATTGGCTACCAAACTCAACATGACTCGACTCGAGAGTGAAGAAGGCTACCTTGAATGGATGGGACTCAATGGCCTTCAACTGAACGTGGTAACTGTGCGCGATGTGAGTCAAGTCAGAACGATTCGTGAACACATCCACTCTGAATTTATTGTCAAGACTGAACTGGTGGTTCAGAACGAACATGGGGTGGAAACAACAGCACCTGTGTTTGTAGCCAAGCGTCATGGACAATTCCGTCAACTCCGGGATGATCTTAAAGCCGCTTATCCTACGCTTGAGTTACCCAATGTTCCTTCCAAGGCACATGATTCTTCTGACAGTAAGCAGTTGCACCGCGAAAAGGATCGTATCATGCTTCGTTTGTTCTTGCGTCGATTGGCTGCTGAATCTCAAGTGGCCAACAGCGAGATCTTCCGCGACTTTTTGTTGAGCAATCCTGTTCAATTGACAGCAGAAGAGCAGAAGGATGCAGAAAACCGTGCCAAGATGGACGAGAATAGAGCACAAGAAGAAAAGCGATTCCGTGAACAAGTAGACAAAAAGATTGTAGAGCTAGATGGTCTATTGAATATGCTGAAGCAACAGATTATGAAACCCAATGGTTTAATTGAGGTGTTTGAGATTATCAAAAAGACAAACACCATCAATCAATTGCCTCCTGAATTACGTAAAGCCATTGAATGGGGTAGAATCAAGTAAGTCAAGGGACATAAAAAAAAAACGATATTAACTTGACTTAGTTTTGCCTTTGTCCTTCATACTCAATTTGTTACCTCTGATCGTTCAGTTGAAAATACTGCTAATTTGAAACGAACTCATTCTTTAATGCCATACCGTGCTATTGCTCAAGTCTTGAAGCTTTCCAATCCATTTTATATGGTCAAGGGTGTCTTGGATCTCTTTTTAGCTCAGCCTTTTGGTGGCAAAAGTTTATTTCAAAGGTAAGAAACAAAGTAAAAAAAAAAAAAAACTATACTCAGTCATTTTAAACAAGAATTGTGTTGGCCAACATGAGTGAAGAAACCAAAGAACTCACAAAAGATATTGAAGACCTTCAAAACAAGATCAACGATCCCCCTCTTTGTCAAAAGATTGCCAATGCAGTCCAGACAGAACTACCTGAAGGTGTCACATTGGACAAGACAACACCCATTACAGAGACACTCGAGATGCTGAAGGACAGCAATATTAAACCTATCTTGACTCCTCAACAAATCTTAAAGGTGGCCTTTGCCAATCAACCAGGCAAGGTTGAGTCCCGTGAGCTTGTTGAAAACCTGTACAAGTTGTGGGTTCTTTATGCTCGTAAACAAGAACAAGAGCTCTTGATGGCCCTTGTCTTCCAAGGCGTAACAGGTGAAATCACCAAGGATTTGTTTGCCATCTTTTATGAACCTTTGGCTCAAGTCTACAAGGCTGCCAATATTGGTGATACTATTGGTCATGTATCTGGCTTCATCAACGATTTGATTGAAGTGATTGATAAATTAAATGTAGAAGACGTATCTCATACTGCTCAACCTTTTATTGACCTGGTCCAACGCCATGAAGAAGAATTCTATCAATTTGTTCACAATGTCCATGCTCAAGACCAATCCAAATTGTTTGATAGTCTATTGGGCTATGTCAACTCTCTGTTTAGTTTTGTATCGAACGGTATTCCTACACGTATTGATATTGAACAAATCGTATCTGAAGCCGGAATTTCTGATGCTGAATACCCTGAACTAAAGAAGGAAATTAATGCTATCTGCGACTATCACCTCGAGCGCAAAAAAAGACATTTGGAGCGTAAACGACAAAAGATGATGTCCACCAACGATGTTGCAGACAGTCAAGAGATGTTTGAATTCTTACCTGAAAACAAAGAAGTCATGAGTGTGTTTAATGACATGGCAGACATTGATTATGATAGTGAAGATGATGAACGTTCTATTACCAGTGGTAACAGCAGTAGTAGTAGTAGTAGTAGCCTTGCTGCTCATGAAATGACCTTACGCCCACCTACTCTTCATATTGTACCCAAAGTCTCTCCCATTTTTGTTGAACATGTAAAGAAAATCATGTATTAAGAAAAGTATGATTATATTGTGCAAGTTACCAAGACATACTTGGTTTGTCTGTAATGCCTTTTAACAATAAAGACCTCAAATATTTCCAACGATCATAACAAAGACGTGCAGAGTGTCTACCGTTAAATCGCACTTCAAGTTCAGACCAACCACCCGCATATAAATGATGGAGAACATGGTTCAACAAGATCATATCATCTTCATGCGTCCATGGTTCATAACCCCGAATGTCTTGTTCGTATTTAGACGGTGGAGGTAGTTTTGCAGGCAATGAATTCCTTTTTACAGGAGGTTCAAGTACGCCTTGCTCTGATATTCGCATCTGATCAATGATGTTGTTTATTGCTGTCGTTTGTGCATCTTTCTCAAACCAAACTGAGCTTTTCCTATGCTTCTTTTTCTTTTTAAAAGTTCGTTTTGGCTGTTCTTCCTGATCGTCATCGTCTGTATTGATTATTTCACCATTTTCATCATATTCTACTATCAGTTTCTGTCTTACTATGAAACAAGTAAGTAAACAAAAGTAGTGTCTACTCAAGTATTACTCTTGTTGGGTATCTTTTTAGGAATACAAGGTGTACCCGTTCGTCGATAGTTTAAAATGATGTTACGAACAGCGGTTCTTGAAAGTCCTGATATGCGAGCAACATGCTTTTCAGAAGCTCCCGCTTGAAAAGCTCCGACTATCAACCATCGTTTCGCTTCTGCCGTATCTCTTTTTTTCCTTAAAGTCATTTAAAGAAAAGAAGAAGAAAAAAAAGAAAAAAGAGAGAAATGACCTTGACCAAATATGGAGAGAATTGCTTGATTTTATTGGGTCGTGATGATATGCACAAAATTTAAAAAAAGAAAAAAAGTCTATTCTACCTGATTGACTAAACCAAGGCAGTCTGTTCCTGGTTGCATATAAACAAAAGTCATTCTTGATTCCATTCATAGGAAGACGGGTTTATCTGACCTTAGAGATCGGAATGCCTCAAGAGCCAATAGTTAGAAAAACATCATAGTGTTTCTTTTAAAATAAGGCATTCTATAAGCCCTCATCAAGTTACCTTCTCTCTTGCATTCTTGCTGGTAGCTTAATCAAAAGCTGATTGTGGTTTGCAAGTATTGGTAAATGATCTTCAAAATAGAGGGTAAAGAAAAATGAAGTTTGAAACTTCGAACTTTCTTTCCTGCAAGTCATCTATTATTGGTTACTCTCTTCAGCCCTAAAAATGTTATTTATTATAGCAAACTTTAATTTCATATACTCTGTGCACTGAATGATGCAGAAGTAAGCACCCATTTACTATCTGATATGTACTGAAAAGGGCTGATTACAGTATATCACAAACTTTGAATGCAGATTTGAAGACAATGCTCAAATGAACTCATCATTTTTGCCTTAGTAAAGTCGCTTTCTTTTTGTTGGAAGTACTTGGATATGACTTTTCCTCATTTCAGTTGAATTGGACCTACATTAGGGTCATTCTCCGAGCTCTTGGATCCTCCATGGGTCAAAAAACGAATTTCATGTAACAGTCAGACCAATTGTACCATTCGATCCCAGAACTCAAACAAACATGTTTTAAATGAAAAAAGAGGCCGTTTTAGTAATCTGGTTGTCGAGTAATGGGACATCAAAGATTGGCATGTTTAAGCAGTATTTTGAGCGTTTTTGCTTTAGATGTCATATAAAATGTGCTATCTATGGACTTTTAAAAATATCTTATATTACTTTGGATGCCAAAGAACATAGAAAAATAGAAATATAATGTAAATATGGGAGCAAATTTTTTTTTTGTAGTTGGATTTTATTTACAAAATTATTGATTAGTCGGGTTCCAATAGGATTTCCAGATATTCCATTGAGCTATCGCAATGATAGATACAAGCTTGGAGCGGTTTGTAATGGCAGGAGGAAAGGCTTGAAGAGTGAGGACCTTGTGGAGGGAGGAAGGAGTAAAGTACACCACAGGGTATTAGCAGTTCAGTATTTCCAACCAAATACTCCACTTGGTAGAGCAGTGGGCTATGAAATGATCATACGATTCCGGTTGTAATTTGCACAGACGACAGACAGGAGTAGAGACAGTACCAATCTTGAAAATTTCGGACGCAGTTGGCAGTTTCTTGTGAAGCACACGATGTCTTGTGAAGCACACGATGCCACAGTGTTCTAGCCTGAGGGAGCATTGGAGTCCTCCAAAACAGAGAGAGCGAAGTACGAGAAGCCTTTATTTGAGATCCAGCTTTATATTCATAAGGATGCAGGCAGAAATCCCTAGAAGAGAAAGAGCGCCACAATCTTGTGTCAGTTAATTGCTTGGTCAAAGCATCATAGACAGAGACAGTAGATGGTGTCACATCTTGTGTAATATATTGCCACAGGAAAGATTGAAGTTTTACTGTTCGTCTGCGAAGAACGTCTATAAAGAGTTGATGGCACAATCCTGGTAATGTCCCATATTCATGGCGAACCTTCAGGTGTAACCGGTTACTCTGTTCGTCAAAGAGGAAGAAGAGAGATGCTGGTACTTTTGAATGTCGATGAAGCCAGTGGTTCTGAGGTACCTCTTGAAACATGTTAATCAGCGGAAAGTAAATCAAGTTGGCTAGAGGCACATTATCAAGCTTGAAATCGATACCAAAGTAATCAAAGGCAGCATAATACCATTGACAACTGAAGTGGGATGACAAAGATCATGAGGGCGAAGAGTTCTAGAGAAAAAGGGTAGCAATGTATTGTCAGCATCCGGAGACATGATGCCAAAGTGTTCTGTCATAAGCACTCGGAGCTGAGGTGTTAGATTAGACGAACTAAACAGAATAAAGACCCATCTCATCTGCAGCACCAAGTATTGTGTGATAGGGTTGAGAGCTCCTACACCACCTTGATTCTTGGGGAGACATAACTGGTCAAAAGAAACATAAGGAAACTTCTTTTGCCACACGTAAGCATAGATAATCGAACGAAGTTCATTCAGAAATCGCTTAGTAGGCGCAAACAACCGCAAGCAGTACCAAATTTTGGATAAAATCAAAGTGTTGGCAACGGTAGCTCTTCCTTGAAGCGAGAGGTGACGCTGAGAGTAACCATGAACCCGTGTACGCACTTGTTCCAATAACATATCCTGAACATGATTCCGTTGAGAATTTGTGTATGGCATATAAAAGCCAAGGTATTGAAAAGCAGAAGGGGAATGATGGTAGTAGTATGTTTTGATATCATGACTCAAAAGCAATGATTCCCAAGATCCTGACTTGACTCCACTCAGTGAGAAAGCTTCCGTCTTGTGCTTGTTAAATCTTGCATTTGATACAGCACTATACTTAGTCAAGTGATGTTGGAGACGCATAAAATCGGTGGCATCCTTGACAAACACACAGATATCATCAGCATATGCGATGCACTTGATCTGTTGAAACGTAGTGCCCATTGTCGGGACATATCTTTGGTATGTAGGGTCTTGCTGGATTGAAAGAATCAGCGGCTCCAAAGCGATGTTGAACAATAAAGGGGACGCACCTTGATGATGTTCATATCTTGCTTGTTGTAGAACCAAATGGACGTACATCCCATTTTCGCCAATAAAACGTCCTTGGATGAAGCCCTTTTGAAGCGGGTTGATAATTCGATTCATTATAGGAGCTAGACGTTGGGTAATGAGCCTTGTGAAAATTTTACCATCACAGTTGATCAATGAAATTGGTCTCCAATTTTTCAATTTTGACAAATCACCTTTCTTGGGTAGCAAGCGCACTCTGATTTCCTTCCATGATTGAGGGAAAATTTCTTTTGTCATGGCATCATTGTATACCGGGAGTATCAGGGGCTTCAAACAAGGAAAACCAAACAAGAGTTGAAGGTATATATACCCTAGTCCATCACTACCTGGGCTACTTTGTTTTGGGCTACGCTTTGTCATTCTGACAATATCCTCCCAATCAAATTCCATTTGAAGCAGATTTGCTTCATCCTGATCAACCTTATTTGGAAAGTGAATGTTACCTAAATACTCTTGTATTTGATTTATAGGTACTGCATCAATCGAATATAGATCTTTATAAGACCATTGTACAATATTCCGCATTGTCGATTTGGTGGTATGTACAATTCTTGGCGTTTCGGAATTGCTATCCTTGAAGCCAGACATATATTGTTGGGCTGTTCGACTCTGATATATTTTTTTAGAGTACCCAGCATTGCACTCACCATTCTCTTGCCAGCGAAGACCAGCCTTTAGAATAGCTATTTCGGCCAGTTCTTGTTGTAGTATCTGTAGCTCATTGTCAATAGGTGGAATTACCAAGCGTTGAACGTCTGGCAGAGGCTTTGTGCGTAGTAAACGATTGCGTTCCTTTTCTAAAGCACGAATTCTCTTAGTACGCCAATCGACGTAATCCACTGAATATCCTCTAATGATTGACTTGTGCAATGAAATAAAACTTCGATACAGCCAAAAAAAAAACCACAAAGAAAAATCATTAGTTTTTCTTTTTTTAAAGCAATGATCAAAAGTTGCAAGCATTTTTCAAAAGTCATAGTTATAGATGCCACCTATGGAGTCAATACCTTCAGTTAGTGTTTATGATATAAATAGTTTTGGGAATATAACTTTTGCTACTTTTCTAGTCACATACATTTGGATATACAGCGAAAGAGAGCCTAATTAAAAATAGCTTTTGGAAACATAGGGTGATGCTTTAAACAATCTCTTCAAAAGCACTGTTTTCATAACAGACAAATGCCAAACTCGTATCAATCAACTAACACAACAAAGTTCTTTGCCTGTGATATTTGGCAATCTGTCCGTTTTTCAGATAAATAAAACTAAGAAATAAAGAACACTACACTTGGCATATTAATTTAAGCTTTGAACGATGAATTTTTACAATTGATGTATTTTATTTATGTAGTCTATAGTAATTTACAGAGAAAAAAAGTCTATACTTAGTTCTTGGTATCGTAGAAAGGATAATCGGTGTAACCGGCAGCATCATTAGTGTAGAAGGTAGAACGATCATACTTGTTGAGTTCCCAGCCATTGCGGATACGTTCAGGGAGATCAGGGTTGGCAATGAAAGCACGGCCAAAAGCAATCAAGTTGCCAGTCTTTTCAGCAACATCAATAGCATGAGGGACGTTGGTAGAGAAACCACTGGCAGTGATGAAAGGACCCTTCCAAATTTGACGGTAAGGTTCAAGAGTATCCACATTGTTAGCTTCATCGTTAAAGAAGTTGGCACGGGCTTCAATGAAGTGAAGATAAGCCAAATCAGGATGGCTCTTTTGAAGTTGAGAGGTCAAGTAGCTCCAGGTTTCAACAACAGTTTCATCTTCCATATCTTGGAACTTACCACCAGGGGAGAAACGAATAGCAGTACGCTCAGCACCAACAGCATCAACAACAGCATCAACAACTTCAAGAGGGAAACGAGCTCTGTTTTCAATGGATCCACCATAGGCATCAGTACGCTTGTTGGAGCTTGTGTTGATGAATTGGTCGAGGAGATAACCGTTAGCACTGTGAATTTCAACACCATCAAAACCAGCTTCAATAGCATTCAAAGCAGCTTGGCGGTAGTCTTGGACAATAGCCTTGATTTCATCAACAGTAAGAGGACGAGGAGCTTCATAGTCTCTACCTAACATGCTCTTGCCAGAGATAGGGATGTCAGAAGCAGAAACGATTTGTTCACCATTAGGGTTAAATTCAGAAGAACCAGCACGACCAATGTGCCAGAGTTGCAAGTAAATGACACCCTTCTTTTCATGAACAGCGCTGGTGACCTTCTTCCATGCTTCAATTTGTTCCTTGGTGTAGATACCAGGAGCTCTGTAGTAGCTGCCGGCAAGACGACTGATGAAGGTAGCTTCAGTAATCAAAAGACCGCCTTCAGAAGCTCTTTGCTTGTAGTGTTCGACTTGGAGATCAGTGGGAACAGCTTCAGGAGTGGCTCTGAAACGAGTCAAGGGAGCAAGAACAACACGGTGCTTAAGTTCTTGGTTACCAATCTTGGTAGGAGTGAAGAGGGCTTGAATAGACATTTTTAATGAATTCAATTAAATATGCTTTTTATTTTTTTTTTAAATGCATCCCTTTTTATATGTTGTCAAATTTGCTTTGATTATTAATTATTTCGGATCTTTAATTTACAGAAGTAACTTTTGTATCTCAAGTCTTCTTCTACTCTTTTTTTTATTCGATTGACCACAAACTTGTTCAGTCGAACCATTTTTTTTTTATCTTTCCATTAATTTTGGTTTGTCTCTTTCTATACAGACTTAGCAAAAGTGCTTGAATACCAATAGACTCAATATGTTTAACTGGATCGAAGTTACTAGAATACTAATAAGTATTGATCGGTAGAACCAATCGACCGAAACTATTTGGGCAAAGGATCATCCAATAAGATTCAATTAAATCGATCGCGATCACAATCTTGCCTTCGTATTACTCATCATATTTGTATGTCATTGATTCAAGAAATTAGGTTCCTGAATTCAAATACAGTCTAGTTCTAAAAAGGGTTCTGAATAAGCAATAAAATAAAACTTCGATACAGCCAAAAAAAAAAATAGAGAGGCGAATGCAAAATGAAAATATCCATCCATTTATGGCAGTTCTCTTCAAACCACAAAGAAAAATCATTAATTTTTTTTTTTGCTACATATGAAAGACAACTGTACACAGAGCTTTATCAGTAGTAGTATTAAATATTAGGGTTACTTTATAAAATCTATCAAAGTTATTTACATGAATTCTTCTGGCTTAAAAATAGGCTGATAGTCCAACTTCTTTTGCTTGACAAATTCATTTAACATGCATTTAGACACAATGGCAGCGTGGTGTAAAGAAGAATAAGGCGTGAATGGAAACATGGGCTCAATGGAGACACCTGCTTCTCCACCAATAGAGATACCCGCCGAGACGTTACCCTGAACACAGACATCTTGAAATGCCTGAGGAAACTCTGTTATCATGGTTTGATATGTAAAATTTCGCTCAGATATACGGTACCAACGCTCTGCTTTTACATATTCTTGCAGCAGGTTTTCAGACACATCAAGACAGAGACGAGGAACTTGACCTTGAGTTTGAGATAGATGGTTGGAGATTAACTTGTGAGTAGAAGAAGTCATTCGATTGTAAATATAGTAGCGTACAAGAGCAACAAGACGGGAACAAAGACCATAGAGGTGAAAGTATTGTTGCTGTTCGAGTTTTTTTAATAGGTTGTCTGTAAAAGGAAATAAGCTTTTCCACGCCACAGAGGCTTGTTTAAATGAAACGTGTGTGCTGCCTTTATCGACGTAATAAAAGCTTAAGATGTAGTTGCATAATGCATGGAATTGGTCCAATATACCCATTGTCATATCGGATTGGCTGTCTCCTCGTCGTTTGTAGGCATGAGCCAATTGATTAAACCTAGAAAAAATAATAAGCCATAAGAATAATAGACATTCTTTCTTTTTACATGGTATTAAATATCTTATATTGTTCAGAGGTCTCTGCATTTGGTGCAGTTGCTGACAAGATAGAACTAGGTTTTTCTTCCGCCAGCGGTGATTTTTTCTGTTCTAATGTTGTCTTTTTCTTTGATTTGTCAGGAGAGCTCTGTTTACGTCTACTACTGCGAAGGTCGGAACTTTTACGCCTGTCTCTTCTGCGTCGTGTAGAAGACGAGCGGCTGGTTGAGCGACTACGGCTGCGCCTAGACCTTCTAGGCAGAGGTGAACGAGACCGAGAATGAGACCGAGACCGAGCTCGAGCTCGACTTCTTCTTTTGTTTTCTCGATGTCTATTGCTACTATCTCGACTGCTGCTTCTACTTAGGCTACGATGGCGACTACTTTTTCTGTCACGATGGCAGCTTTTACTATCAGAGTATCGTCTCTTTCTTCGAGTGTCACTTTCATCACGACGACGAGTGCGTGTTGAGCTATGTCTAGTGGAGTTCCGAGCAGGAGAAGGAGACGAGCTGAGTGTCTCTCCTTCTTCTAACTCCAATTCGGATATTTTGTTGTCTTGTCTTGTAATCTTGTTGAGATGGGGGAGTGTTGTATGAAGAAGATGAATCGGGTTTTTAATTAATTGTCATGACTTGTCATTGGAATTCAATTCTCATTGTTATTGGACACGCTAATGTGATCGTCATCATTGTATTGCGGCTCAAATAATTCATTTTATTAATAGTATCCTAACAGAGTACAGAACAAGAAGGCAGTTTTATTTCTGCCTAATGTAGATTCAAAATCTATCATCTTTTTTTTTTGATAGCTAATACAGTATCTACGGCTCATTTTATTTTTACGTAAAAACTCCCCCCCCTCCTCATTACCACCAATCGGTCAGTTTATTGGCTATGTTTTCCAAGACCAATAGGCCAAATCGATAAGTTCGTTGATCGACGTCAAAGCACTGTTCATGGAGATGATGAAATTTAGAACTAGGAAAAAAACGGTCTTTGTACATTTACTCAATGATAATTAGAAATGATCCAAGCACTTGAATACCTATAACACACCTGTCTACGTTGTTAAAAAAAAATAAACATCATTTCTTACCAATATAACAGAACATAACATACATGGATCTATGGAATGCAGTGATTCATTAAGAATTGCTAGTTGCAAACTCAGTTCTATATCCCAGAGAATATCCTTCTTGTTATAGTAGTAGACACAATTAGTGAATTACCTAGTGGACATGGGAGCAGTTGGCAACGATTTTTTTTTTCAATAAAGTGTAGGAAGTGACAATTAATAAACTAACTTGAATAAGATTGACAAGTATAATGGTTCCACCAGTGGATTGGCAGCCCGCTTCAGGCGCAAATATTTTTCAAAGTAAACCCTTTTTTGAGTTTCTTGTGTTTGCGCATACATAAAAGAACATACAATGAGAATGGTACATTTTATCACTTTGAGAAAATTAGATGTCCGCAACCAAAAAATTAATGGTACTAGCTCAAAAATGAATGTCCTTGTATGTCCAGAAATTTTGTCCCTTGGAAATACAGTGAAGGCAACGCCAAAGGGTGGGTGAAAAAAAGATCCTAAAGAGTGTTTTTTACAACTCAATGTGCAGCAAAATACAGTAGGCACAACACCAATGAGCGATTTTTTCATAGGAATTTCATTTTTCCAAAAGGTGGTTTTTTTTTTAAATGACTCCATATTTTTTGAGAATGGGCAGGGAAGGATTCTTGATGAAGGAGGGGAGGGACATGATGCTATGGAAGTAGACCCTTATCACCTACAGACGTTAACCCGCATTAGGCTCTACCTCAAAAAGCAAGGTTCAGAGCAAAAGCCAAACGATGAAGGCTTAGATGAAGAAATTGTACTTGAAATCAAGCAACAAAGCAATTCATATAATCAGATTGTTTTCGCCATACAAGAGGGCTGATGAGTATTGTCAGTCTTAAAGTATTCATCGTTTAAATAGTCGACAATAATAAAATTCACTTTTAACACTGAATAAAACTTTTTATTACATTTTAGAAAACAGCACTAAACATATCAAACTGCTAGTATTTTGCCCACATTTATAGAAATGGTGGTTGCCCGGACGTGACCACGAGGAGGTAACTAGCAATCCACATCCAAAATGCTTACCACGAAAGTAAACCTAATGCCATCTACAAGAGATGACCAAAGGAAAAAAGAAGAAAATGTTTATCAAACTTTTTTAAATAAAAATTTTGCGCCAAAAAGCTGACGTATACCATGTACGTAAGCCTATGACGTCACCTATGTGATTGTTTCTGACGTTTTTTTTTTTTGTAGATGGTCGCTTGCTTAGCTTTTTACAAAATAATTCAGTTTAATCATGTGCCGCACTTGTGCAAACAGGAAGTGTCACGTACAGCTAGCTGGCAATTCCCTGGAGAGTGTTAATGACGAGGCTTTGAAGGAATATTTGATGGAATGCTCTGTAGTGAAACCAATACATGTTGTTAAACACGAAACTAACCGGTAAAAAACAAAAGCTGATTAACATAAAGTTTCTCTGTAGATCTAACTTGGAGTAGCTTCGCTTTGATTCACTTTGCAAGCGAGTTAGATGCTGCTACGTTTTATTACATCTATTGTATAGAAAGTAAAACTGTATGCAAACGTATTAAAGACATAACAGTAAATCCAAGCTTAATTAACAATAAGCCTGTCATCTATGTAAGTGTGTTATATCATCACAAAATAATAATGAGATATACATTATAAGAGCATCCTTAGCGGACTTTTCAAAATGAAAAGTTTTTTATTTTAGATAGGTCAAACATTTCGTTGAGAGACCCAGGTGCACCAAAAAAGGCATGCCATATCCAAAGATCTTGGGAGGCCATAGCTTCTAACACAACAGTAGCTTTCTTTTCCTTGCCCTTGTAGCTCCCGTGATGAGCCTTAGGGCAATTCTTCCATTCCCAGTGCATGCAGTCTAAAGATCCAAGCATTCCTGGGAATCCACGCTCCTTTCCTACCTCATACAAGCGTGCAATGTCTTCTTGATTTGATCTTCTGAGGTATTCGTTCTTGAAGACTTCGACGATTGCTTTACAAAACTTCTTCATACAGTGTAAAGCAGTTGCTTCATTTACACGAAGTTACTCCGCCATGAAGTCTCCAGGGACAGCATATGCAAGCATGCGGAGAGCAGCAGTTACTTTTTGGTTAGTTGAATAACCAAGTTTTTGAGCCCTATCGCGAGATTGCACAAAAAAAGAGTCGTGTTGCATAACTGCCTCCTTGTGGTGATCTGAGCACTTTCAATACAAAATATAATAAATAGTCTTTCATCATATAAATGAATAATCACTTATAGCACTATACATTATAAATATAAAGCAAGCACTGTATAATGACAGTAAATAACGATAACTGGGATAATATGGATATTTACAAAAAGGAAACCATAATTGTACCTTTTAGATAACCAGGAGGATTAAAGGAGAATTTGCATAACCAATTCCCAGGTACGCGCTGTCAAAGTATTAAGTAATTAATATACAATAGTCACAATTAGTCAATAAATCAGGTAGTATAAAAGACAACCTGAAAAAGATATATTTTAGACAACAATTAAATTGTTTTTGAAATAAAGAAGTACTGAACAGTCTCACTGTATTTCTTTGTTTTCTTTCTATCTTCTATTATATCTTCATTCACAACCCAAACATCACACTCCTTGACTCTTTCGTACAATCTACGACTCATTCTGAATCTGCGTCGAAATGTAGCTTCATCTTCGACGGGATCTTCGCGAAAGTAATGTCGTTGAAGATTCTCTTCTCCGAGATGACGAAAGTTCTCCTTGTTTCTTTTACGTTGTCGCTTCTTGGAGACATTGGTATCCTCTTCTTCATCAAGCTCCAACAATAAATCAAACAAAGCATCGTTTTGTCTCTTTCTTTGGATGAACCATTGAAGTGCAGCCATTGTAGTATTGTGATCCATGTTGATTTTAAAATTTAGGAGTAAAATTAATTTTATTTTAGAAAGTCCACTAAAAAACAGTGTTTTGCCGTTGCCGTTGCGATCAAAATGAAGCATTCATAGCTAATCCCAATACCAGTACTACCAATGCCAATATCAACAGCAATGCTACTACCAACAGCAACAGCAATACTACTACCGATACCAATAGCAACAGCAATACTACTACCAATGCTAGTGCCGCCAATGAAGACTTGGATATTGATATTGAGAATGCAAAACTCAAATTAATAAGAACGCTAAAAAGAAAATTACAGGAAATGGAAGGATTATCAAAGGAAATCTCAAAATTACAAAAAAAGATAAGATACCTAGAAGAGTTTCAAAATTTGTAATCATATTAGCTTCTACCACATCTAAAGATTTGCACCTAGTAATTTTTAATAAAGATTATCGTATAAATGGAAACTAGTGTATGTGAAGCAAAGTGACTAGCCATATGAAATATCTTGAAAACAATGCTTTTGTGGAAGCATTCAGTACGATTATATGAGTCTTATATAATCCCAATAGAAATAGCCGTCATCTAGGCTACCCTTCAATATGTCCTAAAAAGAATATATTGAGTTTTTCGTTCGTTGCTCCTTAGAGTCAGTATTCTTTATATTTTGCCTTGTTCAATGCTACAGATGGCTATACTAATACTACAAGTAAAGGACATCATTCCAGAATGTCTTCAATTACTTGGCACTTAACACAATTGTTGATACCTAAGAGACACAGTCTTTCACAAGAGTTTATAGCAAAATCCGGAGCACCACCAAGAGTGACCAGGCCAACGTATTAAAAAATTCTTTAGACGGAATTTCCAAATTCCTTCATTTTTTCGATTTTGGTTTTTGACATGAGAATACTAATTTAAGTCCGTTTTTTTAAGGAACACTCGAATTGAGCCTCTGAAGCGGTTTGTTTGTCTTTTTATGCCATTTTTTCGGAGAGTATGCGAAGTGAAAAGAAAAGTCTATTTTTCAAATTAGAAGCAGATTCGCTCTAAACTATAAACCTTCCCAAAAAAAACGATTGCGCTAAAGCAGTTTATTAACAAAAACTCTTAAATTGCCTACAAATGGCCGATTTTTTCGAAAAGTACTTGTCATTGAGATTCATTGTAATTGTTGTTGCGATTTTCGTCATTGTATTGTGGCTTGAATAATTACGTCTGTTGAATTGCTGTATCTCGAAATAACTCAATGAATGATAGTATTCTAACAAAACAGACTACAGAACAAGAAAGCAGTTCTATTTTTACTTAATATAGATTCAAAGTCTATCCTTCCCCTTTTTTAGATAGCTAACATATTGTCAATGACTCATTTTATTTTTACGTAACAAAAATACTATGCAAGTTTCATTTTACGTAAAAGCAAGTCGCTCTATCATCGGAGTTGTTGTCTTTATACTTTCATAAAATGAAGGTGTCCTTCATCTTTTTTTTTTCTTCATCTATCATGTCTCACACAATTGTTCTCAAGTACTTGCCTGAAGGCTTCTCTGTTCACCAATACGAACGTAACCACAAAGTCCCTACCGAGATTTTTGATGCTCCATGGTACACTCTCTCAAAAACAAAATCTGAGCTCTCTTTGATCTTGCCTACTGAATTTCAATTGTCTGATATTCCCAACAAGTCAGAAGATGGCTGGCGTATGTTCCAAGTAGACGCACAAATGGACTTTGGTCTTGTAGGTATTCTTGCCCGTATCGTTGCCCCTTTGAAAGACAACTCTATTCCTGTGTTTGTTGTAAGTACTTACGATACAGACTATGTTATGATAAAGCAAGACAAGTTAGAACAAGCCATTCAAGTCTTGGGCGAACAACCTAATATGGTTGTGAAACAAGGCGAATCTATTTAAATTCTTTTTTTTTCTCTAATAAAATGCATCCCTATTATCCCACTACTGCAATCATTCCCCATTATGTTCCTAACACAAGGACTACCCTTGAATTACTTATGTCAGCAGGTACCATGATTACCATGTTGTTAGGTGGTAGTATTGTGCTTGGCAACGCTATATCAAAATCAACAACATCCAAGGCACGGTTTTCATGGTTCTTTTTGAATAGCTTTATGCACTGTGGGTTTGAATTGTATTGGCTACTCAACCGAGACACACTGGCTGGTCAAGGCGACTTACTTGCCGAGATGTGGAAAGAATATGGTCATGGCGATTCGCGTTATATAGTTGGGACAGATGAACTTTTATTGACTCTAGAAAAAATGACTATCGTGAGTAGAGAAAGCTATAACATAGTTGATAACTGACTGGATTCTAAGTTTATTTGGGGCCCATTGTGTATGGCTTCTGCTTATTATATTCTAAAAGGATCACCCAAACAATATGTGTACCAATTGCTTGCTTCTATGTGCCATCTATTCAGCTGTACTTTATATTATGTGATGGATCTACCTGAAGCAAAGAATTGTAACCCAAACCCAATTTATTTTTGGATTTATTTTATTGGATTTAATGCTCCTTGGATTACAGTAAGTATAGACAATCAAAACACAATGCTTAAAACAGATATAGGTGCCTCTTTATCTAGTCATTCAAAGTTATAAGCGCATTACTGAAGCCATGATCACAAAAGTAAAATCCTCATAGTGAAATATACATTTTTTGGGTTTATTTTGTATGTATAAAAACTCTAATAAAAAAGATGTCGTCTGCTACAAAATAAGACACATTTTAAATCTATAGAACAAGTAAGTAAAATGAGTTACAATAAAAACACTCACATCATCGATATCAAAATCGAATTCAACTTCATCATCTTCTTCACCACCAAAGGCATTGTCTGTTTCATTGATCTTGGCGGTATCAGGCAATTCACCATATGATTTGAGTTGTCTGGCTTCATCAGGGTTATAACGTTGGATGACATCAGCCTTTTCATCTTGGAAATCACGCAAAGAGAGCAAGACAATATCACCTTGGTTAATCCAAACCTTCTTACGTAATTTACCACGAATAAGTGCTAAACGTTTCACACCATCAAAGCACTGAGCTTCTACACGACCATTACCCAACATCTTAGTAACTTGGGCATATTCTAAACAAGATATCAGAAAAGAATACAAAATAATGATTTTTTTTTATTACCTTGGCCTTCTTCTTTAAAAACAAGTTCACGCTTGTCGTTTTCGGTATCGTTCTTTCCTCTTCTTCTGGATTTACCACCCTAGATAGTGTATAAATATAAAGCGATAAAGAAAGAACCAACAAAACCTACCTTTCCCTTGTTTTTAACCATGTTGGATATATATGAAAGAAAGAAGAAAAAAATCAACTAAAAAAATTGTAATGTATTAAAACTGCGGCTATAATCTGATTCCAATTTCGTGGCTTGTACGCTCTCTTTTCTCTTCTTTTTTCTTCCTTGTTTTATCTAGTGCATAAAATGTGGTATTCAGAAGAATATGAGCCAATTAAAGTAGGCTCTATAGATGGGAGAGGCACTGAACCGCATGATGCCGCAGTAGAGAGAGCTTCTCGTTCAACGTGTAAGCAACATTATGAAAATTTTTTCTTATACTGACGTCGTTGAAAAAAAAAAAGACCGACCACCGAGACATTTGACATCCGATCCTCAATGTACCTTATTTATAGGTCGATTAAGCTTTGATACGACAGAGTCTACTTTAAGATCACACTTCGAGAAATATGGAGAAATCACACAAGTGCATATTATTAAGAACAATGGTAAGCTTATCTGCTATAGGTATGTGTTATTTATTGTGCTAGTCACTGGTTTATCTCAAGGTTATGGTTTCGTCACATTTACTCGAGAAAGGTATGCAAAAGATGCATATCACTATGCAAACAAAAGTGTGCTGGACAGTCATGTGATTCTAGTGGATTTTGAAAGAAGTAGGACAATGAAAGGCTGGATACCACGAAGACTTGGTGGTGGCTATGGTGGCAAGAAAGAAAGCGGCCAATTGCGCTTCGGTGGTAGGGATAGACCCTTTCGAGAAACTGACCGTGTATCAAGGGATCAAAAACGGTCTGATCATTGGAGATATACCAAAAGGTCTATTTCTCCTTCTTCTGCTGAATTAAGCTATAAACGACAAAGACATGATAGCTCAAGATCAAGGGATCATAGACGAACATCGTCTAGAGACCACAAAAGAAGTCGATAAATTCTTTTTTTTTTTTGCGATGCTTTATTTAATAAGGCTTGAACTTTCTATTTTGTTTCAATTGAGCAATCTTGGCCTTGTCTTCTTCAAATCGCTTTCTTAATTCAACCAATTCATTCTGTTTTTGTTCGCGCATTTGGAAGCGATAGAAGTTGAGCAATTCCTTCTTTTTCTTTGGTTGATATTGTTCTGCAGCTTCAGCAGAAATGGCTGCAATATTGGTACTGCCGTCTGTTGTCTTTGCTTTCTTGTGACGAACAACGACTGTAAAACCATCTTCATCCATTTGATTCATACGTTCTAACTTTTCACGCTCCTTCTTATATTCGTCAGCCTTAAACTTCATCATGAATGAATCAACTTGTTTTTGCAAATCATGAGCATTGGGTCGAGATAATTGATATGCCAACAAATAGCCTATATAGCATTAGCTATTACTTTCATGATAACGTCACTACTTACGACCAAAGCCAAGGGGTTGTTCTGTTTGTTCGTCTTCTTTAGCCCATTTCTTTTCAACACGAGTCATATTTAATACGTCTAATAAATCTTGATTTGTACTGAATACAATGTGTGCTGAAGATCCACTTGTAAATAATCGCCTTAATTCTCTTTTTTGTACAGTTTCTTCTTCTTCTTGTTCTTCTTCTTCCTCTATCTTTCTCTTCTTGTTGCGTTTATTCTTTTTTGTAGCAGCTTCAGCTTCGGCAGCAGCAGCAGCAGCTTCGTTCTTCTTTTCCATAATTTTCCAGTATTCTTCAGTAACAGAAGCACCCGAGTCGCTATAAGTAATCTGTTCAATACCGTGTCCTTTGAAAAGTTTTCGAAGATGTCTGTCAGTTGTGTCGGTAGGCAAGTTTAATAAAAAGAGTGTACGATCTTTAATATCTTCATCAACAAGCGATTTGCTTTCATGTTTTCGCATATAAAAATAATGACGAACATTTTTATCTTCGGTCATAATGACAGGCAAGACTTTAAAGCCTTGAAATTCCTGAAGTTTTTTGCTTGGCTTGGCTTCAGTATCGTCTGTTTTCTTTGACTTGGCCATGATATAGTTGTTTTTTTAAAAGAGAGAAAAAGAGATTTTTAAACTACTGCTTGTCAAAAAACAAGTGGCGCAAACCCTTGGAGAAATACAGTCACTTTATTGGAGCATGAATTATGGGCTAGATGAAGTGTCATGGCTAGTCGAAATAGAAGGTATAGGAATATCATCTGGAGTAATGTCTAGCTTTACTTTTTGGTAAATCGTGCCAATGATTTTTAACCCATAGGCTCTTTGTCGAAGTGTCTCTCTCGACACAGTTGGATCACTCAAGACTCGATCACATACTTCTCGTAATACACTCTCTACTTCTAGTTTGGATCCTCTCCAAATCGCTTTCAGACCCTATTCAATAGACATTGAGTTCTGAGTATGAGTTCAATAGATCAAATTACTTTCGTTGCTGCTTCCGTCTCGAGCTTAATGCGCTGCTCTTCTGTCAGGTCCCCTTTTTCCTCTGCCTTTTGTAATTCTGTATAACTTGATTGAAGATCTAATGCTGATCGAAGTGTCCCCACTGTCTCACTGAATATATATCCCTTTTCCTTCATTGAATGAAACATGCCACCTAACCCAAATGCAACGCCTCTATTAATATACTGTGTTGCTTTTGTTAAATAAGTATAGCCAATGGCATTCAAGAGTTCTACACCATGGCTTTCTTTCTTCAAATCTTCTGCTTCGATTTGAATAATGTTGGAGAAAGCAGCAGACCGAGCTTCGTCAGACACATCATTCAGTTCTGTGTATAGACTTAATTTGTTGATCAATTTAGTCACAAGTACTTGTGTTCGTTTCTCTCTTGCTTCTGCACGAATCTTTTTCTTCTTCTCTTCTCGCTCTAGTTTTTCTTCGGCTGAAAGAGGCTTTGTATCTTCTGCATTCTCTTCTGCTTCATGAGATTCAAGTGCATCCCGCATGTCTTTTCCTATTGAAATTTCTCCTATAATATCTACAAATCGATCACCACCAAATGCCTGTTTAAAAAATGCCTCAGGGTCCACTATCACAAGTTAGATGATATCTAGTTGAACATACATACTGAATCCTCCATCGGGTCGGACTCCATTTGCTTCCCCAAATTCATTGTATCGCTTTCTTAATGCAGGGTCAGACAAGATTTGATATGCTTCAGAAATTTTCTTAAACTAGATGGAATATGTGTTGAATACTGACTTCTATAGACACTATCTTACGTTTTCCTCTGCTGTTGGGTCATTGGGGTTCTTGTCAGGATGGTATTTAATGGCTAGTTTTCTATATGCTCTTTTTATATCTGCTTGTGTTGCAGAAGATACTACTCCTAAACAATCATAATAATCGGTTGACACTGGATTTTCGTCTATCAAAAAGGTTAATCAAAAAATCATAAGATCATTAGTTTTACCTGTTCCTCGCTTTCGAGACCACTTGGAAGCTGCCTTGGGTTGTTTCACTTTGCCAGTAGCGTCAATGTCGACATGGACAATCGCTTGGCAAGACCAGCACTCTACTTCTACCTTGGTGTTCTTGACACCTGTCTCTGGCAAGAACTCAAGTGGCTGAGAACAAGTTTTACAAGTGGTTTGAAGGTAAGGCTCTGGTTTTCTAGATGGGTATGGCATAAGAGAAGAAGAAAAAAAAAGATGCCTTTTTGCCTATATGTATATTTTTATAAGCGCAGTGTAACACCAATGCAGAAAATGTAGTCGAATTTGAAATATTGACAATTGTCAAACTTTATAATGTCTATTGAAATGCATTATGTATATAAAGAAAAAAATGGTATACTATAATATAAATGTATGTACAATAGGTAGAAAAAGAGATGAATTTAAGCCCACTTTCCAAGTAAAGCCATTAAACCAGCACCACAATACATGGAAACAAAACAGACAAATTTGCGGATAAAAGGTGTTCGACGGAAATCAGCATTGTGGTTGATTTCTTGGCTCATAAGGGAGATATAAACATTATAGAGCAAGATACCAGCAGACAATGAATCCAGAATGGCACTGGCAAGGATAGAAGAAGAAGAATTGGGGTTGAAACTAGAATGAATACCAATACCAATAGCACAACCGATAGGTGTCATGACGATAAACAAGGTTCCCATTAACAAGGGTTTTGTCCAACCCTTGATGTTCATGTCGTTAATACGAGTGCCTAATGCTACACCTTCAAAGAACTGTGGAATCATAAATGGTCTGCATGCGACAAATATGTTTCCTCTTACCTGATGGAAGACAAGTGCAATCAAAAGAGTAACAAATTCGTCCGAGCCTGTGTTTGATAAAGTGATACCAATGATTATAGAGTGCATTACAATACCCAGTTCCAAGATAAGTGTACCAATATGCTTGAATGCTTCTTCATCTTCAAGTAAACCAGCACTATGGATATGTTCGTGTGCGTGATCATGACATTCTGTTTCAAGTGTAGTGATTTGATTTGCAGTCATACTCGAATCTAAAGATGAGTTACTTGTGTGTCTCTTCTCGATATCTGCAGACAAGGACTCGGTTGCCTTTTTAGCGCGGATACGCTCAACGTTGGCAACAGCGGCCAATTCTAATAATTGCAAAGCAAAAGAAGAAATCATGCAAAACACACCAGCAAATGCTCCATAACTCTTCCAGCCATCACTTAGACAATCACTATCGAAATTCTCAAGTGCTTCGGGCAACATGTGTACAAACGCGGTGGCTAAAATAACACCAGTACCAACTAGAACCTTATTAGTCATACATATTGGCATCAATATAAAATACTTACAAAATTTGCCCATGGTCAACATCCAGTCTCTTAAAGAACCCTTGTTATACGGGGAAATTTTATGTAGAACGATAGGGGTGAATATACCTATTTTATCATGATAAATACCATGTCGTAAATCAATTTTTTTCTTACCTAGTGCACTGGTGGCCAAAATGATGAACAAAGCGCCAACTCTTAATGGTAAATTATAGTTTTCCATTGCTGGAGATGCACATTCATCTCCTGCTGTTGTTGTTGTGTCTATGATAAATGTCAGAAAAAAAATATATTTCGTTATTGTATTCTCGTACCCTCTTGAGCAAATACATTGTTTAGTGACAACAGTAAAAGAGCGCAAGATAATGGAGAAACCAACATTTTTATAATGTAAGAAAGAGGAAAATTTCGCTTTCGTCTAACAAAGAAGTAAAGAACAAAAAGAAAAGTTTTTGTGTTTTGAAATGACAGCCAAGGTAATTTGAGTACCTTTCAAGTTACAATATTTTGTGTCGGATGCTTAAAGTAGCCAATCCAAATCAAAAATTTTTGTAAATTTTTGAGTTGCTAGTCACTTTTCATGACCAAGAAGGTACTCTTTTCAATCCTCAAATACTTAGGTTTGAGATGTCCCTTTTTCTTCAAAAAACATACTATCTCTCTTGAAAATAAAAGAAGAAGAAAAAGAAAGATATTGGCACATATTTTCTATATTGAACAAAGAATGCCTTGGTTTTCGACAGAATTGATATATTTTTTAAAGCCATTTTATTGGACTAAATTAATGATGCATTTGCGCCAACTGTATCTATCTCGAGCATCATCATAGAGCAACTTTGACTAATCATCTGAATTTAGATTAAGCTAGTCAAGAAAAAAAGACATTTACTTGATTGTGCCTGTTTCATCGTATTTCAATTCATGTATTTCTTTCCCTCCTTATCATTCTTGACTGACAAACATAAACAGCGATTTTAAATTTTAGGCGATGATTATGCCATGTCTTTGTGGTAACACAGGGGCACTATTTCAAGGACCACATTCTTTTTATACTTTTTTTTCTTCTTTCTTTTGTAACATGTCTCCTACTATACAAAAAATTGACAGAACTGTTCAAGACATTAAAAATGTTCAAAAAGAACACCTAACTGAAGAAAATACAGTAAAAAAACAATACCAAGACGGTATTTGGGTCTTTGGTTATGGTTCCTTAATCTGGAAACCACCTATTCACTATGAAGCAAAGTAAGATAATAAACAAAGTTAAGCTTATATACTTATGAGTGCTTTTAGGCAAATTGGATATATTAAAAACTATGTGCGTCGTTTTTGGCAAGTATGTATCTTGTAGGCAATGAAGGATAAGGCTTATCATTACTTTAGCATAGCGAAGACCACAGAGGAACACCCGAAAAGCCTGGCAGAGTTGTAACATTAATACCTTATGATGAATGGAAAAATATCGAGAGTGTAGTAAGTCAATGAAAAGAAAAGAGAATCAAGTGTCGCCTAATTTGTTGGCAGGAAGGGCATGATACCGTAACATGGGGTGTTGCATTTAAAATCCCTTCTGATGATGTTGAAGCAACAAGAGCTTATTTAGACCATAGAGAAAAGGCAAGTAGACTACATAGATGTATTCATACTCATGGGTTATAAAGAATGGCTATACAGTGCACACAGTAGATGTTTATAGTTTAGAAGATGATCAGGTACCAGCTGTTAAGAATGCTTTAGTCTATATTGGTACAACAGACAATGAAGCCTATGTTGGACCAGCACCCTATGAAGCCATTGCTCAACAAATTCACGATACTTACGGTCCATCAGGATGGAATGCTGAGTATTTGTTGAATTTAGCCGAAGCACTTCGTGAAATCAGCCCTGGTGTACGTGATGATCATGTATTTGAATTAGAAGCCCGTGTAAGAAAATTGATTGATGATTCGCAAAAAGACAGCAAAAACTAGACTATACAAAAGGAAACATTTATTAAAAGAGTAAGAAATATACAATAAAAGAAACACTAAATGACATGATAACACAAGTTGTTGTCAAAATGGCCGCTCGAGACCATGCTTCTGTATCAATGGACGAAGGCCTTTGATAAAGCCAACGACGCCTTCTCTTAGGCCCTAATAAGGGCTCCTTTTCAAGGCTTCGAAAGTAATGTGGCCAAAAGGTTTGGTAAAAGAAAGAACTAAATGTGACCACATTTTCTTGTTCAACATTGTTTTTGGATTGAAACAGTTCATCACTGTCTTCTAGGTAGCTCTTATCGTGTTCAATAAATATCATGCAACTCTTACAATTTGTTGGGTCTGAACGGGAAGAAGTTGGATGATCAAAACTACAAAACGAGTCAAAGGATCGCATAAAGCTCTGTTTTCGAAGCTGGGTTGGTCTTAGTAAAGGCGAATTTTGAATACTACTACTAGCTGAAGGTGTATTCATTTCTTGTTGCTTTTCATCATCGTCATCAAAACAAGTAACAACGGTAGAAATTGTACTGAACGTCTGATCATGACACTTTGTACTACTACCACTGCTACTGTTACTGCTACTGTTACTGCTATGCGAAGACCTTGGACTGTTTATATTTGGCACATTCAATGAAGGTCTTCCCAATAATATCTTTCCACATTCATTGGGATGATACAACTGAGGCGGTGGATCAAAAAACCAACCAGGTTTTTGTTTCACTTGTTCAGGATATAAGACACTAATTCCGTGTAAGAAGACTTCAAAGCCAGGTACAGGGTAAAGCATATGGCTGCCCGTGCATTGCATCAGCACATCAGAAAGCCAGTTGCTCTGTCGCTGATTATGTACTTGAATAACACAATAAGGAAACTGAATGGTTTGATCTGGTGATAAAGGGCTTTTGTAATATAATAAATCTTCTTTTCCTTGACTATGCATCATGTTGATGTCTGTATCAATCGTTACAAACATGGAACAATCTTGAGAGGTATAAACAATACGTCTTTGTGTGACATAAAGGACTAAACTAACAGGTAAGCATATATTTTTTATGTGTTACGCATGATAGTTTTACCTGGCTTTTTTGATCTTGATTCTAGTTCAAGATGTAGATATGCTTGCTTTATTTTATGCTTCTGAGACTCATTTGTGATAAAATGTCCATCTTTTTGGTATTGACATGAAGCTTTTTCTAATAAGCTATCTAGAGAGTACTGAGTTCGAAGCCAAGGCTGAATATGTTTTGATTTTATCCAAGCTCTTTGTTCAATCCACTCTTGATTTGGATTGCCAAAGACTTTTTGCTCCAATATTGTATGAGTCGAGTTTTCCATACAGCTTATTATTTGACTCATTGCTGCGGTGCTTAATTGCGTATTTATGTAGTCTAATAGAGTATGATAATCATTAAATTCAGGCGTATCCAAATAAACAGTTGATAAAGTGCCAGTAAAAGCTTGGCGTTTCGGTACTTTTCCTACTTGAGTCTTTGCTACAGGATAAAAAGAGTGGTCTTCTACAAGAGTCATTTTGCTTGAGAGCAACAAGACAAATTCCAACACATGATCAGGATGCATCCAATATTTATCAATACTAGGCTGACGATTGTCGCTTTCTTTTGTCATCGATTGGTACTGAATGATGTGGTCGAGGTAAGCATTTAAGGTAGAACTTTGATGAAATAGGCAGATTCGGTTCATTTCAAAAGCTAGCATATAGAGCGCGTTGTTTGCTTCTTCCCAAAAGTAGTTACGCTGAAAATATGAGTGGCGCTTCAGCGTATCATGTATTGGCGGTCCAGAATGCTGATCATGTAGCATAAATAAATGAATAAAACCACAGTAATTAAGTCTGTTGAAGTGATAAAGATGATGTATATCAAACAAAATAGACTCCAAAGAACTGTATGATCCATTGTTCATCGTCAAATGCTGATGACAATAGTCTATACGTTTCTGTATTTCGCTTTTCTTGATTAAGTAAAATTCGTATACCTACAATGTCATTTCAGTATATTAATTATTCATTCGTTTACCGGACCTTGTTCCATTCATACTGGAGTCGTTCAACAAAGCATTCATTTATGATTTGGTCTTCGAGTTGAATATAATCCATGTAAAAGAACTGCCAAGGTAAATAAAGCCTGTCTCTCCAGTCCTGTCTAAATGTATTCGATTTGCTGGCATTAACTGTACTAAAAAGCTCCTCCAGAGTTGCTGATAAACGAACCCAAGGTACTGGAAATTGAGCTACGATTTGATCAATTGTTTTATACATATTAAAGAAAAGAAAAGACAAACTAAAAAGAAAACAGGGACGATGTTTATTAGAATAATAAATAAAAAAAAAAACCAAACAGTTTCATGTTGCCTTAGCAAGAATAAATAAATTGATGTTGATAATTCTTCTTAATCTGCATAAATACAAAAAATCAGGGCTGTATCTGTAGACCTATATGATAACATTGGTCTTGATATATTTGCACAAGACAAGACAGTTCTAAGAAACGATCAATTTCTTTATTAACAAATGTATCTTAAAATACCAACTAGAAAAGTCTCCCATTTTGACGAGAATTTTTTAGGATTTACCTAAGCTTCAGTAAAAAAGAAGTACTCTGTTTCTATTATTCTACTTTGAATTTCAAACTTTAATAATAACAAAAATGAATTTTGGGTGAGACCAAAGCAAGCTTGGTAAGTTGGAAAATTTTTATCTGTATAGATTCTCTTCATATGTCAACATCGAAGGTCAAGCATGGTAACCAATATTACAAACTTATACCGATTTGCATGAAATGGAGTCTTTAGACTTCAAAAAGTCTGAAGAAAGGGATAAAATTAGGCACATCCTTAGTAAAATCACAAAGGGTGTTGACAAGCCAATTGTTTCTGAATTCATACGATTTTCTGTCGAAGGATCATATGCTTATATATACTCTTCTACTTTTCTTGATTATGTCGCTAAAATGTATATAGCGTTAGACTTTAAAACACCTTTGATAACTCGCGGGCGCTCTAATGATACTCAAGAATCACTTGAATATGACTGGAATATGCAGAACTTTCATGAAACTTTGTCGAGTACGAAGCTTCATATATCATCAAGGACCAGTGTATATTCGCGCCAAAATCTTGAGCGCATTTATGCTTAGCATAGTTCTACAAGCAAATAAACATAGATGCCTCTTTTAACAAATCTTTTATTCATTAAACAATGCAATTTCGACAATAGACTAATGATTCGCCTTGTAAACCTTGTCTCATTTTAGCATCTGAATCCAATTGTTTTAGGCATTTAGCACAACACAAACATTTTTTATGCCAACGACTTGCAAATGGACCAGGCGCATCATCCATTATTGAGATACTTTTTCTACACCGAGGGCATGTTTTGGATCCTCCCAATTTAGGTAAGACACGCTGTGATTGTTGTTGGCGTAAATTTGTACTTGTGGTCCTAATAGGCGTCTGATTTGATGCAATGAAAGCTGTATGACATGATTCACAATATGGCTTTTGATTAATTTCAAATATAGGTTGTCCAAACCCTAATTTACAACCACTACCAAAACATCTAAAGCAGTCAAAGTGATACATTTTATCATTAAACTTGAATGAGTCTTGATGAATAATTTTTTGACAGCCAGAACAGAATGAATCGCACTGAGCATGGTAGAAAGAATGACCATCTGTAGCGCATTCACCATTCTTAAAAGGCATATGGCACTTGCTACAAACAAAACAAGACTTGTGGAACCATGCGTATTGAGAAGGTCCTAATGGAATTTTGATCTTTTTTTGCGAGGCGTCACCTAACGGTAATTGGCATGCATGACATGGGCGTTGAGATAAGGACAGAGGTTTTTTGTTGGCTTCTGGTTTATGATCAATAGAAAATGAAGGTGAAGGTGATAGAGGTGATGAGGATACTGATTCTGCTGTTGCTTTTTGCAATAATGGTGAAGATGCAGATGTAGTAGGTGGTATAAACATGGTTGTTAAACGGTGAGGTGTGCGGTGTCTACGAGACAGCAAATCAACTGAGAACTCGTTGTCTTCTACACCTTCTTTAGGTGATGGCGTTCTTGATAAAGGTGGTGTTTTGGGTTGAAACAAGTCTTGATCAAGAAGTGGTCTATGAATAGAAGAGGAGGATCTTGAAGAGTCAATAGTAGACAAGCTGGATTGCGAGGAATAAGAATCATAACGGCTAGTTACAGGTGGGACAGATATTGATAAATCTTCTAGTCTTTTTCTTGTGCTGACAGAAGTTTTTTTCTTTCCAGCTTGTCCCATAAAACAAGGTTCGCAACATGGTCGGTTTTCAAGGTCTACTAAAGGACTAGCATCCAATGGGGTCTTGCAATTAAAGCAAGCGAAACAACTTGTATGCCAAATCTTGTTTGTGTGCTCAATAAAATCTTGTTTTTCAGTAACTGGTTTTTGACAAGAGGGACTGTTTTAAGGTTAGTCTGTATGCATATTACCTAATCAAAACCTTACCAAATTCCCTTGTTAAATAGCTTTGGATGGCATTCTTTGCAATAAGGTGAATTGTCCTCCACAATATAGCTTGATTTTTGGTTCAAGTTCTTGCTACAATAAGTGCACAGTTTAGTTATTCTGACTGTTTTCTGGAGAAATGGATTATCATAAAATGCAGACTGTGTTACAGGAACACGTTTTGATGTAGGAGACTTGCTCATAATTTCCTCAGGTGCTAAAATAGTGTCTGCATATCTATTTTCATATGTTAGCTATTTTTGAAATAAAAAGAAAAGAAAAGAAACTTACTGTGATTGCCAACGATCTACTACGGATATGCTACCATCAGCAGCTAAACAATTGATTGTGGATGCTAAATGTACGATAGTGTTAAATAAGGTACACAGCATTTATATACTTTACCTACTGATCTTCCACCACATTTCTTGCACTTGCCACTTGTAATTTCGCCACAACGTTGACAGAAGCCCATTTGTTTTATATTAAGAAAAGAAGAGAAAGAATAAAGAAAAAAATAGGCTATTTTTTTTCTTATATATGTACTTTGTCAAAACATTCCTTATATAGTAAACAGCAGCTATCTTTCTTTGAGTTTCCAACTTGGGATCTGATTGACATCTTTAGTAAACTGTATACACTGGATTAAAAAAAACATTTTGCTTTTATTATGCAACTAAATGATACATTTCTATTTGTGCTCTTCTTCCTTCTTTGTGCTATCACTGCTATCAGGAGCAGTAAAACCAGTTTCAACATATTGTTTATCTTCTTCTAAAGGTTCTTCAGGTGCTTCCTCAATCATTGTGTTCAAAAAGTATTCAGCAATTGCTTCGTGTTCTCTTTGTTGTGCTTCATAAATGGGCGTTAAATTCATATTGTTCTTGATCTATATTGAATTTTGAGACTATTTGGTCATAGAAACTAGGCAGCTCTTACCTTACAGTCACCACCATTTTTCACTAAAAGTTCAACGACTTCTAAATGGCCATTCAAAGCAGCCCAGTGAAGAGGTGTGTTACCTTCGTTGTTTTTTGTATTGATCAATTCAATCTTTTTCTTTTCATCCAAAGTAGAGAGTTGCTCCACAATGTACTCCACAATTTCTGACAATTATCAGCACCCACTAAAACAATAAAGTAGCTACTACAACACTTACCGACATGGTTATTGGCACTTGCCATATGAAGAGCAGTTTTACCAGTGTCGTCTTTCTCAACGAAAAGCTCGGGAGAGGCCTTTAATTCTTTGAGGTCTTCAAGTTCACCAGCACGGGAAAAGTAGATGAGATCGTCAAGTAATTCAGCGTGATCAGCCATGGTTATAAAAGATAAAAAGAAAAAAAAATTCCATGAAAAAAGAGGCTTTTGACATATTTCCTCTCCGCCCACAAATCTAATTTTTATGCTTTCTCAATTGGAGAAGATCAATGAGTTCAATGGAATCACTATTAAACTAGAATAGAAGTCTGACTTCTGACACAGTGCTCTCAATAGAAAGACGTTACCATACATGCTCTTATAAAAGAAGGATTAAAAACCATAGCTGCACATGACGAATTTGCCAAGCAATTTTCTGACAGAGTTGTACGAGAATGTAGATTTTATTCATTGGATCTTATAGCAATTTAACATACTGAGAGTTTTTCTCCTCAAAAATTGAGAACCTGTTAACGTTATGAAATTAGAAAGCTGAATTCAAATGTAATACTTGCTACTGGGCCTTATACCGCATTCTGGGGTAATCCGCTAGATATTTAACATTCAAATTTAGTGTTTTTCTCAGTCGCAAGCCTTTTTTGATACATGCATATACTTTGAATATGCATATATGACTCGATAGCGTTTTCTTCTGCCTCTTCTATCTTGGCTATAGACTTCAATCGAATGGATATTGAGCAGTTCACTGCCACAAAAATTAACTTACGCAAAAATGAGCACTCTAAATACATACAAACAATGCTTACTAACATCCATGGTACCTTTGGGATTGACTTAAACCAAAAAAAAAAAAAAAAAAAAAAAAAAAAAAAAAAAAAAAAGTCTAATAAGATGAAAACATTGACTCCGTTTGAGCATCGCCTTCAAATCTGCATCTAAAGCTCTTGTATATTGTAATCAGTACAAAAGAGGTCCCTTTCAGTAGGTATTAACTAGTTAGTAGTTGCTTATTTTTGCACCATTCAATACATCATTTTCTTTGAGTAAGATCTGCTATTATACATGGCATTTCTGAGGCTAAAGAGAGCAACTCTAAGCGTAATTAACGATAGATGTCTTCCTTTGAGTACACAGGTTTCAGTGCAGCGTTAGATCTGAACAGCGCCAAACAAGCAAGACACTGAACAGACACAATTACACAGCTGGAAGTCACCACTCTTTCAACTCTTTAGGTCAATTGAACAAGAGTAGGCAGCTTCTTGAACAATATGAACCTTACCTTGACAAGAGCGTAAAATAATGTTACGGGGCTTAGTCAATCAACTTGTTGTCTTGGTTACCGTAAAAAGTACTCGGGCAAGTGTTTTTTTTTCTTTTTTCTTTTTGCATTGCTTTCTTGTCAGGTGTGTCATAAATTTGCTTGTTACGCATCGAATATTACCAAGAAAGCTAGGGTTATGTCTAAGCTAGTAGCTTGAGCCTTCTGAAAGCTATAGAGTTGTAAATAAAAAAAGTGGTTAAGGGCTAAAAGCGATGGATGATAAATAAACTGCATCTGCTTTGATTCTACGTCTAACAGAAATATTGAATGTACTTTTTGAAGCTCAAGTTGAAGTATACTTATACTAGATCGATTATTTTCTGTATATAAAATACAATCTCACGATAAGGCACAGGTATATAGGTTCAAACCTGAAGAGAACGTAATTTTCTATCTTAATATGAACAAACAAATAAAAGCTAAAACTGAGCTTCTTCAAATGCAAGGTAAAATAATAAAGAAAAGAAAGCCCCAAAACAAATGGTTTACATATATCTGTATAATAGGCAAAGTAGAAATGCTATTCAACGAATTATTCTAAAAGATACGCAGAAGAAAGAAACAATCTAAGTTAGATGTATAAATATACATTGACGATTGGTTTTTTCTCCATACAAGATAACATTCATTTCATTGAACTGCTGTACCTTTTGAGCCGGATGCACACCTTCATTATGGTCAGAAATTAATCGCATGTTCTCTTATTCCTTCATGCTGGCACTAATTATCTTCATTTTTACTTGCATCTTCAAAACATATGCTTTTTTATTTTAATTTGATTTCTAAAGTAATATTTTACATGATTCTAAGTTAAATAGGGTAAAGAAAGACATACACAATGATGTTTAATCTCTGTATTTGTTCAAGAAGCTACTGTGAAATTCTTCGAGGCTTGTACAGAATTTATCAAAGAGATGCTCTTCAGGAAGGAAAGTAGAACGGAAATGATAAGTACCTTCTTCTTGACCGAAACCAGAGCCAGGAATGACACACACACCAGTGGCATCCAACATGCTCAAAGCATAAAAGGTATCAGCAGCCATGTTAGCTTCTTTGGCAGCTTCAATAGCCTTCTTGGGCAAACGGATTCTAGGGAACAAGTACATGGCACCTTCAGCTTCATTACATGTCACACCTTCCAAGTTGTTAAAACTGTTGGCGAGCTTACTAGCTCTACGACGAAGAGATTCGTAAATGGAATCAACTTCAGCCTTATATTGAGGATAAGAAACATCGCCTTCAACAGGAGGATTAGTCATGAGATCGACCATAATTTGGCCGTGGACATTGGGACACAAAGAGACAGAAGAAATTTTGTACACTTGTTCTAAAATCTCGGGATCAATGTTGACGCATTCAAAGTAGCCACCACGACGGCCACATTCACCAATCATACCCTTAGAAGTAGAATGGAAAGAAAAGAGTTCTTGGTTAGTGTATTCAGGACCCATAGACATCAATACTTTCTTGAAGGAGTGGAAAGGACGACGTTTAGGTTGATAAATATTGGTTTGATAGACTTCATCAGCCAACAAAATAATGCGTTCCTCGTGACAAAATTTGATGATTTCACGAATGTTTTCTTCAGATAGACATTGACCAGTGGGGTTACCAGGGTTGATGATGACAAGTGCACGAACATCAACACCTTCTTTACGAGCCTTATCAACAGAAGCCTTAAGGTCTTCAATACCCAAACCCCAATTTTCCTTTTCGTTAAGATAATAGGGAACAGGTGCAGCATCAACTAAAGCGAGAGTGGCTGAATAAAGAGGATATTGAGGAATAGGGATCATGACACCAGATGTCTTGTCTTGAGTCAACAGTTGAATGACTTTTTGTACACCTTCAGAAGCACCTTGTGTTAGGAAGATGTGGTCGGGATTAGCAGCATAACCATCACGACGTTCAATGAATTTAGCAACATTTTCACGGATATGAGTGATACCCTTGGAGTGAGAGTAAGCACCAATACTACCAATGTTCTTCAACAACACTTCAGCACGAGCAATGGCATCGGAAGGATATAATTTAGATACAAGTTCTCTGTTTTCAGCTTTCAATAACTCTGGGTTTTCACAAAGAGAAGCAACCTAGTTGGAGTTTGAATTAACCAAAGTTTTTTAATTTGCCTCCTTCCTCCTCTCTTCACTATATTTACCTGTCTAAAGAACGTGATTGGCTTTTGGTTGAGTTGTTGAGGATTACCAATGTTACAGAATACGACTCTCTCAAAGTTTAACTTGGAAGGATCCTTCTTCAATTGCTGAAATAAAGCATCAATAAAGCATCAATAAAGCATCAATAAAAGCCATTCTTCTCTTTCAAAAATACAACTATCTCTTTTTACCTGACTTAAAGCTTCAGCACGAATAGGTAAGGCGCCACGAACAGCATATTCAACATTTCTGACTAAAGGATGCATGGTCTCAACAGTCAAGACCTTCTTGGCTATTGTTTATATGTTTTAATCAAATTTCTATTATTCCTATGCTACTTACGAGCAGTTGAAGTAAAGCGGATGGAGCGTTGGTTTAATTGGACATAACCAGTCTTTGTTGTACGGAGAAGGGTTCTAATCATAATGCGGAATATATTAAAAAAAAAAGAATGTGAAAAAGAAAAACGTAAAAAGCGGAACTACTTGATTTGATATTTATACCGCTTTGTTATCTCTAGCTTTCTTGACAAACTCCGGTCAATAAAGGCATAGTTTCAAAGAAAAAAAATGAATTTCTAAATTCAAACCAGCATATTCAAAAAAAAAAAAGAGACCAATTGACAGTGGATACATCGTATGTCAATTTTTATTATCTGAAACACCTCTACATATGTATATACTTTATTTGCTCGATTTAGTTCTTGAGATAAACGTATAAAGGATAAACTATAAGGCTGTGTTATAAAAGACGAAAAAATTTGTCTGTATGAGAAATAGAAACATGCTTGGTGAGTCATCAAAGATAATTTTCCCACAATACGGTGTGGCTTTTCCCCACAGCTACAGAAAATGAGTTACAGTGATTTGCATTTTAAAACTCAAGATTTCAAATGCAGACATTAAAAAAAAAGAGGACATCAAATGCAATATTTGCAAGGCTTATAGACAATTTGTTGGCACTCCATTTGAGGAGTGTCTCTTTTTTTTCTATAACTCGACATAATGCTTTAGTTGAGATCGAGATAATCTTGCATTTTTCCTATCCCAATTTGAGGCGAAGACAAGTTTTTTTTTAATCATCGTTTAGACAGTCAGGACTATTCTCGTTTAGAACAAATCTTAATTGTCTATTAATGTAGAATGCTAGATATATTCTAATACTATCTAAATGGTCAGTGCACTTGATAACTCATATTTAGCACTGTATTCATAACTATCTAAACTTCTGATATCATGAGTGCAGACATATTCAATAAGTTTCTTCTGCTGTTTCTTATTAGATTTACTTCTTAAGATTTGGATATTTTGTAGTGTAATGAAAATACCTCTGTATCCATAAAATGGAACAGAATTAAGTTACATCTATGTGTAACTAAACCTAAAAACTGTTATAAAATCGGATTGATAAGCTGTCTTGGTTTAAAACATAAAATAGATAAACCTTAAAAAGACAAGAGTTTTATTAAAAGAAAAAAATTAAGGTCACAGATGTCAAACTTTAAAAGACATGTTTAGCAAAAGATGACCTCTTTTGGAAGGAAAACTGAACAGAAATGGTTGAATTGACAACTCTAGGAATCTTTAGATATAAGTCAAAAGTGAAAGAACAAAAATCTGATGTCTTCTTTTTATGTATATGGGTAAATGTTCATTGTTTAATATTGTATTCTTTCACTCAAGTAATTGCTCTTGCAAATGCCTTGATTATTGTTTAAAATATTCTGATACATCATCATGCTTTTGCAAGACACAATTAAATATACAAAGAAAGAAATAATGTATGACTTTGTTAATTTTTAATCATATAAAAAACATATTATTTTATTGAGATTAAGGTGATGGCGTAGTGGCAACCACGGTCGAATTTTCAGAAGGTACAGAAGAAAGGTATTCAGCAAATGAAGAATAGAATGAATTTCCTTGATCCGCTGTACTCATGTCTGTTTCTTCTAACTGCTGTGCAGGCAAAGGAACATCTTTGGGAGACAGATAGCCACAGTGAAAAGTGGCAACTGTCATCTCACTTCCTCTTCTTGTCTGATCATCGTCATCATCTTCTTCACCATAGTCATCTTCAACCTGTTGTGTTGTAATACCCGAATCTAGTCTGAACTTTGTTGTTGTCGTTGTCGCTGCTGCTGCATCCATATCTTTGATTGATTTGGGATGCACTTGTTTTAGAAAGCACTCTTCGGCCTGCGTTGTGTATGATAGTGATCCATTAAACCAGTCGTTCCATTTATTTAAATCTTTTTCTGATTCGACTTGCATAATAACATTTGTTAGGCCTAAACCATGTACCTTGAGAATATATTCGCCAGGCCTATTGGTCATGATGGACGACCCTGAATAAGCAAACACCTTTCCTTTATTGGACTTTTCCTAACCCCTCATGTCAACATAAAACACAGACAAACAATAAGCACTTACATTAAAGCAACTGAAATAAGAAATACTAGGCATCAGAACAACATGCATCATTTCCCAAGCTGCCAGATATGGAAAATACTTGAACACTTGCTGAATAGGTGCCTTTGCCTAAAAAAAAAGAGAGGGGGATGAGGAACAATGAATGTTGAAGTAAGGAGGTACCTCATGTGCTTCCATTAACATGCCATTCATTTGACCTTTTTGAGATATATTGTTAAGGCGTACTCTAGAGTCATTCAATTGATACGAGGAACTATTGACCATATAGTTTAAACTAAGCAGTTCATGGCTTCTATCGTCAAATCGAAACTGAGGAGTTGAAAAGGTTGTTTGTTGATTTGGGTCTTCAATGCCTATTGCATTGGTACTGTTGCTGTTGTTGTTGAGACGGTATCGTTGTCTTCCGCTCAAATCAGATACTTTTCCTGCATGTTTGTTAGGTAGTTTTTCTGGGAAGAAGAAGGCGTGTAGTTTAGGCACAAACAATGCCAATAAGGAGAAAGTAGTAGCCCATACAATCATCGTGGCTGTCAAATAATGTCGAGTATAGTAATCTGTAGCTGGCACAAAGAAAATAATAAAGCCAATCAGGACCGAAAAAAAGATATTGCTATACATATATTAGCATGCATGCTCAATTAGAGATATTCACTTACTACACTGAGAGTCCGATTTGTTTGTATTCACTGTATCTAGAATAGTTTCTACCCACAAGTCTTGTTTTGAAAGCAAGGAAAGCCGCAAACAATAACTGAAACGATTCGAATACAGTCAAAAGAGTGACAAAAACGGTATGGTTTGTGCCATCAAAGGCACATTCGGTGTAATATGCACTTTTTGAGACAGGGATATTGATAGTAGATACAGTACTTGTTGAAAACCAAGAAATCAGGCAAATCTAATAGCAATAAATTAATCAAAATAAAAAATGACATTTATATTATCAAAACTTACTGCAGTAATAGATAAAATAGAACCAGACACTTTGAGTAATTGAACGTCTGTTACAACTGTCCGAGTAATAAAAACATTGTTGAATATACGATAAATGCGATAATTTTTAGCAATCAAATTGCTATAGAACCATTAAATTGTGATGAGTGAAATGATATAATTTGTATTTCTTTTTGCTTACCCTAAAATGAGCGAATAGCCTAAATGAAATGTGATGGGAATCATCGTGCAGCTCAGTTTAGTTCTATATCCCACAAAGAAAAACACTGACATATAGGTCAATATAAAACCTATCAATTCGAGAACACAAAATAGAGGACTACAGAATACATTAGTAATGAACCACATGATAACCTGAAGATTACCTCGACACTTTGAAAACAGGCCGCCTTCTGAACACAAGTACAATGATCATAGTAAGGCAAGCAATGAGTGTTCCCAAAGAAGCAATAGCTAATAAGGTAATTGTCACAGGAGACCTGTATCCAGGATTCAAGAGGACCCTGTCAGGAACGCCTGTTGGCACCTATGCTAAATAGAACAAAATTCATCTGTACATAAAAGCAGAATAAACATATGCTATACATACTCGTGTTGTTCCATCAAAATAAATGGGTAGAGATGTCAAGTTCAAATTGCCTGCAATAATACGACCAATTTCTACTTGGGAACCGTTTTGTATGTTGGATAATTTGAAATTACTAGAATTGGTTTATACAATGCTATGAAGTCTAATTTTTTTTTTCGTTTTGTTACCTTGAAGCTGCATCACCATTTTGATCAAACAGCATTGGTCCTTCAGGGCCAACAAAAGAAGTATTAAAGGCAGAAGGTGTAAGGTATTGACCAAGTTGTCCTGATGCAAGTTGGTTTAAAAGAAAAGTGTGATTTGAGTAAGGTAAAGTTGAATTATATACAGTTTGGTGAAACCCATTTGCCATGACCATCATACAAGAGTAAGCAAGTCCTTCATTACTACTTAAATTGGTATTCCCACTAAAAGGATAACTATTCAAGACATAAGTATACAAACATAATGTAAAAAAAGAAAACAGAAGCTTACATTGTAGGATCTAAATGAGACCATTTATCAATAAATTGGTCAAAGGGATCATATCCCGTTAAATTCTTGAGGATATCAAGTAAGAAAATACCACCCGAAAACGATGCATGATAATCAATAGGATTTAAATCAGTCGCTGCTCTTGCTGCATATGTTACAGGATCTATGGTAGACTTGAGAGCCCGAGTCATGTTTTGTTGTTCCGGCACCACATTGATATGATTGGCTCGCTTCTCCAGAATTGAATTGTAGTCTTGGACTGCTGAGTATAATGTATGTGCGTCTGTATCCATGGTGATCCAGACATTGTTGTTATTCATGTAGCCCCGATGAGCAGCCACGGTCATGACAGCTGTTTGTGCATCTCCTTGTGCAGCCACCAAGATAATATGAGCACCCGTAGACATGAACGTATCCAATGATTTTTGAATATCACTTTGGGGACCATTATCATAAAAGGATTGGTATGATTTAACTTGAATGCCGTTTAAACGTGCTTTTAATACAATATTCTCGGACACTAAAAATATATACATATAGTGAATTCTTCTCCTTTCTATTTTTAAAGACTTACATTGTTGGCCAAAATCATCATCTGAATACAAAATGCCCACTTGAGGCCAGCCTTGACTAATAATAAAACGAATCGCAGCATCTGAATACAACAGGTTGGTAGGTACTGTTCTGAAGAAATAGCCAAATTGGGACTTATCGGATAATGAAGCTATGTTGTTTGTTTGTTTATATAAATTAAAAAAAACTGAAATTTGTTCTTACTTGCAATAGCAGAAAATGAGCATTGAGGGATTTGTAAGGTACTTGTCATGAGTGCTGATAAAGAAGTCCATGAAGAAGAAATATCTCCAATCACACCTACAACGCCTTCTTGGATCAATGAGATGGCTGAGAATACTGCTTGTGTGATGGCTGCTTGTCCTTCCACTGCTTTTGGATAAGAGTCTTTTTCTACTAATGTGATGTAAGCACCAGGAATCAAGTTTCGTGCATTAATTTCTGCGACAGCTAAACGTATAGCGGATATACCACTAGGAGTAAATTCATGAATACCCACATCTCACAAGATAGATGTTACCTCTTTGTCATAATACGAGTCTTTTCGTCGTTATTTTGATGAAAAGGTAAGAGTACACCCACTTTGAGTTCGACCGAATTCATTTGTTTCAAGGAAGGTTGAATAAATGTCGATCCTTTTTTTCTTGAGACAGAAAAGGTATAGTTGTTGTAGGCATCAAAATAATCAAATGAATCTGTGTTTAGCGTATTCACCACATCATCGATCGTAGATGAAGTCAGGCTGTTATTTAAGTGCGCCATTATTATTTAATAAAGAAAAAGGTTTCTTTAGTCAACTCGCAAGTTGTGTCTTAATATGTGCGCTTAGATAAAAAGGAGCGAATGTTATTTGGTAAGAACAAAAGGGGATTAAATAACCTGATTTGAATCAAAACAACAACCACAAAAAAAAAATGCTGTTATAGAAAAGGAGAAAAGTAGGAGTGAAAGAGAGAAGAGGGGGGCAACTATTATTCTTGAATAAGCAGTGCTGACAGTGCCAATTGACTGATTTCAACTAAAGATTTTCATTAGTGTCTAATTTTCTTGGATCATACTTTAATATGCATTTAGTGTAACAGTTAATACTTTTTACTTTCCCATTCTGACTGAACCTATTTTGCCTATTCCAAACGCCCATCTTTTCTTTGTCTCTATATACATTCTTTAGAACAAGTCCCCATAGCCTATAGGAGAATATCTTCTGCATGACTTGAAAATACTCAATTAGAATGAATACCCCCTTTTTTTTTTAAAAAAAAGGGGGGAAAGGGGATATGAGTTCAAAATTTCTTTAAAAAGGTACACGATGTTCATGTTTTTTCTTTATTCCTTAAAAGCAACATGAAGTTGTTGCAGTCAGATTTTGTTCCCTAAATAGCAAGTCCCTCTATCAGGGTTCACACGTATGACAGGCGTCAGTAGAGTTTCTTTTTTTTTTTAAGATATTTATTATTTCAAGAAAATGGGTATAGGATTAGGCTTATGTGTTTCTTGTTCCTTCTTTAGTTTTTCACAGTAAAGACAACATTCTTCTTCTTCTTCTTCTTCGCCATAGTACAATAATTTCTTTTGTAATGATTGTATAGATATAGATGAACTTGTGTATATGGACCTTGTTAGTTCAGGTACATGGTCCATGCTTTCTGGTTTCAATAGGGTCACAGAGGGTGTCTTTGGTAGCAGAGGTAATATTTGATGACCCAAATGCTCTGAGGCATCTTGTCTGTAGCAATCAATTGAACAATAAAGGGAATCCTGCAGAAGATTAGAATGTATTTTTTTTTTTTTTTTTTTACTTACAGATTCGCATGAAATAGCAGAATCACAAACAGGACACCAGTTTAAATCGCACATAAAAAGACAAAGTAAAGAAGTAGTAGTAGCAGTAGTAGTAATAGTAGTAGTAGTAAAAAAAAAAAAGAAAAAAAAAGAGAGGCATATATATATAGATAACAAAAATTTTTGTAGATCACTTTATTCTTTAAAGAAAGGAAAGGGAAAAATTTCGTGACTAGAGAAATTTTCTTGTTTAATTTTATCCTTCCATCTTTTCATCTTGTGTGGATGGTAGTGGAGGTGGTGGAGGAGTAGAGGATGATGGTGGAGGTGGAGGTGATTGTGGTTGTGTATGAGTAGGCGATGTATTATTTTCAACTGGGTTAGATTCAATAGGAGCAGTTGGAGTATCTTCAGGTTTAGGTGGGTTATAGATATTACTGGCCATTTGCCAAACTTGAACAATATTATCATCTGCAGTGCTTGATAGTACCCAAGGTTCAGCTGGATTCCAGCCAAAATCAGAAATTTTGTTTGTATGACCACCATGCATGAACTAGAGGTCAATTAGAGCTTATTTGATATTATGATATTATGATTACCAAAAGTTCGGGAGGACCATCTTCTGCTTCTTCAGGCAGTTGAGGAGCATCAATACGAGCAAGGTCCCAGACAAGAATTCTTCGGTCACTACTGGCTGTAGCCAAGACAGAATCATGATGAGGTGACCAAGATAACTGAAGAATTTCTGATTGATGAGCTCTTAGGCTATGTAAAGATGATTTCAGGTTACGCAAATCCCATAATGCAGCAGTCTAGACAATGAGTGAAAATAAGTCATTATATCTGTGACTTACTTTATCACCAGAACCAGTAGCAAGAATCCATTCATTATTGGAAAATGCAACACAATTGACTTCAGCTTCATGTGCCTGAATATTGTGAATGGGTTTATTGGCATCATTTCTTGCATCCCAACTAATAAAGAGAATGAGTGCTTATGGATACATAGTATGATATACTCACATCATAAGTCGAGCATCATCACCTACAGAAGCAAATATGGATTCAAATTTATTATGCCATGCAACATCCTAATTATATCTTTAGTAAGCTCATAATCCACTCTTTATATTTTATTTTTACCTCAACACCAGTTGCATGAGCTGTGTATGTACGCACAGGTTCTAATTCGCGATTTTCTTTTGTTGTACCATTGATATCCCATTGGCAAATCTTACTATCAAAACCAGCACTTAGCAAATGTGTAGCTTTTGCTTTATGAGGACTCCAAGCTAGGCCATAACTTATAAAGAATGAGCGATACATACAATCCATTCACACTTTACCCTTCTTTATCGTGGCCTACTAATCTTAAAGTAGGGTTAAATCTCTCGTTTTCTTTAGGCATAGGGTCATATTTAGTACGGTCAAATACATAGACATCACCCGTTCTTGATTTAGTAGCAATCATATCGGGGTTATGAACCTGATAACGAGCACGATTCACTTCACCGTCATGAAGTATCTTTTGCGTGATTTTGATATACGTTTCATCTAAGCCAGAAATTGTTGATGACCTAACTCATAGACGCGTCACTTTTACCTTGTGCTTCTTCCATCACTGCGTCTTCAGACTTGTATTCTTTAGGAAGTCTGACAGAAGCAATCTGCAAATAGTTGGGTTCATCATCATTGGTGTGTGTACCTAACAATAGACGCTGCATCTTGTAGTTTTTATCGGGAACTCTATATCTATTAGTTATTGAACACGCTCAAATCCGACTCACTCTTCTACGTCAGGAAACCACTGACACGTTAAACTAGGCCATTCAAGCGCGTGTGTAATGACAAGGTCATATAGAAAAGGCGAGTTCTTTTTCCACATTTTATACTCTTCATTAATGAGCTTTTCTTGTTCTTCTTCTGTCCGGTTATTCTCGAGTTCTATAGACTATATGTCAGCATTCTCCTTTTTGTATATATATATATATATATATATATGTCTTCTACAGCTTACCGTAATCCATATTGCGTATATCGATAGAAGGAAAGAGAAAAGGGAAAAAAAACGAAAAGAGGACTGGTCCATTTTAATTTCAGATTGAGACTGTTCTCCTGTTTGCATCTCATCACAATGAAAAAATCCCAAAACTAAGAGTGAGGAAAAGTTGTTTTTCATGCTGAATTCAAAAGATTCGTACTTGAAAACGTTCAACAGCTTCTTTTCTGCCCTAAAAACAAAGAGCCTTGCGATACTCAACGGTAATATTAAGCCATGTTAAAGATTTGCCTGAAAGAGATTTCAAAGTGACAAAGTTGCGTTGGAGATAGAAACACAGATTTTGTTTGTAAAGAATCAAGTGCCTTTGCAATTCCTTTGCTTTTTCAAACAAATGATGGTTCTTTCTACTTGTCTTTGGTGATGATCCCAGTCACAGAAACTCCTTTTTTGATTTTTTTCGGATACGCGATTTTTTTAGACGCGATTTTTTCTTCTTTCTCCCTCTCTTTTATAATGACAATAGATATGGAAATAGATAACTCGGCTGAAAAGGGCAATGCATCTCGTAATGAACGCCTTGAAGATATGTTTAAAAATATGAGACTAAGAAGAATTGTCAAGGAAAATCATGGTTATAATATTAGCCAACTTGGCTTTTTCTTCAACAACAAGCACTCTGAAGCACCTGGCAGCTTAGAGCACCATAAGGCATTTGATAAAAGAGGTGTTGTTCAACGTGATAGTGCAGATACCAGTAATGTGTTGGGAACTGTGGGTGGTTGTGAGGTAAATAGAGATGTATCGTGAATTGTTTTCTTATGACTGTTTGTAGTTGAGTGTGTATGATAATGAACATTGTGGCGATCATTTGGATATCATGTCTAACTTTGACATTACACCTGAAGATGAATCATTAGTTCATAAGCATCAACTAGAGACATTTTGCTGGTCATATAGAGATGGTGATGTGTTATTAGCTACAGCAGGAGGAGACGGACTTGTGCATATCATTAGTTTAGCTAATTCAGAAGAAATCATGGCTTTGCAAGGACATAAAAGTACGTACACAAATAGAAAATAGATGACTTATGAGTATAGAAACGATTTATGATTTACAATCACATCCTCATAATGACAATATGATTCTATCTACATCAAAAGATGGTACCATGAGATTATGGGATATACATAGTGGACAGTGTCTTGTTGTGTTTGAAGCAGATGCTACTGTAGCAGTAAGTATTGCTTACTATCTAAAGCAATCAAAATTTATTCTGTACTCTAGTGTTTTGATTATTCAGGCACCAAATTAATCTCGGGTGGTTCTCGAGGTGATCTTCGCTTATGGAATATCCCTTCTTCCATGAACATGATGGACGATGAACCTATTGTCGTTGAAAAAAGACATTCCCGTTTACTCAAGAAATTGCATGGCGATAGCTACATTGACTGTATACGATTTGTGGGTGGTCATGTCTTGTCTAAATCTACCAATGGCAAGATGGAATACTGGGAATTAGAAGGAGAAAAGAGCATCAAATCATTTAGAATTCGATCAGGCGAGAATTTTTCTCGGTTTGATGTGAGTTTTGATGAAAAGTTCTTTTGCGTAGGATCAAGTCATGGGACAATCTACATTTATAATTTAGACAATGGCAAATTAGTCACAGAATTAGGACATCGTAGAGCAACAAAAGCAGTGCGATGTTGTGCATTTTCACGCGATTGCCGGTAAGTTGTACATATTTGTATTCATGACTCTCATATACTCTTGTTAGACAAATTGTTGCTGCAGGTGAAGATGGCTTTATACTAAGATATGATTATATTGATGAAGAAACACTTGAAGAATGGGGAAATTGGAAAAAAGCGGAATAAAAAAAAAAAAACTTTTTTTTCTCTCTGTAACTAATATGGATCAACAACAAAAGTATCAAGCATGTAAAGCAAGAAATGAACAGTTACTATTGAATACCACCCAACTTGGTATATTTTACTATAAATAAAGAGTTGCTTTCTTTCTTTCTTCTTTTTTTGCTTATTGTATTATAGAACAACAGATGGCACACGTTAAACAGCAGATTGATAATAAACGTAGATCTATTCGCGATTTACAACTAAAAGAAGCCCGGTTTAAACAACTTGCTCAGCACTATCAAGTATCTAAACCACAAACAGACTCAAAACGCGATCTATCTCAATTACTGACTGTCACAGCAGACAAGATATGCAACAAACTACAGCTGTGTATTCAACAACAACTCATTTTTAAAAGGCCAATTTCTTCAGCCGATGTGGCTCAAATCCAGAGTATGATTCAACGATTGCCAAATAAATACGATATGCAACAATACAATCAGATTCTAGAGCCATTGTTGAAGGAAGTAGACCAAACAGAGCCTATTCGAGATCCAAACAGCTCAGTAGACAATCTATTGACAGACAAAAAAAGCCAAATCAAAAAATTAAGCAACAGAATAAAGCAATTAGAATCAGAGACCAGTGCAGCAGAGATGGAATTGATTAAGCGTATTCGAGAATTACAACGAGATCATACCATACAATCCATGCTTACGTAAGACTGTGCTGAGTAGAGCATGTGACTTACTATCTGTATAGTAAAACTTGAGAATGAAAGCAGCCAGTATACAGACAAGAATAGAATTGGAATCCAATAAAGAACAAATAGAAGCACTAAATCAAGAAATGGACAAAATGCAACAAGACTTGGATTTGTCTAGTCTAGAAGAACGTATTCAGACTATAGTCGAGAAAATGGCAAGTGCAGCTGGTATATAATTGCATTATTCATGTTATCATAGGCAGCGAAACACACTCAAGTGCAGTCCCTTTTAAGTGCCAACGACCAATTCCGTGAGGAACTAAAGAATCATTTTACTCAGGTTTGTATATATTCAACAATAAATTTAAGGGTCTAATGGGTGTAGTCCAAAGAGGATCAAGATCAAACCTATGTTCAAAAGATGAAGAAATCTTTACTTGATCTTCAACTATTCAAACTAGCTAAAGATGCTCATTCACAAACCCGTCCCCCTTCTGCTGATCATAATCCTACACTGCTCGATATAAAACTTGCTATCAATCCTTATTGCGTCCTGGTAAGCAAGCACAGTCATGTCTTATAACTCACTTACTATAGTCTACTCAACAAGCCATTGGTGATATCAAACATTTGATCAAATCAGTCCAAGACTTGTCTGAAAGAACTAAACTAGATACTTATGCAGATGTAAGAGAGAAACTAGAAGGTTTGATCAAGAAATGGTCAGCATCATTAGAAGCACATCATATTCCATTGCCATATCAATTACCGGAGAATCATGATGCCATTGACAATATTATACAGTCTGTTGATGCATTGAGAGAGCATATTCAAGGAAAAGAACAAGATTATATTCAACAGCAACAAGAGAAACTTGCTCTTCAGCTAAAGACAGCAGAATCTATCGACAAAGACATACATCAAGTAGAAGAAGCACTTGTAGAAAGAGAGAAAATCAAACAAATTGGCCATGATTATACCATTCAAGGCAAATCATTCAGAGAATGGCTGGATAGATTACAAATCAGGCAGTAAAGATAAGTTTATTTAAAATCAAAACTACCACCACCACGAATTTCTGCCTTGTCTTTTCTGTTGCCTCTATGCTTGAGATTATTTCGGCGACCTGATTTACCCGCTTGCTTATTGGCTTGACTTTTAAGTGAACGAGCTACTCTGTTCTTGAGTTCTTCTTCAGTAGATTTCTTTGTCTTTTTTGTAGTGGTGTCTCTGTATGCTTTATAATCACGATTGTTCAATTTCTCAACTTTGGCACTACGTCTTGCCATTTCTGTTTCCTCATCCACTTCTTCTTCTTCTTCTTCTTCTTCATCGCTTTCCTCTTCACTTTCTTCTTCCTCTTCCTCTTCGTCTGTAAGGGGTTCAGTATTACCTAAACGAAGGTTTCTTAATTTCTCCTCCATTTTTTCTTCTTCTGTCATCTCTGAGGGTATATTTTCTTTTGTTTGCTCGTTTTCTTCCTCTTCTTCTTCTTTCTCCTCCTCCTCCTCTTCCTCTGATTCATCGTTCTCTTCATTATCAGATAAACTCTTGATTTCTTCTTGATATGCTTCTAATTCCTTTTGCATGTTTTTACTAAAACCACTAGCAGCTACTTGAACATCTAAACTAAATTCTCTGTTCACATCTTGAGTAAATCGAGGATATAAAGCACTTTCATAGTTGAAGCGACGACGGAAGAAAGTACGAATACATTCTACATCACGATTAAAGTAACTATAGACTGTTAGTCACTTGTTTCTTGTGGGCTGTATATACTTTACTATTCTGCATTCATATGGGATGTAGAGACCATTTGAGGGAAATCAATCAAGATGGGCGAACCATCACTCTTGATCAAAATGTTGAATTCATTGAAATCACCATGAATAAGGCCATATTGAGCCAATTTGACAATCAAGCTCATCAATTCAGAGTAAAGTTTACCTGGATTACCAATCTCTTCAATTTGACGACTAAAACATATTAGTGATATACAAAAAAAAAAAAAAAAAAAAAGGCTGACTTACAGAGGGAATGCATCAATTAAGCCCATTACAACACAATGCCTACTGTGATCAATAGGTTCAGGTACAGGAAAGCCATTTTCATAAAGAACTTTCATAAACGCATACTCTTTCATAGCAGCCAATCGAGACATGTACATCCAAGAAGCAGATTTACGCTTTTGAAGATAGTCACGCTTGGATTTGATGGTACGGAAAGACATACGACCGAGTCTTTGTAACTTAAGTACATGTTGGTTGTCTTCTTCATCGGCTACAATATAAATATCGGATTCTTTACCAACACCAATCTGATTGCCGACTGAATAGACAGTGCCACGCTTAGCGAATGTCTTGAGAGCCAAATAATCATAGCCACCATAGGTCAAACGATAACCATCATCTACAGACATGATTAGAGCAAAATGGGATATATAGATCAATCCTACTTACAAGTCATGTTTTGAACACGAGCAATCAATTTACGTTTAGCGAGTTCACCTACAAGTTTATGAGCACCACCATGTCTCAACTGAGCAATTTGAGAAATAAGAGTCATGGGCACAACTTCGTGGTTCTTGGAACCCATTTCGACCTATTCTCGGTTAAAAAACAAGTACTGAATTCTGGTTTTCGGCTTACAGCTGTCAAAACTCGAAAGTCCTCGGGGGACATGTAGCGAAGAGCTTTAGCATCTAACTTCATGGTGTTTTAGTAAGAAAGAGCAGATCTGTCATTCAAGAATAATTTTATAAACAGAATGTGACTAGAGAAAACAATGGTCACAATGTCTTTGATTTCAAATCATGCAACTCCAAAGAGAAAAAGAAAGAAAATGGATCCTTCAATCACGACAGTTCCTATTAAATAGCTTTGAAGTAAAAAGAAGGCATGCTTATTCGCTCATTAAAAAGATAATTTCATTTGGATATTTTGCTTTTGATGTTATTGAATGACAGGGAATGCTCTTAAACACCTTTTAGCAGCCATTCATGTTCTTGATGCTTCATAGTGATTTCTGCTTCTTTTTTTTTCTGCTCATACACAGTATGTCTCTTAAATCAAATGTCATGATGTCAAATCATTAAGTACTGAAGGAATACATGTCATTTTCCGAAATGGATAGCATAAACCCATTAAAGAGATAAAATGAAGGTAATTAAACTACCATTTTGTCATAAATCACTTCAATGGATGCACTCAATAAAGCAGAATCTCTTTTTTTTTTCTTTTTTGATCATATTATGCATAAATTACAGGAACAAGAAAGGAGTTTGAAGCTTGCTGTGGCTTGTATGTCTATCATACATGTGTGCTTTCTCGCGAACTATTTTTTTTCTTCTTTTGGGCTTACAATATGGATTTGAAGATATTATCACCTGTAGCTAGCGCAATCAACAATAACCGTATGGATGTAGATGATGAAAATATTCATTTGGTAAATCCTGGTGAAACTGTCACTACAGATCAACAATTTATGAGAGGTCATGGTACTTATACCGAAGGAGAAGGTGTTGTTGTTTCCTCTGTTGCTGGTACAGTTGAAAGAGTGAATAAACTGCTATCCGTTAGACCCTTAAAGACACGTTATACGCCTGAAATTGGTGATATTGTAGTGGGTCGTGTTACAGAAGTAAGAGATAGAAAGTAATATCCACGATTGACAGTCATGTAGGTTGCTATGAGACGTTGGAAGGTCGATGCTAATGCTAGACAAGATGCTAATCTTTTGTTGAGCTCAGTCAGTCTTCCTGGTGGTGTTCAAGTATGTGTGGCTACTATAGATACATAAAACATGCTTACATTCTTTTTTTTTTTTCTTTTTTTTTAGAGACGTAAAAATGAAGCAGATGAACTTCAAATGAGACAGTTTTTCACTGAAGGAGATATGCTTGTGGTATGTAAATGGATGTAAAGTAAGCATAGAACCTTATTATTGTGCAGGCTGAAGTCCAAGCATTTTATGCTGATGGCACCATGGGTCTTCATACTCGTGGCTTCAAGTTTTGCAAGTTACGAAATGGCTCTTTTGTCTGCGTGCCTCCTGTTCTTGTCCAACGCTGTAAGTCTCAATTCCATTCTTTGCCTTGTGGTGTTGATGTTATTCTCGGATTGAATGGCTACATTTGGGTCCATAAAAAGTTCCAAGGTGTCAATACAGATGATACAGATCCTACTGTCCATTATTCTAGTGTCAATGATGTAAGCATATTGATAGTGCAAGCAATTCTCTGATAGTTATATACATAGGACATCACAGAGGAGGAAAGAAAAGACATTGCTCGTGTAAGTAATTGTATTTCAGCTTTGGCAAGGCAATATATGCACATCAACGATACAGTCATCGTATACACATATGAAGCTTCATTACAATACAGTATTAGACAATTACTTGATTTGGATGTTATTGAGGCAGTCACTTCTGAAGCTAGTTTAAGGATGCGTGCTGATTAAAGAAAAAGAACTCCTCTTCTATTATTGTATATAATGTCTTTTTTCTTTTTTAAAGAGCAAAAATAAAGTATTCCTTTTTCTTTGCAGGATGAATCGTGTAGTATTTGTTTCCTTGGCTGGGATTTTCTAATGAGTTTTGTTGCTCTCGGTCGAAACACATTTTGAAAGCAATAAAAAAGCAGGCAAAGTCGATATTTTATTTTCTGTATATTCGACAGTGCTTCATTGATGTTTTGTTTGTAAAGTCTCTTCGTAGAAAAAGGTCTGAACAACAAGGAAGCTGCTTTGTATTTTTTAAATACAAATGAATGTCTTTTTCTTTGATGCTATGTCTTATCGTGAGATTGCATTTTATATACAGAAAATAATCGATCTAGTATAAGTATACTTCAACTTGAGCTTCAAAAAGTACATTCAATATTTCTGTTAGACGTAGAATCAAAGCAGATGCAGTTTATTTATCATCCATCGCTTTTAGCCCTTAACCACTTTTTTTATTTACAACTCTATAGCTTTCAGAAGGCTCAAGCTACTAGCTTAGACATAACCCTAGCTTTCTTGGTAATATTCGATGCGTAACAAGCAAATTTATGACACACCTGACAAGAAAGCAATGCAAAAAGAAAAAAGAAAAAAAAACACTTGCCCAAGTACTTTTTACGGTAACCAAGACAACAAGTTGATTGACTAAGCCCCGTAACATTATTTTACGCTCTTGTCAAGGTAAGGCTCATATTGTTCAAGAAGCTGCCTACTCTTGTTCAATTGACCTAAAGAGTTGAAAGAGTGGTGACTTCCAGCTGTGTAATTGTGTCTGTTCAGTGTCTTGCTTGTTTGGCGCTGTTCAGATCTAACGCTGCACTGAAACCTGTGTACTCAAAGGAAGACATCTATCGTTAATTACGCTTAGAGTTGCTCTCTTTAGCCTCAGAAATGCCATGTATAATAGCAGATCTTACTCAAAGAAAATGATGTATTGAATGGTGCAAAAATAAGCAACTACTAACTAGTTAATACCTACTGAAAGGGACCTCTTTTGTACTGATTACAATGTACAAGAGCTTTAGATGCAGATTTGAAGGCGATGCTCAAACGGAGTCAATGTTTTTTTTTTTTTTTTTTTTTTTTTGGTTTAAGTCAATCCCAAAGGTACCATGGATGTTAGTAAGCATTGTTTGTATGTATTTAGAGTGCTCATTTTTGCGTAAGTTAATTTTTGTGGCAGTGAACTGCTCAATATCCATTCGATTGAAGTCTATAGCCTGGGCATTTTCGAGAAAAACGTAAAAAAGATTCAATCAAGAGCTATTGACATGAATATGGTATTATTTGATATCTCTTTCAAAGTTCAAAGTGATACTATAAGTTAATTCCCATATTGATCGAGGAAAAAAAGACGAAAGGAGAAGAAAAAGCGCTCGATTTTTCTGTTTTTATTGTATTGAGGCACTGATCTTTTCTGGAAGTAAAGGGGGTTATCACTTATGCATCTTGTTCAATATGGTAATGAGAGCTAGTTGTGCTGCTTTGAAGCTGCAATTGTTTCTAGTAGATTAGTAATCAAAACTTTTTCATGAATAATGGTTTGTTTATGATGATTAGTTTGTCTTTGATCTTTCAAGATTAAGACAAGGTCTGTAAGTGTATGTGCCGAGACGATATATAGCTGGTGAATATCCAGTCCCAAATTTTGCATATCTCTATAAACTGTGCCTCTTATCTATCTTACTTTAGATATAATAATTTAGCCAAACGTGTTCTTACTTGTATAATCAATTGAGACACTGCACTAGCCCATAAGTCAATAGGTTTCTTACTCTTGTTGTTCATTCTCTGCATCTTTCTTTCTATTGACTATAGAAACAAGTAAGACTAAAATATTCGATATCAATACGTACAATATCTGCTTTGTTTCTAATAAAGAACACTGGTATGTCATGCCTTCTGGCTTTTCTTGCGATATCTACATCACTTGCCATAAAACGATCATCAAACACAATCAGAATGGCATCAAATGCATTCAAGCAATAGTCTTCAAAATAAGATTTAGATGGGTTTCTGAGTGTACCCACACCCGGCATGTCCCAAAGGTATAAAGCAGGCAGAGAAGGATGTTGATACTTTTTTGGTTCTAATGTGGTTTCTATTTCACCAACAGCAGCTGCTTTCATATGATTTTCCTTGTATCCCAGCAAGCCATTAAGAACAGATGACTAATATGAATTCAGTTTACCTTTTTGTTTTCTATTTTTAGTCAATTACTTACTTTTCCTGTGCCAGAACAACCTGTAAGAACGACATTATAGTGCTCAGTATTCAATCCAAATTGCTCTTGAGCTTTTAGTAATAGCTCAGATGCTGATATGGATTGTAGGTAACTGAATTGATGCGTCGTTGAAAATATCTTTTGCATTGACAATAGAAAGTAATAAAAAGGACCCAAGGGTGATAATGTGATGCCAAACAAGACACCCAATGCTCCATCTGCGATTTTATGTCCAGTCAATAATTCATGCTCAAGCGCAGTGCCAAATTCATAAGCACCGATAAACGGCAATGCTATCACAATTACAGGAGAACAAATAATGGATGTACTCAATGCTCCTATTACTTGAAGCCCTTTTGCCGTGCTTTCCTTGACATATAAATCACTTGCAGTATCGTTTTGATTTGGCTCAAGTAATGAAAACTTAGTCCCCATTGCTACGATAAAGAAAAGAAAGAAAAAGAATACCATACTTCATCTTTTGTGCTGCTAATTATCATATGATGTTAGTAATGAACAAAGTCACAGGCATCTCATTCTTTCTTTTTTTTATCCATCGTGCCTGAACAAATCAATTTTCCTGTATCTTCAATTTTATCATTATGCCAAAACTCAAGCGTCAAAATGCTTTCACTGAAGAACAGCCGGAACCTTTTATTAAGGTAAGTGAAAAAAAAAACTTGAGATTTTTGCTTAACTAGCTATAGTACCAATGTCGCATATGTCACGAATACGAAGCTTATGGTGAATGGGTGTTGATCAAGTGCGATTGTAATGCAGAGTAATGGAGCATAAGTGATAAATAATACATACTTATTCTCCTTATAGAGACGACTATAGCTTCTGTCACTTGCTTTGTTTGAATAGAGCAAAAGAATGCAAGATATGTCGCCAATCATACTCTAGAAAACAAAGAGTGATTAATCATACTACACAGCAAACATTATGGATAAAAAGATACCAACACATTCTTAATGAAAAGATGAGGAGTAAGCATTCATTACTTGGACTAGCATATTAACCCTTAAATATCAGTGATAAAGAAGTATAAAATTCCTTTGCTCATCACTGTGGCAGCAGGAATCGTTTTCCTTATGTTTTATAATTTATGCAGCTGTATCACAATAGACAAAGTCAGCCGAGAAGAATTAAAAGGCCTGTCAGACGCAGACTATCTATGGCTACCTGCAAGTTCTTTTTACTTTTAGTCTATACACTAACTTGTTATTTTCTTTCGTTTAGAGGTTTCATAGAAAATGCTTTCAATCCACTACAAGTTCACTCTTGTTTAGAATATACATTTTTTGTATCATTTTCATTGCACTTTATATCAAATATTTAAAAGACTATGGCTCACGATAATAGATTCCCTTTCCTTATTTTATTTTCCCCTGCTATGCTCTTCTGGTCAATGTCGTCTTCTTTTTAGTTTGTTGTTGACCAAGGGATTTCTTGTTGGGTGAACGGGATTTTGCCAACTTGGGACAACCATCACCTGTCATCAAATGTGCTTTCCAACCTGCATCGTTTGGTGGCTCAATACTTGTCATACAAAGTGAGCAATGCACCTTATTTGGATCCTCTATAGGAACTCAAGTGAATACTTTATCTTTCTCAAGGCAGTATCGACTTACCATTACACACTTGTTTTAATGTATGCTGGAGCCATTGTTCCACAGGAATTGCTTGATGACATCGAGAACATTCTTTAATTAAATGTCTTCTTTCGCAGTCAACCAGCATATGTTCGTTTAGTGTTGAGATTTCAGTAATCTAAATACTGCATAAGTTTTATGCTAAATGTGACAAGGACTTACAATTTGACACATTGGACAGCTTGTCAAGACAGGACATGAATGATAATAGTGCTTGATGAGTGTATCTTCATTGAACGAGGGATTAACTTCATCACAAAAGATACAGACACTAATAAGTAAAAGTGAGTATATACACCTATCGTTTCATGCATTTACCTGTTCTCATTCAACTCAGGGCTCTCTTCTTCTGCTGATTTAGCAGTAGTTTGTTCTTTTTCTTTTGTAGCTGGCTTCATACTCTTACTAGGCTCAGTGGGTGTTGTTTTCTTTTGACTGACCGTTGATTTACTGCTAGGCATCTTTGTTTTTCTGGTTGTAGGTGTAGCTGTAGCAGAACGCGTTGTTTTCTTTTCAGCGGTTGATTTTGCTGTGGTTGTGGTAGTTGTCTTTTTAAGAGGAGGTCGAGAAGTCGTTGTGGTTGTTTTCTTTTCAGGTTTAACTACTGTCAATGCACGTAATTCAGACAATGCATTTTTGTTGTTGCTTTCTTTAGGTGATTTGGTCTTTCTTTGTTTCTCAGCTATGTTGGTTGCTGCTTTGGGGGCAGTGTTAAAGAAATCATCATTAGCCACCAATTTCTTGAGAGTCTATGAACATATACGTTTGAGATAAATGCGATTTTATCATTCGAATACTTACTTCAGCCAAAGACAATCGCAAGGTTTCGTCAATGAAGGTACTCACGAGTTGGAAACCTACTTGATCAGAAATAGAGACCACTAGTTTGATGGCTGCCTGTCTGACATCTTCATGGTTGTGGTTCAGATAAGCAACAACAAAATCCATTGCATCTTGTAATGACACACGCACATGTGAGGATTTCTTCTTTTTGGTATCAATCACACCAAACTTGGCAATGGTAGCCTCAACCAATTCGACACGACACTTGGCTTCTTTGTGGTTATGAATCATTCTTTCAGGTTTACAGATAAACAATGGCATTAATGCATAAGGCGGTTTAGCATAATCATGTACTAATTCCAGCACAAGCACAGTGGCAGCCTGTTTAATCTTGATATTGGTATCACCCGTTCGCTTCAAAAGACCTGAAAAGGCACGCTCTGTCCATTCAATAATGTATTTGGGTTCCATATTAGTTTCTTTACAGACATCGTTTAGCTGATGCCATGTTGTGATGGCTAGAGAAACAATGGGTTCTCTTGAGTCCATCACGGCTTCTTGAATCATCATGAGTGTAGCATTGACAAAGTGTGAGATGGAGCGCGTCACTTTGTCCATATCGTGCACCTCTTCTTCTTCGTAAGGATCATCAAAGTAAATCATGAACGATAATTCTTCCAGTTGGTTGTTTTGAGCTAATTGTTGTATGGCTTCAATCTTTTGTTCAATCTGACCAAGACCTCGTCCTCGGCATTTTGCCTTGACACTAAGCACACAGGCAACAATCTCTTCGCCAAAGATATGAATGGGAAGGGTATATGGGATACGTTCTTCGTCCATGATGGGTTCGGGTATAGTGTCTGGATCGACCTCGTCTTGTTTAGCTGGTTCTGGTGGTATCATAGTGGGTTGTGGTATTGTGTTGCTACTATAAGAAGCGGGTATATGAATTTCTTCATGCTCATCAAAGTGATCATGACGAGGCATAAGGTGTAAGTTCCAATGATCATTGTCTTTTGGAGGAGCAGGTGGTTCTGAACAAATAACTGTATCGCCCATAAAATCATGGTGGGATTGTCTTTCATGATGATCCATGTAAGATTGTTGGTGATATTGTTGTTGTTCAGCTACTTGTTCAGAAATAAAATCCTATACATATATATTAGTATAACGAATAAACAATCAAGTATGGTCTACATACATTCACTTCTTGAATTGCTGCTAAAGCTTCACTTGATTCCAATGACAACACTTGTCCATCATCTGTGATATGAATATTGGCATGTTTAAGCATAGCTTCAGCAGCTTGTTTAATTTCTTTAATATCGTCCTAATTTTTGATGAGACACAAAGCTGTTTACTCTATAAAGACTTACTTTGATCTTTTCTGCTTCGTCATAATCTTTTGTTTCAACAGCATGTCGTTTTCCAATTTCAAGGTCTGACAATATTTTTGTGAACCGTTCAAGTTTATCACCAAGGTATTTATATGTCTTTGCAATTTGGTATGATTCACCTAATACAAACTAGATCAGCAAGATAAATTTTTAAAAAAAGAAACTCGGTAGTACCTTGAACAGCTTCTTCTTCAGCTTGAAGTAAAGCAGCTGTCCATCGCTGAAGTTCCATTTCAGCCAGACTACTTGTAGGCAAACGATGCATTTGACTTTGATTACTGGACACACTTGTTCTTCGTGTAGATGAACTGAGCACACTGTTATCATCAAATGGATGGCGTATCTAAGATCAGCATGAATAGGCGCACTAAACTATATTTGATTACCTGGGCTATATTGTTTGAAGGAGAAGAAGACGCCATTTCTTTTTTATCCAAAAGATGTAATGGTTGACCCAGAATATTAAGGGCCAATATACCCACCTACATAAAGCAAATAAGAAACTATCGTCTATCGGCTCTGTCTGTTTACTTGATTGTATGTATTCAATCTGTTTCGATGGCAGTTGCGTATAACAAGACGCACATATTCACCATCAGTATTGATTTTGATCGACTTTAATTCGCGAGCTCGAAACTGTGCACGCGCATTATTATCAAAACAGACATATCTATCATAAAGGTTGCTTAATATCTTCTTTAGGTTGAGCTTGGTTTACCCTAATCTCGTAAATTCAATCAGCATATTATCTTCATCATTCAAAGGTGGTGTATTAGGTGCTATATCATCTAAAATGTCTTGTGGGTCTTTAAGGACGCCAATATAGACATCAATCTTTGTAGCAATCTTGAAATGGTGTGATAATATTTGTACTTTGGAGATACGACTGGCGCCTGAAAGTAAATGAATAATCAAATCTTGTGGATAATCCGGGCACCTATCAACAAACTAAGTACTTTTTATTATTATTATTTAAAATGGATTTACTTGGGTGTTTGCCAACCTTTGCACTTTACAGGCAAAGGCTCTAACTGATTCCCAGGACTACTGATCACAAGTTGTTCTGGGTTATAGTCCTCATCCCAACTAGAGCAATGAACTATTTCATAAGGAAGCGAAGTGTTCCCCATAAGTATAAAAGAAAAAGAAAAAGAAAAAGAAAAATAAAGAAGAAATAAAGGGAAAAGGAGAAACAGATATTATAGTGTCAGTGTTAATTATTATTTTACAATAATGGCTGGTATAAAGATTGTGTAGTGTACACTCGTGGTATTGCATGTCACTTTATACCAATTTTAGGATATTGAAAAAAAATGATGATGATGATATTTGCATACCCAATCACGGCCCCTGACACATTGCTGTTGTGCCTGGCTTACCATAAGCGTCGATATTATGGTGGCCTCCTTGAGTGGGGCGAAGGAGAAGTCTTTTTCGATTAGGAAACTGTCAAACAGCATAGTGATTCTCATTTACTCTTTAGCGTATCACACATGAATTTTTTTTTTGAACAAGGCTCTTTCTATTTGTCCCACATCAAAATAAAGTTGTAGAAAGCGCTTACATCTGAAAAGTACCGATTCAGATGGCGCTGAATGCAGGCAACAAACAATGTCAACAAATATATAATTGACAGCAGACTCGACTTACTTGTTGAATAAGTAACACACATGAACTGTGATAAAGCCAAGGGAATCTTGACTTTGTCTTTTGAATTTAAAAATAAAATAAATGACATAAAAAGAATATTTGATCTGTCAGTATGAACATTTACAATGAACTTTCTTGGGTTTCTTTTCTGTGAAACAAAAATGTTGTCCTATGAATCCAAGTCCTAAAGTATTATAAAATATGTGCTACTTGATAATGTACAAAGCAAAAAGCCTCTTTTTTTTCAAATAGTAGCTGACAAATAAAGACGAACCTTTATAAGGCGATTTCAATTCCGAACATAATATGCAATTTAAACTATACCGTTTTTGACAAAGAAGATTGCTCATTTGACAATTTTTGCTTTATTATTTCATCAAAAAAGTATATCATGATGAAGCAACGACAAATTTTTTATTGTCTAAAGAAGTTTCGACACGTGCTACACAGTGGTAAGGAGAAGCGCAATTATTTTGGGGGGAACATCAAGTCTTCTTGGTGTGAGCACACGTACCAGTTATTGTGTGACTCTAATTTATTATTTAAATAAACTCAAAAAAAAACTATTCTTTTCTTTCTTTCCTACTTGAAAAAATGAATATGTCACAACCTACTCCTACTTCTTCTATTTCTATGAAAAGAAACAAAAAGCCAAAACCGTTGTTTGGTTTATTCCGTAAAGGTAAAGAAGATAATGACATAATTGTTCCTATGCCTTCAAAATCACAACCACTTGGATCTGGTATTGCTTCTTCGACCATGCCATTCAATTCAATACAACAACGCTTGAACGATCCTTATTCTCCACCACAGATGAAACAGACACCTATTTATAAGAACCCATTGTTCTCTCCGCAATACCCACCACCACATTTTCATCAGCCACAACAGAGAAGACAAAGATCCAAATCAGTAGGAAGAGATCCTTCCACAAACACGATGCGTCTCTTGGAAGAACGTGAGATGACATTGAACAAACTATGTGGCAACTCCCCTGATTCAACATCGCTGGCCGATTCTCTACCTCTCTTGTCTCCAACTTACAATAATACCAAGACATTTCTACCACCTGTACCACCTATTCCTATCCAACATCAATTGCCTTCACCTGTAGAACCATCAAGACCTTCTGTACGCAAATTTTCATCTGCGCATGATCTAAGGAAAGCAACTAAACTACAACAAGATTCAATTCAGCAAGCTACTGCAGAAGCATTGCCGCCCGTACCAAAAACACCTACTAAATCAACAAACATGACTCGTTCGAGATCATTAAGTGCCTCTTCCCGTAAAGTCAAATTGTCACCACAGCATACGAAATCGCCACCTTTATTGCCAAAACAAACAACACGTCATTGGCCACCCGTACGACGTGAAGAAGATAGTAGTGAGGACGATGATGATGTGCCTCTGGGTTACTTACAGTCACCTGTCAGCAGACCATCTTCTTTACTTTCTGATCAGGATGATGAGGATGACAACGATCTGGTTCCAATTGCTGTTTTGAATGTAAACCCCAATGTCAAAGCAAGGCCTGACAAGGACAAGGACTATCAAACAGCAGCAGACAAGTATAAAGAAAGAGTAAAAGAAAGATTACATTTTGACAAGGATGAAGACGATGACGATATTCCAATATCTTTGGCCTTGCTATCACCAAAAGATAGAGCGAAATGGAAGCAACAGAAATTCCCATAGATGACTATATGTATTTTTAATAAAGCCTTAATTCATTAATTTATTCTTGATCTCTAATGCAAATCGTCATTTTGAGTTTGAATTTTAATGAATGAAATAAATAAGCTTTTTTTTTCTGTTACAATGATGTGAGTTTTACATCACTTTTATTTGAATGATCTGATATACTTTATTTCTCGATATTGCGTTGATTCATCAATACATACGTTCAGGAATTTATCGTGTAACCGCAAACAAATAAAGCCAAGTCTTTGGCGCTCAGCTATTAGCGGACATTTTTGTTTTGTAAATAAAAACCCAAAAAATATAGTGATAGAAGAATATTAATAACATTAATTGATAATGCTATCTATTTTAAAGGGGCATATGGTTTGTATTTTTAGAAAGTTTTTTTCTCTTAGTGGTTTGTGCATATTGCCACAAAGCTGTTTTGCTGGCGATTAATTAAACAATTGGCGTATCTTTAATAACAATCTCAAAATGAGTTGGTATGGCCTGTCGAAAATAAAGAAATGTTTTGATACTTGATTATGAATTCAATGAGAGTTATTCAAATTCTTCTAGTTGTAACGTCAATGACATCTACTTATAAAAAAAGTACTCTTCCATTTATACTAAATATCAATGTTACTGCTAAAACAGTAATTAGACTCTGAATAAATAGAGTTACAAAGGGGCTACATTGACAAATAGGTGTTTTTTTTATACAGCTACACAACAAAATACTTAGCTGTTTTTTTTTTGCAATTAGTTTAGAATGACTTGAATGTAGTCGTCTAAACTCTTTCAGGAAACTATGCTTCTTTAAGCAACCTAGTAGACTCTCAAATAGAAGAATTAAGTTACATAACTTCCCATTGAACAAAGTCAAATAAAGTTAATGACATAATTTTCTCGACCCTATTCATATATCTTTAGATTAGATTTGACTAGAAAGAAAGATACATCGTTTTTCTCTGAAGGTGAATTGTATAATATAGAAAGCTACGTATTTTTAAGGTCGCATAATGTTCAAAACTCTTATATGAGTAACTAAGCAGGCAGAAGTAAATGACAAATCGATAATAAATCGAGTCATTTTATCAATAAAAACCCGGCGGAAAAGAACAAGTGCGACTCGATCTAAGCAAAAATATCGAAAAGTCCGGTCCATATGTGTAAAAAAATATGTGAATATATAAATTTTACTTAATTGTTACAACAACTAGCTTCCTTGGCTCAGTCGGTAGAGCGTCAGTCTCATAATCTGAAGGTCGCCAGTTCGATCCTGGCAGGGAGCATTTTTTTTGTATGTTTTTGATGTTTCTCAATAATGCTATGGGACAAGATTTTGATTTTTATACCAGTAACGCTTAGAAGAGATTATACAATAGAATCCAAAGCAAGGAACGACTGCATGTAGCGTATAAGATGTTTTTAAGGTAACCAACTTTTAAGTTAATGATTTGAAGTGAATGAACTTTCTATGTCATTGTCCAGGAAGTCAAATAAACAAAAATAATTATTTAAACCGATACCAATGGCCTAATAAAAGCAAGGTAGGATGAAAAATAAATTGAGTAGTTTATAGACTCGTTCATTGAAGCAATGAACATCAGTTTAAATACAAAAGAATTAGTTAGTTACTGTCAAAACTGATAAAGATCCTATTGTTCTATAACCATCATGATTGCCCATGTTTAAATTTATTTCAGTGCCGATCAATTCCCTTTTGAATTTAATGGGTTTATTGCAGCTACTTTATAATTTGACAGTCAAGAAATGAATCAAAGAATTAACTTCTCACTCTCAAATTGAAGTTTGTATAATTCTATTCAGCCGTTTATAACTTTTTCCAATCTCGTCACTCCCCTTTTGCATAAATAACGAAAATGAGACTATACTCAACTACTTATCTTACTATATTAAATATATATCTTGGGATAATACACTCGAATAATGCTTCAAGTTAAACAAAGAGGATCTTCATCATTTAGGTTGGATTCAACAGCCGCATTACCTTAAAAAAAAAGATAGACCCCCAAAAAAGAAAAATAGTTGACGTTGCATTTCTTTCACTTTTTTTTCTAACACCATGTCAGCCAATGTTAGTTCAACACCCAATTCTGAAGAATATACCATTGATAGTGGTGACACTGGTTGGGTCTTAATTTGTACTACACTTGTGTTCTTGATGGTAAACATGCATTAAGTATCCAATTGACACTGACTCTTTCTTTATGGTAGTCACCTGCTTTAGGATTCTTTTATGCAGGTCTTGCAAGAGCCAAAAATGCATTGAGTCTGATGTATTTAACTGTACTTTCAGTGGCCGTCGTCTCTTTTCAAGTAAACAAACAACTCAATGAAATGAAAACAATTGACATTTTATAGTGGTACTTGATTGGGTTTTCACTTACTTTTTCTGCCACAGGCTCTTCTTTTATTGGTGATTCAAGTAAAGTATGAGAATGATACAACATACCATTTGACGCATGGTAGCCCATTTTTTATTACGAGGTGTTGGTAGAAAGCCACAAATACCCGGACAAACGATTCCTGCTTCGGCATTCATGTTGTTTCAATGTATGTTTGCAGCAATTACACCAGGTAATATACAAACAACGCTAAAATTTACCCTTGTTTACCTTTTTCCATGGTAGCATTGGCCTTTGGATCTGCTGCAGAACGCATGTCGGTAAGATAGAAAAAAAAACAACAACAAAATGTTTATTTGCTCTACAGCTTGGCCCTGCTATCTTATTTATTTTTATCTGGTCAACTTTGGTTTATGGTATGTATGTTATTGAGCTACAGCATACCATTCATAAACGATAGATATCATTACAAACTGGGTTTGGGCACCTAATGGTTGGCTAGCTAAAATGGGCGTAATGGATTTTGCTGGGCAAGTAACTCAATTAAATGGTTAACAACTAACTTGATATTGCAGAGGAACACCTGTTCATATCTCAAGTGGTTTAGGAGCCGGTATACCTCTTATGACCCATGCCATCTTGTATTGATTTTTTTTCTCTAAAATATAAATAGTCGCTTATGCTATGGTGGTTGGTAAGCGTAGAGATTATAATGAAGACGTAAACACACCACATAATGTCTCTTTTGTCTTCCTTGGCCTCGCTCTCATGTGGTTTGGTAATATGTCCTTCCTTTCTTTTTTTTCCACACATAAAATACTAACACCCTCTCCATCAGGTTGGTTTTGTTTTAATGCTGGAAGTGCATTTGCCGCAAACGCACGTAGCGTTCATTCACTTGTATGTACGCACCTATCAGGCTGCACAGCAGCTGTTGTCTGGGTCTTGATGGACTATCAACACACACGTAAATGGAGCATCATTGGTCTTTGCACAGGCGCTGTAGCTGGTCTAGCTACCATCACACCTGGCTCAGGGTTTGTGTCCCAGGCAAGTTCTTTAGCTTTTGGCGCGATCGGATCCATAATCTCAAATATCATTATACGGTTCAAGCATCGTCTTGGATTCGACGATGCATTGGACGTCTTTGCAGTGCATTATATCGGTGGCCTTGTAGGACTTGTATTGACTGGTATCTTTGCTGAACAGTGGGTGATTGCGCTGGGTTATCCTGAAGGCACGCCTGCTTCTGACATGCCAAGGGGCGGTTGGCTCGATGGTCATTGGATGCAAGTGCCTGTTCAATTAGCTGCTATTGTTACTATTTCTGCATGGTCGTTTGTGATGACTTATCTGATTTTAGTGGTGCTCAACAAGATACCTTCTTTCAAGTTGAGACTAGCCGATGAGGATGAAATTATAGGTACTGATTGGGCTGAAATGGGCGAGCGTGCGTATGGATATTTGCCAATGGATGAAGAGCAATCGCGCATTCAACAACTAGTACAAGAGAGCCGTCGCCGTCTTGAGGAAGCTGAAGAAATAGCAATGGAGCATGGAGGTCAAATACAACTAGAAGAGCATGTTCATGGTGCTCTCAATCATCAACAACGGAACTCAAGTGGTGTCGATTTGAATTTGAATACAGTACCTCAAGGGACAAGTTCAAGTCGACGCAAAGTATTCAAGCAAAACATGCGTCAATTACTCTTTTCTCGAAACAAGAAAGTAAACGGTGTAGGGGGTGCCTTTACGTACGAAGAGCCGGTTGTCTTGACTTATGGACATGAAAAAGAACTTGGCAGTAGTGTCATCTTTAGAAACAACGATACAAAAGAACCCGAACCAAAAGAAACAATTGAATTGGACGATTTGACAGACCAAAGATTCTATTACTCAAGTGCAGATGAAGCAGGTCCTAGTACAACAGTCAGCAGTGGACAGAACACACCTCGTCAAGATTAATTTTTTTTTATTATTATTTTTTACAATAAAGCTTAGTTTACAAAATCTTCATAGCTATCCATCACATGCATTGATTCCAAATCTTGATAAACACTGGGTTGATCCAGACGTGTCTCTGGCTCATATAAACAAGAATATTCAGGCTTATGTTCAGGCATCATACCAGGTGTATAGTTGTAATTGTAAGTCTGTTCATGTAATTCCCAAATACCACGGCGCACAAATAGTTTATCTGAGCATGCTCCAAATGTTTCCTTGTTAATTTGCTTAGGGTCGCTTAAGACTTCTGAATTCGAAGCCGTAATTTCTACATAGATGGTGTAGGAGCGCATATCATTCACAATACAGCGCATCCATCCACGCATTTTTTGGCCTGCATTGACAGCCAAAGGCTCCTTGAACAAGAACCGAACTTGCTGCCAATGTGTACGTTCAGCAGCAGGACCTGTAGACATTTCGATAGTTGTACCAAGGTCTTCTGGGTTAGGATCATCATAAGGAGGGGGAGAAAACACGAGATCAAACCAACCAGCTACACCATGCATTAAACCTGTGTATTGTGCTGCCCATTCAAATGGAATTGTGATGTCTTGCAGTTCACTCACGGTGACAGTAGAGAAATCAACAGGATAGGTGTCAAAAATAGAAGGAGTTGTAATTAGGTTGCGAGGATCGAAATGACCCACCACAGGCATACCAAACATTTCGTCACGGGCATCTTTATAGAGTGGACTGAAATCAATACCATAGAAAGATTCTTGTTCCCAAAAACGAGCCTTAGCCATCGTTTCGCTCCAAAGAGTGGCATCTGTAAAAGGAGCTAAATAGATATTGCCTTTAGAGGGATACAAGGCACCACCTTCTTTCAGATAATGATCTCTTGCATAAACATAACTTTCCAACTATAGATTATTGAATGACTTGTATTGTGTTCTACGCTTACCATTCTTTCATGGAATAAAAGGACACCAATAGGTTCAGAGATAATCGTGTCTACCTTAGGAATAGGTAAATCAGGATCTTCAATCTTGGCTAAAATTCGATAAGTATCTATTGAAACGCATGATTTGTTTACCATTGATTACTTCAATCTTGTCTTTTAAAAATGCATTTTTGCCTGTACCAGCAGCACTGACCAACTTCTTCATCTTGTTGGCCATGCCGGAAGCTTCGACAGCATATACTTTCTTGGCACCTGCTTGAACAGCAAAATAGGATAAGATACCAGAACCGGAGCCAACATCCATCACGAGTTTGTCCTTGAACGATTTGGGTCCATTCAGCAAGATCGATGAACGATAAGTCGAAGTGCGTACTGTATCTTGTAACATGTTTTGCTAAATAAACGCGTTAAATTATATAGGGTTATCATTAAAATTGTACTTGATGCTGAAGTTGGGCATAGTACCCAAAGTATTGGGGGTCTCTATGTTCTACACCGGGAACGTCAGAGCTCATACTGATAAAAAAAAAAAAACAAAAACAAAAAAAAGTGGAATGGTATTGACATTTGTATTTTTAAAGCACCGCTTCGTGTTTCTCGGAAGTTTGTTGCCTTGACAACAAGACACGTTTGCATATCCATAGGATTTGACTGCTCCCCCCCTTTTTCTTAATCTTTATGCTTCTTTCATCAGAAAAGCATTGCTTGTTGATATATAATGACTTTGTTTGCAATAGAAGTGATAAGGCAAAGATTTCAACTCGTTTTTGAATATTCATTTCATTGGTTAAAAAGCAAATGCAACATCTGTCATATACATGGTTTTTAAGACATGATACACAATGGATCTCTATCTTTAAAAAAAGCTCAAAAATAATTGTAGATTCAACTGATATTTTATTTAAACAAACGAGTAATGACTCAAACTGACAAGTGACACAAAAAAAAGAATATGAAAGCCACCGGAATTTAGAGAGACAGAGAGAAAAAGAGGAGTGGGGTCACAACCAAAAAAAAAAAGCATGATATAGACCTCTTTTTTTTCCCTTTCTTCTTATATACACACACATACAATATGAGCGATAACGAACGTTCCGGAAATACAGGGGATGATGAACTGTCTCTTCCTAAAGGTAATATGCTCCCCCAAAAAAAACTTTCCTAATCTCTAAATAGCAACTGTACAAAAGTTAATCAACGAAATGATGCCAGATGACATTGTCTGTTCTAAAGATACTCGCGATCTATTGATAGATTGCTGTGTTGGTAAATAAAAAACATGGCACAGGACTGTATACTGATCCCTCCTCGCTTTAATAGAATTTATTCATTTGATAGCTTCTGAAGCCAACGAAATATGCGAAAAAGAAACAAAAAAGACAATTGCGGGTGAACATGTCTTGGCAGCACTCACTGAACTTGGATTCGAAGATTATACAGAAGAAGTGGATGAAGTATTTAAAGAACACAAGAAACAACAAAAGGTATATTTATACACACAATTCACAATAAATGACTTATATCATGATGATAGGATCGAGACAGAAAAAGCACTCGATTAGAAAATAGGGGTATTTCTGAAGAAGAATTACTACGACAGCAGGAACTACTCTTTGCTCAATCACGCATTAAATTTGAAGCACAACAACAATAACCTTGTACAGTTTAATAATAATAAAAATGAGTTCTTTTTCCCGAGTTAGCGCGCACCTTATTGAATCAGAGAGCGCGCTCGTTATGCCGAATGACAGACAATATAAACCCTCTCTTTTTCTTTTCTTTTTTCTAATCATGATAATACTTTCAACTATCAAAAGACAATCCATTCGATTTTATTCAACCAAGATTCCTTTTGATACAAAACCATTCCCCTTTTCTCGATTTGAACCTTGTTGTCCTGCTACAAGTCATAAGGCAGACAATGGATTTGTGCCATGCAAACAACATCCTATTCCACCTGTCTTGGGCAAGAAGATTGATATGACAGAGCCTATGACAGCAGCTAGTTCTTTGCGTCATATTGTGGGTTGTGTTGGTGATGGTCTTGAATGGACTCGATCTAAAGTCGAATCAGTACCTGGTGGTATTGTTCAGATCCTGATGAATGCAGAAAATGACTGGTTAAGACACAATAGACCTTTGCATACAGAAAATGCCTTGTTGACTACAGTCACTGACAGACCAATGGAGGACCATTCATTGCCTGACGTATTGTTGTTTCCTGAATTTAAAATGATACCTCATGTTGAGACTCGCCATGGTGTGTTACCTACAGACTCGACCTTGTATCGAGTGATGGATTCTATTTGGCGAGATCCTTCGCAGCCCTTGGATACTATTCAAGATTGGCAAGATATTCAGGCAGATACAGTTGTGTTTGTGTGTACACATGGAAGAAGAGATTTACGCTGTGGAAGAATAGGACCTTTGATCATAGATGAATTCAACCGTATCATTCAACAAAAAGGCTTACAAGATAAAGTACAAGTATGGGGTACCAGTCATTTTGGAGGTAAAGCCTTGTATTATATATATATATATGTGCTGATCATTTATATAGGCCATAAATTCGCTGGTAATTTGATTATTCATCAACGTGGTTTAGGCGGGCATATGTATGGTAATGTTAGACAATGCCATGTTGAGAGTATCTTTGATAGACACATTATGCAGGGTAAAGTGATAAAGGAAATATGGAGAAAACAAGTAACACCTCCTTCTTTATCACGTGGCATATAAATAATAAATTCTCCCTCTTCTCTCTCTCTCTCTCTCTCTCTCTCTCTCTTTCTCTCTCTCTTTTTCTTTCTTTTTCTTTCTTTTTATGGAACCCACTATTGCTCATCTATATGACAGTCTACAGACAGTGATTGACAAACCAACTACTGATCCATGTCATATACCACTTCCTCCTTCACCCAGTACTTCTTCTGTTCTTCAAGAAGACTGTCCTTGTCAACATATTCTCGGTGAAGATATCACAACCTGTTTATTATGCCAGTCTTCTATTCCTGCTATAGAAGAACTCTTGGCTGAAAAAGCAGGTTATGAAAAAGAAATAGTTGAACTACAGCAACAACTCGAGACAGAGCAACAGAGAATTACAGAACAAATCACTTGTATTGCTCAACTCAACAATCGACTTGAACAAGTCGTGTCTGAATTGGACGACAAGACAGCTCAGTTTAAAGCACTTCAGAGTGATATGGAGCTCTTGAATGATAAATATGTAGATGAGATTGAACGAGTAGCAGAAATACAACATTCAAAAGACATGGTAGAAAGTGAACTTGAAGATTTGTCAAGACGACTGTTTGAAGAAGCCAATGGGATGGTGGCACATGAAAAAAGAGAAAAGCACAATCTAGAAATAGCACAAAAGCACCTGGAAAACCAATTGAAGGAGACAAGAGATCGACTGGGAGCCGAACAAATGCAGCTAAAAGAACTCCGTAAGAGAATGGAGGATATGGTGGCTTCTGATACAGACATGGATGTGCCCAAAACACCAGATCATATTAAAGATCTTACCAGCCTATTGACCGAGAAAATGCATGTCTTGAATGATCAACACCATGCGATAGACTCGATGATGTTGGATGAATTTCAAGAGTTTGTCAAGACAGGTACATCTGTTCCATTGAAAAAGATTCATACGATACCCTTTATGAAGAATTGTCAAGAAGAAGATGTAGAAGCATGTTTGAGATTTGGTCCAAATAGTCGATTGTCTGCTCGAAAGATCAATGAGGCCATTGTGCTCAATACTTGTTTTATTGAAGAAGCACCTCCTGGATTTGCTCAAGAACAAGCGAAACGTATCATGAGTGAGACGCCACTCAAGATATCGGGTGCTAAATCTATGATGTGGGAGAGATTCAGTAGCAACAATCAAACCACTGTGTTTAGTGGGTGTCAAGCCTGCGGTAGAAATGATGGCACTGCTTTACCTTATCGATTTCGTATTTCGTATTTTGATGATTGGGCTTGTATAGATCGATTCTGTAGGGATAGACTGGTAGCTGTGTGTGAGTTTTATGTGCTGATTCGAAATATTCGACAAGGTCTCTATAGTAATCGAAGTATACTTGACTTGTATCATGAAGCTATGCGGTTAAGACTCCAAATGTTCTATGCCAGGTAAGCCTATGTCATGATAGTGATATAGCTCATTCTTTTTATTATTTTTTTTAGAATGGGTGCTCTTCCTTGGACTTTGCGTACTTTAGACCATACAGTCAATAAGAACCTTAAAGTGATAAGCTCAGAATCCTCACCATTACCTAAATCCATAAAAATAGTGAATGATGCTCGCAGAGGTAGTTTGAATGAAATTTATCAAAAGAATCACACGTCAAAAGCTTAATATATATATATGTTATTTATTGTTCATCTTTGGTTTGAATTGATTGTTCATTGCTACCATTAGATTCATCTTTTGTTGTTTGTAATGGTTCATTATTATTATCAGACTCATCTTTTGCTATGTGTAATTGCTCTACTTGATAAACTATGTCTTCTTCTCGGTTATCCATCAATTGAATCCATGCTTGCTTTGCCTTTTCTCTTTCAGCCTTTTTGGCCTGTTTATTTTGTCTTTTCTTCTTTTTATCTATCTTGGTGACAATATTATCAAATATATCTGTTGATTTTGATAAAGTCATGACTTCTCCTTCTGTGTTATTGACAATGATTGTATCTTCTTGGTCTTGCATACTGTTTATTGCTTCCATACATGAATAACCCAATCGAATACATTTTCCACATAATTCAGTATCATGAGGAAGGTATGTTTCTTTGTTTTGATTACCTCTCTTATTGGGTGCTTCCCATTTGTACCCACCAGGATAGACTTGTCCATAACAGCCTTTACAGATTTGGAAATCAACTAAACTTCCACTTGCACTCTTCCATCGTCGACCACAATTTTCACATCCAAACTGGACGATACGTGTATAAAAAGGAGCTTTTTTGTATTGACTTATGATATTCATTGAATTGAAAAAGAATAAAAAAAAAAAAAGAAAAAAGAAAGGATAGGATGTCTTTTATCAAATGTAGATGATGACCACATTTATCACATATATATATATATATATATATGTATGTGTGTGTATGTTTTAATCAAATCAACTAAACCTGCATGAAGCAATTAATCAAAAGAAGAAAAGGGCTTGATTAAAGAGATGGATAGATATTCTCTTGGACTATGAACACATATATGAATACAAAGGCTGCTGATAAAGTGACTTTACTGAGTTATAAAAAATGAAATCACTTTTTTTTTTTTTTTTTACTCTTGTCATTAGAATAGAATGAAGCCTTTTGGTAGTGAACTAGTGATTGGGTTGTTGGCTATTGGTCTCAATTATGTTGGTACTTTCAAGTTACCTAGTACTTCTCTTTTAAAAGACCCTGTTCAGACATTATCCACAACAGTCCCTGTTTTATTTGTTGGACACATATTGTTGATCGTCTTGTCTCATTTACTTCGAGGCACTCTACATGCATCACCTGTAAATAGATAACTATATTCATTAACAATACTTATACTTTAGAAATAGAAAGCAGTAGGTTATGGTGTGTTTGTTACATTACTTGCTATAGGTGTCTTGCATGTATTGACAGTTTTGTTTGGTGCTCCTTTAATAGAGTAAGATATATGTACTTGACATAGTCCTCACACAGCATAGGAAAATCCCTAATACATTCTTGTTTGCTGCTTATCTATCTGTTTTGACCATCATGCCTTGCTTTGAATCATTACAAGAGAATGTTTGGACCAAAGTATTTTTACAGCATAGGTAAATGTTATAAAATGAACAGAGAGGTATTGAATCCTATTTTTAGTCCTACTACAACTTCTGAAATTTATGCGTATACTCAAGCTATTTGTGCACTCTCAGGTGCTTGGATTGGTGCTATTGTGTTGCCACTTGATTGGGATAGAGAATGGCAAGCATGGCCAATTTCTTGTATTATTTCTACTTATGTGGGTCATTCAGTAGGTGTTGTTGCTGCCTTTGTTTGGTCTTCTTTAAAGACTTTATTTGGTAAAAAGAAGAGTGAATAATATAATTTGTACATGGGCTTCATGATATATACATATACATATACATATATACATATATATAAAGAAAAGAAAGAAAAAAAGATTTACAAATGATATATATATATATATATATATATATAAAAGGGATGTGTACTATGTATAATTAAGAGGAGGAATAATCATATATAGATTCTTGAGGTTGAGTCATATTTTTGTCTTTAAAGATATCACCTAATGCTTCAGTCCACGTCTTTCGCTTTTCCATAGCATAAAGTGTATTTTCAGATAGAGTAGCCTTGGGTCCATTGGCCTTGCGTTTCTTGGATTTTTGAGGACGCTATATGTTGTGTGATGAGCATACATAAACACATACTATGTCACTTACAAATCGCTTAATGTAGCCTTGTTCTACTTGGCTGTCTAGAGTGTCTAATACTTGACGATATTGCTCATATTGCAATTGACATTCAACTACATCCAATAGCTTCTTTTTGCGATATTCATTCGTGTCTACTTGTTCTTTCAGTTCTCTTCCAAGAGCACGAAGTTCAGCACAAATCTCATCGTCTTCTCGAGCATTCCAATCAGCCTAAAACAGTATCAATTATATGTCATCCTGAATCACTTACATCTTCATCATTGAATAAACCAGCATATTGTAATTCTCGTTTTAGTCTTTCTTCAAATCCAACGATTTCGTCTGGTGGTTCTGATACTAGAATACTCTTTGGATTGTATTTCTTGTATTCTTCTTGTTCTTCTTGTTCTTCTTGATCTTCTTCTTCTTGTTCTCTTTCTTCAGGATCTACTAACCCTTCCAATACTAGACTTGAAATCAATCGTTCTGTTAATGAACCACACCCAATATCGTCTTGTGATAAATGTTGATCTGTCAATGATTGCTCTGATGCTAAATATTTTAGTTTTTGATGTTGAGGTTGATGTTGAGGTTGTAGTAAATCAACATGCTGCATTAACATTTGGTCTTCTTCTGTCCACTTCTCTAAATAGTGTTGTCCCAAGGGTGGTATCAAGAAGGGTTTTCCTTGGTCTGATTTCTCCAAAAGAAAATGACGATCTTCTTCTGTCAGATGGCGAAAATAAGGTTCAAGTGTTGACCAAAATGTAGTTATTTGAACTTGATCTTTTGGCTTGACACGTACGAAGTCAACTTCTTCAGGTTCAACAGAAGGTTGTGGTCGTGCTATAAACTTTTTGGCTTTTTTGATATCATGCGAAGGTGGTGGTGTCTCACTGCGTGCATGAAGAGGAGGCATGTCCTCTAGTTTTTTGAGTTTGACGATATGATGAGGTAATTCACTTGAAGGATGGGTATCATCTGTACTGTCTCTACGTCGTTTCTTTTTGATATGTTCTAATGCTCTAAAATTCACTTTTGTTTTGGTGTATCTGACTTAATGGTATGTTACTTACGCTTGTCGACTTAGTTCATTTCTCGGTAGAGTGTCTGTCTCATCTGTTGAGAAGGGTTTAGTCAAGATCGTAAGCATATGTGTCTAAATTACCTAATTCTTGTTTGATGCGTATCACATGCTTGCCAGTGATTGTATCTAGTATGGTATGAATGCGGGAGGAGAGAAACAATCGGTTTGTTTATACCTTCTCTGGTGTCTATCATGCTTAAGCCGCGTCTTAAGTCTTTTGTCCTTTTTTCTGATAAAGAGAGCAAGGATTCCAAGTCGTTTTTGATGTTGATCAAGTCACTGGCTTCAGGCATATTCTCTTGGTGATTGTGTTTGTATTGGTCAACAATAGCACTTGTTGATGAACACACTGTCTTGGGTAATTCATATTTACGCGTTATTTCTGTATTCATATCTGAAAATAAAGAGTGTATAGTTGAAAGGAAAGAAAAGAGGAAGGTGTCAATTTATGCTAAGAAAGAACAAGAATAGGAGGAGGGAGATGAAAAAAAAAAATATACAGAATTGAACTTTGTTCACCCACCCCAATGGAGAGATGTGACTGTTATTTCGACGACATTATGTTTCCATTGTTCCATATACAATCCATGCTGAAGGAACAGTCTGTCTTTTAAGTAGTTTTGATATGAACATTACTGTACTTTATGGCATGGATCATGTGGAACCCAAAGTTGATTGTACTCTATTGCACTCATTAGAAAATCCAAGAGTTCATTTGACAAATGTCAACTCTGACATGTAATTCTCGTATTCTGACAAAAGCATCATGATGTCAAACAACTTCAATTAGAGAGTGTCGCTATATGGATAGGCTATGAGCTAAAAGCAAGTCACAAGAAGATAGCCTTAAAAAAATTGATCCCTTTTTTTCTGTTTCTTTTTTTTCTTTTGTATTATGGTTGCTGTTACAAAGGATAATTCAAAGGCTGATATTGCTGGTGTAGTTGATACCATTAACAAGCGTGTATCTGGTAAGTTAAATCTAGAGATCTCTCGAGATCTAACAAGATCAACACTAGGTAAGAACTGGAAGATACAAAAGTCAGCCACTGTTCGTAACCAACAACCCAAGCAATTACGCAGAAACTGGGAACAAAGATCAAAAGAGAGAGCAAGAAATGATGTAGTAAAGACATTAGAAAGGCAATTGAAGGCAGAGAAACAAGCAGCCAAAGATGTAAGTTAAGGGATAGATGGAGAAGTAATGATTGACACAATGTTTTGTAGGCCAAGAAGGCAGTCAGTTTGGAGCGTAAGAAATTAAGAGAAGAACAAGAAAGAATGGAAGCTTTGGCAGCTAAAATGTCAGCTAAACGATTAGAAAGATTAAAGAGAAGAGAAGCAAGAAAAAAAGCTAGAGTTTAGGGGTTGGTGCATACATAAAAACACATTTGTAAAATATACCCTTCCCCCCTTTTTTTCTTTCTTTTGTGTCAACTTTAGGGTTTGGCACAGTCTGTAAACTGAAATGAACTATGAAGTCCTCTTAGAGAACAATTTTCAAACAATGAGATACTCACTAATAGAATATCATACGCTTGCTACAATCATCCTTCTTCAATACTCTGAAAGAACACAGACATTATGCTTCTGAGATGGACTTTAATTTGGCAGACTTTATGTCAAACAAAGTATACCAATAATATCGGGAAATAGTGTCTATGTGTCTATGGAGTGTCATGCATCAAGATTTGCTTTGAACGATTCTTGTTCGCGTCATCATTTTTGAATGCAAAAAGAAAGAAAGAAAAGGAAAGAAGTTGTTTCTTTTCCTTTCTTTTCTTTCAGTACTTACTTTCCTTTCCTTTTTTAAACATGAAGAATCAAGAAACCAATTGTTTTCTTCAATACAATCCTAGTCTTTCTTATATCATGTCTTCCACTGAGCATTTGAATGCTGATGTGTATCAACAACAAGGTATGGTTGAGATAGACAGAATGATAAACTTATCTTTAGATCTCATTGAATTCAAATACAATGTGCCTATTCTGGATTCTGATAACATGGCTACTCAACACTCTGCTTCTGAGGATGTCATGTCTTGTTGTGCTTCTCCAGCTTCTATTCTATCCACAGGAAATCATACGCTGTTGTCTCTTTCACCTTATCAAAACGCGCCTGAAAATATAGTTCAACAACAGACAGACAAAGTCCATTTGGATCCATTCTATAGCCTAGATGCTTTTTATTCCCCTTCACCTTCTTCTTCTTCTTCTTCTTCTACAACAACAACAACAACAAAAATAAGCACAAATCATGATATGAAAGAAGAATCTATGTTGGATGCATCGGTGACAACTAAAAAAAGACGACGCATGGATGCATTAGTAAACAAACAAGAAGATCTTCAATTATCGAATTCTGAACTTAAAAGACAAATTCATATCCAATCTGAACAGAAAAGAAGAGCTCAGATCAAAGAAGGATTTGAAGCCCTGAGAAATGAATTACCTAATTGTTTAAACAAGAAGATGAGTAAAGTAGCTCTGTTGCAGAGAAGTAAGTGCTTTATTTTTATTATTTTTATTTGTACGACACATTACTGATTTGCTCTGTGAAGCTGTTCAACATATGCAACATTTAAAAAGTACACAGATCATTATTCTTTCAGAACTCGAAAGACTCATGCATGAAAATGAACAATTGAAAAAGTAAGTCAAGTTTGTTTGTTGAAAGATACTAAATACATCAAAAGATGTCAAGAAAATGTCATTCAACATTCAACATTTCCTTCTTTATAAGCATCCCTCATACAAGCTTTCTTTTCTCTCCCCTTATTCTTAAAATATTAACCTGTATATGCTCTCTTTATGTGTATGTTCATTCCTTTCCCTTTTTTTTTTTTTTAAATAAAAACTGTCTACAAAAGGTCAATCATAAAATACAATATGTTTATTCATAAACACCGCCCAAGACATCTGTTTGTGCTAGTGCTAGTAACATAGGGTCATCAAAGTACTTGTTTATACTGACATCTTCAGAAAGACCCTTTCTTCTTCTTGTCTTGACCATAAAATCTCTGGCTAATTGTTGACCTGAACTGGCTTCAAGTGGACGAATGACTGTGTTCTTATCCAGAGGATCACCAGGAACAATTTGCCAATGATCAAAGATTTGTTGACAGAATGCTTGTCCTTCTGTATGTGTTCTAAGGTCTGTTTCAAAACCACAAGAGTCAATAACAGGAATATATGCCTTGACTGTATATAAAGGTGAACCTGGCTTGGGAATGTCTTGTGTGACATGACCTCTGTGATATGATCAGTAAGGAGAGAACATTGTTTGTTGATTTGTTTACCTTCGTCGTTGTAGAACTGCGTACACTGCAGATACACAATCTGCTGGTGCTTGTATTTCAACATAGTATACAGGTTCCATTAAACGGGGTGTTGCCTAACTTATGTGTCAACAAGACGCATTTCAATGTCTAGTACTTACAGTCAAGAAAGAAGAGTAACAGACACGACGTGCAGTAGGAATAATTTGTCCACCACCTCTATAGATGGGTTCATTTGCTAAGGCAGCATCTAAGATTTTGAATTTCACGTTACGGATAGCTAATAGAGAATGAGTTACAACAACAATAGGTCTATCGATTGCCTTACGTTCATCACAAAGAGGACCTTCTCTAGTACCCCATTGAAAACCTTGACGAATAGAGTCTTTGACTGAGAACAACAGTTTCTTGTCTACTTCAGTAGGTAGTGTATCGTCCATCAAAAGATTGGGTCCCATATCATCTGGACCGAATGCCCAAACAGATCTTGAGGCAAGTACATCCCAGCCATGCTTTGTTTCCAGATGTTGGCCTAATTTACTCTTTGACCAGCGAATACTGACATCGCCCTGTTCAATCTCCTGAGCCAATTCTTTCTCTAATGGTTCAGCAATCAACGTCAATTTGTTCCTGTAAGTCTATTTAGTGTCGAGTGTATATCAAACAGGCAACACTTACTTTTTGTTAGGTGTTTCTGCAAAGCACTTCAAGGCAGATGTCTCAACCACCGTCTCACAGAATCGTACGACTGGATCAGACACTTTGAGTTCAATTTCAGCATACATACGACGCAAATCATGCAAGACACAGTCCAGGTAAAGTTCGCCTGTACCTAACACAATATGTTCGCCTGACTCTTCTACTTTAGTCGTCACAATCGGATAACTCTTGTTGATTTTACGAAGACCATCCAACATCTTGGGTAATTCAGAAGGATTGACAGGTTCAATGGCTACTTTCAATGTAGCAGCTGTAGGGAAACGCAAAGGTTTAAAAATATAAGCATCTTCTTTAGACTTCTGGTCTACAATAGTGGCTGTCTTCATGATAGAACTATCTACACCACCAAGCAATACCCAACTACCAGCAGGAACACCTTCAACTGGAATACGGTATCTTGATTCAAAGATCCAAGTATGCTCTACTTTTTGCATCGCCATGTCTTCTTCATCTTCAATAGAATAGCCCTCACCCAACACACGTACTATCTGCCCAGCCTTGACACTGCCACTAAACACTCGGCCAAATGCTTGGAATTCTGTGCTCGATTCATTGTTGAACAGCTTTGTCACTTGGATCATCAAAGGTCCATCTGCATCACACTTGATCATGGACTGTACCACTTGAGAATCAAGAGGACCCGTGTAGAAGCGTTCAATCTTGTGAGCTGCATTATCAACAGGCGAAGGCACATGTTTAGCCACCATATCAACAAAGGAGCCTGATGTACCAAAGAACTGAGCCAATACCATATGAAGTAAAGGCTTCACATTTAAGCCATAATCTTTGGCTTTCAGATAGATACCTAATGAACGTAACGTCTTTTTTAAATCTTCTGTTTCTTCACCAATGACCTGTCCATAGATTTTATAGAGAGGCTCTAGAATGAAATGGACAAAGGTACGCTTGCTTGTACCATGGTTTGATTTACGGTTAAATGTGCCCTTTTGACTGTTATAGTAAATGTCGCCCCAAAGACGTTTGGCGAATTCGTTTTCGTCAAATTCAGCTTCATAGGAATCAGCATAGAGTTTAGCAAATGATTTAAGAGAAAAGATCCAGCCCGTTTGACTAGAAGCGAAACAGACATTGCCTAGTTCAGGTGAAAGACGAATTTGATCATGGCCAGCAACAGAACTAAAAGAAGAAAGTGAGTGACCTTAGTTTTTAGAAATCTTGACTTACCGAATCACACTGTTGACTTCTTCAATCGTATGACGCAATTTAAAGTAAGCATCAGCAGGTGGTAGTTTTAATTCCAAAATCAAACGATCTACTTTATTCACTACCAAAGTCATGGTAAGGCCTTCACGTACACAGTGTTTGATGACTTGTTCTGTATTGACCATGACACCTTCAACCACATCGACTACAATGACAACACCGTCTACTAGACGAGTAGCAGCCACGACTTCATCAATGAAATTAGCATGGCCAGGTGTATCCAACATATTTAATAAATATGACTTTTCTTTCATGTCTTGCATCACAAGTGTGACAGGCATTGATTTGATAGACACACCGCGTTCTCTTTCCAACATGTGTGTATCTGTGTATCGTTCAGGCTGATCCACATTGACAGGAATATTGTGTGTTTCTGAAATAAGCATGTCAACAAAGGATGTTTTACCGTGATGAAGATGGCCTGCAATAGCAATATTTCGTACAAGGTTGGGATAGTTCATCAAATCAGCCATGTATCTATAGCTTGGTGTGAGCCTGGCATTGGAAAACACGAACTTACTCTTTCTTGTAATACGTCTCTGGTAGATCTTTTTCGGTCACGTTGAACTTTCTGACTTTGATGGGTGCAATAATAGGTTCAGACAAAGGTTGTGTATCTTCTTCTTGAACCATGGTTTCGACTTCTTGACCATAGACTTCTTCAGCAGAGGGGTAATACTTTTTGTCTTCATGAAGTACAATTTGATTAGGAGGAATATCTATAGTGTGTTTAGTGATATGCTATTGTGCATTGGTCATTACCATCGATTTGCATTAACGCGTTATCTGCTGTTTCTTCTTCTTGTTGGTCATCTTGGTCATCCTCATACTGTTCCTTTTCTTCTTCTTCTTCTTCTTCTTCAAGTTCCAAATCATCGTTCTCATCCTCAAGATCTGGACCGAGATAGTTACCGAATTCGTCGTAAAGAGAGTCGTCCATTCTGTTATGTCGCGCTTTTTTGCTAAAAAACGGTGCCGTGATCTATCAAAAAGCGTAGTGAAAGATAAAAATCCTTTTTGTTAAAAAAAAAAATAGCGCCCACGTCATTTGTGACTTTCAGACGAGTTATTGTCGGAAGCTAAATCTGTAAACGAATGAGCAGTCCTACAGTCATTGTGTTCATTACTATGCTTGTAAAGACAAACTTCTAAAGAAGAACGAAACTTACTATTATTTAGATAAATGTGACAATTGACAGTGGATTCAAGCATAGGGGCAGACACAAAGGTTGATATAGCGTATTCCATCATAATTTGCGAGTAAACTTACTGTATCTGACTAAATGCAAGATATCATTGGCTTATATGCAAAAAAGTAACTGATATATTTTTGACAAGATATAGGGATTGAAGCTGTTCATAATCAAATGGCATGTTTTCAACTCCCTAACAATGATATCTAGGCATTGGATTTGTATGCCTTAATCACTAATAGCACTGGAGGCTGCAAGAAAAGAAGGTGTCTAACGACAGCCTTTAGCATCCGGAGGCGTCGTTTACCACAATCTGTATCTTAGTAGGCAAAATGAGTACCAGAGCGACCACAAAGAAAAATCTGCAGCATTGATTAAGTATATTGCAGTGTTAGTAAACCATGTTTCAAACTCTTTGACATCTTTGAAAATTATCTTCACTTCTGGCACAGAGTAGTGAGGAGTAATTCTTTAAATTTACAATTCTTAAATAGTGTTTTGTCATTAGAAATAGAATGATAGGCTGAATTACCAACAATTATTAGCTGAGAAAGGGCGAAGATGTTGAAGGGCTTCTAGCCAGCGCCTGTAGTCTCATATGCAGAAAACAAGCTGAGTTTAGTGATATATACAGCAAGAAGTATTGTAGTCCATTTTAGAGTTTGAAATCACATACATTTGATGAATTACAGGTTTCTTTGTGTGAAAAAAATACTTGTTTGTTGTTGTAGCTAATTGATAAAATATTTTTGATGAATTAGCCCTCAATTACTATTCCTAATGCAATATATCCTTCAAAAAAAAAAAAAAAAAAAAAAAAAAAAAAGGATTGCTTTTTGGAGTGGACGGAGTGTTTCCTTGAAATAATCACTGAAGAAGCTAGTAGAAAACAGTAGGTAGAAAGTTACAACCATTATCTTTTACTTCTATGGATGATAAAATATTTGCATTCCGCAAATCACAAAATTGCTTAAAACAATCTTTCTTGCCTCCGTTTCGGTTCAAGATATGGTAAATGCTCTCAGATTCATGCTTTATTTTCAGAATAATATACAAAGTGTAGAAAGAACAAATGTTTCCTCTTTTCCCTTATGTTTTTCAAAAATAAAGTCGATTTTTTTTTCTTCTCAAGGTAGGAATACGATAAACCAGAAGAATTTTGATGACAGGACAGAACATTCGCCACATGTTTTTACTTTTGATTTGGCAGCTTTAGAATTTATATTGTCTCAACAAATGTTTGAAGTGTCTACAAAAATGAACAAGTTCTTCTCGAAAAGAATCCAACTCGCCCACAAATAACTTTTATGAGTCTAAAACAAATGCAAAACCGTTTCAATCTGAAGTTAAAATACTATATTAGCTCTTCACCCATTAAACACAATGCTTCTAAAGAATAGGCTCTGTCTTGTTATCGAGATAGATCAAAAGATTAGATTGAAATAGCTGAATACAATAAGCGTACCTGACTACTGTCTCCATAGCAACCATAGGCAAATCTTTTTTATTATTATTATCTCTGCTAGTGAACAAAAGATACTCGTGTATTTTGAAGATGAACTCATGATTATTATCACAACCACATTTGATTCTATCTACATGGTGCTCCTGATCTTGTCACTAGAGATAACCTTTTTTTTAGTCTATAATCTCATCCATCCTGAGCGCCTTAAGCCATTACACAACAGGTTTTTTTTTTTAAAAAAAAAAAAAAAAAAAAAAAAAAAAAAAAAAAAAAACTTAATAAAAAGGGAACAATAACAATTGATTCTCCTCTATAAGCTCAGTTTCTTTTTTTTTTCATGCGATCTTTTTTTTATGAACTCAGTTTTTCATATAGTTTTAAGGAGTAGAGCGAAAAGAGGGGAAGAAGGGAGGAAGAAAACAAAGAAGGGGAAAGACTGCTAAAGATGGGATGATGATATTGAGAGTAGCTAATTATGATGTAGCAAAGTGTATGTTGGTGTGAATGTACAACATTCGTATTACTTCAATTGTAAGCATTGCGCGTGTTCAGACACAATTTTTAATTTTTTATAATTTCTAAAAAAAAGTTTTCTTTCCCCCTTCGCTTTCTTTTCTTCCTTTCTCTCTCTCTCTCTTTCTTTCTTTCTTTTTTTTTTTTTTTTTTTTTTTACTTTTTACTTGAAAGAATGGAAAGGACAATTTTATCAAAAGAAGAGACAGCATCTAGAAGCAATAAACCGCAAGTCTATCTCAGTAGTCCTCGGCCTCTTTTAAAAAGGCCCTTGGACGGCAATGCTTTTCCACCTAACCATCCATTGGCCAATTTACCTATACCTTCGCCTACACCTTATCAACAACAACAAGCAGCTCGTCTACACTATTACCATACTAGGCCCTCTGCGTATGTTGAGAATCCGAGTTTCGGCTTAAAGGATTTTGAATTACAAGATACCCTAGGCAAGTGACAACATATATACATACCATTTTTTGTTCTTATTTGTTCTATTTTCTAGGCACTGGCACATTTGGCAGAGTGTATTTGTCTAAATTTATACCTTCCAGTAAATTTTATGCTATGAAAGTATTAAAGAAGTCTGAAGTCGTAAGATTAAAGCAAGTGGAACATTTAATATCTGAAAAGCAAATACTGTCATCTGTTCGATTTCCATTTATCGTTGATCTGTAATTATTATTATAGTTTTGGATAGATTCGAATGCTCACGTTTCCCTATTTGTAATTATTATTTATTTATTTAGATTTTGTACATTTCAAGATGAATCTAATCTATACATGCTGCTTGAATATGTGGTGGGTGGAGAATTGTTTACGCATTTACGTAGAGCTGGCAGATTTACAAATGACATGACAAGATTTTACGCTTCTGAGATTGTATTGGCTATAGAATACTTGCATTCAAAGGATATCATCTACCGTGACTTGAAGCCTGAAAATCTGTTGATTGATCATCAAGGTCATATCAAGATTACTGATTTTGGTTTTGCAAAGAAAGTGGTTGATAGGTTTGTGTGTATATCATATTTGAATATGGCTAACTTTTTTTTTTTTTTTTTTTTGAAAGAACTTGGACATTGTGTGGTACTCCAGAGTATTTGGCTCCTGAAATTATACAGAGTAAAGGTCATGGCAAGGCTGTTGATTGGTGGGCTCTTGGTATTCTTATATTTGAAATGTTGGCAGGGTAAATTACATATATATATATATATGCATGTTCATTTGTAGATACTCAACTCAATTACGATTAGATATCCTCCCTTTTTTGATGATAATTCATTTGGCATATATGAAAAGATTTTAATGGGTAAAGTTCAATTTGCTGCACATTTCGATCCACTTGCCAAGGATTTATTAAAAAGGCTGTTGGTGAGCGATAGAACGAAACGTTTAGGCAACCTAAAGGTATAAAAAGGGAAAGAAGAAGAAAAAATGCACATATTAAAAACGATTGATTTTAGGGAGGATCGGAAGATGTGAAAAGACATAAATGGTTTAGAGGCGTTGATTGGATTGGTTTGTTGGACAAAAATGTGCGGGTAAGTACACTATTATGGCAAGAGAAAGAGGTTGACTTTTTAATTTTAGGCACCAATTATTCCACATTATCCACATCCTGGAGACACAAGCAATTTTGAAAAGTATCCTGAACAGTTTGACACCGAGTGTAATCTGGAAGGAGATCCCTACAAGGAGCTTTTTGTAGGCTTTTCATCTTAATAAATTCGTAGATTCCAATCTATGTACAGTTACCATACCTATATGATTTTAATTGCCCTTTATTCATACCCTCTTTTTATGTTACCAAACAAACAAATGAAAAAAAACAAAGCTACAATAATACTACAATGATAATAAAATCCCTTTATTTTACATGATCAGCTTACTTGATGATCAACACATATAAAGTTTAATTATATACAGCATTAGTAGTTGTATGTAAGTCTAATAAGAAAAGAGAACGAGGCTGTGTCAACAAGTTTTACTATACGATTAAAGGAGTCTGGTGATTAAAGGAGTGAAAATCAGTGCACACACACACTGTTTGTTTACATTTTCTGCTTAAAAAGGAAAACAGACTGAGTACAAAAGGTGCTTCATTCACACTTTTTCTATTTGAGTATAAAATGTCGTACGTTTTCTTACTAAAGTTATGTCAAAAGTCAAGGCTTGTGTTCATATAGATTAAATATTTTTTATTTTCATTATTATTACTATTATTCTGATCAACAGAGAATGAAATAAAATTATACACAGTGAATAAGAAGCTGGTTCTTATATGGTATAGATTATGCACGTTTAAAATATTTGAGGAATTTTTTTGTCATTGTATTGGTGACAAGTTGTCCTGTAGGTGTGCTGGTCAAAGCATGGTTCATTTTGGACTTCTTGTTGTTGTGGAACACATTCATAAACGACTTGAGAGAACTGAAAGAAGAAGTTGATTTTCTTTTTTTTAACATTTGATTTAAATGACTAGCATTCGTGTTCTGTTCAACAGTCTTGGATGGTGATTGTTCTCGACTAGTAGTTATTTTAGCCACCGCAGGGTGCTGTTCAGTGGATGTTACACATGATGAAATGCCAGACTCAATCAAGACAGGAGCCATGTTGACATATTGTACAAACTCTTCATCCCCTTCATCTTCTTCGTCACTGCTTTTTGTGTTATCAAGATCGGGTGTGTCTTCATAATATTCTTCATCATCTTCTACGGAAACAACATTGCTATATTCAAACCATGATGCAATTAGATCATCCGAAAATGTCTTTTGATATGCTTGGAAAGGCACTTGTTTGCCATGCAGCAGAGGCTCATGAGGAAACAGTTCTGAAATCTTCACAGAAGGTGATGCAGTTCCGTCCAACATGGTGCTAAAAAAATCTTGAAAGATCCAGTCTGTCGCTTGAGGAATTTTTGTGCTTGGACATGCTGATAACTTTGACGCTGGAGAAGCAGAAGGAAATAGAATAGTTTCAGTCATCATATGAATAAATAAATAAATAAAAATGTCGAAAGCCAAAAGAGAGAAAAAAAAGAAGGGTTTCTTTTATATTTGTAAATCTCTCTTTTTTTATATTTTTGCACAACCATCAACTCAGATACATTTCCCGCATGTCTGTCGCATGGGGAGGTTCATTTACAACAATCAGTGCGCAAAAATAAAAAGTTGAAGCACAAACAAAAGAATCAAGTTGCTAGAGATGCATGGGTTACACGAGTGTCCGTGATTTTTTTTTTATATTAAGCCAAGGTTGATGTAAAATGCCTCGTTCATCTTCGTCATTCCCATACGATAGTGCATGGTTAGTTTTCTTTGTGTGGCCAAGAAAAAAAAAAATGGTTGAGACGATCTTGTATTTTGTTTTGTCTTACTTGACTAACAATGACCATTGTTTCCCTTTGTCTGTATTGGTTATACAGTCACGCAGAAAAAACCTTGGATGTCTTTTCATGATTCTTGAACAAGTTTCCCAAAGCATAATGATAGATGAGCACTGTAAACCGTGTAAGATAAATGCTTAGGTTGTTTACTTGACAAAAAAGAGAAAAGACTAACATTTGATGTAGTCACTATTTGCATCAATCACAGCTTAGTGTTGGTCGGTCATATTGTCGATCAAGCATGTAGTGGTATAAATATAATGAGTTGAAGACTATCTCATTTTTGGCAATTATGCAATTGACAAAATAGTGGCATTCAACTACCTCCTCGTATTTGTGTCAATATTTTACATATACTGGTTAATGGCTGTTATTAATTTGTCTTCCTTCTATTCTCTGCTCTTTCTTATAACCTAATGTAAGTAACAATATAAATATTATTAATGTATCTCATGCTCTGCTTAATTTCTAGAACAAAAACCTCTTGTACTTTTTTTTTTTTTTTCTTATTTGACTCATTGAACTTATAAACTGATATTACGGTTATGTAGCGTTTACCAAAGTCTTTTTTTCAGGTTTTGAGAGTAGGCATTCAAAAATGTTATCAACAGCCATAAGAGCAACAGCCGAGTAGTTTTCTGCTATTGATTGAACAATAGGATTCTCCCAGCAATCACGCCACTTGCCCCCCCCCAAAAAAAAAAAAGTTCATTATTCTCTGAACTTTGTAAGGTCAAAGTGTCAGATAGATGATTCGATAAGGAGCTAGCAGGTATTCCGAAGACGGAATTTCAAGTTTATAATGTAGTACATGCAGGTCTTTTTCTTTTTTGCTAATAATACAATGGCCATTGATTTTCCGACGCGAGTGTCCCCTAACTGACAGTTTAAAAGGAAGAACAAAAAGCGCGTATGTGCTTCGCATATCGTCATCTCATTTAGTAATTGTGCATGATTCCTCATGCTCCTTTAGTTAAAATTGGATCTTATTGTTCTATTTTTCGAAGCCGATAGATGCTCACATCATCCAAACGAAAAAAAAAAAATAGCATCAATACTAAAAGGAAAAATGATACGATCCTCTTTTGATCGTCATACAAATGTCATAGTACAAAGAGTTTAAACAAGAAAACTGTCTTTTTTGTTCTGGTCTTATGTGAGAGTGAGAGAGAGTAAATAAAGAATAGAAAAATTAATATATATATATTTATGCACTAAAATGAGCAACTTCCCAAGCACAAAGGAAGTGCATTGCATATACGGTTAGAAATAGACTTGTACATAGTTTATAGGAACAAGCCAATAAAGAATACCCTTTTCTTTCTATTTCTCTTAAACAGTAGTACAATGTGTCAAGATGATGATTTTTTGTAACCTATTTAGCTCGTGTTTGACGAAAAGCTGCATAATGTCTGACCATTTTAAGCCCTTTATTACCCTTGTGTGTAATAATGACCAATGCAGGACTAAAAGAAACACTACTCACGCTTATCTAATCATATTCCTATGCTTGCAGCTTAAATGAAAACTTTGTTTTGAAATAGAAAACGTCTTCTTCATACCAAAAAAGTAGTCATAGATTGATTCTAAATGAAGTGTAGCCGCAAACATTTCATAAATAAAATAAATAGGTTCTTTTCGATGCCAAGCGCCATTAATTTTGTAAGTGACCAAGTCTTTTATACCAAACAAAAGGAGTTAAATGCCCATTCATACACGCATAAATGCCCCAAAGGTACCATGGACGTTAGTAAACATTATCTGTAGGTATTTGGGGCATTTATGCGTGTATGAGCAGGCTTTATACTACCTTTATATGCCTAAAAAAACAAGCTTTATATGGATTACTGTCTTTTTTCATTATTGAAGCATGTATTTGCTTAGTGTCTCTATTGCATGAGTAAGCAATATACTATCAGATCGGTTATCCAAGTAAAATAGCTTGTTAAACCGCACTTGATTCGTCCAAATCAAAGGAAAGAATATATTTGCTTATAAAAAATGTCAAATTGTTAAGAAACTCTATAATACATGACATACAAAAGATGGCCTTTAGAACGTACATAAAATCCCAGTAAAAACTACAATGTATTCACAACCCCAATTTGATTAAATACTATGAAAAAACTAATATGTATACAGTTAACTTGGATTATTTTCTTGCTTTTTTTTTAAAAAAAAAAAAAAAAAAAGACAAACATTGAACCTGAAGTATGAACTTCGTGACTTTTTGAGCGGAGTGACGCATGAAGTGACGTATGCACTTTGTGTTGCGCGTCCCGATGACTATTTTTTGAAAAGAAAGACAAACGCGAAGTAGGTTTCCTCTTATCTTTTTCTATAAAGAAAAAATAATAATAAATATGGTCCTTGAAAAGAAAGACGAAGCAAACAAGAAGCTGACAGAAGAAAAGCCCAATGAAAAGGCTGTCAAAAAGGACAGAAACGAAAAGAAGGAACAAGAAGAAGAGTTGGTAATAAAAGACAAAGCGTGTGTGTGTGCGTGCCCTTATTTACATTATCTATATTAGTCTGAAGAAGATCAACAATTAAAGAACGAGTTGGAGTTGATGGTTGAGCGTCTAGGGGTAAATTGAACTAGATGATATAAACGATAATTGATCACATCAATAGGAAAACAAGACAGAACTTCACCGTCCTGCACTTGAACACTTGCGCACAGCCATTCGTACCTCAACAAGTTCCATGACATCTGTACCGAAACCCCTCAAGTTTTTGAGCAAATTCTACCCATCATTAAAGAAGCTTCATGAATCATGGCCTGAATCTGCTGACAAGAAGCTCTTTGCTGATATTTTGTCTGTTCTTTCCATGAGTTATGCTGAAGAAGGCCAACGTGAAACTCTGAGATATAGATTCATTGGCTCTACTGAGGAAGATATTGGCTCATGGGGACACGAATATGTGAGACACTTGTCAGGCGAAATTATGCAAGAATACCAAGCACGTCTAGAAAACGAACAATCCACTGAACAATTGATCAATTTGGCTTTGGAAATCGTACCTTTCTTCCTCAAACACAATGCTGAAGCTGATGCAGTTGATCTTTTGCTTGAAGTTGAATCTATTGATCAATTGACGCGTTTCGTTGATAAAGACACATATGAGCGTGTTTGTCTTTATATGGTTGGGTAGGTGATTGTTGATACATGTATATTTGTTAACATTTTAATAGTTGCATTAACTTGCTTGCTCCTCCTGATGATCTTGAATTCCTCAAGACCGCCCGTACTATTTATCGCAAGCAAGAGAAATATGCTCAAGCCCTTAACTTGTCTATTCGAGTAGGTGATATGGACTTGATCAAAGAAGACTTTGAACAATGTCCCGATCCGTAAGTGTGTTCTCTTTTTGTCTTTTTATAGTGAGCTTATGACTAAACAACAAATAGATTACTCAAGAAGCAAATGGCATTCCAACTTGCCCGTCAACAAATTCATATCGAAACAGATGATGCTGACCTTAATGCCTGCATTAATAACTCCAATCTCTCCAACTACTTCCTTTCTCTTGCTCATGAATTAGACGTTATGGAACCTAAAGTACCTGAAGATATCTATAAAAGTCATTTGGAAAATCATAGAACTGCATTCAGTAGCAACATTGACTCTGCCCGCAACAACTTGTCCTCTACTTTTGTGAATGCCTTTGTTAATGCTGCGTTCTGTAAAGATAAGCTTATGGTGACTGATGATGAAAATGATTCGTCTTGGATCTACAAGACAAAAGAACATGGCATGACAAGTGCTACTGCTTCTTTAGGTTTGATTTCTCTTTGGAATATTGAAACTGGTTTAGGTTTGATTGACAAGTATATGTACTCTACTGATGACAATATCAAGGCTGGTGCTTTGCTCGGTATTGGTATTTTGAACTCTGGTGTTCGTGAAGAATCTGATCCTGCATTGGCTTTGTTGTCCGAACACTTAGAATCAGGCAGTCTTTCAGTCAAACAAGCTGCTATTTTTGGGTAAGATAAAATGGAAAGGAGAAGGAAAAGAAGAAGACTTATGTGTTTTATGTAGTCTTGGTCTTGCTTATGCTGGTTCTGCTCGTGAAGAAGTCTCAGAATTGCTGTTGCCTATTGTGAGTGATACTAATTTAGCCATGGAACTTTCCTCTTTGGCTGCTTTGTCCCTTGGTCTCGTCTTTGTTGGCTCTTGTGATGGTGATATCACAAGTACTATCTTACAAACTATGATGGAACGTGAAGATGTTTACCTCAAAGACTCTTGGTCTCGCTTCATGGCTTTGGGTCTTGGTCTTTTGTACCTTGGCAAACAAGACGCTTCTGAGGCCACCTTGGAAACCTTGAAGGCTATTGAACATCCTCTTGGTCAACAAGCTGAAGTTTTGGTTGAAGCATTGTCTTTTGCTGGTACTGGTAATGTGTTGAAGGTGCAAAAGATGCTTCACATGTGCAACGATCATTTGGATAAAGAAAAAGACGACGATACATTCCAAGGCTTTGCTACTCTTGGTGTTGCATTGATTGCTATGGGTGAAGAAGTTGGTTCAGAGATGTCATTGCGTACATTCAACCATTTGGTAAGTCTTTATTCTTATTATAACATTGACTTATGTGCTGTTGTAGATGCATTATGGTGAACCTGTCATTAGAAAGGCTGTTCCCTTGGCTTATGGTATTTTATGTGCATCCAACCCTCAAGTAAACATCCTCGACACACTCAGCAAATACTCTCATGATAACGACAGTGATGTTGCTATCAGTGCTATTTTTGCTATGGGTCTTGTAGGTGCTGGTACTAACAATGCCCGTCTTGCCCAAATGCTACGACAACTTGCAAGCTTCTACCATAAAGATACCTCAAGCTTGTTCATGGTTCGTATTGCTCAAGGTCTTTTGCATATGGCCAAGGGTACAATGACACTGAATCCATTCCACACTGACCGTCAAATCATGTCCCCTGTTGCCATTGCTGGTTTGATGACAAGCGTTATTGCTTTCACTGACCATAAAACATGTAAGTATACAAGCGTATTATCAAGCAAGATGCTAATGCTATGCATGTAGTCATATTTGGCAAATTCCATTATTTGTTGTATTCACTTGTCACTGCCATGTATCCCCGTTTCTTGATCACATTCGATGAATCTGTAGAAAACTTGCCTGTCACAGTTCGTGTTGGTCAAGCAGTTGATGTTGTGGGTCAAGCAGGTCGTCCAAAGACAATCACTGGTTTCCAAACACATTCTACGCCTGTCCTTCTTGCTCATTCAGAACGTGCTGAACTCGCCACTGAAGAATGTAAGTGTCTCTTAGTTATACAATATAGGCTCACCTCTCCTGATTTTTTATAGATACACCTTTAGCACCTGTATTGGAAGGTATTGTACTTTTACGAAAGAATCCTGATTATATGGAAGAAGATAAAGAGTAGAAAAAAGAGCAACTGTTTACATAAATAATGCAAAATTACTGTCTATTGATCTTTTCTTTTCTTTTTAATGGTAGTTGAATAAATAGACTGGACATAGTCTATAATTGTTCATTTTCTGCTGATTTGAGACAGAATCCAATAATCGCTGTAACACCGAGTGACTTGTATTGAAGTCAAACTTTAACAATTAAGCGTTATTTCCTTTCTCTTTTCATATCATGAAGTGCCAGAAATTGTACAATGGAAGCGAAATACCTATTTTAGGACGTATGTAAAACATTACAGAGGTAATAAACAAGCAAACTTACCGGTTATTCTACATAAGTGGGAACATATAGAATAAATACAATTGAAGAGCTTCGCCCAGTAGTTTATGAGGCTGTTCGTTCGGGATATCGACTGATAGGTAAAGAACCGTTTGCAATAAAGAGTAAGCCCATAACTTATTTTACTGCTAGACTCTGCTACTGTTTATCGCAATGAGCAAGTACTGGGGCAGATCCTAAAAGAAGTTTTTGCTGATCCTTCTTTTGGTGTTCAAAGAAAAGATCTTTTTATTACTTCAAAACTTTGTGAGTATGGCTATTGAAAACAAGCGTGTTAATTCTCAAAATATAGCTCCGCAGAACCAAGGCTATGATGCTTGTTACAAAGGTAATCAAAGGCTTTGTTGATGTGTTTACTTATATCTCTCTTAGCTGTCACAGAATCTTTAAACAAGTTTGATTTGGATTATCTTGATCTGTATTTGATTCATTGGCCTGGGTAAGAAAATAAAGCATACATGTATATCGATTAAAATGTATCGCAAGCTAGCACGGCAAAAAAGAAGTTATCTGATCCAATTAATCAGACAAACCGTACTGAAAGCTATAGAGCATTAGAGCAGCTGTACAAGGAAGGCAAATTGAAGCATATTGGTGTCTCTAACTACACAGTGAACCATCTAAAGTACTTATTGGATCATTGTACTATCGTTCCTCATGTTCATCAGTTTGAATTGCATCCATGCTTGTTTCAAGAAGATTTGTTCGATTTGTGCCAAAAAAACAAGATTCAGATACAAGCCTATTCAAGCTTGGGGGAAGGTCAATTGGTTAATGGTGAAATCCAGATACCACATTTGCAAACTATTGCAGACAAGCTGAATGTGTCTATTGCTTTAGTTTTATTGAGATGGGCTGTTCAGCATGGTTGGTTGATTATACCAAAATCAAAGACAGCTACTAGAATAAGGGAAAATGCGGCTGTGTTTTCATTCAACATAGAAGATCAGGTATTTAGATAAATCTCTTTATATAAAAAAAAAAAGTAACTTTATTACAGGGTATGAAACTACTTGACACTATTCATACAACAGAACATAGACGTTTCTGCTGGGATCCAAGCGATATTTATTAAATCCTGCTCCTGATAACTATGGAAGTTTTAGTAAACATTTCAGGACGCAAATGTGTACTGGATAAGTAAAGTTCAAAAATAAAACACATTGCATTTGAAACTATTTCTGTTTGCTGTATGTAATTACAATAAATACGTAAAAAAAATAGGCTGGAGTGAATAAAGTAAAAGTGCGAGAATCGCGAGAGCTTGATGGGTAATGAGAGACGGTTTGGTTTAAATTTCGGTGAAAGAGAGTAAAAAGAGCTTGGAAAAAGTCATTTTGTGCTCACAGGTAACCTTCTACTTTATGTTTGTATGCGTGTTACGCTTTTTAAGTAGATATTAGCCATCTTCTTGAAAGTATTAACCAGATTGCAAGAATAGAATCACTGGCCAAATACCTACCACTAGTCAGGACATAAATCATGTGAGTATATTGCTTCTTCTTCCTCTTCATTATTGATAACTGTCTATAGAGACCTTTTTCTCTACATGATTAGAAAATATCTGGATGACATTCTTTCTTATTTCTCAGTTTGTACATATATGTATTCGTATCATGTCAAAAAAAAAGAGATATGTGTTTCCTGAAATAAGGAAAGTATCAAACCACACGAAGAAATGGAAATAGGTATCATGTTGCTTATTAGTATACCATATCCTTTTTAAAGTATAAATAAAAGCTACTTATGAATTCATTAAATGCAAAAAAAGAGTTATTTCTTTCAGAAAAAGAGAAAGAGATTGATTTTAAAAGCATAAATACTATTAGTTGCTTCGGCATGGAAAATCACTAGTATTTGAGATTATACGGACCGAAATCCAATCAAACGCGCCGAAAAGGAGACAATAAAGCCTTCAATCAGCTTATTTTGAAAATGATATATTACAATAGCTGGCCCAGCCATCATATAAGGGGATGTAGCTCAGGTTAAAGATTATATTTTTTTATTAATAAACAATTATATGGGCTACTCTATGGAGCATAATGCCAAATTGTATGAACAGTTTTCAAAAAAAGAGAAAAAGGAGAGAGAGTGAAAAAACCTGACAGAAAGCAGACAACAGGAAAAAAGTAAGAGAGAAAAGAAACAGAGACAGAAAGAGTATTGTATATTTGCATGATTCCAAGGGCATGACCAACGGTTGGGAACTTTGATAATCACTTACCACCGTGGCAGCGCAGAGGAAAGGCATGACAAAAATAGTTCGTCTATGACGAGACCAGAGGAGGGAGCCAACGATCACCAGGATCTTGATCAGGGCGGATATTTGCAAGAGGATGTACAAGTACATCAATTGCATAAAGCAATTGTAGCAGCGCCGACCAAAAAGGAGGAGGACCAGAGGAAGCCTTAGTTGGCAGTTGATTTAGAGTATAATCAAGACGATGAACACCAGCAGGAGCAATAGGTAGTGCATCCCATAATGCTGGGTCAAGCGCCTGACATGACAAAAAGTGTTCACGGGAGACAAAAGCACCAGAGAGACAAGGACATTCTTCACGCATATTCGCAAAGCGACCAAGACGCCAACGCACCAAGCGACTACGAGAAGTACGAAGCATGGGCAGGTATAAGATTGGATCCGGCTTAGACGTACAAGGACGACAAGCACGGAGAAGGACGGAACGACCACGAGCCGCATGTCGCACCATCTGGCGGTCAAATTGGCTCTGCCATTGTCGTCTAAAGTGAGTACGAAGTTCAGCATTAGAGACGGGCTGTGGGTCCGGTAGTGAACGGTACAAGACATTCTGTTGAAGAAGCTTGACCAGGCGAGGGTACCGTAGTTGATCACGCAAAAGCACTATCAAGCAGTCATCAGGGAGGTATTGTACACGCAAAGCGAATTTGGTGACAAGGATGTTGTACCTATGATTCATAGCAGGAAGACAGGTGAGGTGTTTTGCAACTTGAAACCAAGAGCCACCAACAAACATACGGACCAGGCGATTCTGCAGATCATCTAGGTGTGTCATGTCTGCCGAAGCAAGACGGGATATAGCCAAACCATACTCTATCTTGGGACGAATAAAGCAGGCATACAGCCGAGAGGACAAAAGAAGGGAGAAACCATTGCGGTGAACACCGACAGAGGTTAGCAGAGCCATGGTCTTGATGGCCTTAGCAGATCTCAAAGAGATGATGCCAGGTCCATGGATGCCTTTTTCTCGAAAGGGTACACCAAGATAGATGAACTCGTCCACGAGGGGCAGAGATTCGCCATACAATGTCAATCGAGGGCCATCACAAGGTGAGTTTAGAACTGCACACTTGGCCGGACTCCAACGATATCCAAGGGAGCAAGAATGCTCAGCAGCAAGGTTCAACATATGCTGGACTTGACTACGAGAGCCGAAGATCGCAACATCATCCGCAAAAAGAAGACAATTCAGAGGAATTGCATCAGACATACCAGGAGGACATACCAAAGTAGTACCAGCCGTAGCAGCAGAACGAAGGAGAGAAGGAAGAGAGTTAATGTACAAAGAGTACAAGTGCGGAGAGAGAACAGAACCTTGCAGAACACCCGTGACAGGCTGAAAGGGAGTAGAAGAGTGGTTGGCTATCAGCACAGATACTTGTACGTCGTCAAACAAGTTGACTAGTAAAGCAAGCACAGGCCGAGGTAGAGAGGAGCGAGCCAGTACATCCCAGATGACACGTCTGTCGACAGTATCATAAGCAGCCTTGATGTCAAGAAAAGCAACAACAGGACGGCGATGGTTGGTTAGAAAGTAATCATGCATCAAGTCATGCAAGCATAGAGCTTGATCCAGAGGACTACGTTGAGGACGGAAACCACCTTGCGCAATGTCCAGTGTAGGCGAGTGTTCATGAAGACAATCAGCTATTGTAAACTCAAAGAGCTTACGCATGACTGATGTCAACGAAATCGGTCGATAGTTGGACGGATCAGAGGGATCACCTTTTTTGTGTATCGGGTATACATTAGCAAGACGCCAGAGAGAAGGAGTATAAGCCCATTGATAACACAGGGAGAACAGGAGAGACAAAAGCGGGGCAAGGTCCTTGGTCACGGCCTTCAGCATTTCTGCTTTCAGGTGATCGCTTCCAGGTGCCTTCCGAAGAGGTAAACGCTTGATGTGATCCATGATCGTGTCTGCTGAGAACATATCCAAATTGGATGGCAAGACAAAAGGAACCAAACTATCACAGGAAAGTGGTGGGGGTGGACGAGATTCTGATGGGGCAACAGAGAGCCAGCATAGACCGAAGTCAAGTGAGTAGCCATAGCATCTACTGAAGCTTTAGGGCCATCTTTGTGAGCATAAGTACCGGAACAATCACGTCTTCTTTTCATACGAGAGAGGGTGCCAGTGGCTTTAGAAAAGTCTTGTTCCAACTGAGCACAGAAGTTCTTCCAAGAGAGACGCTTAGCTTTAGCAACAAGACGACGAAAGTGACGATGTGCATCATGATGCAACGACCACCAGTAAGCTTTGTCAACACCAGAGGCATGACGCCACCTACTATAACAGCGATCGCGTTCTCGAGCTGCTGATTCGATATCAGGAGTCCAGTACTTCTTCCACCATTTTCCAGACCGATGTTGTCTTGCACCAACCGACCCATCCAAAGCCTCGTAGAAGCACCCATTAAGAGTAGCATTCAACTCGTCAATATCAGGGCGTTCAAGCGGTGGCGCAGAGACCAGCTGACTCAGAGTAGATTCCAGAGGAACTACAAGTGAGCGAAACTTGCTTTGGAACAGTGCCAAAGGTTCCTTTTCCCGCAAGCGAGATAGGTTCCAAAGGCGTCGTGGAGCAAGACCGTCAGAGCCAGCATGAGCCCCAGATCCCAAAGTAGAATCATAGTCGAATGACAAAGTCATCAACCGGTGATCAGACCCAAGGGAGAGATCAGATTCTACTGCGACTTGAGCACCACGCATATTCCACGAGGAAATATTTGTAATGAACAAATCGATGATACTACTCATTTCCATACCACGTCGAAACGTTGTAAAGGTGGGTACACCACGACAAAGAGTAGTATTCAGCACAGCCAGGTCTCGTTGTTCAAGCCATGCACGCATAGCAAGACCACGCGAGTTGGTAGCGGAATCACCAGTGAGATCACCAAAGCGAGCATTAAAGTCACCACAGAGGATAGAGTCAGAGTTGAGAGGAATTGAGGAGAGAGCGGATAGCACCAGCTCATTAGAGAGACTGGGTGGAAAGTACGAACAATGCACATTGACTGCTCCCATTTTGAGTGAGAGAGTATATGCATTGAAAGACGGCAACTGGGTGACAGGAAAAGGACAGGAAGGAGAGACAAGAGCAGAGACACCACCAGAACCACGGTTGTTTGCACCAACTACCTTTGATCCATATAGATGGTATTGCGACCAATCTATAGGAAGATAGCCGGCTGTGAGCCAAGTTTCAGTGATAAATAGGATACTGGTGGTCAAGACATGTGATATAACATCGTGGATGGTCGTGGTTTTTAGGCCATTCGCATTCCAGATGCTAATGGAGAAGGAGCGTGATGGGTGGGCGGGAGTATGGATTGGATCATATCATTAAATTCCATTTCGGAATCAGTGCAGAATCCTCAACAGCCGTTTGTTCGGAAACAAAAGCAGCTTGCTTTGGATTTCCTTTTCCAAACGAGAACGAGCAGAAGCAAGAGCCAAGAGAGGTCAGCATCGTCAATCCAACCCAACTCAACGAAGGATCGACCAACAGGGCCAACAAGAAGAGGACGCAAGAAAGAGAGGGTATCCACAGCGCGGCTGTTCACCAGTGAGGCATTTCGCTTGCTCTGTTTGCTTCAGACAAAGCAGCGAACTTGGGATCAGCAAGGTGCTTAGGATCCAAAGGATCGAAGCCACCGACCAATTCAGCACCTACCTTTTGCATGGTAGCAGTGAATTGCTCCACATACTGCACATGCATCAGGAGGCCAAGCACACCAGAAGCAGGAAAAGAGATGTCAAGGATGCGTCCAGTATCCACACCAGAACGACGGAGACGAGAGCGGACTTCAGATCTATTGATCTTACGAGAGCGACCAAGGTACACATATGTAAAGCCCTGAGGACCTTTGGCAGCAGGGCTCACAAAGGCACGGGCAGCAGCAACTCGTTTCTTCTGCGAAACGCGGGCAGGACGGGCAGGGAGAGAGGCAGGCTTAGCAGCCTTGGCTGCCCAAGAGGAAGCATGGATGATGAGCCAACACTGCCTGGGTGTGTGGCAGTGGGAGTAGGGGAGAGACAGGAGAAGAGACCTGAATGCCGCCTTCGGACATTGAAAATTGACTCGAGAGTCCGGACACGAGAAAGGAGCTTGCTGTTTTCTGACTCCAAGAAAATTTTTTCCTTCTCAAGGATGGAAACCTTTTCTTTCAGAGCTATGAGTTCTGAAAAAACAGTTTCGTGTTGTTGTACCTGTTGTGCTAGGGTCAGCACAAGTTGATGCAACTGCTGGATGTCCAGGTGAGTTGCCATTTTGATGGATGGATGCTTTTTTAGACGGATGCACTAACGGATGGATAGGATGCAGTGTTAGATTTTTTGACAGAATGATCGAATTTGATTGGTCAAAACCAAAAAAAGTGATCTAAAAGCGAAAGAAAGGTGGGATGTAGCTCAAATGGTAGAGCGCTCGCTTAGCATGCGAGAGGCACTGGGATCGACGCCCAGCTTCTCCAAACTTTTACTGTCTCATTGAATTTCGTGAAACGTTCGTTTTTTGTTTTTGTTTTTTTTTTGTCGAAGGTTTTTCTAGTAAATGAAGTAGAGCATATGATATTGTTACAGAACAAAGGTGCAAATCGCAGCGACTTATACGAATATAGAACAATAAATGTAACAGAGCAATAGGCAGCAAGTTATATGTAATGAGTACCAGGTTTCAAGTCGCCCGAAATGAACAAATGCAATGCAAGATCAAGGGACCCAATTAGACAAATGATATGATAATAGTCTAGTATAAAGTATAAGACAATACAATTAAGGCACAGTTGTAAATCTAAGATAAAATATGGATGTCTGTATTTAAGTTGAATTGTTCTAGTGTTTATATCTATTCTGAAGTAATCATGTTGGACTTGCAAAAGTGCAAATATAACAATCCAAGTATAATCAATCTATGAGTCACTGTAAAAGTGGCACGATATGTCAAGCTTTTGCTGACTAAATGTAAAATGAGCAATATGCGCTAAAGTCTAATGTGATATAAAGTAATACAATATTTGGGATTCAAAGTAGAAGAATAAGTATTCTGTGACATAAGTAGCTGTTAGTACTTAGAGTTGGATAACGAAGGGTTCAAATATGAGTAGAAAAATAGAGTATGAAATAGTCATTTCGTAACAATATTTTACAACTAAAGTCATGTAGCGACTACATTTAAAGACCTGTTAGAAATATGCATTTAAAATAAAAATAAGAAATAATAAAGCTTGTGAATTATACGAGACTAAAGTAAAAAAAAACATGGGCTTTAATAAAGCAAATGTAATTATGAAAATAACAATAATACAATTAAGAGGGAAAAGAAAAGGCTAAACACAAAAGAAATAATATAGACACTAGGTGCAATTACAAAGTAGCACATCAAATCTAGTTTTTTGTTTTTATGAAATTTTTTCTTTGAGAAAAGAACAATACTATTTAGTGAAAATTACCATTTTGTTGTCTTAGAAAAACATTGCAATTATTTAACTGTGATTTATAGTTAACTACTTCTGATATTCTTTTTTTGAGTTATAAAACTAAAGAATCTTCATCGAAATAACATTAGATTCATTCCCTACAAACTTTTGTTTTAGAATCTACATCATTTTTCTAATTCATATAACAATGTCGTTTTGGTATTACGGAACAAAGATCAAATGTAGTATTGAAAAGCAGCCTATGTGATAATAAAAGGGTCTAACTGATTCTTTGGCATAAAAAAAAAAGGCTACCATAGAAACTGTTGCATTCTAAAAACACGCTATTGAATTCGATAATAATATGCTTAAGCAACGTGTTGACGCAATGATTTTTATAAGAAAAAACTGTTATTATCTTTGTCGAGAGCTTGAACTTGCAAATCAATGATAAGAAATATTGGTATTTGAGAATCTTTTAGCTGATAGCTTGATATGAACGGTTTCAGGCTCGGTAGAGAGCCACATAGAAAGTCACCAATGTTTAGACAGGATCAAACTGTTGATCATAATAGCTCAACTCATAACAGAGGAAAAGCAAAAAGACTAAATTAACGTACTATCAATACAGCAACATAGTCTGGTCATGATAAGACTAGAAAAAGAAGAATTAGTCTTTACTTCATTTAACGGCATGCATAGCCGAAGTGAATATCTATGGAACCAAAAAAAAAAAAAGTCCCTTATTATCTGATAATCTGATATGTTGGTACATCGGAGATCAACTCTTTAGCCACAGGAAACAATTTCTAGCTTGTAAAAAGTTAATTCTTGCATCTCTTCTTTTATTTTTTTACACTATTTTGACTTCGTAATGTGGTGGCCATCATTACCCTATATAAGAACATGGACAAATTTTTGGATACTAGGCATGGCCTATGCTTTTTTCTGTTGGTCTATTTTCATCCTATACTGTTTATACTATCAATTAAGCAAGATCCGTATATACTACATACGAAAAAAAAGAATTGTCCATAAACAAGATGACTTGACTATGCATTTGCCTGGATCCAGACTATTTCATCGTCTTGACTATGTTATTCGCATTCCTTATGTAACTGATATGATTTCTTTAAAACAAATAGCAGGCATCTTGCTTTTTAGTCTTATCAATCTGTATTTTATTTTTTTCGTATGTCCGTATGAGCCCGCACCATACCACTTGGCCATTCTTGACCGCCGCGCAGCCTTTACAGGGATGGTGGACTTGGGCCTTGTATTCTTCTTTGCTCAACGAAACTCACTACTACCCAAGATATGTGGCTTGACTTTTGAAGAGCTTATACCTTTTCACCGCATTTTCGCTCGCATTGGGTTCTTGAATTTTGTGCCACATCTTGTATATCGAGTGTAAGTACATACATATATACACATGTTGCTAATATTAGTCTCGTCAGATGGGATGGATATATAAAAAAGTACAGCATATATGACGCCTTTTTCTTTAACAAGGAATACACAACTGGCACTATAGCAACTGCTGTCTATATTGTCATGTTTGCCACTTCATTAGAATATATACGTCGACATCATTTTGAGTTATTTTATTATTGTCATATTGTTTTCCTGATTCCCGCAATCGTTTTCACTTGCTGGCATTATCCAACTTGCCTTGCATTTTATACACCAGCAGTTGCACTTTGGCTTGCTGATCGAGTGGTTCGTTCTTACAAATCATGGATAATTAAACCGTCTTTTGTTCAAGTAGAGCAAGTTACGGCGCAAACAGCAACACAAGAAGGGATTGTACGCATTCTGTTTCAAAGCAAACTCTTGAACAATTTCAAGCCCGGTCAATACATATTTGCTGCTATAGTTATTAACAAACACAAGTTTTGGGAATATCTAAACTGGCATCCTTTTACTATCTCTAAAGTCTTTGAGACCCATCAGCAAGATGTTATACATATAGAGGAGACAGCCACCAGTCTTGTGAATGAAATAACCAATCTGAACGAAAGCAGCAAGCTTCTTCAACGTAGGAGAAATGGCTACGGAAGCCAACTTGGTCAGTGTCATCAAGAATGCAGTAAGAATACAGATAAAATTAGTTCTGTTCATATCAAATCGCTTGGTACCAAGACACAAGATCTCTTAAATGCTTCTGTTGATAACAACAAATTATCAAATGATCTTAAGATTTATATTGATGGTCTGTATGGACCTCAACTTCCATATCAAGATTACCCTATTCTTGCATTGTTCGCAACTGGGATTGGTGTGACACCCGCGTTAGCCATTATCCAAGATATTGTAAAAAAGAGATCGAAAGGTGTACGCACTATAGTTAGTGATCGTATTTATCTCTGTTGGGCTATCAGAGTGAGTGGTAAGATAAAAAAAAATACTTCTAAGCATATACTTATGCTTGCATAGACGAAATCGATCCTTTTATGGAAATGTTTACAGAATGGGAAAATCAAATCAAGACAGCTGTTCTGCCAATTCACTTGAGTGTTGATATCTATATAACAAGAATGAAGAGACAAAGCCATCCTATCGGGCAATATAAAGGTTTCAAACTAAAGTTTGGTGAACGACCGCAAGTGGATACAGAGATGGAAAAAATCAAAGTGGAAAATAAGCATCGTTATAGAGTGTGGGCACATGTTTGTGGCTCCACTCCTTTTACACGCAACGTTATTAATGCAGCACTTCGTGTCAATTTTCATGTTCACCATGAAACCTTTGAATTTTGACCCAATAATAAAGAGCAACCTGCTCGGCCTGAATATTCAAATTGGTTATGTGACTGATATTGAATCCAGGAAAAAATCATACATCGTGTTACACTGTTTAAAAAAAAGAAAAAGGGTCGAGAACCCTCCTCCCAAAAAATATATTAAAGACACAATCGAATGGTACGACATGAAGTAATAACAACTTTTTTCTTTACTTGAGATTAAGCTTCTTATACATAATTGAAGAATGAAAACGAGAGACAAAGTAGAAAATTATTTTTCGGAAGAAACAGGAGTAATTGTTTAACGATTTGAGTCAGCTGTACGAGGCAAGAAATGGTAGATTTACATAAGTTTTTGACAGAATGGAGATGTTTCTTGAGCAAGACTTTTGTCATAACAGAGAGACCAGCGGCAATCGCAGACATGGCATCCTTATGGTGCCTAGCTTTTTCGCATCTGACGGCCGGACAGATAGAATTTAGACATTCTGGACTTTTTAATGGGGGACGTATAGATTTGATACAATCTTTGGTTGCTCCTCTCTTGATTTCACCTGCTTGAAACAATAAAAGTTGCGTATAGTTTATGTGTTTCCTAGAATGCTACAAATAAATGCATTAATTGTATTTTATACAATTCAGTATCACTATGGCTTACGATAAAATAATCTACCAAAGCCTTTGTGTTGGAAAGCTAGACTTCTTTTACAAGCATCAATTTTTCTTCGTATCAGATCACACGAGATTTCACTAGAAAAAAGTATAGTTTTTAGGCAACCTATACGACAATCGTTTAGCCTTGCCGGATTCTAGACAACTCAGAGTTCGCTTCTTCGCGCTGTAAAGTTACAACTGATGTGTGGTGTTTGAATACAAAATATATGCATAGATCTTTTAGTTTTGTAAAAAGACTATCAGCTAGGGATACCCAGTGTTTTTTTTTCTAGAAAAATATAAAAATGTCTGACTTAAAGTACTCATGTTTGATCTTTTATATGGTTTTACGTTCATTTACAAGACTGAATCAAATAAAACGTTTTACTAGGTTTCTATTTTAAAAAAATAAAAACAACGAAGGCTCAAAATGCTGTACAAGACACCGAACATTTGTAAACAATGCAACCTTGTCTGGTGATTGTTCATGTTGTCCTAGTATGCAAATATTACAAGACATTGTGGAACCATGAAGACACAGTGTGAATCTCATTTTTTTTCTGAGAAGGCAACAATGTGTCTTCAGTAATCAGTATTTCAGCCATTTTACTGAACACAGTTCTCTCACTAAATAAAAGCTTTTATAGGTGAGTTATCTAAACATCCTTTCTAGTCTATAGTCATTTACAGATATCAGTCTGCATGTCAATATCAAATAGAAAAACTTTAGCATCGAGATAGCCTACAAACCGTAGTAACTACAGGGCAACCATAAAATAAGTATTTATAGTTCCTAATAAGGTCCAAAAGAGTTGTTCCATTCGCCCGGGTTTCACATATAAAAAAAAATATATATATATTGAAACCCAATCATTTCAAATTAAATAGAAAGGATCCATCATTTTCTTTTTTCTCTTTTTTCTTTTGTTTACTCATGTTTCGTAAAGCAAAAAGACTGTCCCAAAGACTCGGTTTAAACAAAGAAAGATGTACAGGTAGAGACAAGAAGAAAGACGAATTAAACGACAGCAAGTTGAATGAAAAACATTCGCGGCGTATATCCCCATTTGTCATGACAGCCAATAAGGCTAGTGCTGTTAGTGATATCGAAGATGATGATTCCTTAAGTACAAAAAGCACAGAAAGTGTAGAATTAAAGCCGATGTTAAACACGACAAGACCTTCTCTGCCAAAATGTCAAACTGCACCTATCTTCAACGCATCTGATGATGCGATACAGCGTCGATTGAATATGATGGACACAAACAACCTTGAACTACTTCTTTCAATGGAAACTCAAGCGAGAATGGATGCGCAAGCAGAAAGAGAAGCAGAAAGACAACAACAACAACAACAACAGCAACAACAGCAACAAGAAAGCGTATTGACACCGCGTCGTCCTACACGTATCAAGTTTGAATTGCCTGCTACACCCCCTCGTTCTAGATCACCAGCTCGATTAGCTTATCCAAGAGCTAGACCTATTCGTTCTTTGCCTGAAGAAAGCCTAACTGCTAATGCTGCTAGACATCCAATCAACAAAACCAGAAGAGCAGGCTGGCGTAACTTATTTAGTGATCGAGATGAAGATGAATCTATACCTATTCCTATCACTATTGGAACTAGAGTTAGATTGCTGAAAAGACCTTTACCTACTTTTGGTTATGTTCGATTTATTGGAGGTGTGCATTTTGGTAAAGGAGAATGGGTCGGTGTTGAACTAGATCATGGAGGTATGTATTGCTGCTTTTGAATATTTGTTTGATCTTGTACTAATGTGTGTATTAGTGGGCAACTGTGATGGAAGTATTAATGGCGAGAGCTATTTTGAAACGGACCCTAATCGTGGTACCTTTGTCAAACGTCATGATCTAGAAGCTGCAACAGACTAATAAGATATTTATGCGAATGATACCCTTGTCGCTCATACGATTACTTTTTTTTTTGTATATTATTTCTATTAACTACTTTATACACTTTAATATATCTTTAATGCACAGTAGTACTTGTTTTTCTTTCTTTTTTTATTTGCAGTAATAAAAAAGGTACATTTTACACTAAAATGAACCTTTAAGAAGTATATATAGATATAGATATATATATATTTTTACATATTGTTTGAGGAGGACATGTCAAAGTCTTCTGAAGAAGAGGAGGAAGTAGAAACAAATTCAAGTGATGGTATATTTAAGCCAGAAGTATTTGATGTCCCTGTAGGTAAACCTAGTTGTTCTCGTAGTGCGTTGTTTTCTTGTTGTATACTTTGAATGTATTCAATGGCATATCGCAGCACTTTAGCACGATGACATTTTTCACCTCCGCTTTTTTCGATAGAGGATCTTGGTACCAAATCAGAAAGTTGGTTTACTAATGTATTCTAAGGATATACTTAGTTTATAAACATTTGTCTAATACTGAAGCATACCAAGTTATCTCTTCTTCTTCTTTCTACTCTATTATGCGTTTCTCTTCTTTGTCGAATACGTGACATAGCTGTGTCACTATCAATGCTAATTTTATTTAATATGTTCACGCCATGTACAACAAGTTTTGTAGGCTGTTTATCTGTCTGGTTTAATTTTCGTGCCATCATATCAGGATCATATATCTTGATTCGCTCTTGTAATGGATAAGTTGCTCTTCTTTCTGAAATAGACATTTTAGGTGAATCATTGGATGATGAGAAAGACATAGTTTAGAAGAAGAAAAAATGGGAGAAAGAAAAGCAATCTCTTTGACCTGAAGATCATTATTTATATATAGAAAAAAACTAAAATTTTCTACAGTGGCTGAAAAGAATGAGGGAAAGAACGTGTATCTTACCGCCTAGGCGAAATTGCCTCAAAATTACCTCATTAGGGAGTTTCATTATTTGAGCCCTTTTCTTTTTTTAAAAAGAGAGAATTTCATAAGCAAATGGCAAAATGTGAGCTTCATGACAGTCACGCTTGACATCCTTAGTGATACCTTTGCTACATGAGTGATTTTTATTGCACTGAATGACCAGTAAAAGAGAAATAAATACAAATGATCGTTTTTTAGGTTACTCAAGAAAGGATGATTTATATGAAAAACAATTCTCCTCAGTCATAATATGCCAAGGTAGTTCGCTAGCATGATTTATATAAAGGCCTTTACCTTTCTTATTCATGAAAAAAGGTAATTTCATTTTTACTGTAGTTAAGGTTTAAATAAGATAAAAGTTTCCATGAACATCTTCTCATCAAATCACTCCAAAGAGTTAAATCATTCATCATGTTGGTTCAAAAAAAACAAGATTGATTGGCACTTTATGTTTATTTTCAAGGCAAAATAAGTGTGTTTGTGAAAAAACGAATTTAAATGAAGCTTTTTGTTATCCTTGATGTTAATTATATAGAGGCAGAATATCATTTCAATCATATCAAATATTCTGCCTTTATATAACAGAATCACTTCGTCCACTCCTAAAAGTGACCAGTTTCGTATATATATATATAATGATTTCATTAAATGCCGCAAAGGATAATGCAAATCTGGAAATGAATGTAATCCTTCTTAGTCCATTGGTTTAACTAACAATACGATTGTTTCCTTAAAATATCAGGCAAATACGCAGGGTTGCATAGTCACACAAGGAGTATAAAGCCTGCTCATACACGCATAAATGCCCCAAATGCCTACAAGCAATGTTTACTAACATCCATGGTACCTTTGGGATTAGTTTGAACCAAAAGAAGCGACTTGTAAAAAATGGCCAAAAACCTCTCAAAGGCAAAGTGTACTCATGAAAATCCTTAATTTAACAACTCTTGTTCTACTTTTTCATGCTACAAGACGAAAAATAAAGCTATCAATACACATAAGTATTTATAATGTGCATCAAAAGCTCTAGTTTTTGGTGAATGCGTTTGCTTGCCAATTGTACTGTAGAAATGGTATGATGGGAGCCAAAAACCTTGTAAACGTTTATGCCTAATTGCTCAATATTTTAGTAGCAAAGTCAATGTGATTTTTACATTAAAAGACTCAGAAAGCAAAGATGTACAGCTTTTGTCACTGTGCTAAAGCCAAATAACTGCGTCTTTATACAGCTTTAAGCAAAAACTTGATATAGATGCAGCTTTTTTTTTCTTTCAAGATTTTTATTATTGTTTCGCATAAAGTTACCCTAATGGCACTCAAGACGCGGGCACAATCCATACGGAATTATAGTATGCAATTATGCTACAGATCAACTAAATAGAATAAAACGAAAGGCCTGCCATTGTTATGAGTGGAAAAAAGGTAAGAGAAGGATTACTGTCTTGTGTGTACTTGCTTTTCATCTGCAAGCAGCTGTAAAGAAGTACGTGTTTGTTGTAGGATGGAGTAGGCATCAAAGGAGACGTTGTCAATGACAAATATCCAGTGTGCTTTCCAGACTTGCGAAAGGGCGGTAATGACAATGTCAACAACAGTTGAATTTTTCTTTTGTGAATAATCTATTCTTGAGAAGTCTAGTGTAATAAGTGCTTAAATGACATCTTCGACAGTGGTTGTAGGTCAAAGGAATTCCAGAAAAACTTCTTTGGTGGACAAAAGAAAAGGAGATGTTTTTCATTTTCAAGATGAATAGTGCAAATTGGACAAAGAGGCGAGGGGAATGTATCAGGAATTATAGGGTGAAGAAATTGTCTTGTAGGTAGTTTGGAAACAAGGAATCGGTACATCATATTACGAGCAACTGGTAGCAGAGACCAGCTCCAAAAACCGACCCAAAAGGCACTAGCGGTAGCTTACAAGCGCTCTGGGGCAGATGTAGCACTCTGGAAAGTTAACCGAACTCCTTTGTCGATACCCTGATGATTGGTCCAGTCAGGGTAGCAAATTTGAAAGAGTTGAAAAATGGAACAAACGACAATGATGAAGGTGATGGAAAAGTAGACAGTACCTCTGCAGTAGGAGTTTGGCAATGTTTGACAAAGAAAAGAAAGGATCGGTACTTGTTACTCTCTAGCCCTTAGATGATCTGGAGGTAGCATTTTTTGAACTTTTGCGGAATATGATCCGGATGTTTCCAACGGATTAACTTAAGATCTTGGCCGAACAACATGAATGCTTGAACCGGAACGAATTGGATCTGTTTAGGTAATGACGGAAGTCGTGGTCTTAAAGATTGTAAAACGGCCTTCATCGGTAACCTAAGACATGCTTGGTGAGATAGGTTCATCTGGTCAAAATCTCGAGACAAAGGATCTATTGAGGTATATAATAGATCGATTGTTAAAATAAGTTTACCGCACCCAAAGTGAAAAGTTCTAGTGTGTCTATTCAAAGGAAAGAGCAAAGGAATAGCAACCTCATAATAGCCAGAAATATTTTGAATATGCCTTGTGAGCATATGATACCAGTGTGCATTGGTAGAGCGATTCAGCAGAGGGATGAACCAGCGACTACAAAGCACTTCTCTTTGCAATAAGGGATCAAGAACTCCCACACCGCCATCTTCTTTCGGCAGAGTCCAAGTCAACCAAGCAATTTTTGGAAAGATCCTAGAGTTTAGGAACTGTTGTGCTAAAGACCGGATTCGAGAAATCTCAGTCTTCGTGAACGACGTCACACAAAGAAGATACCAACATTTGGATAATATCAAGGTATTAACCATCGTGGCACGGCCTAACACTGACAAGGAACGGGCAAAGTGTATCGAGCAGGCAGTTTTTATCTTTAACAGTAAGGTTTCAAAATAATTTTGTCTTTGTGCAACTGATTGGATCAGTGGAAAGCCTAAGTAAATGATAGGTTGTGCATCAACAGAAGACTGAATATGTTGTATCTTTAGTGGTAGCAGGTAACTATGCCAAAACGACCAGGAGTTTGTATCAGATAAAGATAGAGCCTCAATCTTGTTAAAGTTGATTTTTACATTTGATGCGCTACAATATGTAGATATATGTCGTTACAGTATTACTAGGTCATTCGGGTCATGTACAAATACTAAAGCATCATCTGCATAGCAAAGAATTTTAGTCGCTATAGGAGCAGGGGGAGGGGGGAAGAGTCAGGTCTTGGTGTTTGCAGTCGAAACTGATATTCTTTGAACCCACCATCTTGTACAATTGAGCGTAGAAATAGGTCAAATGTCAAGTTATACAAAACTGGTGATAATGGATCACCTTGTTTTAATCCTCTTCGTTTCTTGATTTCTTTAGTGAAGAACCCATTAACGTTAATTTTGATCTTGTTTTTTTGAGAGCAATTTGTGCATTGTATCAGCAATCACTTCCAGAAAACCATAGCCTATCAGCACTCTTTTAAGGTATGTAAGATATATCCAATCGTAGGCCTTCTCTTGATCAAGTAAAAGCGCTAAATCGTGGTCCCTACGTCTGTCCTGTGTTGTATTTTGCTGTACTCTGGCTTGTGCGTCTTCCATTATACTCTGGATTATTACTCCATTTTCTGCGATAGATCTTCCTGGCATAAAACCAAGTTGAAATTGAGTAATCAATTGTGGAGCAATTATCATTATGCGGCGGTTTAGTATCCTTGTAAAGATCTTATAGCCCGTGTTAGCCAGTGTAATCGGTCTATGGTTCTTCATGTCGGATAGACTGCCTTTCTTAGGTAGTAACACCATCAATGATTCGTTTCATGACATTGGAAGACTACCAGCTAAACTATCATTATACACATCCGTAACCAATGAATGAAGACTTGGGTGTTCCATGATGATTCAAGATTTCATATGGAAGACCATCTGTGCCAGGGCTACTTTGTCTTGGAGTTCGTTTGAATTCTTCAAATATTTCATTCATAGAGATACTCAACATCATAATGTCTCTTTGACTGTCATTCAATTACATATTGTCAGGAATTTTAGCAATCAGTCTGTTCATAGCATGGTAGTTGGGAGGATCCGGAGTATATAAGTTAGAATAGAATTGTTGCACTATTCTCTCTTTAGCCTCTTGATCTCCACAAAGTTCACCACTGACAGAATCTCGTAGATCGCCTACTGATTTTTGATGTGTTCGTGCTTTGATCAACCTGTTTAGAAAGCCGGGAGGCTTCTCGCCTTTTTCACGCCAACGTTTTCCTGCTCTCAGAGCGTCTATTTCTGCAGCTTCTTCTTGCAATGCTCCCAATTGTTTTTCTACTATGGGTAGTGTCCAATTCACTATATCACGATGTTTCTGATGTTGAAGGATTTTGTTACGTTTTCGTTTAATCTTTTAACCTGTTTGTTTCTCCAATCGACTGTCTCCAATTGAAATGATTTGATAAACAGTTTGACTTTGGCTTTAATCCAGTCCCAATTCTTCTGAGCACCACAGTGGTGTCTCTACTTCTGAAGTTACAGAACTAGTATATCCAAGAAAGCAACTAGTTGTTGTCTAAACTCTTTCTTTTTCGCCAAGTTAGAATTTGCCTTCCATGCTCCTGGCCCTCTAGTACTTTCTTTGTTCAAGTTAAATTTAACTGCTAGCAGAGCATGATCTGTCCAAGTAAGAGACACAAACGTCCGTTCCACGCTCTCTATATTTGTCTGCAATCTATGGCAGCAATACACGTAATCAATGATAGAAGTCGCATTTGAGCCTTGCTATGTTATCTGTTTGTCATTGCAAAAGCAATCATAAGTGAGGTTTGCAACAAACCTATCCATTCTGCTGGTGGGCCTTTCACAGATCTATACAAATTTTGTTTTTTCATATTATAATTGAAGCCTTTAAGGATGACGGTGTTGTATAATTCACTGGTCAAATATAGCTGTACCATTACATCTTCCATCATGTTGTTGAAAAATGTTGCCTTGATCCAAGCGCTTTGAGTTGCTGGAGCATATATATTTAAAATATAAAGAAATGGGACAGGACTAGAAGAATCATCCGTAGTTTCTTCTACTAGGTGTAAAACCACTAGAATGTATCTTCCCGCCACATCTGTGCATACTGACTTGAGCATATATTGAGGATTGAGTGAGACAATTCCACAATGTTGAGTCCATAAGGCAGAGTTCGTTTGGAACTGCATATTTAGTGATTCATAATTTGAGCATTATCGGTATGTGCTTCTTGGAAAGCGATAATGTCAAGGTCTAAGGAGCGAAGATATCGAATAAAAAGTTTTTGCTGAGAGGGATTAGAGGTTTTTCGTAGGCTGCGGCAGTCAAGTGTTGCAACTCTTATTTTACATGTGTTGGACATATTTAATGGATATTGCAGTGTGTTTAGAGTTGGTCGCTAAGACCACCTTGTCCTAGTTCCATAGTTGTAACTGAATTCATAAAGGCTAATTGTGCTTCTGTGAATTGAAGCTTTGCGTTGGCTAGTTGTTCTAGCTGCTCCCAGATGTAAGACACTGGTTGCTGATTCTCAATCATTCGTATCTATTCGCTGGTCAAAATCAAATGCTGTTGTTTCAAGAATTGGATCTGCTCAAAGTTCCAATTCATTGCGTCTCTGTCAACATTTGTCACAGTAGGACGACCCTGACTAACCTCATCCCCTGCGTTTTGTATACGGAAACGCTTGTATTTGCTTGGAGTCTCTGAGGTTGTAATACAGAGAGAACGAATAGGAGAGGGTGTCTCTTGAGCAGCCTTTGGCCTCTCGGGTTCAGAGGTCTCAACATCCATGTTATCCTCTTCTTCCTCTTTTTCCTCAGCAGTGACAGGAGTGACTTCCTTAGGTTTTACAGTATTTACCGGCGTCTTACAGTCCTTAGAAACAATGATTTTGGCCTTTTTGTTAGGAGCCGCGATCGTCTCAATTATGTTACTACGTGGACATTGTCTCATCATATGACCTTTCTCATTACAATTAAAACACTTCATGTAGTTCTTCAAGTCAGGACAGTCTGCACGACAATGATCAGAAGCTTGACAGAGTCTACAAATGTCTGGCATATTTTCCCGTTGAAGTAATGCCTGGCGAATCTCTCCATCATCGTCCATCCAAGGAATGACCCTTTAAAGCGGTTCAAAAGGAAGGTCATTGGCGTCGGCTGGGGTAAGGTTCAATGCCGCATAGCCTTGCCCAGTAAAACAGTCATGGCTTCTATTAATCCCAAGATCCGACACTCGACTATATTCGAACAAGCAATTTTCCATATCCTTCCTCATTCGTTGAGGGGCCTTTAGAGGAAGTCTATCCAACTTGAAGCGCACAATCTTTGCGTTGTCAGGTAAACTAAGGAAACCTCTAACGAAGGTTCCATCCTCCAAACGGATGTCCGTGTTCAAAATGGCCTTATATCCGGGTGAATCTTTTGTCCATGAAGTTTCAATAAACGAACGATTAAGATATCTGCGGGTAGAAGGGAGTCTATCGCAGTAATCGTCGCAGCCGTTTTCTTCATCAGCATCTTTATTAAAGACTTGAAGTGCTTTTCGTAGCATATGAGCATCTTTAATGTCAGTGATATCGATGAGTATAGAGTTTTTCTCGATGCCTTTCAAGTACTGTTTGACAAATTCGACTGTTAGTTCATTGGATGATGAAGGGTCTTCATCCGTGTCCTTGATTACTGCAGTTGAAACTGGGGTGAGGATGGTAGATCGGAAGGAGTGGTAGGTGCTTGTCTAGAAACAACTTTCGACTAAGATGAGGGGTAAGTTTTAGGTGCTGTCTTCTTGTCTATACTAGAGGCAGAAGATGCTAAGGTATGGGTCTGATTATTACGTGAAAGAACTATGATATAGATGCAGCAGGAAGAAGAATTGATATTGCCTTTTATCTTTATTTAATCCTCGATGACAAGCCATTTTGTGTGTGCCTGATGTACAAAGTCAATGAGATCATGGGGTAAGCTCATTGGTACATACAAAATAAGCCAGCATAAAAATATCTGTATACTTAAGGATAAAGACTAGAGGCTTTAGAAAGGTCTGTATAGTCTCAATTGTATGCCATTCTTTGATGAGTCATTGCTTGACAACCAGACTACTGACACTATCGCATTTTGTTGGTTAGAAAACAGAGTGTCGAATACACTGAAAATAGCTGGTCTATTTCGAAACTTTGCTGAATGGCGACAGCTATAACTTTCGAGGCCAATAGGTTACTTCTTCTAAAATAATGATGCTTAATGCTTTTATTGTGAACATGGTATACATATGAAAAATGCAAATTATTTGTCGTAAGGAGGAGGAGGAGGTAAAGCCAAACGCTCCATGCTTGAATTTCGGCTTGAAGCTAGTGACGATGGTCGTGAGCCTGAATCAATTCCGCTATGTTGAAGTATCATCATACGTTCCTTCTTGTTAAACTTGGTGCTCTTCTTCTTATAATCCACATAGCAAGGGCACATAAAGAAACCTGATTTTTGTTGGTCCAACACGTCTTGTTCATTTTCTACATCAATGGCTTCGTCACACAATGCTTCTTGATATGTGGGGAGTGTTGTATAATCCTCTTTAAGACGGCAATCGAGAATCGTGATAGGCGTTTCAAGCTGAATATGAGTACGTTCAATGCCATGCACAGCTTGGTCTGAAGAAGATGAGGTGGGTCTACTGGCAGGCACCGAGAGTTCAATATCGATCTTCAAATAATGCAAAAAATTCATTTCTTTAAAGTAAGTTGTATGGTTCAGTGTAAGACAGTTGGGTAATGTGAACAAAAACCTGTACTGAAAAGGTGTGGTGCCTAGTGGAATATGAGCATTTTTGGCTGCAAGTAATTGGCGTATTTGATGAAGAGGTAAGTCTGAAGCAGACATCATGACTTGTCTCATTTGGTCAGAATCAGCCATGTTGTTTACAGAAGCAAGTTGTAGCTTAAAGTCATGAAGTTCTGCTCTTCTTGCATTGTATTCTGGGACTTGGTAGGTTCGTTTTTCTGTTAATGTGATATGGATCGATTCCAAGCTGACATTCTTCATTTGTGTTGTTAGTACAATAGAAATGGGAAACTGTGTACCAGAGGACACAATGGACTTCTCGATATAGAAAGTAGCATCGCAAGCATCTGTCTTTCGTTCTGCCACAATGGAGGTAGTTGGTAAAGCATGAGAAGCAATTACATCTTCAGACCAGGAGAGGGTTCGAAGCAACAGGATATTACGGCGGCATCGTAGGTTGGGTGTGCCTATGCCTGGACGCTGTACGGTGGCTGAGACATAATAATAGACTTGAGCCATTTCGTCTTCTATTGTTTCAACCATGCTGCTGGGTATCAAAAATTCAAATGGCCAACGATGTAGACCAGCAGGTAGCATTGGGTTGTCTTCAGGCCGAGAATCTAAAATGATGTTTTGCTCCAAAATAGTTTTTTCGTGATACACTTTGCTACCACGAGCACCAAGTCCTTCTGGCCAGAGCATATTTGAGTTTCCTACCAGTTTGACCAACACTTGACTGGCTGACATTGGCTTGGTCAGCACTAATTCCACTTCTCCTCTCAAGACATGTGTTGTAGGGTCAGTCGGTGGTCCTCTTAATAAAACAACTGGTTCTGCCAATTCAATTGAAAATTGTTTATAGCCTGTAAAGAAGGGTACAGCAATAGGCATATTGACATAAATAAACAAGAGGAAGAAAAAAAAAGAGAAAAAAAAAGTAAGAAAATCCCCCCGTCATTGTAGATAAATCGTGCTCATTTGAATTGAATCGGAATGGAACCCATTTTGAGTGCTGTCAAATTAAATGACTCGTTTTTTATAGACCGAAAATAAAAAATTGGAACTGTCGGGATATCGAACTATAATCATAAATATGCGATAAGATAAACAGTAGCCATTCGTTGTCTCTTTCTTTTTTTTTTTTATTGAGTTATTTGTACCTCATAAGATAAATATGACAACTCTATATATACACTTCCTCTTCTTTTTCTTTTCTTTATATATATTTTTTGAACAGTGTTCGGTATAAAACGGGAAAAATCAGTTCCCGAATCACATGTTTTTATATTTGCATTCAACAACACGCTTTCCAAGTGTATTTACTGCCCATGTTACAGCATCAGGGCTAATCCTTTGGCAGTTATTGAGCACTAGTCTTTCTAACGTAGACCTGTGCGCCTTGACTACTTTCTGTAGGCCTACACCAGTAACACTGTTACAATTGGAAATATCGAGTCTTTTTAGTTTCTTGGTCACTGTCTGCAAGTCACTCATCACACTATCTGTGACTCCTGTTATCCAAGACATGGAGATATCTTCAAGGGTTGGGCATGAACTGATGATGGTATGTACATCCCATTCTTCTAAAGCAATATAGGTATTTATCTTGAGTGTTTGAATCTGTGGCAGCCCAGGAGACACGACTAACTGAGCCAATCGGCTATCAAGCATTCGGCAATCTGCAATCACCAGATGCTTTAATGTGGTATGATATTTCTGAACCATAAATTCAAGCAGCGAACTCGTAAACGAAGGATCGCCATACATGCCAAATGTATGCAGTCCCTTAGCTAAAGATGATGTCTTGAGAGATGCCCACTGTGTCTTTACTTGATACACTGGTCCAAAAGTGAAATGGAATTCGCTTAATTCAGGAATATCTGTGCGGGCTAATGAGTGTGTAAAGTCTGCAAAAGATACAGTGTTTGTATAAAAATCAAGCAATGTCAGCTTCTTGCATTGCTTTATGAGCCATGATGTTGTGTCTGTGTCATGAATACAGAGACGAAGGTGAGTCAAGTTGAGATCCATACTGTCTTGTCGTATATCGCCTGTTTCGAGTCCAATAATGGATAGCTGTGCCAATTGAGGCATCGCAGGTATGACGAGCTGAAGAATTTGTGCTACACTTAGACTTGATTCATCCAGCCGCATCGTTGTGACATGTTTGCCTGTTAATCTCAGCATTCTCAAGAATACATCCAAAGGTATATTACAGCGTACAAAATCTATATGAAGTCATTCTAGTCTGTATTGAACTTGTCTGTGCTTACCCAAATGAGTCAAGTATTGACAGTCGGCATCAATCAATGCTTGAAGACACTTTCTCATTCTGTTTTTATCTGCATCCATCATAGCAAATCGCCTAATATGTCTCCCTGTAGCATAGCCAAGGTATTTTTTGATGGTTGTCACAGGTACTTTTCGGTGACCAAAGTCCAAATCTCGCCACATACCAGACCAATTCAAGGCAAATTGTCTCCATGCTTTGGATACGCCTGTACATTGAACACGGCGATCAAACGACAAGTGGGCAAAGATCAAAGAGACCACATCATAAGGCAATACCTGCATAAAATCAAGGTAAGAAGAAGGAGTTGCCCTTTTTTCAGCTGTTTGTTTCATTTGTTTGATTTGAGCATAGCGACTGTCATGAGGATCCACTTTGACAAGTGCTCGTTGATAGACATTGACTGCCTGCTTATATTTCTTTTGAAGCATCAGTAATTTACCAGCACGCAAATAACCTCTGGATTCAGTAGGTGCAATGCTGATAATACTGGATGCATCACGCAGTGCAAGATCAATCTGGTTTAATTTCTCATGAGAAGCAGCACGACAGTCAAGAATAGTTGTATGTCCTGGTTTGAGTGTCAAGGCACGCGTGAATAAAGCGACGGATTCTTTAAAGTTATTTTCACTAAAGGCTTTCCGAGCATCTGAAAATGCTGCTTTCCAAGGTTCTGATACGATAAAAGAATCATTTTTTGGCTTCTTGGTCTGGATCGGTTCAAGATCGAGTTTACGTTTGTGCATTGGAACAAAAAAAAAAGACAGAGAAAAAAACAATTTTTCTTGTTGTTTCTTTTCAGCTTTGTTCCATGTTTAGGTCTATTTGTAGTTTGCAGAGTAAATGAGATAAAGAGGATAGACAAGCCCCTCCCCCTCCTCTTGTTGACTTATTTTATTGTTAGAACCAGTTGCATGTTTTATAAGAATGGCCTCTACAACATCGGAAAGCTATATTCATCGAGTCAAGATCCTCAATTTACCAGCTCATGAATTAGGACCTATTAAAAAATTCTTGCAGCAACTCGATCTCCATCATCGATTTAAAAAGGCTCCCAAGTGGGATTATGCCTATCTTCACTGCGAGGTGAGTTTGCTTTGCCATTGTTCTTATTTGACCCATTCAACAACAAGTCAGAAGCAGCAGCCCGAGCAGCAATCGCCAAACTCGATGGAATACACTATAAAAAGCGCGCATTATCCACCGAGTATTCTAAAGTCGATGAGATGGCATTTCGATCTCGTTTTGAATCAAAAAAGAAGCAAGATGTTGAGCCAGAGACTCGTACACCAGCAGAAAGATTAGCAGATCAAGTAACACCTTTATACAACATCCCTTATGAGGAACAAGTGGCAAAGAAGCATAAACTAGGTCAGCGTTATCTAAACTTACTCAGAAAGAAATTAAGTACACTGCCTGATATGAACCAAGAAGGAAAGCAACAGATAGCATGGACAAAGGATAGGACGATAGAGATTCAAGACACTATTCAATCACCTATTGTGAATGGCTATAGAACCAAATGCGAGTTTACTATTGGGAAAGATTTGGATAGTGATAAGACAGTAGGCTTCCTGTTGGGACTGTATAGAGATGGACATACAGCTGTACTAGGTCCAGAAGAGTGTCTACATGTGCCTGATATAGCTAAACAAATAGCCAAAGCTATGGAAGTAAAGATAATTGTATGGTCATGATACGTATTGACAGTATGTTAGGACTATATACAACAATCAGACTATGATGTTTATGATCGAGTAGATAAAGTGGGTGTATGGAGATCTATTATGACAAAGACACAGAGAACAGGCGATGGTAATCTATGCTGAATCAACGGGGAACATACTAACGTATACAAGTGATGATTTTGATACAGATCAAGACAGACAGTCTAACTCAAGAGCAAATAGAAATAGAAAAGCATAACTTGATTGCTTATTGGAACCAGCAAAAGCATATCAAACCAACCACACTCTTACTTCAGACCTGGAATGGGGATTCGAATGGTATTACAGACAAAGGCACTACTGAAGTATTGATAGGTGATGGCTATGTCTATGAGGAGATTCTTGGCTGTCGATTTAGAATATCAAGCAGTGCTTTCTTTCAGGTCAATACACCTGCAACAGAACTGTTGTATGCCAAATGTGCAGAATGGTGTAATATTGATCAAAATAAAAAGACAACCTTGTTAGACTTGTGTTGTGGTACAGGTACCATTGGTATTACCATGGCTAAATCAGTAGACAGAGTCATTGGTATTGAAATGATTCCTGAAGCCATTGTAGATGCCAATGCCAATGCTAAAATGAACAGTAAGTAAAGAAAGGACATAGAGATATCTCATCCAATCAGATATTACCAATATTCAATATCATGCAAGCAAAGTAGAAGAAAAGATTGATATTGTAACCAATGAAAAGAATGAACAAGTAGTAGCCATTTTGGATCCACCTAGAAGTGGTGTTCATACTTCAGTTATTCGTGCTGTTAGAGAATCAGAGCAAATCCAAAAAGTGATTTTCATTAGCTGTGATGCCAAACAAGCCATGCAAAACTTTATTGGGTAACAAAAAAAAAAAAAAAAACCTATGTCCTATTAATGCTTTTTCATTATTAGACTGTGTAGACCTACTTCTAACCGGTTCAAGGGACTTCCTTTCAAGCCTTCCCGAGCTGTTTCTATTGACTTATTTCCACACACAGACCATTGTGAGCTTATGATTGAATTTGTTCGCATTCAATAAACACGAGTTTTACCAAAATTAGCTGTATGCTTCACGTCATCTTTAAATGGAGAACACGAAAACTTTTTTTTATTTTTCTTTTCTTTTCTTTTTTATTTTATTCTTTATATATGAACGACGACCTTGCTTCTTTTCAAAATACCAACTTTTTTACACCAACAAGGTCTCTTCCTTTTACAGTAGAAGAAGACCCTTGGAGTACTACAGGTTTTGATCCTGTGGATGAAATAAGACAACCTCTTTCTCAACCTACTGCTATGGACGAAGAAGTCGTGACTGAAGGTATCACAGCTGCCAATGTACTCCGTAAGTGTTGATACAATAAAGGCACCCGTTTAACTTTTTTTTTTTTTTTTTAGTCGGAGTCGATTTACCAGAAGTCTTTGATACAGCCTATATTCGTGCTGGGCCTATTGGTGACCGAGTGAGCGTAGAGTCACTTGAGACCATCATTAGCTTAGGAGGCATGGGACCACGTTTATTTGAGCAAGTAGGTAATAATGCAATGCAGCATCCATACAACAGTTCTTTAACGCATATTAGATTTCTTCCATGATTGTGCCTGCTGGAGCTATGTATGTGACTCGAAATGAGTTTAATACAGCATTGGCACTTGTAGGATGCGCTCAAAAGAACATGGGTAAGCTCATTCTATATATGTAACAGTAGAAACTTATATCTATAGATTTGTCACTCTTGACTATCTACCAACATCGCAATGGTAAACAGACACACACATACACAATTCTAGTTGTTTAACTGTCTATAGATTTGCCTATACCTTCTTTATCCAACTTGAACAATGTGTCTATCAAACGAACTAACCCACTTTTGGTATCAAACACAAAACCTAAAGCTTATGACGATGATCCTTGGCGACTTTCTACTTCGCCCCCTACTGACAATGTTTTTCCAGTCTATCCTGATAAAGTCAAGAAATCAAGCAACAGGGAAACCACATCAGAGAATGACAATAGCACCAAAACAATCACACCTGTGCCTAGTCGACTTGTTGAAGCCATTGCAGATAAAGCATTTACACAGGCCCTTGTGAAATCATCAACAGAGTCTTATCAATGGTTTACTGATCTGGATCAAATCACAGTGACAGTAGCTGAAAAAGAAGGCTTCTTGTTTACTCATCTTAATTATTGGGTTCAGAGCAGTCAGCGACAGACGTCTGTTAGAAGACGATACAGTGATTTCTATTGGTTTTGGGAAACATTGTTAAAGCGATATCCTTTTCGAATCATTCCAGATTTGCCACCTAAAAAGTTATCTGGCAGTAAGTGCTTCTTTATCTATTCATGACTCACTTTTTATATATATGTATATACATAGAAGACAAAGTGTTTCTTGAAAAAAGATGTCAAGGCTTACAACGCTTCATGAATTCCATTGTACGACATCCAGTATTGAAAAACGATGAGCAAGTCATTATCTTTCTGACAGAACAAACGGTAAGATACCATATTTGAATTTGATGCTGAGTATTGCTTAGGAATTCTCTGCTTGGAGAAGAGCTCAATCGCCTCATACGGAAGAAGAGTTTATCAGGGCGAATCCCCAGACAGAAGACCTTGAAGTGTTTATACCAAAAGATCTGGATTCTCGCATTGAACAGATTCAGAAACGATTGCCTAAATCCATTGAGAAATATGACATGTTGTGTTCTATTATGGAACGTACCATTCGGCTCAATGAAGCAAGAGCACTTGAGATGAAAAAGTACAATGACACGCTCAAGTAAGTGCCATGATGGGCCCCTAGAGATAACTCAAGTTGTTCTTAGGCAACTGGGTGACATTGAACATGATTGTTTTGTCACGAATTGTCAAGCATGCATTCAAGTCGTCAAGGGCTATGGACATGTAGGCAATTATTTGGATCAAGGCAGCCATATTATTGAGACAGAGACATCTTCTTCTATTGCAGGCGTACTTGAAAACCTCAAAAGACATCGCGATGTCTCCATTTCGTTTTTAGACATGTTGAACAGAAAGTCGAGATTGGATGCAAATCAAATCAATGCACTTGCTCGAAAGATTACTGCTAATACTGCCAAAGTCAATCAAAACCGTGGTGTTCCGGGCTTAGAAGCTGAAGTGGAAAGATTAGATGCGCTTATTAAATCTGTAAGTGTAGAAAAAAAAACTTAATAGCCCCCTCCCTTATCTTTATACAACGCCATAGGATACCGAGAAAATGATACATCAACAAAGAAAAGATACCTATATTCGTTACTGTGTAGCTAGCGAACTGTCTTATTTACACAAACAACAGGCATTTGTGTCTTTGCTCTATCAAAATTTCGTGCATGAACAACTTCAATATGCTCGTAAAACAGTGGATAATTGGAAAGCATTAGAAGCTCTTTTATGTCAAATGCCTCCTAAACCAGAACACTTTGTCTAATTTATACCCGCATAAAAAAATATATAAATATATATATATATATATATATATCAAGTTCATTCTAAAAGAAAATCATTTCATTATACAAATTTAGTAGAAACCCTTAGCGTGGTTATCACAGACATCACGGAGCTTAGCTTCGAGTTCCTTGGAGAGAACACCCTTGGTACGGATTTCTTCAAGGACATCACTGTGTTGAGTAGCAACGTGGCTGATGAAATCCTTTTCCCAATCAACAACCTTGTTCACAGGGATCTTATCGAGGTAACCGTTAACACCAGCAAAGATGATGGGAACTTGAGCTTGGATAGACAAGGGAGTGTATTGAGGTTGCTTCAACAATTCAGTGAGACGAGCACCACGGTTCAACAAGAATTGAGTGGAGGCATCCAAATCAGAACCGAATTGGGCGAAAGCAGCAACTTCACGGTATTGAGCCAAGAAGAGCTTCATGGAACCAGCAACTTGCTTCATGGCCTTGGTTTGAGCAGCGGAACCGACACGAGAGACGGAAAGACCGACGTTAATGGCAGGACGGATACCCTTGAAGAAAAGTTCGGCTTCCAAGAAGATTTGACCATCAGTAATGGAAATAACGTTAGTGGGGATATAGGCAGAGACATCACCACCTTGGGTTTCAATGATGGGAAGAGCAGTCATGGAACCATAACCGAAGCTCTTGTTCATCTTGGCAGCACGTTCCAAAAGACGAGAGTGAAGATAGAAGACATCACCAGGGTAAGCTTCACGACCAGGAGGACGACGAAGCAAGAGAGACATTTGACGGTAAGCAACAGCTTGCTTGGACAAATCGTCATAGATGATCAAGGAGTGACGACCGTTGTCACGGAACCATTCACCAATAGCAGCACCAGAGAAAGGAGCAAGGTATTGAAGAGGAGCAGCTTCAGAAGCAGTAGCAGCAACAACAATAGTGTACTTCATGGCATCTATAGGATATACATAAGGATACAGGTGCATATATCTAAATGAACTTACCGTTTTCTTCAAGAGTTCTGACAAGTTGAGCAACAGTAGAACGCTTTTGACCGACAGCGACATAGATACAGTACAACTTCTTGGCTTCATCAGAACCGTTGTTCCAGTTCTTTTGGTTCAAGATGGTATCGAGAGCGACAGCAGTCTTACCAGTTTGACGATCACCAATGATCAATTCACGTTGACCACGACCAATGGGGACCATGGAATCAACAGACTTGATACCAGTTTGCATAGGTTCGTTGACAGAGTGACGAGGCAAGATACCAGGAGCCTTGACTTGGACACGAGAACGACCAGCAGCGTCAAGAGGACCCTTACCATCAATGGGGTTACCGAGAGCATCGACAACACGACCGAGGAGACCAGGACCAATAGGGACATCAACGATAGCACCAGTACGCTTGACGGTATCACCTTCCTTGATCAAACGATCGTTACCGAAAACGACAATACCGACGTTATCAGCTTCCAAGTTAAGGGCCATACCCTATTGTACATTGTTAATCATTGTGCTTTCAATCATCCTGTTTTCTCTGTTGTTTACCTTAAGACCGCTAGAGAATTCAACCATTTCTTCAGCTTGACAGTTCTTCAAACCGTAAACACGAGCAATACCATCACCAATAGACAAGACACGACCGGTTTCTTGGAGATCAACTTCAGAGTTAGCACCCAAAATACGTTGTTCGAGGATAGAAGAAACTTCAGAAGTAGAAGGCTTAGCAGAAGCATAAGCACGGGCAACAGTGGCGACAGCACCAAGGTTGAGACGAGCCTAATAACAAGTTAATAATCTAAAACTCGACTCTAAAAAATAACTACATACAGCAGGCAAAACACTACGAGTGAGTGCAGGACGAGCAATACGAGCAACGTTTCTGAGCATTGTGTGAGAGGGGTGGTTTGAAAAAAAAGAAGAAAAAATGTCTTTTCTCAGCACACACACATACACTAAATTGCCAGGCACGCTCACAAAAAAAGTTTTTTTTTATTGCGTCACCTTTCAGATTGAGGCTCCTCTTGTTATCCAATCAGAATTGATCTGATAAGTGCGTTATGCTTCAAACAATTGGCCTTATCGCGATATGGATGTTGCCTAGCAACCTTCGAGAGAAAAAAAAAGACCTGATGCGCAACAGGCTTTTAAGTATCCTATGGAGTTATATGATGATTGGCTGGTAAATACTGTGAATTCCAATCCTGAAAAAATGTAATTATTTTTTCATTCTTTTTTTTCCTTTCTTTCTCCACTATTGTCCATCTCAAGATGAGGTATAGATTGTTCAATCTCGACAAGGATCTTTGTTAGTGACGCGTGTATAGTGCTTCTAATTCGAAAAATAATGGCTTTGTGTTTGAACAACAAAACGACATTCGTTTAAACGAGCTCAGTTCTAAAATCTCTGCTATCAAAAATGTATGTCTATAGTTTAAAATGCTTTGATATTCAGAATGAAGTAGATCACAATAGACATTCACCAAGATGTGTCTGATCAAGATAGATTGTTGGATGAATCAGTAAGTTTTTAGTTTATCAGATGTTTATGCTTAAATCAGTACAGCATAATCAATTCAGCGGTCTTGGAAGTAGCTTGCATCAATCTTTTGGCAGAATGAACAGAATGATATCCAAACGCCACCAAAGACAACTCTGTTTTTATGTCTCCATCACTGTCTTTGGTTTTTTCCTTATTTATTATGGTGCACCCTTTATCTCTTCTTTTTTCAGTTCCGAAAAGGACGGTGATGATATGTAGCAGAAATGATTTTTTGTAGAAAAATATAATTAAAATTAAGGTTTTGATTAGAAAATACATATTAATTTAAACAATAAATATGTTATTTTTAAAACTCTTTCCATAATTGACAATGGGGTTTGTCCTTACAAGCATTAGAGTGATAGGCTGCTATTTTGTGCTAGGCACACGTGCATATTCAATTCTTTATCTGCATAATTCTTGATCATGGGTAAAAGTACATGTGTACATGAAAGATCATGATAGTAAAAGCTCTTTAGTAGAGTTACACATTAAATGGCCTTGTCATACCCATTCTGATTTCTTTTTTTTTTTAAAGAAAGCAATAGTAAAAGAAAAAGTGGGAAAGATGGGCAATTTAAAAAAAAGAAAGAAAATAGCATGATTGCATTTAATAGTAATATTAGAAAAAGGCTAATATTTTTTGATAAAGTGACGGCACATGTAATTATCGTGTAAATTAGTTGTAAGGAGGACTAACTTGCTAGGCGTAAAATGTTGGAATAAAATAATAAAAAGGCAATTTATTCGTTTTGAAGCGGAGTAAGGTATTGTCACACCTTTTGTATTATTTACTTGTTCATTTTTCATTCTCTTTTTCTAAACACTCTTTTCCTCCTCTCTTTTTCTAATATCTCTCTTTTTTTTTCATTGTTGCATTGAATAAAAAAAAGTAATCTTTTTTCTTTATTCATGCTTTAAAAGAAACAAGAAAGTTATACGCGAATTTTCTTTTCTGTATATATACAATCAACGCAACACACAAATACCAATCCTATTTTGTTATTTTATCTTCTTTCCTTTTTGTAAATCCTCTCTTTCTTTCTTTCACACATCTACTAAGCAATCCCATTTCTTCCCTCCCATACATATAATCCTTAATCTTTAATACCACTATGGCAACTACAATTCAACACAACCCTGTCTTGTTACAACAAGAAGACGAAGACATTGCTCTAGCAAACTATTTGACATCTTCACTTAAATTTGATCCCCAGGTAAAGAATACACTCCCTCTCTTTTTTTTTTTTTTTTTTTTTTTTTTTTATATATGTATTTCTTGCTTCCCCCCAAAGAAATTAAGATCCGTTCTTTTTTTCTATATTCATCTATTTCATAACGAATCATAAAAGATTGGTGGTTGTACAACCACTATTTATGGTCAACAAGTTATTTATAAATTTTATGCACATTCATTGTTTCATAACAGTAAAAATGCTAATCATCTCATTTAGGCTTCACAACAGCAACAACAAATGAATAGCGCCAATGCTTATTACTTTCAACAACAGCTACAAAAGCAACAACACCGTACCCGCACTCGCGTATCAAGTTCGCCTTCAAATCCTACACGCTCCAGTGGCACAAGAAAACAACCACCACCTCAAACTCGCCCTTCAAACAAAAAACATCCTTCATCCTCATCATCTATCGTCTCATCTTCTTCTCTATCTCAGCCACCACTTATCTCTTCTAATGAATCCATGAAAAGTAACAATAGTCGACGTCGCCATAGTGCTATGCCAATGACTCAAGAAAGAAGACCTTCGTTCTCTGGCTCTGTTGTATCAGCAACATCTGCTCTTTCAATTCAATCTGAAATGTCTGTCAACACAAAACTGTCTTTATCAAAAAGACTTCGTAAAGTGTTTAGCATGAACAATCTGAAATCTTCCAATAGTAGCCAGAGTGATCTGGCTTCTTTGGCAAGCAGAAATGGTTCCAATTCGTCTATTGCTTCGTCTATATCTAGTTCACCCTTATCTCAATCTACTACAAATAGCAAGAATCCTATGTCTTTTAGACGTAGATCGATTGCATCACTTTCTAGTTTATTTCAAAAGGGTTCTGGTAGCGTGCCTCAAACTGAAGTGGTACCAAGCAAGCCTAGTACTTCCACATCATCTAACAGCAAACGTCATTCTTCAGGAGATTTACGCCAAATTGTCAAAGAAGAAAAGAAAGAAAAAAAACCTGACTTGCGAGTGGACACAACAGAAACAACATCTCATGTGCGAAAAGGTGGATTAAAAGGTAAGCTCAAAGAAGATATGAGTATCCATCTCATTGCTTTATTAGTACGCTCCTCTTCCTCCAATAACACAAATAATACTTATATCAATGGTGCCCCTGATTCACCTAATTCTGCTATTTCAACACGTTCCTTTACTCGTTTACCACCTCCTCAACAACAACAACAACAAAGAAATTTTATTCATTTGCCTGAACCGGGATTGCCTTCACCTACTCCCTCTACTGCTTCATCCAAGCATTCAGAAGAATATATCAAGCCTGCTGCTGTTGGACTACAATATGGTATTGGCCTTCACAGCTCTCCTAAGCTAAAACCTGCTTCTTCCTCTACAAGTTCACTCGTGGCTCCCACAAATAACTCTGGACGACGAGTTCAGTTCTGTAGCACAATCCAAATTCACGAAACTTTTGCTCCTTCTGATTATGACCGTCGTTGCGATACCAATGCTACGTGCCAAAAATTAACGCCCATGACGGCCATGAAGATTAAACAGGAATTGAACGAATACAAATTGACTGAAATGGATGTTCATGTAGAGAGTAGACAATATACACACTTTTTCTTGTAATTCCCCCATGTAAAATTCCCCCCTTTTAATAAAAAAAACAAGCTGAAATGAATTTTGCTAAATGAACCTTGTGTGAACACAAGTAAATCAATTTCTTTTTTTGAAATCACTATTGAGCCGAAGGTAAGGTTTCGATCAAAAAAATTGAAGTATGTGTATGTGCTGTTTTCTTTTTTTGGACGAGTCGCTTTTTTAAAAAAACTATCGAATCAGCTCAAGTACAATGGCCAAAGCGCTTTTGTTCATTATAGTCTATTTTTTATTTGTTTGCATAATGCTTACAAAGGCTGAAGAATTTTCTCTTTAAGAGTTAAACAAGGTAAAAAAAAATGGCACTTTTTTTTTTCTCAAGCGTTAAAGATGTTTGGGCTTGAAAGCTCACTGGACTACATGTAACAGAATAATGCCTGCTAACAAATCAAGTTATAAAAACGCACCAAATAAAACATTTTTTCTTCAACCCGTTTAACACCAAGAAAGGAAAATATTTTTTGCTTCTTCAGGCATATTCACAGTAGTTTCGCTTTGTTAGATCTATCAATTCAACAAATACGTATTCAGTTTATTCATCTATCTTAGATTCTCTCTCTCTTTCTCTTTTTTGTTCAATTCTTTTGTTGCTCCCAACGTCTTTTACAATAATACTATATGTTGTACTCTGTATGGATGTGTCGAACATTACACACTTCCTTTTATCATGTGATCTCTGTAATATAAAAAAAAAGTAAATGCCTAATACCAAAGGAAATATTAATATGACACCCTCAAGAGACAAAGAAAGTATTACATTTACTATCAGAACATGGAGGAAATACCATAAAAAATAAAACATAATCTCATAGTATATATAACCCAAAGAGCAAGATTTTTATCCCTCAACAATGTCGACTAAATGAATTAATTTGTTTACTTGATTCTCGTTTCATATCTAGTAGCAGGCTTCTTACTGCGTTTCACATACTAAAAACAACAAAGGTAGTAAATGCATTGTTTCAAATAGGAATGAAACAAAGCTAAATAATTCTTATCTACTGCATCCTTGGATAACTGCCCTTGATTTATGCAACGCATATCAATCGAGACAATAAGGGATTACTTTTTTGTTTGAAAGAAACTTACTTTGTCCTTGTGTCACCTTTTGAAGTGTGACGTATTTCAATTGTGGGGCAAGCGCACACAAAAAAACATCCACAAGATGAATACCATAAGATGTACATACACACGCTTAAATAATATTTAAAGAAAACATAACGAATTTACACTCACAGTTCTATCTTGTTTTTTTTCTGCATTTTTAAACTTGTCTTTTATCGTAAGTATAATAGAACAATAAAAGAGAAAAGAAAAAAAAAGAGAGCAAGAGATTCAGGATAATCCTGCTTCTCATATTTAAGAACTTGTCCTATGCAACTTTTTTTCTTGCAATATAATATCCGAGTTGCTCAATTCATATCAGTCTTGTAGGTACTTGAAAGCAAACCATCTCGACAGTTCCTCTTTTTAGTGCTTGTGTGCCCTTTTCTTTTTGTCAATCCCCGCTGGAGTAGCCCTTTTTTCTTTCAAGCAAACACCAACATTAGAGTAAACCCCCCCTGGCTGGCCCAGCTTTAATTTGAAATTCAAATCAATTTTACCAATATATTTATGCCATGTCTACAGATACATCTTTACTCAATACTACTGGCTCATCTCTAGATGACTCTCTATTGGTAAGTGACTGACTTGTAAGACATCATCTCATCTGTTTTTATACAAGATTGAATTACGCAATAAAGCACAAGAAGAAAGAAAAGAAAAACAAAGGTTGGCATAGAAACAGAAAAAAAAAACTCATACGTTTTGGGGCGTAGACATATTGAGATTCGTAGAACACATTTACTTAAAGAACTCTTTTTATTGACAAAAGAAAAAGAAGACGTGATGGCCTTTCTTAATGACCAGGAGAATTTGTCAGAAGCAGATTTTTTGCGTGAAGAAGAGTTTCTTGAGAAACATCAAATAAAGTAGGTCTTGTGGAGTCATGCTGTGGAAGCTAATCGAACCTACAGAGACGGTGTATTTCCGGAATTATCGCCTGCTTATCGTCAAGATGTTTTGGTATCAATGGTTCATCCGGAAAATCAAGCTGAAATTATGGAAAATCAAGTTATAAAACAAGAAGAAACGGTAAAAACTGAGCATGTAAGTATCTCTATTTGTAAGGGAAGGAACAGTCTATTAAACAACAACAGCAGGGCGAGGAAGAGCAGGAAGGAAAAAAGAAAGCAGTGTTCTATTTGACAACGACATTACCACGACGATCTGAATCAAAGCATCATCCTGTCCAAATCTATAATGGTTGTAAATTTGTCGATAAGCGAAATGATAAGCCTTCAGGTATTGATCTCTATGCTTGGCAATTAAGAGCACAATATCAGCCTTTGTATAAGCAACTTCAACAAGCAAGAAAGGTCTTGACTACACATGATTGGATGGTAAGTACTTGTGTGTATGATGTATTTGCAACTAAAAGAAAAAAAACAAAGCTCGCTAGGGATGAACTGAAATCAGTAAAGACAATTGCAAGTATTGAAAACCTGAAAAAGAAGAATTTATGGAGTCAAAGACAATTAAAACGTCAAAAAATGATACCTCGAACAAAGACACATTGGGATTTATTAATGGATGAAATGGTAATAGACACAAACAATAAAAGCTATACTAAACCTATGTTAGAAATGGATGCGAACAGATTTTAAAGAAGAAAGAAAGTGGAAGATAGCAACAGCCTATTCTTTATCCAGAGCTGTTATGGCATGGCATGAAGCGGAGGATAAATCTAGTTTATGCATCAAGGCAAGTTATGTTTATATGACTAAACAACTAACAACAATACAGACAAAGTCACCGATGTTTCTTGATGAAAAAAAAGAACTTCATAAAGAAGAGGATGTGGAGATGACAGAACCTGTTTCTGAAGTTCAGCATGTTGACACAGACACACCAAAAGACACATTGACAGAACGATCACTTATGGACGAGGACGATGATGAAGAAGAAGAAAACAAGGTTGCTTCCAATATTATTCATCAATATCGACATATGATTCAGAACTTGGGTCCTGACCAATTCACGATGGCACTCAATGAAGACGAGCATGACATTATTTCGCTCTTTCCTGACCTGCTTTTGTATACAGCACCTGATCCTGACTGCATTGGTAACGATCCTTACTTTGATGAGGCAGAATACAGCCGTATTGTGCCATTCAAGATTTCAACGCAACACATTAAGCTTCAAAGGAATGGTAAACATCTTTCAAGAAAGCGTCATACTAATGGAGAACACACTCGTTTTATTCTGGAAGAGGAAGACGACGAAGAAGAAGATGAAGAAGAGGAAGAGGAAGAAGAATACGAACAAAACAAGATAATGTCACGACAAGAGCGCCATGAAACCACTCCTATAGCCTCATGTAAGTCTTTATGACGATGTTTAGAAAATATAATACTCTATAGCATTATTCGCACCCAAGAAACAAAAGGAGGTGCCTGTGACTCAGCCGTCTACTCCACAAGTACCCCCTGGAGCAAGGCAAATCGGCACTTGGTCTGAAGATGACGATTTGTGTTTGATCCAACTTATTGTGCAATACTCTTTCAATTGGGATCTCATTTGTGATGCTTTCAATGCCATAAGAGCACCCGTCAATGGGGAAAAACGTACACCCTGGGACTGTCATGAAAGATGGAGACAGAACAACCTGACTTCATTATCAGGACAAATCAACTCAAGTAAGAACACCTGCAGATTGAGGTCATTGTGTATTTACATTCTATGTTAGCTTATGTCTCGAAACTAAAGAAGGATCTTTCAAGGAGACCATCACCACTTAAGTTTGATTCTGCAAGAAAAAGGCAGAGACAATATAATATGTTTGAGGCTATTAAGAAGACTCAAAAGAAAAGAGAAGATTCTATCAAATCTAAACGTAAAATTCTTTCTTTTTGAATGCAGTACTCATTTTTTTTGTAGCCACATCTGCACCCCCTCGTAGTGTGATTGAAGCACATGGAATGAGTTCACAAGGTCAACGATTACCTTCTGCTATGGAATTAAGTCTACACAAAACACAAAGAGAAAGACAAATGGCACAAGCTTTGATAGAACAACGACAATTGTCTCAGAATTTCGCTCCCAACGTAGGAAAAAAAGAATTTTCTGTTTGTTTTTGTTTGTTTGTTTATTTATTGATCATCCATTATAGGGTAATGGTTTGCCTCAGCCGACAGCATCTCAAATAAGACCTCCTACAGCAGTAAATCAGAACGCTGCATCAGCTGCGATCGCCGCTGCGGCAGCAGCAGCCGCTGCAACCAATAGGGGAGTACCTAGACCTCAACCATCCTCCTCTTTCCAGCCTGCCCAACCAGGTCTAGCTCAACAAACCCCACAGCAGCAACAAGTGGCCACACAACAACAAGCAGCAGTTCAAGCTCAAGCGGCAGTTCAAGCCCAAGCAGCAGTTCAAGCCCAAGCAGCAGCAGCAGCAGCAGCAGCACAGGTTGCTCAACAACAGCAACAATCACAGCAACAACAACAACAAGTACTTGCTCAACAACAGTTACAAGCTCAATTACAAGCACAATTGAATGCTGTCAGTGCTGCTAATACGGCTAATAATACTGTTGCTAACAATTTACAAAATCGATACCCAGCAGCACAATTACATCTACTACGTCAACAACAAATGGCCTTGATGGCTGCTGCTGCTCAACAACAGCAACAGCAACAGCAACAGCAACAGCAACAGCAACAACAGCAGCAAGGTCAAACTCGACCACCTAGTACAATACCTATGCAACAACGATTTGTAAACGTATTAGCATCACAAGCTCAAGGTAGACTTTCTCTCTTTTATAATTTCTTTATTCTTATCCTTATTTTATAGCATTACAATCACAAATGAGCACCAATAGCAATAATATTACGAGTACGGATAATAGCAATACGAATCAAACACAGCAATCGTCACCGGCATTGCAACAACAACAACAACAACAACAACAACAGCAAACAGCCAATGCTTTAGCGCTAGCAGCACAATTAGCACAACTTGGATACCCTATACAGTCACTTGGGCAGTTACCTGTAAATCAACAAGCTAATTTGCAACGATACATTACACAGTTGCAGATGCGTAACAATGCTAATAATAATAACAACAACAATACCACAAACAACAATACAGCAGTATCACCTCAACTTCAACAACAACTTCAACAACAAATGCTAAATAGTTTAACTCCTCAACAACAGCAACAGCTATTGATTCAGCAACAACAAAGACTTCAAGCTGTTCAGATGCAACAACAATTACAACTACAACAACAACTTCAACAACAGCAGTTATTACAGAGAAATAACACTACAAACACCAACAACACTAGCAACAATAACAACAACAATACTACTACTACTAATAATAATGCAAATTTAGGTTAATTTTTTCAATTTGTACATTTTCATCATAATTGTTTTTTTTTTCTGTACACAAATAAACAGTTTGATAAACATTTCTCCTGAAATTTATGTACAAAAGAAGAAAAAATAATTCACGCATTGTAAATATTTGGCTTTATTTAACGTAAAATAAATATGAAGGGTAGATATAGATATATACATAAAGAGAGAGAGAGAGAGAGAGACGAATAAGTTAGATTTGACCTTCTCTTGAAGCTACTTTGTAATTGGGTTGATGGTGATGATATAGATTGGAAGAAAGGTCTTTTTGTTCTTTTAACTTTGATAAACCATTGTTCATAGTCTTTTGAATGATGGCTATAATATAGCTTTTTCTTTAATGACTTAATCATTGATAGGCACAAATACCTTCTCGAATTCCCTTTTCACCAGAAGCCAAAGTGCCAACAGGTAATCGACCATTTGTCAAGGCCTTTAATTGTTGTACAAGTTGTGGGTGTTCTTTCAAGACAGTGTACGATCTTGACATCTTTCCAATAGCAAGTACTTTTCTCTTGATAATTTGTCTACGATGAGGGTCTAATGATGGTTGACCATTTAATGAAAATTCATCCATAGCAGTGTTGTTGTTGATAATAGCAAGAGACATGTTGAAATATAAGAGGGGATAAAAACTAAAAGAAAAAAAAACTAAAAAAATCCCTCTTTTTATAGCCCTCCAAAAAGACAGAAAAAGAGGGGCTCATATTAAAAGTTGAAAGTTATGCATAAGAAACCTTGGATTCATCCTTGATTCAAGATATACATAAACTGGAAATTTGAGAACATTCTTGTTCCCTTTCTTTTTTTAAAGCCGACTCAGAACTCTAATCAGCTAATCAGCCATGATTTGAAGATCCTCGTTTTCTTATTCGGATATTTGTTGCCATGGAAAACCCTTTTTTATTTCTCGCAATTCTCTTGTTTCCACGACAGATTGTTTTTATTATGATTTTAATCACCACTTGCACAACCTCTGCAACCACAATGAACACATTCTACCATTTTCCCTTCTTCTAATTTTTCTTTTGGAACTCTACAAATACATGTTGTACCAAAGTTTGTATCTTTAGGCTGAATACAACGCAGACAACACAGTTTCTCAAATCCAGGCTAGAATGATATTAGAGAAGAAAAAAATTTTTTTTATAATTACCTTTTTCCATTTGGCAATAAGATTGGCGTCAGCATACTTATTCTTGAGCAAATAGTCATAAAGATCGCGTGAGATCAACTTTCTCTTATAAAACAAGTCATATATATAACGTGAACGTTGGTGGTGAATACGGAACACTGGCCAAGCACTTTCAACAATACGTTTGCCTTCATGAGACTCGTTTTCAACTACATATTAAAAACAGTTCTAATAACCCTATTTACATCTTTCTTTTGTTGTTGGTGTTGCTTGTTGTTTTTGCTTTTACCTTCTTTCATTTTTCTTGCGAATTCTTCAAGAGTTGGTTCTATTTCATCAAAACCTTCAGGAGGTCGCTTTGTTCGTGATGTTCTGATCTTTGGCATAGTCAATCGATGAACACAATACAATATTTTTTATTTTTTATTTTTAATTCAATCGAAGAAAAAAGAACTTGCCGATGACGTACCACTCACACTAACTCTGTCCGCCAATCATGACTATAAAACATACTTGATCATGATTGGTTGTATTTCAATCCTTAAATTCAATGCAGTCGGTTTATCATCAAGTAGGAGATACATGCACCTGGTTGCTTACTTTATTTTGCTTGCTTATCAAATGCACGTTCAAGATTCTATTGTTATTGATTAGCCTTGTTTTCTCCCTTTGAAGAATCTGTACCTGAGATTTATTGTCTCCGATTCAACTATTGAATCCCAGTTCTACTGTCAAAGAAAAAAAAAGTGCCTCATTTTTTTTTATTTTTTTTTATTCAAAGCGATGAGTACGATCGATGGATACTACTTGTTTGCTTCAAGCACCGCTGGATTAGTTGCTCGAACAATAACGCATCCTAGTAAGATAGAAGCGGTTAAGAAGTCATTGTCTTATTCATTCTAATCATAGTGGACACAATCAATATCCGGCTACAAACAACAACAATACGACATATAGATAAACAATCACTGATAAAAATCGTCTTTCCAAACTTGATTGGCAAGCATACTTCATCAACCGAGAAAATTCAATCATTGAAAAGCCTTTATCGAGGACTGCCCATCGCTTTACTTTTCTCTGTGCCTGCCGTGTCTATGTATCTATCATGCTACGAAGCAACCAAGCAAACATTGAGTACATCATACAACATAGCCCGAGACTCTTCTCTCAATCATTTGATTTCAGGATGTGCTGCTGAGGTCTCTGGCTGTTTGTTTTTTACTCCTATGGAAGTCATAAAAAACCGACTGCAAACACAGCAAAAACAAGCTCGAATCAACAGTCGTTCTCTAATCGCCAACATTTATAAGACAGAAGGCATAAGAGGGTTCTATAGAGGCTATTGGATGGGACTCGTTGTGTTTGTTCCACATTCAATGACTTATTTTGTCACGTATGAGAAACTAAAACAATGGATCTTGCCAAATACAGATCATAATCATCCTAGTCTGTACATGGTGTGTTCCAGTATGGCAGGTGTAGCAAGTGTTTTAGTTTCGACGCCTTTAGACATCATCAAAACAAGGTGGCAAATTTCAGCGGCAGATCACGGGAAAATGTATAGAGATGGACCAATTGCCATTGCAAAAAATATGTTGCTTAACGAAGGCCGTGGTGCATTCACAAGAGGATTATATGCTAGAATTGCTTGGGGGATTCCTACCACAGCGATTAGTATGACTGTATTTGAAGTCTTAAAAGACAGCAAAGAGAAACTATTGAAATTCTTGTAAACACAAAAATGTGTATGTGTATATTAAATTACTTTATTTATCGGCAAAAATGAATGAGTGAGGGTCGTATTTTTTATGATGTGTAAGTGTGTGTGCGTGTGTTTGTGTGTGTGCGGATACATTGAAGACATTAAACAAAAAAAAAGAGGGTATGTGTGTTCTTTTTTTTCTTAAAGGAGAGCAACAGCAGCAAGGACAATAGCACCAACAGTAGCACCCATACTGATACGAACAGCACTACCACTTGACTTTGCATTAGCATTCTTGGGAGAGATAGTGGCTTTAGCATTAGCACCAGTAGCAGAGAGAACACCAGCGCTAGAAGCACCAAAAGATAAGGATCCGAACGAAGCAGAGGCAATAGCAGAAGCACTACCAAATGCATTTGAAGCAGAAGAGACAACTTGCTTTGCATTATCCATACCGTTAATTTCAAGTTCTTCATCAGTTTCGCTCTTTTCTTCTTCTTCTTCCTTCTTTTCTTCGTCATCTTTTTCGACTTCTTGAGCTTTCACCTTTTCTTCATCATCCTTTTCTTCTTTATCGTCCTTGTCTTCTTTATCGTCCTTGTCTTCTTTATCATCCTTGTCTTCTTTATCATCCTTGTCTTCTTTGTCATCCTTGTCTTCTTTGTCATCCTTGTCTTCTTTGTCATCCTTGTCTTCTTTTTCGTCTTTGTCTTCCTTATCGTCCTTATCGTCCTTGTCATCCTTTTCTTCCTTGTCATCATCTTCTTCTTCATCGTTATCATCAGCATTGATCTTGGCAGAAAGAGGCTTAAAGGCAGATCGAGAACCTCTGAGAGAGACTGGCATAATATCTTCTTCCAAATCTTCATCAGTGTTTGTGTTCTTCTTCTTGGCTTCACTCACTCCTTGTTGCATCTCATTCTCGGCCATATATTCAGCAACAGATATGACAGAAGCATTAGAAGCCTCAGCAGCAACAGAAGCGCTGTTCATAGCAACAGCAGAAGGTTCAGCAGCATGAACTATAAAATGGTTTAAAATTTAATGACAATCTAATTCGACTATACCTTGAAGCAAAAGGGTCGCAACAGCAACAGAAAGAAGGGCTTTAGTATGCATATTGTGTGTGTGTATATATAGTAATCAAAAAGAGAGAGAGAGAGATAAAAAGAGAGAAAGTAAGAGTGAATAACAAGTTGAATCCTTCTATTTAATAGATTATATAAATTGTCTAATGGGTAAAATATGTGTGCTATTTGGGTACATCAAATATGTACTTGGATCTATTGTCTATAGGTATGTGATTGAATAGGCAATCCTAGGTTAGAATCTCAATGACATTTAAGACAGTTCATTCTTTATGCTGCACATTTCTTTTTGTTTATATGAAAATGAATGTTGTCTATGTCTTGATCACATGTGAATACAGTAAGAAAGCTTGTTTAAATTCATTTTTGTCTGGAATTTCTAATGTTTACATGAAAAATTTAAAATAATTTCTATTCATTTGATCTAGAGCCATTTTTGAACTCTAAAGTCTGTTTTCAAATGTAAAAATGAACACCACTATATATACTTTATTACTGCTTGTTCATAAGAGTGAATAGTTCTTTCTTTAGTGTTCTTTAAGCATACTTTCTTTAGAATTGCTGTCTGGTATCAAAGCATCTAATCTTTTAAACATGTCCTTAACGTGGACTTTCAAATCATTGTCTAGACTAAATGCAAACATAGCATACAATCGTTCTCGAGAAACTTGATCATACCTGTTCATAGCCATGATGAATTGCGCTCGATATGTCTTGATCTGTTGTTCGATACAGCCGCGATGCCTTTCATAACCATAAGGCATTGTAAATACACCGACAATAAAGAGACCAAAAAGCATTTTGATTGGCACGATACCAGCGATCATGTAAACAAAGGCTGAAATAAGACATACTTGGGCTGTTGTGTTTGTGTCTTCTACATAGATCACTTTGGCTGATTTCTGAGCCATGATTTCGAGTATGTCCATGAACACAGGAATGGTATGTTCCATCGCAGTGCGAATGGAGAGCGATGTTTGATTCATATGCATACTACAGACATTCAGTTATGTCTTTTTCTAAACGGCTACTTACTGAAATGGATGTTGGAGTCGGTTGACAGGCAAACCAGTCCAAAGAGATCGCATCCAATTGTAGATATTAACAAAGGCCAAGTTAAATCCAATTAGGGTAGTCAATCCACCAGCCAACAAATACAAGAGTGAGTGATAAGAAGTCAGGATCAAAAGAAACAGAATGCTACCAAAGACAATAGCACTCTTTCCAGGGATCTTCCAGTGAATAAGACGTATGCATTCAGAAGACAGGATTGAGATCAAATTGTCTATGACCATCATGAGTATAACAAACAAGAGTGAAATGGTTACTTTTTTTTAAAAGCTGTTCCTCATTTATAATGGGGCCATAAAAGGTAGTGGGTTTTACAACATCTGTTGAACTTGAAGGGCTTATAGGAAAGACATGTTGAACACCCAAACCACGCAAGTCTTGATCAGATACAGTCACTTTTTATGTCAAATCATTTAATTTCATCTGATCAATACTTACTGCTGTTTATTATCTTTGGCTGCCTTTCAATGAACCGACCTTAAAAAAAAAATGGAAAAGAAAAAGACTTGAGGGCACTCAACTGTTATAAAGGCTTTAAGGAGAAACTTGTATAGATAGGGGCTTCCTCTGTGACAGTAAGTCTATTGTGTTTCATATGTAGTTGTACCATTAGGTGTTTCATCAAGGATCAACATACAAACTAAATACGATTTGTAATCAACTACACCTTTTGCCAAAATGATGTCGCAAGAAAAAAAATTAAAGCGCCGTACTTTTAAAAAAACAGTGTCGTATGTTTTTAGAAAAGAGTGTCGCATGATTCAGGAAAATAGTGTCGTGCTTTTCAAAAAAAAAAAAAAATATGTCGCATATTGTATGTAGCTGTTGATTAAATAGGGTGGCCTGCAAACACTTCAAGAGATGGCTTGCCTTTACAATTATTTGAGGAATAGTAGGACATTATCTCAGGTTTTTGAGTGGAACGCTGGATCAATCAGACAAATATTCTGAATTGAAAAGCTTTTATCTTGCTATGAATAATGCTCCTATCCATACTCATAAAAAACTGGCAATTTCATTACTAGTAGATACTACAAATGCTTATATCTCCCCCTTACTCGCCCTGCTGAGTAATTTTGATCAACTATTAATAAGATAGTAAAGCATAGTAAATTTAATGATAAAGAAAAATATGCTTCGATTAGACAAGAGTATTTTAGCAAATATGCTCATGAATAATGCCAATACTATTCCAATCGACCTTAACGCTAAATATAACGATGTTTATTATGCAATGAAGAAGAGCATCGAAAAAAAGGCAATGTTCAATAAAAACTTTGCCAAAAGCCTAAGAATATGGGAAAGTAAGACCATCGAAGACGAAGAATTCAGAGGTTACTTTCATCATCATAACTTGGATTCTTTTGAAGAAGGAATGTTTTTTGTTTCTTTCATGTCCCAATGGCAACTACAGGTATAATTACTGTTACAGAGTAATTAAAATTGTCATGCTAACGACAATTTACAAATCTATTATTTGATATTAAAATACTCTATTGTACCTAGATCTTGAAAACAGATGGGGATATGGTTTCTCTTGATTCCACCCACAAAACCTGTATGGCTTTGACTAAACAATAGTGTTATTTGTATACACTTATTGTTCGCTGTAGAGTAACCGGCAAAGGAAAGCCTTTAGTGTGGATGATAACCAATAGTGAAGCCCAGTATCTTATTAAATTCTGACTCCAATAGCTTAAGAATGTACATGGATATCGACCATCAGCGATAATGGTTGATAATTCTGATACAGAGATTGCAGCAATCAATAAAACCTATAATGTTGAAGGATATGCTGGTGACGATCAGACGACTCCAGTTTTCAACAGCAATTTCGATATACTGATCTGTCACTGGCATATTTTGAAAGCATGGAAAGAGGCCATTTTAAAGCATGTCATGCCAGAGCAAAGAAGATCTAGATCAATGGAAGAAAAAAAGAAAATGAGAGATGAAGCATTGGATCTTCTAGTGAAAATAATGAGCGCCACTTCTGAGTCAGTCTTCCAAGATAGATGGGAAGACTTTGAAGAGTGGCGTCAAGAGAATGATGCCGAGTGGGGAACTGTTGGTCTTTTAGAATATATGACTAGGAATTATATCATCGTTAGCTAAACTCAAAGTATTTTACTAACAAAAATTAGGTGTACCGTATCTTGGGCATAGGGCTCTTGGAAAAAAGTATACATACTCCAGCACAAGTCCATCAACCTGTTTAGTCTATGGATATTGACGCAGATGAAGCTGTAGTAACTAATAACGATCAACTATACACGACTGCAAGGTAACTTAAATATACTTCATATTAATCAATATTAATTAATAAGAAAAGCAGATTACAGAACAACAGTATGGAGCTTCTTAACTTCACGCTAAATATAACTAAAACAGCTTTCAGCTCTGGTAATACGCCTCAAATCAATAGAGTGGCAACAGATATCAAATCTTTGCTTGATGAGCTAAGAAACTTTACTCTTGACTCTCAAAGACGCAATAGTCATCAACTTCGTTTTTAAAACCAAAAAAAAAAAAAAAAGTGAACGCCTTGTAGCGTTATATACTAAATTCTATAAATATCAATAGATATGTTTATTAATACCTTCTTCTATAATGTTTTGTTCATGATGAGAGTAATTACCTCTTTGTAAGCGAATAGCAATATGAATAATAGATAAAATTTCAAAAAAAAATAATTGCGATTGTGGTGACGTAATCTCTATTTATCTATTGATGCGAAAAAATTTTATTTTTAGTACTTTGGTTCTTTTAATAAAGACTAGTGCTAATGATTAAAATAATCCTGCCCTGCCTCTTTGATCGAGTAATTGGTCTTGGATGAGAACTTCCCATCGCTTTGATGAACAAACTAAGTCACCAGAGCCATATGGGAGTGGGAAGTATTACATTCGACCGTGGTTATATTCATAACCCCTTGGTGTAATGCGCAAGCTTGTAGTAGATACTGCAGACAACGATATAAAAGATAAGTGTCTATCTCATTTTTCTTACCTTTTTTATGTTACTAACTATGTTTTATTAATTCAAACAGCCATAGATAAAGAGAGTTATGATTCGTACTCATTCGATAGCTTATATTTTGGGGATAACCGCTTTGTTGTTACGATTGATATGTTTCTAAATTTTATTGCTTTTTGATTTTTTACAGTTGGCTGCATTTCTGTATCACCAATCCTTCATTTATCATATAGTATTTCTGTCATTTCCCACTCTCTTAATTACTTCTCTTCACCCTTTCTTTACTTTCTGTCACGTATTATCAAACCGTCAATCTGTAGCATTGGTGCGTGTTTATTGTTATAGTCTCACTCTTTCCCAATCCATCGCCTCCTTTCTACCCGAAACTCTTTCACTTTCACTACCGGGAAACTTTAGTAGAAATAGCCCATTATCCCTCCTTCATCCTGAGCTGCCTAGCTCACTTTCGTTCCCATTCAAATAGTATATGATGTTTTGCATCCTATAATAGCGGTTTAGTCACTTTTAACCTCAGTAAAATAAAATAAATCTTACAAAGTGTCTAAAATTTCAATAATCTGTAATTCTTCACAATCTAACTTCTTTTTTCTGTACTCATGCTTTTTTTCACTCAAGTATATCAAAGCTTCATGTTCAGGTTGTCTTTCATGGTCTGATTTTTGATCTTCACTCTTCAATTTCTGCAAAGCAAATCAGTGGATGATTCTCAGTTGACTAGATCTATTTTGCGCTACTTACCCTCATAACATTGGTATATATTTCGTTACTTTCTTGTGTTAAATCATATATGGGATACGATAGCTTTTCGAATTCAGACCAGCGCGCATCTGGGAACACACTTTTGCAGTACTGTGACGTCCAATCGTGAGCTAGATCAATAATTCCTGATAACGAAATGCTGTATGGAAAGTAGTTTAATTTAAAGTATTATTTAATTTGTCAGAAAAAAAAAAGTATATTACCGTAAAATTTGACCAAGGACTTCATCGTTATCCACCCAGTTTTTTAAAATAGAAATAGAGAGACGGTTCAAATGGTCAAGATTGCTTTCTTGCCTAAGGAGAAGTTCATTAACATCATCCTCTGACGGTGTGTAGTCCTCATTTTTGTGCTGTTCGCAAGAAAGTTTGGTTAAGCAAATTCAAATTCAAATTCAAATTCAAAAAATATTTATGCTACTATTCACTATGTTTTTCTGTATTGAGTCTATAAATTCTTCCTGTTCATCGTCTTTCCATATTTTTTCTTGGTCATATCATTACTATTGTTGTCATTTTCCCCTTCGTAGCCGTCATCTTCTTCATTTTCGTCTTTGTCGCATTCTTCATCGTCTGTCATTTCTTCATGCGTTCTTTTCTTGATAGCCTGAAAGTTCATATTTTTTTTAGATGCGACACTATTTCCTAAAAACATACGACACTGTTTTTTTAAAAGTGCGACACTTTTCTTGCGACAAAAGGTGTACTTACATCATTATCCTGATTAAGGGTATCACGTTTCTGTTTTTAAGTATGATTGGTTGAATCAGTGCTTAATAATTGCCAATGATTGACTATGCTTAGATTTAAATAATAAAAAGTATAAAAGGGTCGCTTTTATTTTATCGTTTTAGAGTTGAATGATAAGACAATTTATAAAAAGAACCATGTCAACCCAACAAGTCGATAACTTTTCTATTCATGGAAACTCCATTAAAGAGGTAAAGCACAATAATAATGCTGAACATGAATTAATTCATTAAGGTATATGACATTCCTATGTCAGTTGTCAACCGACCTATTCCCTCACAACTCGACCGAGAAAAAGTTGAAAACATGAAAGAAGTCTTACAAATACCTGAAAGAGAGAAAGAATTGACACCTATTGTAAGTAAATATGTTTTTGGTTGGATAACTTACGCCTTAAATAGGATGTGCATCACGTAAAGCATAATGATCAAGACTATTATTTTGCCTTTGGTGGATGTCATCGTTGGGCAGCCAGTAAAGAACTCGGAAGAGAGACCATTCGAGCCAAATTGATTGAAACACCGGCTAGTGTCATTTCAACTTATCTCGGTTCATCTTCACCATTTAAAAAGTAAATTACACAACTTGCACTGTAAATAAATCGATAATTTTATTACACAATCCGAATATTTGTTTCCAACACATCATTTTCTGTTGGACAGAACAAAGGAAGAGAAGTATTGAATCCACTTGTTTGTGCTTTCTTGTGTTTTGAGAGAAACATTTGATTCCATAACTCCCTTGATAAATAAGTGCCTGCATGTACATTAGGATGATATCCATCCACATTGCTATAGAGTTAATATAAAACACAAGCATATAGGCAGTTTACCTAAAAGCATAATATGGTATGGAAGATATATCTATATTCATGGGTTGAAATACGACAGCTATGTTCTTTGACATTTTTCCAGTCAAAGCTCCTGCTAAATTTTGAATGATAGAACCATTCAATTCTTCTGCCAGTTCAGCCAGTACTTGATTATATCCAACAATGACTTGTCCCATATCATTGTTTGATACCGAACAACAATAGCACTCATAATCCGAGATATGAATCGTATCATTGACAAACTTTTTCTTGTAACCAGGTTTTTGATCTGTGATGTGATGTATTTTATCATATCGCATCAAACCAACTCATATACATCATTTTTTTTTTAGTATATAGCTAGATTGATTTCTTACTTACTCAGATTAATAAAAGCATAGTCTATACGATGAACAAGTTCCTCTAAACTTTTTCGAACATTGTTTTTATAGTCACGTACTGCCTGTGGATTCATACAGGCTACAGAAGCATCATTATAACCAATATAGAGATGAATAAGTTTCCATTTTTTAGCATGAGGTGTATCCAAGCCAATCTGCTGAACCAAGTAATCGACTTGTTCTGGTAGTTTGTCACTTGTTGCTCCTGTCTGTGCTGCATTCAAAAAATCAATTTCAGGACTATCAATGATGAGCATAAGATGATGAAGTCATTGTTTCTTACTCATGATGAGCATCCAAACAGAAAAAAGTGTCTAAAAGAAACGTCAAAAAAAAAGACAATCAAAACCATACAACCTTACTTTGACATAATCTAGCGGGTTTCTCACCTAGAGAAGCACCATAGACATCAGGTTGAAAATGCTTTATATAATTGGCTATAGAAGCAGCTTGGGTATCCTATTTTCTCATTCAATACTTGTTCTTTAAATACAGAGCATTACCCCTCCCATGGTAAAACTGACACCACGATATTCTTTTATAGTTGAATATTGAACCACATCCAGATTTGTGTTTTTAGCAAGCATACCAGCAGTAATACTAACAAACCATCTTAATCATAACCAGATTATTTTTTATTGTTACCTGTCACCCATAGCCGCTATGATTTGAATATCGTCCACTCTCAAGTGATAGACACTGGTGGCTGGTGAATGTGGATGTATTTTTGGACAATCAAGTATAGTGGCTGCTTCAAATGCGTAACCCACAGTAACAAGATAGCTCAATAGCATAAAAAAGAACATGTTGATAGAGTATAAAAAAGATATATATATATTGGATATCGATACGATTTTATAACCCTCCTCTTCTCTCCTTTAAACAGAAACTAAAACAAAACTTGTTTCTTAAAATAAGGAGAGTCTTTCCTCATACTTTTGTTGGATCTATAGGAACAAAGAAACGAAAGCATAAGCCATGCTTTCCCTATAACTTTCGTTTCTTTTTCTTCGTTTACTATCTTGTTATTCATAGATTCTGCATACAAAAAAAAACAAAAAAAAAAATAAAGACAACAATAGCATTTCTCCTTTTTATTTTTCAAGGATCTAAACTATATATACCAGAAATCCAATTTATAGAACTGAACACAATAAGTCATGCTTGAATTATGAACAAGGAAGGTCTTCCTTTCAAAGGGACTCAATTGTTCTCTCTTTTTTATAGAATAAAGGTAACACAGTCCTGTTGCGTTTGAAGCCGTAGGTCCAATACGGCACTAAAAAAATATGACGGATATTCAAATACAAATCACGTCGCGTAAATGAATTAAACCAAAAAAAAAAAAAAAAGATTCGCGTCTTGATTTGCTATTCTGCTTCTTTATTATTATTATTATTATTATTATTAGTACTACGCGATACAATGAATAAAAAAGTAGACTTGTTAATAGAAGAGCCTTGTCCTGAGCTACTATGTGGTATATGTACAGGTATACTTTGCTGCAATTGACTATAGGATTCTAAGCTTCCTGTTAGATGTCCTTGAGGATCCAATACAAGTGCATTGCCCAGAAGGTAACTTAATCCAAACAGAAATGTGATGTATACTAAGAAACAACGGTGACAGACCATATGTTTTGTAGTAAATGCATTCAGTGTCATATAGACAAAAAACAACTAGAAAATTGCCCAATATGCTTGACATTGCTGGATAAAAATTCTTTTCAACTCTCTAAATTTGTACAGAGACAGGTGGGAAGATTACGTATTCAATGTCGCTATGCAAAGAGTGGGTGTCCATGGCAAGGTTTACTCTCAGACAATCACCTTTTAGAGGTAAGATGAGACCAGAAACTGTATATGTTATTGACATTGCCAGTGTACATTTCAACCCCAATCATGTCCTAATGCAGGATGCGATGCCACTCATCTCAATGAGGCCACCATGCAAGAACATCTCAAGACATGTCTTTATCAGACCATGACTTGCCCTAATCAAATGCCACTTTGTCAGCCCTTTTTACGAAAAGATTTAGCTCAACACGAAAATGAATGTCAGTCGTATACATGCATTTATGCACATGAAGGATGTCCCTTTATTGGTACTCTTTCTCAAGCAAAGACACACTGTGATCAATATTGTGGTCATTTACATCAAAAGATTGAACATTTAGAGCAAGAAGTCAAACGACTCAACAAATGGATTCAAGATATCACTATGGGACTTGATGTCAAATTGCCTTCAACACCAGAGACACAACAGCAAAAGGAAAAGGATGCCATGGTGGCTGAAATGGCTTTATTTCATCAAATGTTGAATGAGAATCCCTTTCAAGGATTGGATCTAACAGACGTCAAAGAAGAACCCAATCCTGCTATGATGGACATCAGTCAATGTTTGCCTGACTTTTTAGAGAACCAGAAAAGTATAGATGCCTTGTTTGAGACAGCCAAGTCACCACAACCCCTTGAATTTGTCCCACCTGTGCATGCACCCAAAAGAACATCAAATGGTAAAAAGATTCGATATAGTAAAAATGTTCGATTAGCACATAGTGCTTTACGTATGGCAAGGCAGAGAACAGCCAGTACAAGCAATCCATCCAATGATGCCATCCTGAATAACCTAAATCATGCCAAGAAACAACAGGTTGCATTTAAAAACCAAGATAGCCTGACTCAGACAGAAGAAAAGACCAAACCAAAATCAACAAAAAAAGAGAAAAAGAAGCCTTCTTCTCCTCAACCTGATGCAGATACAACTACCACTACTACTTTACCAAAAAGAAGACCCATGTTTATCTTGGCTTCTTCTTATTTATCGAATTACAATAGCAATAACAATAACAATACAGTGTAAATCAAGATGTCAATCGTTTATTCTTTTCTATTTCTTGTTGATATTTCTCTTCTAGTTCTGCATAAGCAGCCCTTAATTCTTCCAATTCTTCTTGATGAGTGAAGCTGACACTCATCACTGCTGCTTCAATGATCTTGACTACTCTCCAAAGACGAAATATGATCAACAGACTATATGGGTAAGTATTATTGCATTCCTTCCCTTCCTCTTTTTACCCAGCTATTTCTCTTTCTTTTCCTCTCAGAATCACTTCTAGCAGAAATGTTGTGCTGACCACTAGTATTCGTGAATAAACAATTGATGGACCATTTTTTCTTACCTGCCGCATCAAAGACGTGTAATTTCCAATGAGGATAATCAGGCAAATAGTAACCAGGACCAAAAGCAACAAGACATAAGATACATTCAAACAAGAACATGGTACAGATAAAAATACTGATACTTTCAGCTATTTCAAATGCCAACAAGAGATGATTCTCTTTAACGTCTAATACAGGTACTTGACATTCGTGAAAGAAAGTATAAAAAATCTGTACAAGTACACATGCAGCATCAATCAGGACCAATGACAATACAGCCAAATGAAACTTTTCATTCTCTAGTTTCTCTCCTAAACTTTCACGCCATCCCTTTTCACGTAAAGGTGGTTCAGGATCCAATGTGCCATACGTAGACATCAAAAAAAAAAAAAGAGCAAATTTTTATTATGTAACACATTCAAGAAGATAAAGAAAACGATTGTACGTGCTTTTCACCATGAACTGTGTATTCAATTTGACATTCTAATTCTCTTGGGTTTTCTTCACCCTTATGACACGTAAATAGACCCCAGATTTGATCGCCTGCTTTCACTGGAATACTTTTTTCAAGCACAAAGGTGGTTTGTTTCCAATGGGTATCTTCACCAAATGGACTTGTGGTCATATACACTTCACCTTCTACTTTTTGTGCTTGTCTATCCAAAGGAATAGAATGACCATCTCTTGTAAACCAAGTATCAAACCATCCACCAAATGCATGAACAGTACCATCTCTTTGTGCTTGCACTGTAAAAGGAACCACAAAATCTAATTCTTGAATCGTAATGGTCTGTAAAGGTAAATCTAACAAAGTGACCACATTGGAGACCACCGAATGAGGCTTGATGAAATCAACAATCGATTCATTCAAAGTAGGCTTCATGGCAGACATCTTGAAGCCATAGACATCATTCCAGTAATCAATATGGTCATTTTTGAATTCTTCATCTTCAAGTGCTGCCATCAAGATACGTGTCTGACTAGGTGCCATGATACCCTGAGGAGCTAACCAGCGATCACGTGCCACCAAGACAGAGTCCAACATGGCCTCAAACAACAAGAAATAACCCATCCATTCCGAAATAATAATATCGACTTGAGGCACAGGCAATTGAATCTCTTCAATCTTGCCACGAATACAAGTAATGATATGATCCAATTCGTTTTCCTTCACATTTAGCTTGGCCTTTTCAATGATAGCTGAATTATCGACCGAAAAGACTTGTTTGGCACCTGCCTTGGCAGCAAACATGGACAAGATGCCCGTACCACAACCTACATCAAGCACAATCTTGTCTTTAAACACGTCTTTGTTTTCATACACAAAGTCACGATAGGCTTCTGTACGTGCTCTGTCTTTCAACATTTGTTCATGGATATCGTTATGAGCATACCCATTGAAATAATAGATGCTGTTGTCCACGACGGGTTCTTCTGTTTGATTCTCGAGAGGTTCATAAAATCTCTTTTTTACGCTTGATTTATAAGCTTCAAATTGGCCTTGTAGATTTACAGCTTGTTCTTGCGCTTGTTGAACAAGTCCAGCTAAATGTCTTTCAAGGGGTGTGGTGGGTTCCATCTGAGAAGGATTGATCTCGGGTGCGTCTAATTCATCAAAAGCAAAAAGAAGGGCATCGTCTTCCAACACAGGTTGCAAGTAAGCATCTTCTTTCCAAAATGATTCTTTGCCTGTGAATTGAACATCAATCGCACTTAACTGAGGATTGGATTTCACTTGTTGACGAATGTAGTTGATCAGACGAATGCATTGATAAAAGTCGAGATGCAATGATCTTCTGACCTGAATGAAATCAAAACCGTGGACTTGTTTAATATGTTCAAATGTCATGTTGACTTGAGGAAACATGTCAGTACAGAATAAACATTGTGAGTCTTGTTGTTCTTCTTCATCGTTGGACCAGTCATCCCATGTTTGATCTAATAGTGTCTCAGGTTACCATGTTGATTCGTAAGTAGTTTTTTTTTTCTTACCTTCAGGATCTACTTCAGAAGGTGCATATTGTGAGCCGTGATAGTGGGACATGGTAAATGACAAAAGAGAGAGAGAAAAAAAAAGAGAGAATGTCAATTTTTTTTTATGCAACAGAGCAACAAGTGACGCGTTTTCTTGATGATGGATGGGAGCCACAGACGCGTTTCTTTTTTGTTTTTGTTTTTCTTTCGCGTTATTTTATCATGAGTACAGAAACCCAAATTCAACGCGTATTTGAACTGGGTGATAATGACAAAACCATTGCATCCGAATGTAAATTCAAGCAACATAATCCATAAACTCACCTACTATTAGTAACTAGCTTATGTAATTTGTATTCCTTGACACCCGATCACCTTAAATTCAAATGGGAAGCATTTGCCCTGAACACTGGTTGTTCCATCAAGCCTACGTTACCTTATATCAAACACTTGAAGAATGCACTTCAAAGAGAACTTGATCGAGGTCGCAAGACACGTAAAACCATCAAGGGCAAAGTAGTTACTAAACGAAGCCAAGCGATGGATTTATCTGAATATGGCATCTCTCAACCGTATTCAGAGGACAGTGTGGAGAGTTTCATGTCGACCATGATGCATTCGACAACAAAACCACATAAAGTAGTCCCCTTGTCCTCTTCTCATCTAACAGATACACACATGTAAGTCTTATTTAATCAGACAAGACGTGTTAATGATGTTAGTTCACCCATGTCGAGTCAATTCATGACACGAAAGACTTCCCATCTGATCGAAAGTCAACACAATCCTCACTTACCACTGATAGACAAACCAGAACAACCTTCAGCTATTCAATTCAGTCATTTAGAACCCCCATCCAAGAGTATCGCTACATGTTTGAGAAGATCAAAGAAAGAGCAGACATGTTGGATGAAAGGATTGAATACATCAGCAGTTTGATCATACAAGCACATCAAATTGAACTTAGTAATCCTACACGCCCTCATCAAGAACCTATTTATACCTGTGGTCGTATTTGTTCAGACAGTGAAGACAAATTAAACGAGACATCTGTGTTGTTGCAGACATCTAAGGATTTAGGCATGGGAAGACGTGTCAAACTTGATCTGGCGGGTCTGGAGCAATATTCTCTTTTCCCTGGTCAAATTGTAGGTCTTTATGGTCGAAATACGAATGGAGAGGTCTTTTCAGTCGAGCGTATATTACTTGTAAGTCTGTTTATTGACTCTATTTTATTCATGTCTATGCTAGCCTCCTTTACCAGAGCCATGTGCACCTATGCAGGCAGACAACAGGCCTTTAGAGATGATTACAGCAGCAGGTCCATTTACACTGAATGATGATTTATCCTTTCAACCTCTAGAAGACTTACTTCAGATGTGTGCTACACAGAAACCAGATGTAATCTTATTGATGGGTCCATTTGTATCTAGCCAACACCCTCGTATCTTCAGTGGCAAGATAGAAACATTGCCTGAACAGATATTTGCAGATCAAATCTACAAGCGATTAGAGCAAGTATTAGACATCCTTGTCCATACCCATGTTTTGATGGTCCCTCATGCAGATGACGTGACCCATATGTATCCCTTGTTTCCTCAACCAGCATTACAGGATATGAAGCATCCACGTATTCATATGCTGAGTAATCCTTCTTTTATCAGTATCAATGACCATACCATGGCTATTGGGAATATTGACATTCTATTTCGATTAGCTCGAGAAGAGATACACAAGTAAGTCTAACGTTATCTGATCTATAACTGATGTGGCATAGAAATACAACGGATAGAATGCATGAACTCTGTTTACATTTACTACAACAACACACATATTATCCATTATTCCCTCATGCAGTGGGTGATAGTATTGATTCAGGACAACTAGATCGCATTCAGTTATCAAGACGACCTGATCTATTGATATTACCTTCACAACTAAAGCACTTCACCAAGGTACTAACATAAGCATCTATCTATATAACTCATTTGTTTATCAATAGGCTGTACAAGACACTGTCTGTATTAATCCTGGCCATGTATGTAAGCAAGTATCAGGCGGTCATTATGCTCGTATTATGATGTATCCTACAGAAAATGATCGTATTCGTGTTGATTTATTCAAACTATAATAAAGAGACTTAATAGGCTCGAATACTACTACTACTATTATAGTCTGACATGACTAAATGAACAACCATATCACCCACAGGTTCAATATCAATATGTTGAAGTGCATCTTGTATCTCATCCATTGTTTGATATAACCAATCCACTTCACCATCAGACATACCTCCATTGGGTTTAGCTTGGTTTAAGATATCAAGGATGGTATGGGTGTCTCTGTTGGGATACGTGTGTTTATCTTGTTGTGTAGGCTGAATATGGTCTAATAAGCTAGCATATTTCATTTTACGTTCTTGTACGTCATTATCTTGCAAAGGATCTGTTTGTCCACTTGAGATATCAATCAAATTCCTATAGATTTATGAGTCTTATGTCATCAAAACATAACTTACTGTGTTGTTTTATCGATAATACTGTTCCAAAACTCTTGTTCTTTTTGGACATCAATCGTTTCATAGGTTTGATAGTTCATTCGACTAATATGCATTAGTGCTTGATTCTGTCTAATGTTACTTTACTTGTCTCCCACTGGGTCATGTAATAAGGGTGCATCCTATAGCACAAAAGTCAGTACAAAGTCATGTTGTATTGATTCTTACTTCTTCATGATCTTCTTTACTTCCACAACACCCCATATTGATAATACAAAGTAAGAAAAAAGGTTTAAAATTCCGTGCATAGAAAGAAAAAAAAAAAAAAATAGTGTTACGTTGAAATTGAGTACCTAAAATAGGTTCACTTCACAAGCTACTTTAATTTGTATATAAAATACACTCTTTCTTTCTTTCTTTCTTTATTCACCTCCTCCTTCTCTATCTCTCCTTTCCTTTCCTTTCCTTTCCTTTTTACTTGTTTTTCTTTATTTTAATACGTTCCTTTTCATCATGTTTAAAAAGCTATCATTTCACCTTCATAAATCACAGTAAAGTATATTGATTATAAATTTATGCCTTTTTTTTTTATATATTGATTTTGTGTTTATGTAGTCCTCATCAAGTAAACAAAAGAAGAAGAAAAAGAACAAACTGATGAACAAACTTACTCATCTACTCCATTAGGAACAACTGAACCGAGATTCCCTTGTGGATCCCAATGCAACCAAGATCTATACTGAAGATATTGATCCATGCCTTGGTAAGATAAAAATTCATATTCTTAGTCTAACATGACAAGTCAATGATTGGATCAACCCAAAAGACGATCATTTAGCTCTCCCTCCTTTAACTATTGATCATGCAAATCGAACATCACTTGTCTATCCATCACCTGCTTCTATTCCATCACCCATGACACCAGAACCTATTCAACAACCAGATGCTGAAATTGAATCCCTTGTTCATCAAGGCATTTCTTTTCATGAAAAAGGCCAATTGGAAAAAGCAACCCAACTATTTCGATTAGGTGCTGAAAAAGGGAATCCTATTGGCATGTTTCTTTATGGTGTGTCCCTTCGTCATGGCTGGGTAAGACATTTATCCTCCCAAACTAGACACTCAATACGTGATATAGGGTTGCAAAAAAAATGAACATATTGCGTTTCAATACCTTCAAAAAGCAGCTGAACATGCTGTTGAAGATTTAGCTAACATTACCAACACAGTCAACACATCTGCTTCTAAAGGTGAATTAATCATGGCCATTTATGAACTAGGTGTCTCATTTAGACATGGTTGGGGTGTATGTTGATCTTTTTTGTGTTTGTGTGTCTATTGTCTTATTCAATCTTTATATGTAGTGTAAAAAGAACAAGGAATCTGCTGTTCAGTTCTTCAAGATAGCGGCTGATCTAGGTGATCCAGATGCACAAAATGATTTAGGTCATTGCTACTATCAAGGACAAGGAGTTAAGAAAGATCTTTATATGGCTGCTAAATATTATCGTAAAGCAGACAAACAAGGTCAAGGCATTATGGGCAATTCTTGGATTTGGAAATCAAAATACGACCATCCTCCTAAGAAATAAACAAAAACACGTGACCTTAAAGAGCAATGAAAACAATGTCTTTTTTTTCTTTTTTTTTTTAAAAAATCTTGTGAACAATGGCTTCTACTAAAGTAATGGCTAAACTTCAAGCAGATCAAAACAATATAACTCAACTAGCAGAACTTCATTCAAAACAAGGTTCTCATTTAATGCTGTCTAAAAAACCTAGTATAACACAACGTTGGCATGCTTCATCTATCAAAGTAAGAGCATAAGCACATGTATGTTTATGTACGCGTTCCTTAACTAACTAAGTTTCAAAGTCGCCACCTTTAAGAGATGAAAAAGGTAGATTGGATCTATTCACTACCTTTATATTGATATATAGATAAATAGAGCTATTAAAACGACATCAACATGATCCACCTTCTCTTTGTCTTCATCTCTATCCAACTTATTTTAAATTTGAACATGAAGATGGATTCTTTTCATACAAGAGTCAATTCAAAGTAAGTTGTTTTATGATGAATCATTATTTATACGTTGACAAGGATTTCTTGACATGCATCAAAGAAAAACAATTGCCTGGTGATTTAGTCGATATATTCAATGAAGCTTCATGTCGTTATTACAATGGTAAATAATAAACAACTACACATAGCATATTAACATCATGATTAGGCTGCCTTATGGTGGATATTCATGACCATCGAGCACAACATGCAACCACGAAACGTATTGTCATGAAACCTACAGCAGAAAGTATTTGGACAGATATTGCCTTGTTAAGTGAAGAATGGGGTGTACCATGGACAGAAGATATTGCTTTACAAATAGAAGCACAGATACTGGTAAATAAAACCAAAAGATAGCATGGTGGACTCATGGCTGTATTAGATAGCGACAGAAGAACCGTTATGTCTCGATCCGTCTATTCAAGTGTCTCGTGTAAGTAATGCGATGGAATATAGCACAGGACGCAGAAAACCAAAGCGAAAGATGAAATACAATTCAGTTGAACGTGAGCAAAAATTAGCCAAGAAGGCAGAGAGCATGAAACTCATGACACTGATGGACACGGTAAGCCTTCCCCCCCCTCTTGATGACATGATGATGAGTATGAAACTCACAGGGTCATTCTTTTTAGCGAGCCAAACGTTCATTTCCTTTTGAACCTAATTTTGGCAAGATTTCATTTGTTCATGACTGGAGAACCAAGAAGAGTAAATTGGGTTCAGATCCATTACCTGCTTTAGATATGAAGAAAGGGAAAGGCAGAAAGAGTATGTCAGAACCTCCTCTTTTACCTGATGGTCGAAAGTGTATACGCACAGTTCGATTTGAACGGACAGAAGGGGACAAGAAGGTCTATACGATGGTCAATATCTATCTTCTTCATGGAGAGTACGATGGTGTGTTCCGTTGGGGCACAGTGTATGATACAAGTGTTCAGGGTGGTAATATTGACTTCAAGATTGGCCCAGAATATTTAATGGAAACTTACCTTGTTCATTTGAAATCCACGTATGGACAATTCAATACACTGGTATCAGATAACACAAGTACCAACATCATACCTCCTTCACCTTCTCATCCTCGATTACCTGCTAACACAAGTACAGCAACGGCAGCGGCAACGGCGACGACAGCAACGACGATGGCGACGACGACTCATTTGGCTCAACCCAATGTCAATTTCCAATTACAACAATTACATGCTCAACAAAGCCGTGCTATGCAAGCCAAAGCAGCCATGCTTCCTCCTCATCAAAGAGCTTTACTGAACCAACAAACATCTCAACCATTAAATCCAATGCAAGCAGAAGCTGCTCAGGCACAAGCATTGGCTCAAGTCCAAGCCCAAGTTCAGGCCCAAGCCTTAGCTCAAATCCAGTCTCAAGCACATATGCAACAATTGCAACAACAAGCTCAATCGCGTGCGTCCACTCCTTCTCAATCGCATTTAAGTACACCTACCATGTCACACACACCGCTTCAACGTCCTGCGATGGTCAAGCAACCCTTGGCTGCTCAACATATGGTATTGCCTCAACAACAACAACAACAACAACAACAACAACAACAACAACAACAACAACAACAACAACAACAACAACAACAACAACAGCAGCAGCAGCAGCAGCAGCAGCAACAACAACAACAACAGCAGCAGCAACAACAACAACAACAGCAACAACAACGTCCAATGATGCCTGTGCCTCCTATGACGAATCTTCAACAAGCAGCTTTGGCTCAAGCGCTCAGTGGTCATGGGCAGCCGTTGACACCGCAAGCTTCTTTGCAGCGGATTCAACAGTTGGTCACGTCAGGTGCGATACCGTTAGCGACAGCACAGCAATTGGTGAGTCAGTTGGCTAATTCGAGTCATTTGCAGAGACAACAGGCTGCTGTTCAGCAACAAGTGTTGCAGGCTCAACAACAAGCGGCTGCTGTAGCTGCTGCTCAACAACAACAACAACAGCAGCAGCAGCAGCAAACTAACCCACCACAACAAGCTAACTCACAACAACAACAACAGCAACAGCAACAACAACAGCAACAACAGCAGCAGCAGCAGCAAGCTAACCAACAGCAACAACAAGCCGCTCAACAAGCTGCTCAACAAGCTAACCAACAACAACAGCAACAGCAAATTGCTCAACAAGTTGCTCAGCAAACTAACCAACAACAACAATCATTACAACAACAGCAACAATTAAACCAACAATCACCTGTTCAACAAAGAATGGCTACAGGTATTCCACAACCTCAGCAAACACAAAACCCCGTTCAATCACAAGCCAGTATGGCTGCTTCTCAATTGTTAGCACAAATGAGTCCTCAACACCAACAACAAATGGGCTTATTGATGGTACGCCGTAACCATTTGGCCAACCTTGCTGCCAGTCGAAGTATATCTCAAGAAGATTTACAGACACAAATCAGACAATTACAGCAAATGCAACAACAAGTGTTACAACAGCATCAACAACAACAACTTCAGGCACAACAAGCTGCTCAAGCACAAGCACTGCAACAAGCACAGGCACGTGTGGCTGCTGCTCGTCCTCAACAACCACAACCACAACCACAACCACAACCTCAACCTCAATTAACACCTCCTCAACAACCCTCTCAACAAGGATCTCCCGCCACACCTCAAATCAATCAACAGCAAGCTCAATTGATTCAACAATTAATGCTTCAGCGCAACTTGAATGCTATGCGTGGACGTGGTCGAGGACAAGTGCCTTTCTCTCAACAACAAATGGCTGCTCTTCAAGCAATGCGACAACAGCAACAACAACAACAACAGGGCGGTATGATGCGTAATAATGCAGGACAATTAAACTTACAAGACATCAATCGTACGGCTATGATGGCAGGCCTTAATCAGAACAGACTAAATCAAGCAGCAGCCTTACAAGCGGCGGCGGCGGCAGCAGCAGCAGCAGCAGCTTCAAATGCTGGTTCACCTGGATTACAGCCAAATGGATTATTAGGACAACAAAATCTTCAACAGTTTCAAATGAATTTACAGTTTCAACAACAACAGGCAGCAGCTGCTGCTGCTGCTCAACAGAGAAATAACATGTTGAATTTTCAACAGGCAAATAACACACCAAATAATTCAACCAACAATACCAATAATACAAGTAACAATAATAACAATATGTCATAATAATAAAATTACTATATTTGGTCACTTGTTTTGAAAACAGTCTTGATTTAAGGCATTGCACAACATATACGCATAACCTTTTTTTTTTTCATTTTATTTTATTTTCTTCGCTTTATTCTATGCCTCCCAACACACAAGTTACTGAACAAGAGATGCATTCTTTATCCTTTATAGACCATTTTTGGTCAAAAGATAAAACGGGTATGAATCATTTATTTGACTATATTCAATCCACACATCAAGATTTAAAAGCCATAAGTGATGTTTATATGGAAAGGTAAGGTGTATTATTGTCAATAAAGGACTAACAAATCAAAAAGGGCTCGTATTGAACAAGAGTTTGGAGAGAAACTATTGTTACTTGCTGAAAAGAACCATTGCCAAGACAAAAAAGAAAAAGATGGCCTATTGGGTGCTTATTCAGCAGTCTATACAGAACTACAGAAGACAGCAAAATCACATTTAGAACTGTCCGATAATCTCAAAAGTCAAGTTGCTTCTGAATTAAATCAAAAGCTAGAGGAATATACATCACTTTTAAACAAATGGATTTCAAGTATGCATGATTTTTATGAGGAAAGAAGAGAAGTCATGTTGGATCTTTTGAAGGTAAAAAAAAAAAAAAAAAGACGAAAAGTTCAACTTGCACTGATGAGTCTAGACAAGAGCCAGCTATCTAAAGGAATATGAAGTGTCCAATGGGCAGACAACACCTATGATGAACACACTCAGTAAGTGATTCCAGAGATGCTTCTTTTAATTAATATCTTTTAAAGAGGAACAATATAAAATATTAGTAACCAAAGTAGACGCTGCTGCTCAAGAATGGAATTCAACCTGGAAAGAAGCATGTGAGGTGATGGAAGCCATGGAAGAAGACAGGATTGAGTTGCTGAAAAGTAATGTATGGGAATACGCCAATCTGACATCAGCAACACTTCTTGTACAAGATGAATGGTGCGAGCATATTCGAACACAGTTAGAGAAATGTAATCTTGAACAAGAGATTGAAAGGTGTGTTTCTTTATGTGGCACTGGATCCAAGATACCAAGTAAGATACAATGCAGTTATTTGCATTTACTGAATCTTATGTAGCTACAAATGATTATGTAGGCGAATTAATGCGAGAGCAAAAGAGAAAGCAACACTCAAGTAAACCAATACCTAAACCACCAGTTAAACCCATACGCCAATCTCAAGAGAACGCACCAGAACAACCAAGTAATCCAGTACCAAAACCTCAGAAAGAAGAAAAAGAAGCATCTAAAGAACCTATGCCATCAGAAGAATTATCTAACATGAATAACCATGATACTCTCAATCGAGCGCGTCACTATGTAAGCGATAACATGGGAAGTACAGCTACTCGAGGTCAAATACGACGAAAACCATTAAATAAAGCCTTAATGGAACAAGTATCAAATGAGATGGCCATTGCGCGTCAACAAAGACAAGAACAAAACCCTGCCACATTAGAGAAAAGCCAGTCTCATGGCTCTTTGGATGGTTTACTCAAGACGTTTGAAGTTATTTCGCCTACAGAATCAAAGTCTACAGAATCAAAGTCTACAGAACACAAGTCTACAGAACACAAGTCTGCAGAACCCAAGTCATATTATCCAAATGCAGTCGTGAGTGAGGAAGCAAGAGCACGCCGTCAACCTTCTGAATACAAGCCAGATACGGGATCTATTCCTATCAGAAAGAATAAGCAGGCTACACCCAACCATGTACTTCAAGAGATCTCTACGGAACGTCAAGAATTACCTTTAACACATCCTGTCGTTGCACCTAAATCGCCTCGTCCTTCAGCTCAACAGATCCAGCCTGAAGAAACACACCATACTTCCATGATACAGCCCTACCATGGCTACAATCAACCGCCTATGATGACTTCTCCTATGATCCACCGATCACCCATGATGCAGCCCTCACCTATAATGCAGCCCTCACCTATAATGCAGCCTTCACCTTTAATGCAGCCTATAGCTTCCCCTCTGATACAACCCATGGCTTCTCCTATGATGCAATCGCCCATGATAAATCCAGTGCAACACTTTGGCACTTCATCTCGAGGTACATTACCACCACCCATCACAATCCCTACCAATGTTTCACCTCAAGCATCGCCTGCTATGTCGTATGCTAACCTAGGCGGTGTTTCTCCAGGAGGCATACTTCCTTCGCCTGCCATCAGCTCACCGTATGTTCAGCAAGCTATTCCTCGTTCTCATCAATATTCAGATGGAAGACCTATTCAATTCTGGGGTAAGTTGTAGATATAGAGAGAAACGCCTTGTTTATTCATATGCTATAGCTCGAGCTAAATACGATTATCAAGCAAAAGAGGCAGACGAATTATCTTTTAAAGCCCATCAATTCATAGGCATTTTAGAGGCAGACATCACACAACAATCATGGTGGTTTGGTGCTGTTTGGGATGACTATAGACACATATGGTCTGCACCTGGTTCAGTTCCAAGTAACTTTATGGAAATACAATAAGTTTTATTATTCAAATGTTGCCATTTTTTGCTTTAAAGATGCTATTTGAGAATTGATTTCGTGTTGTGCATGATCAAGTCGCTCCACTTCTTCTTGTTCCAATGGCGTACTAAATAAAGGTGCTGTTGAATCTTTCATAGATTTCTTGTTTGGCAAATGAGGTTGAAGAGCATTGTGTTGAGAGAATATTTGGTATAAGGCTTCAGTAGGTTCATTAAACACAAGCTCATCATAGAGTAAACTCATGACGGGTTTATCTTTCGGCCAAGATTGACCATTGAGATCATCTTCATAAGGGTGAAGTCGTAAATGATGGTAAAGCACCACAGGTTTTTCGCTAGCAGCAGCATGAAAATGGATTTTGATCATTATTTCAAATTCACCCCAGCCCGTCTCCGAGACTTCAAAGGGAGGATGTTCCACAGCTACAAAAATATAAGAGAGACGCGTTGATGTCTGTGACTTACTTCTTAATGGATTAGGGTAAGTTTCATGAAGCTTAAAGACGACTTTTTTAATATAATAACTTAGATCTTCATTGTTAAGTCCTTTGACCATCACTGTCCATCTATGCGTATGTTCGGCTTCAGACGCTTTTTTGCCGTTAAGGGAGTACGCTATACTACCGTAATAAAAAGGTCTGGACACACTGATCCCTTTGATCCTTTTCGTGGACATGATAAAGAAGAGAAAAAAAAAATAAAACAAGAGGATTTCAATGCCAGCAAAAAAAAGAGGGCTTATTATTATTATTGTTATTATTATGAAGGATAAAACCACATTGTAGTATTGTTAGATAGCGTATCTAGAATGGAATCATGAGTATTTTGTTTAAGCATGATTCTATTACCTTTGTTATGGAACATCATGTCCTCCATATTAAACTGAAGGATATTTTCACATGAATTGAGAGAAGAACAGGAAGTTGTTGTCATATTGGAAGTGGTTGAATGAGTTGAATTTGAAGGCTGGAGTACGATAGGAAACCCAATATTGCTTATCAATGAAGAAGAGCGAGTTGAAGTAGGAGATAGAATCGAATTCATGACCATTGATGTCATATCTTTCGAATCAGTAAAAGACATATGATGGTCTGCATACAAATCAGAAGACATGGGCTGCATAGTATTCAACAGACTGGGTTTGTTATCAAACATAGTCCAATCGATCGTTTGTCCTGTAGATTCATAGCTCATAAAGTCTGTATTGTTATCAAGCATCATATCTTGAAAATAAAGCGGTTGTCGTGGATGCTTTGTTTCTGTACTTGATAGCTTGGGTTCATGAACTGTTGATTTATCTTCTCTGGTATTTGCAGTAGTAGTAATAGTAGTATTAGTACTAGTATTAGCAGAAGCAGAAGCAGAAGCAGCAGCAGCAGCAGCAGCAGCAGCTCGTTTGCCTCGAGAAATGCGTTGTTCGCCTTTAAGTCGTAATTGTGCTAAAATGGATCTCGAATCTTGTACTTCTATTTCTGTCTTGAGCATTTTTGCCTTGAGTTCGCTGGTAGCTAATGATACAGACTCATTCTCTTCATGAGGGACAATTGAATTGACCATGGAACGTTGGTTTTCGAGATCAGTTTCAATGCGTCGAATACGGGCCTCCAGCTGTGAAAGATTATCAATAAAAGGATCCACATTGGTAGGTTGGGTTGTGCGAGATCTTCTTGAGCTTGGATAAGCACATAAAATGCCTGTAGATAAGCATCGTGTACAGTTGGGATGAATACCATCACATCGAACCTAGTCTGGGGGTTAGTTCACCCATAGTCTTTCTATAGATTGGCTTACTTTCTTATGATGGCATCGAAAACACGCAATAGGTGCTCGAGGCCGTTTGGTAGATGATCTTATACGAGTGTCATTACTATTGTTATCGTTACTGCGTTGCTTACTAGGTTGCATATTTTCTGATGCAGTCGATTTTTTTAAAGACATTGATATTAAAAAACGAAAGTAAGGGGTGGTGGTGGTTAAGGAAAGAAGTGAAATAAAGACTACCTATGTTTTTTTTAGCTGCTTATTTTATACTCGAAAAAAAAGAAAACCTCATGTTGATTGCATAAACTTCCCCCCCTCCCTCTTGGACTCCTTGAAAAAAAAAAAAAAAGTATGAACAATTAAGTTATTTCACATGCAACATAGGATAAGTACGACGACTTATGCGCATCCATTGACAAGTTATTTTTAGTATGACCTCGATTGTTTGCATGAATACCTTGGCTGAAATAACAATTGCTCTAGAAAAAAGGGTTTCTTCGTTAGTCCATGTTAAAAGAAGTAATTTTTATTTGATTATCGAGAACCAAACACTTTGCCTAAACCACTGGTGAATGCCTTGCCTACCAAACCAGTGGCTCCACTACTAAGAGAACCTAGAGCAGAACGAGTTGCCATACCAGTAGCCCATCTCTTTTTAGCATCTTTATCGCATTGGGTATAGCCATACACATTAGCCATGTTTAAAACCAAGGCAACACCCACAATAATCAACCAAGAAAACTTTAATGTGATGATACACGAGAAAGCAAACAAACCCCAAAGTGCAGGTGTACCATACAATGTCCACCAGAATAAACGAGTATCTGCGGGATTATTGATTCGACTTGGCTAAACAGAATGAGTGAATATATCATAAGTGTGTTTGCTTACACTAGCACTTTCAAAGACCCATTTATTTGAACCATCAGGTTGAATTTCATTCCACCAACGAAGACCCACTAATAATCGACCCGAAATATTCTTGACTGTCCAGAAATCAAAGGCTAAAAGTAAAATGGTAATCACAAATACCAACGTAAAATTATCAGTGAAGATAGAGCCTAATAAATACATCAACAATGCACCCAATCTAAATGCTAAAAAGAAAAATGCTGCCACAGGATGACTGATATGCTTTTAATGAGTCTATATTAAATATTTATGTTTTACCTGGATTGTTCAAAATAGTCTCTTATCATACTAGACGTGTTGTTTCCTTCAACAGGTCTATTGTTGTTGTTGTTGTTGTTGTTATTGTTGTTACTGAATCCAGATTCCAAATCTTGATCAGCAGAAATATTATTTGTAGGGTTTTGTAATAGATTATACTGGTCTTCTTGCGGCTGTTGTATTTTATGGTATTAATAGACACATAGAACAAAAGTAAATCAAGTTACCATAATATGTATTGAAATAAAGAAAAAAAAGAAGAGCGTGTTTGAAAGAGACACTCATAATGAATGTCAATAAATACTCAATGACCGCAGTCACTCAGAGAGTACCACCAACTTTGGAGAGGTTTGACTTTAGAGACATGTTGCCACTTACCATCCATATTAATAGTAACAGGGCCATCATCGACCTTACGCATTTTTTGGTTTAGGAATTGCTTGAAATCATCTTCAGTGTAGTATTGACTGAGTTTTATGGGAAATGGGGGGGAACGTTCTACCGAACAATATTGTAGAGAGACCAACAATATCAGAGCTGACAATCGGTTACGAGACATAGTTGCCTACTTGTTCCCTTCTCAGTTCTGTTCACCGGGTGGACTAATTTTTGGAAACAAAAAGACACAAATTTGGAATGTATTATACTCGTTTGTGATGCATACAATATTTGTGCTTCCGAGTAGTTTCTACTTCCACTTTCCTCCATATCGTCTATATCCTTTTATTCTTGAGCCAACACCAAGATCTCGATTTATAACAAACAATTCTTTGACTTCTTAGGGCCTATTCAAAATGACACAATGAATACCAAAGATATGTTATCATGAGTAGCTATTACCTTTTTTTTTTGTACAAACTTCTCTTGATTACAGATCTTTAGGCGGACATGGGTATTCTATAGTTCATTCCTTCTGATAGCATTAGCTCTTTTAATAGAAGCATAACAATCACGTAATTATTTTCTGTGACTTAAATGAACTTTGCATCTTTGTTTGAACTTGACAGGACATTACAAGCTGATTTATTTAGAAATTCATTGCTGTTCCAAATATCTCACATTATGCATAATAAACGTTGTCTGTAGCAAGGAGTGTAAAAAGGTATTCGTCCATATTGATGGTTATCAGCATAGAGATGTTCCTATAAACAACCCCACTTGTAAGCCTAAATATCAGATATTGGTTTGAAATGTATAGTGCGACAAGAAGAAGTAGACGGATAACCCTTCAATATCGAATAAGACACGTAGATAACTTTTGCTGACAGTGATTACTAAGATTTTTTTGGGTGTTTATCGTCAACGACTCATAATTGATAAAGACCATAAATTGTAGTCTCGCTTTAGGAGCATTCAATAGTGATGATAATAGCTCAGGTGATTGACTATATCCTTGACACTAGATATTTCTTTTGTTTATAATTGCTTACTCCCGAAAGGATATGTGAATAGATAGGCAATGTTTATTTCTTTTTCAATACACCAATGATAGAAGTAGGTGCGTATTGATGAATGACATGTGGCATATGTACTCGGCTAAATTCTTTGGATGCATTCTTTCCAGCATAAAGCAGAATGGCTCTTTTACCACCTAAACCATGATGAGTGAAGCATGGTAAATAATTTCAGTACCTGGATGTTCAGATAAAAACTGTGTGGCGTCTATGACTTGGTCATTAATGATAAGCCAACAATCATCTTCTGTCGTATGTTGTGCAACTTGTTCTGCTGTATATTCGTTAGGATATTGAAAGTGATGTTTAATTATTTCTAAACGTTGTTGAGAGTGATTGACCATGTCGAATTAGAAAAAAAAAAGGTTCAAAAAAAATAAGATCATTTTCTTTTAAAGCGTTTCATTGGCTTAAGCATGTAGGGTCATATTATCTATTTGAAGCCATGAAATAATTTTGCATAGAAGAAAGAAAAATGTTTGATACGCAGAATTGAGTATATACTATTTCTTTTATACTAAACGGTCTCTTCACAAGTGATTACTCTCGTCCGCACAGAGTCAATGCGTCAATTGCATTTCTATCGGAGATTAAATAAGAAGAAAATCATTTCTATTATATTCATCAAAAATCAGGCACTTGCTTAGAAATGCTTAAAGATGTAGTTATTCTGTCTTCATATATTAGCAAAAGATGTATATATCTGTTTCTAAATTTTATTGATTTAAGAAAAACAGTATATTTACTAGTAAAATATAGAGCAGGTCTGGAAAAACGTTTTTCATGTTCTCTGAATCTAGCTTCATTTTTTAGTAGTAAAGCTTGTAATTAAAAACCATTTGTAGACATCTTAGCTTTTGGCACTCAATTTGAGTATTTGAATAGGTCAATAGCTGCATTCCTTGTTTCGTAAAGTCGAAAAGAAGCTCAAAGACGGAGATTGAACAATATGGTCATGAATGATTGTCCATCCTCAACTGGCATTTTTGGCCATTTTGGACATGTCCAAAGGTTCCACAAATGTTTACAAGCAATGTCTGTAGACATAAATAATCTCTGAGGGCACATACACAGGCTTTAGGATGCTTGAAGAGGCCAAGAGTCTTTAACTATAATAACGTTAATCTCTGAAGACTGACTTGGTTATTTTTGGCTTTTCAAAAATATTCATGTCACTCGTTTCAAACCATTTGTTCTATAGAAGAAAAAGATGATACAATTTTATAGAAAAAAAAAGAAAGGAAGGGAAGGGGGAGTAGGAACAATGCAAGTCCAATATCATATTGATGACATGGAATCTTGCCAAACTTAGATATAATAAAGGTGTCTTGGTTCGTTTCATGCTTGTTTCTTATCCATTCAAAGGCTTTTGTGACGGTGTTACTGATGATTTTATGTACATATACCCCAGAAAAAGACAGACGAGAGAGAGAGAACTACTACACATAATTTCCTTTCTTTGTAAAAATTAAGCGGAACTCTAAAAATATGTCTTATCGCAAATCCCTGATCGTCCATGACTTGCATTGATATAGAATACAGCCAGGATTTATGTTTTCTAATTGTGGCTTCTCTCCTATGATAGTGTAGCCACTGGCTCCTATATATAAGCCTTTATTATTTATTTATTTTTTTTCCCTTAGAAGGCGTAATTTATATCGTTTAGAATGATTTACTACCATCAGCCATAAAAAAAAATGGGGTTTTAAGAAAGATCTCAGTTCTCTCTTGTTCATTTGAGGACAATCGAATATTATGCATACAATCGATCCTATTCTCATTTGGTTCATTCAATCTACAACAAAGGGGAGTATTTAATGCTACATTTGTATTTATTATACATTTTAGCCAATAATATTAGCTTTCTCGGAAGTTCAGCCACAGTCAGTTGCTGCTGAATAACATTGCTATGCCTCCTTATTTGACAAGTAAGTTTCTCTGACCATAATTTTAAAACATTTAGATACATAAGTTTGTGTTCATGCATCACGGACTCTCTTCTTTGAAAATGTAGACAGAAAAAAAATTGCAGATAAAAGTGAGAGAGTGAAATTTCAAAGTAAAAAAAAAAAATAAGTATTTTTTTTCAGCCTTCTTACTTTCATTTAATAAGCGAAATAGAACAAAGAAGCCCCTCTCTCTCTCTCTTTCTCTTTTTTTTTCTCGTTTCATTTCTTCTTTCCTTTTTTTTTCTTTTTTTTTTCTCTTGATTAACATTCATTCAAATGAATAAAATAAATTCACAAAATGCAACTTTAAATCACAACAATAAAGACTTTTCACCACCGCCTGTACTTTCAGTCTCTATTTCATCTGACAGCAACAGTCCAATCAAAGAACAATTCATCATGAAAGTCGACCAACAACAACAACAACAACAACAGCAGCAGCAGCATACTTCTCAACATACCAAATTGCCAACGCCCATTACACCTACACAAGATTTTAGTTCATTGTTTGGTCAATTCTCGTTAAAGACAGTACCTTCCAGTCCATACGAGAATCCCAAGACATTTACCTGTCTTGAATGTGGTCAAACATTCAATCGGGCTCATAATCTAAAGTCCCATAAAGCAACCCATTCAGCCACAAAACCATTTCAGGTAAGGTAATACAAGAATGAATCAATAAAAAAAAATGAAGCATTAAGTTTCTTCAAGTGTAATGACTGTGAAAAGCAATTCTTGCGTCTGCATGACTTGAAACGACATCAGAAACTACATACAGGTGAAAGACCCTATCATTGCCCTGTCTGTAAACGATCTTTTAGCCGATTAGATGCATTGAACAGACACCGAAAGACAGAAGGTGGGTCTGCTTGTTTACGAACAAGCCATCATAAGAACAATCATTCACCTTCGATGTTGATACCATCCATGATAACACAATGGCAAGTTAATACAAAACTACCCCCTCCATTTCAGACCAACAATGCATCCTCACCACCATCACTTTTATCATCCTCTTCTTCTACTTCACCACCACCACCTACTTTACCTTCATCACCTCCTTCATCACTTACATCTTTACCACCACTCATTCTACCTTTTAATCATAACCATGATCAAGATGAAATTGAAGCGCTCAGACAACGTATTCATGACTTGGAAATTGAGGTAAAGAAATAAAAGAGTAGGACAATATACTAATGCTCAATAGAATCGTGTATTGAGATCATTGCTTTGTAACAAAGATGATGATGAATCCAGTAAACCAAAAAGACAAAGATCACCTTAACGTATATGCCCACCAAAACTTATTTTTATGCTTTACATTCCTTTCAATTTTATGCTTATGGACTTTTTTCAATTTAATAAATAACATTATTTTTTTTTTTTTTTTTTTTTACGTTTATTATTATTCTTAAGCATATAATTATACTTTTTCTTAAAGTGATAAAGGAGTGCATAGATAGAAAAAATATATATAAAAAAGAGAGAGAAAGAAAGAATAATAATAAAAAGCATAAAGATAGATAGAATAAATAAAATAGATATCAAAGGAATGAGAAGGAAATTAAGAAATACAACAAGAAACAGGTGGATTAGGATGAGATGAAGTATGTTGAATAGGATTGTTTAGGAATAAAGACCATTGATCTTCAAATCGATCCACCCAAGATATAATAAGCAAAGTGCGTTCACGCACAGTACGCATAGCTAATAGGGGATATTTTTCATCTTCACCCAAGGGCATCATATTTACAATCCACCAAGTAAAAATCACTCGATCACGTTGTGGACCACGTAATGTAGGGGGATCACCTAGAGCACCAAGCCATGTCGCCATACTATCACCAGGATTCGCATTCTTGTGGCGCAAGAGTTTTTCAACAAAAGTGGCTAATTCATTCAAGATATCTTCAGTAGATTGTTCTTGACGATTCTTGACTGCCTTTTCAGGAATTATAGGTACATTAGGTTGCTTTTGTTGTTGTTGTTGTTGTTGTTGTTGTTCTGGTTTAGCCCTTTGAGCAGACAGACCTCGAACATGCATAGCTAACCAAGGAGCACGATTCACAGGTGTTTGAGTTTGAGGATGTGCTCGTTGAGCCCAAGATTGACGAGGCCCTTGTGGCATCATAGTAGGTGCTTGAGGACGAGGTTGACCAGGCATAGGACGACCAATGGGTGCACGCATACTACCGGGAATAGGACGAACAGCCATACTGACAGGAGGACGAGCCATAGAAGGACGAGGAGGAGGAGGAGTGACTGGCTTGGGTTGAAGTTGTTGTTGTTGACGAGCTCTTGAAGCACTTGCTCTTAAGATTTGTTGTTGTTCAAGCATGTTTTCTTGTTCTCGATCAATATCATCTATTCTTTCAATCGTGGCCATATGATACCCATCCACAAGTTCAAAGTCAGCTACCCTAAAGCGGTGCGAGCCTACTGCTTCCACAATAGATCGACCATCAGGTAAGGTTTGAACATGCGTCATTTCAAGGATAGTACCAAATTCGTAAAAAGGAGTCTGTCCTTCAGAACGGTTTCTGCGTGCAAGACACATAGCGAAACGACGTCGATTGGATTGCATGATGCGTCTCAGCATCAGTCGATAACGGGGCTCAAAAATATGGATAGCACATTTGACATGAGGGACTGCCATGCTGCCAATCAAGAGAGGAACGCGGTTGTGTTGGTCAAGCAGAGCAAGTGCATCTTCGTCTTCTTCTTGTGTTTCTTCGACATACAGTTGTGATAAAATATCGCATAACAACTTGGTAGGAGGTGGGCAGAATTCGAGATTATCGCGACAAAAGGGACAAGAGCGTTGGTGATCGAGTGAACGGACAAGGCAGTTTTTACAGAAAGTGTGTCCACAAGGTGTGGTAGTGGGGTTGCTGAAACGAGTGCAACAGATAGGGCATTCAGTAGGCAAGTTGAAGCTGTGTCGTAAGCTATCGAGTGACTCAGCTCCACCTGCAACAATCGCTTGTAATGCCTGTACAGTGACATTGGGTTGAATGGCTGTGGTATGCATACGATCACAAGTAGGCGAAACACAGCGTTGTTGACTGACACAAGCATGACAAGCAGTATAGCCACAAGGTAAAGTGGATGGCTTATTTAATTTGCCATGACATGAAGGACATTTGGTGAATGCATCAATAACCACAGAAGGTGAAAAAACAACCTGTTGCTTTTGCTTTTTATGTTGTTGTCCTACAGGTAAAGAATCGACCTGGTCGTAGGATCGCTTTTTATATCGTATGCTTTGCACTGTAAGGTCTATTGAAAAAAGATCAAGAGAAAAAGAGAAGAAAAGATAGAAATTGACACTTGAATAATATGGTTATCACCATAGAAAAAAGAAAAAAAAAAAGATATATAAACAGAAGAAAAAAAAGAGAGAGAATGATCCGAACAAAAAGAAAGGCTTATTATATAATAAGCCCCGATCGATCTTTTTTTTTTTTTTTTTTTTCTTGTTATTTGACTCAGCGAAAATCAAATTTAGTAATATATTTATATGTATATCGATCATGGATTAGGTGCACCCTGCAGTTCAATAGGCTGATTGGTATAGACTGGGTGTAATTGTCTCTGGATATAAGTGGAGAATGTACTGGCATTTGTGCCATAAAATACATGTCCTTGTGCAGCAATCATGGCATCGACCATAGGAATCAAATAAGACTCTAACTTGACCTTGTCTTGAATGACCTCAATCTTATCTAATTCAGTCAGATCATCCTTAAAGTCGGATAACACAAACGCACAAGGAAATGTCGAGAATATCTTGCGTAACAATGGATGTGTGCGAGGATGAGGACAATCTGTGGCTATAAACACAGTCGTCTTTGCAAATCGATCGTTTCTGCCATCACCTGGTGTACACAGAACGGACAATTCACTAGAAGCAGGACCCATGGACTTCTGGATATTCTCTGGGTGTTGTACACGGATCGGCTTATCAAATCCACCCGTGAGGTGCTGGGAATCTTCACGGAGCTGCCTGATCTCATATTCATTATTCTCCTTGCGATCTTGATCATGCTGACTATCATAATAAGATTCAAGCTCCGATTCTGTCAGATCTGTATAATCATCGACAAGTCGGTGAAATATGTCATCAATCTGAATCGACGCACGGACCTTAAATAGACCATCCCCTACACGAATATGGATACCTACAAATGAACCAACTCCGCCTAGTTTCTCCACAATGCGTGAGGCTGCTGTCATCAATGTGGGGTTGGAGAAGATCATGGTCTTTCGAATCAGCTTGAGCCATTCTCTATGCTCGGGTGTCTGTGCCAATACACGATACGAACCAAACACAGAGCCAAAAAAGAGCACTTTTTCCTGAATGGCTTCTAATGTATCTAGTTCAATACGGTTCACAAAACGCGTTAAGGGTGTTCTGGATTCAGGTAAATCATAGATACGATAATCAAATGGTGAATAGTCCTTGAAGAGATAGATGTCGTCTTGTTTGACATCTAGATTGGCTTGGATCCATTCCAGGCTGAGATCGTCTCTAAAGATAATACGGACATGTTGCTTCAGTTCTGTCAGGTCATAAAAGAATGTCCAGGGAACTGAAGTCCAACGTGGATAATTCAGACATTCAGAAGGCCATGGTTCGTCTTGTCGAAGTTGGCTGCAATAGTCAAGTCCATTTTTCGTTTGAAGCAAGAGGCGTTCATACATCTTATCAAACCTCAGCCAAGGAAAGGCTGGGTTGCCTAAATAGACAGAGGGTAGTAAAAGCGTTCGGTTCAGATAGGCAGCAAGCAATAAGGCGTTTTCGAGTTCAATACGTTGGTTATGAAACCCAGAATGAGGTAAATAGGTCACATATTTTTCGTCTTTGGTTGGTGTATGATAGTCAAAAGGATCGGGATGAATCACAGGCAAAATCGTCTTGTCGACCATCATCTGTTCAAATGACTCTTTTTCTTCTTTTGGTGGTAGAGTTGTAGGTTGACCATAAATCCAATAGAAAACAATACATCCTATCACTAATAAACAGAATAAAATGTTCTTTTTATTCTGTTGCCTTTGTGTCAAACTATCAAAAGGATTTGGTTTTTTAGGCATAGAAAATATATATATATATAAAGAAAAAAAAAAAAAAGAGAGAGAGAGAGGTAGGACAAACAAGTACTGTTTAAGGAGGTATCTATTTTATCAGGTAACACCTTTCTTTCTTTTTTTTTTCTTCTTCTTCTTCTTGTTCTTCTCCAAATGTCTTTACCTATTCACCAAGAAAAATACAAGCAAATACAACAAAAATTAAATGAAGCTCAAGAGGTTAGTTTGTGGTCATGTCCATCAAATTAACTGGTGGTAGTTACATACATTACTTTCTAAAGACTGTGCTAGAGCAAAGAAAAAGATTCGTATCTTGACTTTTGAGAAAAAGTAAGTCAAGATACAATAGCACATCATGAACTCACTCATGCAGTTTACTTTTAGATAGTATAGCACGCTTATATCAAAACATAAAACAAGAAGAAGATGTGTATCAACATGACTCTCAGCAAAAACGAAGGGACCCACAGCTGACAACAGTTGCTTCTGCACCCCCTAAGCGATCCAAAATCAACCATACCAACACGAAACCTAGAAGAGTTCAACCTATTCAAAAAGACGAGCACGGCCATCCTACTTTACCACAACAGATTGGTGTCTTGACTGTCCTAAGTTTAGGCAACATCATTACAGATCGTGATACATTTCATAATGAACGGTACATCTTTCCTGTAGGCTACACAGTCCAGCGAACATATCCTAGCATGATCCATCCCAATAGTCTTACCATCATCACCTCGACCATTCTGGACGGTGGGGATGGTCCTCGCTTTCATGTGGTAGCAGCTGATCAGCCCGATGAACCTATCATTGCCAACTCGGCTACAGGTGCCTGGACAGTGGTCGTGCGTCGTTCAAATGAAATCAGGCACCGAGACCATTCGAATTCAGCCAGTGGTCCTGATTATTATGGCTTTAAACATCCTACCATTGCGAAAATGATTCAGGATTTACCGAATGCACGCCGTCTCAAGTATTATATCTGGCAAACATTTGAAGAGATGGAGCCTAGGGCAGCCAAGGGAGTCATGGCTGCAGCTGAAAAGAAAAGAGATCATTTAGAACACATGGGCAATATGCATCGTAAAGATGATATCATGCCTCGCACATTATCAGATGAAGATGAATTGGATACAAGTGAATAAAGGATTGTATTATTTTGGACCATAAACAACACGAATATAACCATGACTAGTCATGCTGGTAAGATGGCCAATCAATTTTGGAAGATCTTTGTATTCGTTTGAGTAGCGTGTTCCTCTAGTTTGGCCTCTTTGATAGAATTCAATCTTTGCCCAATGGAGGGGATCTTCGATTATAAATTTACTAGCTTGACTAGACTCCAGTTCAAAACCGCCTTGGAAATAAACAGGCTATCGTCTTATGAGTATACAGATGACATATATAGATATACAAGCTTACCATGATAACATCAATGTCACCATTCGTTGTCGTCAGACTCACTTTAGAATGGTCTGATTCTGTCATCACCACTGAAATAAGATCATTGCTTGTCTCAACATGAAACATGTCTTCTACTTTAGCATTTGCAATGACCACTCGACCATTTGTTGTCTTGATTTTAGACTGAGATGCTTTCAATTGGTTTGCACGGACAGCACCATTGGTGGTGGTCATCTCCAGCACAGGTGCGTCCAATAAACCCTCCGTGCTGATCACATCATTTTTGGTGATAAGGCGGATCGATGCACCTGCCTTGATCGGTTGCTTAAGTTGGATTTTACTGTTGGTTGTCTCGAGTGTCACATCTTGCACGGCCGTCATGGTTTTCTCCAGGTAGATTTTTGCGTTGGTGGTGGTCAACGTACTTGTCTGTCCTTGCCATTCAGATCCCATCTCAATGTCTTCATTGCTTGATCTTACATAGAGTTGATCAATCTTGAGAACACCGGTGTCCTTGAATTTGACTTTGACGTTAGTCGCAAGGATATGAAGGTGACTTAGTGAGTCAGGCAAGTAAATATCAGCATTCAAGCTGACACAAGAACGACCATCATAGTGCTGAGGTATCTTGATTTCCAACAGCGTGCCTTCAGATGAATGCACGACTCTGCAATCCAGGCCTGGGTCATTGATCAAGCTATTAGGAGAAACCAATACGGTGGCCTTGATGGTGCCTGTGACAATGCCTTCTTGTCGATCTGTGTCATCAATTCGCTTAAGATTGATTTGACCTGCTGAAAGATGACCATTGACCACCTGAATCTTGAGTCCATCTGAGGAGAAATTGATATGATCAGGGAGCTTGTCCCAAATCATACCATCAGGGCATGTACCTGAATAGACAGCATTGCCAGACAATAATTCAATCAATCGAATGACAAGACAGATACAAAAGAAATAGAATAGATATTTTAACAGAAGCTCACAACATGTTTTAGGTCTCTTTTGTTGCGTATTATAATAATAGTGTTGTTGAGGTGGTGAGGATTGAGGTTGAGAGCCTAGATAGAACACACAATGAGCTTGAGATTTATTTTGTGCGCCAAGGTTTTTTTTTTTTCTTACCTTCACTTGGCGAAATTGACCAAGGCCAGTTGGCATCTGACGTAGTATGAGTTACATTTGGATAAGGCTGTTGTGGTATGGTACCGTATTGGTTAGGATGGGAATGATAACCTCCAAAAGATTGTGGTAGGGGATATTGAGTAGATGGGTAAGGTGAATCCATTGGCTCTAAAGGAGGAGCACTGGGATTGGCAGGAATAGAAGATGCTGAAGAAGGGGGTTCATTCGGTGCTAAAGAATAAGTTGCATCATTTGAAGGTGAGTAAGGTGGAGGAGGAGGGTTGTTCCAATCAGCATCTTGTGTGGGAACTAATTTCTTTTGTCTCGGTTGGTTATAAAGAGAAGGAGATCCAAAGAAATTGGCTGCAATTCTATTGCCTGAAGCAGAAGAAGGTGGTTCGTTATCAGGCATATGAATGAATAAAAACGAAAAGAAAATAAAAAAGAAAAGAGATACGGTGATAGAAAAAAAAAAGTGACTTTTTGAATCCAATCTTATTGACAGTAAGCCTCATTTTTCTTGCATGATCAATGTACCAAAAAAGTCTTAAATTTACTTTTATTGAAACCGCTATCCCTCTTTTGGCGTAACTGATTTTTTTTTTATCAGAAAAGTTGAATTGCCTGTTTTTAAAAAAAAAAAAAAGTATAAATGGCGGTAATGGGCCGTTTGTCAACAGATGATTTAAACGCTTGAACAATTGGTTGTTTCTATACACGCAACTTCAACAAAAGCCGCTAATCTCGGGAGTAAAGACCAATATTATTAGTACTTTATGGAACAAGGTTATCGAATCAGGCCAAGTTTTTCGCCACCATGTAGATGAAGTAAACAAAACGTTTATGGTTTGGGTTCCTAACAATAATTTTTTTTAAAAGTATCACCATTAATTAAGCATAACTCTATATTTTGGTATCTTGTATCAGTGTGAGGTAAAGAGGACTGGAGGATATTTCCTCTCATTAATGATGTTTTTTCATAGAGCGCATCCAGTGATGGGAATTTTGAATAGATAAATAACAATTTGCTTCCCTCCACAAAAACAGCCTCTTCCAACAAGTGAGCGTATATTTTAACTGCCATTGGATTTAAAGTCCAGCTACTGTTTAACCAACTCGATATAATTTGACTTTAATAGCAATGCTCTCCACGGTGGCGAAAAACTTGGTCTGATTCGATAACCTTGTTCCATAAAGTACTAATAATATTGGTCTTTACTCCCGAGATTAGCGGCTTTTGTTGAAGTTGCGTGTATAGAAACAACCAATTGTTCAAGCAGTTTATTTTTAAAGAACGGACAAAATTTATCAGCCGCATTGTACATCTATTGTTAAAAGAGGGAAGTTTTATTCCTCCTTGCCCGCATTACCAATTTTGATTGGTCATAAAGTGACCAAGTGGGTAAATCGAATGTGTCACAAACAGTGCTGCAAGATTTGAGTCAATAAGCATAAAACTGTCGAGAATGTATCTAGGGAGAGCCTGTGTTAACGTGTTGTACAAAAATCAAAGCCAGGAAATTCATCTATCATGGCTATATTTTCTCTTTGCATTGGATTATCTAAAGCTTAAAGTGGCTTTTTAATTTCTGCAACTATCAGATTCTATAAATCTTGATAAACAATGGAGTCATTGGTTTCATAGACAAGCCTTGACATATGTCTATCCGCCATTTTGCGAATAATCACCGTTTCCCAACACAAAACTTGGTATGATTGACGCATAGAGTGACATAATGTGCTGTGCTACACCAAAAAAATTATGAATGATTAGCATGAGTGATATCATCATTATAATAATTAAATTTTTTTGACTATAAAAAGCAAAATTAAATTTCTTTTCATTTTTTTCTTTTTCTTAAATATGTTTTTTGAAGCCACTTATGTACCCTCTCCACCTCTATCTGTAACCAGTATAGAAGGTAATGTTGAGCCTATTTTGTATCATATTAACATAAGCAAGTAGACGAAATATCTGAGGAACCTGCCACAGACAAAAATTCTATCATACAAGAAGTTGAACCTGATTCTGATAGACCTGTAGATCATTTAATATTCGTCATTCATGTAAGTAAAATAACCAAAAATAATGATAGCGTTATTGACACATATACGACTAGGGAATCGGACAGGTATATATATATATATATAAACAGATAAGCTTTCAAAGTCAGAGAGATATTAACATGTGAAAATAATATAGCAAACAGAACAATATGGACACTTTTATGAGCACAGTAAGTCATCAAAAAAGTGATTAAGTCTCTATCTAATTCAGATATAAAGTCGAGAATTTACAGGAAACAACAAGACAAGTACTTCAAGCCAAAGTGCCTGATCATAATGTTCGTATTGAACTAATACCCATTGAATGGCATCGACACATTCATGAACAAGTGGATCCTATTATCAACAAAATCACTTTAAAATCAATACCCACAATTCGCCTTGTTGAAAACGATTATTTAGCAGATGTCCTGTATTATTTCTCAAAAGACCGTGGCCAAGTGATTGTGGATAATGTTACTCGCTTGTTCAACACGTCTTATCAAAACTTTATGGAAAAGCACCCAAACTTCAATGGCAAGATCGCTATTATGGGCTATTCTTTAGGTGGTATCATTACTTGGGATATTCTGTCACATCAAAGAGAACCTACAACACCTGAAGAAACTGCCATGTATAACAAACTGAATGTGAAGTTTTCTAAATTGGACTTCAAGCCAAATTTCTTTTTTGGCCTGGGATCGCCTGTAGGAGCTGTCTTGACATTCAGAGGACAAGATCCTAGGTATTACCATCCTGATTTCGATATTACTTTTGAGAACATATTCCATCCTTTTGATCCATTGGTAAGTCTGTTTGCTTTCTGATATGGTAGCTCATGTTTTTTATAGGGATATCGCTTTGAACCTTTGTTCAGTGATTATTTTATTGATAAACCAGCTGTACTCGTAGAAAGATCTGTCCCTATAGGTCCTTCTTTCTCATTCCCTTCTATGCCAGCAAGTGTTCTCTCTTTCTTTTCTTGGAAACAAGAGGACAAAGTAGCCAAGTCACTTTACAACACAACGTCCAATGCTGTTGCTGTTGGCAGTACCACACAAGAGAATCAAAAGAAAGATCTTACAAGACAAGACGACCAATCTTCAGGCTTTCTTTCGTCTTTATATCAATACTTTTCAAAAGGTGGAGGTGGCAGTCATGTCACTGATCATGAAGATCAAGAAAACGATCAGCCTGATGGAACTTACCCTTCAACAAACAAGACATCCATCAACGGCATTATCACCTGGGATCCTTTGCGTGAACAAACCCGAGAACAATTATTGGCACTCAGAGATGATCTTGACCGCACTCTGAATACACCCCCACACAAATCTCCTGTTGATAAGAGGCCATCTATTAAAACAAGATCCAAGACATACGCCAGTCCTGTTGAAGACAGTGGCAGTCTCGCAGCTAGCCCAACTCATTCAACTTCTTCTTCTACTGTGTCATCTTGTTCGACCAGCAATACAAAACCCGCACTTAGAAAGTCAATGACTGAACAACACACACAACGTCATCATTTAGTGGAAGTCTTGGGTATTGATGGAGCCAAAATGGATACATTTGATCGTCCTAAAGACCAACAGGAGACGCCAAAACATCATGAAAAGCATGAAATCAACCATGGTAGTCATGATCTTTGGTCAGACCTTAATAAAGAAATTCATAAACCTGGACCTGCTGTCACAAGTCCTGGTGAGACCCGTGCTGAAATAGCTCAAGATGCTACTGTTCCCTCAGAAGAAGAAACAAAAGAACCCGAACAAGATGAACAAGAAAAGAAAGAGATTGAAAAGTTACCTGGTAAACAACGCACAGACTATGTATTACAGCCTGATAGTGTGATGTCTATGATTGCAAATGAGTATCTCATTGGCCTAAGAGCTCATTTCTCTTACTGGACAAACAAAGATTTTATCTGGCATATGTTGCGTAGAATTGAAACCTTAGACACGAAAAAACAAGATACCACCACTAAACCCTCTAAACCTATTGTTTCTGTTGATATTCCAAAGTAATAAAAAAACTCTCTTTGTTTTTTTTTATTCTATATGTACAATTATTCAACACCCAAAACCTTCTTGAGTTTAACGACGAGACCCCATTCTTCCTTTGACAAATCATTACGGAAAGATTCCTTCAAAATATCAATAGAAGCACGAGTGACTCTGGCATACAATTCGTCAGATTCTTCAAAATGACGACCGTATGTCTTTGGTGTTTCATAAGAAGCACATTCAATCTTGATGGCAACACCAGCACCAGCACCACCCTTCTTGACCGACTCTACTGTCTTGTGGTTTTGTTCGATAGAAGTTACCTTACCAAGTGTGATGACTTCACGGGCTTGAGTTTCAGCATTGGTCTTGACGACACAAATGGGTGTACCAAGACGAAGTGTACCTTCAATCACATCCACACCAATAATAATAGGGTCCTTTTTGTTAAAGATAGCACGGGGGATCATCTTCAAGACACAAGGGAAGACAACAGCAGAAGCTTGATCCTTACGTTTTTGCTCAGTAATAGCAGCGTGGTATTCTTGGAATCGATCAAACAAGTGATAAATAATATCTGCAGTAAAGACCTTCATGCCTAATTCTTCAGCCAATTCTTCGGCTTCCTTATCAATCTTGACATCGAAACAGAGCATGACAGCAAATTCACGCGCCTTGTCCAACATCACACTTGCTTTCACCACATCCTTCTTGTGGACAGGACCGATATTGATACCAGAGACAGGAATCTTGGAGGTTCTCAAGAATTCTAATAAGGCTTCAAGAGCACCCAAAGTAGAAGCTTGGACCCATACACCATGGCCTGTACGATCAATAGAAGACATCAAGTTGGTCAAGTCAGACATGACTTCTTCCTTCAAGTCTTCTTCATCATCATCAGGACCAACTACCAAAAGACGCGAACCAGCAATTGCCTTTTCAAGGTCAGGAGCAGCAATTTTGATACCCAAAGCAGCCTTCACAGACTTGTGATGGATATATTGAGACTTAATACGCAACTCACGCATAGGTTGAGGTGTTAACAAGGCTCTGACTTGCGTCACAATAGGTCCATTCAGACCACAGACCACAATACGATCACCTTCATGCAACCAACCATTTACAAGAACAACATCAATAGTAGTACCTAAACCTTCAATGACCTTGACTTCAAGAACAGTACATTCAAGTTCAGTAATGTACATGAGTTTTTCACTCATACGAGATTGTGTCAAATTAATAAGCAAGTTGAGCATATCAGGAATACCTTCACCAGTGTGAGCAGAGGTAGGCACCAAAGACACATACTTGGCAAAGTTCTTGTTCTTGTAGTAAAGTTGAGAGTTAAGACCTTGTTCAGCAAAGGCAAGCATGGTATCAGCAACACGCTTTTCGAATTCTTGTCTGACAGAAGGCTTTTGCTTGGCAAGAGAGTCTTGGAAGGAGTTGTTAGGAATAGCCTTCCATTCGAACAAACGATCAATCTTGTTGAGGGCGACAATGAAAGGAGTCTTACGGTCACGCAATAAACGAATGGATTCAATAGTTTGTTGTTCAAGACCGTGCATGATATCAACCACCAAAATGGCAATGTTACAGAGGGAACTACCTCTGCTTCTCAAGTTGGTGAAAGATTCGTGACCAGGAGTATCAATGACCAAAATACCAGGTACCTTGAGCTTTTCAACACGAGCATCACCAAGGACGGCTGTCTTCTTCTCAATGGCTTCAGCAGGGAAGAAGGTGGCACCAATTTGTTGGGTAATACCACCAGCTTCACCTTCTTGCACATTGGTTTGACGAATCTTATCCAACAACTTGGTTTTACCTGTATCGACGTGACCGAGAATACAACAAATGGGTGAACGCAAATCGTCCTTGGAACGGTTAGCCAAAGCTTCCTTTTGACGTTGTTCACGACGAGCAGCGGCTTCTTCCTTCTTCTTCAATGCAAGTTTTTGAGTGGCACTGAGTTCTTCCTCAGAAGAATCAGAGTCATAGTCGGAGCTATCGTCTTCGGAATCTTCAGAATCGTCGTCTTCAGAATCTTCTTCGGATTCTGATTCTTGCATCTTGGCAGGAGCCTTAGTAGAAGCAGTAGGCTTTTCAGCAGCAGGTGCAGATTTAACAGCAGGCTTCTCTTCTTCATCGCTAGAAGCGTCCCAATCACTGTTAAGTTCTTCTTCATTTTGTTGAGGCTTCTTTTCTTCTTCCTCACTGCTTTCTACAGCCTTTTCCCAATCATCCTCTTCTTCAGCTATCATGTAGTTTAGTCACTACTCTTTTTTTTTCTGTTTTCAAGTTGATGACTTACATTCTTCTTTAGCTTCAGCAGCCTTCTTGGCTTCTTCTTCCTTGCGTTTCTTTTCTTCTTCTTCTAAACGCTTCTTTTCAGCTTCTTGCTTCTTCTTTTCCTGCTCTTCCTTGCTAAGCTTCTTCTTTTTGTTGCCGTAAACAGGCTTCTTGGGCTTGTTATCACCATCTTCAAAAGCTTGAATACGAACATTGCCAGAAGCAAGTAATTGTTGATGACGCAATTCAGCTTGACGCTTGGCTTCCTTTTGAGCCTTGGTAAGTAATTTACCTTCCTTACGAAGTTGTTCTTTTTTAAGCTATCATAAGAAATGAGTCATTATGTTTATGTTGAACGAGATAAACTTACTCTTTCTCTTTCCTTCTTGGCAGCACGAGCGGCTTCCTTTCTGGCTTCTTCTTCAGCAATTCTTTTTTCTTCTTCTTCAGCCTTTCTACGTTCTTCTTCGATACGCTTACGTTCGGCTTCTTCAGCAGCACGTTGAGCTTCAACTAATTTCTAATAGTGTTGTTAATACATGGCATATATAATATATATATATTCACTTACTCTTAAAGCAGCAACGTTACCACCCTTACCCTTCTTGCCCTTGGGAGCAGCAACAGGTGCAGGAGTAGGTTCCTCAACAACAGGAGCGGCTTCAGGCTCGGTTTCTTTAGCAGCTTGTTTCTTAGCCTTCTTTTCTCTGAGCAATTGCTTCTTAGACTTTTGAGGAGCTTCACCTTCTGCCTTTTCTTCAGTCTTATTCTCAGCACCAAGAATTTCATTTAATGCAGCGTCTTCGGCTTCTTGTTGCTTCTTCTTTTCGAGAGCAGCTAAACGCTTAGCTTCCTTAGCCTTTTCTTTTTGAGCTTTTCTTTTTCTTTTTTGGTTAAAATACGGAATTCACCAGCATCTTCACTGGGCTCAGCAGGTTCAGCAGGTTCAGCAGGAGAATCTGTCTTTGCATTCTTTTTTTGTTGTTTTTCTTTTTGTTGTCGTTGGCCCAGTCGTAATCGTCTTCCTCTTCTTCTTCAACAGGAGCTTGTTCTTCGACAACAGCAGATGCTTGAGGTTCCTCTTCTTCTTCTTCTTCGACAGGCTGCTTCTTGCCCTTCTTTCCTTTTTTGACCTTGTTCTTAGCGGCCTTGTTGACCATGGCCATCAAACTAATAACATGTAAGTATTAAAACGCGTCAACTGGTTTAAATACGTTACCCATCATCTTCTTCTTCGTTGGCGTCGGCAAGAGCATTAAAAGCTGAAGCTCTTTGAGCAAATTCTTCTTCAGTTTCTTTAGGAACATCAGCAGCACCAGTGGTAACAGCATCTTCTTCAAAGGCTTCATCCCTAAAGAAGACATAGTAAGTATACGTAGTTATTGTTTGGATTCACTTACCAGTAATCGTCCTTTCTCTTTCCTCCCTTCTTTTTACCCATCTTTATTGTTTATAATTATAGAAGAAAAAGAATTCGTAGATGGCAGGAAATTTCTGACAATGATCGAAAAAAAATCTCGAAAATAGCTAAGCCACCATGTGACGTTTTGAAGGGAATATCAAGTGAACATCTTTCAAGAACAACTTGTCTTTGTTCAACTTGAATGACTACAGCAATGCATCTTTCTAAAGTCCTAGTCACCACTTTTCTTTCGTAAAATATGGCTCTTTACCTAAACATATGAAAATAGGTTGCATCAAACGAGATTCTTTTAAATATATACTCTGTCAAGCTTAAACAATATTATTGTTCATTTAGATGCAGTATTCATTTGTCTTTGATCGATTAGAAGAAAAGTCCTCAATCAATACTCTTCTTGCTTGAAAAGCTACGGCTTTGATATTGAGTAGGTCTTTAAAGCTATAGTTACACTAGATCTTGACAGAATTAAGGAGATCTGATCTTGCAACAATGGTTGCTCAAACCTCTCTTTTTGTATATATACAAATGCTAGTAAGGACAAAAAATGAGTATTTGTAAACCTATTTTGCAGCGCTGATATATGAAAGTCAAGTGTGTAAATACTAGGTGTCTCCTTTGATACTCTTCTAAAGAGCACTACTCTTTTCAAGCAAGCGCTGTACTCACATAGAGTGCTAGCAAGATTATTTGTTCAAATGACATTCCGAACAATAACGTAGTTGCATAAGAGATAGTCCCTGTCTGTATCCAACTAGTAAATGTGTAAATAATGCCTACGCAAAGTTTTGGTGCAACGTTCTACCTGAACAACATAAAAGAAACAAATAGTTGAACAAATGCAGCTACATTGCAACTGTGTAGCTTCATGCCAAAACGACAAGATGAATACTTGGATTGACAAAGGAACGCAGTAAAACAAAGGGCAGTAGTCTTAGAGATGTCGAAAGATCAAAGCCAATTGTTTTTATGAGACATCGTTTTCTTTGAGCGTGCACAGACCGACTGTTGTTTATCAGATTTATCATCAACATGATTAATCAAAATAGGTAAATTATGCTATTTAGAGATTGCCATGACAACACCGTTGTCAAAGCATAATTGGTAGCTTTATTTATCTTTTTAGCTGTAAAACAAATTCATATAGGCATATCTAGAGAGCTATACATAAGAATAGCAATAGCCAAATGTAGGTTACACTATTTTTTTTAGTAGAATAACTTAATTGATACTATCAAGATCAACAAGAACAATATCAATAGTAGATAGCCAAAAGCGTTGTCGAATTGGAGTGCGTTTTTGTTTATCGTCATCTAAGGATATTTTTGCTTCTTATCCTAGAGATTCTAAGAATCTTTCTTCATCGCTAAGCTGTACGTTTGAATCGCGGATATGACTATTGTCCTGAAGATTCTTATCTTCTTGAGCCCGATTTAAAAACCCGTATATGATGACTGATCGTTTTTTCAATTGCTGTGAAATTCTCTCCCCTTTTATTTTTCTTAGTTTTATCAGATGGGTAAAGACGAGATCTCAACTTGATCAGCAAAAGCAACTAATACTTTTTTCTATTCTTGAAGCCGAAAGCCTAAATGATTTTATTGCCGGTAAAAACACTAAAAAAAGGGGGAATTTTCTAAAATGGATCATAGGTTGGGTTGGTGGTGCAGCAGGAATTATAGTTGGAAGTCCATTAGATGTCTTAAAAGTAAACAAACAATCAGAAAAGATAGAATATCTCACAAACAAATAGGCACGACTACAAGCACCTATCGTACCTAAGGATCCATTGATTGGCTCGGAACAACGAATGGGATCATGGCAAACACTAAGAAATATGATCCGAACAGAAGGAGTAAGGAGTTGATGCGTTCTTATTGATTTGACTCTTTTTTATAGTTGAGTTCTATGTTTAAAGGTGTAATGTCACCTGTGGTTGGATTAGCAGGCCTCAATGCGCTTTTGTTTGTTTCGTATGGCTCTATTTTACGATGTTTTGATAGACAAGAGACACCTGAACCTACTTTATGGCAAGTATATTTAGCAGGAGCAGGAGCAGGATTTGCCTGCTTCTTGTTCTCGACACCTACTGATTTAGTCAAGATCCAAGCACAAATGACAAAGATACCAAAGACAACACTTCAAGTTACTAAGGAAATATATGTAACGAGTGGTTTTAAAGGTAATACAACAACAGTAATATAAAAATAACCCCTCAAAAAAACAGGCTTTTACCAAGGTGGAATTATTACTATGATTCGTGATGCACCAAGCTACGGTATTTATTTTTGGGCCTATGAGGGCATGAAACGGGCATTGGATGTGAATAACTCGGGGATGCATGGAAACTCCTGTTGGCAGGAGGTGTGGCAGGAACAGTTTCGTGGGCATCAATTTATCCTATCGATGTTGTCAAGTCACGTCTTCAAATGCAACATCAAACGCAAGGTGAACATACTAGACTTTTGGTGGATCGCCCTTATACTTCCATCAAAGACTGTGTTGTGCGGTCATATAGAACAGAAGGTGTGCGTGTCTTTTTTAGAGGTCTTTGGCCAACACTTTTAAGAGGATTTCCTGTAAATGCTGTCACTTTTTATGTTTATGAAATTACCATGGATCTACTTAATTCTGTATAATATAATACGCATTGCTTTTGTTTGTATGTAAATCTTCCCTTTCCCCTTTGTATTTTGTTGAAACTTGTATAAAATTCAATTGACATTCGTTATTCTTCTCTCTTTCCTCTCTCTCTCTCTCTATATATATATATATCATGAACTCACTTGAGCATACAATACTTTCAATAAAATCGGACTCGGCATCTTCTACAATAACAGCAATACCAGCAAAGAAATTGCCCTTCTTGTTTAAATATAGATCCAGCCATCTGTTTGTATTCTGGACAGCAGCGATTGGTCTGTTCACAAGTGTATGTGAAAATTTTAATGGAAAATCATACTAACAATGTATTTGTAGACATTTGTTCATTCTATATTGTTTCCGTTGTCACCTTTTATTGTTGCACGTATAAGAAATTTAGATAAAGAAGGCACTGATCATGCTCAATCGACAGCTATCACTAACAATGTTGAAATGACTTCACGAGATACTGGTATCTTGGTTGCTTTATATGCTGTTGGACTATTACGCAAGTAACACACTGTAGTTTGTAGTTGCATCTAATTTTATCTTTTTATCAAGTGGGTTCACCTATCTTTGGCTGGTTAGGTGATCGTATTAAACAACGAAGATTACCCATGCTGTTAGGCACAAGTGCGTCAATGGCAGCTAATGTGCTGTTCATGTTGAGTACGACTTATCCCATGCTTTTGATTGCTCGGTTCTTACAGGGCGTCTCTAATGCGTGCGTATGGACAATGTGTTTATGTTTAATAGCAGATAATTGGCCAAACGAGCAATTAGGCGCACAGATGGGTAAGCTAGTCGGGTTTTATCCTTTAGGCATGATGATTGGATTACCAGCAGGAGGTAAACGTTTTGTTTGTTTGTTTGTTTGTTCGTGGTACTAACTATATTAAACCAAGGATGTAAGCAAACAGCTTTTGAAGTTGTGTTTAAATGACGTATTTTATTAGTGTTGTACAGTGAGCTTGGACATCAGGCACCGTTTATTGCCTCTATGATCTTGAGCGCTATTGACTTTCTAATGCGCCTTGTGATTATTGAACGATCTAGTTCACCTCCAGATTGGTTTGGCGATTCAACAGAAAAGCAAGAAAAAGACGCATTAGACACAAAGACCGGTGTCACATGGACTCAACTATTAAAGCAGCCTCGTCTCATTGTTTCACTTGCCTTGACAGCTATTGTGGCTACTGTGATGAGCGCCTTCGAGGTAATTAGTATACCAAGCACTACAATGATTGTCTAACAGAGCATAGCCTACACTATCCATGCGATTAGCTCAAGAATGGGGATTTAATGCGGCAGGCTGTAGCTTGATTGTATTGGCCTACATGATTCCTTCTATTATTGCAAGCATGGTGTGTGGATGGTTATGCGATCAATTTGGCACCAAGATTATTGCGTTAGTTTCCTTGTTTCTGGCCACACCATCTTGCCTTATGATCGGATTTCCAAGTCAAGAACGAGGATCTTTTTGGCTTTTGGTCCCTATTTTAATTATGGGCGGTATCACCATTGCAGGATGCCAAGCGCCGGTTTTTCCAGAAATTGCATTGGTGGTCAATAAGGAAAATGGTGACTCAGGGTCATCCGATGGATTAGCACGAAGTTATTCTTTGTTCAATGCTGCTTACGGTGTTGGTAACTAGAGTCTATATTCATTTGCGATATATTCATTTGTTTTAGGAATGTGTTTAGGTCCTCTTGTCGCTGGCTATCTGTATGCTAGTATTGGATTCTTTTGGTTATGTACAACACTGAGTGGCCTCTTTTTCTGCTTTATTCCTTTAGCCTATTTTTTTATTGGCGATGGCCGTACATTGATCTGCAGAAAGAAACGAAATGTGATTGCTACCAAAGATACAGAAAATGCAACCCTTCATTCAGTCTCTGTTTCTATATGATCATCATTTTTCATCATTGAAGCACAACGCATATGACTTTCTTTTTTAAGTTGCCGTTTGTCGGTCTTTAGAGAGAGAGAGAGCAATTTCTCTTCTTTTTTTTTTCTTTCTGTAAAATACAACAATAAACTAAAATAATTTTCTGTTTCTTTTTATGCATAAAGACATACTTAAAGTTGTTCTAATCGGTGACGGTGGTGTAGGCAAGGTAAAATAAGAAATATAAAGTTATTAGTTATTTATATATTGTTAGACAAGTCTTCGAAACCAAGTAAGCATACGAACTTTATTTGTTAAATTAACACTTGTTTAGTATATACATAAACGATTCACAAATGCCTATAAAGCAACTATTGGTAATAAGAAATATGTCTAGCCCCATCATAACATATTTTTTTAGGAGCTGATTTTATCACAAAAGAGGTTCAAACAGACGATGGGAAGAAAGTTATGATGCAGATATGGGATACAGCAGGCCAAGAACGATTTCAATCCCTAGGTGTAGCTTATTACCGTGGTGCAGATGCATGCGTTTTGGTTTACGATGTCAATAATTTCCTCTCATTTCAACATTTAGAACGTTGGAGAGAAGATTTCTTAAAGCAGTCTTCATTACCTGCAGAAGAAGCACGCAATTTCCCGTTGATTATGATTGGAAACAAGATAGACATTGACGATCGAGTTGTATCCAGAAGACAAGCAAGAGCATGGGCAGAAATCCATTCAAGTGAAAAGATGCAAATTCCTTGTTTTGAAGCAAGTGCAAAAAATGGAGATAATGTCGAGAAAGCTTTTACTCAGATAGCAAAAATGGTCAAGATACCTCAGATGGAACTCGACTTGAATGAAAGCAATTCTTTTTCATTGACTAGTGATACTAATTACAGGAAGACTGGCTGTTGCTGATGCCTATGTGTATACTATACTATTTTTACTATTATATAATACCATCTTATTATCTAATCTCTTAATCTTATTTTAATATCTATTTAATTGTAAATAAACCAAAATGACAATCGTTAGAAAATTGTCGTTTCTTTTTTACACTTTTAGTTTGGACAGTAAAAAGAATGAGTTTAGGTGAACTTTTGATATAAACAGAGCTCCCGAAGGAACTGGAAAATAATTATATTCATACTTAAGATTCTTTATTGTCAATCTACTAATGACTTTTGGAGGAAATGTCATGTTTAAACGCACTGTCTATGCAAGAACAGACTAATCCGTCAGTGACACAAAATATTGGCTCCATTATCAAGACAGAAGCTAAGAGAAAAAACCAGCAAAATTGGCAAGAACATACTCAGACTTAACAAGTGTAGCAAAAGACAGTGAACAATAACAGAGCAGAATTTTTTATGGGAGGCATGGACTCCTATTTTTGCTAGCATATACTGATGACACAGCGTTCAAATGAAAAACCTAATACCATAGACATGATGTTTCCTTGTTTCTCAAATTTAGCAAACTATTAGTGAATTTAATGCTGACAAGAGGTGGGGCTCAAAATAGCTCGAAACAAAAGATAATTAGGTAACTTTGTGCGATTTACTACGTTTTTCTTCAAGGTGGCATCCTCTTGATTCAGACTGCAAATACATATTAAGACTCACTCGTCGAAATGCTGAAAACAACTGCCTAAGGTCTCTTTCGTGGACTAAATTGATTCATTGAAAAGGAGAATCAAGCCTGTAGAATTACTGTCGTAAACCTTCCCCTTTTTTATGCAAAAGAGAAGGATCAAGTTTATTTTTTGCAGTGTACTACCACTTCTATCTAGGCATAAAGGCAGTCAAGAGAATACAGACTTAAAACTCCACAATCTATCTTTGATTTTTCTCGCACAATTATGGTTTAGTAAGCATGTGAAAACATGAATAGAAACTCTTTTTTCTTTCTTTTGTCTAATCCACTATGTCAGACTCTTCTTCTTCTTCAGTACAAACCCTGAATAAAGTACCCAATAAGCAAGAAACAGCTTCTGCTAATAGTACACCAGCTCCTTCTACACCTGCTAACACTACTCCTTCTGTTCCTACAGCTTCTACTAATAATACACCTGCTCCTTCTACACCTGCTAATAGTAACCCAGTTCCTTCTACACCTGCTAGCACTACTCCTTCTGTCCCCGCAGCTTCAGCCAATACCCCTTCACCTACAACTAATAGCAATAATGCTGTTCTTCGTGAGGATTTAATTAAGCCAGCTGTTTCTTTCCTTTCTTCACCTAATGTACGTTCAGCAGACAAGGAAAAGAAGATTTCATTTTTGCAAAAGAAAGGCTTGAATCAGGCTGAAATAGACGAGGCATTCAAGAGAGCAGGCAACGGTACGGTCTCAACTTCAAATAATGTAAGTCATAATGTAAACCAAACTCATTTTCTGATTGTCTTCTTTTTTTTTTTTCTACAAGACATCTACACATCAACAAAATACATTAGCACCTATTGTGCCTGCTAGAAATGTCAACTATGTACCACCACAAATCGTTTATTATCCTCAACCTCCTCCTCCCCCTGTTCCTGCAGAAAAGGTCTTTGCAATGGCTGTTGTATTAGGTATGGGTGCAGTTGGATTGACAGCAGGTGTCATTGGCCTCTTGAGAGTAAGTGTAAAAGGGGGATGTCCAATATGTTCTAAGCATGGTTTGATAGCGCTTTATTTTGCCTGTTTTCAATCGCATTGCAGAATATCAGCGTACACGTTACAATCAACGTAAAGAAATGGCAGACAAATTGGTCAAATCCCTTGAAAGCTTTAATACAGAGAATGATGACTTGGATGCTCTAATTGATCAAGGTGAAGAAAAGACAGTGTCAGAAGCCCTTGTAAAGCATCAAGCTGAATTACAAGACAAACTCGACAGATTATTATCAGATGCTCGTAAACGTCTCACCACAAAAAATACAACTTATGGTGATTTCCGTGATGTCATTACAAGCTTTAAGAGCGTTATTGCTGCTCCTGATGTACAATATTCATCTTATTCTTCTGGTTATTACATGCGCAATTCTTCTACAGAATCTTCTGCTGTTTCTGGATTAAAGAGCGATATCCGTAGTTTGAAAGCTGTCTTGTTGAACAGAAGAAACTTTCCTGCTGTTTAAATAAATACATGTCTTTTATTATCAAGAGATTTGAGCATCTTTGATATCACAAGTAATAGGTCCTGCACTTGTTTTGAGAATAATGCCTTTATAGGTAGCAATACCATCTATGTTTGTCTTGAAAGATGCTGCTACTTGCTCAAATACCTTTTGTTTGGGTTTAAGAACAGGATCAACAAGTCCTTGCCAATTAACACCCTCTAATGCCACTCTTTCTCCAATCACACTTTCTTCGGGAGGAGATAATAGTTTTACTGTCTTGTTATCATTGGATGAAGCAGCGAGCAACATGCCTTGCGATAAAACACCTCGAAACTTACTTGGTTTTAAATTACTCACTACAATCACCTTTCTGTTCTAATAGGATTTGTCAATAATGTTGATTTATGTCACATGATTTTACCAAAATAGAATCCATTGACATGTAAGGAGCAAGTCCACTGACAATTGTACGAGGATTAGGCATCGCCTCAGTGCTTTCTGTATTCAAATCAACTATCATGGGTATTAGACTTTATTTCTTGTTTTGTTTTTTTACTCGCCTTGTTCGATAAACAAGTGTTGTGCTTCTGAGTGAGCTTCAATATGGACAATCTTGCCAACTCTCAAATCAACACGATGAATGAGATCTTGATCAGTAACAGCAGATCCAGTATGGTTGAAGCGTGTTATTGCTCGGATAGCATTGTTCTTGGACACATTTTGTCGTCTTAATAAAGTAAGCATCATACTAGAAACAAAAAAAAAGTAAAAGAACAAGGGCTTTAAATAATACCCCCCTCTCTCTCTCTTTTTTTTTTCTCTCAAAAGACGGTAGAGTATTCAATAAATCTATTTTTTTGTTTTGTTTTATTTGTTCACTGGATGGTTCTATTTAATAATATACAGTTCTTTGAATGTAGCGTTGAACCTTGGGAGGCTTGCCATAGACAGGTTCATTTTCTTTAAGAATTTGGCTATAAATCTTGGACACACTTTCATCCCATTCTTGACGGAAGAAAGTAGCACCTGTAACCTTCAATCCATGTGCTTGTGCTAAACTCTTGACATCAAAGTGATCTCTGCTGTCAACCTTAATATCGACCTTTGTTTGACCTTCGTTAGGTTGCTCATATGCGATCAAAGTATAACGGTGGTATTTTGTGCCCTTTTGAGGATGAGGAGGGATGTAATCTAATACTGAATCACCTCCTTCAACAACAGGTGAAGTAGCTGATAAAGAAACATTTGTTCTATTGTCATGTTAGGAGAAGGTCTGTGTGATTGAAGCACTTACAGCAACCAATGGCAGTGTTGTTGGTAAGTCTTGTTTTGAATATCAGGTGAATCTTTCATTCAAAGTGAGTATTTTTTTTTCTTTCTTTCAAATTTTACCTGGATCAACCAACATTAAAGTGTACAATCGTTGCTCTGTATGGAAGTTTGTAATTTCGATTTCGGGACGTTCAATGCTCTGTATATCCATGTTAATATAACTTTTTGTCTGAATGTTCATGTACCTGTTCTGGCTTAATAAATACACCAGGTTCAACTTGACCTTCTGCTAATTTGATGTTGACTTCAACAGTAGGATCCATACCAGGTGCTAAGAGTTCAGGAATCACATTCATTTGAGTCAAACGTTCCATCAACTTGCTCTTGGGTGCTTTTTCAAATTGCTTCTGACGCATGTAACGATAAACTGGCTTTCCCATATCAACTATAACATAAATGTCAACCATGTTTGATCAACAAAGACAGTTGCAATGCTTACTGTTTCCGAGCTTAAAGTTTTTTTGTACTTGAGGGTCGTTTAATTCAGACTTAACTTGCAAATCAAACTTCAAGGCATTCAATGCTTTCAACTGAGCAGGTGTAACATCTATAAAATCATCAGTATTTATGTCTATTTTTTTTCTTTAAGGATAATTTACTGTTTGAAACTCGAGCAATTTCTTTTTCTAAACGTTCCAACATGTTGAGTCTTTCCTTTTTATCTTGCTCAATCAATTTAAGAGCTTCTTCATATGCGGTATGAGCAGAAGGCTTTGTTGAAGCTTGACGTGTAGCAAGAACCTAATAAAAAAGTGACAAGGGTGAGTTAAAAATTCTTGTTAAGCCAAATTATTTATTTTACATTTGTTCTCAAACTACAACGAGCTGCCTGGAAAGAGCGTCTTGTCAAGTTAGATAACATGGATCGGTATCCTCAAAATAGAGAAAGAGAAGGGAAAAAAAGTTTCTCTTTTAAAGGGTGGCCTGGTTTTGTTCGAGGACAGCACACCTCTTTGTGACTTTTGATTTTTTAAATCACAGTCAACATAGAAAGTAATACTTCACAGAAACTAATTGACAAAGGTACAAAGCAAGAGCTTACCAATTGGATGAGAGGACGTTTTCTTTTTTTGACTTTAATTTCTGAGCTGCTCAAGTTGTCAAGAAAGTCTTCTGTAAAGAAATATACTTTTAGTTCATACCATATAAAAGTATATCGATGTTCAAGCTAGACACACCACTGCATGGCAAGAGATTGTTCAAAGCACTTGCAGATTTTTAGGAAGTGAAAGTACTCTCAGATAGCGAAATAGGTTTTTTTCTTCCCACGTAGAATTGCTTTACTTTTTATACTTCGTACTTTAACTCCAAATGGGCCGAGTAATTTTTGACTTAGAGAAGGCTTAGCTTGCCGATAGATTTATTAATTATACATCAACTTTAATATCTAAAATAATGAAAAGAAAAGTCTGACAGGCTGCATGAAAGACAATCAGATTCGTGGACATTTTTTTGCCATTAAATGTGTCCAAGCCGTACATAAAAGATCGTTGCGTTTCGAACCGCAAAAAAAAGTCATTTACTCTATCCTATTTTTGGTATGTGAAGTAAAAGGTGTATGTACATTAGTGCAAATTTCATGCCATTTCCTGAAATAAAGTGTGCACACTGTCCAGAGTGCATAATTGGAAATTTGAGACAGTACGCAAGCTAACTTTCTTTACTCAGTCTCATGAATTGTACAACTGCGCGATGTTTTATTAAGGCTCTTCATGTATACTATACATAATGAAATAAATACACGTATAATAAATAAAAGGATGTTCGCAACTATCTGTTGGGACAAAGCATTTGTTACTACAGACAGAATAATTAGATACTCTATATTAAAGAGAATGTTATACCGGGCAATCATACTACTTCAATTGGAATCTAGATGCAGTATCAATAAACCCACATCCCAAGCATTAACCATGACCGTAAAGAGAGTACCAGTATAGAAGATGGAGCTAAGCCGATATAAACAATTAGTTTATATAAAGCAATAATTTGAACATTAAGTTTCATTGTCCAAAGACACCTTGTTGGTTTAAGCGACTTTATAGCTGTAGATATACACTAAGGTGATAACTAAAATATCATCATGTAGTTTAAGCCAGGAAATAAAGGTGTGAATATTTTTTAAAGGTTAGTTTATTCTATTTCAACAGCCACATTCGAAATTGGTCTTACCTCCGTTTCTTCTGGAAGAATGCTTTTAATTTTCTTACCGTGTATACAATGTCACAAACTTTTTCTCTCAATCTAAAGGTGTCAAGTTGATATTTCCTTAAGGTTTGTGTTCAATAATACGGGTCACGTGACCATAGAATACTCTCTAGCCAATGATATTACTAGGAAAATATTCTAGAAGGCAGTGACGTCTGTGTTTTGATAAAGTCAAGATAAAGAACTTACATCTATCAACAACACAGTATTTATATCTTTTCTATCCATGCTAAAATATATATTCTAAATCAAATAAAGAAAAAAGTAATTATATAGTTCGTGTTGATTGATCCTTGCTTCTTGACGAATACGATAACAGCTTGGCTTTTGCTAAAGGCAGCTTCCTTACAAATCAGGTTCAGCTTTGACTTCTTTCTTCTCTTGTTGGTTATTTGAGGTTTAAACCTTTTCTTATTTGGTCTATACATATAGGGAAGGTTATATCCAACCTCGATTGGCTGTTGGCTGTTGGAAGTACTAATATCTGCGACAAAGGAAGACAAATCTACAATTAGAAAAATCATGTCTGTCTATTTGAAGAAGACCCCAGTCTCACAATGGAAACACGAAAAGGTGGCGCGTCTATTAATCGATAAAGGCTTAAGGGTTACCCTTATTGATGCCGATTTGAAAGAATTAGGCGATGTGTATTTAGAATAGGCCAATAATGTACATAAGACGCGTAATGTGAAATATTCTGACGACGAAAAGCAAAAAATGGAGACATTACCGAACAGTATGCACGATATCTGTACATCAATTCAAGTCAAAAAGTTATTCTACTCATCTCAAGTTACAGATGAACTTGATGAAAATTCAATCACCTGTAAAGTTCAAGAAAAAAACAACCAAAAAGAAGCCAACATGTCTAAATTTCAACAAATGAACCATATTGATAAGATGAAGTACTTATGCGAAAAGTTTGGGAACGAAGGGAACCTTGATTTTATGAAAGATAAGATTGCATCCCGTTTTCAGCCATATCTACCGCAACTCATGAGCCATTTTCAGATTCACCTACAACCATCTACAACAAGAAAAGAGCGAGAGATGCTGCTACTAATAGCCAAATGCAAAGCAAAATGTGATATTGATAAGTTATTATCAGACCTTTACGCCGACAAGACCATTTTAACTCCAATGTGTCGCTACATCAGGCTAGCTTTAGCAACATCTGCGGAACTTTGGTCCTCCGGTCAACTCTTGCAAAATGATGATAACGAATCATGGTACAGAACTCATGTCTATTCAGCAATTTGGGACAACGCGTTTTTACACGACAAGAATTTTATGTCTAAAAGAACCGATTGTTATTCCAGCATAACTAAAGAATTCAGTAACGTCAAAAATCAGCGGGTCGATTTTATATTACGTAATATAAACGACAATTCTGACTATCTATCGACTGAGGAAAAACCAGATTTTGTTAAAGGAAAAACACTACAGAATCTAATGCTCAGGAAATGGACAAATCGACTTGGTAGTGTAGACATTATGAAGGAATTCGAAGCCATAACTTGTCAATGGGAAGGTCTGAAACTTATAATATTTGCCACAAGATATATTTCAGAGGAACATAGCATTACGTATAAAAAGGGCTCGTACATAATGCCTAAAGAAGAAACTCATACCGCCTCATTTGCCAGGTTATTAGCAGCAGTTTTATCTTTGAAACGACTGGTCATGGTTAATTACACAAAACTCAACACTGTTTTGGAGACTAAACACAGCTACGAACTTCAAACCATGCAGTTTTCTCAAGAAGATGAATTTAATTTGCGATCAGATAGTACAGAAGAATATGAAGCTCAAGAAGATGAACGCGAGACTGCCACAATTGATGTACACTTGGAGTCTGATATTCTCTCTGTATTAGATGAAATTGAAACTGGTCTTGAAGAGGATATTGTTACTTTTAAAGATTGGGAAGAATTCATGATGGAACGCGGAAGAAAAAGAAAGAACATGTCCTAAAGTTAATAAAATTCCTCTAAGAAGTATAGCAAAGTATTCAACAATAGCATGATGAATGATTTATGTATAGAAATAATAGTTAAAGGCGTGTAGAAAGCCAAGTCGTTGTGCAGACGAGTAGTCCATAGCTACGCCTAAAAATTCATTCTTACCGATCTTGAAATGTTCAAACATTTGAATGAAATATGTAGCAAAATGATTTGCATCCAATCCACCGATGATTGCTTGAAAAAAGACGACCCTTTTCTTTAACTCGGGCACGTAGATAACAGACAAACAAAGATATTTATTGTCCTTGGAAACTGCCTTGTGTGTAACATCTGTTACAATTGGATGCTTGGAGAAAGGAAGGCGATAGCTTGCAATGCCTGGAGCAGAGAAAGAGATCATGAAGCTTTTAGGATCTGCGACTTAAGCATACAAAATATAATCTTTGAGATCTTCCATAATTTGGTCCAACTCGCCTAAAAAATCAGATTTTTTTAGGGTGCCCAAAAAGCCTTGGCAGCATTGACCTCATACTTTGTTGTATCTTGATATAAGGATAAAATTCAAAGGAAGTCCGGAAGTCCGCAAGTTTAGTTAAAAATATATCACAACGGCAACACATAAGAGGTTCACAGCAGTAATGTGGCCAGTTCCAAGTATTTGTAGTTTGCGTTCAACATGTTGATATGATTGCTTCAAATATCACATCTAAATCAATTCTGCTAGTACTTGACTATGGTTTGTTGCTATTGGTCATGATCATAGTCTTTGACATTGCTTTCGCTTAAAAAATAAATCATTGAGAAACAGGAAAGGAGGGACAATTCCGAGAGACAGAGTTGCAAACTTTCCTTTTTTTTCTTTTACAATGATCCTCGTTCCCAACCATTGTCACACTTTGATATTTGTACCTTACGCGCTAGCAAGAAATGCCCCAAAATGTCCATGTTGGTTCATCAGTTTACTTCCACTCCAAAGGTGTTGGACATACGTACAAAAGACCCTCAAAATTTCTCCGCTATGGGCAGGTGTTTACTGTAATACTGATGAAACATCAGTTGGACAGAAGCATAAACTGGAACCAAACGGACATCACTTTCCAACTTATCCAAGACTTATCTGTAGGCTTCCACTTTAAAGGCGTTGCAAATGCGTACAAAAGGCCCTCAAAATTTCTCCGCTATGGGGCAGGTGTTTACTGTAATACTGATCAAGCATCAGATAAACAGTAGCGCGTTAAAGATGTCGTCAAGGATGTTGTGAGGCTAAGATGAGAAAAGAACGATGACGCCCACTAAGCCATTTACCAATCAAAATTAAGAGCTCTTCCTGTAAAAAAAAAACGTGGAAGCTACTTTCGCTTTGTTTGCAGTTTAAAAACGGGATCATATCCAAGCGCAACAAAGCCAACAAGAACAGCAAAAACGATGGCCATGAGATTATATGGCCCCATTTGAAGGACAATCTTGTTAATTATGGTATTTCACTCACTTCATAAAACCAAAAGTTAAAAAAAACATCAAATAACCTTCTGTTCTTTTCCCCTCGTAGAATATTGAAAATCGAATGCATGCACCAACTGAACATCACATCCTATGACGAAAGCCTTTCTCGCAGGCAGTTCACCAGCAAGTGTTCATGCCATATATACACGGCCGAAGACCTTGATAGACTTGCCAATGCATTTATCAATACCAAGATAATGAGAGAAGTGTCATGAGTCAAGAAACAGCTGAGTAACGCGAAAAAGGACGTCGTCAACAATTACTTTGGGACAATTATGCCATTGCCTTGCAACAAGATATTGTCGATCAACAGAGGTCGCAAACAAAATTGGAAGCTAGCATCATTAGTATTGAAAGCTCACTGATGTCACAGCATTCTAAACAACTTGAGCAATCGTCAATAAGCACCAAACGACTGCAGGAATCATCGCCAACTTCGACTTCGTCCAAAAAATGATTTATAAACTCATCATCATCAACTTCACACTTGAAAGTTCCATCTTTGTCTAAAGAAGAATCATCCACTTGACTGCCTAGTGATTCATTGCCATTCACATCCAATCCGTTAACTGAAACAGAAAACTCACCAAAGCATGCCACAGATACATCACCATCAACACCCTCAGGACGCTTATCATCTGCTCCGAAGCTTAATGACACGCCACCATCGCTGTTCTCGCCCACAAAATCAGGACTATTGCATTCACCCGTCCCTATTCTTGAAACCAATGCAATGTCATCACCCCCCCCCCTTCTCAGAAGTAGTTGAGACGGATGGTATTGTCTGCGACACTACTAAGCTATCCATTGCCACAATTATCAAATGGTAGGCAACCAACTTGCATGACCAATACAAGCATGGAAACCCCTATCTTCGCGACAGCGAAAGATTATGTCCAATGGCCTATCGTCGATCTTGGATCTGGTTGATCAATCGTACACTTCTCAGCGAAAGCTTTTTACACCCGCAGAATGGCAACAAATCAACCAACTATTCCAAAACAAACATCGCATCCCAGATACTTCCCCCTTGAATCCTACCCTCAGTACAACCTTGAAAGTCATCGATGCCATGTTAAAGCAGACCTCTAACATCAAAATGGGACTACTTTATCTGTACAAAATCTATGGCAAGCACCATTCTACCAGCCTTATGCCTTCTCTCCAAATTTCTGAACATGTACTGAATCTACTGGATCAGGAATCTGATTCACTCCAAGTCAAGCCCACTACTATGATCTCTGAAACTGACTACGTCGCGTACATTTGGCTCCCCCTGTTTAGAAAGCTGTTCCATGCTGGCACCAACATACAGATCAAAACTGGCGAAACTACATTCCCATTCTCCACTGCTTCTAAGCAACAACTTTACCCAGGTGCATCAAATGTGACAGGTTTCAAAATCGATTTGCGATTTGTCGTTCACCAAGGTGGTTTAGAATTTGATGTATGTTCAGTTGAAGCTTGTTACAACAGTGCAAATGACGACAGAATTATTGCAGACGAGGGAAAGCTCAATCGGGAAGTTAAGGACGATCTTGATGGAATGATGACTTTGGTACACTATGAATCGCGCGCCTGCACAGCATGGGGTGTGCAAATTATGGGACCATCTTGTCTGATTTTCTCCTTACATCTATCAGATCAAGGTCTCTATATTGCTCTACCGCGTTTTGATATCATGTTACCACGATCCACCGCTGAATTGATCAAGTTTGAAAAAAACTATGGTAAATCTCACATTTCACCGTGAAGTCCTCAAATCAGCCAACTTTATCATGGAACACTTCATCAGCAACAAGCAATTAAAATCACTGAATCGACCCAAGGCACAAATGACATCAGCAACGCACGATAGCTCTCCGCGCGGTTCCTCAATCATTAAATGCCAAACTCTTGTCCGTTGCTTGTGAAGAGAGCATGGCTATCTTACAAAAAAAAAACAACTGGCGTGAATCTCGTGATAGACGAGTTTGGATGGGCATTTGACGGAAAAGTATGGCGAAATTTGAACCTGGGGATATCGATGCCCCACAACCCATATGAAAATGATGTTTGAAGCAAAAAAAAGTAATTGTACCGGTATCGCTGGATGATTACTCAACTAAAATCTCGCGCGTTTTGCGCATTAGTTATCCGTAACACTTGAATAAAGGGCAAACTGAAAAATTCATGACTGGAAAAAATTATACATTGATTGTACAAACATTTAATTTGAATATGAGCGATTTGTTTTTTTTTGGAAAAGGTGTATAACAGATTGAAATCTTCTGCATCTTGGGCTGAATTTGAATGAGCTTAAGAAGTTAGCTTTTCAATTGCATATAAAGTTAGACTAGTTAATTTACAGTATTGTGTAGACATTCTGTTATGAGGAAAAAGAGGAAGGAAACTAAAACGACCAAAAAAAAAAAAAATCGATATGTCATCGTCACCGACGACTTATTATTTATCAGTCCTCAGTGATACATCAAGTGCATTCCCAGCAGTATGTGTAAGGGCCATGTTGCCACATGAGAGTACCATGGAGAATAGAGTTAAATTTTGAAGTATGTTCATTTTTATATGTTTTTTGTTAGAACGAAAAGAAAGAAATAAAGCTTTTACATTATAGCTCTCAGTAACGCCAATTTGACTTGGCCCAAAAAGACAATCATTTTCTAGGTAGCGCCATTTATTTTTTTCAGAACAGACTGTATTGTGTTTATGCAACCCTTTTCCTCTTTATGTCACGCATACAAAACTATTTGAGTTCCGAGTTTCTTGCTTCAGGGCTCAGTCTCGAGTTCAATGAGTTTGTTACCAAGATCACTGGAGCAAAAAGCAAAACAGTAAGCAAGACTATATTCGACTCCTTGTTTAAACTTTATGATTAGGAAGAGTCAAGTCATGTTCATCAAGAACTTGAAAAGCTTGTATCCAAAATGGGTCTACCAGACTTATCTTCAGTAAGAAACATCCTTGTTTTTGTAGTACACTAACATAGCATGGTAGTCAAAAATGAAAGAATATCTTATTCGACTTGTTCATTGTTTTATGCTTGGATACAAGGTGGATTTTGGTATGATTTATGCCATCATGGCTTCACAAAGTGGAGAAACAGTCATGGATCGACGTGTTGGTAAGTCCAAGTACAACCCTATTCCATCTAAGATATATATATATAGGGTATTTGGCATGTACTTTATTTTTGGAAGAAGAGCATGAACTAAGTATTATGCTCATCAATACACTCCAAAGAGACTTGAAGAGTCAACACTACCTAGATCGATGTGCTGCATTAAATGCCATATGTTATATTGAACATAGTGAAATGTTGGATAATGTACTTGATTTAGTAATTCAGTGTATGGAATTTCCCAAGTAAGTCTGTTACTGGATCGTATAGCTATATCAATTCATATCACTTTAGACAAATGGTACGCAAAAAAGCTGTGTCTGCACTTTATTTCTTGTATAAAAGAACAGATCTGGAGTTTGAACGCATTGAGTCAGTATTAAGAAATGCTTTAGAAGACAAAGACACTAGTGTAGTATTTTCAGCCCTGTCTGTATGGAGAATAGTTTTAGCCGTAAGAACTAGGTCTAGTTATCATCATGGACTTTTGATTGTATATAGGAAGATGTGTTTAGGTTTAAAGATATGGTTCCAGTATTTTACAGAATCCATAGACAAATTATTGAAAGAAGAATTCATGCATCCTTTGCATATCACGGTGTATTAGCTCCATGGGCTCAATTGGAGTGTTTGTCTATCTACAGACTATACCAAGAGTCCAACATAGGGTAACTCAACTGATTTTTTCTCCAAATGTGTCTCATTCTTCATAGATCCCCTCAAGAGCTTTATAGTATAGTTCATGATTGCCTTCATAGCATGGAAAAGAAAGTGGATGCTGCATTTGGTAATGCATGTATATGGAGTGAACACATCATTAAGACATAGTATAGCCATTGTGTTGGAATGCATCAAGTTGTTATCCGCCATGGATCCCATTCTTTTAGCCAGTATATCTTCTCTACCAGACAATGAGAAATACCCATTTCAACAGATACTCCAACCTTATTTGGACGCCAGTAACCATAATCTCAAATACCTTGGTATTCTTGCTATGTCGTACGTGGATCAGAGTGTATGGGACACAAATTGGCTTGATGGGTCACTTTTATCCCATGTCATACGTGCTTGCTTTGACGACAATACAGTTATTATACAAGCCATAGAGAACCTAGACAAGATCATGAGCAAGGATGTATTAAGGGAAGCAAGCCCAGCATTGATAGAGGCATTAAATAGGAATTATGATATTAAACTATGCAATACTACGATAGCCTACTGGTTACTAAATCGAATGACAGAGTACAAAACGGAGCCTATGAATGTTTGGTCTGTACAGACAGTGATGTCTATTCTCGCTGAAACAAGAAAAAACTTGAGTGACAATTATGTACAGACACAATGTGACATGTTAAAACAAGGTAAGTTTCTGTCTACATAGTTAGCCCACATAACCCTGTGTAGCTCTGATTCAAGAAACCAATGAGAATACTTTAAGAGAAGCCTCGGTCCACACTGCCTATCAGTTGCTAAAAAGAACCAATAGTGATATACTGTCTCCCTTGCTGGTCCAATTTGCATTTTGGGTAATTGTTCAAGTCTATCATTCTGAATGAACTTATGTCTCTATAGACGATAGGTCAACATGGCTATTTAAGTACAGAATACACTGATTTAGATTTAATGGGTCAATTACAGAAATGGGTCTTGTTAGTACAAGGTCAATCATCATCTATATTAATTATACAAAGACAATTGACATGCTATTCTAGATGACTATCTACAGACATCTGGTCTACAAGCCATTGAGAAATGTATACAGCGAAACAAGGCATGGCTCTCTAGCCTTGAAGGCATCTTGAAAGAATTCAAAAAATCAACTGTACCTGAGAAACAACAAGTAAGTTTATAGTGACAATTTCTAACCATATTGACTTTTCTGATTTAGATTGCTCAAGATATTTTGATGTTGATTCAACAAGAATCCTTTCACAAAGAACAAGACATGAATTCTGTATTGAATCTATCTGTATTAGAGGTATGTAGAAACGATATTGCACAATCGACTGAACAAGAAACAAGTTGTCTGAGAATCCTAATCGACCAATGGGAATCGGAAAATATTACGGTAAGACGCTCCCCTTCCCTTTCCCTTATTTGTTTTTTTGGATGTGCACTGACATGCTTTTTAGAAGAGAACAATAGTCCTAAACAAAAGTAAGGGCATTTTCTCTATTGAAGCTCATCTTTCTTTTTAGATCCATAGATAAAGTGTTTCATGACCCCCTTTCATATTCGCGTATCATAAAAGAGAGTAGCACAAGAACAACAAAAGAGGTATAGTATAAAAGGATAGAAAATCAAGAAACTGAAAGATGAGTAGGCAACAGAAGAATTTGGCCAACTTTGGCTTCAATATCCTATGGAACACAAACTTAAGTTTGAATGTTCTGTTGTTGAATGTGAGAAATTAGCGAGGAGATTAAGGAAATCATGGCGCATTGAAATCATTCAACTGATTGGCCAAGAATTTATTGCAACAACAACAACAACAACAAATTCCGATGTGTTGATTCATGTTGCTTTATTGGCACACCAACAATTCGAATTGACACTAAAAGCCAAACAATTTAAAGACATTTCGGATTTCTTGATTAAAAGACAGTTGGTTTAATAAAAATTAAGATGATGGATTTCCATTTTCGACCATGGTATTGTCAGGGGCATTTAAACAAGACTGAATTAGATTTTTACCTTCTGGTTTAGTTACAAGTGGTTGTAGTTTTGGTGTTGTAAAGGTATATACAAGGCCTGTTTCTGACACAACAAGCAGCAAGACTTGAGTTCCCGTAAGTGTACTGAGTTCATACGCCTAGTTCATATATAAGCAACAGGAATCAAAAAAGTCTATTTTATTCTATTTTACCTTTTTCATAATACCCGCTTTACGTTTAGAAAAAGTAATGTGTCGTCTTGTTTTATCTTCAATATATTCAATTTTAATTTTACGACGACCTGAGCGTCTAGAAGGCTTTTTTTCATCTTCATCTTCATCTTCATCTTCAATATCTTGTTCATTGTCCATAATCACTTGATTCATTGGTGCTTGTGGAGGCATATGCATTTGTTGCCTTTGTTGGACAATATATTGCTGAGGATAATAACCAGTTGCTGATTGCATATTTTTTTTGGGAAAAAGAGAGAAAAAATAAAAGAGAAAAGAAGCAATATCATTATTTTGAAACCTGGGTAAACCTTATTTTTTTATTTTTATTTTTCTCATGACTGTGTATGCATGACACTGTAATTCATTGGTGATACACTTCCCAAAATAGATTTACACCATCACTTATGCAAAATGTCAAGTTATTCCATTCTAGGTCTTTTCTGATAGAGATACCATTCCTGTTGTTGTTCAGGTAAAAGGGAAGTTGCTTGCTGTAATTGGGGTATAAGATTATTGAGTGGGGAATACATGCCTTGTTCTTGTTGTGACAATGATACTTGTTGAGTGGAACCACCCTCATAAGAAGGTGGTAAATAAGCCAATCCATTGTTGTTGTTGTTGTTGTTGTCGTTGTTGTTGTTGTTATTGGTCTTTTTGTCTTCTTCCTCGTTATCTTCAATTAAGGTGAGTTGTGGTGTCATGGCATTTGGATCAAGCAGAGTACTGTTTAAGGAATAATTCTGTTGTAATAAATGAAGTTGTTGTTGATGTTGTCTTTGGACAACTAAATGAGCACAATATCTTTCAAGTAAACTACCCAGTGATCCTTGATTGAAGGGTTTAGGCAACACATCTGTCATACCACTCATAAAGTATTGTTGAATGGCTTGGTCTGTTGTGTTGGAGGTCATGGAAATAATAGGTGTCCAAGTATCATATTGACGAATATTTCGAGTGGCAGACATACCATCTAATTTAGGCATCATGATATCCTATAGGACATGAGTCGCGTATCAAAAAGAGAAAAATCTTACCATCAACACAAGATCGTATTTGCCTGTACCAAGCTTCTTTACGGCTTCCATGCCATCCACAGCCACATCAATTGTACAACCAGCAATCTGGAGTAGTCTGGTAGATAATCTACGAAAGATGGAATCATCGTCTACCAATAAGACACGAGGTGGCACTGACCATCCAGGTTGCATTCGTTTTCTTTTTCGGTTAATAGGCGCTGATGCATTGATAACAGGCACCAATGTCGTGTTGGATGGCATCTCAACTGTGGTCGTCAAAGAGAGCTGTGGTGTGCTTGTCTGGATGGTCTCTGTAAGTCGATCCAGTTGTGCTTCACTTGTGGTGGCTATCTGTTGATAAGTTTGAGTGACAGTGTCTAACTCTTTTGTGTTCTTTTGTTGTTTGACAAAAGCCACGATTTCTCGCATGACTGTATCTTGTTCTTCCATGTTTTTTCTAAACCCTTGAATGCTCTCTAGCACAACACTGTACTTCTTATCAAACCCCTTGATCTTGTCTGTCATTTTCTTTTGTGTGTCTTTGAGGCTGTTGATTTCTTTTTGAAGTGTGTTTGTCAATGCTTTCAACTCTTCTGTAGCGCCTGCGCCTACTAAAGTTGAACGAGGATGACCTGTCATGATGGTTGAAGCCGATGTAGAAGCCGATGGATTTGTAGCTGGTGCTGCTGTTTGTGCTTGTGCTGAACTGGCTGCTTGTGCTGATTTTCCTGTAGGTTTTCTCTTTTTGATAGAATATAAGTTTTTGAAAAAAAACACACACACATTTTTATGTTTTCTCTCTTTTTCTTACCTTGATTTCTTCCAACAATTCTCTTCTGTTGTATTTGAAATTAGGATGCTGAAATTCCCAAGCCTAAATACAACCATAGTTAAATGCGTTGTTTATTGGATGCCATCATGTACCTGATCACCATAAATACGTTGTCCGTCTTCTGGTAATCTCAACTTGTGAAAATCGTACTTGTTCAACTGACGAACAAAACTAGCAAAATTAGAGTGCTTAAAGTGCTTTGGTAGGATATGACGAGCAAACTCGTTCGGATCTTTCACTACGAAAGTATCTCCTTCCATTCCCCATGAAAACACTTGTGGGTATGTGTTGTCTTCCAACATACTAAGAAAACAGTGTAAGTTATAAGCTATTGTGTTTTAAATAGACTTGCCCAAATAGTTTCTTTACAAACTCGGGTATATTGCTTGAAGTGGGTAAATTTGAATGGGCATTTTCGTTGATAGTGGGCGAAGAACTCAACATGGTTTCTTAAAATAAAAAAAATAAAAAAATAAAAAAAATAAGAGAAAGAGAGACAAAAAGTGTAACAAAATGGTGAATCTTTCCTTTTCAAGAGTTTGAAAATCTATTTTTGGCAGAACCAGTCATTTAGGTGCCGCACCCAATCAATAACTAAGCGTATCCCTTCTCCCTTTCCTCCCTAGTAATCTCTGCTTTAAAAAAGAGCAAGAAAAATACGTGCTATATTGTTTTATTTTTCATGGTCTAAAAGTAGTTCTATTTGGTGTTAAATATAGGCATAAAGAAGATCTTCTTTTTTATCTCGTTCCAGATCAGACAACGCTTTTTAATTCTAGCCTTTGTGTAAATCGATACGGTGCTTTAAAATTATATACAGCTAGAACACTTGTAGGCAGTAATAACGTGAAGTCACCAGTGCTTGTTCTTAAGAGTTGCTTTTCAGCACATACGATGTGACTAACTTAATCCTTTAAAGCTCTTTTGATGTAAATAAACATAAGTGCATAAATCAAGGACTGCATGACCTTGGATAAATTGATGTTGGATTGGCATGCATAAGCCCGATCTTCTCTTGAGCTCCGATCCCGACCTTCATCCCCCTTGTCAAGATAAGTCTATAATGAACAATGATGAATAACAAACTCAAAATGTTGAAAATGTTGACACTGTCTAGTTCTTTAACTATACGTTCAGTTGTTACTTACAAAACTCATTTTATCAAATCATTGACGCCATCCCAAAACAACACATTGACAATCCATACGATATGCTCCACCAAAGACCTACGACAATCTATGTCTCAGTGCTAAAATAAACATGAAATTTAATTAAATCAATTCAACCCAGCAAAATCCCAAAAATGTACAAAGCTTGTTTCATTATTGAGTCATGTTCTTTAAAGTGACAGCTTCCATTGTCATGACAGCTTTGATGACTAATTCATTTCTTACTTATATAATTTTCTCCTTTTTGCTTTTCTCTTTATATCATGGTTTCTGCTATTTTATCTGAAAACGCTACTACACAAACAAAGTTCAAATATGGTATTGAACTTGAAGAAAACAAACCTGTTGAACCAAAGCCAAATCAATCACTTGTCAAGATTCGAGGTGCTGCTTTTAATCATCGGTAAGAACTACCAAGGATGATACGCTTGCTTATGATTAGTGATGTTTGGATCTTGAAAGGCATGTATCCCGACATTATCCTTGGTTCTGTCCTTGGCTCTGATGCTGTGGGTTACATTACGCAGAACGGAACCACGGAGTTGCCTGTGGGGCAGCGTGTCTTGATCAACCCTGGCTATGGCTGGGCATCAGATCCAAGAGGACCCGAGCACAAGTACTACATCCTAGGCTTGTTGCCTCAGATAGGCACTTTTACAGAAGAACCTGTGGCTGTAGATCATGAAGAATTAATTGCTTGCCCTGACCACCTCTCTGCTGCTGAGGCAGCATCTTTGCCTTTAGCAGGCTTAACTGCCTACAGAGCCCTTTTCACTCAAGCTTTGGTCAAAAAAGACGATCATGTCTTGGTGACTGGTATTGGAGGTGGTGTGGCTCTGTTTGCTCTTCAGTTTGCTGTTGCTGCTGGTGCTCATGTCTATGTTACTTCCTCTAGTCCTGAAAAGATTCAAAAGGCAATTGAACTTGGTGCCAAGGGTGGCATCAATTACAAAGATGGTAAAAATCCAGTTCATTTTTTTCTCTTGATTGACCTTGCTGATAATAGAAAACTGTGTGGATACATTGAAAAAGCTGTTAGATAACAACAAACTATCTGCTGTCATTGATGGTGCTGGTGGCCCATTGTACAATGCTTTCCCTGATTTGATGAGAACAGGAGGCATTATTGCTAATTATGGCCATACTGCTACTCCAGAGGGTGTTGTGTTTACTATGGATCATGTCCGAGAAAACCTTCAATTGAAAGGATCCACGATGGGCTCAAGAAGAGAGTTTAGAGAAATGGTCAAGTTTGTCGGTGAAAAGAAAATCAAGCCTATTGTATCTCATGTATGGCATGAACTTGATGCCAATTCTTTTGATCAAGCAGTAGATATGATGAAGTAAGTACATTTTTTTTATGATATTTGGACTAACACGATGTAGTCATGGCCATCAATTTGGCAAACTTGTCATTGAATTCAATACTTCACTTGATAATGCAACCTTTTAAGTTTTATGCAAAATAAAGTGGTCTAAACTAAGATGACGTTTATTTTATTTTATTTTTTGTGAACACGTCTTTTTTATTATTTTTATTATTTTTCACTATCTTGTAGACAAAAGTATGATTGCTTCATCTTCATTGCCTTTATTCTCTCAATTGGCAGAGATGAGCGATGAAGAAAAATATGGGATTATTGCACGCTTCATGCCTTGTGATCTATGCACAAGTTGTCAAGGTTGGCATCCTTACAATGACAATAGTGATAACTGTCAGTGTGGACATGATACTTTTCACCATATTGATCATGGACAGGATCTGGATCGTCGGTTAAAAGTAGCCCTGAGACTGACTGAACTACTTCAAGTATGTGTCTTTTTTTTTTTAAAAAAAAAAAATGTTTTATTCATGTTTTCCTTTAAGGAAAAAGGCAAACTAGATGATTATGACTATCAAGATGAAGATATCATGTCTTTAAAAAAGTAGGTGCAAGTAACTGAATGGCTATTCATGCAAAGTATAGACAAATTCTGTTTAATACATCTTCACCTCATCAAAAGACATTAGGTAAATCTTGTTGATATTTTGTGTTACTTAATACTCTATCAGATCTAAAAAGGAACCGAGAAGAAAATCATGCGGATCAAGATAGTTACCAAGAAACAAAGAAAAGTAAAATTAACCAACAATCTGATACTCAGAGTGAAGAAGAAGAGGAGGAGGAAGAAGACGAAGAAGAACAGGAGGAGGAGGAGGAGGAGGATCAAGAGCAAGAGGAGGATCAAGAGCAAGAGGAGGATCAAGAGCAAGAACAAGAGGAGGATCAAGAGCAAGAACAAGAGGAGGAGCAAGAACAACAACAAGAAGAACTACTGCGAGAAGTAGATATATCTGAAGAAGAAGAAACAATGAATGGATTATCAAATGAACCTGATCAGATAAAGACAGAGACAAACATTGTCCTGAACAATGTTCAATTATATGACGATGAAATGACTCGTATGCTTAAAGAACTAACGGTAAATGTTCAATTGTTGTGTGTATGTGTGTGTATCCTTGAATTTACCATAGCAACAGCCAAAAATAAAGAAAGAAACACCCGCCATGTTAGAAGAGAAACAAGGGAATATCAAAGTTCAGGTTGTGCTGAATGATGGCACACGCCAAAATATGATCCTATTGACAGGACTAAAAAACATCTTTCAGAAGCAATTACCCAAAATGCCTAAAGAATACATAGCAAGACTTGTTTATGATAGGTATCATCACACGTTGACTAGTTTATTTGTGTGTCTCATGTTACCATAGAAACCATCGTAGTATTGCTCTGGTTCGTCCTCCTCAAAAAGTATTTGGCGGTATTTGTTATCGCCCATTTGATGCTCAGGAATTTGCTGAAATTGTGTTTTGTGCTGTAGCATCTACTGAACAAGTCAAGGGCTATGGTTCTTTCATCATGAACCATCTAAAAGACTATGTGTCTGAACATACAAACGTAAAGCATTTTCTGACTTATGCTGATAATTATGCTGTGGGTTATTTCAAAAAGCAAGGATTCACAACAGAAATCACACTAGATAAACGAAAATGGGTAGGCTATATCAAGGATTATGAGGGTGGTACCATTATGCAGTGCACCATGGTACCTCATATTAAATATCTTCAAGTGCGGGACATTCTAGGAGCCCAGAGAAATGCCATTTTGAGAAAAATGCAAGAGAGATCAACAGAACATATTGTCTATCCTGGCTTAAGAATGCCAGTAGGTAAAAATGGGAAAAGATCCATTGACCCTATGGGTGTGCCTGGTATTGCTGATTCTGGCTGGACACCTGAAATGGATGCACTGTAAGTCTGCTTTGTCCTAGTAATATGTTGACATGTGTTCTAGATCCAATAGACCAAGACATGCACCCCATTATAATCAAATGCTATTTTTGGTGGAAGAAATGCAGAATTATACACATGCTTGGCCATTTTTGGAGCCAGTAAGCATTGAAGATGTTGCAGATTATTATGATATTATCAAAGACCCTATGGGTAATGCCAATAATACACACATAGTATCTCATATCAATCTCTATAGACCTTGCTACACTAGAAGACAATGTAAAAGCAGACGCATATCCTACCATGGATGATTTTATACGTGATACACAAAAGATATTTAATAACTGTAAAATATACAATGGAGAAGACACTGAATATGCTCGATGTGCTATTAAACTGGAGCGGTTCTTTAATGACAAGTTGAAATCTCTTGATAGGAAATCAGAATAAAAGGTACTTTCAACGTCATCAACTTTTTTTGATGGTAACACGTGTTTGTGTATATACAAGTTTTTTTTATTTATTTTTTTTTATAATTTATTTCTTTCTCTTTCTCTCTTTTTCTATTCACAAAAAAATGGGAGAATCTCGTACTGAATTATTAGCATGGCTTAACGACTTGTTACAGACTAGATATACTAAAGTTGAACAAGCAGGAACAGGTATGAGATTATTCTCGGAGGTTCATAGAGGTTAAAAAATAAGGGGTTATCTAGGTGCTGCTTATTGTCAAATCTTTGACTCAATCTATGGTATGTAACTGTCTATAGAATGTAACAAGCTAATATCTGTTGTAGGTGATGTCCCTGTTGGAAAAGTTAAATTTGAAGCCAAGCTTGAATATGAATATGTAAACAATTACAAGATTTTACAAAACATCTTTAAAAAGCACAAGTAAGTCTCTTTATTATTATTATTATTTCTAATCTCTCATTTTTTTTTCTATTAAAAGAATCGACAAGGTAAGATCCTTTAGCTTAAATAGTGGTGTATTGATAGGATTAGATTGTGCCTGTTGATCGCCTGATCAAGTGTAAACTTCAAGATAATCTCGAGTTTATGCAATGGGTAAAGAAGTTTTGGGATCAAAACTACCCAGGAGGAGAATATGATGCTGTTGGGCGTCGTAAGGGAGGTGCTCCTAGTGTAGCTGGTACTCGATCCTCTACCACGTCCAGTGCTTCTGTTGCTAGTTCGGGTCGAGTCAGTTCTGCAGGTAAAAAGGCCACAAAGACACCAGGTAAGGTTATGTAGATGATATAACATATATCTGACATCATGATTAGCAACCCGTAGTGCTAGTCGAGGTGGCCGCACAAGTGTGCTGGATAACCATTCAGCTTCCATGATTATTGACTTGAATAAGCAAATTGCCGAGTTAAAATTGACGGTTGATGGGCTTGAAAAAGAACGTGATTTCTATTTTGGCAAGTTGAGAGAGATTGAAATTGACGTTCAAGAAAACTTGGAACAACTCGAAATTACTTGTGCTGAGACTGAAAGAAACCTTGAAGAACATGAAGCATTCCCTGTTTTACAAAGCATTCAAAATATTTTGTATAGCACAGAAGAAGGATTCGAAGTTCCACCTGAAGATGAAGAAGGAAAAGAGGCCTTAGAATACGACGACGAAACCTTTTAGACACCTAATATTCCCGCCACTTTAATAGTAATAAAAAGAAATGATTCTTCATAAGTGATCTTTATTATAAAATTTGGCTTAAAAGGTATCTACACATATCGCTTACTCTCTAATCAGAACTACTACCAGAATCATCAGAATCAGATCCAGAAGAACTATCAGAGTCACTTTCACTGGAGGATTCTATTAAAGAGTCAATAAACATAAATCTGTTCATTTTACATACCACTATTGAATTTTTCTAAAGTTTTTTCAAGTTCGCGAATCTTTCGATTAGTATCTCTTTCTGAATAATGGGTTCTTGCTTTCTTTGATGCTGGGGAAGAAGCCTTTTTATATACCAGACTCTCGCCTGTGACAAACTCATGCAGCCTGTGCAGAGTGCGTCTGTCTAATGAATCAATATCCAAAACAATTTCCTCTTGTCCTTGCTATGGATATCCTGTTAGTGCTCCCCCCCTCATTTATCACTTATACATGTTCTACTTACTCCATTCAAGTTGGGCATGGAAGACTGAATGATACTCACAACCGTATTTAAACTATCGCCCTGTAAATTATTGATACGTTCACTCAAGTCCTTCTTTTGATCAAAAGAGAACTCGGGAAGTTCTTCCACTACCATATTTTTTGATGGTGATTTACCAGACTCTTTCTTTTTTGATGCTCTCTTTCTTTTTTCTTTAGGAACAGGCTTCTTTTCTTTTGAAACAGCTGGTTTGCTTGGGCGACGAACAGGAGTAGACTTGTCTTGCTTCTTTCTCTTTTGTGATTTTATAGATGCAATCTGTTGAGAAATAGTAGCAATATGACGTTCAAGTTCTGCAATCTTTTCATCGCGTTCTATAGACACGATAAATACAAAGAGTTTTCTTTTTTCTACTTACCATCTTGATCTGAGTCTTCTTCACCATCTTCAAAATCTTCTTCTTCCACCATGGGCGTATGTACAGGTGTAGATGGTTTTTGAGCCCATTTCTCATCAAACACTTTCTCCAGCTGCTTTGCCATTTTACAGACAGGCAAGTTGGGAGGATTATAGGTGTGACAGTTATTGAACATCAGACGAACATCGTGTTCAAATTGTTCAGGGCTATCGTAATCGCCATCTTCCAGCTTACGTTCGATGGTAGACAGGTCCATGGGATGCTTGATAATGTTGACATAGTCTGGAATATTAAGGGCTACCACATCCACAGGCTGCAAAAAGGGGAAATTGATATCCCTGTACTTGGATTTCTTGAGCTCTCGTAATGTCTGAGCACAGAATTTCATTTGAAGGTCGTTCTTTCGGGGGTTGGTGCGTCTTTTTGTGATGGGTTCAGGGTAGTCTTTAGAAGGTGGTGGATGAATTTCTCGTTTGGGTCTACCGTCTTCAGAAATACGGCGTGAAAGTGTGTGGAAATTAGTAGGTTTAGGTAAGGATTTTTTCTTTTTAGGTTTTGTTTCTCCCTCTTCTTCTTCTTCGTCTTGTTCATGGTCTTGTTCAAAGTCGAAAATATCAGGAGAAGCAGGTCTTGGTGGGGGTGTAGCCTATATAAAGAAAAGTCAATTTTTGTATTTGTATCTGGTTTACTTACACCTCTAGAAGGTGGCATTTGTCTTAAACTCTTTTCAAATGCTGTCTCTACATTTTGACACAACATAGACACCATAGCTTCAGGACCATTAAACTTGAAACAGTTATTGAATACCAATCGTATATCATGAATAAAATCCCCCACCGTATCATATTCGCCTGCATTTAACTTTTGGTCTACGGTTGTCAAATCCATAGGATGTTTAATGATGTGTGGATAGTCAGGAATGTTTAGTTTGACATAATCCACAGGGTGTAAAAAGGGAGCAGCGTCTCTGTGTTTCTTTAGGTTTCTCATGATAGCCCCACAATACTTTATTTGATCGCGTGTCATGTTGGTCTTACTTCCTGGTGGAATAGAAGGTGAAGGTGAATTCGTTCTTGACTATATAAAAAGAAAAGAAAGATTCAATGTCATTGTTATTCTATAGATGGTATTTTACCTGCTTTTTATTCCCTTTACCACGATCAAGTAAAGATACATTTTCTTTAAACTTGGGCTTGTTTTCTGTAGTGTCTATCTCTTCAAACTCTTCTGGTTGACTATCAAAATGCATAAGTCTATATGAAGGAAAAGACGCGTCAAGTAACCTACGTTTGTTGCTTTACTGGTTCAGTATCCATTTCCATTACTTATCTAAGTGGGAGAACGGAAAAATAAACCAGGGTAAAATAAAATGAAGTAAAGAAACAGAAAGACAAAGAAAAAAAAGAGTGAGAGAGGGAGAGAAGAATTAAGAGTCAGACTTTAGAACTTGGAGTCATTGCATTTTCCTATGTTTTTTTTTATTTATTTACCTCACTTTTTTTTTTTTTTTTTTTGTTCTCTCTATGGATTTTGATAGGCTAATAAAAAAATAAAAAAAAAAAGAGATTGAAAAGAAAAGATGACTGATTTTTATCCGTCTTGTGCTCTATATATACTCCATCGAACTTTTTTTTTTTTTCATGTGTGACTGTACTGTTTGGACTAACCAATAAAATCCCATTTGTATCTCGAAACAACAAATTTCTATTTTAACAAAAAGAGAGTACAGGGATTCTCTTCTTACTTGGTAATCATTATTACCCTGGTTTAAAGACATGAGTACATTACGATATTTAAGACATTCAAAGATAAAAAAGAAAAATAATTTTTTTTATTGATTTAAAAAAAACCGCGTAACTTTGACAGGGATCTAAAAGAGGAAAGTGAATAACATGTTTAAAAATGTTTAAATATATTTATAAAGAAAAGAGAAGGCCTCATCGATCTTGGTGATATTTTTTAGCTTCATTATCTCTCAGAAGTAGCAAATATGTTTATAATCCCTGGCCCTTTCTCTCATCTTTTTTTAAAGAAAAAAAAATGAATCAATTTACCTTTTTATCAATAAGAAAATAAGAAAAAGAAAGAAAGAAATGAAAAAAAATAGACTCCCCTTTTTTATACCCTGCTATCAGTCAACAGAAACAAGCAAAAGAGAAAAATTTTCTGAAAGTTCGAGAAGTATGACTGTTTAAACAGGACTGCTGTCATCCTCTCTTTTATCTAGCACTCCTTAACTTGACCTAAGGAGGACAATGTCTGTATTCATTATATGATGTTCTTATGTTGATACTTCTGTTCGGTGCATCCAATAGTGACAGCTACAAAAGAATTGGTTATTATGAATAGAATCAAAAGATAGCATACATAGATCACAAAAAAAATGACACTGCATAGATTATTCGATTGTCAACCAACGTAAATCCTAGTGTCTTTTTTTTTCTGAGTTTAAACCATATATATTTTATGCTCTTTTTTTTTTTGCAAGAGGAACATTGTTATGCAGCAAAATGTAACCCTCTCTCCCCCCTCCCCTTGAGACAATCATGATAAGAATAGAAAGAGTCTGTTACATGATAAAGTGTTTCATATGCATACGGCTCATTTTGACAACTGTAAGAGAATAGACAACAATCTTCTTCAAAAATATACAGTACTTTTGACGTCATTTAAACCCACTCTCTTCATCAAGGGGCTAACAGATATCAAAATAAAACTTTTTTGGCTTAAGTATCACAAATAAAAAAATTCAATTTCCAAAGGTGAAATTTATCCAATCATTCTTTTGTTGAGTTTGAATCCATAAGCCATCTAATGCATTCGAGTCTATAGCGTATGGAGAGGGATTGGCCCTCTTGATTTATGTGTGGCTCATTTCCATGACAACCCCAAGCGATGCAGTACTAATTAGAGGACATTTTTCTCTATGGCGATGCATTAAATAGGGTTTTTTCTACTTGATTATGCCATCACAAAATGGATATGCAGTCACGTTTGTCAATGTGAGGCTCAAGTCGTTCAGTATTGATTGGTCAGTCCTTTTTTTTTGCTTTAATTTTTTTCACTTTCTTTTTTTCTTCTCTCTCTCTCTTCTCTTTTTCAGTATTTCTTTCCCTGCAAATATAAACTTTTTATTTGCATAAAAAAAACAAATCGAAGAAAAAAAAAGTAAGAGTTTTTTAAAAATAACGCATGATTATTTAAGCATCATAAAAATAGAAAGAGAAAAGAATAAAAAAATAGACTAAAAAAGACCAAGCAGGAAAAGATTAAAGCAGCTAAAAAAAAAAATCTTTGCTTTAAATTATGGATATTCAAGGCTTTATTCCACCAGCTACAACAGCACCAGAAGATCACTCTGTACTTTCTTACAAAGAAGCCTCATCATCCGATCGTCTAAACTTGCCATCAACTTCGGAATACAAACCACCTTCTATGCACACCATCTTGCCTACTGTTGTTGAGGAAGACTACAGTACAAACAGTCAAGCAAACACTCCCCCTCCTGCTCTTCCTTCTTCTTCTGGTAGTGCTCATACAGTAACCCTGGTTCATGATGAAACAATGCCTTCACAAGAAATCATGGAGGAAGAAGAATACGAGGAAGAAGAGGATGACGATGAAGAGAATAACCGAAACACTTTGAATCCTGCTTTATTGTTGAATAGATATGATAAGCGTAAGAGTAGTCCTGCTATTTTAGGGTTACCATTTGGTTTGAAGCATGAAGCACAACTGAGTTTACATCTATCACAACAAAGAAATTCAATTGAAGCAGCTATGCTTTTGGCCAATTTTAATAAGCTTATGGCTTTTCCAAAAGCAAATGAAAATGAACATAAAGGTAAATACTTGAAAAAATAAGGGGGAGAGAAAAAAAAAAAGACGAGTGTTTGAGCAACAACAAAAAAAGAAGCTCCAAGCATAAATAAGGAGACAAATTATGCGCATAAAAAAAATTTTTTTCCTGCCTAATCTCTATTGCTCACTCTAAAAAAAATTTTGCACTACGACTAATGATAAAAATTTTATAGTTGTCCTCCCACAACAGCAACACTGGCAAGATGATATGTCAATTCCTTCACAAAACAAGTCTTCTTGGGTTGACAAACTACCTACTGAAGCCAATCGTCGTCATTCTTATGATGTTAATATGAGCTGGCAAACAATGCCCGAGTCGTTCTTGGAAAGACCTGATCTTTTGCACAACATTCATCAATCTACGAATTCAATCAACGCCACCAATGCTTCTATTGCTGCTGCCCATGCTGCCACTGCTCCTTCTGCTTCCAATGTACCTGTATTTAAACAAGAAAGCTTCTATCATACGCCTACCAAAGTAAGCTGGAGTCATGATGATTTGCACCCTTCACATCCATTGCCTCCTCACCACCCTCACCATCCTACTCATCCTTACAGTAGCAGCAGTAGTACAAGCAGTAGTTCTGTAGAGTATGTGAATCATCCCATTTCGCCTCGCGGTCGAATGTATCATCCCAACATGAGCTCTCCTCTTGTGTCTCATACGTATTCTCGTTACCCTCAAGAACAACACCATCCTCTTCACCCAGGCATTCCTGTATTGCACCCACTTGCTCGTCAGCCTGAGATGAACAGCCATGGCAATAGTATGAAACGCGAATTAGATCCTCATCAACACCCATATTACACGTATACTTTTCCTCCTCAACATCCAATGCAACCCCCTCCTCCTCCTCCATCTTCTTCCTCCTCATCGCAGCAACGGTATTATTATCCTGCTAATGGCAAATTACCGCTACCCTCACAACAATCCATGGATCCACAACAACAAATATTACTTGCACAGCAAATACATCCTCCACCTCAACTTGTTTCAAAACCAAAGCGTAAAAAGCAAAAAGTAGCACAACATGAAGAATACGAAGAAATACTAGAAGAAGAGACAAATGAAGAAGATTATCCTGAAATGTCAACGCGTGATATTGAAGCAGCACGGAATGATCCTGAGGCAAGACCTCGAAAACAAAAACTTCGCTTTGTAGGTGATAAATATACACCTCAATGGGTAAGATATAATGGTCAGTCAAAAGAAGGTTTATGTGACACATGTAAGCCTGGTAAATGGTTACAATTGAAGAATAGTGCTTATTGGTAAGTTTTTTTTTTTTTTTTTTAAAAAAAACTTACATAAAAAAAAGGTATCATAAACAATTCTTTCATGGTATTTCATCTGTTTCTGGCAAGGAATTTGTTCAACCTCTCGAGACACGTTGGGTTGATCAAGACTTGGTAGAAGGCTTGTGTCATCAATGTCATACCTGGGTTGCAGTAAGCAATGTTAAACGAAAGAATAGTGTGCTTTGGTATAGACATGCACATAAAGTAAGTTATCAATTCATGCCTTGCTCATAACTCACCTATCCATAGTGTCATGTTTATCATAAACCAAAGCCTAATGTACCAAAAAAGCGATAATCCTATTCTTATATGCTTATATGACACATAACCTTCTCTCTCTCCCTTTCTCTTTTTTTTAGAATTTAAAAACTTATGAAAAAAAATCCCTTCCTCTCCTCTTTTTTTTTTTTCTTTTTTTACAAACGTACGCCACATCCTATTACACACACACACACACACAAACACACATATTCATGCACACGCCCTATTTTTTTTTTTATTGTCAGTAACTGTTGTATATAAAATAATGCCAAGTACTTTTTTTACTTTATTTTTTTTTGGAATTGTTCATGCATTCTGTTTCTATATTCATCTACAAATCTCGAGGTAAGGAAACAGAGTAGATCCTTCCACACGTTTTTATTGCTGTGTAACAAGATACATATCGTCTAAATAATCAACTTGGTTTGGCGACACAAAACAAACGTATTTCTTTCTTTTTTATCTCAGGGTCTTGTTGAGGGTCTTTGCATGAATCAACCTAAAATAAAGGACTATAAAGAAAAGAAAGGAAGAAGCCTAGTTTATTATTATCATAAACATTTTTTTAAAGTTTAATTTTCATATGTGTTTGTGTGCATATATATATATATGTGTGTGTGTGTGTGTGTGTGTGTGCATACATGTTCATAAAAAAGGTAATAAAGAGGATACATAGACAATTGAAAACATAAGAGATTTATGAATTTTCTCGATGTGTTCTTTCTCTTGTTCGAATGGCTTGACGTCTGTTTTGAAACCATATTTGTACTGTTCTTGGGCTCATTCCTAATTGTCGACCCAATTCTGCCCTAAGTTGAGTAGAAGGAAAGAATGTTTTCTCAAATACTTTGTTTAATACATCCAATTGCTTTGTTGAGGCTCGTTTTCGCTTTGCTTTCATAGGCATTCTATCCTGTTCTTCCTCCTCCTCTTCCTCTTCTTCTGACGGTTGTTTTTCATAGGATGAAGATGATATGGAAGAACAAGATGAAGATGATGAAGATTGCCTACGATTGTTCAAGAAAAATTCTTGTTCAATTGAGTTTTTTTCTTGATATTGCTTTGATCTTGACTTTCGGAAATGATGATTATCCAGTAAATGGTATTGGTTTGTATAATAGATGTTGTCACTTTGCCAATGGTGTCTTTTAATTGTCTTGTCAGTAGGGCAAAGTAAGAACGCAATGTCTAATGCAGGTGGTTTATTCCTTTGTGCTTCTTTTGTTATTGTTGGTGAAGTATTTTCAGTAAGCATATTGCGAATAGAAAGCATTAGAATGATAAAAGAAAGAAAAGAGAGAAAGATTTTTTTAAAAAAAACGGATGCTTATAAATCTAGAAAATATGTTGTATAGAATAAGGTTAATTCTATTTTTATATTAGAAACTGTCATTTCAGAACAACAATAATTTCGGCTACTTGATTAATCTCATTAGCACAGTAATCCCTGGAAAGAAGAATCTGCATAAACACAGAATGCTGCTTTTTTCTTGATTTCTTTTTTTTTTATTTTTTTTTTTTTTGCTGTTCTATACACATAAAAGTAAATGATGTGATGCGTATTTTAAATAAGATGTTGGTTGCTGTGAATTTAATCTTCATATCCAGTGGTGGGCTTACGAGCACGGTTAGGAACTATTGACATATTAACTACAGTATATTGTGTTGAAATACATACGAGGATATGTAACAGGAAGAGGTTCATAGCCCTTGAATCCAAAATATTCGCGTCTAACCTTGGGAACAGTCCAAACCATGATAGGTCCTATCAAGAGAAACAAGGGTCACATAAGAAAGATGCTCATTTCCTTTTCTTTCTTTCTTTTTTCTATTTACCAGCAGTGCCAAGAACAAATGACCAGAAAATAACAGGTCTCTCAACAGCAAAACGATTCAAAGCACCAAGCATGATAATGTAGTGGTAAAAGAGAGAAGGGGGGGAAGGAGAAGAAAAAGTAAAAATATTTCAACAGCAATCGAACAAAATTGTTAACGCTGTTACAAAAAAAAACCCTCACTGGCCACAGATGATGACGCAGTATTCGGACTTATTGCATAATCTGCTCTTCGTCTCTGTTCTTAATTGTCGTTCAATTCTTTCTATGTAAACAAAACTAAACATGAGCAATTAACATCTCTACTTGATATCTATATATGGATATCCGTATATGTGTATGTATGCTTATAAAAACGGCATATTTATGATCATTACTTGAGCAAATCAATAACATTGATCTCCGCTTAAATCCGTATCTAGGCACCTCGAGTTGGCTCAACAAACTTGTCTTTCTCTCACTTTCTTTTCTTTTCTTTTCCTCTTCTTTTATGTCTATCCTCACTTTATTTGTTGACACGTCTGATGAAAACGTTAGCACGGAAAGACGTTTTGATAAGGGATTAACTATCTCACAACTTAAGGTAAAAGACTTACTGATACCAATGAATCTTACTGGATACTAGTACAAACTTGAACCTATCACGGGTATCCCTTATTCTACACAAAAAATCGACTTATACCAAGGAAACCACTTACTGGGAACATTGGATGATGAGACCAGAATGTTGGGCTCATACCCTGCTGAAGACTACATGCGACTGCATGTGGTAGATACCAATCCTCATCGCGTCAAAAACCAATATACCGATGTATCACTTGTAGAAAAGTTTGAATTAACAGACGATCAATACGAGAAAAGATCAGGTAAAGATACTGATACAGTACGGTCCCATTGATCCTGTATTGAATGCATAGATACCGTCAGAGCATTCAAAGAACGCAACAAACTCGGTCGGTTCTCGGATGAAGCAGCAGCGAAGGAAGAAGCCATTGAGAAAGCATACGAAAAAGCAGCTAGTGGCATCAAAGTCGGAGACCGTTGTGAAGTATTGGGTGATGATGAAAGTGTGCGTCGTTTAGGCACAGTTCGATTTGTGGGTGAGACCAAGTTTCAGCCAGGACTTTGGGTGGGTATTCAATACGATGAACCTTTAGGCAAGAATGATGGTAGTGTACAGGGTGAAAAGTACTTTTCATGTCCACCAAAATATGGTGGTTTTGTACGTCCTACAAAGGTCAATGTTGGCGATTTTCCTGAAGAGGAATTATTAATGACGGACGATGAACTTGAAGAAATGTAACAATAAAACCCTTTACATGTCAAAAAAAAAAGTCTCGGCAGTCACATTCTGTTCTTTTTTTTTTTAAGAGAAAAAAGAAAAAAAAGAAAAAGGTTTTCTTATTGTACATAACAAAAAGAAAAGAAAAAAGAAAGAAAGGATATCAATGTCACTTGAAGAAAAGGTATAGCAATTTACACCGAGAATCAATTTACTTACATACTCGAAAATAGTCTACTGAAATAAACAACAGTTTGAGCAAAGTTACAAAAGAACCTGAACAAAATAGAACAAGGTAAGCTGGATAGGGAACTAGAGGCATGTATTCAGACTCTATTATAAAGGTCGCCTAGTCTTGAACCAGAGGAAGAAGAAGAATTAGATGAATTTGGGCGAGTAAAGCGCCGTAGACAAAAGTTCAAGAACGAACGTTCTGAAGACGAAGCAGACGAACGATATGACAGCGATCGCGGGAGAAGAGAAGACGACTACTACTCACATAGACGACACCGTCAACGCTCTTCTTCTCGTTCTCGTTCTCGTTCTCGTTCTCGTTCACCTAGACGCTCCTACCGCCGCCGATACTCTGACTCTGAAAGTGATTATGAGCATTATAGAAGCAGTAGTCGACACAGACATCACCGAAGCAGCAGATATAGTCGCCATCATCATAGCAATAGTCGAGGAGGAGATGTAAATGGCAAAGATAAAAGACAAGGGGAACGACTAACACATCTTTCATAGGTATATTCAGAAGCAGCTCAATACATTGATACAGAATTTTATCCAACTAAAGTATACGTGGGTGATTTAGAAAATGTAACAGAGAAACAACTTGAATACGCGTTTTCTCGCTTTGGCGCACTTGAAGACGTAAGGCTTGTTGAAGGAAAAGAGTGAGTACGATAAATTAGATATTGAATCTTATTGATTTTTATTTAGTTATGGTTTTGTCACATTTGAAAAGAAGGATGCAGCTTTAGCAGCTATTCGAAGCTTACATGGTACTTTGCTGGGATCTAAACGTATCAAAGGTACAGGAAAATGCATAAAGGTAGAGTAACTAAAATCTATAGTGAATCGTGCAAAAATACCCGAGAGAAACAAAGTTGGATTTGGCAATGTGCCATGGCAAGACGAAGACGGTTTGTTAGCAAAGGAAGCATTATATGAAAACAATCATTCTAGACGCCCCTCCTTGCCAGATTATAGTACATCTACAAGCCTTCCTCTGGATCCTCGAGCTGCCTCAATACCAAACCGAGTTTTGACATCTTATGATGATCTTTAGTTTTTCATTAAATAAATGCAGTTTTTATTGGCTTTCTTATGTGACTGCTTTTTATTTCATTACTTGAGTTATGATTTTTCCATTCCTTTTCTTTACACAAAAGTTCAAAAAGTAATATGTAAGTGTTTTTTTATTTTATTTTTGACCTTGGAATCATCTTTATTTTCCTTTCCTGTGCTAAACAAAATCATGTCTAGGGCATCCCCACGTTCATATTCAAGATCTCGTTCGCGTTCTTATTCAAAAGATCGTTCGCGCTCGCGATCGCCCGTACGTCGTAGCCGATCACAATCAGCTAGTCCAGAACACCTTCACTCTGTTCTGGTAACTAACTTGACGCGTAACGTTAAAGAAGACCACGTTCGCGAAATTTTTAGTCAGTTTGGCAAAATAACTCACCTCGAATTTCCTATCAACAAACTCTGTAAGTAAGCTGATACCTCTATATCGACAAGTTACTTATGTAGGATAGTAAACACAAACAAAGGAAAGGCATACATTGATTTCGAGACACAAGAAGAAGCAGACAAAGCCATCAGCTACATGGATAATGTAAGTATATTCAAATTAAGGAGATTTTTCTTTTATTAAGCACCATATTAGGCACAATTAGATGGTAAGAGATTGGCCTGTGTTGTTGCTCCCAAACAGCGTGAAAGATCTCCTTCCCCACGCAGAGGTATAGAAAAAGAAAAACATCAAGAATTTGCTCATTTGTTTCCATGTAGCTCGTTATACCTCACCCCCACCTTACAGAAGAAGTTCAATTCGTGGACCTCCTCCTCCAGTATTAGGTCGTCGTGGAAACCGTTTTGGAGGTGGCAGAGACAGAGGCAGACGCTACTCCCGCTCACCATCACGCTCACCTATTCGTGGTCGTGGTAGCAGAAGAAGATACTCTTATTCTCGCTCTAGATCAATCAGCAGAAGCTATTCTAGAGGAAGATCTTATTCGCGTGGCCGACGTAGCTATTCGCGTGGAAGACGCAGTTATTCCCGTGATAGACGCAGTTATTCTCGAAGTTACTCGAGAAGTTTAACACCCAGTAGAAGCCCTAGCAGTAGATCGCCTATCAGACGCCTCAGTAGTAGATCCAGATCGCCTATTCGACGACGCTCTTCTTTGAGACGCAGTCGATCTCCCCTCAGAAGACGTAGTAGAACACCTCTCAGACGCACTCGCTCCCCTCCTTCTTACAGAAGACGTAGCAGATCTCTTAGACGTAGTCGCTCTCCTCTTAGTCGTAGCAGATCAAGTTCTTTTGATCGCTCTCTTTCCAGATCCAGAAGAAGAAGCACAAGTATTCGACGTTAAATAGTTTACAATAAACACTCTTCTTTTTTTATTATTATATCAAATATGCGGATAATCTTTCAACAACATGATTCATAGAAGGTCTCTACAGACAATGAATGTTTTGTTTTCTATAAAGATCCTTACCAATGTTGCATCTGTTTCCCACATCTCCATAATTAAGACCAAAAGGTTGCGAGGATACAAGTTAGTGAGTTTGGACATTGGAGGACGAACTTCATGCTCTTTAACAGCAACATACAAGGCATGTTCTGATAAATCTAGGCATAGTTATAGTGTTGATCATAA